TAGGCGAGCCTGAGGGTGTCCTGTTAGAGGCCTAGGACGCGTCCTCATCCACCTAATAATAAGTCAGGCTTCCGGATCCAGCTGCGAGCTAGATAGACCCCTATCGGATGGTTTTCGTATCCCTTTGTATCCCTCAAGAGGCCTCCCTTGATGAAAGGACACCGTGTCTAAGCGGAGGCAGTAGACACAGTCGTGCTGGTGTTGGTGGTATGGCGATACCACGCTCAACGCCTGCGACCTGCACGCGCGACGCGTGCATCTCTCTCATCGCCACTGCACTTAGCCATTAATAGAGAACTCTTCTCTATCAATGTTTCCACCCGCGGCGACGTGGACGCGTGCAGTTGGACTTCGCGGGCATGGTCTTTTAATAAAGCCACCAACAAAAGTCATAATAGAGACGAGTCGCATTAGGCACCCCGCAAGGGATAATAACCGGGATCACTGTATAGAGAAGGCCGTTGGAACGCTTATAATCACAGCAGTTGGTAGACAGGAATAGTCATAAGACGTGAGCTATATTCAGCCCTCCTAAACACTGAACTCTAGTTATACCCGAAGCCCTTTTTACGACCAGCATGGAAGCTAGTCATATCGATCCCACCAAGGTATCGTAGTTATACGTCCTGTTCATGGTGTCCGAACGATCCCTCTTCATCGAGTATGACCCACGTCGCGTTGCGCAACATAGGTGACCATCTCAAAAGATTGTTCGTTTCGAGCAGGGAATATAATACCGGAAAATCCCACGCTAGTAAGCATTCTCACCCATCAGGTAAGTACCCGTGGAGAGCGTGCGATCGCATCTGTCGGCCAGGGGGTATCAAAATACAAAAAAAAACCAATTCTAGCAGGACGCCGTCGAGCTCCATGAAAGAGCGGAGTCGAATAGGGTATTTTTAAACATGCCCTTCCTCTCTTCTGCCTTTTATGCTAAACATACAACTTGTACATTTGTAGTCGGCGGATTCGCGTGGTGCCGTCAATCTGTCGAGCTCTGTCGGTCATCCTGTCGTCCGTTGGTGCCGTCATGTCGACCGTTAAACCCGTTAGCTTGCCCCTTGACTTTGAGCGTCGGCCCACCGGGCGCGAAGCGACTGGAGGACCCCTGTGGGCTGTGGCTGACCTGTGAACGGCGGTCGGGGCTCCGGGCTCGAGCCTCGATGCCCTTCTTCCACCACACCTCGAAGTTCTGCGCAATGTTGTCATGGACGCCGGCGGTCACGGCGTTGACAATATTCTCAGTATTAGTGTGTTGCAGGCGCTTCTCGTGCTGATCGGTAGTGTGATGGAGCACGACGACGGTATCTTCCAGGGACTTCACGCGGGTCGCCAGCGCGTTGCCGGTGTTGCTCGTCTGGGCTTGGGTATGCTCGACGGCTTCCATGCGAGGCCCGATTGTGCGGCTAAACTCGTTGAGGTCGTTGATGCATTTGGTGCTTTGCTCGAGCTTCGCGTTGACTTTGTCGACGAAGGTAATGAATTCCCTGTGGCCAACAAGGGGCGGTTGTTGCATCTGCGGTTGTTGCATCTGCGGTTGTTGCATCTGCGGTTGTTGCATCTGCGGTTGTTGTCCTGGCTGATGGGGCACCATGCCTGGTTGGCTTTGAAGTCGCTGCTGCATGCCCCCTTGGGTCAGGAAATATCCTTGCTCAGCTGTCGCCATCGGCGAGCTTCGTGCCATAGTAGGAACTCCATTAGCCGCGAAGAGCCCTTGAGGCGGGGCATTCGACCCGAGAACCTGCATCTGTTGTGCAGGTGACCCGTGCCGTGAAATCTGGACCGGGCGCTTCTCGAGATCTTCCACCGATCGCTCCAACTTGTCCAACCGCTTCTCGGTAGCCCTGGAATTCTTGTCGTGGTCGTCCATCAATCGCTCCAGCTTGTCTAGCTGCCGCGCGGTGAACGTGGAACTCTTGTCGATTTCGTCTTTCACCGTGCCCTTTAGGATAAGCAGCTGAATCGGATCTACAGCTCCTGTATTGCCACTTTGCGGTGGCGCTGGCGATTCTTGTTTCGAGGACTCAGGCACAGCCGGTAACAGAGCAGCGTCGCTGCTCACTACTTTAGTGGTAACCGTATCCACTTTCTGGTTTATTGCGGTTGTAGTAAGCTTCGCTTCTTGTAATCCTTCCTCGACAGCCTCGACGCGGCTGTTCAAGCTCTCGGAGGCAACCGTTAGAGCCTTAACCTCCGACTCCAGCGCTTGGGCAGCAACGTCATTTTCTAACTTCTGCACAGCCACCTGTAAAGCGGGATGGGCGTGCCTAGACTCTTCTACGGCAAAATAGTGCTTGGTAAGAGGGGAGGATCGGCTTTGAGCCGCAGTATCGAAAGTAGCCTGCTGCAGCTCCCATTTGCGCATGAACGCCTCGAATCGTTCCGCAGTATCCGTTTCCAGATCGCCGAACTTCTTGGTCAGCGTCGCATTCTCTTGCGTCAATTTGGCATTCTCAGCTCTTGCCGTCTCAAGCTCTTGTTCCATATCGTTGACTCTCCTGGTCAACGTGGCATTCATCTGTCTTCCTGACTCTGCCAATGAGATTTGCTCAGCTCTTGACGTGTTAAGCTTTTCGTCCATGTCGTTTGCTCTCTGAGACAAGATTGAATACTCGGCTTTGGTATGGCCGAGCTTGTCTTCCAAGTCTCTGAGCTGCCTGCCCATAGCGCTGCGCTCTCCCTGCATGTCTTTGGTCAGTCGGTCCATTTCCTGGACCCTCTTCGACAAGATGTCAGTTTCGGCCTTCTTTCGGCCCACCACCGTCACAATCCCCCCTAGCTGCTCATTCATTTGAGCCAAATCCGCTTGGAGGGAACCCACGAGGTTGATGAGACGCTCGTTCTCGGCCTTGACGGCGGTGGTGGGCTCATTCGGCCTTTTCTCGAGGGTTTTGCGGACAATCTCCTGGATGATGGGACGGATGGACTCCTTGTCGCGGACGATCTCCTGGACGAGGTGGCGCATGCTCTCCTCATCGCGGACTATCTCTAGGACAATAAGGAGGATAGACTCCTTGTCGCAGACCGTCCCCTGGACGAACTCCTTCAAGATGGGCACGAATTGTTGCCCGTGTTCGAAAAGCTCATGGCTATGTTCCTTAAACTGAGCAGAAATCTGTCTCTGCCCGTTTCTCAGTTTTTTGAGTTCGGCATCTTCAACTCGGAAGTACTCGTTATACGGCAATACTTCGGCGCCCAAGGTGCGTTTTTGTTGCTGTTTTACCATCTCGGCGATGTTTTTGTGTGCAAGCCTATCCGCTGCTACCTGGCATACCGAGCGTAGGATTAGTTCAAAGGCGGGATGAAAATTAGTAGCATCGGTGCCGTCGGAATTCAGCGTCGACCTGGTCGCGCCTTCCCCTGCCAGCCTCGGAGTTAAAGATGCGGGGGAAGAACAATTTGTTCCCAGACCTGCGGAATGCAGGTCACTTCCCGCAGTGAAACGAGAAATGCTCTGCCCATGGGTTAGACCACTGAATTTCAAGGTGTGTGGTGCAAACGCGAGGAATCACATGTGATACAGTGAAGTTAAATCATACGAATGAACTTGCACCTGAATGATGCGCGAATCAAGGTGGAACACTGGGGAAGAGCGATGATAAAAGCGGAATAATAGTGGTAATAAGGAAGGTGTCGGCCCTTGATATCACTTACGGCTTCGGACGGGGATTTGGTCAAACTGAAGCCCGGGTTGGTTCTGTCCAGGGGCGGAGGTTTGGGTATTCGGGGCTCAAGACCTCCAGCATCATCAAGCTTTGACTTCTCTGTCACCTTTTTCACTTCCGCTTCAACTCGCGGCTGCTTTTTGGACGCGGATGTCAAACTGAAGCCCGAATTGGTTCTGTGCATGGACGGAGGATTGGACGGCAGCCGGTGCTCAAGGCCTCCGGCATTGTAATCAGGCTTTGGCTTCTTCGTCGTCCTTTTGCCTTCCTCTTCCATCCGGGGCCGCTTTTTGGACGGCGGTGTCCCCGCAGCTGCGACCATGTTGCTCATTAAAACGACTCTCTAGCCACAGGGCTGGGACATCACAATCCGGTTGAGTAGACGATGCGTCCAGCTAAGTGACTGAATACCACGATGTTAGTAAACATTGGTTGCCTGGTGCGGGCAAATACGACGGTGATACGACGGTGAATGACGAAGGGAGCATAGCTAAATAGGGGTTGAGGGTAGAAGCGTCTTTTGAAAGGTTTAAATAAAAGGTAGAGAAGAGTAAGAAAAAAGGTAAATACTAGTTAATAAAGATAGGGGTAAAAAAAAAAGGCGCGGGAGGGGTCATGCTGTCCGCAGTGGGGTGTTGCTCTCAGCCGAGCACTTCCGCTATTCGTGGGAAGATTCATACACCGCCAAATCATTACTGTTCAGGTATACCAGAATCCACGAGATAAAATATGCAGTCATGAATGATGGGTAATGCGGTCAAATAACACCAAATGACGGCGATTTTAGGAGATTGTAATGTGAGCAGGAATTATTGATCTTGTGAGACGCAGTGATTTGATCCCAACGGTCGGTTCATGTCTTAGGGGATAGGGATACCCTCGCTTAGGGAATTCTTGTACTCACTTTTGATGACCTTGCTTGGTCATAACTGATGGACCAGGAAGAACTGGATTGATGAGAGTAGATGGATTTTATCGGAAACAAGAGATGACAACAGAAGTGTTTCACTTAGGTGTCAGGGAAATCGTGAATGGTGAAGTCGAATCAACCGCAGGGTTGAGGACGACGGTAGTTGGTAATAGAGGGAAACGCGTGCTCACGTGAAGTGGTGAGTAACGCGTTGAAGGGTGCCAAATGGTGGAGATGAGGCAGGGGGCATCCAGATTTGGGATGGTCAATGATTAATCAATGATGAATCAGATCCGATCTGCATTCAAATCAAACGCGGGATTGAATTTGAGGAAGAAGAAGAAGAAGAAGAGGTTGGGATTAGAGAGGAGAAGATAAGAACCTGTCGAGGAGCTTGATCTCCATCTTACAAGGAAGACCAAGAGCCGACGCCAACTCTCTCCTACTCGATTTTTCGTATCAGCGGGATCCGTTGGAAATCAGAATTCATGCCGGCGCAGCGGCTGCCGCCACCCGTAAGCAAGCAACGGGCCGATGGTTTGTTTTTTTACTGCAAAGCCAAGTTATTCGCCCTACTGCCGACGATACGAAACGCCTAAACCCTAGTCTGGCGGCTGCATCCATGATGCAAGCTTGAAACCATAAAATCAGCTTGAAAAGGGAGGAAAAGTGATAGCTCGCATAAAGAATACTGCCTTCGAGGAGTGAGGACAACTGCCGTCTGCGAGTCATCGTGCAGGAGTTGCTTTTGATTGGCTGCTTGGGGGTTGGGACATCTTATCTCGTATTGATTCGTCGGGGAAGGGGATCGAGGAAGGGGATCAGCACTTGGGCAGACCGCAATCTTTCTGGATTCTGGATAATATTATTATTCGCAGGAGGGTATCTATTACGTCGTCATAACCGGAGCGAATTAGCAATCAAGTAGTAGGAATGAAAACCAGGACTAGTAATAGGTATTGAAGCTGCAAGTAAACTCTGCTGGTCTTCATTGCATCCGATCTTGTAGTAATCCATTGCAGTCTTTCTGATACACACGTACAAACGGAATATGCAGGGTCCCATCGTCGTCGATGTGGTCAAATATCTTTATCAACCCCCTCTGCCCTCCATAGCCTATGAGTCATTACAGGACCATTAGGAATTCAAAATGGGATGGATGCATGATGCATCGCCTCCCCCAGCAAACCACCAACCGCTGCACAGAACAGTGGTAAGTGCCTGAGGCCCTGAGCGGACTGTGGACACATGCACTGAGGTTAGAACGAACAGCAGAGCGCAAAATAGGGGTTTTTTGACGGTTAAGCAGCCAATTACTTGGTTAACGGTCCGATTCTTCTTGAACAGTCTCCTAACGGTCTTTGAACGGTTGGTTAACTGGCCATAGACGGTCTTGCTGTTTCGATCGTTGTTGAAGGAAGGAACGGCTATGGGGCCTCCGCCCTGCTGAAGCTTGGGCCACTATCACCAGGCAATCAGGCAGTGATTTAGCTTCTTCCTCGTCGATGTGCAAAGTGACCAACCAGACACCACTTAACTTGCATATCTCCGTTTCAAGGTTTTCCTTCCACATGCTGGTACAACCACAATTCCAACCACTACCAAATCCATCTTGAACCATTGACATCCCGTATCGCGACCTCCTCTCCATCTACCGTTTACCAACCTTCCTTCCTCGCCAGCCATCATGGCGGCTGTAAGCTCCCCCGTTCCCCCAATATCAACCTCTCGTCACTAACCACCAACCCTCCCAGCCCCAAATCACCACCGTCGCCGAATCGCGAGACCTCCGCGGCCTCAACCTCATCGCCGCCCACTCCCACATCCGCGGCCTCGGCGTCGAGCCCGACACCCTCGAGCCCAAGCCGTCCTCCCAGGGCCTTGTCGGCCAAGCCCGCGCCCGCAAGGCCGCCGCCGTCATCCTGCAGATGGTGAAAGAGGGGAAGATCGCCGGGCGGGCGGTGCTGATCGCGGGCCCGCCGTCGACGGGGAAGACGGCGATTGGGATGGCGATGGCGCAGGCGTTGGGGAGCGCGATGGGGGGGGACGTGCCATTTACGATGGTGACGGCGAGTGAGATCTTTAGCTTAGAAATGAGCAAGACAGAGGCGTTGACACAGGCGTTTCGGAAGAGTATTGGCGTGAGGATTACGGAGGAGAGTGAGGTGATCGAGGGGGAGGTGGTAGAGATTCAGATTGACAGGAGCGTGACGGGCGTATGTTGCCTTCTTCCTTTTTCCACGACGAGCTAACATATGCGATCCAGTCCAACAAACAAGGCAAACTCACCATCAAAACCACCGACATGGAAACCATCTACGACATGGGAACCAAGATGATCGACTCCATGACCAAAGAAAAGGTCATGGCCGGCGACATCATCAGCATCGACAAATCCTCCGGCAAGATCACCAAGCTGGGCCGCTCCTACACCCGGGCGCGCGACTACGATGCCATGGGTGCCGACACCAAGTTCCTCGCCTGCCCGGACGGCGAGCTCCAACAGCGTCGCGAGGTCACCCACACCGTCAGCCTGCACGAGATCGATGTCATCAACAGCCGCACACAAGGGTTCCTGGCGCTGTTCGCCGGCGACACGGGCGAGATCCGCAGCGAGGTGCGTGAGCAGATCAACACCAAGGTGGCGGAGTGGAAGGAGGAGGGCAAGGCCGTCATCGTCCCCGGCGTGTTGTTCGTCGACGAGGTGCACATGCTCGACATCGAGTGCTTCTCGTTCGTCAACCGCGCCCTGGAAAATGATTTGGCGCCCATCGTCATCATGGCGTCGAACCGTGGCCACACGCGCATCCGCGGCACCAAGTACAAGTCGCCACACGGCCTGCCGCTAGACTTCCTAGACCGCGTCGTCATTGTCAGCACGCAGCCGTACGGCGGGGAGGAGATCCAGCAGATCATCAGCATCCGCGCGCAGGAGGAGGAGATTGATCTGAGCGCGGATGCATTGGCGCTGCTGACGAAGGTCGGGCAGGAAGCGGGATTGCGGTACGCGAGTAACCTGATCATGACGAGTTTTCTGTTGGCGCAGCGGAGAAAAGAGACCGAGGTGGCGCTGGACGATGTGCAGCGGAGTTTAAATCTCTTCTACGACCCGGCACGAAGCGTCAAGGTAAGTGATAACCCTGTCCTCCATTGACAACCCACGGTCCACCGCTAACCATCCTCCCCAGTTCGTGCAAGAGTACGAGAAACGATTCATCAACGACGAAGGCGGCGTCATGCTCTCCGCCCCAAATGGCGCCGCCGCCCCTGCGGGAGCGGATGCCATGGAAATCGCATAGATGTCGACCCAACTGTTTTCATCCACGGCGGAAGGAGCTTCACTGGAAAAGCGCGGCGTTCACATGGGGGTGGGAAACGGGAAAATCATCACAGGCAATTGTAATTTTAGTTGTTAGAGCTTGGGATCGGATTACATAGACAATGCAAGGGCAAGTCCATGGGTTCAAGGGACGATCGACATTAATTCCAATTTATCGCACCATGAGATGTGAGAGTGGGACAGCAGTTGAGATTGGCGCGACACTTTGAGGCTCCAATTTCCAAAAGCGAGCAACCGATCATGCACTTCCAGACTCTATGCTATACACTTGGGCGACAGCCCAGAAAAACGCCATGCTAATGCTGGGGTATCTAAGTAGACCATGAATGCAGCCAATATCAAAACCCGACGCGCATATATCTCGTCACATCACTCCCTCCCACGTCCACTCACCTTGCAAGCATCACCTCCGAAACATCACCTCCGCTTCAAATCAACAGTCAGCACCCAAGAATCAGAATAGGAATGAACGCAAGCAACAGAAATTGCTTTCTATGAAAAGCGAGGAAGATGAAAAGGGACAAACGTACCGTACTCGCACCACTAACGGACACCCGCTGCCTCCCCAACCAACTCTTCGGTGCCTCGCTCCGCCGCTGCAGCATCAACGTGTTGCTCTGCATGCGGCTTGCCAGGTCGTACCACGCGGTGGTGAGGAGGGTATTTTCACGTCGTAGATATTCAAGCTCTTGTCGTGTCACAGGCTATAAAAACATCTTGTGAGTATGGAACAATTTAGTATTACAAACGAAAAGATACGTACGTCACCGTCGGCCGGTGTGCTATTCCGCGCGGCCACGAGCTCCGTCCGGAGCGTTTCGACTTCCGCGTCGCGCGTCGCGAGTTTCTGTAAAGAACAGTTAGCGCTGGAACGTGCAGATAAGAGAAAACGTGCTGTTTGGCGAGTCGAGACGGTAGACCGACGACGGCTACGTCTGCGTGATGCAGTCCGCCGTCGCGGGCCCGCTCGTCCACGAGAACCACGACCAGTCCGACTTGTGCTTCGTGCCAGGCGACTGGCACTCCTTCCGCATCGCCCGCAGCCGCTCGGAGCTCCGCAGGCGGCGGGGGGGAGAAGAAGGCGGGCGTCTTTCTCGGCGATGTGGTTGAGGTTCCCGTAGATGGTGGCGTTGATAGAAGAGAAAATGTCGCGTCTTACCTCGCGGTCCAGCCAGGAGTTCATGGCGTAGGAATGTATCTGGTGGCCGAGCTCGTCGGCTTTCTGGTCAATGCGCTGGTCGAGCTCGGTGGGGGGCCCGGTGGTGAGGTCGAGGAGTTGGGTGCGGGCGAGCTGGATGGAGTGGAGGAGGTGTTCGGATTCGGATTCGGTGGCGAGGGCATCCTTGCGGTTGAGGGCGTGCTTGAGGAGGCTGCGCTCTTGCTCGAGCTCGGCTTGTAATTTGCCGATGAGGGTTTGCTGGGCTTCGGCGGCTTCGGTGGCGGCGCCTTCGGCATCGTTGGACGCACCCTCCTTCAGCTGGGCGACTTCGGTTAGTGATTCGACGAGCTTGGCTTTGATCTCCTTGAGCTCGTCAGTGGTGGAGTCAAGGAGATGTTTCTGTCGGAGATAGTACGAGGTGTCCTCGTTCTTCTCGTCCGTAGAGTTGTCGAGGACGCTCTTGAGGCCCAGGTTCTCCTGGAACAGGGTCAGATACTGCTCCTCGAGCTCGTCGTTCCGCTTTCGGAGGGTCTCAAGTTGTGTGCGGAGGACCTCCAACTCGGGGGATCCGAACGATGCCACCGAAGCCTGAAGCTTGTGGGATTGCGTCGGCTCGGGGTCTCCGGTGGTCGTTGTGGCAGCGTCGTCGAGCTCGTCGGCCAAGCCCGTCCCACCGGAGCGGGCCTCCAGGTCGAGGACTTGATCCTGAAGCTCTTTTATCCTCTCCTCGTTACGATTCTTGAACTCCAGGATCTGCTCGTAGCGCTGAGAGATGGTGGTGAGTTCGTGCTCCAGATGCTTGCGGGCGGTCTTTTGCGCGAAGATCTCGCGTTCGCCGTTGGAAATTGTCTCGAACTGCTCGGCGTTCGACTTCTGCAGTCGTGCACATGCCTCGCGGATCTTCTCCAGCTCCTTGATCTTTTCGGTTGCTTCCCGGAAGTCGTTGCGCAGGAACTCGGCATCCCTCGCGTCTTCTTTGAGGGTCTGTATTTTCTTCTTCAGGTTCTCGTTGGCTTTGTCTCTCCGAGACAGCTCGTCGCGTTCGGCTTGGATAAGCTGCAGTTGATCCCGGAGATCGTACTTCGAGACAGCGTCGGCCTTGAGTTGCTCCAGCTCGCGCTGATCGCGCTGAAGTTGATCTTGGGTTGTGGATAGCTGATTCTCGAGGTCGGCAATATATTCGCGGTCTTTCTCGTTCTGAATCCGAAGAACCTCGATTGCTTCACTAGTCGACGCCTTGTTCTGGTTCGCCAGGCGGTCCTGGACAGTGTCGAGCTCATGTTGCAGGTCCTCCTTCGTCGTATATAGCGTGGCGACCTCTTTGTTAAGTGTATCAATGCGCTCTTGAAGGCTGCGGTTCTCAGCATAAGCCTGGATCAGGTTTTCTTCTTTCTCAAGTTCGGGATCCCGTGCGACCACCGGATCGGAACTCGGCTCGGTTGGATCCGCGATCTCCTCAGCCTCGACCCCGTATTCTGCCAGCCTCTGATCGAGCTCCTGCATGTCATTGATCATGCTCATGAACAGATTGCCCGCTCGAGGGCCGAGCTCGCCAATGATTCCAACCATCCGTTCGTTCGACATCTCCGAGAAGAGGGCCGCAACGAACACGGCTTTGAGCAATTTGATAGTCTCTCCCGGTGACGCCTCGGCAGCGATTGCCTTTAGGTCGGGCGTCATCTTGTGGCTGAGGGTCTGGAGTTGTTTGCACTCCTCCCGGATATATGTAGTCACCGCTCGGTCGACGTGCTTGAGGTTCTGCCATCGGGCAATCCAGTTATCGCGAGCGGTGAGATCGGTCTCGGGAAGGTCGCCTCGGAAGTAGTTCGGGTCGACATCGCGCAGGACGTGCCATATGAGATGTCCGGTCTGAAGGTCATCGTAGGACCGGACGGGTTCAGGGGTTTCGAATGTCTTGATCTGCGAGATGCGTCGGTTAGCGATTTTGAGATCCTTCGGAAGCGATTCCCTACCCATTGGAGTAGCGATTGCCCAAGCTCAAACAGGTCAGACCGTTCGCTCGTCATGGTGGATGTGTCCTTGGAGTCGCGTATGCACCAGGCATGAAACTCCTCGGTAGATTATGGAGCGATTAGGTTCTAGTTAATTGTCTCGCAAGCGCGAAACGATAACGGGACGACATTTATTTAAGTATGTTGGAGTCGGGGAACAAAGAGAACAATGTCGCATCAATACCCATCGTTCAATAGGTCTCTCTTTGACTTGCGTATAGTGTGTCGTGTTGTTGGAATCTGGAGGTTATCACGTCGATGGTGCTTGAACCTGGAACTAGTGTTGTCGTGATTGGCTAATTTGTATGAGACTGTTTGACAATGATCCATTGTTTCTCTCATCTCAACAATACTCGGTCTTCGATTTTAAGAATTCTTTGAACCTCATTGTTCTTATTTCTTTCAGATTCAGTTCTTGGTCACTGTCGTGCGCTCCCTACACTGAGAGAATACGAGAAGGGAGTAAAGGACCCCACGGCGATGACGTAGGGCCGAACTGTTGGATTCAAGTCAAGAATCATGAAGATAACTCTGCTTGGAACTCGGTCTGGTAGATGAATGCTTGAAGCGTAGTAAAATCCCCGCCTCCGCAGTATACGAATGGTTTAATTTGTCCCGGAAATACGCCAGTCCAGCAACACCAAGCGTCCCTGGCCCGTGTTACCCAACGCCTGATGTACACCTCTTTGACTGATACAAGTCAAAGACGAGTCTTCCCGAATCAATCCCCTTCATAACCAATAAAAACCCCTAGCCATGTTCTCATGATGCACCCCGCTGTCGTGCGGCAATTCCCGGTTATGTCGTTCATGCACAACGGAAGCTAATTGACCTCTTCGTTGGTGTAGACCACTTGGTCTTCTTCGATCAGCGCATTGTACTCGGCGCCCCATGTTTGGATGGACTCGAGGACCTTCACTGGTACTCTGGCGGCGAATCCTTTAATGAGGTTGTACTCGTGTGTGATGATACCTCCCTGATCCATCGTTAGAAATATCCGTGTGGCTCGGAATTTGTACTTACCGCTGCCTGGATTGCATCCTTGGCTTGCTGCAATACATGGTCCGGCGTGCTCTCAGGATAGCTGATAACGACAGACTTCTGAGGGGCGGTGGCTAAAGCGAACGCCGCGAGGAGGACAAGGAGCAAGGAAAAGAGGGGAAACTTCATGGTTGTGTGCTGTTTCGACGGCGATTTGAAAGCTGGAATCGTTGATCGATTCTGAAAGACGATTTAGATGGCGGTAAAAGGAGGAAATTGGAAAGATAAGGGTAAATACCTGTGATGTTTGCTGGAAAGGGAGCTACTAAGGAATAGGTGATGGCATATGATGGCATGACTTCAAGACTCAAAGGAAGGAGCCAAGGAGGTCACAAGCACTGCACGTGATATGTGGTATAGCATGTGACTTCACGGCTCACCTAATCACCAATTCACCAATTCACCCTTCACCATTCACCATTTCACCAGTTCACCAATCACCAGTCACCTTCACTCACCTTGAATGGTTTGTGCACAGATCACCTCCGGCGGCCGGGCGGCGCCACTCCTTCCATTCCGCGTCTCCACACAAACTCCGACGACAACTCTTCAGAGTCCTCATCGTGATTCAACTTCAAACTTGTCTATCTAATTCTATTCACTCTTTCGCCAAATACATTTCATCCTTCATACTCGATCAGAACTTCGTGCCCCATATAAGTCAGGTCTGGAAGTTTCTTCACGTTGATGCACATACCCAGTCACTTGGAGCAGACAACGCACACTTCAGGATTCACGTCCCCGTGCCATTGAGCTTTGGCTATACCTGCCTGCTTCTCGCCTTCACACGGCACGGGATAGTCCCTCATATGACGGTCTGTCATATCTAACCTTCTATAGAGTATGGAAGGTTGAGAATTGGTGGGAGGAATTCAACGGGCTATTGAGGAGTTGCTTTGAGCAGACATCGTCGGCTCGAGGCGATCCAGTGATCAGAGCCTTCGGAGGTCTTAGTTAGCGGCACCTGAACGATTGAGCTGTATTGAAGGCTGTCACTTGTGGCATTTGGGGGATTGTCTGGTGGTCTCAGCATTCTCATTTCCTTCGCAATACGCAGCTGCAGTTGCACAATCACTTGCCACATCTCAACGAGAAGAACCTCTTCCGCTGGCCGTGACTCCTTAGATACAACTTGAATCCTGAGCAAACCAAATAAATCCTGATTCCTCATGGCATCACATTCAGCGGAGGTCGCTGCTGACTTTAGAGATGCCTTGCAAGATCTGAAGATCAACAGCAGACCAGAAATCAGCAACTTGACCGTAATCGCCAAGGAGAACACCGAACATGCGCAAGCTATCTCAAGAGAACTGGAAAACCATATCCGATTGGTAAGTGGCCTCCTGATGCTCATGGTGCTACAACTAACCGTCCAAGACTCGACCCGAATGGAAATTACCAGCTTTGTATGTCCTCGACTCGATCGTGAAGAATGTCGGAACCCCATACACCGTATACTTGGGCCGGAACCTCTTCAGGACATTTATGGAAGCCTATACCCTCGTTGATCCTGGAACCAGAAAAGCCATGGAAGGATTACTCAAGACGTGGAAGCTGCCGGTTCCTGAGTCCTTGGATACCAGACCGGTCTTTTCCGCCGAGGTCACTCGCGAAATTGAGAACGCGTTGATCAAGTTCCGTACCGTCACCATCCAACATCAGCAGCAGCAAGCCCGTAATCAGAGGCAGCCGTACGGTCAGCTTCCTGCCAGACCACCCCAACAGCCGCAATACAGAGAGTCTCCGACTCCGAACCCTCAAGGACCTTATGGCTATCCCATACCTCCACAAAAAACCACCGAGCCGCCTAGATCGCCCGTCCCACGTTACCTCTCTCCTGCGCATCAGGGCATCCCATCAGCGTCTCGGCAGCCGTATCTGCCTCCGTCGACTGCGCCGCCGCCTGATATCGGCCGCATCAAAGATACACTGAAGCAGATCATTCTATCCGCCACCATGGAAGTGTCCCAAAGACCAGCCGATGAACGCGCAAGATCACTTCTCACCACTCTCCTGAGCCTCCAGAAAGTCCTCGAGTCGGGGAGTCTCGCCCCTGATCAAATCCGGCAGGTTGAAGGCGAGATTCAACGGATATCGGGCGCCCTTCTCCCACGGACATCGACACCATCTGTCCCAACACATTTTGCCCCTGCCCCTGCTCCAACGCAGTCTGCGCCGCCGGTTGCTCTACCTTTTCCCTTTCCACCTCCGGCAGCAGCCAGTTCCCAGCGAGCAACACCACAGCCCTCACAGCCTCCGACCATGGATCTTTCTCAACTATTGCGACAATTCAATCCCACTCCTGCCTCCGCCCCTTCCCAGGCGCGCCCTCCACCACAACCAGCCAATGACCTGCTCGCTTCACTCCGAGCTGCTGGTCTTCTTGGGGGCGGCCGCGCAACTCCGGAGCCCAGCGCCCAACCGCAGCTCCAAACTGCACCCCTTAATGATGTCAAATTGGACCCGGTGTCATTGAAGATGTGAGTGTACCGTCAACTTCATCCGAACTCATCTAACCCGCCTAGATCACGCCCGAATCTCATCCGGTTGCTCTACTCTGCCAGGCCGGATCAATGCCGCGAATGCGCACGTCGGTTTCCCGCCACCGAAGAAGGCAAGAAGCGGAAGACCAGGCATCTCGACTGGCACTTCAAGACGAATATGCGCATCGCCGACACCTCTAAGAGCGTCATTAGCCGAAGCTGGTATATTGACGAGAGGGTGAGTCCGCGTCTCCCTTTGCTGAACCGAAGTACATGCTGACGTCAAATAGGAATGGATCGACTATCGAGAATCTGACGATACATCATCCGACAAAGGAAGCGGCTCCTCCAAAGCCAAGAAGCCCGACCCCAAAGACCAATACGTCCCAGTCCCTACAGATGCATCACTGGCCAACGCCCACTGTCCCATCTGTCAAGAGAAGTTCGATGCTCAATGGCACGAAGAGACGCAGCAACCGGTATGGTTTGACGCGATGCACATTGGCGGGCGGATCTATCACGCAAGCTGCTACGCGGAGTTGAGCAAAGCGTCGGGAATGGGCGCTGGCGGTGCCGGGGGGAGGGCCGGGGGAAGTAATATAGCTGCCTCGAATACTGCCAGAAGCACGCCTGATCCTATCCTTGGGAAACGAAAGTGGCATGCTGGTGCTGAATGATGTTCGATGATGCCTAGCCGCACCGCCCTGTACGCAGACCAGTAGGTTGGCGGTTCAATTGCCTGCTTCGCGAGCATCGCGGCTCACCTCAGGCGCGCATCTCCATGACCATTTCGTAGCTTGATCCCTCAACAGTCTTAGCGACTAGCCCACCTTTCAGATACCATTCCAAAATAATGCAATCTGGGGTTCAATTCGATACGAGCTAGCAAATAATCCTGCGTGACTGTGGCGCATCCCTTGATATCCTAAACCCCACACTGTTTTGAAACCGAACCTAACGCCTCCAATACGAACAGCACCGGCCGTCATCACAACCATCGTGTAAACCAAGAAATAGCCTGGTCCTCCGCTTCAATCCCTTGCTCGTTCTCCTTAGGAACGTGGGGATTGGCTCGCACAGCGAAACCTATGAATATCAGCATTTCGTACCTCATGGCAATGAGAGTTCCGTACCATGAGTAGCTCCCTCATATACCTTTACTTCACCCCCCGCCGGGTTTTGCCTCAACGCCTCCTCGAGGACCAGGATATTGTCTTTCGATATCTGATTGTCTTTCTCCGCACATGCCACGCTCAACGGCAGTTTGATCGCTTCCACGTCCGCCGGAAACGCAATGTAGCTCGGATGCGCGGTGAATGCCGCCGTGAGCAGGCTCTTCCCCCCGGCCGTCTTCTCCGTATCGCGCGCCAGGAGAAAAGTGTGCTTCCCGCCCCAGCAGAATCCCGCGACGCCGACCGAATGGTCCTCGTCTTCCGCCCGGAGCGCCTTCATGAACTTCACGACGCCGGGATACGTCTTCGCCGGCTTCGTGGCGAACGCCCACGGCAAGAAGATGGCCACGGCCTGCACGGCGTACACGACCTTCCAAAAGGTATGCGTCCCAAAGCTCTTATGCTCCGCCAAGATGTAGTCCGCGTTCTTCAGGAGGCCGGGACTTAGGACGTAGCCGTTCATGAAGTCCGGGAGCAGCACACGGAAGTGGCCTTTCTGCGCGTAGCTGTCGGCAAGGATGCGGTTGTTGTTGAACGTCCAGCCGAACGCGTCGGGGATGATCACGATGGTGCCCTTGGGAGGGGTGCCGGATGGAGGCGTGGCGACGTAGGTGGGTAGGCCGTACAGCGTTTCCTCCTTGCCGGACGGAGTCCCTTCATGCAATGTGCCGGACACGCAAGCCGGACACGCCATTGCGCGATGGGAGAAGCAGGAATGGAGGGGATGACGACGCAAAAAGTAAGTTGATATCGCAGCTGATATTGGAAGGAAGACCGCGCTGTTCAGTTAATATTTGATGTCACTCAAGCAGTCAAGCTCACAGTCTCATAATTAGCTCCAGGATCTTAATGGTGGGGGACCGTGTTTCTGGAACAAATTGTTTCTCGACAAGATGACAAACTTCGTTGAAATGTAAGTCTTTATCTTCTGTCTTTTAATTTCTTTCTTATCTTTGAATGCGCTACTGCACGGGTTGTGTCAGATTAAATCACTCCTCGAGACTTACCGCCTTAACGAGTCGTTCTTTAAATCCATCGTTAAATCCGTTCACCATCCAGATATATACCGATCAACTGCAGCCAAAGCACTGGCCATCCATCTTACCATTGGTCATCTTAACCTACAAAGACGCCGGAGGTCGGAGGTTGGAGGTTTGTGGGATTTGGATTCACTTGCCATTCCTTACGGTACTCCTTTAGGTTGTGCTAGCGTTATCTCCGTCTACATGTTGCTCCTAACCCCGAAGAACCGGCAGGAGTTTGACCCGACTTTGACAGCCTCGGATGCCCGGTCTGCGCCACGACCTTTCCGAATTCGTTGTTACGATGCACGAGAACGATATACTTTATGATACCATACGACTGCGACTTACCGATTCCGCGTCGTTGACAGAGTGGGGTTGCTTCTAGGCTGCGGGGATTTTGGAAACCGTTCTGACCCCCTCGGGTCGGGTCATCGTCGATCAGGGACGCGAAAACGTTGGGACCCAGCGTACGTCTCATCCAGCCGTCGACCATGGACAAAAGTAATGGCGTCTGGACCTGCCACCAGCATGTCATACCAGCATCTCACATACGAGGCTTCGAGCGAGGTGTACGAGACGAGAGAAAACATCGTCGTTCTCTTCGACTGTCCGTAAATGAATACGCCCCGAACATTGCACCGGATGGCTCCACCGAACCGATTACCATCTTATTCCATCACGGTGTCGGATTCACGAAGGAATCCTACGAGCCATTGTTTACCTCTATCTTCAGGAATTCAAACCATATCCGGGCAATATGGTCCTATGATATTGCCTGGTGAGTGCAGTTTCTGCCTTGTGTTGCCTAATGGTCATATCTAACGTCGGCAGGCATGGAAAATCGTATCTGCTGAATGAGGATGTAATTGGTGATATTCCTCATTGGAATGATGATGCTAGGGATGTCCTTCAGATCGTCAACTACTTCCATGAGAAGATGCCGGCGCCCATTGTTGGTGTGGCACATTCTGTTGGCTCCTCTGTTCTTATGATGGCGAGTCTGATGCATCCTCGACTCTTCTCCGGGATTGTGTGTGTGGATCCGGTCTACGCAACCGGCTATTCGCCGCGGCCTCTTAAATACCATCGAGCTATCCTTATGGCGAGAAGAAGGGACCGTTGGGCCAGCAAGGACGAGGCGCGGAAAGCCTTCCTTAAAAGCCCTTATTATGCTGCTTTTGACCCTGAAGTCTTCGAACTGGTCATGGAACATGATCTAAGAGAAGTCACCAGTCCGGACGGCAAAACCTATGTGACATTAGTCACTCCGAAGGCACAAGAAGTTGGATCTATGTTCAGACCCGTGCCGGCGAACAGTGTGAAAGAGTTTGCGGGCGTCTCAACCGACCGCAACTCATTCGGAGCAGAATTGGTCATTCCGGGATTCCACCTCTATGAACTAGCTGCGCTCCAAAAGCGGATGAAAGAGCTTGTGCCTTCTATCCATGTCATCTGGGCCGCGAACTCCGACATCTACAAAATCCCGAAGTATGCCGAATTTGCTCACAAAACTCTGGGCACAGACAAGGGTGTTTACGCGCATTCAGCCCCCAGGAGGGTTACACAAGAAGTAATCGATGGTGCCGGCCATACTGTTCCTCTTGAAAAGCCTAGGGAACTGGGGAAGGCAATTTCACAGTGGCTAGAGCACGAGACTCCGTTGTGGAAGCAAGAATATGAAGCGGAAAGGGGCGCGGACACGTTTTGGAGCTCTGAGCTTAACCCCGATTGGATGAAGGAAATCTCGAAAATATAACAACAGGTATCTTCCTACAGGCATCCAATCACTGAGACTGCCTGGACTTGCATATTCATGTCAATATTATCAGGATTCAGGATGGACCCATTCGGCTGCAGTGGGCCCTCGGCAACAACCCCGCGGGGCCCCGCAGTCCCACATGGGGTTTTAGATCGATCATCGTACATGGGGATCCGAATATATGTATGTACAGCGGCTCACGTTGGCGACAAAATATACGCGATATGTTTGTTTAATCCTATCGTGTCCGAATATGACAGCTACCTCTGAGTCCATCAATTCATCAGTGGTCGACGCCGCGAAGACGAAACTGAAAGAGGAGGGATGGTGTACTATCCCAAACGTTTTGGATCCTGACAGGACGAAAGACGCATTAGATAAGTTATGGAAAGCTGCAAAGGAAAGCGAGCGGCAAGGCGTGGACACCTTCATGCCGAAACTCGATCCGAATGCCAGCAACGTCCGAGTCTTCTATCTCTTGGAACGGGACGCCTTGTTCCGCGAATTGATCGCGCATCCCACCGCTGTGGAAATGGTAAAATCGGTATTGGGGGAGAACTACTTGATCAGCAACTTCACGGCGAATATCGCGCGGCCTGGGAGTAAGAGCATGGGGCTTCACTCGGACCAAAGTCTCGTCGTGCCGGATCCGTGGAAGGAGCCGTGGGCATTGAACGTCGTCTGGTGTTTGAATGATGTCTACTTCGAGAACGGCGCCACCCTGTTCATCCCCGGCAGCCACAAGTGGATGAACCGATCCGACGTGCCTGACAATGCGGACCAGCTGCTTCGGCCATTTGAAGCAAAGGCTGGTTCCATCATCGTCATGGAGGGAAGAGTTTGGCATACTTCAGGGGCTAATATCACAGTTGATGCTGGTCTGTCAAGAATATACGCATTGGTCGCCCGTGCTAACGAATTTCCAGATCGAGCATTACTGTTCGGATATTATACGGCGCCGTTCCTTCGGCAACAGGTCAATTGGACTGCGGCCCTGTCGCAGGAAGTCCAGTCTTCGCTCAGTCCACAGATGAGGGAGTGGCTAGGGTTGAACGTGACAGCGAACACTGGAAAGGTGTCGAACCTACATTACCTGGCTGACCAATACGGAAAAGGGAAAATATGAAACTCTACTTGTTTTCTACACCCTCTAAGATTCTCACTAACGCATTGCTTCCGTGACCAACTGGTTCCGGTACCTTCTTATTTCATAATAAGTGAGCAAAGACCGCTCTTAGTAGTGATACGAGCAACAAGGCCGCGTCTGGTAAAGAAAAAATCATGCATTAGGGGTAGGGCCGGAGGAGGGAGCCAGGCTGTAAACCAGGCAACTATTGTGACGGTGGAATCCGTGATGTGTACTTCTATAGTATATAGTATATACCCTCTCTATACATCTCACTCAGCTCAGCTAAGGGGGTGAACTAGCGAAAAGACGATAAGTATTCTAGGCCTGCTGTGCCACTGTCACGGCTAGTGCATTTATTCAAAATATTGGACGGCGGCTGATAACAATGCTATAGGGTGGCCCTGCCTGGTCCGCAAACAAGCCAAAAATGTACATCCTGGCAGCTTTCTATCCCTAGTACTAAACGCTTCAATTCCTACTCAAGCACCGAAATCCATTTTCAGTGCAATAGTGGGCTCTGTATCAACTTTCCGTTCTTCTTTCTTTCCCATGCTTATTCCAGAAGCCCTAATAACCTGCTCAAGGAAAGCTCGTTGATCCTGATCCATGGCACCAAGGATGGATCTGAACGACCTTTGGTTCGTTGCAGCCAATTCAAGCAGCCTTGTACCAACCTCCTTTTCAGACTCTTGCCCGCCTTGGTTCGCGCGAGCCAACAGTGCAGAGATAACAAGAGACATTGCAGACAACGCCTGGTCAGGCGCTAGGGATTGGACAAACCCAATGACGCCTTGGATGAGGATAGCGATCCCTTCTTCCAGCCCTTCCAGATCAGGAGGCATCGTTATAAATCCGAGTACGCGGGGGAGAAGTTGGACAACGAGTGAGGCCTCAGCAGGATTTTTTCGTGATAATGACAGGATGGATCGTGCACAGTTCGCCGCAACCTTGCATGTGAGTCCGTTTTCGAGGCCATCCGACAGCTCTGATACAAAACGGGCTAGTAGCGGATCGTCCGGATTGAGTAAGTTACTTGCGGAGCTAAGGAAAATGGTGAAAGCCAGTAATGTGTTCCTTTCGCACGGTAACGCAGCCTCGGATTCTCTCAATTGGGCGGATTTGAGGATTTGAAAGAACCGAACGAGCATTCCACGCAGTTGGGTCGCCGTATCTGATAATGGATCCAGCGCGAGACTGGTTATGAAACGCTTGAATATTGGAAGGACTTGGGGAACGATGGTGGCTTGACAAGCACCGGTTCCGAGGATAGTGACGAACAGGTGGAGAATACAGGCATGCAAGTCGGTCCGGATGATGATCGGGAATACAGCTGCCGCATCCACAAGAGAGGAGAGAGCCAATGTAACGACATCGACGGCTTCTTCGTTGAGTGCATGAAGAGCACGGTGCTTATTTTCGGAGACATTCGGGATAAGTCCAGCGAGTGTGAGCACAATCAGCCTCGTCAACTCAAAGAGTTGATCAATGTCTTCCGAAAGTCGGTCATCCTCAGCTCTACTTGTAGGATGTTAGCACTATCAAAATCACTTTGTTTGGGGAACGTACTCGGTCGGTTTCCGTGCGGAGGGGTGCGACAGGCACAAGTTTCGCGCGATTTGAACGACGACATGCTGCACATTGAGAGGCTCGGTCAAGACCAACCGGCCAAGCATGTCCATGGTTTCCGAAAACACATCGTCTCTATAGATCGCTTGTCCAGATACTGATGGACGCAGGATCTTTCGAACGGCTTGCAGAATGCTGATTGTTCGCTCTTTGGCGGCAACGTCTTCCCCTGTCTGTCCGATCAACGCTTCGAAAGCGAGTCCATAGAGAACGAAGAAGAATGCAACAGGTTCATCGCGATAATTGATGTTACTAGGTCGGCCATTGACTGCGCTCGAGTTTTCTCCTTCCGGTTTCTCGTCAAGTGCGTCGAATACAAACTCACTGTCCTGGTCGATCAAACTAGCGATGGCATCGACGAGGTTGAGCCACGCAGATTGGTAGAACTGGTGAAATTCGTCAGAAACAATAACAGAAGGTCGCTAGAAAAGACTCACGTGGAGCAAGGTGTCCCTATTCAAGGCGGCGTAGACTGTGTCTAGACTGCCTGACATGCTTGCAGGTCCAGATGCACCAGACACGTCCGGCTCAAACCTCAACTGCGCATATTCTCGAAGACTAGCAAGCCACAAGGGTGCCAGCTTGGCGAGATGAGGTTTAAGCACATCGACGAGGTATTTCTGCTCGGCGCTTGCAATCTGAAGCTCGGCCCAGGCGGAGAAGACGGCCATTTTGACCATGACCAACGCATTCGAACTCAGACCCTTCAGATCGCCAACCGTGACAAATTCATCTTCCTTGGATAGGTTCTCGAGAGCGGAAACGAGCAATTTCAATATCCTTCCCATCTTATCGACATCTGTTACGATGCCAGTCGCGATGAACGAAGCGCAGACACTGATCGCCTGTGCAGCCAGCTCGGGTGACGAGTCGGCAGCAAAGGAGGGCGTTACGGCAGATCCAATTTGAGCTTGGTACTGCTCTAACAAAGACGCTTCAGCAAAATCGGGATCGGGTGTCTTGCCGAACATCTTCAACACCATGTCGATCGTTTGGAGTCCGCGAAGTCTAAGCTCGATGACACTTCCTGTAGAGGCAGCAAAAGCAATCTTAATGATATCTCCAATCTCCTGTACAAGCGCTGTCTCGGCGGGGGACACTTCCTTGGCCGCTACATCTCTTGCAACAATAGAGAGAAGTTCGATGAGGCAATCCATTGCAAAGGCCCGAACCTGCCATCGCAGAAACTCCTGTCTAGGTGCAACTGCAGCTGCCTCATCTCCAGCCCCGGCCGCCGCTGCGAATCCCGCGACCTCATCATCTTTCAGATCGATAGCCACGGATTTCTTCTGTGCGGGTTTCGGCGACGACTTCTCAACCTTGACAGCTTTGAGGAGCGCAGTGTTGCATCGTTCGATCCATCTCGCCGGGTCGGTCAATGCGGATTGATGTAGCCAGTTCTGCATGATGCTTCGGAGGACATTGTTCATCGGATCGTTGTCTAGCGCGTGCCATAATTGATCCCCCAAGCCTGGATCTGCGGCATTAATAACATCATCAGCATCTCGCCTCATCAAATTATGCAGCCCATCAATCGCCAACGAGCGAAGCCGTGCTGATTCGGACTTCAGCTCTTTTTGAAGCATCGTAACGTAGAGAGCAAAGTCAAGGTGTCCAGGAGCATAAAGGGATAGATGTTCAAGGCACCGAACGCTTTCGATTCGGATTATATTCAGCTGCTCGACGCCAAATGCTCGTACCAGCGTCAGAATCAATTCTCGCGCCTTTGTCATGTCCTGAAGATCGGGGCCGAGCACATTGATGATGCTGTCTGTACATCGAGCAAGAACGGCAGGGGTCGGAAGGTCGACTTCGAGGTTTGACCCGCCCAAGGAATTGGTTTCGGCATTATGCGAATCTGACGCATACAGTTGCGCCAATATTCCAAGCGTACCAGACACATAGCTAGAGTACGATAAACCAGCCGAATCCGCAACCTTTGACAAGCTTTCCAATGCCCAGAAATGAACTGTGGGATGAGGGTCATTGCTCAGCGACATCAGGATGCCTACGATATTCTTCAAATGGAATCCTGCTGCCATGCCTCCAAGCTGGGAATGAATGCAACCCAAAGCGAGGGCACACCCGGCTCGAGCACTGGGTTCCCGGTTGGCCACAATCTTATCAATTAACCAAGTGACTTGACTTTGGGTAAATTGTGTCCCTGCCGCGCTGCACATCCGCCCAAACGCTTGTGCGGCGGCGTTGCGAACGTAGGGATCGTGGTAGACGATCAACAATTGTAAAAGCTCCTGAAGCGCCTTTTCAACCGGATCCCTGCGTATGTTTCCTGGAGGGAGAACTGTCTCCTTTGCAGCAACTTTTAACGCATTTAGGAGAGCAACCACAACATTTACGGTCATAGCTGCGTGTCTTGCTGGGTCTCTCTGTAGCAAACTGGCAGTGAGGAAGGCGGTGATCTGTTCGAGAATACTTTCTTGAACTCGAGGTCCTTGCAATGCCAAAGAGATGGCAAATAAGTTGATCGCATGATCCACGACTTGTGTCGACGAGGGTTCGGGGTTGCTTGATTCCTCGGAGGAGTCGCTTCTCAGGTATAGTAAAACGGAATCATGTTCCAGCGCTCCACATACGGGTGTCTGTACGGTTTGGTTGATGAGACCATCCGGCTCCGTCTGCGTGAGCCAATGGTGTTTGCCATTATGAAGCGTTTCACCCGGAAGGGGCCTAACATCGTACCCCTTCAGCAGACCTGTGATTCCAAATCCACTGTTGTCGCCAACTTCCCAAATGGACTCAAAGTTCCCGATCGAACTCGCTATCGAAGCGCTCAATGAGTTTGGTGCGTAATTCTCTGGATCAGCGAAAGCTGAGACGGCCAATGGGAGAAGGTTGGATTGCAGAAGAGTTTCGCGGGCAGCGGGAGCGCTGTCTATGACAAGTTTCGTGTAGCATTGAAATACACGCCGTCGGACCATCAGGTCGAAATCATGGAGATCCAAGGAAGGGGAAAGCCTCCTCTCGGCATCATCTGTCACTTTCTTTCGCGGCAGGCTGGTTACGAACACAGATGTGTTCTGAAGCATGGTCGCCAACCTCTTCGTAACGTCCGCGGTAAGTAGTCGCTTGTTGTACTCTAGGAAGGTTAGAATCGAACCCAAAGCGCACTCTCTAACATGAGTCAAGAAGCTCAGCTCCAGCATATCTCTACCATGCATCGTCTCTCTATTCAAGGGCTTCGGGAGAGCGTTCTTCCAGAGCAGAAGCAGTTGGGTAATGTGGATCTTCACAAAGTTCGGTCCGAGAGACATCAAACCGCCGAGGAGGATCCAGGCAACCTGGATTTGCGTGCTTGAGATTCTCAAATTCGAGCTGCTGCTTGATTTGAGAAGGGTGGTGGCTTGAGAAAGAACCCGTGCATAAACATCTAGCGAGCCGTACAGCGGATTTTCCGTCGACGTGCTCAAAAGCGCAGCAAGCCCGTTGGCAAGACCCACGCAGCGCCGAGATGACTGTCGATGGCCCCCTAATAGGCCAAGCTCCCGATTGAGACTGTTGGAGCACATCGTGACTACGGACAGGAGCTGCTGTGGGCATGCAGAGACAAATGACCGAAAACAAGCGGAGGCATGGACTTGAACGGTATAACTCGGATGCTGTAATACTTGGAAAAGCCCTTCCCGGCACGATTCCGCGACTGCATTGGATGCCGACCGAACGCACCCCAATAAAGCTGCCAAAGCGCTTAGTGCTCCGGTCAGAACTTGTTTGCTTGGCTCCGGACGCTCTTTTAGGCTCTGTGGATAGTCTTTGATGATGCCGTTCAGCAGAAACTTGGCAGCATCCAATTGCGCGGATTCTCCAAGAAGCTCCCGTCCAACCACCTTCTCAAGGATGATCCGGACGAATTTCCGCGATATTAATAGACGGTAGCGGTTATTGTAGATGGCAGGGTTCGACAAAATGTCCTCAAACAAGTTCCGCGCTAGGATGGGGTAATGCTTCTGTATGGTGTCGATAGGCAATCTTCGGCAAATAGAGACGTAGCAGAGCGCGAGACCAGCTCTAGTCCTATTGCTCGTGGCAGGGCGACAGTATGGAGCCGAGAGCTGCCTCAACAGCTCTGCAAAGCCATATGACAGCTGCATAGCCGGTTTGCCCGGTGCAGGCGACCCAGGCCTGTCGATCGTATCTTCCTCATCTTCCAAGTCGCCTGGCTGTCGCTTTGTCGGCTTTTTTTGCTTCTTCGGTCGAGGGACGATGTCGGGATGCGGGTTCTCGGAGTAGCTCTTCACTAGGCATGCGGAGAGACATGACGCAGCTGTCGTCCGCAGGGTAGGAGACTGGCTATCGAGAGCCTTGAACAATGCCGCTTGCAGTTTCTCGTAGTCGTTGGAGTTGTCGAAGTACGGGGTATGTTGAATCAGGTGCTCCAAACACCAGCACGCAGCAATTTGGACCTGGAATGACTTGTCCCCCGCAGCGGATGATCGTGCTTGTTTCCAAATGTCTCTTGCCACATGCTCATCCAAAGAGTAGCCGACCCCTTTAGCGATCTTCCCGAGTGCTTTGAAGGTGGATGCTTTGAATCCAACATGATGCTGAGCAGCTTTCAATTGGCGCAGTGTAATAGTACACGCCAAGGAAGAAGTTCCAATCGCGCTATCTCCAGCAGCTTCGAATATGGCTCCCAGGCAATGAACAGCCGCATGTCTGGATGCCAGTTCCTTCTCGCTTTTACCAGTGGTTCCCAGCGTCGCTATTAAGTCGTTGATGCTTTCGAACAGTGGTTTTCGGTCGCCCTTTGTAAATACCGCCGAGAGTGTTCTTCCCAAGCTGTCTCGAATGACTCGAGTCGGGGTCGGCGAGGAGAGGGTGATGATCTGGAAGACCTCCTTTTTGATGGACGCTTGGTAGGCGGTTGCCTGATCGGCGTTTAGATTGGTCGTGTAGTTCGCAAGGTCGGATGCAAATGTCAGCAAATATAGCTCTTGTTGCTCCGAAGGAAGTGAATGAAGCTTCTCGACATCGAGAGTATACTCGGGTTGCGCTCCGTTCGTGGTGGCAGAGGGCGTCGGCGCTTCCGACGCCATTGGAGCTCGTGACTGTTGTGGAGTTCCCTTCAAGTCATATCCCACATTTCAAATCATTATGTTAGGGCCAGAGTGAAATATACAGAAGGATATTGGCGATATTGGCATGGTAGAGCGCTGTCCAACTCGAAGCAGGGTGAACAAATGTTCATAAGGATGAATGATGAAGTGAACGATGGCGTTCTATGGGCAAGTTTTCCCGAGTCACGAACTCGCCTATTCTTGCCAGGAAATGTGCCATAACTAACCAGGAGCTTGACCTTAAGGCTCAAATACTTCCTTTCGACTTTTGTAAAGGTCATGCTCTGCAATTGCACCTAATGAGACCTTACAGGCTTGCCTTTGAGCATCATTATATAATAAGGTTACTAACCAAGCGTTATTTCTGCTATTCGCCGCAGTTTAACTCTGGTCATAGCCGATGGGCCACCATCCGTCATGACAAGGGGAAGAATGATGCTGCGAAGAACAAGCAGCGAAACGTGTTTGCAAAGGAAATAGAATTGGCTTCTAAATGTTCGTTGAGTCCTCATCGTCACAAGAGACAAGTGTCTGACTGTCTCCCAGTATACGGTCCCAATCCGGATGAGAACGGTCAACTCGCTGCTGCAATTGTCGTTGCGAAGAAAGCAGGCTTCCCGAAAACATCAATATCCGCCGCGATAGCTCGTGGTCGCGGCATATCGCCCACCGGCGCAGCTCTCGAGAATGTTCATCTGGAAGCTCTGCTCCCGCAATCCGTCGGGGTGGTCATCGAGTGTCAGACCGACAGCCGAATTCGAACGCTTACAGAGCTGCGGCAGGTGGTGAAGAAGTTTGAGGGGAATGCGACGCCGACACAATATCTTTTTGAGAAGAAGGGCCGAATCATCTTCGACACTAGGGATGGAGTATCCGCGGAAACGATTCTCGAGGCGGCGATCGACGCTGGCGCGCTTGATGTTACGGATGGCGACGAAGACACAGTTCGGGTCTTCACGAGTCCCAGCGATGTGAACTTGGTGTCCAGGGGCATGGGCAACCAGTTGGGTTTGGAAATCAAAGCCGCCAATATCATCTGGGATCCCAATGAAGATACAACGGTTCCATTGGACGATGGGAAGGCAGAAGAGCTCTGCAGTTTTATAGAGGCCTTGGAGGAGGTACAAGGGGTGCAAGCGGTGTACATGAATGTCGCGCAAGGCTCTCTTGGGAATGAGACATGGAAGACCTTTCAGTCGACGCTGGAAATGTAGATATTGGTGTTTTATACTGTACAATATAACGTTACAAGTTAGGGCGTGACAGTCTTGGAAGTGCTCATAGAGAGGCCAATGCCGAAAGTCCTGGTGTACATCCTGAAGTGGGTATTTCCAAACGCAACGCCTTTGAAATGATTCCGTTTTAGATACCCATTAAACGCCTCACATGCAGTCGAAGCGGTTCCTCGCCGATCTTATGCCCCATCCCCTGCCATGTCTTGCTGAGAGCGTGTTTCCTCCGCCAGTCGCGTTGCCCTTCTTTCCAGCCGTCGTCGCCTTAATCGTTCTAGCTCGGCGCGGATGTCCTCGGGTTCGGTTGGGATCTTGTTGCTCTGCTCTTTCGACGGCCAAAAGCCATCGACGGAGAACTTGCTGTCGAGGTTCGTGCCGAAGTAGTACATGATGCCAATGGGGAACATGATGTAAAACCCAAACTGAGTCAACTGTTAGAAATGCTATGCGACATTCATGAGAAGCGCTTACTTTGAAAACTTCAAGGTTCGGGCCCCCCATTTCCGTTTCGATGGTAAATGGCTTCGCAGGAAGATATCAGAAGACAACTATTCAAGGCTCTTTTCGCGCAGCAACCCCTGGCGAGTCTAGTTTATGAAGGATCGGTTCAATGCCTGGCTGTCCTGCTTCAACCAAATATCATTAGGCTTTGCACCTCAGTTGCACAGCTTGGAAGTGTTTGGCAGAGTATCACGACATACATCAAGGACTTCATGAATCATGTCGAAGTCTTAAGTCAGCCCATGCGACTGGAGTGTTCGGTATGGCCGGGTCAGAACCAGTGTAATTGCCTTACTGCCTTGATGCCTCATCGTACTCGCTGCGCTGTCAGAGTCGTACCGGCAAGACTCCCCAACGCATCCGAATCTCACGGATATCCAGAGTTCACAGGAAAACCATCCTTGTAACCTGGACCTCGGTAACATCAACATGCTGAGCATGATGAATACTAAACTCGGTATATAGAACCATAATAGAAAAGGTATCTCTATCTTTCCATAATCAATATCTTCAGTCTAAGTCAAATAGAGCATCTCTTAATCATCTCTTAAGACACATTTATCATCATGTCTACTACCCCAGAACAGGATGTTTCGGTCGAATACCGCGGGCGGATCGCCATCATCACCTTGGACCGACAGCACAAGCTCAATGCTCTCGATGCCGACCGATATTTCCAGCTCGCCAAGTTGATGCATGAGGTTGCCAGCCACGATGAGGTCTTCATCACCATCGTCACCGGCAAGGGACGATACTTCAGCGCGTAAGTCGAACTCCACCCGCCGCGAGGTCCAATGCCATCGAACATGGACTAATCGACAACGACAGCGGTGCTGATGTCGGCATCTCGCGTGACAATGACCCCAACGAGGACCCCCGACGCGCCTCGCTGAAGTCCTTCGTCTCCAACAACCTCCACATCACCCACGCCTTCTACTCCCACCCGAAGATCCTGGTCTTCGCCCTCAACGGCCCTGCGGTCGGCCTGTCCGCCGCCATCGTCGCGCACGCCGACTTCGTCTACGCTGCGCCTCACGCCTTCCTCCTCACCCCGTTTAGCAGCTTGGGCCTGGTCGCCGAAGGCAACGCCAGTCTCGCGTTCGTGCAACGCCTCGGGATCAGCAAGGCCAATGAGGCGCTCATCATGAGCAAGCGCCTCACCATCGACGAGCTGGTGCATGTCGGCTTTGTGAACAAGGTGTTCGACACCAACAAGGACTCGGACAAATTCTTGGCGAAGGTCATCGAGGAGGTCAACGACCGCATGGGGACCCATCTGGTCCCCGACAGCATGACGAAGACGAAGGCGCTGATCCGGAGGCCGTATAACGACCTGCACGATGCGCAGGGCGTCCATGAAGTGTTTGGTGGTCTGCAGCGCTTCTTGAGCGGGGTTCCCCAAGAGGAGTTCCGGAAGATCGCCTCGGGGGAGAAGAAGCATAAGTTGTGATTTCTGTACAGTCAGCGTCTGTGTCAATTGCCATGTCAAACCTGAAGGCGGACATCTTCACCGTCGGCGGCGCGAGCGAACGCAGATGTTTTCCATAATATTTTCCAATGTCGCTTGGCTTTCGCAGGATGTTTAAATCATATTGCTCAATTGTATCATCTCTCGGCCTCGGCTTCATAGCATCTATGGGAAACCGTTACCAGTTTCTGGATTTCGGTATCGACCATTCGTGGATCATCCTTCGGGAGGTCCTTGCTCTTGTTACCATGTGCTCATCGTTCACGGAACCACATTTCCGCAACCTGCAACCTGGATTACCATGAGTGTGGAGGCGATATGCCATGGAATGTTCCGAATTTCCCGCTGTATGTTAGGGCTATATGCCCTATGACTTTGTGTGGGGCATCGTGGTTCATCCCGAAGCCATCTGCCGACCTGATCTACTTTAGGGCCTCCCTCCTGCCAACGGCGTGTTGGCATTACGATGAGAAAACCAGCTTTGCTCTTACCCAAGAACTTCAATTCTGTTGACGTGATTGCGAGTAGCTATGGCTCCATGACATGCGGTCGTACATTCCTTTTCCTTGGAGAATTAAGTTCCAACTATGGCTAGTTCCGAGGTAGAGTGACGCCAGCTCAGTGGACGGAAAACAGGTTTGATGAGATGAAGTACCGGTACAGTGGAGGCCATGGAGTTGTTGCCGTCGGATTTTGGTCTAATTCTATTCTAAACAGTCAATACGTAGTAGAGACTTTCGTTTTCATCACGCATACCAGAATTCGATGTAAAACACTTCGTTGCTGTGACCAAGAATTGTCCTGACCAAGTATTGTTCTGATCCAGGGTTTCGATTAGGGTGTCTCTTGACCTGTGTTGTTTCAAATTCACAACTCTCATCACTCTTTCCATCGGATTCAACATCAAACCCTCTCCACTCTCCAGGTGCCTGCTCCAGAGCAAGGTATTCCATGTGAGCGCATCCTAGCCATCATAATTCTAGACCTATGCACCCTCATTGTGTTTCGTGGTCGCTCGCGCAATTCCCCACGGTTCTGATTGAATCGCACTCAATTTATGAACCATCCGGCAAATTTCCGTTCGCAGTTAACCTCGTCCACGTCCTGTTGCCCTATTATGATCTATCATGATTCGGACAAATTGGGACTAGGTACGATCTCAGGCCTATCCAGACGCGTTAGATACTTTCTTTAGCCCGGATGCAATGTCTCAGACTACGTGTTGGAGGCTTTCTTCAAACCGGATACAATACCTAAGTCGATTTATGTCGCCTTGTCTCTCTCGCTGCCAAGGCAACTAGAAGGCGAAGCAACTGTTAAGCATTTCAAAGTAGCTTGGGAACCACCCTCCTGATCCAGCACGGGCTAGCATTTGCCGTATTGAGTGGTGATAGGATAATTCATACCTAGGGAGCAATACCAACGACCTATGGATTGCTTGACCTGCTTAATTTACTGTCAGGCGACATCAGGTACTGTATATATCTTGGCACGGGCCTTGCTATTCAGTATTACCATATATTGTGGATGCGGGGAAATCGTACCTGTTTCAATTTATATCCTCTCAGCCAACTTGCGTTAACTCGCCTCCATCCGTAACATTCATGATTCTTAGGGCTAGCGTTCATCTAATCACCCTATGGATTGCACAAAACGATCATATGGATGGCGGAGAAAACGGGAACCCTCATGCCTGGGCTCATGACGGCAATTTCCCAGATCTTCACCTGCCATGTTATAAATGCCATACGTTGACCCGCTCTTTTGATACCTGCACCGATTGATTTGCATCCATAATTGCCCGGTGCAGAAGTCTCTCCCTTACCCTGACGCACTTCGTTTCGTGTCTTGACGATATTATTTCCAACGACCTTTGTGAACCATGCAGATCTCCGTAGCACTGTTGACCGTGCTGGCGGCGCTTGGCTCCGCTGCGCCGATCGAGAACGAGAAGAGGCAGTTGGGTATGCATTGACCCTTAATATACATGGGATGCTTGTACTGACCTCCTAGTAGATGGACTTTCTGGCCTTGGTATTTGAACAATCTCTTGCTCACTAATATCCATTTGCTGATAATATTCCAGGTGGACTGTCCGGTGGGCTTGGTAAATGATGTTCTGTCGACAGTTGATGTGCATGGGCGCTAATGGAACTTCAGGTGGCCTTAGCGGAGGACTCGGCGGGTCGTCTGGCGGTCTAGGTACGTTGGCGCATCCAGTCGATAATGATGCGCACAGTGCTGACCCAAAACTCAGGTGGCCTCAGCGGCGGCCTTGGAGGCTTATCGTCAGGAGGTGGCATCGGGGATTTGCTTGGGGGCCTTGGAGGCTCAGGAGGTGGCATCGGGGACTTGCTCGGAGGCTTGAGTGGAGGTGGCCTGGGTGGTCTCTCGGGTGGTTTGTTCTTCCATACCTACCGTCATATCACATCTACTCACCGATTTAGGCCTCGGCGGTCTCTCCGGCGGTCTCGGTGGCCTCAGCGGTGGCCTCGGTGGCCTCAGTGGTGGCCTCGGTGGCCTCTCTGGTGGCAGCGGACTCGGTGGACTCAGTGGACTTAGCGGCGGCCTTGGAGGTCTCTCCGGGGGTAGTGGACTCGGTGGCCTGAGCGGCGGACTCGGTGGCCTCAGCGGTGGACTCGGTGGCCTCAGTGGTGGCCTCGGTGGCCTCTCTGGTGGCAGCGGACTTGGTGGACTCAGTGGACTTAGCGGCGGCCTTGGAGGTCTCTCCGGGGGTAGTGGACTCGGTGGCCTGAGCGGCGGACTTGGTGGCCTCAGCGGCGGACTCGGTGGCCTCTCTGGTGGCCTCGGTGGTCTCTCCGGCGGCAGTGGTCTCGGTGGCCTTGCTCCCCCTTCTGGCGCCTAGGAGTAAGGGCAGCAGCAGTGGGTAGCGCGTAAGAAAATCCAGGACAGCTGTGGCTTGCTGGATTAGCTCTCTGTCTGCGTATTTCAATTCATTGTACAAACAAATTGAAAATTCGTTCCTGAAACCGTGGTTTCCAATTGCAACATAGTACTGACGTCTCACTGGCAATAGGGGATGCGTTTGTATGGTACAACCAACTTAATTGCACGTTATGTCGCAACGTGGTGCAGAATATTATTTACAACTTCGTCGATTTCTTGTTGGAACGCCATCCGGACAGCGTGCTGCCGCCGTCAATCTCATACACGCCACCGGTCATATGGGCGGAGGCAACACTGCTCAAAAAGAGGATCAGTCCAGCAAAATCTTCCGGCTTTCCAACACGTCCCGTCGGCTGTCGTGAGAGCAGGGCATCCCCTGCCTTCTCCAGGCCGAATGCGGACATGCGCGATGGGAAAACGCCGCTGTGAATGGTGAGCTTAAGGGTACGAATCAAGCGGACGGGCGACTTACGGGCAGACGCAATGCACATTGATGTGCCTCGTAGCGAGTTTCGAAGCCTGGAGCTTGGACAGATGGATACAGGCAGCCTTGGATGGGCCGTCTTATATCTTGATGAGCAGATGAGACTCGACGGGTTAAAAGAGACTTACAGCTGAAAGGTCCGTGACCGGGAGCGGAGAGGCCGCCCTCTTCCGTAGAGGTGACATCGGTGGTCTGGACACCAGCCATTGATGCAATGTTGATGATCGCGCTCGGATTGTGCGCAGTTGCGCCCTTCTTAAGGAGTGCCTCCAAGCTAAATCTGGGTTAGATTTTTTCTTTAGCTAAATAGGAAGCCTTAGCGTACCCAACAGTAGCTGAGGTTATGTTAGTACTCTATTTGAACAGATCCCGTTGGACAACATACTATAATAAATCGCCTTGACGTTCAAGGCCATGATTTTGTCCCAGCCGCTCTCCGGGAAGTCTTCATAAGGTGCGCCCCACGTAGCGCCAGAGTTGTTCAGGAGAAGAGTTACTCTATCGGTCCTCTTCTCAACTTCGCTACAAAAAGCGAGGCATCCCGCCTTGTCTTTGAGGTCTGCAACGATGTATTCGCATCGTCCTGGCCCAAGACCATTTAATCGAGCGGTGACCTTTCGATGGAAATCAGCAGGGCGGACCGCTTCGCGATGGAACATGTTTACCTTTTTCAACTCAGCCTCTTTCCGGCTGGCGATGATCACTCGTGCGCCGTTCTGGACGAAGGCCTGAGCGGCCATCTCGCCCAAGCCGCTCGCTCCACCAGTAACGAGACAGACATGGTTGCGAACGTTGAAGAGGTTCGGAACCCCGAGGTTGGCTTGGGAGGTCATGTTGGGGATTTCAAGAAATGTCTAGTCGATCGATGGCTATCACGTAATACACCCACTGAACTCTGAAGAAAGTACAATGTTAAGATCTCGTCTAGATCAATAAGTACAATAGGACGGCATCTTTCGGCGGGGTTCACGGCTTGCCGTGTTGTTGCGAGAATGTAAACCTGGAGCCGAGGTGCCATTAAAGTTGGGGCGTGGAGAAATTGGGGAACCCCTGACACCCAGCCGAGCAGAAGCCCCTGAATTCGGAAACTGTCCAGCCACCGCAGTGGCTTGTAGGTTGTCTTGGCACTGTGGCAGCTCTCGTCGGCATCATGATCAATACGATGCCACACCTTGCCGTCGTCGACTTTTACTCTGTCAAATGGTTGAGAATCCATCGCAGATATTGGCGCGCAATTTCATCTCACACAGGCTTAATTATTATAGTACAGGGTGGACATAGTCTCTATCTTTCAGATCCAGCGCAGCGCGTGGTGGTTTGCCTCCTGTTCGGAGTTCGAACGCGTGGATCAACGCTCAGTACAACTTCCGCTCCCCAGCAAGACACAGACTTGAGCCCAATAACGGTCCCTATGGATTTTAAAAACAGTTTGCGCCGCTTGACGGAGTCAAACTACCTGGCATGGTATTCCCTGTCTTGAAGAAGCATGTCATCATTTTGCGCACGGAAGATGGTTCAATGCTGCAACTTTGTCGCTGACCTAATGGCTTTTCTGTCGTCTGTCGGGGTATTGTAAAGTCGGAGACGCAGGGACTTGATTCCTTTCTGTACCTCCGTACGGAGTACCGATGCCTATTTATTCTCTCGGAATGTTAGAGTGAGATTGCAATTGCCTTAGCAGTCATCATGGAGGTTTTCGCCTCCCTAGCGTATTAGATTCTCTGTTTCCACGTGGGCGATAAACGACCGTCTGCGTACGGATACAAAGACGGGAGTTCCTATATTGCGACAGCTGTTGTGGCTTAGATGATGCAGGACTAGAGAGAGGTTATTCAGGTACATGTGGTGTCCATTCGCCAAATCTACCGATGATCGACAAGGCCAAGGATCCGCATCGTGAAGGGACAAGCCAATCTGGGTATATGGACGTTTCAACATCTACAGATTCCGTCTTGGAGACTTCATCCATCCGCTTAGCGTGTTGCTTCGTTCTCGGCGTCCTTGAAGTAGATTTAATGGCGCTTTCATCCCCAATTATGTAGAGTTTTCCTGTAGACTTTTTTTTCTCTCTATCGCGGGGCCGGTTCTCGGGTTTGTATCAATTCTCGCGTTTTAGTTCATTCCCTTTTAGTCGGTACGATGGTGCGACTATTTCTTTCGTTGTCCCTGCTTTCTGCAGCCCAGACTGTTTTCGCTCAAGGTGTTTTTTCCAGTTCATTTTTAGAGACTGATAGGCTCGCTATGCGTGCACGTGGGAACGTGTTCGCGAGGGATGTCTCACCGGTTGGGACCAATAATAGTTGCGGAGTTCAGAACGCTGCTCGGCGAAGGGAATGGTGAGATATTTCTTCAACCTCCTCCGTTGCCACAGACTGATCGAAGACTATAGGGGATACTTGGAGCCCACGGAGAGGCAAAGTTACATCGACGCGGTCAAGTGCTTGGGAAATCTTCCTACTACCTTAGATCCCGCCAAAGTGCCAGGCGCCAGGACTCGATACGATGACTTTGTCTTTGCGCATATGGACCAGTCACAGACCATTCATGATACTGTAGGCTAGACTGAGATGTATTACTGGACCCTCATAATCTGATGAGCAATAGGGCAACTTCTTGACATGGCACCGGCATTTTATTTTCTTATTCGAGTCAGCTCTTCGAAATGAATGCGGGTATGAAGGCTACCAACCAGTAAATCTTCCCTTAATCAGCTTATCCTACACCTTCTAATCCGGACTCAGTATTGGAATTGGGCTAGGCACAGCGACGACCCAAGAAAGTCTCCTGTCTTTGACGGAAGCGACTTAAGCCTTGGTGGGACTGGCTTATATGACAACTACACTGCCTACGAAATTGGCGATCCACCACTTCTAACAGTCTCGAACCAGGGAGGTGGCGGTTGCATCACCAATGGTCCATTCAAAGAGTACGTGCAACATATATCGGATCTCCAGTTGTGCCCAATTGCTCTAACACAGTGAACAGCTGGAAGGTCAACCTCGGGCCCGTCTCCACGAAACTTGACAACATCAAGATGAACGATCGCGAGGACGGCTACGCCTACAACCCTCGCTGCATCCGTCGCGACCTCAATCCCGCGGTTTCCACCGCTGCCCTGAAAGACAGCGACGTTGCTCGCGCCATCTCCGAGCCCCAGACAATCGAGGATTACCAAGCGTTTCTCAACGGCATCGCAAGCCGAAACATACCCGGCATTCACGGCGCCGGCCACTTCACCATCGGCGGCGACCCCGGCTCGGACTTTTATACCTCTCCCGCCGACCCGGCGTTCTGGTTTCACCACACCATGCTGGATCGAGTGTTTTGGACATGGCAGAATCAAGAATTGGACAATGCAAACCGGTTGAACGTCGTTCACGGCACGAGGACCCGGAAAAATGAGCCACCGAGTCCTAACGCCATGTTGGATGATGTAATTGGCGCGGACTTGGTTGGCGAGTCGACGACAATTCGAGCAGCTCTAGATACCATGTCTGGCTTCCCTTATTGTTTCTGTTACGATTAAGCGTCAAGTTTCATTGACGACTTGTGTGTGCCATACATCTTTTCGGCTTCTATCTTTTCATTGAGCGTTCGAGGGACCAATCCGCTAGACAATAGATTATTATTTTTCGTTTCTAAACCGTAATGATACCTTAGTTATCTTCCTCTGAAGCACTCTACGCATCGCTCGGCACTAAGCTTTTTGATCCCTTTTAGTCAGTTGACTGCCTCGATTTCTTTAGAACCTAAGTTTTTGTAAAAATAAAAAGTGTCGTTAACTGGATTCGCACTCGGAACCTGAAAAAATTGTGTGGCATATACAGTAAGAGAACAATTAAGGAGGGGTTATGACCAGCTCTATCCAGTCCCCACCCTGAGCTCCAATAGCCATGCATGCACTTCGTTACTAAAATTGACTTGAATGAACTTATAATTGCCTTCCTGTTGCCTGCTGAGTGAATTCATCAGATTTGTATCAGTGTCTAAACCGTTTATAGTTTAGACCAGCACATATTCATCTAAGATGAGGCAGAGCATGACAGGCAACCACGGAGTTGAGTACTCAACCCGACCTGACTTCCTTTTTGATACACCTTTGCATGACCTGTTCAGCACAGCGCTCCAAGAACCCACACTTCGCCTAGAGAGATCAATTATTATAGTAGTATAATGCAGCTAGGACTGTCTGTCTATTAGCTTCAAGACACTACCGGACCACCGAGCAGCAAGATCGAGATTCAGTGAATGAATATGGCGACTCCAGCTCGTGATTTGGCGGACGTTCGGGTATGGTACTAAAGTTGTTAACACCAAGCGCCAGTTTGACTAAAGTACAGATATCATGTTTCCATGCCGTAAGTAGTGAGCGAGGACAACTTAGGTGTGATCGATTTCCGTTTCGTTTTATTCCTACATCATCAAACAAGACTGGTCTGAGTAAGGGTATTTTACAGGTACTGATATGCCAGGGTTGACTGAACATAAACACAATTCGTGTGCTAACCACTCTTTCTGGATCAAAAACTGAGAATCCGACTGTGTGCCATGCTTCCCTTCCAACCATCAGTGCCTCTAGGGATCAGAAATCCCTCTCCCCAGGTAGTTTCCTCCGGTTTTTCTCTTTGTCTTCCTCCGATTTCACTACCACCTCCAGCTCCCTCTTCCTCTTGCGGCTTTGCACCCGCTCACCAAGGTAGATGCGTTCCAATTATAGCTCTTGTTCCGACATTGCATTTATCAACTTCATAGCAATCCCCAAACTTCCACTACCAGGGACTCGTTGTATATGGCGTGCGACATCCAGTGTCCGTCCGAATAGTAGATCTCGATTGCTGCCTTGTCGAATGAATCGGCAATAGTCCAGCCCAGTGAAAGCGGACCGAGCGAACAAGTACTCGATATTGATGTACTGAAGCGGATATGCGGTGACATTGTGGTACTGCTGGATGATGTCGAGTTGCTATTCTGTTTTGAAGACATGAACAACCTATGTCCCCGCCTTTGGCACGATCACTATGCGCTTCTCACGGTATTGCTCATTGATATCTGCACAGAGAAATAATGTGCAGCCATTGTCAAACGGTGGTATTGGTTCATGTTGTGCGTCAAGTACCACGTTTGTCGAGACTTCGGGATGAGGGTAACCGCAGTAATCCCATAGGTCCGGTTCATTAATATCACATATTGCCTTTGAAATTTTGTCTGAGCGTTTACTGGCGATCTGGGTTGCCGTTTCAGGATTTCCCAACTTGGGGGGAGATCGTTGTGGGGGAACTCAAATTGTTCGAATAACGGAACAACGCGGTAGGTATCACCTGTTTTGCCTTAATCAACACTGCCACCTATCCTTGGTTGGGTATGAACTAACCTTTAATCGAAATGCTGTCTGATGGGACATAGAAGTAGTAACCCTTTGCTCTAAGGCAACTATCCTAACTGATCTCGGCTCACCTCTCGTTTCAGTGAAGTATCTGTCCCAAGCACATTCAGCCACGATGGCGCATGAAATCCTCACAGTCTCATGATGGATGCCGCCCGTTGCACTGTCCAGTTGCGGTAAACAGAACAGGATATTCTCGCAGTCAGGGTAACCCCGGTGACGGAAGTTGATGCAACCGAAGTCAACACGCCGATCGTTTGCGGAATATGAAGGGTGCTTAGGACGAAAGGAGGGTGCAAGTGCTTTGAATGAGGATTCAGCATTGCCCGTCGAGTGATTAACAGGGATAGCTTGCTGAGTCAGCCATTCTGACCGTGGTCAATATGGATTATGGATTCCCAGGAAGTTTTCACTGGGGGTTGTTCAATTTCGAAGGAGCCAGGGGCGCCTCTTAAATGCGAACTGTTTTCATTGTAGTGTCCAGAATGGTAGACAGCTACGCACAGTAGACAAGAAGACTGGTGTGGTGTTGTGAAGATTAAAACAAAGATGTGTAAACGATCAGTAAATTCAAGGAGGGGGTATTCAGTGCAGACAAAACGCTTCCATCCAACGCTGTGTGTTATACCAAAAAGTAAACATACGCCAAAACAGCCAAAGCAACCAAAGCAAACGAATCATTCCGATGGCTCATGTGAGCCATGGTCCCGTGACCTGCTCGATCCACCACTATGCTCTACATCTTCCTGCCCCTGGCGGAAAGGTAGAGCCCAGTCCTTCTCAAAGATGTTCTCACTCGGTTCCTGTCCCCTCGGCTCGGGACCCCTCGCGGCATTGACGTTCCCACTTCCGCATTGCTCTCGCATCTTACCCTTCCGTTCGTCCTGTCCCTTCGGCTTCCTCAACGCCGAGCAATCACACAGCCTCTGACCAGGGTCCACGATCTTCTTCGGCCGAGGATCCAGCCACAGCCACAAGGGAAACACAGTCCCACACGCGAACGCCATGACGACAACCCAGTAGCTATAAAGCGCATCATGGCGAAGAAATGCGACAAACATGATCGGACGCAAACAAGCACCCCCGGAGATAGCGGCCGTGAGGAACGTACTGGTCATCTTGACGTGTTTCCCGGTTCCACGGATTGCCATGGCGTATATGATAGAGAAGATTGGGCCTTCAAAGAAGCTGATTAGGACGATGAAAGTTACGGATGGGACACCGTCATTGATGTCACGGAAGTTCATAGCGCAGATGGAGAAAATCAATGCTCCTAGGAAGCAGGAGAGGAGGATGCGGCGCGGCTTGATGAAGTAGATGAGGCCTGCGGCGAGGAAGCGACCAAACGCAAATATGCCATGGCATATGGATTGGTAGCCTGAAATGGTGAGGGTTCGGAAGGGATGGAGCAGATTAATGTATGTGACGATGGACGTGGAGACCGCTTCTTGGCCACCGCAGTAGAAGAACAGGGACCCGACGCCGAGAATAGCGGTTAGAGTCACGATTTGTATGCGCCCAATACAGGTCCATCGGTCGAGGAATGGGATGCGTACTTCTGTATGGTCAGGAAAGGCGGCGTTTCGAGAGGGTGGAGCCGTTTCGAAGTCCTCGTCGGTGCCATCCGGAAGCGGGAGGTAGTAGTAGACGACGGCAAGGAGGACGGTAAACAGTGCAATACCGAGATAGGCCCATTGAGCGTCGATAAGAGATGGCTTGTCTGCCACGACTTTGTAGAGAGCTCGCTCGGCGAGGAGAGGACTGACAAGGCTGCCGATTGCTTGAATTCCCTGCGAGATGCTGAGTCTTACCTCCGCATATGCAGACGGCCCGCAAAGTGCGATGAATGGGTTTGCCCCAACCTCCAATGTCGCAAGCCCCATACCGACGATGATGTTCGAGATAATTAGAGCTGGAAATGATGTGAGCACCGCAGAGGGCCAGAACACGAGGATCCCACAGGCATAGATGAAAAGTCCAGCCAGAAAGCACGGTTTGAAACCCAACCGCTTCAAAATTATTCGACCGAACGTCAGGGGAGCGACGAAATAGCCGGAGAAATAGGCAGAATGAAGGGCGACGAGCTGCCCATCAGACATGTCTACTGCCTGTTGAAACTGGCGGTTAAGAACATCTATGAGTCCGTACTCGAAACCCCACAAAAAGAACAAGATCGTAACCATGGTTATTGGGAATAGCGACTGGCGGGCCGTCAAGTTAACAAGCTTTCGTCTCTGCTGTATGTCGATGAAGCCGTAAAATGTATCATCAGCGACGCTCGCCCTTGGCGTCGCCGCCTCGGGTCGATGATATGCGTTTGATGCTATCGACGGCCTCACCCCCGAAGGGAGTTGGTTCAGATTAGGAGTATCGATGAAGTCCATCATCCCCATTGGCTCGTCTACTGCCCTCTCAGCATTGAGTACTTGCTCCGGCTCCGACACCATTGGTTGCAAATCGTTCTGCTCGGATGCCTTGCGTGCAGTCTGCAATGTGAGACCAGGAACCTCAGTGGATGGAGAGCGATCATCACGAAGGACGCGCGGCAAAAACCTCGACGCAAGCGGCTTTAGTGCTGGCACGCATCCGCACATTATTCCCACATTCACTTCAACAGCACTCCACATGTATGAGAGTGCGGCATACCAGTGGAAGTTGAGATAGTTGTTGGGACTCTGATCTTCAGGGTGGTCGTGTGCTTCTTGGAGTCGAGTTTCCAACGCCTGCTGGAGATACGCCACGCGCACGACATCTATGGCCGTCACAAAAAGGCCAAAACCAAAGGTGATGATCAGGATGATCTTCTGTTTCCTTGGTAGCCGCATGCCCGTCAGGAGCGGCATCGGAAGAAAGAGCATCGCGAGATCCGTGATCAGGTTTAGTGGTGATGATGAGAGATAAAGTGATAAAATGTCGATGCACGTCGATGCGGTTATACGCGGGTCGAATATAGATTTCAATGGGCGGCATTGAAAGACGCTGAGCATAGTCAATGCAAACCCGACGGTGTTGACTACGACCATTGTCACAATGGTAAGCCACCAGATGAGACTGTTGCCTTTCGATAGGTGCAGGTAGAATATCAGGATTGACGTCTTCGAGGCCATTAACGCTGGTTGCTGTAAAGCAAGTCAGCGATGTGCGCTTTTGAACTCATACAAGGTAGGCCCACATAAAGCACCGTAAAGATATACTCAAGGGTTTTTAACAGCGAAAACCATTCGAACGGAATATTGATGTCGTGCCGCCCGAGCCCCCATCTCGTCGCATAGCATATTGAAAAGGACATGCCAAATGCGATGACCTATTATGGTGGTTTTCCGTTAGCACCGCCGATCCATAGCCGAAGGGAGTGATGCAAAGGCTTACCAAGGCTAGTATCATGAAGTAGTCGTCCCATCCCAACTTTTTGACTATGCCAACTCTAGAAGCCATGCGGAAGAGGACAAACACTGCCGCCAACGTTATCATAATCGCTGTTACTGCGAGTACTGATAGAGAGCGATCCGGGAAGACCCCTCCTACGTACTCCTCATGAGCTGGTATCAGCAGCGACGGCTCCATGGGCTCCATGGTGGATAGAATGGAACCTAGCAGGCTTTCATGAACCGTGTGATGCGAATATGCATCGTATAAGGATTCCCTAGACCTCGACTTGAGCGACTAGGTTGTTCGACATGAGGTTTGTATATCGAGAGCAAGATACGAGATAGCTAGCTAATAGGTATGATTCTATAGGCGATGAGTGGTGAGACTGCGTCTGGCGTCAGAAGTGTGGAATCATTTGAACGAGGAACCATATGGATCGTGGAAGGGTCTATGCCGAAGATAGCTTATAAAGTCCGGTTGTACGATACCCAGCTGTCAACATCGGAACAGTGCAAAACGGAACAATCGGAGTAGATGAGTTGCGGTATGTTCGACAAGCTAAGTCTCGACTTTCAAGGAGAAGATAAACCAGAGATATAACAAGGAAACCGAGACTCCCGCATGACCATCTCTTCGGTCGTCTAAAGCTTGGGACAGACATCTCCACAGTATCCAGCTCCTGGGACAACGTCTGGTTCGGATGCTGCCGCGAACCTGACCAATGACGAATATTATGTGTACAATCTGACATGTTCAAGGCGGAGCCCCGTTAGTGGCTCTGTATTAATATATAATGAAGTAGAATGAATAGCGAAAAATAAGTACTTATGGATTGACGTCTGCAGGATCGTGATATGAGCCGCAGCAACAATGCCGTCAGTCGTCGTATAATACGAAGGACGGGATCATAGCACCATTCTGGCTCCGGTCATTGGTATCCAAGCCCTCCATTGACCTCTCAGCACCTTTCAATGCTTGCTACCGGTATTGAGTGAAACCGAGACAGTCTTTTTGTCTTGCACACTCCAGTGAAGGGCACACGGCAGACGCCTAATGATCCAACGAGGCCTATCTGAGAGATTGGGACCCTCTGGAGTTCTAGACTGCATCTTGTAACCTGGAGCCGACAAAGTGGGCTACCATGGGATGCTGCACACAGCATCCCTCGAGGGCAAAATGCGAATGCGGGGGTAGGGAACTTTTATGCGACCAAATGACGATACATATCGTTCTTGAGAGCGGCAATACGCCGCGGTTGATATGCGATACGGTACGTGTACGGAATATTTGGTTGATGGAAAGGAACGAAGGTTGAAAATCTGGACTAGATTGCCGGATTGTCGATCATCACGTGGATATAATTCAGTCTTCACGATATTATGGCAAGACCACAGACGACCGCACATGTCAAGCGACGCGGAAAATGGAAAGCGGCAGGAAAGAAATACTGATATGATATATTGACAAGGCCATAAGGACACAAGGCAACCATAATGTAATTAGTCATCCTAGCTAGTTCCCCACATGGGCCTCGCAGAGAGGCCTGACGGGCGTATGAATCTCTCACTCTCTCTCTCTTTCACATGTCAAGCCACGGCAACTAAACAGAAATCGAGCATATATCGTCACGATTCATCAAAACGTTAAATTTACAATAATAAAAACTATCATATAGACATTCATGGCCCTGACCTTCCTGTTTGACCAGATAACCCAGATTCATATGAACCTGTCAAAAGCTCCGACCCACGCAACCATCCAGACAAATACAGATGTTTTAGGCGTTCCCACCAGCCAGGAAGAAATCCAAATCGAGACCTCCTCCATCCGGTCCTTCGCTCTCCGCAAGCTGTTCAAGTAAGCTCAAGAAAGGATCCTTCTCCCCTTCCGCGCTTCCACTCGTCCCGCCTCCGCTCACCGCCGAACTTGATCCGGGTGTCTGCATGTCGGATGGGCCGGGCATGCTCACAAACGCCGAATTGGACATCGTATTCGTGCCGGACGCTTCGTATCCCAAAATCGGTTGGCCGGATGGATCCGTGCTTGTTGATCCGTCGAAGGGAAGGGAGAGCAGCTGGTCAGGGAAACGGTAGGATGGGCCGTTATTGTTATAGTTATTAGTAGAGGAAGGCTGCGAGGGATTTGTGGCGTTGTTTGTGGGATTCGGGAAATTCGTAGGTTGGAGAGGAGAGAAAGAGAAGTTGGGAGAGAAGATTGGACCCGAAGGGTTAGGCTGCTGAGAGGGTGGAGGCTTGGTCTCAGAAGAAGAGAGTGTTTGGTTCGGTGGTGGAAGCTCGGACATAAAGGGTTGAGTACCAGAAGTGTCCTGAGGCTGCTTTTTGCTGTTTGAGGGAATAGCAGCCGCACTGAGAGGGGGTGAGGGTTTGGTAGGATTCGATGTCGTCGTGCGTCTTCTCTTTCGCCCCCCTTGAGGCACTGATGCGGACACCTGCCGTTGCGGTGGGAAGTATTGCTGTTGCTGATGAATCATAGATCCATTTGACCCGAGGGCCATATTCACAAACCCTTGATTATTGAGTCCGTATGGAGACATGGTGCTCTCAAATGCCATTGGGTCGACTTGTATTTCGACGAACGACAGATGCGACCCGTCGAACATCCGACCAGGGTACCGATCGAAGAACCCTTCGAGGTGAAAGACAGATGAGAAACGAAGAGGATTTGAAGCAAGCGATTTGACGAGTTCAATATGACAATTGTAAATTGCCTGCAGCATATCACACTGATGTTGAACTCCTGCCCATATGGACCGCAGTTCGGAGAGCTGCTGCATCTCTCGGGATAGGAACTCTGGGCTTCCCGCGAAGACGGTTCGATCCCCTCCTTCGCCGCCTCGATAATGTGTCCCATGAACATGGATCATTCCAGCAGTGCTGACACAGTAGCCGATAAATTCCGGCCATTCAATAAGGGTAGATGCCTTCCCGATCTCGACGAGCTCAGAAATTGCGTTGGCGTGGAGAAAACACATGTTCGTCGCTTCGATTTGCCAGGATTGATGCTGACTATTACCGGAGAGCTCGGTGAGGTCGATGGGAAGGAATGGGCGGTAGATTAGACAATGAATAAGGTGGTAGACCAGCTTGCTTAATACGAGAATCGTACTGTCTGGTTGGCCGAAAAGCGTCTCCAAGGATGCAAAGACGTCCTGCGTCTCTGATGCCCACATGTCCAGGTCTTGTCGGATTTTGGACAAATTAGAAAGTGAGTGCCAAGGGAAGTGCGAGTCCCCTTTCACACCTCCATTTGCTAGGTATCGATTCGTCACTCCTAGTATTCGAGTGATACCAATAAGCATGCCACTCCCTCCATGACTTTGCTTCCCACTTCTTAGATATTGGAGATTCGAACCGGTCGAGAAGTAATCGCCTTCGATGGTCATGCCGCTTGGATGAAGCTGCCATGAGGGCAGCCGGAGGACGATGGATTCGTCGGCAATCAGGGATGGCCGTCTCGAACCGCAAGCTCCAAATCGATCGAGGAGATAGCACGCCCAGAACAATCGTCTTCGACCTTCTCGTTCAGTGGCGGGGATCCTCATTGTTGAGGGGAGTTCCCTATGGAGACCTAGAGCTAGAGCCATGGTAATAGCAGAGGCTATACCTAGTGTCAGACATGGCGGGATCAATTTGAACGTGAACTCACATAAAAGCATGTACGCCTTCTTTCCTCGTCCATTTTGATAGCTTGCTAACGACAGTAGCAGGAGTGCCTGTAACGATTCGATAGAGGGCTCGTCTACGTCGAGCTCAAGCCGAGCCTTCTTAGCGAAATCTATCGACACGCGTACAGCATTTGCATAGCCTCCGACATGAGAAGCATATCTCGAATTCCAGTTAGTCTGTGGATGTCATAAGGCTTCGAGGGGGATCCGTTCTCACCTTGCGCTAACAGCATATATAGCATAAGCAAGCGGGTTCGGAAGTTGCTTAAGTTGTATCTTCTGGCGAGTGGACAATTCATCAAGGATATAGTAGGGTTTGCCATGAAGTTGAGCAAAGTATGCATCGACGAGCACCTCCGGGTATATACTGGGAGGGGGTTGGCTGTGTATTGTCAGTACTGTACCATTATTCTGGGTGTTGGATCCACGTACGAGTTGCCTTCCGGGGGGATGAGCGGTGGTATGTTGTTCGAATGGGGTTGCTCTGGTTCGGAAGATTTGTGATTTGCAGTCGCTCCGGCTTGATCGTTCGCGGCACCGTGACTTGAGTCTTGTACGACATTGTCGACTGCACTTTCGTTTGACGACACCGGCTCTTCTTCTTGTTTCTCGGATTCTTCGGTTTGTAGTCTCTTTTCAAGGCCGTCGACACGCTTGAGCAATGCCTCGAGAACATCGGTTTTGGGCCCACGTTTCTTTGGGATAGCGTCTTTGACCACAGTCAGCACCTTCTGGTACGAATGGACCTTACCATGGATAATGTAGATCTCACCATAGACACACTGGCATGCGAATATCTGGCACGCTTCACAAGTCGGGCGCATTCGGTTGCATTTTATCTTTCACCGTTTTAAAGTCAGCACATAAATCCCAATCCACTCGACCCCCTCTGATGCCAGTCGCATCGTCTCTGTGGACAATATGCTTACTTTTCTCTTCCGACAACTCTTGCAATTCATGGACTCCCTCGGTTCGTTGCTCATCCGTCTCGCTGGTAGGCGATCGATTCCAACCTGGGGTCGCGACATGATTGAAGAGCTTTAGGGGATCGATAACGCTGGTTCTGGCACACAGCTTGCGACAATTCGTGATGATAGTCTGAAGCCGAGGGTGTCATTTGACGACAACTGCTTCGAAATGTAGATCTACTACATGGTCAGGGTGCTGCATTCGAGCTCCTCAAGTGATACGGGCATTAATCGCCATGATTCTAGTTCCAAGGTGAACGAGTCAACCAGCCAAAATGAGCCGGCGGACGTTTAGATTATCGTAGACAGATCTAAGAATTGAAGTTTGAAGACAGGTTCCCGGAGGCAGTGGAGACTCGGCATAGCCATGCGGAGAGGGCTGGACAGGCCTGTCGTGCGTACTGGCAAGGTGCAAGGAAAAGAGCAGGCGACCAGTTGACTGGGTTGACATTGGAGCAGAGGAATGAAGCCGAAGCAGAGATGCGGAAACTAGGGACTCCCCGGTTCCCTAGTGGCTTTCATCGGGACGTTCACAGGCGCCATGACGATTTCGGTCATCGGTCGAGGAGACGAGGGACCCCCTCTCCGATCAAGCTTCTTGACCAAGCCATGCACTGTCGACTAATGTCGACGTTCAATTTAATAACCATTTCTCTGGTCCATGGTCATGCCTGCGGCACGCTACCGTAGATGCCCATCCTGTCGAGTAAACATCAGACGGGAGGTGGAGATGAAATGCCAGGTATCGTAGAGTATCCTGCATACAAAAGGCTCCTGAAAGAACCAACAGGAACTTGGGCGTTCACCTACATGCTGCCTCGCATTTTTGTAGCACGCCCCAGCACCCTCCCGTAATTTCTTTGCATCTATCTTATACAAACCTCACTCTCCCACAAGTGCTCGGGTGTCACAGACATCAAGGAGATGCCAGGTTAACCTGGGTTCCTAGTCAAGTCTCATGCCACCAATTCGATATTGAAATGAATAGACGATGATTACCCGAAAAAGGCACCACGGCGCTCGTATCCTGGGTACGATGTTCGAAACGCGTGATGCCTGCCAGGAACCGTTCCTCGTTCTGGTGGCGCTGGTAGAACAGGATTTCGTGCAGAGTAAAGGTGCACCTGGGTCCTGGAGACCCGAAGGCTGGAGGCTCCATGTCAAGCGGGTTGGGGGCTCTCCGTCTGCACTCCGCAATACTAGTTCAATCGGGCAGATGACAGTCCAATGGGGACGATGCTGGGAACGGGAGCAACAGCTTTCAACCGTTAGGTCGATACTTGGTGCCCGTCGATGGTGAAACTGGGAAACTGCTGACCTGTGAACAGGTTCCCCCCAGGACCTTTCTTGAATTGAGAGACTCGTTTATATCTCGCAGGAAGAGTTACGTACCGTATGCAAGGAGTGCATTCATTCGCTTCACTAGATTGCGAGTTAGTCAGTCATTTGTCCTTAATTATACAGCGAAGTACACAGCCTAGCATCCTTGACGGCAAGATATAATACCTTTGATATGGGGCACTTGCTCAATAGCCTTCGAATGGTCAATGGTCGCTAGTATCTGATGATCTACGGGTCACCGCTGCGTCAAGCCTATGATAGCAGAGACACTATTTATTGACAATCAGGCCTCATTCCTCCAGCTTCCCTGCAACGTACGTACATCCACAAGACAGGAATGAAAAGGTATTTTAGATATCGATAATTTCATCCAAACAATATGATCGAGGAAGGGAATCTTGCATAACCGAGCGAATAAATGTTGAATTGTTGATGGGTGCTCGTAAGGCGTTTCTTGCCTGGTGGATACACAACGTCTCTGCCAAACAATAGCCTGGTTTCAACCATCCAGTGGCGTATCCGGCAAGGCCTAATGTGCAGTGGACAAATGAAAGCTTCCATCATAAGCGGCAGTGATCGGGCGATCCGATTCAAATCGCGGCGGGAACGTGTCAAGCGATGCCTGGAAAGTGGAATCATGAGACAACCGTAAAAGGGTAAGGTACATATTTATATATGAAGCTTGAGAAGCACCATCATCTGTCAGCTGGGCCTGATATTGTCACACGAACTCAAACTGCGGACGGGATACCTGGACTTGCGGCTTCTACAGGAAGGGTGGAATGGGTGCGGGTGAGATCAGGACACTGATGTTGGAGGCCGAACTTCAGTGAGCAGAATATCGTTTGCCGGATTTCAGTTTCAATTAACTAGTGGTGATGCTCCTAACTTAACCGGAGACTTTACAAGCTATCAAATTGCATGTCGTTGTACACATTCATGTCATGGTTCATATAGCATTACGTCGCCATGACTCCATCCTCCTGGACGAGTACAACACTTGAATACGAACAACTCCCTGTGAATGAGCCGGGAATCTATGTGGTAAGCCCCCTCGACACCTCGATCTTCCTAATCCAGCAAAACCCAGCCGTAGCATGCCGTTCACGCGAGATGTAAGCACCCGGAAATACATATAAGAGGTACCACAAGGGTCAATCAATCAGTACACCCCTCGTCCACTGGCGAACCTCACAAAATCAAACGGCACATTCTGTCCCACAAGTAGCCGCAACGTCTCAACCGTTGTCCAAGCAGCCACATCCGCAACCCCATATGCAGACCAGCCAAGGCTTGCTGCCACGGCCACGGGGTCCTTATCCCGCTCCCTGCGGCTCCCTGTCCCACCTACCAAGTCGACAAACACTTTGCCTGCCGTGCCTCTTGAGCTCTCATCCGTCTTGACAGGCCCGTAATGCCGCAGCAATGGTGCAACCAAGGCACCTTTATCTCCAGGCAAGGCACTGATGATAGCGAATGGTCGCTCAAGTCGTTTGACATCCTCGACCGAGCGGACAGGCTGCAAACCAGCACCTAGTCCGACGCCAAGGACTTCCTGCCCCTGAGTCTGTGTGGCCTTGATGGTGAAGCCGACGGTGTAGATGGGGCCAATAGCCAAGGACTTCAGGGCGAATATGGCGGGGGTCGCGGACGACTCGTCCGAAGCGAGGAGCAGAGCAGCGCGGCCGCGGTATGCGCTGGGGACAAAGTCGTGGGTTAGAGTCGCTCGAATCCCCTTCCAGGTGCAGTTGTCGCCAACAAAGGAGCTTCCTTCCATCCCAGGTTGTCCGACTGCGAGTGAAGTTGTGGCCAAAAGCGTCTTTGATAGGACGACCGTGTCCACCTGGCCGATTGCTCTGGCAGCCGGAGAGAGTTGCGGCAGATATGAGGCATGTGATACAGCTAACGGTGGATTAAGGTATGCCCCGCCAAACAAGGGACGGTGAACTACCGAGGAGATATTGACAGCATGTCTAGTTATCGGACCGCGTTCAACAAAGGTGAAAACGTGAGGAAGACCGAGCTCATTGAAGCACTTCTCAAAAAAGACAGCTCTTGTTGCAGCTCGTGCTGACACGATACCATAGATATCGCGTCGTGGCAGTTGTCCCATGGTGTGAAGTGCCGCATTGATTTCCGCTGCCGAAAGCTGGCCGGGTGCGGCAATCATGGGAAGGAGGGGGTGGGTGATCGGAGTGAAGACTTTGTTCAATGTTCGAGAAAGCTGGCCGGTGGAACCCATGTTGAGCGCTGAAAGAGGAGGATGCGGGTATCTCGATTGTATGGTGGACCGGAAGTACTCCAGCTCGTAGTTCTCCTGCACCGTGTTGGTGAGGGCGATCATTTTCACCACGTCTCCATACACAGCTCCGTGGCGAAATAGTTCTTCTGCTTCGGGTGCAGTCCATCTAAAGGTCCCCGAAAAGTCGTGGAATGCCGAGATGATCTTGCTGTTTCCCTTCCTCTCGGACAGAGTGCGTCGAATGTCTTCTGGTAGCCACAACTCGACATCGATGTATTCGCAACCCCACTGTATCGCTCGGTATAGATATGTCAGGAACAGGTTCGGCTCATCCATAGGGAAACGGCCGTTTTCTTTCGTACACCTAGTCGTATATATAATGGGCAGTTCGGTACGTTGCCGTAGCGTCATAAGCTGCTCCCCGACGAACTTGAGGCTTGGGACATCTCGGAAGGTCCCATCCGGAAGTGGTTCTTTGAGGAGATCCACTCTTAGTTCGACAGCGTCCGCTCCGACAGAAAGGATGTCCAGGTTGGGAAGAGCAGCATGGACGTCTGGAAATGTGGTTGAAATCAGAGTGGTTCGTTTCTTCTTCGTCAAATCTCGATGGTGGCCTATCTGGCCGAGGATAAATCCGAGGAATCGTGCTACATCTCTCCTCAGATACGGGGTCATAGAGTACAAATACTCATAATCACATATCTGTGAGAGAGCCGGGTCACTTTCGACTGGATTATCCACGCAATGAGTATGGATGACCGTCCTGCTCGGTGCTAAGCTTCGGACATCCGCTGCGACGAGTTTGCTATGAAGACCGAGGACTGTATGATATGGTTCCTGCTGGACCGTATCACACGATGAGACCAGACAACATGGCTGCCCGAGCACATCAGCCACTATACTGAGAATTTCGTCTTGCCCGTCCTCTATCAAGACTAACAGCGACGGCTTCTCAGGAACATCGATTTCCTGAACCTCAATAACCCCATTGGTTTTGCGGTTTGTGATGCTATCGGGTCCGACGGGTTCGGAGGGTTCGGGAGGTACGATACTGGTCATCATAGGCGGTTCGGCGATCGTGACCATGGTTTCGAATACTTCGGATTTGGCGGCACTATACAGGCCTATAGGTCGAGGGAGGTGATAAGACGGTCTTGATGAAGTACGAGTCTGGTCTGGGTTGGTGCATCGCCAACGCAGCGTCGGTCCTTCTCTTCGGTACCAATTCGAAGCTTTCTTCTGGTAGGTCTATAGTTCCCGTCGAGAAATTTGCCAAAATCGTAGTGTTCGAAGAGTTGTCGCAGAGCAAAGGTACCGCAGGAGGGATGAGATGGCCCGGGTATGGAGTGTGCAAGGCACCAATCACCGCTTCCAAGGGCTCAACGGCGTGATTGATAGCAATGGCAAAGCAAATAAGCAGAGCAAGGGGTGTAAATGGCAGAATTGATCCGCATCCTGTCTCATTCAAAGGCAATGATTGCAGACAATGTTACCCTAACAGTGGGATGGGCAATGATACAGCCGGCCATTTCCAAGGGGGCCTGGGAGCCATTTTGGGCGGCAGAACTTCAGGATTTCGCGCCTGGAGCATGAAAGGGCTACTGAAACCCGCTTGCTCCAATCATGACGAGGCCAAAGGACTCTGCTTCGCTTTGACATGATGAACAAAGACGACAATGCTTGGATTCTCACAGAATTCGGAGAGATGGCCCCGCTGTTGGCTCGTCCGCCGCCGGCCTGTACCGCGCAATATTTAACCCACCAATGATCTATCTCCCCTGCAGCAAGATCTTCCGTATCTACCTTTTACTCGAACCTTGCATTGCTCCAGGTACCAGACCTCGGCTTCAATATCTTGGGAATTCTTACCATCCCTTTAGAGACATGACCCGTGTAATTATGTATCCTTAAGTCTCGAACAGATTGTCATTCCCTACCCACGGCCATCTTCTGCGGTCGTCAAGGACCATTGAGAAGACACGAGTTTGTGATAAGAGCCAGGAAATGATATCGTTGGGCAGGAACCTGATCACGGACGTTGACATACTCTCGACGATTGTCTATTTTCCCTTTCATATCGGCTAAATTGAAGATCTACTTCGCCGGATGTACATGAGCTTCTCCCGTGTGACCACCCGGATCACAGGACGAGCCATTCCTAATCGACACATAGGGTATCATCGCTAAACGCTGCATCAAAGCAAATCGGAATCGAGCAGTCAGCTCCCACGCCTCTCGTGGCGACGAGGACCCCTCTTAGGCCCCCTATTCATCAGCGTTGTCCGCACAGGAGAAAGGCGATCCACCCTCGCCTTGGCTCAGAGTTGTTATGGATGCATAAAGACCGAGAATGCACTGGGCAACTGTTAGCGCGGGCCAGACCCAAAGATTGATGGACTCACGATCAAGAAACCCATAATGACGATTCCGATGTTGAACACCACCCCCAGCTTCCTTTTGCCTTGCCTGATGTCTTCCCAGTTACGGTACAGGTAGAAGAACCCGGTGATACCGAAACTGAACCATCCGCAGAACAATGCGCTCACGAGCGCTAGGAGGTGATGGAAGTTCGGGATTGCTTCTGCAATGATCCATGCCAGCACCCAAAGAGCAAAGACGATCCCGACCCAGCTCGACCATGACTTGAAAGTCCTCTCATGCGGGACGCTGGTTTCGCGCCAAACTCGAAGGTAAACGTGCTTCGATGCAACATGCCCATTGATAACGCCGGCAACGACAATGGTCGGGACGGCGATTCCATATGCAATCTTGCGGACAAGCGGAGACGCAGCCCCCAGAGCTGGGGATGGCACTCCCGTTCCGACATAATAATATATTACGCAGCCAGTCACGATATATAATACCGACGAACTGCCCAGTAACATAGTCAAGGACTTCCAAAAATCCTTTGGCTCCCTCAATTCGGAGGTAAAGCCAAAGTAGGCAACATGTCCTGAATATGCCATGATGATGTTCAGCAGTGCAACCATGGCATGCGGAAAGTCGCTGGCCGTGTTGGCCCACTGGAAATTGTTCGGATTTGGTTTGGTCACCCCGACGCTGATCATGGTGATAATCACAGCGGCGGTGACGGATACGCATGACACGAAGGAGAAGATCGATTGCGACTTCAGCGTCCGTGGAAGAGCCAGGATAAAAGAGACCCCGAAGCCCGTCAGAGCAAACAGAATCGAGCAAGCTCCGTGCTCTGTGACAACATTCATCATGATCGAGAAGGATGTGATATGTGCCGCCATGATGAACACGAAGACCACCAGTTGAGCGATCGAGAAAAGGTACCATCCGAATCGCCCAAATAGCATGTATCCAGAGTCAGCCACGTCGCAGATGCCTGGGTACTTGAGTTTCAGTTTGCCGTATTCATTGCCTGTGATCCAGGCCAGTCCTCCCATAACGAAGATGAAGACCAGGCCTCTGAACAGGTTAGCAATCGGAATACGGCCGCATGGCGAAGCACTTACGGAATCATGCCAAGAGCGGCTACGGCTTGTGGCAGCGATAGAATGCCTAACGAAATCGTTTCCGCGATCATCACTGAATATCAGTCAGTTTCCTTCGATTTCATGCTTGTAGCGGAGAAGAGGCCATACACGCTCCGACCTGCCTAATCTTCGAGTCAGCTTTTGCCAAATACTAATTTCCCATTGTTCACTTACCACCATTCCAGGACTTTGTACTTCACCGCTTGATGCTCTTCATGAGCGAATTGATCCTTCAGATTCAATCCTTGTCCCCAACGCTGCCACCAAAACCCGGGCAATTTCTGCCCGGGGATGACCACCTCACCGTCGTTATTTTCCGGGGACAAAGTGCGCGGGGTCATCGCCAGGTCTTTCTCCTCATCGATGTAGGTAGCGACGTCGGCCATTGGGATTCAGACGCTCGATTTCTGAATTCCTATGGGTGCTTGAACAAAATTCCGGATTTCCGCACTGATAATAGTTGATGCAGCTTCAGGTGGTGGGTTCAAACCCACGAGGCGAGGCCGCCTTGAATCTGTCAAGGAAGAGGATAGGCGTACAATACACGTACGGTGTAGCGCGCAGTGAGCAAAAGAGCAAGGGAAGCATCGATTCTATATACTAGTATTGAGGCGATCATAATTCTACTGCGATATGGTAGTTATCAACCAGCCGTATCCGTTGTCCAGAATGCCGGCATCATCTGACTGCCCCTAGCACGCATTCGCAACCAGGGACCGATTAACCATGGCACGAATAGATAAGCGATGCAAATCGCATGGTTGGCTGAGTCGGAATGGATAGTGCGTGGCTGCTTAACAAAATACGGTTCCGCTTGTCCCAAGGAACCGAAGAAGCTGGTCAAGAGGGGAATTGTTCAACAATACCATCCGAACCTTCCCCGAATATGGAGGCACCGAAACCGGGTGGCAAGTCTCAATCAACGTCGCCTCATCCGACCGATAGGGAGCTTCGGAACCACCAAATCTTGAAACTCACCACCTTCAGGACAGGGAATCATTGAGACTATCCAGATATCTGGGAACGAAGTTATGACGTCGATGAACCCGATTTCGGTGCACATTCGACCACCACGATTCCAAGACAATGGATGAAAGCCAGCTAGTTCCGAACCGCGAGGAGCCATGAAGAAAATCATTGCCAATTCTATCTGCCTCAGCGAAATGGAACCCTAGTATGTGACAGGAACGGCTTGGCGATCGACCTTGAGTAGTGACCGTTAGAGCTTGAAGTACGGCAACGGTTTGGCTGGGACGGCGAACCAACAATTGCTATGTTGAGGCATACCGTGGGTCTGAAAGACATCCGAAGGTCCGAATAATGCGGCCACGAGTGACCACAAGCATTGCCTACTACCTACACAAGATGCATCACTAACATCTTGCGATTAAATACCGTAACTAACAGAGCCCCCGGTTTCAAGCAGACTCCATAATCTGTTCTATCTCTACCCACAGTATCATTTGCCTCCCTAATTACTCCACAGGATTCTCCAAAGCCTCAACGGTAAGGAAGCGGGACCGAGAATGCCCTGGGACCACACGGAGGACTGCCATGACTTTGGTTGTGATATTGCTCTACAAAGGGAGGGAGATGAAGATAGGCGCGATGCGGATCGTGTCAGTCAACCCATTGGAAATCGCCGCTTTCTTATCAGTTTCTGCCGCGGTATCGGAGGACGGGCAACGATTCCCAAGCCAGAAACCCGTCCGTAGGGAATTTCCCGTTGCTCTTAAGATTTTCTAAGACACCTAAACTGAAGAGATGCCTACGATAGCAAGATTGCAAGAGAGGCCAAGTTAAGCTTCAGCGCCAGTGTCTTGAGTCTTGACGTCTTTCTAACTAGCTAGGTACTGTGCCTAATTGGCATTGGTGGGCAGCATTCTGGTTGGCGCGAAATGATAACCCTGGATGCACCCAACGGATCATACCCGGGGAAATGTACCAGTCTAGGAAACCACAACGTGACATCGACTATCGAGGCTTGGGGTTGAGGAGATTTGGAAAGAACATGGATGAGGTTCATCTATTGCACTTTCAGATTAATAGAGGAACACAAGGCCATTAGTGCTATAGAATCTACAGCAATAGAACCGATCAACTATCCCAAGGAATATATCCAGGAGAGATAAAGATAAGTTGTTAAGTACTTATTCACCTCATCCCCGAACTTGACACGCGGGAAAGTCAACAAGGTACAGTATTGATCAGCATATGCGTCATTCGTTTGTAACGTCCTAGTGGATCTCATTCGATAGATGGTCACGAGGCATCGTGGACTTGACAGGTTAGCAACCTGCCCGAGTACTAAATACCGCAGACACGAAGGATTGGTATGGCATCATGTTCAAGCAAGGTACCAGGTACTCTCAGACAAGGGATGGCTAGAATCGTCCACCGTCTTGTCCCAGCTGGAGAGACTCCAACGACGTTTGTACAACATGACGAGCACAATCTCCAGCTCCCGACCCGCACGAAATCTGGGGAATGCGGGGAAATCCGACGAACAATGCACAGACGCTCCGACAGACGCTCAGGCCCAGTGTATCGTGGAAATGATTGCAAGTCTGTATTGACTGCCGGACCAAGCGACGGCGACGTACAGGTCGTCAACCCCATATATATCCGCGTATATGAACAGCCATCCACGTAGCATGATATCCAAGAACGCCGAGGGGGTATGCAAAGAATGCGTGGAAGCATCGTCGTGCCTCCTCTAAGAGAGCGCCCATCATCCCCCATGATCGTCCACCCAAATACCTCAACGCCATGCATGTTCGTTACACTTCCATTCCTTAACTGAGCGGACTCTCGCCCTTCGCCTCCCGTTCTGCACCCTCCTCCACCTCCCGGACTAGCTGCTCGTACCACTCCGCATGCCCTGCCCAGTCCACCTTCGTCACCCGCCCAAGCTCCTCGACCAGTCCTTCCACCCGCTCCACAAACTCGCCCAGACCGCTGCTGCTGAGCCCCTCTCCAGCCGTCGCGGCTCTCCGTACACGCTCGCCCGAGCTGCTCGCGGCGACGCGCGCGAATATGTGGGCCCGGAGGCGCGAGAAGAGGACTTTCAACACCGGGTCAGTAAGCCGGCCCGAAGCGGCTTGGGTGAGGTGACGGGTGACCGTCGCGAGGAGGGTGGATTGAGAAGACGTGGGCATGGGATGAGCGGAGGTGAGGATTTGCAGGATGGAGTTCGCCAGTGCCGATGGCGCGGCGGATGAAGATGGCGAGGGAGGGGGGGATGGGAGAGAAGATGAAACCGTCATCGAGGTGTGGCCCGAGTTTTTCAGCAGATCCCAGATCCGGTTGGCTTCGGGCCGCCATTGGCTGCGCACGTCGCGCTTGAGCAGGTTTTTGGCGGTGAGCAACATCGCGCCGATGGTAGTAATACGCACAGTGTCCGCGCGGATGCGCACAATGCGGTCCTGGTCAAAGGAAAGGGTTTCGGGGAGTTCGTCGCCACGGAGGGAGGGGACGGCGACGGAGAGATCGACAAGACCTCGCGCATAGATACGTTGCATGGTCGGCCGGTTATTTGGCCCGCCGACTGCATCCGGATCGCGGCGGTCAAATTCCGTAAACAGGTTAACGCTGGCGTTGTGCCACCAACGTTTAGTCTGTGCGAGAGTAACCTTTCCGGATTCTAGATCTTGTCGGAACATGCGTTGTTCATAGCCTGCCGATTCCGCAATGAGCGAAGGGACAGCAGTTGTCAGCATGAAGTTCGCATGATCCAGCGAGAGGAGATCAATTGTCCGGAGGAGTTTGAAAACCTTCTCGATCATTTCACCTAAATCACCAGGCGCCAGCAGCTCGTTCACCAACTCCTTGACTTCCCCGTCTCGGAACGGCGCACAGAGTCGAGGGAGGATGTCCGCCATGAACTTGAAGAACTTCTCATAGGAGAAATTTCCCGCGTTGCATTGGCTTTCAACCCAGGAAGGATCGAGCGCCTCGGAGATCAGGTTATACATCGAGTTGCCCTCTCGGAGGAGTCGCAATAGTTTGCCTCGAATGTTTTCGGCCATCGAGACCGTCCATAGGTTACCTTCACCTTGCTCGAAACCGCGTTTCATATCATCGCATAGTTGTCGGCTGAAAACGTGACGGAAATCGGATTGAGGTGAGGGTTCAATCCGATATTCTTTGTTGATGGCAAGTTCGTGGACAAGTTTACGGTTGGTTGGAAGAAGCGAGAACAAGTTCCCGAATGAATTTGACGGCTGGAGTTCATCATGAGTTTCCGCGCCGCTCGCCGATATCAAATGAGTCGCTTCCGGTGAATGCGACGGCGTAGCTTGTTCCCTGGAACTCTCCGCCTCGGTGTCCACATCAACCCTAGGGCGAGTGTCGCCAAGGGGTTTCGGTCGTGGCCGAGCTCTTCGGCTTTCTCTGATCGCTCGCTTGATGAGATTATGAGTTTTATCAGGGCCAGCCAGTTTTCGGATTTTGCTTAGAAGAATGACTTGATTTTCTCGAATACCTTCGCGGTAATCGGCAGCCACTTCGCCATCCGTGTAGTCTTTCACGGATTGCCATATGGCGTCGAGGTTAACAAAGGAAGCGACCATCGCTTCGATGAGTGCAGAGGAGTCGCGAGCCTTCCAATCGCCAAAAGATTGCCGGTAAGCCGTGAAGGCGAACGACAAATGTTCCAATTGGGTCGGAGTCGGCATGTAGCGGCTCGATTCCATCGCTTTCAAAACCGCCGCTTCAAAGCAGATCATAAGGTCTTTTGCTTTGTTGATAAGGTCTTGTTCTTGGGCACCATCTCTGCTTAGAACTGATGCCGGGTGACCGAGTATTAGATAGGCGCTTAGGAATGTCCGCGTCGGGACCGTTGTCTTGTCATCCGCTGCATCCAAGTTGAAGATCTCCAGGACGCGGATAGTGTTATTCACCACTTTGTCGTCTGCAAGGACTGTCGATATGTCATCGAAGCTCGCTTCTTGCGATTTTTCAACCGTAAGGCCGAGCCCGACGAAAGCTTCCAGCGCTCTTCTCCGGCGGTTCCTTCTCCAGGCTTCCTGAATCGTGGCCGCGGCCGTCAGGTCACTCAGTCTCTTGGGTGACTGAGTACCAGATGCAAGCTCCTTCTTTGCATCAGTGGCAGGTACACTGGCGGTACGAGGTCTCCTCATATTTTTCTTATACTCCGCACGCCTTCTTTCCGCCTCTGCATGCTTCTCCTCCATCTCCAACCGATATCTCTGCTCTTCCGCTGCTTTTCGCTCTTTCATCTCCTCCGCTACCTTCTTTGCGCGTTTGACCTCCTCGGCGCATGCAGCGGCGACCTGTGCGAGGTGCTTCTCACGCGCGTGCTGGGCGGCGAGGGCTCGTTCTTCGCTGTTTGAAGCGCGAGTCGCAGCCTTGGCCAATGCGGCACGTAGCCGGACTTGTTCGGCATGTGCAGCTCGATCCGCAAGACGAGCTTTGCGGCTCTCTATGATAGAAGCGCGACGGAGATGTTGAGCGACATGATTGCTTTGACAGTTGGTGCCTCGGTACGAACGGTTCGATTGATGGGAGTGGGTGGACGATATGGAGTTCCTGCGAGAAGAAGCGGCTGAGGACTTTCGGCGAGCGGATGACGAGTGATAGAAGCGTGAGGCAAGACGAGCTGGAGGGTTGAGCGTCGTGGGCGACTCCACTGATTGTTCCAAGGTATCGTCTTCTTCAGGTATACCAGCAGCGGTTTGGAGGCCTGGCAAGTCCAGCTCTTGCAGTTTAGGATTGATAGCCATATTGGGCAGCGGGCAGTGGCCGTTGTCCGCGATGTAAGGTGTTGTAGAGCGTATGTATGCCACCGGGTGCTGGACGGTGAGACTCGGAAGCCTAAGTATTGATGACGAATGGACGAGGATGAGCGGGTGGTAAACGACGGTATGACTGGTCAGCGACGTTCACAGTGAAAGCGAAGGATAAAGAAAAGGGAAATGAATATAGCAAGACACCCAAGTGTAGAAGAAGTAAATAAAGAAGACAATAGAAGGAAAATCCAAGGAGGACGAGGAGGAGTGAACAGGGAAATTAGAAGTGTCGCATGTCGAGATGAGGGAATCGTAATCAAAGCAGCAGCGGAGAGCAGCTGTCGCTGAGCGTCGCATCATCGCCATGGAACTCGATGGATGGAGGAAGGAGAGACATGCCAGCTGCACGTGATTGATGATTTGGTGGGGAATTGTTGCTTAGGAATTGTTGCTTAAACAATCAAAAGTTGCCTCAGGCTGAAAACGGTTTTGTTGCCAAGTCGCCCACGGGGATGTCATGGTCACGTGCGTCCATCCGATCCTCTCCCATACTCACACCTGTATCGTCGAATCCATCGATCCGTACCAACCTTGAAGGTCAATTGCATCTGAATTGCACGAGTCCGGTCAGTTTCACCGTCAAACAGCTGATCTGGTATTCACGATGCCGCCTTCAGGCAAAGTGACATCCACTTTTTACGTATGCACCCGTCTCACCTTCCCCCGAACGTGATATCAAGCTGATCTTCGTCATCCCGATGCGTAGAAATACACCGTCCAACCTCGTGGTATTGGTGCCTGGATCAACAAATGGCTCGCCATTGACCCCGACCGATCGACCGGTGTTCCGCTGAACCCTCAATTCCGCAACCCGCCCCCGGGAGCCAACGATCCGAATACATACGACGACCCGGTTACCGTTCCTGCTGCGGACCTGGCGGACAATCCATACTGGAAGCGAGACGTTCGCCGAGGATATGCGCGACTCAGTGTTGTGAAGCCCGCCGATGTCGTGGGGCTGTTGACGGTTGGCAGCAAGGCGGCGCCCAAAGAGGATGTCCTCCTCATCGGTGATGCGGGGCAGAAGCAGCTGGTGGAACTGAAGGCGGGGGAAAAGGGGTTGGCGGCGTTCTTCCAAGGGAAGGATAAAGCGGTAGCGGACGTGTTGGAAGCCGGTGGACTGCCGCCAATGCCAACGAACATGCATCCAACAACGGGGAATGTGGGAGCAAAGGATTACCGGTTGTTGGCGGAGGCAGAGCAAGGATATGACACTAGGTGAGTTGATATAGTGGCAATCTCTAAAGTCGAATGGGGTGGTTCCAGGAACATCGCTAACATTGGACTTTCAGCAGCTATCCTTGCAGATCGTTTGCATAGCCATTCAGTCTAGATCGGCGTACGGGTGGCTTCGTTCGGGAAGAAGCGACTTCTGTATATATCTGCTTCTTGCAAAGAGATTACCGCCACCTCAACTATCCCTTTCCATTTGAAGTCAGTAAATACTGAGGTGATCTCGTGGTTATGGTAACGTACGGAAGATTAACATTCCATCTGTACGATGTTTCGGGTCCCCCTTTGATTGTGTCAATTGTCCCTCGTAGTTCTTCCAGCCATCCTAGTCCCAGTCCTCAAATTATCGTTCAACTGATGTATTTCTGAATTCTATCATTTCGACCACACAGTTAAGGTACGGTAGGTATGCTCGCAGCAAACTGCAGTATCCTCCAGTGTCGTTCCTTCTCAACTTATACAACACGTGATGCAACCACACAGGCGATCATGAACACTTTCAACTTCTCATCCAAGGCATATTTTAAGATTTTAAGATTCAGGTTTGAATTGCGGTGGCACTGTCACTCCTTCAGGGCCTATACGCGGATATGGAAGGGGAAGATCAAAGCCCGACGACAGCGCACCCGCTGGAATTGATCTTCAGTTGCTCAATCTGCAACAAAACCCTCACGGAAGTGTACGAGGCGATTGATGCGCAACGGGATGGATCGGTGAATCCAGCCTACGATATTGCAACGAAGTTATGGTTTACGGAATGCGCGCATATCACATGTAGCGAGCATCTTGAGGGCGGAGGTGTGTCTTGTCTCGGGCCATATCCTGTCTGCAATCCGTCACAACTGCTGACGATCCAGGTGCGCCTTTTCATCGTGATGGTGAAGCTCCTGTCGCTCCTTGCCCTTTCTGCTCAGCCCATCGCAACGACAGTACGGGAAAGAAGTTGTTCGGGGTGAAAGGGGCACGAGACGGCCAGTACGACAAGCGGATCCCGAAAGTCTTCTTCCAGTTACCTCCTGTCAAACTCCCTAATGACGATACTGAGATGCACGCATTGAATGTAAGTCTTCCGACAAATGGTGCGATAGTAACAGTCGTTGACCGTAGTTAGTTCCACTATGGAGCACTCATTCGGTTCGGATCATCCGCTCTTACGAGTCTCAAGGACCTGCAGTCGAGCTTAGTCTCTGCGAAGAGTAATTATGCGGCTCTTGAAATCGCCCACTTAAAACTTAGAACGGAACACGGAAAGTTGAAGTCCAGAATGGCCTACCTGGACCAACGCGAGAAGGAGATCCGATCTTGGAAGGAGAAAGAAACGACGATTAAGAACTACCTCACGCAGTTCCCAGACATCGTCGAGTAAGTTTGGTCCTCTGAAGGTTTGGATTCTGAGCTAATGTATCAATTGTAGACAAAATGGAATGTTGAAGGCCCAGCTTCTCCGCCTTGGCGTGATGCCAGCAGAATTGACCAGCAACAGCAATGAAAATTGTCTTCGAGGCCAATTCCCGCATACAAAATATAGGCAAGAGGAGAACTTATCGACCGCCATAAAGCAAGGATCTGCCGAAGAAACTGGAATGTCTACGCTCACGGATCCAGCAACGAGCTCCAGTGCAACATTACCAGCGACCAATCCAGTTCATCTACTCAAGCGACCTGTCAGTCGATTTGCTCATCCTATTACACACCAATCTCATAAGAAGAGACGACTAGAGGATGAGGAACTCGATGAGACCATGAGGCACCCTCTATCAAGAAACTCGAGAACATTCAGTCGAGATATGATGCCTCCACCTCCTGTTCCGCCTCAACATCAACCACCCAACGAGATCAGAGCATCACATCCGAAATCCGGGTACCAGGGCCACGAGGAAAACGCTCTCGGGGAAACCTACCCGCCTCAAACAGCTCGTCCTCGACCGGGCACGATGACCCTAGCCGAGCATCTATCACAGTCTAGCAGGCCAAACAGTCGCCTCAGTTCATTCGCTTATGCCACGAAAGAACAAGCTATTGTTTCCCCGGGGGCATTTTCCGGGAGCGCTACGCTACACCTACCTCATAGTCGTCATTCCAGTCGCCCATCGCCTGCAGACTCGGGCTATTCCAGCGGTCGACATGTTCGAGAATCGGTAAGTGACGGGCTACGAGATGTGCTGTCTCCAAGCACTCGTATCTCCGTTTCATCTAGGTATGACGTTATAGCTCTGTCTCACTGGCAACTTCTAACTGGGGTATCAGGGGTGTCAGGAGTTTCAATCATCACTATCAAGATTCAAGACCGCTTGCAAACTCCGGCATCGTGACCCCACGGTTGCAATCGAGCCAGATACAACGCTATAGTAAAGTTCCACAGACACCATCACGACTGCGTCCTCACGGTTTAGTATCAATATCTGGGACACCGAGATACCCTCAAAGCAGGGAATTCTTCAACCAACCCAGGCCAGCTCCAAGATTTCAGCCACCACTTGTGAGACCAAGTCGGCCAAGCTCCATGCAACTGCCTCCACATATACCCAGCCAGCTCGTCTCATCCGCGAATGCCTTATCCTTCATCTCAGAACCCGTACTAGACAACCACGTCGATCAAGTCCCCGACCACTTCTCCTTCCAAAGCACACCACGATCTTACCTGGGCAGCCTCAACATTCAAGAAACACGTCAAATCCCTTCACGATCAGGTATAGCTTATCATGGCCATTGTATCAGAGATACTAACTTCCACAGTGGTCACTCGTGGCAACACCCTTCCATTTACTCGGGCTGCCCCGCTTCCTTCGACGATGCCGCAGGCGACGATGACGCCGTTCAAGTCGGCCGGACGCATGTCCTCGATCTCGTCGGCGTCCAATTCACGACGCTACAGCACCTCCGCGAGAGCGGGGGGCGAGTTTCACTTCGCTCGCCGGATGCCAGCGGATGGATCGTTTGGGGTGAGTTCGGGTCGGCGACTCTACTGAGTGGGGACAAGGTTTTGGCAGTCGACATGCTGTGTCGGGGGATTATGGTGGGTGGTGGTGGAATATTAGCTACACGTTGAGGGTACGTGGTACGAGTCGAAAAGGAGTTGCCTTCGTTGATGGAGGCGTACATGTAATGTGCTTTATAGTTGTGGATTACACAGTTGATAATACCCGATCTATGCTCGGAATATGAAGTGGCGTAGGTGAACAGCAGACGTCCATCGTGTTCTCATCATGTCTGCAATACGATCAATCATGGGCAGCTCTCACGCGATTTTCAAAGGTAATCGTAAATTATTAACTAAGCTACCTACGCTGCAAGATCAAATAGCTTGAATCTTTCGAGGGGGATGAGTCGTTTCGCCAGTCAATGGCGAGGTAGCACGGTTCGCCGTTACCAGCCGGAAGCACAATCACCTGTAGCTCGCTGCGCTCGAAACAAGGGATATTTTTTTGAGGGGGCGGTAACAAACCACGACGTGCAGCGGTTCGGCCATGCTCAAGGAGACTCCACACATAAAAGAAACATAGAGGAAGGGAATATGGATCTGGTATCACCAACAAAACGGATCGCTTGAGCCCTTGAGCAACTTTGCCGCGCTCCTGTGCTTGTTTCGGTTTGCTTTTCACAAAGTACGAAGCGAGGCCATCCCAATATAAAAAACACGCCAGGGGGAACCGTTCGCTTAGTAGCCGTTCGACATGGTCATGCGCTGCGAGTTCCGGCTCAGCTCGCGGTCGGCCGAGGGGGATATGGGGCGGCTGCCGGAGTGGCCGACGGCGCTGCTCTCCTTGAGGGCCAGCAGCTGCTTGGCGCGGAAGGACTCGTAGTGGATTTGCGAGGTGGTCTCAATGAGATCCTGGAGGTGGGTGCGGAGGAGGAAGTCGCGGAGGTAGACGAATTCGCAGTGAGACTCGTCCTCGACTGTGGTTTAATTATATTAGCGGATGGTCTAAGTTATGGTGGACTATTGGGAAGCGTACCGTTGATGACACCCCAGCGGTTCTGACGACCGCGCACCTGCTTGCCTCCGACAACAATGGTCTTTTCCGAGCCGACGACGGCAAACGGGATCATGCTCTGAAAGCGGATTAGCATATGCAGCCGTCGAATATGATGGTGCTTCCTACCTTGATCTGCTGGTTGAGAACTACTTCCTCGTGGTCGTACTCCTCGTTCTCGTACGGATACATGCGCACATTGTGGAACGTGAACTCCTCTCGTATCCTCTCCTTGAAGGCCTGGCGCTCCTCCAACGTCAAGCTATCGCTCTTCGCAATGACGGGCACGACGTTGACGAACTCGGACAGCTTCTTCAGCACCACGATGTCGATGGGCTTCAACGCGTGGCCGGACGGCTGGATGAAGAACAGGCAGCAGTGGATCCGGGTGTCTTGCAAGTACCGCTCACGCTGGGCGGTCAATTCCTTGCGCAGATACGCGCTGTGCTGGTCCTTGATGTACTTGACGATGGGGTCCCAGCAGCGGTCATTGTTGATCAGGTCGCCGTAGCCCGGGGTATCGACGATGTTCAAGCGGAGGCGCACGCCATTCTCTTCGACGATGTGGGAGACGGTCTGGATGTCGGTGGTGCTGCGGATCGGCTCGTCGGGGGCCAGGCGGCCTTTGCTGTCGAGGAGGTGCGAGGCGAAAATGGTGTTGATGAGCGTGGACTTACCCAGGCCGGTTTGTCCTTCGCGACGTTAGAGGGGTGGTCTGGAGCTCGGGATGAATTGGAGGCAACATACCAACGCAGATCACGTTGAATTGGAACCCACGCTTCAACAGCTTCTTCTCGATCTGGGAGGTGATGCTGTCGAAACCGACGTGGGTGTTGGGGTGCACGGTCTGCGGTGCTTGGGTGTTGACGGTAGCCATTGTGGGGGATTTGGGGGGATTGAGCTGCGAATGGATGGAAGACGTTGACGCAGGACGATTCGGATAATGGGATTCCGTATGAGAGTGAAGTCGTAACTCGTTGACGTGGTCGATAGGGGAATTTTCGAAGTTTCTGGGGTTGGACGTCCAAGTCGCGTTTAGGAAAGGGGGTTCAGTGCCGCTAAACCATTTTGAGTAAGGCGCACCTACCTTCAAAAGTTCCATGCCAAGCATCTCCAAAAGTTGAACTTCGGATTTGCGATTGTCGATTGATACTTCCCATCCAAAGAGTCTGCTCCATCAAGGAAACGCCATTGCTACGACAGCTCATGGTCTCGTGACTGCCTTCACATCTCTCAACCGCCATACTTGGGCTCCGATGAATAGCTGCGCCTGGATATTGTGCTGTTGAGATTGCACTGAGGCTTCTTCAGCCATTCGATCGATTCTTCCACCGTCCACCAACAACCTCCATCATGGCCGCCATACCTCTCATACCTTTGCCATTTCTTCGGCATCTGCTACGCCCATTGCACCAAATTGCCCCGCGATATCCGATTTCACCCTCGAGAGCACCGACACCACGGCAATTCCTTCCTGCGATCGCACTTCCGAGTCTAATACCAGCTCTCTCTGGAGCATCAGCGATACTGCGCGAGATATGGGACTCTGTCCTCCGTGCCGTACCCAAGAAGAAGACCACACACTCGAAAAAGCGGATGAGACAGCTGGCGGGAAAGGCGCTCAAAGATGTCAAGTTCCTGGTGAAGTGCCCAGCATGTGGGAGACCGAAGAAAGCCCATTTCCTATGTCCATATTGTGTTCAAGGTAAGGACTCGCGTGGGCCGACCGTACAAGGAGACATCGCTTACACGCTGCTGCAGCAATACGGAGTTACTGGCACCACAAAGAGCATCCACAGAAGCTGGACCAGGAGAGTGAGACCAAGTGAGGTGGCTGGGCCTTGTTGGTTGGATTGCGTTTGGAGAGGTACATGCATGGGGATTTTGACGCGATACATGTACAATACATGGGGTTCCACGTCGATACCCTCACGGTCAGCATTTATGGGCGTCTATCACAATTTTTTCAAGGTTCGTGTTTCGAGCTTCAGAGCATCCCATCGCTTGGGGAATTGCATATAACGTCTTGGAATTCGGGGGCCGCTCATTCGCTGTGGAATAACTGCCTTATCGTTGACTCGTTGTCAACCTCCGATGGAGGAAGATGTCTCCGTATTCCCTTCGTGATTGGTTGCAATGAGGTGATATTCCTTCGCATTGGGCGGGTCATATCGGTCCATCGAATAGCATAAAAGCCACTTTATGTTGGTCTGGATTAACCTTTCTGTATTGCCATCACCAAGCGAAAGTCAGTCGCCACGAGTCATGAGCCAATGTAGCAAAGTTGCTCGAGTGTGGAAAAATGGATACAGTTCAACCTTCAGGTCGGCGATCAACCAGTTGTGGCAACTCCTTCACGAAGACAGCCAATACGGATGACGGAATTATCGCAATTCTGCAGCCATTAGCTTTAGTCTTTCGAGGCTAGACTCACTGGAGACCTGGGCGATGGGAATATTAAGGTAGTTGCCTCGTGGAACCTCTCGGCTATGCATGTACGGAACGTCAATTCACATCGGTCAAAAAATGGTTTGCTCCTAGTCCTCTCCCAACGGCGCAATGAAACTGTTGAAACTCGAAGCATATCACAGATCTGAGATCACTCCACAGTCCACAGTCCACAAGCCTCCTCGGTCCTCTCGTTTAAAGTCTGCACTGCTTGCGTTAACCCACACGGCAGGCGTAGCGTGCAGCCCCAGCCGGGATTGTGCAAGATTATACGATATCTGGTGGGGATGCACCTTTGTGCAATTCTACAAGCCAGATGTCAATTGAGTCAATGCCCTTCCCCATGCGGTCATGCCTGACTTGAAATCTGGATTTATCGATCATCGCATGAAAGCATCCTCCATCATCTCGGGTTGGAATCGTATCTCCAAAGCTCAAGTGATTGTCAGCCATCGTACTCGGCTCCAAAGTTCACGCAAATCTTAACTTTAAGAGGGAATCGCTAAGTTATTATTAATAGTAAATGAAAGTGATGATCCTCTTGCGCCAGACAGTTGGAGTCGCACTTACTGTCGCAAACCTGCGGACTGTACTCCATAGACTCAAGACTGTAATCCTGCGACCTGCAGACCGCCACACACGAAATCGTTTAAAGTTTAAGCTTCTCCAACAGTCCAACTACAGGTCCATGCAAGAAGATGACAGCCGAAAGAGAGAGGGGAGAGACAGAACGAGTCAGGGGCCAGTTTCAGATCCGTGCCATTCCTACATCGCCATGCATTTCATGCAATCGTCCCGTTCTCCTGGATGTGGCAGGCGACAGCACTCATCCCCACATCCGTCAATCCATGATCCACGTCCTCTTCCTCATTAGATCGTCTGAATTTCGATAGTTTCTTTTTCCAATTTCCGCGTGCGATGAAATCCGCACACTAACTTGCACCTTTTATGTTGAGAAGGTCGATGGAGTTTCTGGGCCTTTGTGGGGTAGATCATCTGACTATTCACGGGAATTGACGCTATTGCGACGGTATTCGCGCCGGTTTCTCCGTGACAAACTAGGAAAAGCATGAGGCTGTTCAGTAACCTTAGCGGAAGAACGACAGTACGACACCTGCTCATCGCCCCCCCACTCACGGTCTTCTCAACCGAACGGGTTAGGTACTCTCGCGCTCATGCATAATTCCCCTGGGAAGTTAGACGATCCTTCTTACGTACCAGTCCATTCTACGCCTGAAAGGTCTGAGTCGACGCGGGAAATCCGACAGATTCAGGGACGAAAGAGCGGGGATAGGGGTGAACGAAGCAGGCCGGACCTGAAGTTTATTTCCTTTCCTGCAGGAGATGGTCGCCCATTGACAAAGCCACCTCGAAGCGAGTGTCAAGCGACCCGGTTGACGGCTTCGGATCGTCGTCCTAGAGTTCAGAAGCCTGCTGTCCGGGGCGTGCGTCTGGGGACGATGGTTCCTGTCCAGATTTCCGATGATCAGGACGGTGCTACGGAAATCCTGGTTATATCTATCTTAACAGAAGCCTATTAATCCATTTCTTTTTCATGATGTTTGTTCATCTGTCATCGTCCCCTGGCTTCGTTCGTCCTTTGGCAGTCATTCGTATGATTTTTTTCCTTGACCACGCTTCATCATGTCGCTTGCTCCTCCTGAGGTCATGGCCACTTGGCCGGCGCCGAACTATGTGAACCCTTCGACCATGGTCCCCGCTACTCTGGGCAGCCTCCTCGCGGGCATGGTTTTGATGTTAATGTTTGTCGCTGCGAGACTATATATCCGATTAAATCTGGCAAAAGGGTTTGGAATGGATGACTATTGCATCATGGTTGGTGTGGTATGGCTTCCAAGTGCCAGTCAGTCAACGGCCGTCATTGACATCTCTTCAGTTAGCCATCATCGGCACAACGGTGTTAGCCACCATACATTGGAAGTATGGAGCTGGCTATCACGTATGGGACTTCAAAATGGAGTGGTATGGGGGGTACCAGAAGGTATTTACGACCATCCAAACCATCGAACGCACTTTTTAACGACGTGGTAGATATCTTTGGCAGCCACTACGTTGTTCAACGTTAACGTCACGTTCCCCAAACTGTCGCTCTGCTTCACGTACCTGCGGATTTTCCCTTCCAAAGCGAACCGCATGTTCTGCTACCTAATGATCGCCTTTCTCCTGGGGTTCATGATCAGCATGTCGCTGGTGACGATTTTCCAATGCCTGTACGTGGTGCCTCTTACCATGCCAATGTACTCCTTAGCTTACATCCAAGCAGTCCAGTCCAGTCGTTTTGGGATTTGAGCGTCCCGCCAACAGTGTGTATCAATCGATCGGGCTTCTCGATTGCCGCTGGCGCTTTGAATAGTGCTACAGACTTCCTCATTTACTGGTGGCCATCTCGGGCTCTGTGGAAGATCCAGCAACCGTTGAAGACGCGCTTAGGGCTCGTCTTTGTATTCTCGGTTGGCTCCCTGTTAGTCCGCCTTCCCTGTACGCTTCGAGAAGCATCGTTGACGCAGTCACAGCATTTCCATCGTGGGTGTTCTCCGCGCCTGGTACATCCACCTTATCTTCATCCCTCCAAAAGTCTTCGATCTATTCTGTAAGCCGTCTGCCGCAGCCATGCTCCCCCTTCTATCGGACCTCGCACTAACCTCCCGGTGCAGACGAGGGTAACGTCATCTGGATCCTCGGCGGCATCGAATGGAACCTCGGCATGATCTTCTCCTGCTTCCACGGCATCAAGCCCATCCTCGCCAAGGTCTTCCCCCGCATCTTCGGCACCACCCAGGGCTCCTCCGCTGCCGCCGGCTACTCGGGCGGCCGCAGCAAGAAGTTCTCCAACCGCAGCAGCGTCAAGAAGTCCTTCCAGACCTTGCCGACCGAGAGCATCACCGACCTGGGCGGCAGCCAGTCGAAATCGCAGATCCACGCCATGAAGAGCTTCGATTCCGCCAGCGATGATATGGGGGGGATCGAGTTGCCGAGCCGGGCGGTGAAGTATACCCGCGAGATCACGGTGCAGAGTAATCCGAGAGATGAGGATGAGCGGCATTTGGTCCATAGCGGACCGAAGTATCGTCGAGGGCAGTGGGATATTGTTTGATTATTATGTGTGATGTGTGATGTTTTGGATTGTCTGTCCCTTCCGTGACATGGTCATTTGGTCTCGTTGGTGCCAGTACTGTGTATAGTTCGAGCGCCTGGTGGTCCTTCTACTGGCAGGTTTATGTCCGGCCTTTGCGCCATGTTTCCCATGAGGGTTGGATTGGTGTTTTCCGTTAGCGGCGTCTTGACGAACCGGTGTTTATAACTACTGCGATGGATATACCCCAAAAGGAAAATAGTACAATTAATTTCTCTGAATCCGCCTGTGGCAATTTTAGGTATCATCCCGCTTTAATATTTAGGTTCCCATCGGTTTCTCGGCCCTAAATAGGATGTTTACCACACTTGCTGATCTTCAACGCTAAATTAGGGATCGATCTCATCTAACAAACATACTACGTAGCGATGCTATATTTACAGATGCCTGCATATATCTACCATACTCGATCAATGAGATATACACACCTAATGTTGCCCTGACCTTGCATATAATAGCTGCCTAATCGGTCAACTCATTCTCCCTGACAACTTCCTCCCTCATCTCCTTCCCCTGCCTAGCCAGGAGATTCAACGCGCTCCCCGCTAGGATAAACCCGCACTGATCCGGGCTCAACTGGTGTTTCGCGTTCACCACCCACTCCTCCCCATCTCGCTTCACCTTCAACTGCACCTCCCCCTTCCCCCCGCTCTGGAGACACTCCAACAACCCCACCGTCTCCACCTCATCGCACCCCTTCATCCGATCATAATCGCCCTCATCCGCGAACGTCAAAGGTACGATCCCCTGCTTCTTCAAGTTCGTCTCGTGGATCCGCGCGAAGCTCTTCGCCAGGATCACCCGACCGCCGAGATATCGCGGTTGCAACGCGGCGTGCTCGCGGGCACTGCCTTCGCCGTAGTTGCTATCCGCGACCACGAGCCACTCCTGATCCTGTGCCTTCCACCGCTTCGCTAGCTCGGGGATCGTACGCGCCGAGCCGTCGACGTCGATGGCTTGGTTTGTCGCGCCGGTGTCCGCGTTGACGGCGCCGATGAGGGTATTCTCCGAGATGTTGGGGAGGTGGCCCTTGTATTTGAGCCAGGGGCCGGCGGCGGAGATGGTGTCGGTGGTGCATTGGCCCTTGACGCGGAGGAGGACGCGGAGGGACAGCTCGTGGGTGGGGAAGGGAGGGAAGGGGTCGAGGAGCGCGAGGCGGGATGAGGTGGGGGAGACGGCCACTTCGGATGATGGGTCGGGGATCGGCGCAGAGGGGAGGAATTCGGGATTTCCGGATTCGAAGCCGGCGGAGGGTAGAGCGGTGCCGGTCGGGGGTTCGAACTTGAACGGGGTGCCGGAGGGGGTTTCGATGGTATCGGTGAGTGGGTTGAAGGTGGTGCGGCCGGAATAGACCATGGCCGTGACTAGATCGGGGGAAGCTAGGAAGTTCATCGTTTCGCGGTTACCGTCGTTACGACCGGGGAAATTCCGGTTGTAGGAGGTGAAGATGGCGTTGCTTTCGCCCTTCTTGACATCGTCCGTCCGCGTCCACTGACCGATACAGGGGCCGCATGCATTCGCCAGTACAATGGCACCAGCAGAGGTAAATGTGTCCAATGTACCCGAAGTTGAGACGGTAGCTCGGATTTGTTCCGAGCCAGGGGAAAGGAAGAAGTCAGCCTTAGGTTTTAGGCCCGCTGCTTCCGCTTGCTTAACAAGAGATTCGCAGCGTGTCATGTCCTCGAAGGAACTATTCGTACAGCTACCGATCAAGCCAGCGCCAAATGTTTCCGGCCAGTTGTTTTCTGACACGGTCTCGGAGAATTTGGAGAGTGGGGTAGAGAAGTCGGGGGTGAAGGGACCGTTAATATGCGGCTCGAGGGTCGAAAGATCGATGGTGAGGACTTTGTCGTATTCGGCACCTTTGTCTGCAGTGAGGTAGTTGCGGTCTCCGGCGTCTTTCCCAAGTTTCTCGGCGGCGCGAGCAATCGAGCCTCTATGGGTTGCCTCCAGGTATGGTATGTGGCCAGGAGATAAGGGGAATAGAGACGTCGTAGCGCCGACTTCCGCTCCCATGTTGCATGTCGTTGCCATACCAGTACAAGTTAGAGAGTCTACGCCTGGCCCGAAGTACTCGATGATGAATCCGGTGCCGCCCTACGCATGTTAGACTTGGAACCATTTCTAGGGGCAGCGGTTATATCACCCACCCTGACCGTCAACTCTCCAGCAATCTTCAAAATGATGTCCTTGGGACTTGCCCACCCGCTCAACTGTCCCTCCAGCCTCACACCCAAGATCTTCGGGGCCTTCAACTCCCACGGCGCATCAACCAGCGCATCCACGGCATCCGCACCTCCTACGCCAATCGCGATAGCTCCTAAACCACCTGCGTTCGGGGTATGGCTGTCCGTCCCCAACATCATCAGGCCAGGCGCGGAATAGTTCTCCAACACCGTCTGGTGAATGATGCCCGCGCCCGGAGGCCAGAACTCGATGCCATACCTCTTCGACGCGCTCTCGAGGAAATCAAACACTTCCTTGTTCCCCTTGATACTCTCGGGCAAGTCCACATCCGCGCCGCGCGATCCAACGATCATGTGGTCGCAGTGGATGCTCGCCGGGACGGCGGTGGACGGCAGTCCGCACGACATGAACTGCAGCAGCGCCATCTGCGCGCTTGCATCTTGCATGGCGACGCGGTCCGGCTTGAGCTTGAGAGTAGCATTTCCTCGCACGTTGCGGCCGTTGTCCGTGCCGTCGAGGAGACTCGCTTCGGGCGACGCAAGGTGAGAGTAGAGGATCTTCTCGGCGAGCGTGAGCGGTCGCGCAGGGCCGAGGATGCGGCGGACTTGTTGGAGGTTGTTGACGAGTTTTTCGTAGGGCGGAGTGCGTGCTGCGACGGTTGAGGCGCTGGGATATGGAGACTTGGAGGAGTCGACTGCGGTTGCGAGCTGGCGGGAAAGATGGCGGATGGGGATGGGTTGACAGGTCCGGAGAGGGAAGGCCTACGATGGGTTAGCTGTCGATCGCCGAATCATCGATTGAGATGCTACCTTCGAACTGCCCGAAGGCCATATTCGCGTCCTGCCAGCCATCATTTTGGTGTCTTGCAGCTCAATGCTACGATGTTGTCGTTTCTAGGGTGTTCGAAGTCTGGGGAAGCAAAATTTGGGGATGTCGTTCGTAAGCGACATCGGCCGAACTCTGACTGGCCAGTCAATCTATCTACCCGTTGCGCTCCCGGCTAGTTAATTCTATTTCAAATTTTAATAGGTATCCTCCCGGTTCGATTAAATCATTATTTATCATCCTTTTAGATCTATATTCAATAGGTGGGAAGTAGACAGCTTGGACGACTGCGAAGACATCGTATGGAAGGCGCAATGTTTCGCCACGATCCTTTGCCATGGGAAATGAACCAGAATCCAGATGATTGATTATGCTCTAATATGGTTGAACACAGTTTAGTTGAGGATGCCTTTTAAAGTCCGATTTCCATATAACCGATCAAATTATCCAACACTTGAGGTGTAGCAAGAATGCTCACTGTGGAATGATGCGAAGACGCCCGGCCAGACTCCTCTTGAAGTTGGCAATCTAATGTATGCTCCACTGGGTATCCCGTTGGAAGTGTCCAATTCCCGCTCTAAACAGCAATAATCAAGCCGGCCGCGGCGATCGCAACCGCAGCGAACGATCCGAACTCCCTCCGAGACGCCGCACCTGTCGAGTCGGATGGGTTTGCCGAACCTGACGTACCACTCGGTGATGAGCCTATGGATTCATGTGGATTCGGAGACCCTGAGGGTGAACCCGGGCTTGAGGTGGAGCTCGCGCCTGAACCGGAGGAACCAGCTGGAGGGCTGGTACCGGAGGGGCTTGAGGGGGATGCACCGGAAGCGCTAGAGAGGAAGGAAGGTGATGAAGAGCTGGAGGAAAAAGGAGATGTTAGCGTACCTGTAGGAGTGCCACCAGTATTAGCAGATTCCGACCCGGTTGGGGAGCCAGTAGAGGTTGGTCCGCTGGATGGTCCGTTGGAAGTTCCACTGCTAGAGGCGACGTAGGGCGCTATAGATTGTCAACATCCTTCTGCGATTCATGGCAGGTTCGAAAGAGTCAGCATACAAACTGTAACTCCCGCGGACTTGCAGATCGCCGCAAAGGCACTCTGGGCGTTGTCGTTCTGGCCTCCGCAAATGCTCGCGAGGTTTCCCTGAATTTCGCTCGCTTTATTCTTGCAGATGCCTTCCACGTCGGCCGGGTTGTCCTGGGTGCTACAGTAAAATGCGTGTTAGCCTTCCCTCCTTTCCAAGCAATGTGAACTTGACGCGTACTTTGCGGCGGCAAGAATGCAGGCCGGGGGTGTTGCCACAGCGAATTGGGCGAGGGCCACAAGGGCAACGACAATGAAGGACTTCATTTTGACGGGAGATTCGACGGGAGATTCGATTGGTAAGGGATATAGGCCTGGTTGAAGGAGAGTGGCTGTTCAGTCGGGGAAATCGAGAAAAGGGAGGATTAAAGAATGTACCAAGGGGGTAGAAAAAGGGCAGGTCAGTATCAAGAATAATGATTGACAGGTACAGTGAAAGAGGGACTGAGGTAAGAAAAGAAGGGCAGCTCCGGGAGGCAAAGGATGATGTCGTTGTGGAAGTGAAGTTGGAATCAGTCGACAATCGAGAGCTTCAAACGCGAAGGCGAAAGACGTTGGAGATTGGGATGTGAGGTAACAGGGGTACACGCTAGTCCTGTTTTGGTTAATTCAGGAACATGAAACTTATATGCCTTGTGGCCTCAGGATTGCATTTATCAGCGTCACTTGGAAATCAGTTTTGGATCATGCAAACTACCAATCATATCAATGGTGTAGAGCTTCCATTATAACCTGACTATTCAGTCTAAGTGTCCATACATAGACGAATGAATGTTTGAGTGCTGTTTGTCCGTCCAAATAGACATGGAAGACTACAGCAGGGCGCAGGCCCTGTTTCCTGCACTCGTTATGTAGCCGTTCCTTCCTTCAACAACGATCGAAACAGCAAGACCGTCTATGACCAGTTAACCAACTGTTCAAAGACCGTTAGGAGACTGTTCAAGAAGAATTAGACCGTTGAACCAAGTACTTGGCTACTTAACCATTAAGAAAACCCTATCTTGCGCTCTGCTGTACAGTGGGGATAAGCCAATAAGGCAGCCTCCCAGTAAGGAGCTAGGGTGCTAAGGCGCTCACACATATAGATCACGTGCTCAATTTCTTAGTAAGATATACCACCAGTCCACGACCTCCGGGGTGATTTCAATAAGGCGCTAACAAAACTTCATGCCTGACTGATTATGCTGATGAGGCGGCAAGGCGACGATCTTTAATGATGGTCAGATCGGATTGGTGAACAATTACATGAAAGGCGAAGCTAATCGACGCGTCCACATGCGCCCTTCAACCCGCAGCTGTTCCGGATGTAGAAAACACACTTCAAACTATGCTGTCAATCAATCAGTGAATAGTTCTGTCCATCAGGGCGAAATCATGGTATATGAATGTGTTTTGTCGAACCTTCCCTTCGGCATCTTCCTGGTGTAGACAATCCCAGATATACGCTGCATGTCAACTTACAACATCACACTTGTCTGGAAAGATCATGTCAAAGGCCGGAGACAAAAGGCCTAACTTGCTGGAAGGCAAAGTGTCGCCGCCTCCTGGAAAAAGACGACAAATATCAACAACGACTCGTAAGAACGGAGCTCCCAAACGAAAGAAATAGATATTGACTATGAGGTAGAGAAAACGGTCGCAAACTTCTTTACCCCGTCATCTCAGAAGCTGCCAGATCCTATCAAATGGCGAGAAGTCAATGGGAGCCTTCTCGTGGGACGGTTTTCCGACTTTTCGCCCAAGCAAATCCACTCCGCTGATGGCGCCAAGATTAAAGTCGCCGCTTTTGACTTTGTTCGTACCGTTGGGACGTCGTTGGATCATCATGGCTAACTTATTGAAAGGACTCAACAATTATTGCTCCTTTGTCGGGCAACAAGTTCGCTCGTGATGCGAATGATTGGAAGTGGTGGCATCCATCTGTGCCTGGCATCCTGAGATCTTTGCGAGACAAAGGGTAAGTTTGGGTCGGTCCATCTACCCACCTCTACCAAACTTCCTTTACCGTCCAAATGGGACTGACATCATGTCCGGAGCAGGTATGTTCTTGCGATAGTGAGCAATCAAGGAGGAATCAACCTAAACCATAACCCCAAATTGCCAAAGGCGCACACGAAACGCCTCCATGACTTCAAGTCGAAGGCTGCGGCCGTACTTACGCAGCTTGACATTCCGACCATAGGGATCTATGCGGCCACCGCGAATGACGTGCACCGGAAACCAAGGCCTGGGATGTGGAGGGAGTTCTTGAGCGACTCCGACCTGGAGCACGATGACATCGACCTGGAGGAGTCATTGTTCGTAGGAGACGCGGGCGGGCGCACCGCAGAGGGCAAATTGAAGAAGGATTTCTCATGTTCAGACCGGTATGTTGGCTTTCTATATCATCTTCTCTTAAGTGTCGAGGCGTCTCGAGCCTAACCTCATCCGCTCGTGCGTACAGGAACTTCGCCGCCAACATCGGCCTCAAGTATCTGACACCGGAGGAGTTCTTCCTCAATGAAGAGCCTCGTGTGTTCTTGAGAGTCTTTGACCCCATCAACTACGTCGCCAAAGATGCGATCAAGAACGGAACTGGTGAGTTTCGCATAAATCTCCGCATAAACCCCCGCATAAACCTCTGTTCGCCAAGCGAATTCCGGATTCAATAGCCATGAGCATTTGACTGAGAGTTCCCAGTTAGCGTCGAGTTATTCAGCAAGACCGATTCATTGGATATCGTCCTTTTCTGCGGCAGTCCAGGGTGTGGAAAGTCAACATTCTATTGGAAATACCTTCAGCCACTGGAGTACGAAAGGGTCAACCAAGACCTGTTGAAGTCGGTATGCACCTCCATCAGCACAACACATGAGCATGGCATAAAGCAGTGGCTCAAACAGCTAGCTTGTTTGACATGCTGCGAAAGCCCCTCCATGGCTGGTAGCTCGGCTTCGAGCCTTGCGTAACCCTCCACAACATCTGGAGATATGCAGTGGCTGACTTGGCGAACAGAGAGATCGGTGTTTAAAAATAGCGTCGGAGTACATTACCGATAAGAAGGTCTCTGTTGCTGTCGGTAAGGAACTCCCCGAAAACTCCCCTTTCCCGCTTTACATTGCCCAGCAACCATATGTGGTAATCTAAGACATACATATATTGGGACCTGATGTCTCGGGTTACAATCAACAAAGCGGCCACATGTTTGGTAGACTAGAAGACCTAACGACGGTGTCCAGACAACACGAACGCGGACCCCGAGACACGAGCCCATTGGGTCCATCTCGCCAAAAAGCTGAACGTGCCTATCCGATGCGTCCTGTTCACTGCGCCCTCAGAGGTATGCGAGCACAACGATGTCGTGCGAGCTTTAAACCACGAGGAGGTATGTATACTCCCGCGACATATTCCGACTTCCAGTCCAGGGTCGAGATCTGATTGGACTCGAGTCCCCCAGATGATGGTGAAACAGTTGGACAGGAATCACGACTAACCCGTTTCTGTTCTATAGATGAACCCTGAGAAGCGAAACATCTTGCCGAAGGTTGCATTCGCGGGGTTTGCGACACGATACCAACCACCGAAGCTCGAGGAGGGCTTTCAGGATATCGTCACGGTGAACTTCCAGGTGCGTATGAGCGGTTTTCCAAGGCGTTATTGCGAAACGTTTCAACAATTTATCGGTCTCACATTGTCCTCGCGATTTCCTTGCTCGTTCGTTCACGAACTATGGCATTGTTTCTTGCTCGTCCACCCCCTCTTGTCCACGAACCTCGACTAACCCTAATCCCCGCTTGTCAACAGTTCGAAGGCACAGCAGAGCAACGGCAGATATGGAGCCATTATTGGGTTTAGTGCCAGGGACTGGTTCGCTCCCACGGCCGAGGATACCTGTGGTTTCCGATCAGATGCATCTTCATACCGCAGTGCATACTCGTCCTGCGCCATGTGTGGATGGCAGAGGAGGAACGAATACGCGGCGGCCACGCCGACCAATCTCGAATGAATGACCGTTCTACACAGCCTAGCTACCTCTGCTTCCAGGGTGACGTGGATCAGGTGGTTTCTAAACAATGAACACTTGTTGAGGGCACTAAGGCAACAACCTTGACAGCAGTTCTGCCATTATTGACATGGAGTGTTTTGTTGTCCGTGTCGTCCTGAACACGATGGGCACGCCCACGGCCTCACAGCATTCGCCTTCTGCAAAACATCTCATCTTGCACAATTGTAGCGCGGCATAAGCGTATTCACATATCCAATAGTGCCGGCATGTCGTCTCGAAGGAGATATCAATACTGAGTGCGTCGTCTGAACCTGCGACATCCAGATGGCATTACGGCTGTTTGGCCATGAAATCGACAAGCCACTTGCAACAGCGTATGCCGTTGCCATAGTGTTGATGACCGCCGGAAAGCTCATATTGTACAGACTAGGACACATACAATATCAATAACAGCGCTCAATTCTCCGGTTGCACGCTTGGAGAGTCGTCGGAGCTCGCCGCAAGCAAGAACCATATCGCTGCCCATGGCCTGGAAAGGAGGCACAAGATCAACCGAAATCTCGACTCTCGTTGCCTCCTTCTGATAGCTACCAATGCCAGTGTAAGCTTAACTTGACAGCAAGGAGTACACAGCTTCCTGTCCCCAAATGGACCACGCCATATGAACGACGGGGGGGTGGTTGTCTATGCGCTACAATTGCATCTTCGCCACGTCCTTCAATACCCTCTGTTCCCCGTTCTTTCTATCTCAGCGATCAAACAGTCAAAGAGGTACAGGTACGGTTACATATCTAGTAACTTGAACCGGTTCAAAAGGGTAAGGGAATCCTCGACCTCTCCCCTTGCATACCTGTAAGGTACTTGTGAACGATTACTGTCGTCTCGTGCTTCCCAAACGCCAGCAAGATATTGATCCGCGTCGTTCTGATCGTCGCTTTGTGCCTGCTCGCGGCTTGCAACAATGACCAGCGCAGGAGAGAGCGTTTTCGTGCGCTGCGACTAGGCATTCAGGATAGGAATATCGATTGCCCAGCCTTGCGCGCCAGTAGGGAAGTAGGGACGGGATTGATATCGAGATGTTTTGTTTCCCTTGCTATCTGCCTATCTACCTGCCTGCCTCCGCTTTCGACAGCCCAACAACCGTACGTCTGAAACAATCGGTCCCTCACGACACGGCCGACGAGATCTAGACAAACCCCATCCGCTTTTCCCTGGTTTTGGCTCGCTGCAAAATGCAGGAAGGAGCGACGAGATCTGTCTGGTTCCGAAGGCTGGTCTTTGTCTTCTCGCGAAAACCGGTCTCCATCTGCATCGCATGGCATCGCATGCGCCCCGAATCGCGGGAGAGGTTGGGGAAGGGCGTAGTAGATGTGTGTGACCGATGGCATGATAGTCGCTCGCCCCACTTCGGGACGACGGTGGGCGATGGGCTGTAACATGGCGAACACGGCAGATCTAGACGAGGCGGAGAGGCGTGCGGCAAAGCATCGACATGAAAGACATCAAGGCAATGCTATACTCCATCCTGCCCTATGTATCATGTACCCCATACGCCGTCACTTGTCGGTTGTCATTTGTCAAAAATGGTTGGGGTTGGGGTTTGATATCATGTACGGCGCTGAAAACCATGGATGGATTATGAAACCGATGAAAGGGATCAAGCCTCACGAATCACGAAAAACCCATGATCCATGAGCCCATCGCCTCCGTTCTCTCGGGCCTCGGGGCGATGTGTGTTCCTGGTGACGCAAGAGGCGGGAGATGGACGATGAACGATGGACGAATGACGATGGACGAATGAATGGACGACGCTGGGCATTGGTAGGATGTCACGTGGTTCCGCCTGCAGCAAATCTGCGATCGGGGAATCGACCCGGACAAGGGAGAGCGGTTGTGGCCTTGTGGCCTGCATGCGCTCTCCATTTTCTCGCCTTACAGCCGAAGTGATGCAGGATGGTTGGTTCTCGATTCTCAATTTTTCCAGCGCATTGATGTTGTTGGGATTTTGCGACTTGGGGGTTTGGGCGCACGACATCGGCTTTCCTCTCCCTCTTCTTCCGGTCGTTGACTGTCCTGCTCCGAAATCGTTTCGGACCATCTGCGCGGCGCGGGAGATGTGCCCGCAAATGCCATGAATCCCCGGTTTTTTTGCGCTGACTGCTTGCTTCTCGCATGTTCTGCGAGGATCCGGGATTGGATTGCTGGCGGTTCCTGTTTGGTTTCACGATGGGAAACATAGCTGTCATCGCCCATTTCGCTTGGGGTTTACCGCTTTGTTCCCGTCTTATTCCATTTGCCTATAGCGTCGTCAATTCGTCATTGGGGGTTGAATTGGAAGCGGATGACCACATGTCAACTTTCATCAGTGGCATGCCTTAGCACTCTAATCGTAGGGACTAGGGAGGGTCTTCACTCTTCACGCGACGCACATGTGATACCTGGCTCTTTGAAGCTTTGAGCCGGTGGCACGCTTGCCGGCGAACCTGCCACGCCCATTGGTCTACCCCTCCCACCCAACGTTGGTCGGCGGTAGCGAGGAAGTCCCTAACGAGCACGGAAAACGTGGATGGCGGCGATGGGGTGCCTGGTGGCTGGTAGCCGGTAGGGACCGGGCTGGGGGGAGGCGCTGGCCGCTGGGAGGATCGTTGCATCGCTGTCCGTGGGCGTGGTTTAGTGCAATTGGCGTATCGGGATTGTGAGAGCTGGGACGCTGGGAAAGGAAATCCTACGAGAGGGGCTGGTTTGTTGGCGGTTGGCGGTTGGCGGTTGGCGGTTTTTGGGCAAGCAGAGGAACAGGTACGGTGGTACTCCTCCGTACCATGGCACAACTTCATGGTGATTTATGAGTTGTGCTGATGCCGTGCTGTGCTGGCAGCGGGCTTGTCGTCTTCTGCTGTCATCTGTGATTTGGTCTGCTGTGCGATAATGGCGACATGTGACTATGTGAGTTGTCCGTTGGTTAGTTGACGACTGACTTCGGTGACTTGACCGACGAATTGTCCGAACACCTCTCCACGGCGGTTGTCATGAATTACCCTTTCCGGTTGTCGCCGCACATGCGCAACATGACCGCTCGTGTACCCAACGTCGAGACCATCATGGGCGCGGACGATTGTGTAGGGCATGACGACAAGTACTCACACGATGTAGACTTCATACTACGGCATTATATCGTTTCAAAAAATTCAAATCGCCTGGATCCTTTTCACCCAGGGATCAAGCATTACTCCTCAACCATGTGCTCCAAAATGCCCCATACGTACGCCAAGATGGCCGGGAATATTTTTGCTGCTGAGGATATCGGATTTTGGGCTTGGGCCTGTGGAGGTCAACCCAGGCAAAAATTCGTCACGATGTACCCACTGTACAGTCGTCGGCTCCACCTTCCATTGAAGCAACTCGAACCGGAGAAAAGAGGAGGGAAAAGTGGGATATTTTGGGCTGTAGGGCCGAGCGTGTGGAGGTCATCTTTGTCCAGACCTCATTGCTCCACCAGCCCGGCCGGCAAAACGGTTGAAATATTTACGTGCTTTCGATGGCCCTGACTGACCAATTGACCAATTGATCAATTGACCATTGAGTCGCGACCGGCATGAAACGTTACCGGTGTGCAGTATGGAATGCCTAATACCTCGGACCGGTTTTCACCAAGGAGAGCCGGAGTGGATGCATAGAGATGGGCAAGTGAGATATTATGTGATATGTCGGACCATTCTCACACAGCAGAAGTTGACCTGCCATCCCCTTGTCAAGACTCCGTCGGAGCAAGAAAAGGCTCCCGTGGGTCAATAGACAATAATGTCTGTTGGGACTTTAGATATGGAGAATCGTGGTCTAGACATTGTTGATCCTCTCCGCTTCTAAACAGTTTGGTTGTCCACTGTATTATTGTAGTTGGTTAGAATGGGGTATCCTTTTGTCCCTTCTCCTGAGTCAGGGTAGGTCAGCCCTAACCCCTAGAGCAGCCTCGTAAGTCGTAACATAACTTTCAGGTACAATATACGCCACCAAAGTTTGATGTCATCTTTCGCCAGACACCGATGTAGGAGTTCTCCAAAAGAGTATTTCCCCCGGCCGGAGTAGCGAATGAGATACTAACCGGTTACCGCGTCATGATCCCCTATCCCCATGCTGCAGGAGTCAGAAGTGCGACAGGAACAAGTAAGGTGATGATATGACGAGGTGGTCACGGCTCTTACGACTCCAGCGTGCCGTGTGCGTTGTCAAATGTCAACTCTGTCGATTAGCAGATTCCCCAACGCCCGCTAGAGACAGGAGATGCAGGTGGAAAGGACCGTTTAACAGACCCAGTGGGGACAGGATGGTTCAGTTAGCGTCTGATTATTGGGAGGAATTCTGGATTTTTCACGGCGATATCCCGGTGATTCGCTTGAAATTCCCTCCCCGTCTCCCGAGCAAAGGGGACGAAGTGAAGAACGCAGGGGGGCCCCTGGAGCTGGAGGAATATTACAATATTTACAACATTACCGGTTCTCATTGCGATTTGCCTTATCATATATGGTGGGAAAAGCCGCTTGTCACTTCGGACTATCGCTTATACGTCAAAGTTGGTAAAGAAAGAAAAAGCCGGTGGCCATGATTCTTTCCGACTTCTTCTGCAGCCGCATCCATCCATCCCACGCACTGCGCACTGCGCACTACGCAGGAGTCGCACTTCTGGTCGCAGACACCGCAACGGAGAACTGGGCGGTTGTCAATTGCTTTAGTTAACTTAGATCCTTGGTTAGAAGTTAGATTCTTTTCGACCATCTTGTCCGACTGTCCAATTGTCCAACCCACCAAATATCCCTTCTCTTTCTCTCTAAAAGTCCGGACAATTGAGGTGTTGCCAGCACGTAAATCCCAGCACTGCGGAACCGCCCGTCATCTCAATTCCCAAATGAGTCAAAAGTCATAATATCGCCCTGCACCGCCCATCACCATTTTTCTCGTTTTCCAGTTCCCACACTTCCACCGCAGTACTGAAACCCACGTCCCTCCCAGTCGCTCTTTCGTTTCCATTTCCAGCTATTTGTTGATCAACATTCGCTCAAAACAACTGCGGAAAAGGGAAAATCCTGGGTTTGTCAACACCACCGTGTTTTCGGTTTCCAGCACACTTTCACCTGACCATACACACTGGACCACCGTGCCACCGTCTTACACCAAAACTGCAACACATCCACGAAACATCTCAATCCGGATTGGTCGTAAACACAAGACCAACGACTTCCCCTACGAAAGGAAGCCAATCGAAAAGGATTGCGTTGCAGACGGTGCCAAATCCATCGACTCAGGCTCGCTTCAGGCTTGGTTGAACCCCAAACACTTCGAGCAACCGGGCAAAGTCACTCAACCGGCCTTTCAAGCCAGTCACGACGCATCAACGTGTTCAATAAACTCCTATCTCGCTCTCTCGATCGTGGCACGTCGAAATCGATACCTTCGCGCCACTCCGCTTCGCACCCGTCGTTCGCTTCTTCGCGATTCTTCGCCAACATCACTCATCCAACCTTCCACACGCAAACCCGGTTTTATACGCATTTGGCTGGCGACTCCTTTCGTCGGTTCCGTTTTTTGTTCGGACCCTGAGACCGATTACGGCGTGACAGCGGCCAACAGCGAATCGGTGCGTGGGGACGCGAAAGGGTTCAAGGGACATCTTTCATGGGGCGGTAGCGGTACCAACTTGGGTCCCAGACGGTTGAAGTGCAAGTGGCATAACAAAAGTTGTACCCGCCACTGCCACTAAGAAAGTGAGGTCTGCACCGGTGACATTTTGGATTTAGGTGAAGATTCAAGCGCTCTCAGCTATATTCGACTCGAGATCTACCACTGCGACGATTTCTTCCCTTTTCATCTTATCATTTTCCGTCACCAGCATCGCCATCATTTCACGGTGGGATTCTCCACGAGACCCTATCAAATCACCAAGGGTCAACAGTCGCGTCTGTGCACATCCTTACCAGAGCTCCTTGAGCTCTATTCCTGGCAATAATCCACGATCTTAAGCCCAGGTGCACGAGACGAACGATTGAAGGCATATGCATTCGCCATGCGTGAATTGCGCCCTCTAATTTTGCCGGAGCGCATGTCGGGTGCCTCCGTTCCAGCGAAACGGAACAGCAATCCGAACCCTCCAAGAAATTCCTCGCAAGACGGCAACCTGAACCTTGGTGCGACCGCCCCGCAATATGCTGGCATCTCATCATGGGAGTCGCTTCCATCCATGAGCTCGGAATGCTCAACGCCATTGACACCAACGTTCTCATTGCGCGGTCATTCACGAATACCAAGCGCTACCTCCTCTCTTTCTTCAACGTCACCGTCAACCGAGCAATTGGAAGGCGCCGTGGTACGCGCACCAAAGTTGACCCAATTGAGGGAGGATCCCTGGGAGGGAGAGGATGAACACGATAGAAACGAAGTCCAGGACGATTCCAAAAATGCGTCACGATCGAGTGTCATCCATACGCAACCCCATGAATTCGACTTTGCGGACGGTTTCTTCAACGAAGACTTCGACAGCATCTCGCCATATTGCTCCAAGAAGGATCGGTCGAGTAATACCCAGCTAGAGCTAGTCGTCAATCGACTCGGCACCCGTTTCTCAAGACGACGGCGAAATACTGCCCGGAACTCCCAAGGCCCATTCACGCTGTCTGCGGCGCCATCAACACGGTCATCGTCGCTTACGAGCTCGGTGAAATCCGGGTTCGAGCAAGGCGATTTCTTCCCGAACCTCGATCCGCAAAGTATCGAGCCGCATCCGGACCCCTCCGATGGGGAGCAAAGGAGAACGAAAGTGCCCAAGGAGATCATCATACCGGACCGCTCCATCGTGGAGCCCATCGATCGAGAATTGCTAGCGTCGACTCCGCTCCTCCCACCGCTCCTCAACACCAACGATCAGGTCAATGACGATGTACCCTCACCGCTCCAGTCGCCCACTGTCGCCGATCCGAATTCTCCCATGTCCATGGTCCTTGGCCCCTCCGTTGAGCTCCTTCCCCTCCCCGCCGTCTCCGCCGACGTCACCTGCACCTCGTCCCCGGCCCTATCGACCCGCCCATCTCTCACATCCATCAAGCAGACCTCCTCGCAGCCCTCCTCGTTCCTCATCTCCCACCCGCGCGACGCCTGGTCCACGCGTCTCGGCCACGCCAACTTCACCATCGACCCCGAGCCGTACGTCCCCGACGATCTCACCCCGCCGACGTACCGCCAATTCCTCAGGGACTGGTCGATCGCGCGCGGGAACTATACCCGCCACCAAGTGCGCACTGCCGACCACTTCGGCCCCACCAGCAAGGTGTTCAAGCTCACCGAGAAGAAATGGGCCGAGCTGGACGCCGAGTGGCGCCAGAACTGGCGGACAGTGCGCAAAGGCGTCGCGAAGAACTCGCTCGCCTCGTCGTCGAGCAGCGAGATCGACACGGCGGCGGAGAAGCACGTCATGTGGCTGGTAGACGACGAGGAGGTGGACGAGCCGGATGCGTTGGACGTGACAGCCCCGGCGCCGATGCCCATGCCGAACGTCAGCGCGGAGGAGGCGGAGGGGAAGTTCCCGCGCCGAGGCGACGAGGATATCGTCGGGCCGATGGTGCGGGTGCAGTCGAAGTCGGTTCAAGGAGCCGGGACGGGAGACGCGAGAAAACGGTGGTGGAGGTTGTGGACGGGGTGGAAGGCATCGAGGCAGGGGAGACGGTGACGCGAGGAGGATACCAGCGACGATTTCATTTGTTCACGACGATCACGATCTAATAGACTTTAACGGGACGACCATCACGATATGGGATCGATACGCGTCCGAGGATATCCCATGCAGCTCATTTACCGAGGAACCAACATATACACCTCACGATATACACTATTCTTCCAAGCGCCTAGCACGAGGACTAGACGGCTTCGCTCGCTCGCTCGGTGTTCCCGGACCCTACCCAAAACATGGAAACGGGCAGGAAAATGCGCGCCAAAAGTCTGGAGATTTTTCTTTCAGGGAAATGTCCTTTCTCGACTCCTGGGGCGGCACGCATGGTTGTACGATATCCTTTTGCCCTTATGATATCCCCTACCCCTTTAACAGCACGGAACGCTGGAGGGATTCTCCTTGGTCGGTGGCTCGGCCCGCATAATGAGGCAGTGGGGGCCGTCCCCGTCCTTGACGGCGGGCTTCTTCAGCGGCTTAATCCATTGATGCATTGGCATCTTAGGTCGGCGCAGGGGATGCGGAGCGGTTAAATGTCCGCGGGAATGGTGATATCCATAAATCAATATCAAACGATAATTTCAGGTGTTGTTCAGGACGTGAATTTGTGATTGAGGTTTAGAAATCTTGCTTGTAGTTTGGTCATTGATTGCGCTTTTGGAACGGATCAGTCCTCATAAGCAGCTGCTCCAGCCATCCAAGGAAACGTCCCATGGAAATCCTCCCTCCCACCACCTCACCGCACCCTCGTATCCATCGCCAACCGATCCGGCACACTCAACGCCACCACGCCCTTCATCTCCGCGCGGAACGCCTCTAGCTCCGCCGTCGCCGCCTGGATCAGCTCCGGCTTCGCCTTGTCCATAGTGCGGACCGACACCTCCAGGGTATACGTCCCCGCCGGATCCAGCAGCGGCAGCTCCGCCAGCTGCAGACATGCGTCGTTTGGTAGCGATGCGAGCACGGTCGGCATCGGGAGGAGGGAGACGCGATGGATGCGGATGAGGAGGTTGCCATGGACGAGGTGGTGGCCGCTGAGGACGTGATGGGAAATGAATCTAGTGAAACGGTGAGCTGGACATATTTTTTCTCCTTCGGTCAATCCGGTTGGCGAGGCAGCACGTACTCATACCCCATCCCCTCCGCCCACGCGCCTATATCCCCTTCGATCCGCGTCGTCTCCACCACCGTCCGAACCACCACCGGCCGCTGCCCCGGCTCCGGCACCTCCTCCACGCGCATCGTCCAGATCCCGCTCGTCTTATCTTTCCCCGCGAACTTCACCTCCATGGAATTCCCCAGCTCCACCGCGCTGCTCTCCGTCCCCGCCTCCGGTCCCGTCGCATCCTCCTGCCGTGACGTCCGCCGCGACCGGTCCGAGCGACCCGCGGGCCCGAGTTCCTTCGACACGCGGCAGATGGACAGCTGCTCGGGGGGAGCGCCGGCGCGGCTAGGGGAGCGGGCGGTACGGATGTCCTGGGAGCCGCCGAGGTGGGTTGGTTTGGCGGGGGGAGGTTTGGCGGGGCGGAGGAGGACGTTGTGGGAGTTGTCCGGGACGGGGCTCATGGCGGTGTGGGCGGCGAGGATGTTGAGGAGTTGGAGGTGGCGGGAGGAGGGGATGGTGCCGTAGAGGAGGAGTTCGATCATGGTGATGGATGGTGGGGGTTGGGGACTGTGGAGGATGGTTTGGCGATGGGACGGTCGAGAATTCGGAGGGAGTCTTTAGCGATGGTGGAGGTGATGGATTCAGCTGTCTATCCGCTGGACGGAATATGTAGCCTAGACATGCCAATGAGTGAACTTTGATGGTATAGAGATATGTCGAATATGAAGTAGGCTAAAGGACATGGAAATAGAAATGGAAACCACTGGACTCGGAGTGAATTGTAAAGGAATCATTGCAACAATAATACCTGTTCCATAGGAGGGTCTCAATAGACGTGCTCACAATACTACGGACGTTCCTATTGTCCTCTGCATCAAGACTCGGTCCGCATTCAATTCATGAAGCCATTCGCAAACCAGCCACTCATAATAAATCTCATATTAATCTCACATGCTCCGATAACGACCATGGTCCATTGAGACGAACTAGGCCAACTCCGAAATCCGCAGCGGTTGCGCCAGATGATGTGCTGGTGCTGACTGACGGGGGAGGAGGCGGCATGGGCGCCCCACGTCGGAACTGTAGCAGCAGCCAGCGCCAGAAGTTGGATGATCATCACCCGAACCATTCCAACCGCAGAAGATTCAGCACCACAATAATATATTCCACCACCATCCCTCCCAATTCCCCAGTATCTCCCCCAACTTCTGAATCTTTCGCTTCCTCACAACCTCCCTCCGTCATCCAACCTGCTCATCTGTCTTAATTCTCTTCTTCGCCGTCCGAGACGGCTCATCGTGCCTCTAGACCTGCTCCGCGGCCCCTGTTCTCGTTGATATATCCCGTTCCGATTCGCTCCGATCCTTCCGAGACGGATTTCCAACCTTTCCAAAAGTCACGATGAACGCGACGCGACGGCTGTTGCAGCACAGGCAGCCCATGATTCAGTTCTTGGGGAAGAGAGCCACTCCAGCCAGTACGTAGATCGAATGGGTAGCCCTACCGTAGATATCGCTCCTATGGACTCCCCTCTATGGGCTTATCCACCTCCATTCCACCCTCCAACTCATCCACCCAAACTCAATCCTACTCCCCTTACTAACCCCCTCTCAGCAATCGACCATACCCCCCACCCCCACCCCGAATCCCCCACCTCCTCCCTCCCCAGCACCTGGAACTCCTTCGCGTCTTACCGCCAGAAAGCCCAGCAGCACGGCCCGCTGAACGCGCCCCCGCCGCCCGCCCGCCACATCGGCGCCCACCCGGGCAAGGACCTGGGCCCCGTCGCGCCCGCGCGCGGCGAGCTGTTCGACCGGAGCGAGCTGCCGCGCCGGTTTCAGCGGATGAAGTGGTCGGCGGCGGAGATTGAGGCGATTGAGAGCGGGGGGGCGAGTCTTTTTGCCTAGATGGTGGGGAGGGATCGCGGAATGGAGCGTTAGGATGCAGAGAGGATAGATGGATCTGTCGCTGGGCGATGGAGGGGGGTGGGGCGCCGTGACGGGATGGATATCCGGACATCTGGAAGGGGAATACCCTCAGATTAGATCACAGGACGAGTTACCTACCCCCACCGAATTATATATACCCTTCTATAGAGGTTTGGTTTTGAGGACCGGTGGGCGGAATGCTTGCATGATGGCGGGACGGAAACATACACGACTACGTACTCAGTCAATTGATATTTGATTATCATCATCCGCTCGACACACGTGTTCGGTGGTTTACATGCTTAAGCCCAGGATCCCGTCGATGTAGCTCCGCGCATCCACACCGATCCCTTCGGCCAGTCGCTGCGGTGGGACGGGCACCGTCGAGTGTGGAGTCCGCTCCGAAGTGCCGAAGTTGAACAACCCCATTCCCATGTTCAGGCTCGTGCTTCGGGTGTCTTTGGCCGACGCGGCGGCATCCCCAGCCTGTCGGATCAGGATGGCCTCCTTCACCAGTTGAGATGGGCGCTGCCGCTGTTTTGATCCTTCCGAACGGGATTCGCTGCTTGTGTGCTCGGTTTCGGATTCCATCCCTGTCGACGGTTCGCTTGTGGCAGGCTCAGTGGTTGAAGAACGGTCTGACTTGCTCCCTTCCCCAATCTTTGGGTCTACCTCATCATTCGAGGCAGCGGTCAGCATCTTCATCCACACCACCCACCAGCCTCTCGACGTGCGACAGGTCCGCTCAACCTCCTTCTCGCCTTCGCTCCGCATGCTCCAATCCTCGTTCGGCTCTCCCGGGTCATAGTCGTGGTGCCGTTTCCTCGTCGCGGCGATGGTGGCGATGATCTGCGAATGGACGTGGAGCGCCTCCACGCGACTCCAATTCGGGGGCTGGGTCGCCGGCGGAGGGACGTTCAGGATATGCATCGGGTGTCGAGGGTGGAGTTCAGGGATGTTCGGGATGCTGGTATGCGTGCTCATCGTCGTCGGGTCGTGAACGATATGATAAATCGGATGTGGATTCCGCATCCTCGATGTCTTGGCCGTGGCAGGCGACGGACCGTACGTGGTGCTCGTCGTTTGCGCGTGGGGCGCCATGGCGATGCGTGCGGCCAATCGAACGGGAGAGGTGCTATTGCTCAACGGCTGATGGAGCGGGGAGAAAAAGGCGTGGAGATGGCGGTAGAAGGTCGAGAGGGAGAGAGACGGGGTGGAGGGCTCGAAGAGAAAGGCGTAGATGAACGGCCGGTGCTGGAAGGGGTCAATTATGCGTCTGGACCGAGTTGCACGACCAAGCTTACCACGTATACAACAACACGCACTTGTAGTCTCGTCCCTACGCCGCCATCCCCCCCAGGTTCAACTTCCTCTCCCTCTGACCCCAGTTTCCCAGATAGTTCGACCTGCAAGGTCCGCAATCGCGTCCGGTTGTCCCGCTCGTCGTTCGAATCCGATTCTTCATTGTCCTCGAACGGCGAACTCGCGTTGGCGTCCTCGTCGTCCTCTTCGAGGTTGCCTCGCAGCCCAATGATAAACTGCCCGCGGTTCTCTTTCTGCACTCTGGCTCGTAACCTGGTCTCGATGTCGTAGGGGTCTTCCTCTGGCTGCGGCTCAAGGTGTCGCATCTCCGGCGAAGTGCTCTCCTCGGCAAGTCCGTCTCGAACCGACTTGGGCTTCGTCGACACGGCTTGTGATGCCGTGGAAGTATTGTCCGTGTTTCCCCACCCGGACTTATAGCCCAAAGTCAAGTACCGTACCCAAGTATCCGGATCGCCAAGCGAGGTTGCCCCCCCGGCACCGGTCGATTGCGGCTCTGTTGGCTTTTGTCCTTCGGCCTCGTTCAATACCGTGTCAAGGGATCTCTCCACCGGGGACACAATCGGCCGAGGGATTCCGGGAGCATGGCCTTGAGCCTTGGGTACGCCCAGTCTGCTTGATCCCGAGGTAGATCGCTGACTTTCTGGGCTCCGGCTAGGTATGCGGGAATTCTTCGCCTGCCGTCTGTCCGATCGCTGACTCTCTTTGGCACCATACGCACTCTCGCCGTAGGAGTATATCCATTCCATCCAATGCGAGACGTCGCGAATGGAGCCCCGGGTCAGGTTTCCCACTCCTGAGAATACGATTCCGTCATTCGGCCCTGGATACCGATTCGTGCCCATCCACGGCTCGAGTTCACCGGGATCTTTCGCGTTGGTTTTCTTAGCTGCATTCCGTCCTTTGCGAAGCTGCACCTTCGATGGTTCCCCAAAGCGCGAAATCATGACATCAACCAGCCCGTCGGTTCGGCTGGCAAAGTCCTCAAGCACCTCTCGCTCTCCGCTGCCCCATTCCTCTTCTCCAACCCCCATGCCTAGCTCGCCTCCCGCGGCCAATTTGATGCCATCGAACACGTCCACGGCGGGACTCCCATGTAGCATGACATCCCAGTTGCTGCAAAACTTCGCCCAGAACCGGTCCAAGGAGTGGCAGAGTTTCGTTCGCGATAGGCGGCGGAGCAAAGCATCGAGGGTATTGCCGTGGTGGAGAAGGAAGAGGCGGTGCGCTCGACGGAGTTGCTGAAGGAGCAGGAGAGGAGGACTGACTTCGCGTGAGGAGTATTCGTAAATCGGCGCTGCATTTCGTCCTTCTGCAGCTACTTTGCTTTCAGGAGACCGGGTGTTTTGGGGCACTCGCGTCAAGTCGATGGACTAGCAGAATTAGAGATGGATTAACTTGTAGTTGGGCGTCGCATACAGCAAGAATCCACCATCCCGACTCTAGTTCATCAACTACAATCCGGGACTTCTCGGTCTCAATACTATCGACCGTGTCCTTTCCGCTGAAGCCCCTACGAAGACGATGAGCCGCGCCCTCCTCTCGTTGTTGGAGTATCCATACCTCGCAAAAGCTACCATACCCTGCGCCAAACCAATCTGCCTCAGCTTCTCGTTCTCTTCATCACGTAGCTTGTCTTTGGATGTATCATCGTGAGCCACCCTCCTCGTAAGCTTCGCCGATCGTGAATAGTAGAAGAGGATCTGGTCGCGAAACGTCTCATCGGACTTCGCGAGCGACGGGTTGTAGATCGCGAGGAAGGAGAGCTGCGCGGGGATCACTTTCGGCGCCTCTTGACTCGAGGAGGCCATGTTGCGCAACCGTGGTGGGCAGCGGCTGTGCTTTTATGCTGCCGTACATCGTCGGTTCAGTTTCGGGAGGTCGCTGGGGTTGGAGGGGTGATGTTCACATCTCGGGTGGCTTTCGAAGTTGCGAATGGTTCCAGAAGGGACTACAATATTGATTGAACAATCAGGAGAAAGAGTCAGAAAGGAGAACCGGCCTTCATGTATAGCCCCGGGTTGAATACCTTCATATGAATTATGAACGGAACAGAATGTCGATGGCTCGAACGTATCTCGGATTGCTGATGACCTCATGACCAGGGCTCCTAGAGCAACCGAAAGCACCAAATCCAGAGCATATTTCTATGCTTTATTCTACGCCATCAAGTTGTTAAATGCATGAAACGGCTTAATCGTTTTGAAATTAACATTGTGACATTATGAATATTTTCGTTCCGAGATGCATCTCGAATTCTTGATACACTTCCGTGATACGTCTGCCGTTGTTCCGGTACGATCCACCAGCTTTGCATCCTTCAGACCGATACAGTCATCCTAATTCGTTTTTGCAAATGTCCTTTCCTCAAGCTTGTCCATCATCTCTTCCTTATCAGCGCAGGATATGTTCAAAGCCCCCCATTGCGTGTTGTAGCTTGCGGGACTGCTCTCGGACCTTGGTCCAAGCATGGCTCACTCATTGTCGCTGAGCTCAATTACCTCAATCTCACCCCCATTATTGCCGTTGCCCAGTCGAGAGCGCTTCGACACTCGTCCGCCAACTACCACCACATCATCATCGCCGTCGGTGTCCCCCGCTGTGGTGATGTCATTGAATTCCCGCTTGACCTTCTCCTGTTTGATACGTCGATTCAGTGCCTGCTGGCCGTTAGTTGACCGCTCATAGGGAAAACATTGTCTATTCACCTCCTGTTCTCGAAGACGTTCACGCAGCTCATTGGCAGTCAGGTCGTCAATGCTTCTGTCCTCCAGCGGAATAGGGCTCGGGGATCGGGGGACAACGCCCAACGCTTTGAGGGAGTCTAGCAGGAGCGTTAGTCGGTCATGCTTTTGTTCGTAGCCATTCAGGTAGCGGAGTTGCTATACCTATGCTTCGATACTTGAATCGGAATGTTGCGAATGGCTTTTTATCGAGGGAAGTAGAGTTCCAAACGGTGCTCGGACCATAGCTCTCGCCCCTATCAAGCCTTGATACATCAGCGATTGTCCCCCCTAGAACCGTTACATATACGAACTTGATCTGCTGTGATATTGCTTTGCCCTTTAAAGCCTTCTCCGGCACAGTACCCATGTCAGTGGCCTTTCTTCCTTTCGACGCGGGCTTTGATAACCCTTTCTTTATGATTCTGGTCAGTGCCACGTCGATTTCTCCGAGCTTTGCAAGCTTAGTTTTGCGGGCGCTGTCGATATCCGCCAAGCGGGCATCTTCTTTTGCCATGTAATATCAGCAAAGTTTAAGGATCTTAGAGCGGCTTCGCTCTACTTACCGCTTATGTCCAGATCTGCAAAGCAGTAGTTGTAGAGGTATAATTCGTCGCCTTTGACTCTGGTAGCACCCCGGATGTTGTAAGACTGAACGCCCCTGGAATCGGATGGCTTCCTTTTCAGCTCCAAAATGGAATTCGTTGACGAAGGGTTCTCTCCGTCAATATTCACCGGAATTAAGAAACATTCGCCTTGTTCAAATTGTGCAAGGGGCCCGACTGAGACTAAGACTTGAAATCGCGTGTTTGGTTTTGATTCAATGTAGCATGTTGCTTCTGTCGCTTCTGTCGGAGCTTCGTTCTCATGTGTGTACTCCCGAAGCCTTTGTCCGTTCACAATTATCGTGACCTCGAGCCCAGGGATCCTTTGAATCCGCATGATGCATATAACGTCGATCTCCTAGCTAGTTAGATTCTTCTAGGAGTGAAGCAGACAGCGCAGGCCGCAGTTGAAATGAGAAGACTTGTAGCATGAAAGGGGGTTTTAGAGCGAGAGAGTGAGTCGGAGGCAGATGTCAAAATAGCAGTATGCACGAAAGCATAACACAGACGTCTTGCATATTCTTTGATGCTCAAGGTTCATTTGAAAGTGATATTAAGTAGTCCAGTAGTCTGCATAGCGCTAGGTTACGCTATGGTTCTTCTATTGTCACTCGAGAGCGATGAATTCTGTACCTGTTTTAATGGGAATAGTGATGAAGGTTGTTGTTGGAATATCCGTAGCTGAAGACTGAAGTAAGATTGCGTTCGGCGTTCAGCATTCAGCGTTCAGCGAGAAGGCGCGTCCGCGCCACGATTCTGAGATGACCAAACGGTTCCTCTCATCAAAGTCTCAGTGAGAAGAATGGTCGATGGTTGCGTGTACGAAAACGCCATGTAAATACTGCAGCCAAAGTACCTTCGGTCCATTACCGCAGCTGGATTCGTCGTCGAAAGTGATACCTAGCTCCCCTCTACTAAATTACCTATCGCATGATGTGGGTTCCTGGTTGGGGGACTCAAATAGGTCGAGATACAATATGACCTGTCGCCTTCCACAGGGCGAATTGGGCACATAATATCTGGATCCGATATGTTCTCCAGAGAGTCCAGTGAGGTGGTTTCGATACGGTATTTGCTATTTCTATAAATAATTCAAGGACTCCAGTGGTGCCATCACATCTACACATGGGCGATGAACTGATCATGGCTGACCTGTCGGATATATATCTGCGCGAAAGTATATTCGAGCTGCTCAGGATAGTAGACGAGGAAGTGCTCGAGCATTAATTTGTATAGCGAATGTTTCGGAAACTCGTTGGAAGGAATGACCCCATAAGAGTCCCGTATCGTGAACATCGAAGAGGAGGAGCAGCTGGTGCCACTGGTAAAATCGACCGGTTCGAAAGATATGAATCAACTTATTGTGCAAGTACATACTAAGCGGTGTATGACGCTTTGCCTGACATCCGTGAAGCGTGTCTTGTTCTCAATTCCTGATTTCCCGCCCCATGGGTCTTGCGGGGAACCGCTGGCGATGTACGACTGCACCCATAAGTGATGGGTAGTAAGCTATTCCGTGCTATGAGTCGTCGAATTCTGCTCCATCTCAACCGTGAGTCTTGTGTGCTGAAAGCGATGCTGATATAGCAGAGGTCACTCGTCGTCACTGATCTCGATCACTGGAATGTCTGGCCTCCTCGTGCGCGCCCTCTTCGCAGGACGCTGGTCGACATCCTCGTTCTAGTGAATAGTCAGGACCTCACACTCGGGCTTGATGCCTTCTTGCTTGACTCCCTCATGCTTGATATTTGACGGCTCGGATACGAGACCGTTCGAAATTAGTGAATATCCCGTGAAATAAGTTGTTAAACTAGGCTCACCTCATATTTTCGAAGGCGCTTCCGAAGCTCCTCCATCGTCAAATCTTCAATTTCTCTTTCCTCCAGGGGATCTGGGGTGGGTGTTCAAGGGGTGATTCCTAAAGCCTTGAGTGACGCTGCCGCTGATTGTAAGCGTTCATATGGACTTGACGTGAGAAAGTGAGGCGCGATTAATATCCTTACCAATTGACCGGTACTTGAACCGAAACGTCGCGAAAGGCTTTTTGTCTAGGTACGTTGTATTCTAGGAGCTCTTCTTCGATATCACCGGGTCACCGAGCCTTGAGGTCGTAGTGACATTCGACTGAATGATCCGCTCAAATGTACTTACTTGACTCCATGCGATAGGGCTGTCCCCTTGATCGCCTTCTCTGGAATGGCACCAATTTGAGCTGGTTGCAAACTAGAGTCGTTGAACGTTGCGATCATGCTCGACAATGTAATCATTCTTGACAATTCAATAAAACTCAACCTTTATCTTCCCGAGGAACTTCAGTCTGCTCAAGTAACCCTTGGTAAAGCTGTATGGCGAAGAGAGTGATAGGATGAAGACTAAAATGAGGTTTACGACTTAAGCTGATTTGGAGGGGTGAGCTGTCACTGTATTGTGCAAGTGATGTGCATCGGCTCCTATTGATCTTGTGCGATTGATTCATGGACAATGAAATCCTGTTTCCCCCAATACGTTAGGCAACAATGAAATATGTGAAGGTAACCTGGAACAGATGAAACCTATTGTGTGTTAAAAAGAGCGCTGGTGTTACTCATCAAGGGAACGAGACACTGCAGTGCTGGGGAGGCCTCGAGGAAAGAGGTCGAGGAACAGTTGAGGCGTTATCACACTTCCACGACGAAGAACAATGTAAATTGTTTGAAAAGAGGCTCAGTACTCCCATGATTGCGTGAAATATCTAATAAACGTATGCTCGGTGCACCGATAGCAGATCCTTGGCCGTTTGTCGTCACCGACACAAGTCGCCCATGCAAAACCCCGCGTACAATGCAAAGTCGGCGGTATAAGAAGTTGGGGGAAAATAGGAACTCTCGAAATGTACCAGGCATCCAAGTCATGATATTATTTCCCGACCCCCGAGCGCCAAGGAAGGAGTGTTCACAAAGGAAACTCGGAACATGTCATTTACCACGGCCCCACCCGGACCCCCTGTGCGTACGTCCCGTTCAGCAACTGTTGGCGAATGGACGACGGCTCGGAATGCTCCTGCTGCGAGGATCCCGCCATCGGACGCCCGACGTCGCCGCTGATCCACCCCAGCTGCTGCCGCATCACCTGCAATGCCTCCTCCATTCGTCCGCCGGATGCCTCGTTGTGCTTGAGCAATTTCTGGTCCCACTCACCGTTATGCAGCTGGATCCCCCCCGCCCGCTTCGACGCTTCGCGGATGACCACCGCCCACGCCGCCGCAAGTTCTTCGTATGCGTCGTGCTTGTGTCGGTTGTGTTGGAAGGAGTCCCATTCCGGCAGCCGATGGATGATCTCCGTGGCGCGGTCGAGGTATCCGAGGGAGATGGTCGGCTGTGGCTCGTTCGGGGGGAGGAAGTTCGGGGTAAAATCTTTGAGGGCGTCCAGGAGTTCGAGGAGGGGTTGGCGGACGCGGTTGTACGAGTAATCGGACCCCTCCCGGGTGCCGTACGGGAGGGCGGTACGATATGCGTTTTCGTAGTTGGATAACACGCTGAACACCGCACCCACACTCGGCCGCGGGGCGCACTGGGATACTTCCGCAGAGATCTGTGGGTTCCGGTCGCAGATGGTTCGGAGGAGGGAGCGGAGTTCGTTTTGATCCAGGGTTTCGAGCAGCCGAGGAAGGGCGAGGGAGCGGGAATCCCGGTTTAGTCGGAGTCGCTTCTGGGTATGTCGTTGTGATGGGAACGATGGGAGTTGGCGGTTGCCCATCGACGGGGAGTTGGATGGGGAGGCGGACATCCGCATCTCATTGTCTTCATTGTTGATGTCATCGTCCGCCTTTCTCTTTCTTGATGACATGGACGTAGCGGGCGAGGAAACTGTAGATGAAGCTGTCAATATGAAGAGTCAGAACGAAGTCGGGAGTAGAAGGATACATACTTGAACGAGAGGGGGATAGACGGGAGTTTGGGAGCAGATGAGGAGCGAGCAGTGGCTGCGTAGGGATAAGAGTATTCATGGCTGATGCCACTTCTTTCAAGGATCGATCAAAACCGCTTTGAATTCCCGAACTCGATGACAGAACGTCCCGAGCCACCAGGAGAGTCTGCTCTCAATAAATTCGGTGTTCAAGATGGGAGTTGTGTTGTGGTGATAAAAAGAACTTGGAGGCAACTTGAAGCGGAGAGAGTGAAGTGGTGGTGATTACACTCACTCACGTGTGCTGGAGTAACAGCCGATTGCGCACTGGCCACGCTGATGTGTTGGCCCACGTGACTCTTTGTTTAGTGTTTCTTGCCGACAGATCTTTGCATGAATGATGGAGACTGTATGATCATAGTCTACTCCAGTTACTAGTTAGTTAGTAGATACAGTAGTAGTTGCTCCCGTTTGCTTGGCCTCAAAAATTTGCAACGGACCGTACACTGTGTTAATTTTGTCGGCACTTTCAAATATATTGTGAAGCACAGACAAATGGGGCGGCCCTCCGGCGAACTTTTAAGGCTGCAAGGCACAAAGGCAATAAGCTCAGGGTCCAATAAGTCCCGCAGTCGATCTGATATCATCCCCGAGCTACCATATCCATGGTTTTCGTGGCCAAACTCGCCTATTCAACTAGGTCTAATCTATACAGCATACCCCATGCATCCCAGATATCCCGGAACTACAAGTACAAAGATTGTGCGGCCACGATATCCCTCTTGACCTTGGTGAGCGCCTCTTCGAACTTCTTCTCCAAGTCCTCGCTCCCCATGACTTTCGACGCCTGGGCCATCTGCCGCAGGAGTTCCTCCAAACGCCGGAACAAGCGGATCAAGCTGCCTTCGTATACGTCGGTCATTTTGCTGCGATATGTCAGTCGGTGGTATGGGCGATATAGGACGAAGAACCTACCATATTTGAGCGAAGGTCGCTCCCTTGGTCCATGCAAACACAACCTCCATCAGCTGATGCTTGAAGGATTTGACGTACTCATCCTCGTTCAACGCCAATTTGCTCTCTTGGGAGACCTTCGCGATGGCTCTCGCCTGGCTTTGAATCTCGCGGAACGGTTTCGCGAGCTCCTCCTTCAGCGGGCTCTCGTCCTTGCTCTGCTCCTCGAAGATGAAGACGCTCAGGACCGCGGCGCATTGATCGGGGGTCAGCTCGTTGAAGAATTTGCTGAAGAGAAGCTCGCTCAGGACTAGTTCGTCCCCCGTGCTGATCTCGCAGGCTACCCGCGCCTTGAGCTGAATGACATCGGTTTCGTTAACGAAGCCGAGCCGCCGGAGGACACGCTTCCTGCATTTCAACTCGTCGAGCTGTAAGACAGATAGAGCTTTGGTGATCTCTTGCTTTGTTTGTTTCATCTTCTTCCCAAGCTCGACTTTGTTGTGGTATTGGTCGTAGAGTTCCGGCAGTCTCGGCGAATCGTGCAACGGATTGGAGAAGAGGCGAGATTCCAAGACTTCGATTTTCTGGGCAACGATTAGCTTTCTCCTTGATTCATGAACGCCTTGCGACTTACCCTCAACAGCTTCTTGAACGATTCGTCATTTATCCCCATGTTCTCGATGGGATCCAAGATGGCAATTCCGTCAGGGAATCTCCGCTTCACCTCTTCCAACATCCGCCGGGCACTGTTGCGGCTATCGACCGATTTGAGCTCCTTGGGAAGGAATAGACGGGATTGACCAATTGCCTCTACGCAAGTAAGCAGAATCGGCACGACTTCCGCTTTGCCTTTGTCGCCGGGGGGAGGCGGTCGCACACCTGGCGGGAGGTCATCAAGCACCTGCGGCCCGAACGACGCGTCGCTGGCGATGATGAGCAGCACGTCCATCACATACGACTGTTGTGGAGAAAAGTCCGCGGCATTTTGTCCCTTCCCGGGTTTGCGTGCGGTGTAGTTCACCACCGATCCCCAACCGAAGTCATGGTCTTTATACTTAATTCGGACGAGGCGACCGTTCTGCATGAACGACAGGCAGTAGTTGGGATGCGTGATGACGTCGCGCACATCTTGCGTGTACGTGTTCAGCTGCTGGCGGAGCTCGTAGTAGTCGCGAACCGTTCCTTCGTCCGCGATCTCGATGCTCGACCGTTCGCTCTCCAGCTCCAGAAGGTCCTTCTCCAACCCGGAGACACTGGCGGTATTTTGGAATTGGAAGAAACACCGTTCGAGCATAAACTCGGGGGATATTCCCTCCACTCGCATCAGGTTCAGGATCATGTTATACCCAAGATAGAACGCCGAATTGAGCTTATCCTGTTCTCCGCGAACGATCTCCCGTGCGGTCGCCGGCTCCATTTTCTCGTCGACCATGAGGATGACGATCCCTCGGTCATCTAGACCACGTCGTCCCGCACGTCCTGACATTTGGATGAACTCGGAGGGGGTTACCCATCTTAGCGATATGCCATCGAATTTCCGGACGCTCGTAAAGACCACAGTCTTGGCCGGCATGTTCAATCCGATGGAGAAGGTCTCCGTGGCGAAGAGAACTTTGATGAGACCCTCTTGGAAGAGGATTTCGATGGTCTCCTTCAAAATGGGCAGCAATCCCGAGTGATGGACACCGATACCTCTTCTCAGCAGCGGCAGAATGTGCTGAATTTGTGGGAGCTCTCGGTCTTGTTCCGAGAGCATTTCGATGGCGCTCGAGAAGACCTTATTGACCATCCCTTTCTCGGTCTCATCGTTGAACGCAAGCTGGCTCATTTGAAGGGCCAGATCCTCGCACTCTCGCTTGCTGAAACTGAAAACAATGACGGGATTGTAGTTCTTCATCATGATCATCTTCACAATCTTGTAGATGTCCGACTGCGGCGGCTTCTGGTTGGCAGTTTGTTTCTTGTCCCGCGCCGATTTTCCCATGTTCTTCTTCTTTCCCGCCTCGGGCGAAATCGACGTCATCGCTTTCTGGAAATTCTCCTCTCGGAAGGCGCCTTTCTCGTCCACGACCAAATGTATACCGTCGGAGCCGGAAGGGAAAAGGTAGTGTTGCAGCGGCGTCGGTCGGAAGTCGGTGTAGACGACGTGGCACGGCTGATTGTGCGTCTTCGTGATCCATTCGGCGAACTGCATGGCGTTCGGGATGGTGGCCGAGAGGAAGACATAGTGAACCTTGTCGGGAAGAAGGATGATGGTTTCTTCCCACACCACCCCTCGAGACTTGTCTCTCATGTAGTGCACTTCGTCAAAGACCACCCAGGCAACCTCACGCATGATCTCGGAGCCACGGTAGAGCATGGATCGTAAAATCTCCGTCGTCATGACGAGGCAGGTCGCCGTCGGATTGATGGTCACGTCTCCCGTCATGAGACCGACGTCTTGGAACTCCTGCGCAAACTCTCGATACTTCTGATTGCTAAGCGCCTTGATCGGGCTGGTGTATATCACTCTCTGGTTGTCCCGCAGACACTGAGCGATTGCATATTCCGCCACCACCGTCTTCCCCGCACTCGTATGCGCCGACACGAGGACGCTCTCGTTTCTCTCGATCGAAGCGATCGAAACCTGTTGGAACGGATCCAGAGTGAATGGCCAGACTCGCGCTGGGGTTTCCGGGGCTTTGTGTTGGGAGATGGGGACATAATCGTAGTTTGGCGGTAATGCGACTTGATGTCGGACTTGATGTGACAGCACCACCGCAGTACTATCTTTCTGAGGTTGAAGTCCAGCCGAAGCCGCGATCTCTCGGGACTGTTGTGTTTCGAATGTATCCGTCACCATAGGCTCTGGTTCGGCATCCCGTCGTTGGCGCTTGGTATCAGGACCGTCGGTGCCGACCGTGGTAGGTTGATCGCCACCCAACCCGCCTGCATTGTCTAACATGGCGGTATCTTCATCATTGCTTGGTTTAGGGGATCCAGCTGGGGCCTTCACATGACCGTTCGACTGTCGTTTCTTGCTCGCGCCATCTTTTGGGGCTTTGGGAGTTTTGGAGGCCTTTTGAGGGTCCTCGTCGAATACGTCGAAGAGCTCATCCATGGTCCCGTGACGCCCTGAGGACAGAAGACTGGTCTCAATGCACGCAGCAGGATGTTTCACCTCGATCTTGCGGAATATAAACAATTCCGAATCGGGGAAACCGGAAAATTTGGCGGTGGTGGATCTTTACAAAGTTTATATGAGTGGCTCACATTCACCGCGCAGAATCCGACATGGATGTCATGGGTGTCGAAAACTGACAGGGGTCTGAACGTCGGCTATGGAATAACAATCTGCCGCCTCTCAAGCTGCAGCTCTGCTCATCACCCCATCCGACTTCACCTGTGACAGCAACCGTCAGGAAGATTCAACCGCATCACGAACCCAATTACTCTCAAGGTGAGTTTTCCAATGGAGGACCCCCTAGCCATGTGCTGACAGATATAGATGTTGTCCTCCACGGTTTCCCGATCGAGCGCCAAGGCCGTGCAACAGGTCTCCCGCCGCGGCTTCCACGCTACGCGGTTACGAGCACGAGACATCGAGTCCCCTGGATATCGTCCATTCCATTACCCCGAGGGACCACGAAGCAACATTCCTTTTGACCCGTTGAAGAGGGGATTCGCGATCAAGTACTGGGGATTCATGGGTAGGTTCGCGGTTTGAGACGTCGTTGGGCTTCTACTGATCGTGTCTAGCTGTCGGGTTCGGTGCTCCTTTCGGAATCGCAGGTATGTATTCTGCAATGCAGATGCTGTCGTGCTATTATGTTCACCGAGCTTACACCTGTATAGTGTGGCAAACGTACAAGCCGAAATAAATCTTCGTTCCCGATTCCTCCCGTTACCGCGGTACCGATGCTGTGGTGATAACCGCTCTACTGGTTGGACATGTACAAAACTTGATGGCATAGATAGAGGAATGAAGATATTACCTTATTCAACTGGAGCAACACCGTCGTGCTTGTCAATGACCGCTTGGGAGTGAATTTCGTGGTATATAGATCAGTCACGTGATCTATCCGAAACATTGAATCATCGCCTGTAGCAGATGTAAAATATTCCACAAAAATTGTCTATGGTCGATCTCCGTCTACACCTAATATTTTAATTTTCAATATGTTGCTGGAGGATTACGGCCATACCCAGCTCTTCATCGTGTCTTGATAGCAAGCAAAATGCGAAACCTGAGAAATATTGGCCAAACGTTTCGTGGTGTCAACTTCGGAGCTCCACTGCCCTGGAGCGCTTTAACGTGGGATGCTTCCAACGATGGTTGTATCGGAGCGTTTGGTCCTTCGGAGGACCTCGAAATCGTTGAAATCCGCAGAATAACGGGCGACAACGAACCGGAGCCATATTTGACGCTTGACGACCGCGGGGGCGACCAAGTCATCGATGTTCACTACCTGGTCGATCAGAGTGCCATAAGTGTGATATTCTCCAAAGGGGATATTGAATTGATCAACGATGACGCCAGTGCCGAAACGTCCCGTGTCGGGATCATTGGGTCCGTGGACGAAGGAATTGATGCGGCGGCGTGGTCGCCAGATGAGGAGATCGTGATTCTCTCCACAAGAGCAAGGACTTTGCTGTTCATGACCCGGGAATTCGACCTGCTTACCACCGTCACGCTAAACCCCGAGGATACGAAGGTTTCCAACCATGTCTCGGTCGGCTGGGGTAAAGCAGAGACGCAGTTCAAAGGGAAGAGAGCCAAGGCGCTGCGAGACCCCACTGTCCCGGAAAAAGTCGATCAAGGTCTACTGAGCCCAGATGATGATGGAACGGTTACAGTCAGCTGGAGAGGAGATGGTCAATATGTTGCTGTCAACTCAATCGAGCCCGGTCGCGGAAGAATGATCCGCGTGTACTCAAGAGAAGGCATCCTTGAGAGCGTCAGCGAACCGGTCGACTATCTGGAAGGGGCATTGAGTTGGCGACCTGCAGGAAATCTGATTGCTGGCATCCAACGATTCGCCGATCGCATCGATGTCGTTTTCTTCGAGCGCAACGGTCTTCGCCATGGCGAATTTCCCCTCCGTCTTTCCCCAGCCGAAGCAAAGACGTGGGGAAAGTCCATCAAGCTCGCGTGGAATCCCGATTCCACCGTCCTTGCCGTCATATTCGCCGACCGCGTCCAGCTATGGACGATGGGAAACTACCACTACTATCTGAAGCAAGAACTCCTTCTTGGCGGTGCCAACCCGCAAGCGTGCTGGCATCCGGAAAAGCCACTTTGCCTGGCTCTAGGAGAAACGTATAGCGACCCTCAAGGCATGGAAGACGACTCCATCCGCATGAAGGTGATTGAATTCGCTTTTGCCGTCTGCGAAGGGCCAACCGCAACGCCCAAAGATGCTGGAGCCGTGGCGGTAATTGACGGGAAGACGCTCAAACTCACGCCGCTTCGATATGCGAATGTCCCTCCCCCGATGGCTCTTCACGACGTTGACACCGACTCAAGTATCCTCGACGTGTCAATAAGTCCGGATGGGGGCGGGATAGCTGCATTGCACACCAATAGCGTCACCTTGATGACGTGGGATATGTCGAAAAGGTCAATTGTCGCACCCGTACGGCAAGAAACGTATAAACTGCCCCGATCAGCTGGCCATGCCCAGCAAGTCGCAATGGACTCGCAAGGGCGGGCTTATGTACTCTGCCAATCGGGGTACGGAGAAAGCTGGATCTACTACTGCAATGGACCCGATCCCAAGGCGAGAGAGAACATGGGGTTCAAATCTGCTTCGGGCATTTTCTGTGATCCAGCCGATAGTACGCTTTGGGTATCGGCTGACTGGGGCCAAGAGGGGATTGAAGTGGTTAAAAAGCAAGAGCAAGAGACCGGGTGGATTACGGTCAAGTCTATGGTTGGATTGCCACTGAATATCGACTGGCAAAAAGGAACCCGTGTGGAGGGGGAGGTAAGATAACCGCTCAAGTCCTTTCAGATTAGTGACTGACGTCTTCTTTACAGTATATCGCATTTGGACTAGGAGAGGACGGAGTCCTGTATGCAAACGATCGAAAACTATCACGGAATTGCACGTCCTTCACCATCACCGAGTCACATCTCATCTTCACGACCACTCTTCACCTCCTGAAATTCGTGCACCTAACAACCCTGCAAGGTAATTTCGCCGAAGTTCTTCTTCCTTTCAACCGCACTGACACCCTTCAGACCTCACCGTCCCAGGAGATGAGCCCGAAGCCGACGAACGATGTCGCAGCATTGAACGCGGCGCTCGAATCGTGACCGTTATCCCGAGCGCGTGCTCGGTCGTCCTGCAGATGCCGCGAGGCAATCTTGAGACGATTTACCCGCGAGCCCTGGTCGTGGCGGGGATACGGAGTAGCCTGGACCGAAAGAACTACGGTGATGCGTTCCGGTCGTGTCGAGTGCACCGGGTGGATATGAACATCATCCATGACTACGCACCGGAGCAGTTCATGAGTAATGTTGCGCTTTTTGTGGATCAGGTTAAAGCGGTCGAGCATATCGATTTGTTTCTGTCTCACTTGAGGTACGGTAGATTTTGTATGACGCAACGTTCGGTTCCGCTGACAGTTCGATAGGAACGAGGATGTCTCCACGACGATGTACAAAGATACATTAGCCGGTCATCCGAACAACGCAGATGCTCTGACGAATGGTCACACAGACACTCGTGATGGAAAGACTATCGATTACACCGAATCCAAGGTCAACAGGATATGCAAGGCATTTCTTACCGTTCTCAGCCCTCGGGCAGATAAACACCTGCAGAACATTGTTTCCGCATATGTCTGCATGTCGCCCCCTGATCTTGAAGGTGGGCTGCGGATCGTAAGCGGTCTTCAAGGTGCGTCTCTTCCCTCCACTGTTAGTATATACACCTAACCACAACGTTTAGGCACCGACGCCGAGCTCGCCGACCAAGCGGCCGAGCACATCTCCTTCCTCGCGGACCCCAACCGACTGTACGATGCGGCACTAGGCATGTACGAGCTCGAACTCGCCGTCCTCATCGCCCAACAGTCGCAGAAAGACCCGCGCGAGTACCTCCCGTTCCTTCAACGTCTCCGGGAAATGTCCGAACTACGGAGGAAGTTCACCATCGATGAGCATTTGGATCGACATGGGAAGGCGCTGACACACCTCCATTCGATGAACGAGTTCGAGGAGGCGAAGGTTTACGTGCAACGACACGAGCTCTATTCCAATGCGTTGGAGCTTTGGAAGTATCAGCAGGAGCGGCTGGATGAGATCGTGCGGATCCAGGCCGATTGGCTGTGCGAGAAACCGGATTTCAAGTCTGCAGGACTCGGTGAGTTGATTCCCCGGCTGCATTCGATCACAACTGACATCAACAGCATACGAGTATCTCGGCGACTACGCCTCCGCGTCCGACGCATTCAAATCCGCGGGGATGTGGCGCGAGGCATTGTCAGCAGCGTGCCTTGACGAGCAACCCTCCACGAAAATTGCCTCCCTTGCCACCGACCTCGCCGACGCGCTCACCGAATCCAAAGAATATCAACCCGCGGCCCGCATCCACCTCGACTACCTCCACGACCTCGACGGCGCCCTCCGCCTCCTCTGCAAAGGCAATCACTTCGCCGAAGCCATCCGCCTCATCGCCCAGGCCCACCGCCCGGCGCTCCTCGCCTCCATCATCGACCCCGGCCTCGCCGACGCGTTCGCCTCCACGACGGAGCTCCTCGCGGACTGCAAATCGCAGCTCGCCGCACAGGTCCCCCGGCTCCGCGACCTGCGGCAGAAGAAATCTGAGGACCCGCTCGCGTTCTACGAGGGCGAGACGTCGGCGGACATCCCGGACAACATCTCGCTGGCGCCGACGGACGCGTCGACGACGGGGACGTTCATGACGCGGTACACGGGGGCGGTGACGGGGACGATCGCGACGGGGACGTCGCGGCGGACGTCGAAGAACCGGCGGCGCGAGGAGCGGAAGCGGGCGCGGGGGAAGAAGGGTACGGTGTACGAGGAGGAGTACCTGGTCAGTTCGATCCGGCGGCTGGTGGAGCGGGTAAACGCGACGGGAGAGGAGGTGGGGAAGTTGAGGGAGGGGTTGGTGAGGAGGCGGATGCGGGAGCAGGCGCGGGTGGTGGGGCGGGCGATGGAGGAGGTGGTGGAGGGGTGTCGGGGGTGTTTGGGGGAGGTGTTTGAGGTGGAGGAGGCGGTGGAGGGGGGAGGGGATATGGAGGGAGAGGGGATGTCGAGTGGGGATCGGGTGTTGATGGAGACGTTGGAGGAGCTGGGGAAGAAGAAGGCGCCACCGTTAGTGACGGAATTTGAGAAGTTGGCGGTGCTCGGGTAGTGCTTTGGGTAGTGACGCTTTGGGATGGTGAGGTTTCGTTGGGCGTACAAAAGCTGGCGGAGATATCACTCAAGGATCAATTGCTCGATCAGAATAGACCATCGCATTGGCTGCTTATGCCTAACTCGGATTCTTGTTTTTACCGTCCACCATATTCCGTGATCGCACAAGCAACATGGTGGTTTAGCAGGATGTCATTATTGTCAGCAAGCAAAGGCCCACTTAGAGCGGAGGAAATTGATGTCTCATGCCCTTGCGTCAGATGCGTCTTTGTGGTACGGGACAATGCCAAAACCGAAAAATAGAGGATATTGATATCGACCTGTCAAAGAGGAATGATACCGCAGTCGATTCTTCATAATTCATAAGATCGACATCTATCTTCGATACTTCATCTGCATGGCCTATCAGGCATCAAGTGAATATCGCTCACATGCACCTGCTCCACCAGATCATCGAGGACCTCGTGGTGAGCGGCAGTCTGGCAGAAGTGGTCCTGCTCAGGGGAAGGTGGGTTCCCTGCTGTCATTCTGTGTCATCTGTGAGACCCGTCCTCCGTAGTGCGTGCAATCGCCCGTTCAACAAAGCGCCGCAAACCCGCAAGCCCACAACGGACTCACGGACAAATTCACTCAATTGCCTTTGAAAGTTCATCAAAGGAATCTCACAATCCACCATGAAAGTGAAACGCGCCAAAAAGTTCCAATATGATTACCGGTGGACGGACGATTCTTATTATTAGATAGGAGAGCCAAGCCGACTTGACAGCCGGGCGATCCTATTTAAGCTGTGCTGGTTGCAATCGGGGTCGCTTGGAGATGCTTGAATCTGATTGGCAAGCGTGGAGAACCCCGCGAACCACGATAGGCAAGCTCCGGAAGAGCTTCTTGTCGCGGTTGCTTACGTAGTATTTTTCAACGTGTGGGTTGAGATCGGCCTTTGCAATCTTTCCAAGTGATTCCAGACGTTGAAATTGGACTGGAGATGAAGTGGAATGTGCCCATGCAAGAACCATACCGATGTGTGTCCCCAATGGACTCGGGCGTGTCAGCATGATGGGAACCACAGGGGGACCCCGGTGCCAAGTCGCTAAGGAAGCGTACCTGACGCTACTGGAAAGTCACCCGCCCTTGATGGAATACCGGAGATCAAGCTTTCGAGTACACGATGGTAGTTGGTACAATTGTTTGGGTACAATGTTTGGATGCCTTTGTAATGAGATGATTACACAAATCTATCGAATCCGTGTCACTGCATAGTATATACTCCATGCTTCTTTGATTGTCCTCCATGAATCGCAGTTTTAGTGTTTTACCTATCGCCTGTATGATTGGCAGCCGACCGGGGTTGTCGCCCTTGCAGATTGGAATTTGGATGTCAGAAATAACGACTACTGATTGGCCGAATTGGCCGCGCTTGGGGCTCGCGGGTCCGCCGAGTCAAATGAAATCGGGGATGATCCCCTGTCTAGCGGCATTGGGCCGTCCGAGCCTCAGTCGTTCCTGCTTCATTCGAGCTGTCAAGCACTCAAGCCTCAGGCGGACGCAGCCCAGGACGCTCCCAACAGCCAGAACTCCAGGAGTGAGGAGCCAGACCTCCTTTGCTCAGAAACCAGTTCACTATCCGCCATGGCCATTCCTGTCATCGCCTCTCCGGCTCTTACACATACTACCACTACTTACTAGGAACACCGCACACCTGACACCACACCCCAGAACACCTCCTGCCCTCACCCTCTCTCTCTCTCGCTCTCACTTCTCTACTTCTTCATGTTTCATCCGTCCACTCCTTTCGGCACCGATCCAACTCTCTTCAGAGTCTTCACTCGTTATTCTTGATTTCGTCTTCCCACGCGGTTCGGTCCTCCGCTATTCTTTAAACTCACCCGAGTCTTTCATTCCTTGATTACCTTGACTTCCGTTCGTTGGGAACGACCGTCACTCCTTTTCTGTTAATTGTCGCGTATGCAGCATCATTATTGCTACTAATCTATTCGTCGTTTTCCCGATTTTACTTCCCTCCGATCCCATCACGACCGTCACGCCCCGAGGAAACGATTGAACAATTTTTGGCATTCGTTTGGAACTGGATTCACGAATGTTCCCCTCCTAAACCCGTCGAGGACACCCAAATCGCAGCGATCGTGCTGCTTTCCTGCCTCCCCGTATCCTACACCGCAGTGATCTACCCTCACATCTTTGGTGCATGCCAGCATGCACTCCCATTCGCACTCCCACCTCCATCGACGTGGACTCGATGATATCTTCTCCGACATTACCGAACCCAAGCTTCCGGGTCCTGAACCGGAGCTCTTGGCCCCATCCTTGGTACCCAGGACGCCGGATTTGACATCCCGAGAGGAAGCCAGCAAGACGTGTGATCCGAAGGAACGAACCTGTGGCCCGCTGCCAACCGTTAGTAATACCTCGTTGATCATCGGTTTATCCGTTGCGTATGTTTATGGCACCCGAGTGGAATGGAGGAGATCATTAACAGAATTGCAGGATTCCCGTCTTCTTCGCAATTGTTGCCTTTTTCTTCCTACACCGAAGACATGTGAGAAAGCAACGAGAGGAGGATGCTAAGGACAAACACAAAAGCCTGGATTTTGGCTTGGGCGAATCGTACGGATATCCAGACGGCAAGAAAAGGAAGGGGAGGAAGAATGGAAACGTCCCCGAAATGACCATCACCGATACGGAGCAAGCTCTGGGTCGAGGTCGAGGTCGAGGTCGTGGTATGTCGATGGATCTGGTTGGAAGTCCCTACCTTCTTCCCGCTGCCGTGCAAGGCTCGCGAGACTCGATCCATTCGCTGTCACGATCCATGCACGATAACCACGATCCCTATCGTCCCGTTACCTTTGGCTCCAACGACGGTCCTTACCGTTCTAACAGAGTACGTGGTGATAATGCCTCCACCTTCACGGGATCCAGTGCTGGTACCGAGTCCACCGCCAATCTGATGCGCAATGCCCAGGGGATGTCTCATTCGATTCCACAACGCGGCGACTCGATGGCACCACAAGCACCGCAACCCGTGCATGCGGGCGGGACTCCTCGTGCTGGTTTGGCTCCACCGACTGCCGATGCCGCGCGGGATTCGTACTTCGACAAGAATGCCAAAGCGATTCGGGCGAGCAATAATTACCTGGGCAGCTTTATCCATAGTGGGGATCCCTCCACGGCAGATCATTCCACGGCGGATCCTTCCGCGGCCCCATCGCTCGATGAGCAGTTCCCAATGCCGCCGAGCGCGGCTCACATGAAGTCAGAGGCACCGTTGCCGACCTTTGACTTCGATAAGGACAAGTTATCGGACTCGTTCCAGACCAATTCGAAGCCTCTATCACCGCCAAACGAATTCCAGGACCATGAAAAGGAACCGCCAAGAGGGCTAGAACCACAAGCACCACTTCCGGAGATCCCTTCGTCCCCTCCGCAGGTCGCTCCGTCGATGCCACCCAAAGGCTTGCCCGAAACATCCCGTCCGCCACGTGGTCAGTCATTAAACTATGCTTCCAAGACGACAAGCATGGCCAGCAGTGTGAGCGACTATGGCGATGCTTTTAAACTGACGGCAGCGACACCGCCTCGAGGATCCCTGGAGGGCGCACCCGACGATTATCGTCAGTCTCAGGCCAACAGGTCCACACTTCCGGTCGTCGAAGAATACGCCAATGAAGGCCTTACCGTTCAGGACAACGGCTTCGATCCTCGTCGACTTTCCATGGGCATCCGCCCCCTCCCTGAATTGGACGACGTGGTCGAAAACCCCGAAGAGCGCGCTAACCGGATTCGCTCCTTTTACAAGGAGTATTTCGACGAAAACAAGCCCATTCCTCGCAATCACTACTATGAGACCGGCCCATACCAAGCCGGTCCGCACCAGGCCGGTCCAGAATACTACGAAGACTATGGTGCCGAGTACTATGGACCCGACGCTCATCACTACGAACCCGATTACCGCGGCCGTCCCGCCGCTCCATACGCACAGCCCATGGGTCGCCGCGCCATGACGCCTCCGCCACGTGGTCCCCCGCGCTCTTTCAACGGAGGACAGAGTCGTACGTCGGGCGCGTCCTCGGTCGGGAATCGATACCACCAGCTTCCTCCCCGAGGCATGTCTTCCTTATCGGGACGCATGCCACCACCGGGTCGAGCTCTACCCCCACCGAAAGCACTGAACAGCCTCCCGACGCCAGCAAGGATCACGGAGGACAACTTGGTGTTCACTCCCACCGACTTCGCTCCACCGACATCATTCCGTGATCGGCAGATGGGTAGGAGACCCGATTCGCCCCTGGGTATCGAGAGGCCGTACAGCCCCAGTGTCCGACCGTTCACGCCACTAGCGAGCAGTTTCGACGATCTCAGCGCCATGCCAACCCCGTAAGTCCTCCCTTCGGTGACCATCCACCATGAAATCCCGCTAACATCTCTTCCCAGCCACCAACTCCGCAAATCCAGCACCTTCACCGGCCTGGACTTCGCCCCACCCCCCCGCTTCCGCAACGCCGACAACATGTCGGACGCCGGCTCCATCCGCTCGAACCGCTCCGGCATGTCGGCAGTGGCACTCAACACCATCCGCGGCGGGCCGGCGGTCGGCAAGATCCCGCGGGAGGTGGTCGGGACGAAGGACGATTTCATGGCACAGTTGAAGCCGCAGTGGGACATGCGAGGCCCGTCGTGATCGGCACGATCGTCGACCTTCCCTGCTCCCACGAGAGGCGATGCGGTTCCGGTGTCTGTTTTGCGATTGCTTTGCCGTTGGGATATGATGTGCCGAAATATAAATAGACAGGCTTGGTGTTCTTTGCGGGTTTGCTTATGGGACGCTCACGACTGCGTTTGGCGGCTCCATCCTTCTTCTCGAACCTCGTTCGGGACTCGAGCGGCTTGTTGCTTTCTTCTTCGGGCACCGTGCTTCGTTGCCGGTGCCGTATCGATACATTTATGTCCTGTGGAAGGATTGGACTCCCGGGTTGTTGATATTTTGTATTCTAAAAGACTCACTTTGTTGGTAATGAGTGGGAGAGTGGGGGATTTATAGAGGAGGAAACAGGTGTGCATGGTTTCGGACATGGAACATATAGCGGATGCGTGGCATCTCGCCGTCTGGATATATAGCAGTGGTGGCGATCCGCTGCGATTAGGATGTATCTGGATCCATATAATGGCATATCAGATACAAGGACTTACCTGAGCTGGAGAGGATTCTCCATTGATTGTGATTTCGTGACCATCCGATGTGTTGTGCTATTCTCCAGAATCATCCTGAGCTTTGAGTCGAGCTGTCACGTGCAAACGCGCTCTCCAATGATTGGCGACGCGTCCAACTTCATCTCGTCCAGGTCGTTGTTGAGTGGCCAGCATCCCTTCATAAAGTTGATATGATGATTTTGCCTGTCACTTCAATGTGGTAATTAGTGGATGCTTGCCGTGATCCCGGAGGATTTGTGTTGCTTAATGGTTCCAATGAAGGACGCTCGCATACATTTACTTTCCACTCCTTTGTCTCTTCGTTTCGTTTCCTGATACTTACCAGTCTCAGTCCACCTCTATATCATGAACGCGTCTAGATCTACCCTCTCCCGAACCCTCCATCCATCCCCCTCCTTCCGTACCCCCCCATCCACCCGACCCATCCATTCCACCCACCCCATCCACTCCCTCTCCATCCCACCCCTCCCCACCACCCACCTCCGCACCCTCCTCCACCACCTCGGCGCCCCGACCACCGGCACCAAACCCACCCTCCTCACCAATCTCCGCACCGCCCTCCACCTCCACCGCCTCTCCCCCACCCCCCGTCCCACCATCGTCAGCATCGACCTCGGCCTCCGTAACCTGGGAATCTGCGTCGCGCAGCTCGACTTCCCCCCTGCATCCTCATCGTTATCCCCATCCCTTACCGTCACCCACTGGCGGCGTATCGAGCTCGTCCCTGCCGTCCCCTCGCCCTCCCCCACCCCCTCCGACTCTCTGCAAACAACATACCTCCCCCCCGACCCATTCGCGCCCTCCGCGCTCGCCTCGCTCGCGCGTCGGGTGGTGGACGAATGGGTGCGTCCGCATAAGCCATCTGCGGTGTTGATCGAGCGGCAGCGGTGGCGGACGGGCGGGGCGGCGGCGGTGCAGCAGTGGACGGTGCGGGTGGGGTTGTTGGAGATGGGGCTGTGGAGCGTGTTGGGGATGGGGGATGGGGAAAGGAGGGAGGTGGTGGGGGTGAGTCCGGCGAGGGTGGTGGGGTGGTGGGTTGGAGGGGAGAAGGGGGGGAAGGGGGGGAAGGGGAAAGGAAAAAGGGAGAAGAGCAGGAGGGTGGAGGTCGTGGGGCGGTGGGTGAGGGAGGGGGTGGGGGAGGGGGAGGGGATAACGGTGGGGTTTGAAGGGCAGGCGGGAGAGATGGCGAGGGCGTTTGTGGAGCTGGGGAAGAAGGGGCGGAGGAAAAAGGGAGAGGAGGAGGGGATCGGGAAGTTGGATGATTTGAGTGATTGTTTGCTGCAGGCGGCGGCGTTTGCGAAGTGGGAGGGGAATAAGCGGATGATGGAGGGGATGACGGGGGAGGAGTTGAGGGCTTGGGGAGCGGGGGAGGTTCCAGGGAGATAGCACTGGATTACTTCCAACTAGAGTTCGTCTTTAGATAACATGGTGGCTATGAGTTTATGGATGTGCTGGGATTGGTAGTATATAGCAATTGCTATACGTACTGATGGACTAGGTACGTTCTCTATGCTTTTCCGGTATTACTTTGCAGCCTGGTCATTATTGCCAAGCAGTCGTGCCGCAGTGCATATGAACTGGATACGAGGCGAACCACCCCATGGTCTACCCACTCGAGGGGAATATTTCGACGAACTTACTCTCCAAGTCATCCTCCACCTCCTTCCTAACTAAAAGGTGGAATCCTGACAGAAATCGAAGGACAAGCAAATATTACAGCGTCCATTTGAAGCATATGGACGGTCCACAATCTGCCTCTCAAGGACTAATTTCATGGCGGTCGAGGAGACCATCCCCAGAGATCTAGAGCGATCCGAAATCCACCCAGGTAGTGCCGCGGAAGAGGAAAGCGAAGACGGTATGTCATATGCTACCCATATGTCCGTATCCACCCCGTTGACGATGTTTATATGCAGAGCCCGATCCATGGGACGGACTTACTTACCGCGAAACCTTCGAAATCTTCTGGCCCGCCCTATGGCGCGCCATCCTTTTGGGGCTGCCTCCTGTTCTTGTGTTCGTTCTCTGCATCCTGACATCCGGGTATACGCCGTACCGGAATCCTGCGCAGTCGATCACGTATCCCATATGGAGCACTCTGCAGTATGCCAGCTTCACGATGGTGATCGTCTTAGTCGGATGGGCCGTCATCTATAGGGCGATCATCGCAGGATGTAGGCGGTGCTGGCCCGGGGCGACGCAGCGGTTCTTCGAGCGGATGGAGAGGAGCCCGGGAATGGAAGTGGTGGAATTGGCGGGCCGGAAAAGGAAGGAGAGGAGGCGAAAGGAGGAGGAGAGGAGGCGAAAGGAGGAGGAGAGGAGGGAGATATCGGGGAATGTTACTGAGAAGACGCCATTGCTACGAAAAAGCCCTGAAATCCAAAAAGCTGAGAGTTCGTGAAGGGTATGGATGGGGAGGATTGGATCGGTCCGTCCCCATGAGGATATTCGGGACTTGGTCTAGATATGGATTTCACGATGTTTATGCACTATGACTCCCTTGTTAGTAGGACAATATGAAGATAATATAAGACTCAATTAAATGAGTGGCATTGTTAACTTTCGGGAACCTGCAGAGGAATAAGAATACAGAAGAGAGATGATGTGGTGTTGGGGGATGTGGAACTGAAATGCCAAGCCATCAACGGCATCCCGGCCGACATGACGACAACCACCTCGAAATCTTTCTATCCCCGAAACCACTACATCAGAAAGAGCTTCGACAACGTCGGGAAATCACTTGGAGCGCTGGAATTCCCGTCGAACATGTGGATATCACGTCCTTGAACTCATCACACAGGCGCCATGTCAGTCGCGAAGTCAAACGTCGGCTCGCAAGCCCGATCGTTGGTGAGTCCTCCTTTCGGGTGTCCGCGGCATTTCGAAGAAGCTGGTGGCCTTCGCCTTGGACGTCCAAATGCGCGCATAATTGGTCGATGAGTCCATCAAGGTGTAGAAGGACGCGGTTAACCAAAGTCATGGCAGTATCGATCCCTCCTCCGTCAAGGCAACCAGTTCGCCAACTACAACTTCCGAGAATATGCGAAACGACGGACGAGAGACGCGTTTAGGGAGAACCAAGCTATCACAGAGGAACGCAAGGTACAGGAGATGATGCAGAAGGGGCTCCAAGAGCTGCAGGTTTTGAAGGTGAGTACACGCCCGTCACCGTTTTGCCCCGTTGTCCATCATCTTAGACGTGATATATGAGGAATGCGATCCGACGAAGACCGTGGGGTGGATGGTCGTCCCTCGCAGAAATTTTCATAGCACTCCATTTTCGTGCGCTCAGGCGAACCGCTGCTAACCATTGGGATCTGCAGAGACAAACGGTCATCAGCCAGATGTTCCAGTTCGACAAACTCGTCGTGGAGGGGGGGAAGACTGGAAAGCAAACCGGCCGAAAGGGCGATATCGTACGGCAAAAGGATCAAGGATGGGTAAGTTTTGAATCGAATACCCCATTTGAGTCAGCTCTATTTGTTTGGCGCCATCTGGTTATTTCCCAGATTCAACGCCTTCACATCCCCCTTGCAATACGGATTTTAAACCTTTTCAACATCTATAGAATGACTGCTAACAACATGATAGGATTGAGAAAACTGGCCCTGTAGTATATATACCGGCAACCGGCAATTTCTTCTCGGGATGAAGGCGCTTGAGACTCCCGTCTCCTCAATATAGGATTTGGCACCTCGTACAGCGTCTGGGTTGGGGTTTCCCGTTTGTACCAATTTGTACAAGATATCCAGCACCTCTATGTATATCATATCAATCCAACTTCTTGCCTCCAACTCTGTCACTATCACATGGAAGGCTATCCGTGCTGCGTCACTCCAGGCCAGCACGGCCAGATCACAAATTGATATCACAGTTGTGTCACGTGATATGGTACCTGACTTGGCCTTGCACCTGATTGGCTGTCACACCAAAACACGCGCAACTTCGCGTCCTTCAGTTGTCTCAAACGTCTCCTTGCATTATCGCATCGCATCCATCGCCTGCATCAGCGCAACACGTAGAACAATCCGGATCCTCCAATTCACTCCATCAATCGAGAATTGCAGGAACGCCACGCCCTGCATTCGCCGTTCCCGTATCGATTCCCACCTCGATTCCCATTGGAGGCGCTTTGTCCGCCTCGCTCCTGGCTATGACTTCGGTATGTACTATCTGCTTCATCTCTTATGTCCTCCCCCATTTCTCGACCAGCTCGGCGGCCCCTTCAGCAGTGTTGATCCCTTCCTATTCACTACATTCCATTGGTTCTCTGCTTCGGTTTTTCTACAGCCAGAAAGGGCAAGGCACGTTCCTCCTTAACGTTCGTGATGAAGACATTCATAGATGGTGCCTGCACGCGCATGGCACCTTCTAAGGGTACTACTCCTATGACCTTAATGTCTATAGGCTGGAAAACACATGCAGTTGTTTGCATTTGTTTGCCTCACTCTCTTTGCTACTGTTATCATTCTTCCTCATTCAGTTTGCCAACTATCGTCCATTCATAAATCATTGGAAAATGTCGTGGGATGATGCATATTATGTTAAACCAACCAGGTAAATTCTTGCTTCTCACTTCGAGTTAGTTTCGACCAACTGGCCGCTCCGCTAGGTCAGGGCGAGTCCAAGCCGAACACGACGTCTTCGAGGGTCTCCCCGTCCGACAATGGCGTCAGGTGGAAACAACCGTCGGCGCCCCACCAGGTTCCACAACGCAATCAAAGAAAAACGCCTGGCCCGAGTTGTCCATGCCCAGGGAGTCCCATCTACTTCCCGAACATTCGCAACAGTTGCTCCGCGCGGCACGGGCGGGTTGGTTATATAAGGCGACCCCTGGCGGCGCCGAGGAGGACGAGAAAGAAAATGAGGATGAAGAGCCGAAAGAGAGCGAACGTGGCTTTGCGGTGAAGAAATGGAGCGTTGTTCCTCGCCATTTGGAAGAACCGGAACGCGAGTACCTTGCGAAACGGAGGAAAGGTCTGGCCACGTCGACAAACGGCTTGAATATCGATGGCATTGCGGGCGGGCCGATGAGGAAGACAAAGGTCCAGAAGGCCGACGCCGACGGAAACCTTAAGATATACGAAGTGCTTGTGCCCGAGGGCCAGACCGTGGAAGGCGAAGTGTTGAACGAAGAAGCGATTCCCGAAAACGTACCCGTTGTTGTGCCTCCTGCTGTACCCGGTACAATTGTTGAGGGCGTTGGTGTAGTGAACGAGGAAGGCTTGGTCGTTGCGGGAGAGCTGCCAGCGCCAGTCAAGAGGAAACCTCCGCCTCCTCGTAGAAAGCCGAAAAGGAGTGGTCCCGGGAGAGGTAGGAAGAAGGTCGTGATTGAACCGTCTACCGAAAACGCGGGACCAGGCACCGAAGGGGCGGCGGACCCATCTAAGCTCACCGTTCCGCCTCTTGGCAACGTTGAGTCGTCGAGTGCGCCATCCGCCGACGGCGATACACCGATGGGAGACGCGGGCGATGAAGACGACGAAGAAAGCGAGGACGGCGAAGAAGGAGATAAGGATGACCGAGAAGATGGGGAGTTGTCGTCAGGCGTCGAGGATGGTGAAGGTGCGACTGAAGTGCCTACGATCCCGGCATCCGAACAACCTCCTAGTATTGCTATCTCGCGGACTTCCCCCGATGTAGCTCCTTCAACACATTCGTCTAGTCAAACAGGTGGCGTCATCACATCTGACGCTATGTTGACACAACCCACAGATTCGGACCTTTTACCTTCGAACCCATCTTCCGACATCAACCTCTCCAGTTCCGCAACCAATCTTCTAGTCACCTCGGATACCGACATCCCGATGACGTCCGGTCTGACCCCACCAAATAAAAGCGAACCGTCGAAATCCAACTCCCCCGAAATGCCCCTAGCCGAGACGCAAGACAGTCAAGGACCTCTACGGGAGGATATCTCGGTCACTCCCACCACCTCCGAACAACCCGAACCGCCATCCGAAAAGGTCGCATCACCTGTTGTGCCGGAGACCGAGCCGAAGCAGGAGGACCCCGTGGATGAATCCGCCCCCGCAGCTGCTGAGATTTCGGATCCAGAGACAAAGCCGGGCGCGTTGGTGACCCAGACTGTGGAAGAGACGCAGGAGGCTATCGAGATAGTCAGCAAGCCTGCCGCCGACAGTCCGGACCTTTTTGGGAGCTTAGAAAGGCATCTTGCCGGTGAAAGCGCCGAGGAGCCTAGCGATGCTGCGGTGGAAACGACGGTTGCGGATGCGATGGGAGAGACGGCAGCGCCTCCGGAGGTATCGGAGGCCCTTGAAGAGGAGATCGCTAGTAAGGCTGTAGCAGAAGAAAAATCCGGGAGCAAGGATGCTGGGACTGCAGGGGAGGGGGCATGAGTGCGGGTTATGTCAGTCTCGAAACCCGATTATGTAAAAATATGATTGTCTACTCACAGGCGAAAGGTAGACTTTGGATAGTGTCGGTGTTACTGTCTAGCAAATCGCGGGGGCGTTGTAGGAATCTGGCCTTGTTTACTGATGGGATTCACTCCAGGGAGCAGATAGCTTCTCAACGCATTCAACGTTAGCGTGACGAAACGCTCAAAAATGGTAGCTTATTGTATGGCTTGCGCATCCTGGCCGTTTCGCCACACCCTCTGCAGCGAATATTAACTGTTACACCATTCTCACTAATATGTTTCGGTATCTCCACCAGCAGTCAAATCCGCTGCACAACTAACGTCTATAAAGTCCTCCAGCTCCTCACTCACCGTCTTCAACTTCTCCCGCACCGCCGCAATGCCTTCGAACCCCACAATGTGCCGTGCTGGCGGGTTGTCATGGCCTCCAATCGCCGCGATGGCGAAGCACGTCTCCGCGATGAGCGCTTGTCGGAGGGTGGTGGGCAACGGGGGGAAAATCGACTCCGTGTGCGGAGAGGACAGGAAGGATGACAGGTGGGCGGCCTGGTCGTCCTCGGACGCGTCGTCCATGTTGTCGTCTTCAGCGTCATGATCGGCGCCGTCGGGAACATTGCCGGTGGTGGGTTCGTTCAGGTTATCTAAATTTTGTGCGTCGTGCTCTGCCGAACTCTGCTCCTCGGTTTGCAATTGCGACGTCCCCTTCGGCTCATGGGAGTGGGGATGGTACCCGACGCTATCGCACAGCTTGTCGAGGAGACCGCCGATAATGTCGCGACACAGAGGCGCCGGGTTGGTGTCGGGTGAATAGGAACTCAGCGGGGGTGCGGAGGTGATCTTGTTGGATAAGACGTTGATCTCGAGGTTGGGCTGCACGATCGTCATCTTGATATTGAACGGGGCGATCTCATATGCCAAACTCTTGTGCGTGTTAGCAGAATCCCCAAGGCTCATGGTACGCTACTCACATCGCAATAACCCTCGATGGCCCATTGTGAAGCACAGTATGCTCCAAGCCCAGGAGTCCCTAAATGGCCAGCTTCTCAGCGTTAGCAATAACCCAGCCGGGATTCATTGGAGGTACTTACTTATTCCCGTCAACATAATAATATGGCCGTTACTTTTCCGTCTCATGCTCGGCAGCGCGGCCTTGATAACGTTCACGTTGGAGAAGAAGTTCGTCTCAAACTGCTCGCGCATGAGCGACTGCGTCCGGTTCGACTGCGCCAACTCCTCCACTGACCCGATCACGCACTCGCTCGTGCATCCCAGAAGTATATCCACCCCCCCGAACGCTTCGACCGCCTCCGCCACCGCCGCCTGGCATTGCCCGATGATCCGTCCATCCATTGCGACCACGCGCACCCGATCCTGCCACCTCTTCGCGCCAGTTTTTTTCCCGTCGCCCGAGCTCTCCGTGCTGCCGCCCCCTTCCTTTTCACTCGACTCCGGGCTGCCTACACCCGACCCGGATCGTTTCCGCCCTCCGCCCACGCCCTGGACCCGTACCTCGTCAAGGAACGCGCGCAGCTCTTCGCCTCGCTCGCCGGCGAATTCGGACGGGATCACGCCCCCGACCACGTAGTCTCCATGCGCCAGAACTAGCCGTGCGAGGCCGATCGCTATGGGGGCGGTAAGGGCGGTCATAAACCAGACTCTCGGAGCGTTGTGAGGAGGGAAGGGAGGCTTGGCTGGGTTATGGTTCTGGATTGATATCGAGTCCTTTCGAGGTTGAGGGGCGGCTTCGGCGGTCCTAGAAGACCTGTCGTTCGGAGAGTCGAGCTCCATGGCGTCCTCCGACGCCCGCGCTTCGCCTTCTGCCATGCTTAGATCATGCTAAGTGAAGTCTCGATCTCCAAGTCTAGCTCATGTTTATCGGCCTACCGGACATGAGGCCTCCTAGATTGCTTGAAATGATATTGCCTCAGGCGCAATCCTCAAATAGGTGACTTTTGCTGTGGTTTGCGGTATATACAGGTCGCGGAGTCGAACAACGCTGACAGGTAAAACTGCACCAAAAGGGCAATACAATGACCTAAGATCCAGGACAATAGAGCCCAGGAGGATTTCAATATACCGCTAATGTTTAGTATAAGATTCAAATGACAGTATGTTAGTATGTGAAGGACGGTTGATCAGCAACCGCGCGAAATGACGATATATGCAGCCCCACAGTTGAACCGTAAACGACGCTGGGGTTAAGGTTAAACCAAAGTTAAACCAAACCTTAATCGGACTTAAAGAACGTACAAACCACAGGGCACACCACCTTACACATGTTCAGTATCTGGTACTCGATATTATCCCATATCATTCCTTCAAAGCTAGCTTGCGAACAAATGCACAATGGCCACCGAAACCCCAGATCCCAAGACCTTCAAATCTTGGGAGGACGAATTCAAGTATCCCATCCCTACCGTCCGTAGATTCGAGCAGGACCTTCGACACAATGCCGATGAGAATCGCGACCAGCTTCGCAATTTGGTCGGGTAAGATGACGTCTTCTCTCGGACTTATACTGTACTCTTTCTAATACCGGACTTCATAGGGCGTCCTACCGCGAGCTGCTTGGGACTGCGGAACAGATCATCTCCATGGACGAAACCATGACCCGCGTTGAGAGAACCTTAGGACAGGTTGGACAAAAGTGCAATTCTACGGCCGTGGAGAGGCTATTCAAAAGCTATGAAAGGCTGGAGATGGAATATAGAGCGCAAGGTGCGAAGAACTACCTGCTGTGCGAACCGCAAGCTAATATACCCCAAGAGAAAGAGGAGTACTCGTTCGCAGCCCAAGTCTCGATTCTCCAAGCGTGTCCCGCGGTCATATCTCGGCTTTTGAAGTCACGGTCCTACCTCCTAGCTGCAAAGATTATAGTCTTGTCGAGACTCCTTCACAAAGCCCTCTCCACCGATGCCAATGCGACGCCCTTCTTGGACAAGTTGCTTCGACGGTTGACTTCACGACGGCGCAAGTTGCTGAACGCTATCAAGGCCACATTTGCGGATGATGCCATTGAAACACACGATCTAGTCGACGCAATGTGCGCCTATTCCTTGGCCACCTCATCCACCACCACGGATACACTCAAATATTTCCATACTGTCCGCCGAGATACCATTCAATCTATCTTAAAAAGATCGGTTATGGATGAGGGTGTCTCCGCTGCAACTTCACATCTGGATGCCCCGTTTCAAGCATTACAGATCTATGTCTCTACTCTAACGCAGACGATCCGAATATTCCCGTCCGGTCTCACTGCGGCCTTGAGGAAACTGAAGTCGCAACCGTTGCTTTCTGACCCATTAGTGCGAAGCATTCCAGAACTGGACCTGGACAGTCGTAATGAATGGGTAATTCCAGAAGTCCGGGCTTTTAAACCGTGGCCCAGAACAACGGAGCTTGGTGATGCAGAATGCCAGACCATCCTGCAGGTATGGGCGTCGTCAACGCTGGACATACTTTTGGCAGGCCTCCGAAACAATCTCACCAGACAAGAACACCTCGAGGGTCTCATATCAATCCGGCGCTCGCTGCTTGAGGCATGGATGCGGGCATCAAATCACGTACTATTCCGAAGAAGCCGTGGAAAACAGCCACCGATTAGTAGAAAAGAAGTCTTGGTACGCCTGAGGCAACTCCTTGTCGAAGTGATCGTTGCAAAGATCCGAATTCACACATCAAGTCTATCAAGGATTGTCGCAACGATCAAAAAAGGCCTGTCTTCGGATGAGGAGTTGGCCGAGATCGCCCCGTCGCTCTGGTCATCGGATGCTACAGACATACCACTTCGAGATGGTGGCCGACAATTTAAGAGCGTCGTGGTAGACAGATATCACGGTCGAACGGAGGCAGTGATGACCGTTGCGGATCTCTTCGGAAGTTGGTCGGGAGAGATCGAACGGGCACAGGTTGCGCTGCGGGCCATGCGAGATCTCAGGTGGGACGATGAATTTGATGACCTTGATGATGAGCTGATGGATGATGACGAGGAAGAGGAGGAAGTAGACGATGCCGTTGCCCATCGTAGTCGCATACAGACCGCTTTAGGAGTAGAGGATCCAGATCTGCTCGATAAAGCCCTTAATGAAGGCCTTCAAGCGACTATGCGATCAATGCACGAGGAGTTCGAGCGGATACTCGAGCGACTCCAAAGCATACCGAATTCGGAACACGGCGCAAAATTGAGAAGGACAGTCTATCTCCTGCGGTGTTTGCGAGAAATCCGATCAGCACTGCCAGCTTTGTTTGCTCCAGCCGAAGGAAAACAGAGACGACAATCTGTGGACTCTCAGTTGTTTGCACTCACTTCTGAGAGTGCGTTACTATCAGCCAGTCTTCATCGCGTATTGGCGGAGCTAGTGGCTGGAAGGCCTGCAGTCACATTCGGGAAGGCTCTTCACAGGTTCGCCCATTCAACACAGGCTCTGGCGCTTGTCCAGCTGTGGGAAGGGGAACCGAAGTTTCCTACGACCCCAACTCCATTAGCTATAAGGCTGTTGAAGAGCTTAGCAGCAGAGTTGTCCATCCAAGGCCCTGATCTTTGGGGACAGGCAGCCAAATCCGCGTTGAAGAACTGGGTCGCTGAAGAGATAGGCAAATCCATCCAGGACTCCGTCGAAGTTCTCAAGCACCAGCCTGCCGATACAATTGCATCAGATCAATTCGTCGCCGAGGAGGACAACGTTGGAGACAATGCGGACAACGCCCAATCCGAGGAGCTCAAGAAGCAAAGGCTTGTCGCACTTCTTTATGACGCGGCGTACCTGTCCTGTGCTCTACGACAGGGACAAGGCCACGGATCAAATGACCAAGATTTCCCATTCATGAATGCCGTCCAGGACGCTTCTGGACTAGAGAAAGCTTCGATTGAGAAGATCTCCAAAAGCGCCGCAGACTACTGGAAGAGGACATACCTTCTATTCGGTACTCTTGCCTAGACACCGATACGGGATGGGTAGGAAACATCGACACAGTTTAATTATGTCCTTGTTAGCAACGCGAATCATAGCAGCATATATCGACTCATCAGCCTGTGTTGTTACGGGATTTCTGCTACCATAATCTGTTGGGTCTATTGCCAGGTCACCGAAACTCGATATTCCCCGTTCTGGACACCAGTGATCTGAACACTGATGCCGTTCGCCGCAACTCCAATCTTCGTTTCAGCTTTTGCGAAGTCGTACGCTGCGCTAGTCAACTCCCCACCCTTCGAAGGGGAACAACCCCTTGAGGACGGCTTCGTGTTGAGGACACGCACAGGGCCTGTACCGCTCTCGGCCTCCGTGTCAACGGAGTACAGTAACAATCCTACTGTACAGGAGTCCGTGCTCAACCCCTCTTTCGACCTTACTTCCATGACAATGGCTTTGGTATCGCTGACTCGCACGGCGACCGCTTTAATACCCTCCGCTCTTTCAATCGGGCTGATTGTGAAACTCGACGTGCCCTTTGTACCTATGCACGCGACTTGGTCATCCTCGATCCAGCCAAGTTTCCATTTGTGCCAGGCGAAGAAATCAGGGGAAGTGCCGGAAATGAGTCCTGCGAGGCGTGAGCAGATGCCGATATGTTCGTAGCCACGATTACGAACCCATCAGGTCCCATCCACCGACATAATATTCCGTTGGACGCCCGGCAGAATCCATCGGATATAGATCGGGGAGGCCCATCGTCTATCACACTATTAGTGGATACATCACACTTTATACAACGCTCAAGACGTACATGGCCGGTCTCATGGTTCAGGACTCCGTAACCCCATGACCATTGGTCCTGTCCGAATGTCACAACGCTCTTCACCTGAGTCCCGTCACCCAGTGTGGCTGCCCCCATCGATGTCGGCGAGAACCCAATGGACCGCGCTGCCCGCGTGGGTATGATATACAGCACTTCACACCCCGTATAGGGCGTACCACCTCCGGCTGCGGCGATTGCGTCTTTGATATATCGAAGCTGGCTAGTCCCACTGAACGTCTCCCGATCCCAACGATAGCCTGTGCTCGCCTGAGGCATGCGATGAAACTTCATGTCCGACACCGCTTCCAGTTGCATTTGCCCATACGAGGAGATGTTAAAGAATTGCGCACCTCCCGGGAGCAGGTTGTCATAGAGACTCTGCACGGTATCCGTAGCAGGGGTATCTGGAAAGTCGATGAAGATTACGGCCGCCTTCGTGACCCCGATGGTTTTGATGAAGGTCGATGTCGAGCTGAACCCCTCGGTGAGATATGCTCCTCGCTTGGCCGGGAGTTTGCAGGCGTGGGTGGCTTGCCGTGGGCCCAGTCGGTCTGGGGCCTGGTAATTTTTGGGGAAAAGAACGATGGCATCGATAAGGATGCTGAAAAGAATGACGATGTTCCAGAGGAACGTTATTCCTCGACGTGAAGCCATGACAACGACGGCAGTCTACCAAACCAACATTGGGACTAAAGGACCAAGGCGACCTCATCGTCAGACCTGGTGTCGAAGAATACATCTTTGTCCATTCCTTCATTCTAAAACGCTAAGATGATCTACTCTAGGATGGCTAGATCCATATAGATCCCCAGGTTTCAAATTAAGCAGAACCTCCTGGTGCTGTCCTTTATTTCGCCATGAACTCATTCCGCAAACCATACCCCCCGGGAACCAAACTTCGTGGGAACTGGACACAGAGCACAATTTCCTTGGAAAATGATATTAATATCCCAACATTGGCATGTTTACTATTGGATTCCGACAAACGTTCCGATGCTCTCGTGGTTTGGTTAGGGCAAGGTGATCACCACAAAAGCGCGTTTCAGTTGCTCATAGTACAAGTCCTACCATGTGACCCTGGTGATGTTCTCATGTAGCGTGTATCAAAACATTGTCTCTTGGCCGCCAAGAGGACTTAGGATTATCAATCACGTGTGAACCTGTATATGAGACCTGGCTTCCTTCCCTTCCCTTTACCTGTTGCAACGGAGGCATACCTCCGCGCCTTTGAATTCAAAGAGATGATCGGGAGAGCTTAGCTTCGAGAGGCATCCAAGGGCTGGCATCCTATTATCTTGTGGACAAATCCAGGCTCCATATCGGCGACTTAATTGAGCTCAAACTGGTGATGAGGCGCGACGCTAGGCTGTATAAGTATTAGCCAGCCGAGCATCGAATTGTGCAGCGTCAAGAATGCGATAATATCAGGAGCTCTGGACATGCAAGACTCACTCCATTGGAAGCCACAAACCTAATCTCAGCCGACGTTTGGTGGCAATGGCGCGTTTCGATTGGGCATTTGATTCGAGTGGGCGTGGTAAAGCCAGGCCTCGACCGTCGCTAAAATCAGATGCTCATGCATGTCGTGACAGTCCATGATATTTTCAGGACAAGGCTGAGGCTGAGTCCAGACAACAAAATGTCATTAAACAATGGGCGATGGCGGCCTAGGTTTGTCAGTGTCAACGATCCCTCTATCTTGTTCCGCTCGCGGCGATATCGACTCGTCTGGACGAGTGACGACCATGTCTGGCTGCCAATCCAGCCAGATCTGGCAACCCAATGCCCAGGCCTACATTCAGGCGAACACAGACACGAAACTATCAGAGTGGTGGACGGCGATCCCTGATAGAACGAACGTGAACTTTGCAAATGAGCTGGGGAAAACGTTTGGCGAACACAAACTCGGATTCAGGTGCGGCATTGGGTGGATAGGCAGTTGCACAACCCCTGGATGCACAGGTAAGCCTTTATCATACCTTAATCGCGTCGCTTAGACTGACTATAGATAGCATTTGAGGCGAATAGCGACGATCCATGGACGTTTCATGCGCTTCAATCTACCGTCAACCTCAACACCTACTATAATCTGATCGACGTAAGCCGACCCGGTTCGCTTCATGCATAGCGTCCCCAACGTCAGACTTTCGCAGGAAGGGCTTACGAAAGGCCAAATATCCTTCACCAACCAAATCGACAACGTTGCGAAGATCGCATTTCCTTACTCCGATCCTCGGATCACAGCTTCCGAGGCGATACGATGGACCTTGCTTGTGTTTTCCATCTTGTTGGCCTTCGTCCCCGGTCTAGGTCCTGCTGCCACGGTTGCGCGAGGGATAGGGGCCATCGCCGGTGGAGGAAGCGAGGCAGTGTCTACACTGACAGCCGAGTGCGTCCCATTCCACAGAATTGACAGGCGGTTGCTGACGATCGAAGCCCACTCGCTCAACAATTATCCCAGGAGATGTATACGATCCAACAGATCAATAACTATTCTGCGACCGTCTTTTCGGACGCAAGAGAAGCCCTAGAACTTTGGGCAAACGACACCTTTGCTGGCCGACAGGACGCACGGAATAACGATATTCTGTATGGGGTTCCTGCTCCATCCTAAGTCACTGTCGACTTCGGTCGCTTTAGACCTCACTAACTGGTTTCAGTGATTACTTCCAAGATGGATCGTTTGTGAACGGAGGCAGTTTCCCGAGCATTGCTCAAGTTGAGAGCTTTTCATCCAACCAGCTGGCTGCAAGATTAGTCAACTCAGGCTGGAGGTGAGTTGCCCCCATGTATACCGGAAGTTCATCACTGACCGAAACAGCACCCAGAAAATATATATCACTAGGACAGAAACCGATAACCCGAACGACAAATCAGGTCCTAACCAAGGCCGGTACTACTCGCCTGAGGAGAAGGCCGTGTATTATCTTTACAGGTGCGATTCCATGAACGGTGAGGAATTAACTCCAGTATCTTACTATGCTCAGGTATCAAGAGGACGGCAACATCAAAGGGCATGTCGAACAACCGTGGGGCCTCGATAAGCTTCGCGGTGCGCCTTACTTCATCACAGGAGAGGTATGACCGCTCATCTAACTATGGGGTTATATTCACTGACACGACATAGGATATCGTCAAGGCTTCGGTGGGTGCCTGGAGGTTTGCGCCGACGAATTACACCTATGATCAAGGTATCCGTCAAGTAATCGAAATGGCCATCTCCAACCAAGCCGTCTCCCCTTTTAAAGAAGGTGCCGGCTTCAGTGGTACGTCTTGTTGTGAGGACTACGTCCGATGTCCAAAATCATTAATTGTCTTTCAGGTACTTTTACCATCCCTGTTTGCGATACGGGAAAGCGGAACTTCAATTCTCAATGGACTTCTCCCTCGAAAAGAGTCGTTTCAACAGGAAAGCTTCCATGCTGTTGTGGTATGCCAACGATCCTCTATTGGTGCTGCTCCGGTTCCGATGAAGCTGACGATTTGTTTCTATAACAGGGCCGAATTGTCAGGATACCAAACGTTTCGTGAAGGCGGCTAACATGCACGGGTTTCAGACTTTACTTGTGTCATGCAAAACGCAGTTCAGGGATACCTGGAAGGACCTTAATATTGACACCATTGACTACGGATTTACGATTGACAGCAAGTACAAGGACACTGATAAAGTAAATGGAGGCCATGTCTTGAAACTGCCACCAACGTTGCTACTTGTTTGCTTTACGTTGTCGGGCGTCATCTGGCATTTTTCTGTATGATACCCACTAGGAAATCGACCAGACAGGACTCGACGAAATGGGTGACTGAATGAGTGATAAACCGGAGGTATGAGGAATATATTTTGCTCTGTCTAGAACTTCCGACGCTGTAGGGGTACGATGCAATGATGTCCATCTGGGATTTGCTCAGTCAACTGAGAGGTACCAGAAAAGCACACCGGGCAACATCGTACGATTCGAAGAGTCAACAATGCGATAACCAATGGCAACAGAACGACGATCTAGAGGACGTTCATACATATGGGCCTTCTACCAGCCACGTCCGGAAGATCTTCAACACCCGGCAACAGCACTGACATCAAGTGATACCACTGAGTGACTGCCAACCCTTCACCGCGCTGTTGTTCGACTTCAACGTAGGTCTAAGATCTCCCTCGGACGAAAAACTGGGACCCGAGGCGCGTCTCCCTCGTGCTCAAGCACCGCAGAACAAAAGAAATGCGATTCGCGTGGTGGCAAGCAGAAAACGTCGACCAGTCACGCCGCCGCGTCGGGGGAAAATCTACTAACTAGCACCGCCGTCCGGCCTCGCGCGTCTATAAAGATTTCCAAATCAGGCGGTCACGGCAGCAGGAGGTTTGCATACACGCTTCAATGTCGCACCGCAGCGCGGGCCTTCGAGCTCCCATCGGTTCGTTGGATGGTCGTACAACGGCCATGTGACCTCAGGTGCGACGGAAGTCCGAAAATCAGCGTGTATCTCGGCTCTAGGAAACGAAAGTATATTGCTCGAGAGAAGGTCGTGGAATGCATGTTCAAGGCGACATCACGGCATCGCGATGAACTCAAGGCAGCGTGACTGGTTCAACGTAACACCAATCGTAACGGGCGCATTATGCGAAAGTCGGATTTCCAACGCTCCCGCACGCAATACGATTCTGCAAGGACGTCTGAAATGAGCAAGTCATTCACCGTGCCTAATGGCGTTATCTCGGGGATATTTCCGCCGACTGAACGAAAGGGGGTGGAGTACAGAAATCCTGATCCCATCGAAATGGGAATTGCCTTCCACACAGGTGTCCATCTGATCGACTGTCCCATGCTCCTGCTCGTCCGGTGTTCCCGGACGGTGCAAGGAGGAAATGAACCTATACCCCCACGGTTTGACATCTAGGGACCCCTCTAGAATCCAGAGTTACAGACAAAGAAATCGGTCGCAACTCTCAAGGATGGAAGATAGGTGAAGGATGGCAAGGGATGATAACTCAAGACCCTGGTAGATCATTTGCAAGGCGGCCCTGGACCACTGGATACGGAAGGCTGCGGGGTCGACTTGGGGTAGAGGTGTGCCCTTGATCTGGAGAGCCTCCCCTAGCTAGTACTCAGAGGGTTAAATAGGAGTCGTTCACGAGGACTGATTACTGACGATACTACTCAGGGCTGGTCAAAATGAAGGAAGAGGGTGTACGGAGGACGTATTGGCACTGAAACATGGCGGGGGCAAATCAACCATTCAAGTTACGCACATCATCGCCCCTCAAGAAGACGCAGCAGGAGATGGTTGTCTGAACACCCGCAGCCCAGATCGTCCTCAGAGAGAGGCAATGCAGATATGCGTCCGCATCGAGACGTAATGCTTCGAACTCCGAAAAATAAACTTGAGGGCCCTCCCATTGCAAATCCCGACGAACAGGCCAACGATAAGACTTCCATGCCCATAGATCGCCGCAACTCTGCACTTCGAAACGAAAACGGTAGCTTCCCGTGGCGTCAGCGCGGTAAATATGGTCATTGGAATCCTGATCGCTTGAACGCGTAGGTGCATGGCGCAACGTGAAGAGGCGACGCGCATCACTCATGCGTTTTGCTGTCTTGCGCATGGCAACGTTCAGGGTGACTTTGATGCATGACGATTGACGACTAACGAGAGGGCAACTATTTGCAAGCCGAGTTTAGCCTGCGATTTGTATGACTCGAGACTACAGCGAGTTTTCTCTCGTGTCCCCGCTCGACTCCTGCGAGGATCAAACAAAAAAAGTCGGCATCGTGAATTCGTGCGCTGGGCGGGGGGGTGGATTGGCGACGCACGGGCTGTGAATCGGTGATGGACAGTTGCAGTTTGCGGGGTAAAGCGAAACACGGAAAGTTTCCCAGTAGTAGCGCGAGCTCCAACCAGCTGCTGGTGAATGCACACGGGTACAATAGATGATGGCTTGGAAGGCGGACGGGAAATCGAGTTGCCGATAGACGATAGGAGACTTAGCTACTAACTAGGGACGTTAGGGTTGGTGGAGGACCGATGGTGGCATTGTCAAGGGGTCAATCATTTTCAACTGAAGGTCCAAGTGGCAAGTCTCACCTCTGTCGTTCCGCAGTTCGTTAAGTTAGTAGTTCAATAAGAGATGATGATACGTAGCGATGATTGTCTGTGGTTTGTCAATGGCACAGCGATCCTCTGCAAATTTGCAACTCTCCTCTTTGTCTGGTCCGGGTAACTCCACCACTAGCGGGAGCAAATCTCCCACTGCCGGAGATGGACTGTCGAATGTCGACGGCGGTATCCGTTCCCCAGACTTTGTAGCCAAAGTCTCCATCTTGGCATTAATGATGATGTTCTCATTAGCCTGGACGATCAGGGAGAGGGTAGAGGCTAGGGTAGGCTAACTGGTTGCTTGCAGGACTCATGAATCATGGCGTCAACAGCAGTTCGCGAGAACCTAGCCAAACTCCCAAACTCCAAAGCCGTGGTGGATACAGAGTACTGAACTGGCTGCGAAATTAGCACCATTCCCGCAATCCCGCCGGGTCCGCGGGCTGCCCATGGCCGCTCGCGCCTTGATGATCTCTTCCCCAGACGGGCAGACCCAGCTGTGGGGCGTCCCGCTTCCCCATGTTCATGCTGGATTGGCAAATGACAGAGCCCTCCGCTGTCCCAAATTGCCCAAACCGCAAGACGGCGACAAAAAAAAAAGCAGAGGATGGGAAAGTTTAGAGAAAGGGAAGGGGACACAGGGGTCGCTGGGACCAGGAACGGGACAATCGGCACGCCGATATGAGCGATGCACGGGCGTTTGAGGGTATGCTAATTTGGAATCGCTTGACTTGCATTAAGCATCGAGCAGAGAGATAATTCCGACTTCTGATGATTGCGACCAGCTTCATGATAAGCGATATTTCGCCGAAGCTGGGGAGGTAGCGAACTGGTGAGGGGATAGCCTGCCATACTGTCCAGGACTCCAGGTATCCCACATCCATCGACCATAGACAATCCGACATGAGAGACTAGTCGCCTTAGCTACCTCCGCAATCCCCACGCAATATAGTCGCAATAACGATCTAACAAACGATGGAAGTAGCGCCGTTCATGATGCGGAGGTATGACAGATTGACAGTGTATACTAGGATATTAGGATAGATGATGCGCATAGAGCGCATAGGTAGTGTATCATGTATGCCGTAGTTATGCTCGAGTGTGGATACTCACGCCCGAGACACCGGCATCCGGACGCTGGGCAATATTCGTTCCCCAAACATCCCGTCCTCTGCAAGCGTAATCTCGACTGCGAAATCACTGTATGCTTTCGATATGCTGCCATCTGCATGGACTGGACGGCCTGCCAAGGGAAACGAGGTGCAGGATGGAATGGCGTACAGCGAGATATCCCGGAGCTTGCATGAGCGACGAACCACTCGAGACCCTGACTTTGCGACGAGGTAGACGCAGCCAGAGAGCGAACGTGGGGATAATTGAGGAAAATTCCAATGGATTGTACGAGATCAAACAGAAGGACGACGTAGTGGGAGACTGGGAGGACCATCCCTCCTCGGAGCGGATTTCAAGGGTATCCATCCCCTTTGATCACGACCTTGGTCGATAAGTGAGGGGACGAATGCATCTGCCTCAGTGCCTGGCATCGTCCGCCCCAAGGAATCGATATCGTCGTCCGTTAATGACAAGGGGGTTTATATCCATCGACTGTTTCTTCGCTTCGTGCTTGTGTCACCGTCTCCGAACCTTCAAGGTTTAAAATGGCGCGATGATATCGGACGCCAGCAAACAGTGCTCAGTAGCCAGGCACCACCACCCCATCACCGTCCTTCCGTGGCGTGGAAACACAAAGCTGGCGATTTAGTGAATCTCAATGGATCCCGTGCTCACGGCAACCTACAGTTTTGTCCCGCTTACCCCGTGTTGTCAGTTCGTGAACTATGAGAATTGTCCATTGAGATCCGATCCGCGTCAAGCCGTCAAGCCTCCAGCGGTTCAGGTGGTCCTCCCGGCGGACACGTCCGTTCGCTAGCAGCTGATCTGGCGCAAGCTGGGACCCTCCGGAGGCACCGGATGGCGCTGAGGGAGGGTGAGCGCGGCGGAAAACGCCATGGACAACCCCGTCCGCCATATAATTGGAGTGTGCTTTATCCGGCCCCTGATGGCCTCGCTTATGGGATATTGCCTGCTTCAGCAACCACCTTCATTTGACAATTGGCGGTTTTTGGAGAAAGTGGGAGGGTTTATTAGGGACGAAAAGATAAACATTGATATTTTCCAACAAGGATCGAATTGACGAATGCCCGGTTCGGACTGCGGCGATAACAGGCATCCATTTAGGGCCAGCTTTGAGACGATCAGACGACTTTGTCTCTCGCCGGTAGTTAGCATCTGGTGTCTCAGACTCTCATCATCATAAGGAGAGCGCACAGCGGAGGGTATCAGGCCGGAGAGATTTAAAAAAAACGGTTGAGCAAATGGTTAGGGCTAGCTTCTCCGAAACTCGTCAATTGATCAATCAGTTCAGCTCAGACCTGAATCGGGTCCAGGTCCTCATTGATCTTCCGCCTTTCAAGGAGTTTGGACGATCCGCAAAGGCGTGAATAGAAAGAACTTTGGGAACCCAAATGCCGCTCCAGTTCCAATCAACGAGCATTGTTTGTGTACCCCGAATATCCAGAGCGGTTCAAAGATCATGCAGCCGACCGTCTTGGAACTACGCCGTTTATTCGAGAAAATCGCAATGTCCCGTTGGCGTGGCAGAGGATAGGAACGGGAAAGGACACCGCGGAATGCTGCAGACAACCGGAGACTTAGATCGGGGTTTGGCCTGTTGAGGCCAAGTGTACTCCACTGCCCACCGGGCGGAAAATTGCCGTTCAAAGGAAGGTAAAGGTTGTTGCCTGAGTCGCTTATTGCTTGCTCGTCGCTACCAGTATTATTAGGCTGCCTGAAGTTTATAGATGAATGAATGGTCGAATATTGCAACGCAATTGGACATCCAGGCGGTTGTCAGCTGGGAGGCGTGGCATTTAGACGACCATCATTCGCGGGATCGGTTTGATTAAAGACCCCGCGTTTGAGTGGTTCATCCGTCCAAGCCTGTGGTCTCTTCCAAGAATTAGTGAGCACTCCGGAGTTACCTCCACGGTTTGTGACTTTGAGGTCAGAATAGCCGCCTGACCCCGAATCTGTGCCCTTGTTCTGATACTACCGACGGGAGAACGGTGGAACTGCGACGTCTAATCATGCGGCAAGTGAGCGCAAACCGCTCAAGTAGACGATGGATTTTGCTCGAGTTCCCCTCTTCTGCTCATGTATGTGGACGAAACGGTCCGCAGAAAATTACCTCTGGCCCCAATGGGATGGGACGGGAGGAATGTAGATCCAGCACTATGGAACTACTCAGCCCCCTCCGAAACTCCAACGGCTATTGTCCAATTGCGACGAGAGATGCTGGAGAAGCCGCGCTGCGGGATAGTTGCAGGACCCGGTCAAGAATGAACCGATACCCAAGAGGACTTACAATAGCAGGAGGTGGTACGGGATTCTTAGGGGGAGTGGCGGAGTCCTACAGCAACAGACATGGCATTCCGTATGGTGTCTGATGGGCGGCTGCAAACAATGAGAAGCGTCAACCGAACTTTGCGACCCGACGGGGGTTGCGTGCTTAACGCCACCTCCATTGAAACGGAGAAGCTTGGGGCGGTTAATGGAAATTGGAGCCAGGATGTCCTATTCTAATTCCCAAAGACTCCAATGCTACAGCCCACCTACATAATAATACACAGTACAGTATGTGAGGGACTGGGGACGACATTCAACCCCACTTTCGAGATGGTGCAGCACTGTAGTGGTTCCATGGTTCGTGGTTGGCGTGGGTGAGGAGTAAGGAGGGAGGAAATGGGAGCAAATAATCAAGCACATATGATCAAAAGAGGGGAAGGATGGTGCAGAGGAGGACGAGTTAGAGGATGAGGAGAGGATTGAGAGAGGATGGGAAGATTCCCCCACGCCCTCTGGCAGGGGACCATGGATAGAGTGAGTGGTCAGTGGTGAGAGATTGGGTGAGTAGTGAGTACTGGGTGAGAAGTGAGAAGTGAGGACTGGGAGCTGAGAAAGGGCAGGTCAGTTAGGCAGGCGGGCAGGCAAACAGCAGACAAGCAGGCACTCACTTCAGGGCTCAGGCAGCGTCAGGCTGGTCAGCAGGGAAATTTTGGCGTGCATGGCGCTAACGCTCAGCAAAAGTTAGAGCCTAGAGGGGCGACAGGGGGCGAATTAGCGCTTAAAGCAGTAAGAGCGACTTGCCGACTTCAGGATTACAATTTACGTCTGCAGACAACAGGCAGACAGGCACCCACGCCGCTGCTGGCGCCATCCATCCTCGATTTCTCATCCATGTCAATTCTTGCAGCCTCCAGTTTTAGGTCCGACAGGCATTCTACAATAATCACTGGGAAAGGCCACACTAAGGCAGAATAGTGTGGGTTTATGCCGTTATGGGAACAGCAGTCAGGATTTCCCTCAGGAAAGAGGAAACACTCTGACCACCCTGACAAAACATCCATGTCCTCCTTCATGCATGCCATCCCCTCTGGCCTCCTCTCTGCCCGTGCCTGCAGAGTTCTGTGCAGACTGCAGCATCCTTGGTGGGCCGTGGGGACTCCCGTCGCAAGTCCCAGTCGCTCAGACGAGGAATGAGGAAAACTCCCCCAAGTCCTAAGACGCAAGAATGGAGAACGGACCACCACGCTGCAGTCTCGCGTCCGTCATGTTGCGTGGACCTGGTGGTTGCAAATCATACAAGTATCAAGTCGAGTCCACTTTCGTCCTCATGTTGAAGATTGACTCCACACATCTTCAGCACTTCTAAGAACTGTCATCGTTGGCCTATTGCGTGCAATTCTTCCATCCCACCGTCATACCTCACACCTCAATCATTCACTCTCTTACGCCATCCCTCTTTCACATTCTCTCCACGTACATGATATAAGACCTGATCGACACATCATTAGATGTGGGTGCCAGAGTCTGACTATCCGCCCCACTCTCCAGTCATCTGCTGTCTTCTGTCTTGCACCACCACATCGGGCTAGTCCAGCCATCACAGTTCAAAGTCATAAGGCACACGCTTGCTTGCGACTTGCCGTCGACCTCCACTCATAAGGCTCAATCCTTCGCGTCTCATCCATCTCGTCCTCCTCATATCATTCGGTCTTTTTCTCCCTCCGTGTCAAGTTCATCCGTCACCATACCCGGTCTCTAGTTCCGTCCTCCACTACGAGCCTTCCCATACATCTGCAAACGTATCGGACCAAGCATCATGGAGTGGGGTCCTGACTTCTGCCTCGTCTGTGATAAACAGACCACCGGCAGTGCCTACTGCTCACAAGCCTGCCGTTTGGCCGACGAGACGTCGGGTTTACTACCTCAAGCTTCACCTTCTAATCTCCCTCAATACACCGGCTCACGATCCTCCACCTCATCACACTCCGCTTCCTCCTCCACCTCCTCCTCCACCTCCTCCACACATGGGTTCCATCTCCCTCCTCCCCTCAACTTCTCCGCTCTCCGTCGTCCCTCATACGACGCTACGCCCTCATTTCAGTCCCGACCATCAACCACGACCTCCCCATCATCCTCAAGTCGAACCACATCGACTCGACCTCACCTCTCCACATCCAGTTCCCGCTCCTCTCTTTCCTCCCTCTCGAGTTCCTCCACCGCCCCATCATCGACCCAGGCATACGGTCTGTCCGAGTCCACGATGCACCAGCTCCGGGACTATGTCAGCGCCTTCGACCAGACGCGTGACATGAAGCGGAAATTCACGGTGCAGTAGCGGCCCGTGACTGCTTTCCTCCCGCGGACGGCATCGAATCACGCAATCCATCTCGCCGGTTGCTTGATGAGGGAGCGTCATCGGCGGATGGGGACAGCCGAAAAAGTCATGCGGTTCACGTTCACGTTCATGTTCATTGACAAGGCGTTCATCGGTTCATGGGTCTCGTGGTCACGCTACCGGCTACAATCCGGATGGAACTCCCATCACCTGCACTCGGCCGCGTACAGACGCATCGCATCCATCCCACATTTGTTTGCATTTTTTCCGGGACCGGCGCCGAACCTTGATTGGACGGACTCCCTCCAAACTGGAGTCCCTTACCTTGGTGGTCACCCCCGCAATCTTCGACCTCCACTACCCGTGGGGTCCGGCACTTTTCCTTTTGATTTTATTGTATCATGCAACCCCAAAAGTTTCGGTGGTGTCCATGTCAGCCGACTTTTTCTTTAGCATCCATGGTGGGGCCGAGTGTTGTCTGTTTGTCTTTCATCTCCGACGACTCGCAGTTCGTCACGTCGTTCACCAGGTTTGATGTGGTGACACGAATCATTGTGGGGGCCTCTGTCGCACCGAAGAATTTTCTTCGGTGTCTTTTTACCTTGTTGTCTTTCAACCCGTCACATTTTTCTTTATTCCTGTACACCGGAAAATCCTACAACATTTCTCGATTGTTGATGTTGCGTGGTGGGCGTGGTGGGCGTGGGCGCACGGGTTCGGAAATTTCCCCTCCGATGGCATGATCTGCGTTCGGTGGTGGTTTTCCACCGCATGAAAGAACGGGCGCCTTGCATGGATGACTGTTACGGGATGGAGGGCACCGCAGCAAGATTTTCGCTGCGTGCCTTTGTGTACCATCAATGCGGTGTCATTTTTTTGTCCTTACCTCAGCTGGAGCGCGCGTGGTGATTTGCTGGATTATGGAACGGCGAGAAGGTTGAACACTTTAGCGGCGCACATGTGGGAAGTCCGGTACCTTGCTGGGTACGTCTGGATGGGGAACCTGAATTGGGGTTTCAAGCTTTCCAGCGGCATGGAAATTGCATGTTTCAACGGGCACCAATGGTGCAATGAATCTCTATCTCAGAAAATATCATCAACTACCGCGGACGCAGTGTCCGAATCATCTATCAAATTTTTTTGATCCTATCGGATCTCGTCTCGTTCCATCGTGCCATCATCGTGGTGATCGTGCTTCTGCCATTTGCTGTCCGTTCAAGGCGTCTTTCGTCCTGGGTCCATCCCTGTCTCTACTCTCGATCCCTCCATCGTTGAGCCTGCAGCGCAGCGTCGCAGCTTTCGCACAGGCTCACCACATTCATGGGATCGTCGTGGGGGCGTCCATCCTCCTCCTAGCGTCCAGACGAGCCATTCATTGTCCGAAACCTTCCTGTGCTGGCGTGCAAGGCATCAAATGGAGAGTGACAGCGAGGATATCTATCGAGGTCCGCCCTAGACGAACCTTTCGAGCTGTCAACCCCAAGTCCCCAACAACGACGCATACCTACCCCGAACTGTCAGCTCGTTCGGGCATGGTACCATTTCATCTCTTGGGAGTTGGGTGCGAGGACATATTTCCTGGGGCGCGGAACCGGGACGTGAATGAAGGGGTAGGACGGTGGGATGCGAAGCGACAAGAGCGCAAGGCACCAACGCCCAGGCCTCTGAACAGCGCTGCGATGGGATTTACTCTAAGCGATGCCCTACAACGATCCCATGTATCCGCAGATATTGATTGAGCTCATCTCAACCAACAAGTCCCGCAATCGAGCACCACCCCCCACCGCAATCGCGCAATGATCCCATGTCTTTCGAGGAGGCCCTCGAGGCTGACGGATCCGCAATTTTCCAGCCGTCCGGTACGATATAGGCTCAGACATGCATAGAGCTCTCAACGCGCTGCAATATCGCGGCCGTCACTTTTGCCTGGATCGGCGGTCGTACGGCGCGCAGTAGTACTGGGGTGCGGCTGGATCGGACCACTGGGCTTCCGTTGCACGGTTGAGCGCCTTCGATGGGATTGTTTCAACTGCTAGGCTGACGGAGGGGGCCTGGCCGTAGTGTTAAGTAGGTACCTATTAAGGACATTGCTGATATTATAGATGTTATTCCTCTATATTCCTGCAACTTTGGTAGCGAGGCGGGGCTCGAGATTGGAATTGACGACATCGAATTGCACTCAGAGGTTTGATTGTCCACATCTCCTCGATCCAGCTGTACCGTGCAAGCGATTCCCCCTGATAGATAGATTACCTGTTGAATTTGCTGCCAGGCTCGAAGGGTGCCTGCCCCCTAGGCCTACACGCATGCTGTGTCGGAGGTCATACAAGCCGCCTCGATCGCACCATCGTCCAGCCTTCATCTCACACCTGCAACGGGGCGTCCGTAGTTCAGGTGGTACGAGATCTGTTCGCGATGTTGGAGACCAGCAGATTCGCTAGGAAGGGGAGATCTGATGATGTTGTAGGATGATCGTGGTGGCGTGAAGACTAACCTCCATCCAGTCCGATCCCCGCCCCCGAAGATCGTGGCGTTGACCATCGAATTTTTTCTTTTTTTTGTGCGATGCGATTTGCATTGAGATCACCGAATCCTAGAATCAAATTATCAAACAAGTGGACCGACTTCCACTGTTCGCTAGACCTACCTTGATGTCGAAACTCGAAACATCTCCGCTGTCTTTCGGACCGGATTCAACTACAATGATCCTCGATCGCTGGTCGGTTTTCAAGGATAGCTAGGACTGTGGGAGATAGATGCAGCCGCCCGATCAGCAAAAACTCAATTATTCAATAACATCCTATGATGTAGCCTCCCGCCAGAAAGTCAAATGCTCATTGGATCGATCCTAGTTGGGGGACGGAGCGCTCAGCGCCGTATCCAAAGATTCCATCTTCCTGACTTTGGTGCCTGAGACCATCATCAAGCCTCAAGGAGATGGGGTCTTCGAGAATTAGCAATTTGTCAAGTCGTCATCCCCTACCAAGATACATCATGCAAGAGAGTCCTAGTCTCCTCCTCGGGGGCAACGATCTCCTTGCTCATGAACTGCGGCTGTGCAAATATGGGAATATGGGGTCATTGACGGCGGGACGGCGGACACTGCCGCTATGTCAGGGATTCGAGGAAAAAATGAAATATGAATCGATGATGTCGTGATGTTGACACAAGAGTGGATCCTATTTAGGGATGGATGGAGCTTTGCTTCATAGGAAACATGCCATCAACTGCTGAACTTCGTAACTGCCGCGATGCTTTCCTCGCCTATTGTTGTGACTAAATTGGTTTCTATGAATGCTTCTCAGTTAGAGAAGTCCAAACCCCACTCGTGATCATTCTCGACACCTTGCCATGTGAAGTCTCCAAGCTACTATTCCCGCGTGCCTGTGCCACACCTAACGGACTCCGAGTCTCCGAAAAGTTCCTTTGCGGTAGTCTGCTCTATGGAGGTTGTGCGGATGAATAGGAGGAGCTTTTGCATCCTGTTGACGTAGGTTTGTATCAGTGATCCACGACAGATATCCACAGTAGTTTCATAGTAGCATGGGACCGGCGTAAATAGACTTGAAGTCATGGTGCAGGTGTTCAACTCAAATCAAAGCCGGAGGGGTTCTGCATATCCCTCGACCAATCTTCACATGAATGTCGATTGTACCTATCGAAATACCTTAAAACAAAAGGTAAAGAAAACATAATTTAATTAGCTTTTACCAATTTTCAGCACAATAATAACATTCCTATTCCTCAAGTGATGGGTGGTGTGTGAATAATAGTAAGTAGTCACGTGCACAGTACTAAACCCTACAAGGCTGCAACTTAGGTAAGCCTTTTACCCTCTTCGGTTATTGATGGACATCCTTATCTACTAAAATATGGCAATGAATAATATCGCGGACCCGTGGCGAAATGGTATCGCGTCTGATTCCAGCTTTGGAGCATCCAGAAGATTGCCGGTTCGATTCCGGTCGGGTTCAATACCCTCTCGATTCCGCAGCATATTTTTTGATGTTTTTTGGTCCATTTTTGGTCCATTTTTGGACATACAGAATATTGGCTAGAAGTGTTTTTTGGAATCGGAATAATCGGATTCTCAATGGTGTAAGTGGGATGCATATCAATGTTTCATCTACTGTATGTACTCAGTCGAATATTACCTTTATGAGAAAAATTTAAAGTAGCATTCTAAAAAGGCATGCCTAGGAGGGTACAATAGACTATGTAGAGATCTATTATTTATTTGTTCGAATTATATTTTCGGCATTGCAACCAGTGTATCGGAAAATATGGAGTGCTATCAGTTCTCGTTCAGTATCAAGAATAATTTCTCCATCCTTTGTTTGCCTTCCGCTTCTAGTGTTTAAAATTGATGGAGAGAATCCTATTGAGAATGTCAACATTGCAGTTTCGGCTGGCCACAAAAGGAGGCAGTTTACGAAGTACGTGCTAATATTCGACTACTAACTACGAACACTGGTTGAGAGTGGTCAGTGGCTAGGGAGGATCGCAACTCGAGTGAGATAATGACTCAAGTAAAGATTTTAATGAAGACGACGACACAAGTCAGCCGAAGTCACCTGAAATAAACTAAGATACAATCAGTTTCCGCACAAGGTTGACCGGCTGATATGGAAACCTGCAAATTCCACGCTTGAACGAACTGCTCCAACGCCAAACTGAAAACAGAGGATATGATGCTTAGACGATAGGAAACAAGAGAAACAACTAAACTTCTTTGTGGGTCAACGCCGCCCTGAAAGGCTCGCAATCAAAACCATAGAAACAACAGTGCGCTCCTTCAAACACCAGCGCCGTCTTCACAAAAGACTCTTTGCAAAGGGAGACACAAACCTAGTTCGCCATCGCCTCTACCTTCCTCCCCGTCCCCGTCGCCAACGCTCTCAACCGCTGCCTCTCCGCCCACTCCCGACTCGCCAACCGACCCCGCTCCGCCGCCTCTGCCCTCGCCTTCCGCGCCCCGTCCTCCTTCTCCCGCCGCTGCCGCTCCCGATCCTCCTTCTCCACCTTGTCCCGGTTGAAGATCTCCCGCGCCTTGACCTTCTGCGTCGCGAGGTCGGTGGCCGTGACGGAGGGCTTGGACGCGGCTGAGGGTCCGGACGCGGACGAGTTGCTCGCTACAGTGGAGGGGCGGCGGGTGGGCGGTGTGGGGGCGAGATGGGTGGAGGTAGGGCGTGGCTTGGTTGCGAGGGTCGATGGACGCTTTGCGATCGTCGACGTGGCGGAAGACGAGGTAGATGCGGTCTTCAGCAGCGTGGATGCACGCTTGGTGCTGGTGATGGATGTGGCAGGCGCACCGGCGATCGATGATGGACGGGTCAGCTTCATGATCGTCTCCTTCGCAGCCGGCCTGGGAGGAGGAATCGCGACACCCGCGATAGACGCCCTCTTTAACGTATTTGGCTTAATAGTGCCATTGCCACTAGCAGCCACACTCGGTCTGCTCGCGGACGATGCTCTCGAGTTTCCAGCCACCGAAACCTCGCCGCGAATCATACTCTCCCTAGCTATGCTCGCAGTCGTCTTTCGTACGTGCACGGTGACTGTTCCAGCGGTCGCCTTTGGTACCGGCCGTGCCTTGAACTCACGACGTTTCTTTGCCTCCTCCTCTGCGGCAGCCAACCTCGCTTCACGAGCTGCCTTGAGCTTCGCGGCGATCGCTTCACCGGGAAGCGTGAAGGTCGATTGAGTAGGCGGCTTGCTCGATTTTATCGGCCCTGGAGCGGGTGGAAATTGCAGGGAAATAGGTCGCCGCTTCGTACCCGGTGGCATCGTATTCGATGTTTTGGGCTTGATGGTCAATATGGATTTGGAAGTAGAAGGAAGAGGAGCCTTCGGCTTCGGTGCGGCCTTGGTGCTCGCGGAGCGAAGGAGGGTGGAAGTGCTCCGAGTGACTGAAGTCGTGCCTTTCGGTGTAATTTGCCCTGGCTGCCTCGCCGCTGGTGTCAGTGGCTTTGTGGCGGAAGAGTGACCAATATCCGACACGGGTTTCGGGCTTTTCGCTGCAGGGGAATTCGAGACACTTTTACGCTTCTCAGGGGCAGGGTTGCGGACTTCAAGATTGGGAATGGCGTTGCCAATGGCTTCGATCGCATCCTCGAGGTCGTCCATCGCTTCGATCGAGTCCTCGGGGCGTAGATGTTTGCCCGAAGGAGAATATAAAGGTATATCAGCCAGAGGAAGCACGGAATCGGCCTTTGTTGGGGGTTCCTCCTCGTTCGTGCTTGCTTCCGTAATAAGAGCATCATGGCGCTGTATCTCACTGCTCCCCAACTCCATAGCCTCGATTGATGCCGCGGTGTTGACAACTGGATCTACTTGATTGGACTCTGATTCCTCACTAGCATCTGTGGCCAAAGATGTGGGCTTCTCGTCGGTTGTTGGAACGTCGGTGCATGAGATCTCATCTTCCTTGGCTGTTGCACGGGTCCGTCTTGTCGAACGGGTCCGTTTGACTGGACTCGGCTGCTGCGGTTCTTCAACTGGGATTATCAGTTAGACATGGCTCAATCCCAAGCATAGCTCACGTAACGTACCCTTCTTTGCCTCTGCAGTCGGCTCCTCAACTTGCATCAAAACATCGCCAACCTCTATCGGCTCCTCACCCTGCTCTCCGGCCGTAGCCTCCGCCGTTCGATCTCCATCCCCCCCTTTCATCCCACCCTTATTCCTCCCCCTCCCTCGGCCCTTCTTAACCGTCCCCGTCGGCGCCATCCCCGTCTTCAGATCAATCGGATCCAGTTCCTGCGCGGTCAATGCGTCAACCTCGTTCATCGCAATCTCGCCTAGGGGTGCTCGCGCGTGGTTTTCGGCGTCAGAGTCGTTCGTAGTAGTAAGTTCGACAGGCGTATTGGTAGAGGTCGAGGTGTCGAGGTCGGCGTCGGCGTCGGTGTGGATGTCGGCGCTGGCCTGAGCGCGGAGGGCAGCGCGTGTCTGGCGAGGCATTGTTTGGGAATCGACAGGGGGTTCTGGGAAATTGCGTGCCGGGTGGCTTGTCGGGGTTTGAAATCTATCAAGATTGCGGTGTTTAACTGTGGCTCCAAGCCTGGGAATGATAGATTGATTGTAACTGAAGGTCAATTGATATGAAGATTACCACTTCATCACTGATCGAAGAGAAGGAACGTCGGTGATAATTGGAAGAGTCCAGACGGTTGTTGCTGGGCCTTGTTTACGCGAGCGCTGATTGGCGGTTGCCCTGTGAAACCCGCGCTCTTGCCATCTTCGTCACCGCGCCTCGTCGCGCTTGCTGTTTTGGGTCAAAATCGGCCTCTAGCGCGATCCACTTGCACCACCAAAACAGGCACGGCAGGTCTGCAGCAAGCAAACCCCTCAGCCAATGTTGAATGTTCATTTCATTAGTTCAGACATGCCAATTCATGAATTCATAGACTTGAGCTCATGTTATGATTGGAGAGGCAGAATGTTGGCGTTCCAAGAATAAAATGTCGTTGGTATAATAAAATAATGTATGAGTAAACCACCCTCAGCCTACATATATCCAAGTGTTTCCCTCCCATCCAAAAGACTGTCACTACCCAACGTGAACCACTCAATCTGCGCCTCATAGAGGCGCTTCATTGGCATCCTGATACGCCGCCTCTGGCGAGCTCGCACTGGTGTCCGCCGTGGACACATCCAGACTCGTCGTGCTCCCCTCCCGTTCCTTCCCACCCCGCTCCGCGGGCGCCCCTCCACTCCCACTCCGCTCCGCCACCTTCCCATTTGCCCTCGCCTGCTGCCTTTCCCACACCTCCTGCCGGATCCTGATATCCTTCGCCTTCCGCAACCGCTCCGCCTCCTCCACCCCCCCGCTCCGCTTCAGCTTCCCCTCGTCCACGAAGCTGCCCAGCTCCTTCTTGAACGCGTCATCCGACCGGTTCGCCAGCTCGCGCTGCCGCGCCCGCTCCGCCCGCTCGATTGCCTCGAGCCGCGACTCGTGGTTCGGCTGTAGCGCGCGCACCTCGCCGAGCACCCCGTCCTTGGCCAGCCGCGGGTCTACCGCCTTGTCCAGCGCCACCGCCTGCAGCTGCCGGCTACCCGTGCGGTTGGCGGCCTGGGCGTTCTGCGCGTTCTGGAGGTTCTGCTGCTTGGTGGCCTGCTCGACGAGGGAGAAGGTCTGCGCGGCTTTCTCGAGGTCGTCTTCGAGGTCGGCGGCCAGCTCTTCCTGCATGGTGAGCAGGTCCCGCTCGTCGCACACCACTTGCAGCTCCTTCTCCCAAATCTTGGTCCACACGGGTTTCTCGCGCTTGAGGGCGTCCTGCATCTTCTTCAGCTCCGCCGTGGCCTGGCTGATGTCCTTGGCTACCGTCTCCAGTTGCCGCGGCAGGGGTCGGACGCCCCGGAGGACCACGTCCTTGCGGAGATCCTCGATGGAGTCCTGCACCTCATCGACGCGGTCGACCAATTTCTTCGAGTCGTCCGTGACCGTCTTCTTTCCTTCGTTGAGGTACGCTCGGCCGCGCTCGCCTTCAAGGTCGGACATGGCGGCTTTGAAGGCGACGGTCTTGACCGAGGCAGCCTTGGTACGAACGTCGGCCATGGATGCTTGGACCTCGGACAGGAAGGATGAATACGTCTGCCGCATAACGGCAAGGTCGCGGCGTAGCGTCTGCACTTCGGTGATCTGACCGGTGGATTCACGCTGGGAGAGAGAGCGTGCGATGGCGGGCTGTAGAGATGATGCGCTCTGGTTGGGCGCAGCCAAGGGGGGTGCGGCTGTCATCCCGGCAATGTCCCGGGCCGTAGATTGTTGTGCCTCTGATACCCGCTGAAGAGAGGCTTGCTGCACCTCCATCGCCGACTTGAGTCCTTCCACCATCGATCGTAGCCCATTGAGGCCATCGTCGATGGAGCGTTTCACCTCATCCAGCTCCTCCACATTGAGAGCGAGGATGGAATGATTCTTCACATCGTTGAGATCTTCTAGTTCGTACCGAGCGCCCTGATCTTCGATGTAGATCGCAGGGAGATCGACGCCATTATTGTGAGTATTCCATGCGAACTTTTCGATAAATGCCAGCTGGAGGCGAGGGATCGTCAACTCCTCGTACCCATTCTCCAGGACAAACTTTTTGACTCGGCTCTTGTATTTCAAATATAGCGTCAGCTCCTTGCCCGGAGGCGGCGACTCCTCGGCCACGTATGGTCGTGGTGACGGTGTGGGGATGGGCGACTTCGTTTCGCCGCGCGATTTACTCCGTACCGGGAGTTCTGCAACGGGAGGTTTGGTAGGTTCAGGTTCTGGGGTGAGCACTAGTTCTCGCACCGGGCTGCTGATTGTCGCGCCCAGCTCCGGTTCTGAGATCGATGAAAGGTTCGCGACAGGACCTCGGTCCTCCAATTCGACGGGTTGCCTCACCAAGGTCGCAAACGACCCGGTGTCCTCCTCGCCACTCTCCTCCGATATCCGCGATGGCGAAATAGCTTTGGGCCTTGACGGCGATCCACCACCCAGTGGTTGCGTGGATTTGGACCGGCTATGCAGCACGGAATTTCTCATTCGGGCCGCATTGACAGAGTCGCGGATATCACGCCCCCGATTCGGGATCGGCGAGTTCTGGCTGGCGGGAAGTCCGAGCTGTTTATTGATTTGGTAGGACGAAAACCTCCGGGACGCCCTCCTCTCCAAGTCTCCGCCTCGCTGGAGGGCCAGCAGCGCATCCTCCTGTTTCGGTGGCGGTGGAGGCGGGGGTGGTGGATGAGGGAAGTCTTGGCTGGAGTTATACGATGGGGAAGGCGCCGGTTGGATTGGGGTGGGGATCGTATCTTCTTGGGGGTACGGGGCGATGACTGGGATGTTCTGCAATGCGTTACTGGAGAGCGATGACGACGAATCCCGTGTGGCATCCGTCAATGAAGTATTGCGTTTCTGGCGGCCGCCTGACATGCTATAGCGCGCCAGTCCGGTGCCACCGGATGAAGAGGAGGTCCGTGGAGGAATCTCCGAACTCTCGGCAGTAAAATCCGCACTCCCTTGTCGTTGCGGTCTTTGACTTGGTTTTTCAGATTGTGCATCCAGTTCTGCCTCCAGGCTTCCTCCGCTTCCTACTCTTGAGGTTGTACCATTTGGCAGATCGCCTCGGCCTGCTCGTTGTCGTAATCGCTGCTGTTTCTTTTTCAGACCGTGAAGCAGATTGATAATGATATCGCGTATCCGTGGTAGAAAGCGATCAAGGCTGGCTTGGGACGCTTCTTGGGAGAGGGTCTCTTCGAGGATCCCGCGTAATAGATCGGGAACGGGGCCCAGATCCTGAGTCTCGACCCCGATCGCGTTGAAGGCGCGGCATGCGATGTTGAACTCGTACCCGAGTCTAACATATACGTCCGACACGGAATTCTCGTTTGCTTGTCGGCGCGACCAGTCGGTGAGGGTCTCGAGGAGCTGCTTCGTGGCGACGAGGAGATGGGTGACGCTCTTTTCGATTTGCGATAGCTGGGCCTGGGGCTGTTATCGACAGTCAGCTTCTATACGGAGACCATAACGGTTATATTGGTGGCATCTAACATTTTGACGGCGCGACGATTGCTGTGAAGAGCGGTTGGAGCCCGACGAGCGCGACCCGGGCTCGTCGGTCACTGGATTCATCGCTTCAGGGGAGAACATGCGATATAGCAACGAAGTACAGTCTAGATGAGAAACGCGAGGAAAATAGCGAAGGTCGAGGTCTAAAGAGACTCAGCTCGGGGCGTCTCACGGGCTTCCCGAGGGCGATTGGTTCGGGACTCAGGGTAAGGTATCGTGATAAAGTATTGGATTTAATAATAGCCCGTTCCTACAGCACGAATAGATTCGTATGGCCGGCTGGGGTTCCCCAGGGTTTGCCCTTGGGCCTTGGCAGCGTGATGGGAACAGTCCGCTCCTGCCGAATCGGAACAGCTGTGATGTTTCCGGGGTCATGTGTTGTAGTTTTGTGCTGCTGAGGAGCTGAATGATCGCCGTGGAAACAAGCCAGGGTGGAGCGGAGCTGCGGATCACGGAGCGGAAACACTTAAGGTGACGACCCCTGAAAGTGAACGTCGCTAACTATCGGTGCGGATGCTCAGCAACTTTCGTGTTTGCAATAAGAAGGACTGCTCGAGGGTTTGATATATCCAAAGCCATCGCCTCGGAAAACAATCTAGTTTGAAAGTCGGGAAATCCGCTGGCAGTTCTTTAATGTACTACTTGGTTGTCTCAGCAGCGGAAAGTGTGGGTGAGTAGGAGGACCATGCCAGAGATAGACAACTCCCTGTCCGTTTCCAGCCCACCTGCAGCCAGCAGCTCCGACCTCAGACCACTAAGAATGAATACCCTGAAGGCCTAAATGATGAAACAGTGAAGTCTGGACTCTGGCTCTGGTGTATGTTGTCTCTGTGTGAGCTGGTCTCTCCGATGCCATTTGCACTACCATTTCCACTACCATTTCCACTTCCTACTGCATCATCCCCATCTGCCCTTTTGAGCAGTACTTGACTTCACCAATTGATAATAACACCACCGAGTAATTGCTATTGCTATTCGACACTCTCCAGCTCATTGCCAGCACGTTGGGTGTATCAGTTGTATGCACAGGTCATCCGGATCGCCAAGCGAGCGACCAGTGGCTCTAGCTCCCGGCTGCGACACTCACCACAGCGACTCACCCACCAGTAACTAAGGGCCACCACTCACGTCGCGCCATTCTTTCCGCCCATTCATCTCCAGCAGGAAATCAACTGGAAATCAACGTAAACCTTCCCCCAGACACTCCTCTCACTCACTTCCAACACCTATTCCCCATCCCCAATATTATCCCATCCTCTCTTCTAAGCTATTTCTTGCTCCCATCACTGCTCCTCCATCTGCAGATCCTCGTTGTTCCCTCCTTTTCACTCCCGATCGTGCGTCTCGTCGTCTGTCACTGTGACCGCTTTCCTCCCCTTGCGCCGTTGGCCTTCGTTGCTTCACCACGTTGACGGAGCCTTCTTTCTCACTCTCTCACCCCGACACGTCCTCTGCATTCTCCTGGCTTGTCTCTCTTGCGGACTTGCTCTTCCTCTTCCGATCTTACCTTTCATCGGTTATCCTCATCCCACACCACCCGTTGCTTGGCAATCCTTTGCTCCTGCATCGTGTGTGGAACTTCCAGCCATCCGCGTCGGTCCCGGTCTCCGGCTGGCCAATGCCCAGTGAAATCCTTCATCGACTCGCGTGTGCGTGAGAGTGAGGTATGACGATGAGTGCAAAGCCGTTGGATGCTGCGCGAAAGCAGAATGCTAGCCCAATGGAGGGGACTTCCAGGTGAGTTTCCATTTTGGCTCTTGTTGTCTCAGTGCTCCTTGCACTCAACCGGGGAACCCCAATGTCACTCTTTCAATTGGATTGTACGGATTAGTCCGTTCTTGTGTCAGTCCAATTATCAGCGGTGAAGCGCGATCATCTCTTTCTTGGCAAGCGGGATGCAAAGTATACACATGATACCTGTGATCGCGTCAGCCCTCTATCAGATACGCTTCTCCTCTAGGATCCTCAGTCACAGGCATAACGCGACTATTACACGTGCTGATGTGCTTCCCGCGTGCTAGGAAAACGCCTACACCCAAGGCCTGGACTGGCCCGAACCCTATCACCCAGAAGTCCTCGAACACAAACGTCTCCAATGGTGTCCTGAACACTCCGAAATCTCAGACGTCTACCAAGACTTCCTCAACACCTACAATGGAGGCCGGCTCAGCAGAGAAGCATGCCAATGATAGGCTGTCGTTTCTGTTGGCTTCTTTTATCGTAAGTCTTCTAACTTTTCAGCTTCAGACTCTACATCTTAGTTGAAAATATGTTGTTGATATTATCATGACCACTTGCTAACTTGAGTTTCTTCGCTTTAGGGTCGCCCATGCACTATCACTACAAAGACCGGCGATCAATTCCATGGCATATTCTCTGGTTCCACGGTTGGATCCCCCGAAAGTCGATATGTTTTGAAGATGGTCAAGAAAGCTCTCCCACACAATGAACAATCTAATGGCGTCTCTACCGCCGACGACTACATTGGCACTGGTGAGAACCATACAATGTCATTTGACACTGCAGATGTCATCGATCTTTGCGCTCTCCAAGTGGATACAGATGTTGTTCAATCGAAGTCCCAGAATGGGACTCCCGGCGCCTTCAAGACTGATGCAGACATCTCGGGCAACCTGGCCATGCGAGAGCGAAACCTACAACGGTGGGAAGCCGAACCGAATGACAATGTGCAACTGTCACTCGATGACAAGTCTCACGGCACGTGGGACCAATTCGAGGCCAATGAGCGCCTGTACGGAGCAAAGAGTGACTACGATGAGAATATTTACACCACCAAAATCGACCGTAGCCACCCTCTCTATAAGCAACGAGTGGCGCAGGCGGACCGGATCGCCAGAGAAATCGAATCCAGCGGTGCCTTGACGTCCCATGTCGCGGAGGAACGAGGATTGTCCCAAGCAGATGATGGCGCCGATGAGGAGTCGAAGTACGTATTCCCCAGTCAGGCTAAGGAATTGTGACTTAAGATTATTACAGATATAGCGGAGTCCAACGGGAGCATACTCCATTGGCAATGGGCCAGCCTAACAAATACCAACCACCAGCAAGGAGAGCTCAACAAGCCAGTGGAGCAGCCGCAGCCGACCCTGCCATTATCTCCTCTCAACTGGCCAAGCCTCAGGTCGTGGACGATAAGAGTGCTGAGACTCACCCATCCCAGGCTGGAGCACCCACACAGGCAGCACCTATGGCACGGAAAAATGCCAGTGCTCCGCCGAAACCGCAGGAGGCGGAAATCCGACCTACCAAACTGGAAGCTTCTAAACCAGGACCCAGAGCCGCAAATAGTATGACAGCGGAGTCGAGACATCTAATTCCTTTAGTGGCAGACGCAAGCCGCAAACGTGTCCGAGGTGAAAACGCCACGGCGACCGTCGAACTTGATGTACTCGACTCTTTCAAACAGTTCTCTGCTGTCGAGAAACTCCGACTTCAAGAACAAGCGCGGAAAAATGCACGTGCTGATAAGCAAGTGAAACTGAACGACCTCAAAAAGTTCGCAAAGGACTTCAAGTTGCACACCCCGATCCCGCAAGATCTTGTTCCGATCCTTGCGAAAGACAAGGTGAAGCAGAAGGAAATTGTCGCCAAAGCAGCGCATAATGCAAACGACCCTCAACCCATGAAGACAGCCGCATCGGTTCCTTCGGGCAGCACCGCTGCTACCGAATCAGCCACCACGAAACCTTCCGCGGCCAAACCAGATGTTGCTCATGCAATTCCAACCATTCCATCAGATCGTCAAGGCCAACAGCGTAACCGCGGCAATCAAGGTCCTTACAATTCACTTCGGGGCGACAGGTCCCTGGCCGCCGGCATGTTACCTCAAGGCCCTCAGCGAGGTGGTCTCAGCCAACGGCTGCAGGACAATCGTCAGCAACATCGCGGCCCATCCATTGGCAACATGCCGCACCCAATCCAACCTATTCCAGCCGGACCAATGGCTGGGAACATGTCGGCGTTGCAAAGTCCTTCTGGAACCGCACGGTTCAATGTTCAGGCCATGGAATTTAGACCCGGTGGTTCGCCATTCACGCCTAGTCAAAATCCAAGCAGCGCTTCGAGCCCTCGGACAGACAGCCGGCAGCGAATCGAGCCTCGAGGCCAATCGGCCACACATTTCTTCGAAGGCAAGCCGAAGCCCACATCCGATCGACCCTCGCTTGATGATTATTTCAATCCTATCAAGCGAATGAAGAAGGAAGCTGAAGCAGAGAAGAGGGATTACACTCACAACGGTGGAATCCCCAACGCATATCGAACCCCACCTGTTTGGGACGCCCCCGAAGCGAACAAGGAGAAGTCATATATTGACATGTTCGAAAAGACCATCGGACCTCCATCCGTTTCACCACCGCACGCGATGGTACCGAACGGACCTATGCCTCACCACCATCAACTCCCTCCTCATATGCAACATGGCCCTTCCGTTGGACCTCCGCAACATACTCCTCAGCACACTCCTCGCCATATGCCGGCCCAACCGCATATGATTCCCGGTGGACCAGCGTCCTTCGACGAGCACCGCATGCATTACCCAGGACAGGTGCACCCTTCACCCAGGGCGTCTCAACCTGTCATGACATATGGCGGTAACACTCAAGCACCCGTCCAGTTTATTCCCTACAACGGTATGGGACCAGGTGCGGCCCAGGGTATGAACATGCGGCCATATCCAGGCGGGCCGCAGTTCGGCAACTCGCATGGTGGGCCCATGGGTGGCCACATGATGACGCAACAGCACTCGAGCGGAGGATACGTGCCGATGATGAATCCTCAGATGCAAGTATACTCCCCGGTTCCAACGAATGTGTATCCTCATCAACCGGGCGGCATGGGACCTGGGCCGAACGGATATCCGAGCCCAAGGCCTGCGATGATGAGCCATCAAGGGTCGCAGCAAGGTCATCAACAGCCGGTGATGTACATGCAAGCAAACGGACCAGGTGGTCCTATGTTCCCGCCAAACAATGGACCAGGTATGGTTTCTCCTGTGGTTTCCTCTCCCTCCTTCCGCAGTTCTTCTGATCCGCTTCCTCACGCCATCATGCCCGGTCAACAACTGGCACCCCTTTCCGCTCGCCTTGTCAAATCTCGCAATCTAACTCCACTGTCTTCTGGCCCTTCTTCGCGTACTATTTCTGCTTCAAGCTACATCCGCAACGACACGCGACGTCCATCAACTAACGGCAACACTCCAGGCACGCAGATGCGCGGTCCGTACCCACAGCAGCCGTACGGGACGAGCCCGCACCAACACCACCATTTTCCGCAGCATCCGCACCGCGGCACGCCGAGCGGCACCCACGCGCAACCGGTGCCCCTCAATCCCGCCGCCATACACTCGCAAGGGCCTCCACAACCGCCAGCGGGACACGCGATGGAGGGAGCGGGCGATGACCACAAATGAAGCTGAGGAGCGGTGTTCGAACGCCCACACGGCTTTCATCGGAACGCCTCGCTTCGCGCCTTGGCTTCCGATGCTGCCACGACGCCATTCGGCCCGAACATTGGTTATCCTTCGGTCGGCGTGACAACGGATTTTGCGATATGCTACGTTGACCCTTTGCGGTGTTTTGTATGTCCAGTCGCATGTAAACGTCTGGAGGGTGCTCTCGAGCCTCCCGTCGGGAATTGGAAAGGTTGTTTCGACCCTGCGCAGTTAGGCACCGTTCAAACCCGTGGCATAACATTTGCCGAACGAGCGTGGTATTGATATGCGAGGGGAGCAACGCACTGGCGAGGAATGCGCATACATGCTCTCTTATACAGGAGCGCGAATGGAAGTGGTGCACTGGAGGGAAGGATGGACAGACCATGTCGATGCGAGGAAACGAAGAACAGAAGAGATTCGGCGGTGGGATCGGGGACCGGCTTCTTCGCCTTCAACTTTGTGATCCGAGCTGGAAGGCCCCTAGTGGGCAAATCATACATATATGGTAAAGCTCGAAGCGCTGCGCCCGAGTAAACAGCGGAGGACATGGAGTGGCATACCGGAATCCGGTGACCGCCGTGGAGTCGATCGGGGATGGTAGATACAATGGTGGCTGCAAATCGAAGATCCTTCTAGTTGAAACCCTTTGAGATCATTGGTTCCATTTTAGTGGTTGATTTTATGGCTAACACCCTTACTTATCTAAACTAATTTGATTGTCAAAGGTATCACGCCCCTTCGCAATACTTGTAGAGTTGTGTTGGATGGGTGATATTAGATATATGATGGACGTTGGTTGATATACGAGTGGGGTCTTCCCTCCGCCTTTATCTGGAGGTGCGGGACAGCGGGCCAGACCAAACTTCAAGCTCATCCCCCAGTGTACCAACCAACCGTAATGTTTTGCAAATTCTAGACAATCTTCCCGCCTTCGTTTTGTTTCCGGTTCGCTCTCTACGTGGCCACCATGGCCCCCGGCGTCTCGTTTGGCCGGACCGTCTTCCGGAGTCCGCTGCTGTTCTCCGGACGCGTATCGCGACCTGCCGGTCGTACGTACCGACCCGTAGCAGTTCCTCCAGTGTATAGATCATTTCAGAAGGCTTCCGCGCCGTCGAAGGTGCCCGACTTTGCCTTTGTGTTTGAGTACGTTCACGGTCGTCCCGTTCTCCCTAAGAGACCATAGCTAACCCATTCCCCTAGCATCGACGGCGTTCTATTGCGAGCAGCGACCCCCATCCCCCGCGCGAGCGAAGCCTTGTCCCTTCTACAGTCTCAGAAAATCCCATTCATCCTCCTTACCAATGGCGGAGGCACCAGCGAGGCGGCCCGCGTCGCGGAGCTAAGCGACAAGCTCCAGGTCCCGCTCGACCTCGCGAACTTCGTCCAGAGCCACACCCCCTTCGCGTCGCTAGAAGCGTACAAAGGGCACGGCGACGCAAAAGGGGAGGCGGTGCTGGTTATTGGCGGCGAGGAGGGCGGCGACGTGTGTCGAAAGGTGGCGGAGAGTTATGGCTTCAAGAACGTCATCACACCGGGCGATCTCTACGCCGCACATCCTGACCTCTGGCCGTTTTCCAAGCACCTGCTGGAGTACTATCGGAAACATTCGCGGCCGCTGCCGGCGCCCGTGTACCGTGGCCCGCATGCGCTGTCCCCTGGGTCAGACGCGGCGCTGCGCAACCACCTGCGGTGTACGTGCATCCTCGTCTTCAACGATCCGCGCGATTGGGGTTTAGACACTACGATCGTGACCGACCTACTGCTCTCCCACCAAGGTTATCTCGGGACCACCTCGCCGCTGAACAATCACCCCTCCCTGCCGAACAAAGGGTACCAACAAGACGGGCAACCGCCCTTGTACTTCAGCAATCCCGATCTCTGGTGGGCGGCGCGATGGCATCTCTCCCGCCTCGGGCAAGGCGCGTTCCGAGAGACTCTGGATGGGCTCTGGCGGAGCATTACTGGTGGAGAGGGCAATGGTGTGATTCTCCACAAGGAAGTCTGGGGAAAGCCGACCCAGCTCACCTACACGTTCGCTGAGAACGTCCTCGGCAGCTGGCGGGGCAAGATGCTCGGTGCGGGTACCGGGTGCGGACTGGAAGGGCTCCGGAACGTCTACATGATCGGTGACAATCCCGGTGAGTTGTCGCGAATCCGAATCCTGTTCGAAACGCGGACTTTGCTAATATTGAAGTAGAGTCGGACATCCGCGGCGCCAACAATTACCAGTCGCCGAACGGGACGAGCTGGAACTCGGTTCTCGTCAAGACGGGCGTCTATCTGGACGGAAGCGAGCCATCCTGCCCCCCGAAGGCGATTGTCGATGATGTTTTCAGCGCGGTTGAATGGGGTATGAAACATTCGGGTTGGAAGTAGAACCCTAGGTGCAATGCCGAACTTGCGGTGATCAGAGGGATATCCATAAAAGCGCAGTCGGAGAGAGATGCCCCACGCGGTGTCTATCTACGGATGTTCTTGTGGAAAACGTGCAACACCTACGAACGGTTTCTAACCCTAGGGAAGAAATCGAGGAAGCTCTGCATGGAATGGGGGCTTTGGACGTGGTTTTCCATTCTGACGTCCAATCTACGATGGTATCATTCAGGTCGCAAAGGGGCTCTCTTCTGCAAACGAGACGACACCAGATTGCTGGAAACGCTGTAAAAGGTGGCCAGTCTCGACAATGCTAGAGCCATAGCGGTGAAATGGGGGTATGGGGACTGCTTCGATAATGCGGGTGGTATTGTCCGAAACGCTGGAGGCGGTGGTCTCAACGGCGCAAGTGGAGCTACATGTGGCAGGTCTAAAATTTGAGGAATCATTAGAAGATATTCAAGATGGGTTGGCATTTGAAATTCCCTTAACATAGAGGATCATGTATTATACAACCATCCAATGTTTTTTTTTGCATTGTCGTTAACAGATTGTGCCGTTTCATAGCCGCCTCACAAGCGCCTTAAGCATCGACGCAACCAGTGCGATGGCCAGCGAGCTTTCCACCCAGTGGTACACCCCGCGATATCTGCGTTCCCTCCGGCCGGACCACTTCCTCAGCTTCCGTCGGCAAAACAGAATTCCGAAGAGTCCCAGCATGATGTACCTCCGCCGGGCGGTTCGATCTGATCCACCTAGGACTGTGAGCTAACCTGCGCATTGGAGGGAAATCGTGCGGATAGACGTACATTCAGCCCTTAGGGGCACGCCAACTGGTCCGGTAGATGCGCCGTGCGCTGCATTCGGCGGGCTCCTTGCTTGGGTGTGGTCCAATTCCACGTGCTTCGCTTTGGTGTGGAGATCATTCTCATAGATCTGCGCCGATGGTTCTCCTAGCGGATCGCTATACGTAGGAGGTTGGTCCGCATCGACTGCGCTGTATAGTCGCTGTTGAGAACCCATCTGGTAAGCCGTAACAAGAGCTTCGGCCTGTGCAGCACGTTTCCTGCTTTTGCACATGTAAAAATCGACGGTCAGAGGACTGAGATATAAATCAGATTAAATAGACGTCTACTTGGAGAACTTTGGAGACTTGGTAGATGGAAGGAGAGGAGCAATCAGGACTGACATTGCCGATGGACATTTTTATATACACTACAGTGTTTACACAGGGTTCCAATTTACCCAGATAGACGTACGTGGAGACGACGTTGCCTTACACCTCATACATACTCCAAGCAATCTCATCCAGATTATGTGAACATGTAATGATATCGTTCGCAGTGGAATGGTTTACCAATCCCAGTCGGCGACGTCGAACCCCAAGAGGTCCCTTGTCGCGCCAAGCGACCAACTTACGCCTGTACGCCATCCATGCCTGGCATGTCACCAATTAGTAACGACCATCACGGCCGAAAGCTGAGAGAAGTTGTCCCGACTCATATCTCCTGATATTAATTTTGAGGGGGGTGGAACAGTGCCAAGACGACCCATCGCTCCGGGTTGTAATGATCGGGTAGAACTCCATGTTGATCACGCTTCGAAAGCTGCATGAATTTATGCATCTCGCGTGTGGGCTTCCTTATGATGCATCGGCCGGTGGAGATGGTCGAGTTGACACGCCTCCTAAGAAACCGTCGATGACACAAACCAGGCGACTATCCTCACCGGTATGACTCGAGCAGCTGTGGTGGCACCGAGTCCCCCCTCCCATTCGGCCTTCCGAGCGCGAAATCTAGAAGAAGACATTCAGCACTGGACTCTTCCGCAGTTTGTTATCCAGCGTGTCCTTCAACCTATCAAACCGCGCCTGCGTTTTATATAGCTCTTTCTCTTCCTGTTCATGACGCGATATCGCATCCCCTGGTGCGACCGAAACTGCGTCACCCCCGTTGCGTTGAAACCATCCCCCCCACCCAGGTTTTGGCGCAGGACTTTCACCCGTTCCAGGATCCCGCCTGCTAACCATCGTCTTCAAATTGTCCACCGCGAGCTGCGCACAGTCCAACGCCTTCGCCCTCGCCGGCAGCTCCAACCGTGCATCGAACGCGCTCTGCTCGGCCATTTCTAGCCCGCTACGCGTCCACTGGATGCCCTCGAGGTGTTTTGACGGCGACGACGCGAAGAGGATCTCCCCAATGTAAACCAACAGCGCTGCCTCGGCGCATTCCGCGTCTGCGGTTCGCGCGTACGGTTCGTCGCCGGAGGGCGGCGGCGGCGGATACGGCCGCTCCTCGAGCATGGCGAGGAACTGCCGGATGGTGTCGGCGACGAGCCCTACGTCGGTCGTGGGCGCCGCTTTTATCTCCGTGTTGTCGACAACCGTCGCAGCGTGTGGAGCGGCGCGGACGGCGCGGAGGACGGAGAGGAAAATGGCGAGCGCGGCGGAGGCGTTGCCGGTTTGGGCCTGGTGCACGCCAAGGGCGGTGGTGGCGGTGATGATGTTCTCGGTAACGACGGGGGCTTTTGCGCGGATGATGCCGCTCTCTCGGTCGACGACGTCTTGAGCCCGGGGAAGCGAGGTGCAGGCGATGTCGAGTGCCCAATGTAAGGTTTCCAGTGCGCTGTCTCGTAAATCTTTGAAGTTCAGCCATTCGGCGTATGAGATTGCCGCATCCAGCCGTTGCTTGGTGGTAAACCCCGTGGTGGTAAGAATCTTCGTGTAGTAGTTCTCCGCGGGCGGAGCGGCCACCTCGCTGTCCTGCTCCTGGGGAACGGATTTGATCCACGGGGGCAGTGGCCGTGCATCGGGGTGATTAGGCCCAACCACGTATTTCTCCGGCACGTACGTATGCTTCTTCTTGTCCAGCACGAATCCGTCCAGATGCTCGGCGGACGTTGCCAGTCCCATGAGGACTTCGTAGTACCCTTGACGCCACGGCTCGCTCTTGTTCTGCAGGTCGAAGCCCGCCTTTCCGATCCCCGGCACATATAACCCTCCTTCCGCCAGCTCGACCAGACCCTGGCCGTCCTTCTCCGGGTCCTCCAACCGCTCGAGCGCGGCTTTATAGTTTTCGAACGCGCGGCCCCAGTCCGCGACCTTGGGGTCGTTCGACTCGGGGATCTCCCTTCCTCGCGCTGTCCGGTAGAGGAAGCGTGTCCAATTGGTCCATTCTTCGGGCGTGGGGAATTCACGCTCGAGCCGACCGTGATTGACGGCATAAGCTACCGTGAACACCGACGCGAACAGCATGCTACCGACCAGCATGACCCGGGTGAGGTCGTAGGCGAACGCCTTCCCGAATTCGGAACGTCCTGTGAATTCGGGACGTCCTGTGGAGGCATATCGACATTGGGAGATTCGGGATTGAAGAGGTGAGAGGGTTCGAGTAGGTCGAAGGAGCGGTTGCGCAGCCGTTGTAGGCGATCGGAATCCTCGTCGAGATTGCAAGCCCTCGAGCTCGGTATGTGAGAAGGTAGCTTGACGAAACGTCCGCGCCAAAGGGCGCATTCGATGGGGTTGTGGTCGCATCGCAAAGAGGTGGTGAGGATTTATAGTATAGTCATTTTATCATTGAGATTCGTTTAATGGGAACATCGAGGTTTAGACCTGACTGAACCTGTGAGCGTAGAGGAGCAAGCTAATCTCGAATAGACTGGAGATCTGAGGTTGCTCTTTATTTTCCGATACAGCGGACCCCTGTCAAAAGGATCGGCTAGCCTGAAATGGCCCATATCAAAATTCGATTTCCACGCAGCTCATTGATCAACTTTCGCCTCTAACCTTGCAGTTTCAACGACGGAGGCTTAAGTAATACAGAACATGGCTCGGAATGGAGATGAAGCCATGGAAAATAACGACGTTCCCCTCCCGTTCGGATTTAGCGAGGATTTAGTGCCCATCCGGGATAACAAAGCGCCTGGGATCAGCAAGGTCGACTTCGACGGCCGCTTGGAAGCACCATTACAGCTCTATGAGGATCTCTCCGGCGGTTGCGGAGGTCAGATGTGGCCGGCCGGCATGGTCCTGGCCGAATATATCCTGGATCACAAGCAGCTCGTGGAGGGCTGTTCAATGTACGTCTTCTCGCACCACCGATCATATGAGGCCGTCGCTAATTGCTTGCAGACTAGAATTGGGGGCAGGAGGCGGGCTGACAGGGTTTGAACCAAATCCTCAATCTTTGCATGGAAACACGCATGGGATGACTTGACTGATTTGCGAACGCCAGGCTTGCAGTTGCAACCGGATGTCCAACTTCAGGCCCGCTCTACATCACCGATCAAGCCGTTATGCTTCCCATCATGCAGAAGAACATCGAGCTGAACGGCCTCTCCTTAGTCACCGCTGTGGAGTACAACTGGGGCGCGCCGGCGCCGGCGCCGTCCCTCCTCCCGCCGCATCTCGACGTCGTCCTCGCCGCCGATTGCGTGTACTTCGAACCGGCGTTTCCGCTGCTGCAGGCGACGCTGCAGGACCTGATCGGCGCGAAGACGCGGTGCTACTTCTGCTTCAAGAAGCGGAGGAGAGCGGACATCGCGTGCATCAAGCGGATCCGAAAGATGTTCGATGTGAGGGACATTCCGGTCGATTCGGAGGGGGTGGCGGAGAGAGATAACATATTCTTGTGAGTGCCGACCGGACAGCATGATGACTTGTACTGAAGGAAATTTCTAGGATGGAGATCACGAAAAAGAGCTGAGGCTCTGTTTCGGATGGGTACTCGTTTTCCAGCACGCTCAAGGCATACGATTGACGGAACTTGTCCATTAATGCCGGTGCCAATAAAGCCCTCCTCACATTGGGAGACTGGGGATATCCCGAAAGATCTACCTGGACGCTAGAACAATGACCTCAGGGTGTGCTTGTCAGTTGGCAGAGTAGAAGACATCTTTACGATAGGTCGCGGTAAGCACAGCATTGCATTTGACGACTGAGCGCTTTCTTCGAAGTTGAACAGGGGTTGGCATATAGACTAGGAATAGACTAAAGCAATAGTATAGAGCATAAGATTGAATGCACATCACTATCGAGCAAGAACTCGACTTAGTCCTGTGACCAAGTGCTGTCGACTGTGTGTGTCCGGTGTCTGTATTGGCTTCGGTTTCGGATGGACTGATTGAGCAGAGGAGGCTGGCCCCTAAAACCTGAGGCAGAAATTGGACAAAAAACCTGTCACGCCTGCTTACTAAAAAACCGAGATGGTCGGATTTATATTACATGACTATCACATGATGCACCCGATTCGACATCTGGCCAATTACAAATTCAAGCTCGAGCTTAAGTGGAACTCCGTGTGAGTCCGAGCTTCGTCGCGTCCAAATCTTCCAAGTCGCGTTCACGCGTGCGTCCACTCGACAACAGAACACAGCAGCGACTCCTACAAAAACTCCTCCGCCCCACCACCGCAACCACGACCACAACACTCCCTTCCCTCTCTACATCTCATCTCACCGCTACTCCTCTTCTAACAACAGGAATATATGCTTCCAGTCCACACTGCAATTCCTTCTTGATCATCAGGCTATTGTTGCCTTTGAGAATTTGAGTCCATTCCCGAACACTTTATCCCATCATCATTCAACATGTTCGTCTACAAACGAGGTAAGTCTAGCCCAGTCCAGCGTGATATCCTCCGATATACGGTCAAATCTGGACTTGATGGATGTAGAATACCGTCTGAGATGAACCTATACTGACCAGCCTTCAGACGGACGCAAAGAACGCGTTCAGTTCGACAAGATCACTGCTCGTGTTTCGAGACTGTGCTATGGTCTCGACCCCGATCATGTCGACGCTGCAGCCATCACCCAGAAGGTCATATCTGGAGTCTACCAAGGCGTCACCACGTTTGAACTCGATAACTTGGTCAGTTTATCATCATCTAGGGGGCAATTGGTGCAACACGCTAACAAATTTTCAGGCCGCTGAGACCGCTGCCTATCTCACCACCACCCATCCAGACTATGCCGTCCTCGCTGCACGTATCGCAGTATCGAATCTTCACAAGCAGACCAAGAAGCAGTTCTCAGCTGTCATCTCAGACCTGTACCACTACGTGAACCCCAAGAATAATAAGCCCGCCTCCATGATTGGCGAATCGACATACAAGACTGTCATGAAGCACGCAGACGAGCTCAACTCTGCCATTGTCTATGATCGAGATTTCAACTACCAGTATTTCGGGTTCAAGACATTGGAACGGTCGTATCTCCTCAAGATCAATGGCAAGGTGGCCGAGCGTCCTCAACACATGATCATGCGTGTCGCTGTGGGCATTCATGGCGAGGATATCGAGAAGGCGATAGAAACCTACAATTATATGTCGAACAAGTACTTCACTCATGCGTCGCCTACCTTGTTCAATGCAGGAACTCCGATGGCTCAACTCGCTTCATGCTTCCTCATCGATATGAAGGAAGATAGCATTGAAGGTATTTACGATACATTAAAGACCTCGGCGATGATCTCCAAGACTGCCGGTGGCATCGGTCTTAATGTTCACCGGATCCGTGCTACCGGATCGTACATTGGTGGAACCAATGGCACGTCGAACGGCCTGATTCCTATGCTTCGGGTCTACAACAATACTGCACGCTACGTTGACCAAGGTGGCAACAAGCGTCCTGGCGCCTTCGCAATTTACCTCGAGCCCTGGCATGCGGATGTTTTCGGGTTCTTGGATCTTCGAAAGAACCACGGCAAAGAGGAAGTCCGTGCTCGCGACTTGTTCTACGCCCTCTGGATTCCCGACCTCTTCATGAGACGAGTTGAGCAGAATGGCGAGTGGACCCTGTTCTGCCCCAATGAGGCTCCTGGCCTTGCCGATGTCTACGGCGACGAATTTGAGGAGCTCTATGAGCGGTAAGCGTCCTACGGTAGTCTTGTTGATTATTGTTCTAACGTCTCTCTACAGATACGAACGCGAAGGACGTGGTCGTGAGACCGTTCGTGCTCAGAAGTTGTGGTACTCTATCTTGGAGGCTCAAACGGAGACTGGCAACCCGTACATGCTCTACAAGGATGCTTGCAACCGAAAGAGCAACCAGAAGAACTTGGGCACCATCCGCAGCTCCAACCTGTGCACTGAAATCATCGAGTACACCGCTCCGGATGAAGTCGCGGTCTGCAACCTGGCCTCCATCGCGCTGCCAACTTGTGTGGACATCGCTCGTGGAGAGTACAACTTCCAGAAGCTGCACGAAGTCACTCAGGTTGTGGTTCGGAATTTGAACAAGACCATTGACGTGAATCACTACCCTGTCCCGGAGGCTCGCAACAGCAACATGCGCCATCGACCTATCGGTGTCGGTGTTCAAGGTCTTGCGGATGCTTTCCTTGCCCTTCGCATGCCCTTCGACTCTGAAGAGGCTCGAAAGCTCAACCTCCAGATCTTCGAGACTATCTACCACGCAGCGCTTACCGCCTCCTGCGAGATTGCTAAGGTGGATGGGGTCTACTCGACCTACGAGGGCAGCCCCGTCTCTCAAGGCATTCTTCAATACGACATGTGGAACGTCACTCCCACAGATCTTTGGGACTGGGCCGCGTTGAAGGACGAGATTAAGAAGTACGGTGTCCGCAACAGCTTGCTCGTCGCTCCCATGCCTACTGCCAGCACGAGCCAGATTCTGGGCTTCAACGAATGCTTCGAACCGTACACCTCCAATATCTACCAACGCCGTGTCCTGGCGGGCGAGTTCCAAGTCGTCAACCCGTGGCTGCTGAAGGATCTTGTCGACCTGGGTCTGTGGTCCGACAACATGAAGAACCGCATCATCTCCGAAGGCGGCTCCATCCAACGCGTCCCCAACATCCCCGATGACCTCAAGTTGCTGTACAAGACGGTTTGGGAAATCCCTCAACGCACAATCATCCAGCTGGCCGCGGACCGTGGTGCCTTCATCGACCAATCTCAATCCCTCAACATCCACATGAAGGAGCCTACCATGGGCAAGATCACCAGCATGCACTTCGCAGGCTGGAAGATGGGCCTCAAGACCGGCATGTACTACCTGCGAACCATGGCTGCTTCCGCTCCGATCCAGTTCACCGTCGACCAAGAGCAACTCAAGGTCGCCGACACCAACGTCGCCCGCACTCCCGGTGCGATGAAGAAGCGCACTCTGGCGAGCACCCCTTACTCCATGAGCTCTCCAGCAACCATGAGCTCTCCGGCGGCCATCCCAAAGCCCATGTACATGCAGAAGCCTCAGCCCACGACCACCTCCAACGGCGTCCCCACCCCCTCGACCACCCCGCCCCCCACCTCCGAAAGCAAATCCTCCTCCCCTGCCACCAAGAAAGACCCGCTGAAGAACCCCGAGTTCAAGGCCGATGTGGAGGAGGGCGACAGCCCGAAGCTCCTCAGCACGGATCCGTCGGGGGAGCCGGTCGAGGAGAAGCTGATCGACCGCTCTGAAGCGGCCGAGGCGAAGCCGAAGCAAGATGAGGATGGCGAGGGCGACAGCAAGGACCGCGAGGGCGACATCTATGCTGATGAGGCGCTGCAGTGCAGTATCGAGAACAAGGAGGCCTGTGTTATGTGCAGTGGTTGAGTGGCCTTCCCGGCGAGGAGATGAGAGCATGTAGTGATATGGCGGTATGAACAATCGGGATGGGATTATGGGTTTGAACTTTGGAGAGACGGCGCATGACTTGGTTTTGTTAGATAGCAGTATGAGAGCACACGCTGCTTAATATCACTTTACACATCGTTATTCTTGATAAGGTATCAGGTATCTTTATAGTAGACCGGAAGTTGTCTTGGACACTTGGCAATTGAGACTTCGATCAATAAACTTGGACTTGCTTGGCTTAAATGACTCTAATGGTGATTGTATTCGTCAATATATTGCATAAATTCGATCGCGTCGACGCGTCGTGATGCCAACTCGCCGCTTGGGGGTTCCATATCCCAAATTTCAGGCCGATTAGTCCACGATGCTAGGTGCAGACTGCAGACAGGATCCAACATAATTACACCAACCATTGCTACCTCTATGGTCTTGACTTCAGTGACCTTTGCTTACCAGGTTTCTTCTTTGTTCATGAGACTACAGTCTAATACAGTATTACACTGGCGACAACACCAGCGGTCTCGACTACGAAAACATAGTGCTTAGCCAATATAATCGCGGCACCTTCACCATCAGACATGTCCCTCGAATCCACGCCAAAACGCAAACGCGACGACTCCGACTCCGACTCCCCCGACCCGTCCCCCCGCGACCCCCGCCGCGACCCCAAGAAGAAGAAGGCATCCTTCGTCGACTCGCGGGTCGTCTCCGGCATGGACCTCCACTACGGGCAACGTGCCGCGCTGGGGATCTGGGACGCGCTGGACCCGGACGACGAGGAGGGGACGATGGCGCAGCAGTATCTTCGTTCGGTACGGTATGTACGGCGCCGTCCATATTTTCTAGCATAACCACTAACTTGACTCTCCAGAGTTGAAGCCGGGGGCATCCCGCCGTTCCTCTCCGCACCCCTCCCCACCGAACCCGAGGACGAGGACGACGAGATAGCGGACACGGAAGGCTTCTACACCGACGGCGCATACGTCGCGCGCCCCGAACTCGGCCCCGTGATCCCCCGCGACCTGCTACATCACCACCCCGCCACCCAAGCGCGCGCCCTCCTCCGCACCTCTCTCCTAATCCGCTTCCTCGAGCTGCGGAAACTCCTACAACGAAAACCGCCCAAGGACGCACTACGGGGCCTCACAGAGCTACAGCAGGAGCTGATCTTCGGACAGCCGGCGAAGCAAACGTATAAGACGATCGTCCAGGACAGCGGCCCCAGCGCGGTGCGGACGGTGGTGGCGCTGATGTCGACGGAGGGAGTGTTTCGGATGCTCAAGGCGGTGATGGCGCGGCTGTTGGGGAAGCGGGCGGTGGCGGAGGAGAAGGTTAGTGTATGGGTGTGGAGTCTGATGGCGAGGATTCGGGAGGTGGGGTGTTTGGGGTATGAGGAGGTGGGGGGGTTGCGAGAGGTGGCGAAGAAGGGGTTGGAGGTGAAGTTGAGGGGGGTGGTTGCGAGGGCGCAATATGATGCGCGGGAAGATGAGATGGATCGTGCTGTAGGAGCTGGTCACGATCAAGGTGACGCGGAGCGTTCGAGTAAGGGCGAAGACGTCCGTTCCGCAGCTAACGAGAAGGGGGTACCAGAAACTGTTGGAGGAGATAGCACCTCGGGTGGCCTCAATACTACTGGTGAAGAGTCTGCACAGATCCCCGACGGAACCACACTGGAATCATCAGGAGCAGCCGCGCATTCAAGCAGCGGTAGACCACCGACGGCATTGACGTCGGAAGATCCGAAGGTTTCCACTGACGGCATAGCACCATCCGAAACAGGCTCACCACCGCTTCGGCAGCCGTTCAAGCCGCTGGAGCCTAGCACGCTATTCACTATTGAAGCCGTTGTCCTAGTGGTAGGTGAGCTGTATGGTCAGAGAGACTTGCTCGATTACGCAGGCGAGCTACTCCCGGACAGGGTCATTACTCTGGGGAAGTTTCTGAACGACTGAACGGTGGATGAGGCCAAAATGCTGGGATACATTCGGTAGGCAGATGCCAATGCTTCAATGCACAAATGGGTTCGTGTTCTATCATATTCGCTTCGATGGTGAGTATCAGCGGCTGTAGGATTTAGGAAGCATTGCACTGGTCGAAGAAGCACGATATACCAATTCGATCCCATGTTTAACCCCCAACTACTCATGACCACTCGTCCAATATTTACTTCTCGAAACACTCTTCAATTGCTCGTCCAGGGTGTCCATATGCCGACCTGTAACCTCTATGCTGTACGACGTCGTAAAAAAATGTGCAAAAGAGCGACTCATTAACCCATCGATCCTACCCAACTTTTAACTTGACGCTTCCACCGTCCCTCGCACTCCACCCTTGCCTCCGACCTCGCGAATCTGCACATGAACCGTCAAGTCCGCATGCACCGAGATCTGCACCTCGACCTTCCCGCCCTTCTTGACGCCCGCCACGCCCGCCTCCGCGACCGGCTTCGTCGCCTTCCAGACGACCTTCCGGATCTCCTCCGGCTCATCATCGGACTCGGAGGCCTCGTCGGAATCCTCGTCGTCCGTCTTCGCGCCGTTCGTCTTCTTCTCCACCTTCTCCGCGACGGTCACGTCAATCGCCCGCTCGCCCTCCGCGATACGCACCAGGACATCGCCTCCGTCCTTCGGCGCGGCGACCGTCACCGTCTTCCGGACCGGCACCGGCGTGTCTTTCAGGACGACCGGCAGGAAGCTGTCGCCGGCGCCCACCAGGCCCACCGTCGCCTCAAGATGCGGCGTCGACGTCACCACAGCGTGGACCGACTCCTCGATGTCCTTCTCCTCGAACTCAGCGATCAAGCTCGCTTGGATGGCGGCGCCACGGGCCGCGGCCTCCGAGGGATTCACGGCGTTGTTGTCGGTGGCGGGGGAAAAGACACGGGTCTCCTCGGGGAACAGCGCAGCGATGGCCGAGGCGATACGCGGGGTGTGCGACGAGCCTCCCGCCATAACGATTTCGGAGACGTCGAGGGGATCCAGACCGGCCTTGGTGACGCCGGCAAGGACGAGGCGGCCGAGGGCTTGGAAGTGCTTGGAGGCCAGGAGCTCATAGCGGGAGCGGTTGATGGTAAGGGTAAAGTCGAGGCCGGAGACAAGGGACTCGACGGAGAAGGTGGCGGACGTGCTGAGGGAGAGGTGCTTCTTGACGTTTTCGCACTCCAGCTTCATCTTCGCGAGCGACCGGGGTGTCGTGCGGGGGTCAGTCGAGGTCTTGTGCTTCTGCAGGAAGGCCTTCGCGAAGTGGTCGATCAGGACGCTATCGAGCTGCGTGCCGGCAGTATCGTAGTCATGTTGAGTCGCCAAGATGGTGTAGATGCCGCCTCTTGATGCCACAACGGTGACGTCGCTGCGAGTGGCCCCAATGTCGACCACCACGACGTTCTTGTCCGAAGGAGAGGCTGTGTCGGGCGATCGAGCATCATATGCCAAGAGCGAGGAGATCGGTTCATGGATAAAGTGTAAGATCGAAATCTTGGCTTCCGCCGCACAGGCTTTCAGCGCCTCTTGCTGTGCCGGTGTGAAGTTGGTGGGGACCGTAAGGACGGCATGCGTGACGTTACGACCGAGATAATCCGAGGCGGACGCCTTGAGTCGAGCAAGGTGCCGGGTTGTTATCGTCGATATCGAGACTGGATGCGCATTGCCCGAATCATCATCGCAGATGTTGAAGGCGATGGTCGAATCTTGCGAGATTGGGTGCGCGGAGGTGTGGCACGGCGTGGGATCGATATCCTTGAACCTACATTCGTCAGCTTTGTCTCTGGTTCGCCTTTGAGAACTGGCAATACATACTCTCGACCGAGGAAGTCCCTGAAGCACACGACAGTGTTTTCCGGGTTCCGCACAAGCTGTGCCTTGGCTTGATTCCCATTGAACTCCTCGCCAGAAACGTACGACAAGATCGAAGGGATTTGTCGATCTCCGTCCTCGTTTGCAATCACTTCGGTTTTGCCATCCTAGATAGACTGTCAGATCTACCTTATCACCATGTCCTTGAGTCGAGTACTTACAGCGGCGGTGTAGGCGATGGAACTGTAGGAGTTTCCGAACGAAACTCCAATACAGACCCGTGAATCGGGTGCTTCTTCTTCACTCATCGCGACGGGAATTGCAATGAATATATACGATCAGGTTGGGGAGTATCAGCAGGCGATGGAGGTTATAGACGATATCGGATATCACAAGTGTTGATAGAGGCTCAAAATTTCCGTCGCCCAAAAATTGTTAAGAGGAAGGAAGACAGGGATTCTGATTGGACGCCACCTTTTGGTATGGGGCCCACTAAATATGTCCAATCAAAATTCTTTGCCACGTCCCAGCCACAGAATCACGTGCACGATAATATCAACAACCGACGTCCACCGACTAACTGACGGTTCTCCATAATACTGACAGCTCGAACAGTCAGGCTCATCATTAATATGGACAGATTGAGGAAACGCATAATTGTCAGTATTACACCGGCTGATGCGCCGCCTCTTGGTTTAGCCTTGCTTCTGGTTACAACAAAACCTGGGCTGGCTCCAACTGGGTATCTCGCCAGAGCGGGAGGCCTTCAGCGGGGCCTGGATCCAATATAAAGACAAATCTCTAAATAATGGTATATATCGCCAGCATTGAGCGTTTGCCGGAATCTTTCCTCGACACTCAAAGCGTCCCCCTGGATGAGCAAGTTTGGCATCTGTCCGGCTTGCTTGCACAATTCCCGATGCCATGCGACTGATAACACCGAATTTCGAACGCTGGAAAGTCATGGAGCGAGTGGAGGAGCAGGTGAATTCATTAGATGCGGCGATTGAATGGTGTCCGTCCAATTAGCTCTCTCCTGTAATGGAGTTATCAAGTTATCAGGTCAGGCTAGGTTGAAACTGAAAGTGATATATTGAACCAAGTGAATGCAGCGCAATTGTTCAATTGCTCTCAATTCCATTATTTCCTTGCGCCTTCCTCCCGATCTCTCTTCTCGTGTTCTTCCTTTTCTTCTCCTCCTTTTCTTCCGCTTTTTTTATTTTCTCTTCAACATCTTCCTCATCGCACTTTCTTCGTTTGGAACGTCCGGTTCAGCGCATTTCCAGCATTTACTCCTACAGTTCAAATACATACACGCCCTCAAGTTGTTTCTCGCTTGATAGAAGCCCCTTCCTTTACTTTGCCCACACCTTCAAGACTAGTTCGGGCATCCTCGAGTTGCCTGGGAATGACCACTCACCCTCCCGAGCAATATCGAACCACTAGATAAGTCGGTGTGGGCGTGCTTCTTTTTTTCACTTCCTCGTTCGAACCCCGTTCACTCTCATACTTCCACTTTCTCGCCTTGCTCTCTAGTTTCAGCTACGCACTAAGTGGAATTCCTCCATTATCACAATTGCACACATTTCCCATGTTCTTATCCAATTCCACCCTTTGCTTCGTGGGGAAGTCCCATCATTTGCACCTTCCGATTTCCCTCGTCCCATCATTATCTCACCATTTGCCCTACCCGCACAACCAAACCGTTCAACCTCACTCATCCCCCATCACTCTCGATGATTCCTTGGTCCTCACTGTTAAATCAGCCTTTGAATTCTTAGAGCCCGCTCATGAATTTCCAGATCTTCTATCGCCATGGATCGTTTCCAGAAGCTCAATCGGCCTGCCAACGACCATCGGTTTGATAGCCCAGCACCGAAAATGTCCACGGTCTTTCTAACTGGCCTCTCCCATCAAACCCCTGCCACTTCTCTCCCGAAATCTGAGAGAAAGTATCGGCCGATCAAGCCAAGCGATTTCGAAGGTAAGAACGTCATAACCAAATGACATTGAATGGTTTCTAACCTGCACTCGAAGACAATGGCGGCCCTATAACCCTGACCGACTTTGGAATCGGTACCCAAAACCCCATACCTATTCGCTCTGAGCGATGTAGAGTGGCTCGGACAGCCCGCCAAGCCCAGAAGAAGACAACTGCGAAGCCCAAACGTTCGCAGCTCGACATTGAGCTCCCACCTTTTCCGGATCTACCTCAGCGCAAGCCTGTACCTTCCAGAGAGACACATCTGAAGGAGGTCGAGACGGTGTTCCGAGGGCCGATTCCCGGGCCCGAAATCCTACCCTACATGACAGGGAACGCGGTCGGGGAGTTAACATTGGTTCTTCAACCCAATGGGGACGTTGAAGCTCACGCCTGGCTTGGCCACCAATGGCTGGTTGCCGGCAAGTACTCCTACGAGAAGCAGTCGATCGACGGGATACTGCGACAGATCGTCCTCCAGGAGGAGTTTCTTCAACCTGTGGTCTACGAAACGCTGAACCACTTCCGGGTGGTGTGTATGCAGTTTGAGGCGGCGGTTGTCAACGGCAGGGACCACTTGGTCCCTGCGAGTGTTGCAGTTAGTTGTGGCCCTAGGTCGGGGGGTCGCAACTGGAATGGACACTCTGACGCCAACGGTCACTACACCGTTGGGTATGGCCAGGTCGCATCCCAATACCGCCGCCACGGTGCGTACATTGCCAACCCAATTCTGCCGAATCGCCAGTCAGCGACCCTCTCCATGGACGGGCAAATCGCGGGGAATCCGGCCAGCTTTTACCCGTGCAAGGTAGCCCATCAAGACGATCCATTTGTTTATGCCAGATCGGAAATCGGAGCTGTGAAGCACAGCGGCTCAGGTGAGTTTTCTTGTTCTGTCCAAAATCTCAAGCAAACATTTCTAACCTTTTTCAGCGTTCACACTTGTCGATGGTCCTGCATGCCGTGAAGGCTCTTCAGAGCGTGTTAACTTCCATGAGTTGGGTCGTCCTGTCAACGATGGGAAAACCGAGAGTCAATTCCACAGGGTGGTTCTGTCCCAATTCACAGCCCCCGACGACAACAACAACGCAAACGTTTACACTCCTTGCGCCTCTCCACCAACCACAACCAAAGGGAATGTGATTTCTGAGGTTGCAAAATCTCTTCCATCAGAAACCCGAAAGAACGAAGTCAAATCGCCTAAGCACCTGACTGTCGACATCAACGCAGCCCGAGAATATACTGGCAAGTCCAGGACAGAAACGGCAACTGCCATCCTCACTTGTGCCCGCACCGAGAATAACACCATCCACGATCTGTTCACTCCCAATCGCACCATCATGACTCCAGCGCATAGTGGCCCACGAGGCCACCCCATTATGCCACCCTCACTGTCCAATGACGAGTTGATCGCCGAGAGTAAGAAGTACACTCTTGAGACGCGCATCAAGCTGGGAGTTGATGACGAGGAAGATGCCCGCCATGCCCAAACCCATCGCAAGAAATTTATGCCAAACGGGGGCAAGTATAGCGGTGGATCCCAGGCCTACGGATTATATGAACCCCGTCGTCGTGTCTTGGTTGCGATGAAACCATCACACGCTGATGCACCCGCAAGTGGCGCGGCTCTGGGACACCGTGAGCTCAATCCATCTGCTGCGGGCTCGACAAGTGAGTCCAATGCCCGTGCAAAAACAGGTCGCATTGGCTTATTTATCATTAACCATTGGCATAGATTTCACCGCGGCGGACATCAACGCGAACACGGCTGCGAGGGTCTTTTACCGGAACGCCAGCCCAACCACTCCTGATTTCGCTTACACGGATGAGGGTGTGTCCACCATTGGGTCAATCCTCCTGGCCATCAATGAGAACATGAGGGCGTACACTGCGCCGGCCGATGCGGGTTCGCAGGAGATGGCACGCGACTGTAGCAACTCTGACGTCGACACTCACCCCACCTGGAAGAATGGCAAGCGCATTTTTAGAGGCAGGAAGACTAAGACCACTGGTGAGTTCCTCCTGTTGCTTGTTAACCTATTCACTGTGCTGATCTTTGTCTTCCCTCAGGCCCCACCGAAGGTGAGCCCTGGCCAACGACGAGCTTCTACGCGAACCAACCGCGCAACTATTTTGCACCGTTCGCCAAGTCCCCCGAGTGGACCATTGACCGATCGAAGGACGGCAACCGAAGCTACTTCGGCGATCAGGGTTGGGAGAAAGTCCCAGAGCGCGTGGGCCGTGACCGCCGCTATCAGTGGGGCGAATCGAACTTTCGACGCACCAACATGTGGTGATCTGGATGGCGAGTATCTTTGAGCTGGAAGCTATGATTTTGCACGACATTCCTGACTCAGTTGGAAGATATCAGTGGGATAATGAGTGACGGGATGTTGATCGTCCACTGGAAGATGGAATTTGGGGCCTTTCGGCGCCGAACGTTATTGGATGTTGACACATCAGAAGTACAATGCAATTGCACTGGTAAAAAATTGTTGACAGTGGATGACGAAAAAGGACGATGATATTGCGCATTGCCGCTGGTGAGATTCGTTGGCGGTGGAGGATAATGGAACGCACGTCGTTTGATGAAAATACCTCAGTCTGAGAAAAAATCGAAAACCCCAGCCTGATGCCCTGTAAATCATCATCCGTGAGTTTTATTTACTTGGTTGTAATTATCCCGAATACCGACTGTGGTTGAGTCTCCATGGTTCTTGAAATTGAAGATCCAGCCATTCCCAGTGGATGAACTTGATGGCCTTGAAGGCTGAATCATACCCAGGGCTTCGAAAACGCTTATCCGTTCTCGATATTAGACCCTGCCTCGCCCAGGGACAAAGAGATTTATGTTAATTACTCACGGAGGTCGAGCATGCGTCTAACTCACTGGAACATCAATTCCATCCAACTAGGATGCTTGACGATCTCCAATAACCAATCACCTCCCGGCAGTGGTCTGAACTGCAGCATTTGCCAACCAAGTCCCTTGGCCATCCCGCCTCCCGGCCCGCTCCGCCCATCGGCTCCACAAAGCCACCCAGTTAACAGCCCATCTCGAAACGATCGAAGCCAGACGAATCGGCGACCAATCAATCCGCGCTGGACTTCTTGGACTCGCTCGATGATTCCAAATACTCGAACCGAGAGAACGGATGGTTGGGGTTTCGAGGTTGCTGGAGATGGACAGTGGAAATGGTGCCGACTGGCGGTGGCTGGAGATACTCAAGATTATCACGATACAGGACGATAGGGAGACGCTCATGACGATTCTCCATGTTGTGTATTCTATTAAAACGCCCTTGGGAGGCCGCGGTGCTGGGCGGGGGGACACATGGTGACGGAAATGGGATGGCTGCAGAACGCAGACATATCTGCCATCCAGTAGCTGCATAGTGCATATGCAACACCTCTTATGCCGTCGATCGGAGCTAAGGATCTTGTACTCCTTGCGTGAGGGTGGGGTGACGCTGATTTCGAGATTGTATCGCTCTTTGGCACCATATCGTGCTACGTCGCAAATGCAATGATCGACTTGGCTGCTTCGACCGTTGAGCTCGTTCTCTACACAGGCTCACCTAGTGTCTATCATGGCAACTGGGGAACAAAGAAATGTCGAGTTCCCTAGGTGTTTCCCGTCAAATCCTTGCATTTGTATTACACATTGTTGTGATAGTTCGCTGCAGCGATTCTAATGCATCAGCGGCAATACAAACGGATTGACTCCATCCTGCCCTAGCACCCTTGCTCGATCGCCAGTGCGAGGACATGCGCTAACTGCAAAGGCGATGCAATGGTCCAAAATCCAATCGCTCGAAGCCCTCCGCCCATGCAGCCTCTTTTCCCTTAAAAGATATCCATCAGTGACGCGAGTCAGCCTGATTCGTTCCGACCCATTGATATCCCAAGAGCAAGATAAGAAAATCAAAGTCATTATTAGCAAAGTCCACAACGCTTCACGAGGGGATTCCTGTATTTCCCAACGCGGTCGTCGGCCGTGTTAAGCATGACGGCATGGCAGATAACACATAGCTGAAATAGGATACATACATAGACGATGAAACATACTTCGATGAGGCATCAAGGAGCGTGATTGGCATGTGCGCCGTGCGTGACAGGCGTACAGAGACGTACAAATACAAGACAGAAGCAAAATGCCGCAAGGAAACGGGGAACGCCATGCGGGAAGTGACAAATAGAAAGTCGAATGCGGCATTAGGGGAATTTCCATGACCACTAGAGCATCGTGAACGGGGTACGGGCAGAGAAGTCCGCTGGAAAACAGACCGCGGACGCAGCAGATTACCTCCGACTTTTATCCTCATAACGTATAACCATGTGAAAGCAAATCAGACCGTGTCGCTTCGAACTGACATAGTCGTCATGTCATGAGACAGAAGGAAGAAAGGAAGGAAATACAAGAGGTGGTGGTGGAACGCGCTCGAGGGGTTCGGCATCAAGTGCAATTCGGCATTTCAACATTATTCGCGTAAGAAATTCACGATTGTACGCATCATCCGATCGCTGCGTATCCATATCCATTTGTCTCATCGGTCGTATGCGGGGGTGGTTTCTTCATTCGAAAGCGTGTCCAGCCCCAGGCAGAAGGTTGTGTTTCCCCATGCGCCGACGCGAACCGGTCGGGCATTGTTGCTGTCTAGAAGGGGGCAATTAGGCGTGATAGAAGTATGATACGGGTCGTAATCGGTCGAGGTTTCCGCGTCATCGAATCGTGAAGGCGTAGTGTGTTGTCTCGTCGCCATTCGTCGGAGGGGTTGCCAATGAAATGGACGGTGCTGCATTATTGGGCGCCGGGGATTCAGGCTCCCGTATGATTCGTTGGAGTGTTCGTGGCTCGGTATTAATGTCATGATTGGTTCTTGGGAATAGTTCGTAGGTGGCTCGGATAAAGGTCGTTTAGACATAATTTCGTCGGGTCGAAGCGAGTCACTGCGTGACTTCTCATCCGAGGTGCGATCCAGTAGCGACAGTGTAGGTGTGATCGATCGGCTCATCCCATTGCGTTTACCATTCTCGTTGTATCTGTTCACGTCGTCAATTACGACATCACCGTATCCCGGTAGGAACGGTGCTGTCTCTGGCCTTGTTCCTGTTGTGTCTGTGGCGTTTGCTCTCCGCTAGATTTCAGCTCTTGTTCACCAGGTTGCTCGTGTCTAGGTTGTCCTGGCGGCGCGTCCACGGACATTTTCGAAGATGGTCCTTGAGCACCTGCAGGTGATGCTCCAACACCGGTACTCGGCATACCAGGTTGAGACATTCGTTGTCCCGGCCCAACTCCAGCGGGCGGCTCGTTTCCTTCGTGCGGTATATTTGGGGTTGGAATGAGACTCGGCCCAGCACTTGCGCCTAGTCCGACACCGGTCCCACCTCCTAGACTTGCTCTCCATGGATCCCGTTCATGCTCGCGGTCGAGTTCGCGCTGTCTTTCCCTGAACAGATCCGATAACCTCTGCCGCTCCAATATCGCTGGACTTTCCTGCCCTAATTCGGCAGACGGTAGCGGACTCGTCGCAGAGCTGGTTGCAGACAGGTGACCCCCACCGATGCTCCCACCTAGGGCCGGTGACAGACCCGCAGACGGCAAAGCGTCAGTGCCCGAAGGCGGTGACGTCATGATCTTTTTCGCGGAGCGCGGCTGTCCTGGCGGTATCTCGCCCCTCGCGACGGCTTCTGCGCGACGTTGCGCCTCGAGTTTGGTCGGTCGACCGCGCTTTTTGCGACCCTGCTGTCCCGAGGCCTCGGAATGCGGGGCGGGAGAAAGAGCGTACGGCGGGGCGGAAGCCCCGATGCCAGCGCGGGCGCGGTCGGGCGAAGGGAGAGCTTGAAGTTGGTGCCCATGTTGTGAGTGAAGTGGCGCATGGGGTTGCGGTTGTGGCTTCGGCTGGAGAGGGCGACCACCCCCCGTAACTTGCGGAGGCAGCAGAGGGCCCGTGGTATCAGGCGCAAGGGGACGTTTTCGTGAAGGACTTCCTGGACGAGCGAGAGGACCGGAGCTACCGTATGGAGAGGATGGAAAGCCTGGTGGGGCGCTATACGGGATGTGCACACGAAGAGTATCGAACAGTTGTCGGCATTGGTTGAGCGACCGTCCTGTACAAATCGATGCTGTCAGTCACACTTGACCGGAAATGTCAGGATTCCAGAGTCGATTTGGCGCATATTTACCTTGCGGAAGCGGAATATCTTCCCACTTGGGCTGGATTCCGATGTCTTGGACGAATCTGAAGAGGATTTCTGGTGCCACAGTTCCGGCTTTGATGATCTCCGCTAGAAGATCGACCTGTGCAACAATTAGCCACAATATCCATCGGAACATGTCCTCAACGTCGAATCTTCACGGAACGGCTTTGATGAGGGAGGTCTACATACAATCTCGGGATTCGTCCATTGCCGTTCACGAGAAGACGGCCTTTCCATAGCGTGCCAGAGGACCCAAGTGGGATGTGCCCGCGGAAGAGAGACACGAAGAAGAGATTTGGTAGCCAAGGTGACAGTGGGATGCGGCAGGACGGACTGAGCGTATAACTGGAGGGAAGTTGGGGATACACAAGGCTGATGGCCCAACGTGAAAGGGTCACAAAACACAACCGGGGGAGGCAAAAGAGATCAAGAAGGGAATCTATGCGGTATATACAGCAACAGGCGGCGGACGTGTCACCGTAAGCACGCACACGTTACTGTCGACCAAGTCCCAGATTGACAATCTTGACAACAGTACCTCCGTAGAGACGGTCCAACAACGACAACGAGGAAGAGATCCTAACGAAGGTGGAGTGCATGAGGTCCGATACAGAAACGATGGTGGTGGGGTCCAACGATTGGATTTGAAGATGCAGGTCGGCAACAAATTAATGGAAACAAGCACACAACAGGCCGAGCGAGTGACGAGGAAAAGAATCAAGGTAAGCGCCCGTCAATTATCTCCTCCGTAAACAAATCTGGAGGTTGCAAGAAGCCAGGAAAACCGATCCGATGTGCGGGCGTTAGACTTTAGAGAGGCGGCAACTGTGGCACGCGGCGGTGCATCGAGGCTAGAACCGGGGGTTGGCCTCCTTGGGGAACAGAATATTATATCAAATCAAACGAATGTGGTGATTGGGGGAGGGTCAGTAGGCGGGGGGAAGAGGAGGGGGGGAGGGGAAAGGAAACGAAGAGGGAGGTATCGGAGCGATTGACGTAGGGTGGGAGAAGAAGAAGAGGAGGAGGAGGAGGAGGAGGAAGGGGAGTGGGTGAGAAGGGCTGGAGATCAGACAGAAAGGGAGAGAGGGTGTGTAGAGCGTACAGTGTACAGTAGAAGTGTAAGGTTGTTGGAGAGCCAGGACAAGAGAAGAGAAGAAAAAGAGTGCGCAACGTCTGGCACACCAGACACCAGAGGACACCACCACCAACTGCCCACACAATTTGGACTGACAACCTGTACCCAGTAATTACTTTCCCTGCAACACCGCAACCAGATAGGCAGACAGAGACGAAAGGACCCGCTCTCAATTGTTTGGCGGGTCGGTTTTCCTGCCTCCCTTGTGACTTGTGAGACTGGCCCGAAGGAAAGGGAAATGGAATCAGCGCTGCAGCTGGAAATTGGCTTTGAAGGATACTAATGCAAGTCCTAGGGATGGGACATGCGCGACATATGGCTGGTCTTTCTTGTCTGGTTTTCCCTCTGGGGGCCTTAATACGTGACAAGTCGAGATGAACCACCTAAAGGTCCAATCCCTCTGGCTTCTTGGGACTCTCGCCAACCGGAAAGGCAGCAAGTGAGTAGGGCGACGAACGGAGGAAAGTGAGCAAATGGTTCGCTCGGCTCGTTGATGCACTGCACGTCCGACAATGCAGCTCGGCCGGATATGCAGGCGGTGCAGATGCAAGCTGCAGGTCTTGGGAGATGGGAATCAATCGGCGAGAATAAAAGGGAGTTAGGAGGAGACGGAGAGAAATTGAAAAAGGATGTACCCCCTTCGGTGGTTGGTGGGTTTGGGTACTAGCAGCGGGTTTGGATTAATGGATCGGCCAAATGCCAGAACTCGCATATGCAGGGAGGAAATCATTCGTCTCGTCCAAAGAATTAAGTATCCCAAGAATCCGCTCCAGACGTTGGATGCGATTTGGATCCTGTTCGAACTGTCAAGGACTCCAGGCGTGCGTCGTGCAACATTCCCTTCTCCTAAGATCCGGACTTTGTTGACCAATGAATTGAGAAGACTTGATCCGATTGTCCCCATGGCTGATGACGCACTCGATATGGCCAATAAGCCGGGTATAACAAATACATAAATTAAAGACAGTGCATTTAGCCTGGCGCATTGTCCAGGTAATAGCGCCTCAGGTCCAAATACCCCAAAATGATTGATTCACGGGCACGGAAACAAGAAATCCCTCCCCCTCGTCCCTGACAAGTGACAAGGGAATATCCATATGGGTCATTATTATCAGGCTCTCTGCCCTGGATAGGCCCTGCAGAGGACAGACCTCAGTACAGGTAATACGGGAGAACTGGGGGAAGCTTCGAGAAGCGAAGGGAGAATACTGACCGATTGCGCAGCGGCCCTGTTCCATCATCGGCTTGTGGCACACTGCGCGCTTCAAGACGCGCCCGTCGTCCGATCGGTCTTCGAACTCTCAGGTTTCATCGGTTTGGAATCGCGATCCAATTCCATTATTCCAAAAAGCCCCTGTCCTCGACGAGCGCCAATCTGCCTTCCTAAAGAACAGGCTCCGGCGCCAAAACAACGAGGCGTCCTTTAGCCCGTTTCCCCGACGAGTCCTAGTCCATTCCGCAGCCGACTCGCCCAATGACAAGGGAGCAAGCGCTTGATTGTTCGAATTTTAGTCACTTTAGCTTTTCTTTAAAAACCGAGAGTCAAGACTGCAATCTGCGTTCGTGAGAGTCGTAGCGAGGGCGCCGATCATTTCAGCGGTTCAGCCCGCTCTTCCAATCTGCTTCCTCTGCCCGTCCGCAGGCGCCAGGACAATTATAAATGCTCAATGTCCTCGGGAAGAAAAGGGAGAAGAAAAGGAAATCTCAACCGAGAATACGCGATCCAAACTTTTTCTGGGGCGTCGTTTATCACAAGGATCGACAAAGTGGGTGGATTTGTTCGGATGAGCAGGCAGCAAGCTTCGCTTCGGGAGAGCGAAGGTTACTCCTAATTCCTGTTAATCCATGTACTGGTATTTTGATTTTTGAATCTTCAATTCTACTTACCAGTCACCAGCCACCTACAGCCCTGTGAGCTGGACTATCGACTCGGCTGCTTCTGAGCTCTGATCCCGAACCGAGCAGTCCCGGATGATTTGATGAAAGCCGTCTAAGCTCCTTGTCGACGATCGTCTCAGCTCATCAGCAACGACACGATCGAAATGACACGTTTTCACCCTGGAAATGCACGCAGCCACGCACAAGGGTCGGTTATCCACTTTCCAAGCCTCGTTTCTCTTTTGCTATCAGAAACTCATAATACAGCTTTTGCTTTGGGACTCTGATGATCAATGGCAATACGACATGCGACCATGCAAGGACGAGGGAGTCTGTCTGAAACTGCCCATGGGTCGATGTCTGCTTACCAGGAGTTCAGGATGGCCGATATGCACAACGCTCACCTATCAAAAATTCCAGGCTGCAGAGCCCAAAAGCAATAAATGGATGGGTCTGAACTCTGAACATAGGGGTGTTGATATTTGATACTTTGATAACTTCATTCTTCGAGTCGATGGTAAACCAAAGTATGTCGTTTAACTCGCGGTACCCCTATTGGCTGCTCGTTCCTGAACGTTGTTCCATCCGAATTTCGAAGTTAAAGAACCGATTCAAAACCAAGTAATACTACCTGACCTGCACCGTGTACATACTCTATCTAGGTAGTGCCGTACCTTACTTATTACAAGTAGTTCTTACGTACCGTTACGTCCAAAGGAATATACTGTCCATATATGATAACAGGAACAGTGTACGGGTATGTAACTGTGCTGCGTGGTCCCTGGCATGAAAGATGAGACGTGATTGGAAAGAATGGATCCTGCAGTGCAGATCCAAAATCCAGAATACTACATATGTGTCTATGTACGTAGTATGTCGACTATTATTCATTGAGACTTAAAGTTACACGGTGCGTCTGTTTCGGCCCCGCCCAATCTGCGCCTAGAAAATCGATACACCAGGGGTCGGCGAGAAGAGGAACTGAGCAGAGCACCGTCCACCGAGCAATGGGTAAACAGTAAACACAGTACGTAAAGACAAGGATCTTGTCGCATGCAGGCTGCCAGGAGGCAGATAGCATGATGCAGTTGCAGGCGCGCGACCTGTACTCCGTACGATTCTGTGGCTGGCCGGCCCTCCGAGGCGATCGATCTTATGGTTCCTGATATTCAACGGTTGGTGGACAACATGCATCCTCGAACTCGACCAATACTGAACATTTGATAGGATCTTGTTTACAAGTTCGATGATATCTCGCTTAAGTAACAGCGTTTATCCAATCTCAATATTGGATATTACATCGAAATTCGGCATGATGCCAACGAAATGAACTCCACATCCTCCTACAAGGCATTCAATCACTCAAAGCGCAATTGAATGAATGTCCATCCGGAACCTGCCATATTTACTCGGGAGACTGGGACAAATAAGACAATTGACAATTTCCTACCTCGTAGTTTCCAACTTCCACCCCACGCCTGAAACATGGAGTTGAAACCGATTGGATCACGATCATCCCGACTGGATCGAGCTTCAGTCTCCCTGCTAGCCAGTTTAGCCAGGTACCAATTTCATGCCATTGGTGCCTTCATTTCGTGGCTGTTGGAAACCCTGACCAGAGCCCACGACATGTGAATGGTAGATGGCTGAACATCACTTCGGCTTTTGAATGCTGACGCCAACTTCGGTACTCCGTACAGGTTAGCTAATTCCATGTGTCGGCCACGGCCTCGATATCGAAATATCCAAGGTGAACACGCGGTTCTAAGAAGTCGGATCATGACACACTGCTGAATATATGCCGTGGTTGCAGTACCGAACGGATCTAATCAGGGTTTACTAAGTACGGGTTACAAGCCATTGCGCTCTACCGTCCCATGGTCTTCTGCGTTAAGCTGAAGCTTTTGAATTATCACCAGGCTGCAGCTATCATGGAAAGGGGAATAGATTGCTTCCCCTGTGGCCAATCGAAATCCAAGCATTTCCACCGCAATCCTCGGCTCCGATATCGCGAGAGGAACAGAGGACCGACATCTCCTGTGTATGACTGTATGTCCAAGCACGACATAGGAAATGTCCAAGGTGCATTGGCCGTTGCATGATTATCAGAAAATGCCCAAATTACCAATACATAGATGCATGCTCACTTGGTGCCTTGTGATTTATTCTTGGGCATGGGTATCTATGTCCAGAATGGAACTCGATTTTCGATGGAGTAGCTGGTCATGGAATCGAACCGCATCGGATATGTTGTGAGGAATAGTCACGTACACGACCATCCCAGCACAGCCTATCAACTACTACAAACAATAAAGCCCTTGAGAAAAGCATTCTCTGACCCGTATATAGTAGTGCACGAGTCCAGGATCGCTTATATGACCTGGCTCATGACCACCTGTATAAGGTCGAAACAGTTATAATGATGCGCATGGTCCAAGACGTGGGTCGACCAGGGAATATATGACTGCCGATATAATCCAGATAAACTCAGTTCACTCATCGCTACGATCAAATCTGTCCGACCGAAAACTGCGCCACATGCCATGGTTCTGCTGTAAGCGAGGTGTGAGGCCGGGACGCCTATATTCCCTGATTTTCCAATCAAAGCACAAAGTCCGAGCACTCATCGCTAGCACTCATCGGCCACTCGACATTCCAGTCACCAGTGCAACCTCGCGACCATTCGAAGTTGCCGCCATCCTACGGCTCTCCCCATGCATCTTGCCCATCGCGTGGGACGCCCATCTTCGCCCTTCGCGCAGCATCCACAGCCATTCGGTCGGCCTGGACATTTCCCTCGAAGTTGGCATGACCTTTGATCCAGACGAACTTGGTCGTCACACCCTTCCGGTCGCGGGCCTCGATCTTGTTGATGACCTCCTCGACGAGGTCCCGGTTCTCGACTGGCTTCTTGTTCGACGTCACCCAGCCGTTCTTCCGCCAGGTGACGTGCCAGACAGTCACGCAGTTGATCGAATAGTTGGAGTCCGAGTACACCTCCACGTTGATGTCGAGCGGTGCAAGCTCGAGGGCGCGGAGGAGGGCAGTCAGCTCAGCTCGTTGATTAGTTTGCCGACTCCCCGCGAGCGGTTCTGATAAGTTTCTGAATGGAAATCGTTGATTAGTATTGCAAACGGTCGCGCACCAGGGAACCATCCACTCACCGAGGATCCTGTGGTCCGAAATACACCCCGACCCCAGCAACCGCACCCAAGGCACCATTCCCTAGCGAACTACCATCCGTGAAGATACGAAGGGTTCCCTTGAAGTCCTTTGTCGGCACTAGTTTCGTGGCATTAGCCTCCTCAGCCGTTTTGTATTCGATCTTTCCCGTCCGTGGATTCAGAAAGATTCGGTTATCGAATCGATCGTCGGCCCCGGGGGGGAGCAGTCCCGTACCTGGTTCTGGCACTGCCTCACTCGTTCCCGTCGTCCCATTCGTCTTCTTCGATTTCTTGAACGGCGGCGCATTCGTTGGAGTGTTTGGGTTGGGCGTCGTTGACCCCCCCGGAATAGATACGTTCTTCACAGACTCGCCCTGCGATACCGATGTGCCGGCCCGTACGAATGCTTCGGCCTCGGCGCGGGTCGCAAAGACTTTTTGCTTCGGTTTCGTCCACCCTGTGATCTGGGCCTGGACAGTTGGCCAATCGGTGTACACGCCGGGTACACGTCCATTCTGGACCCCATAGAACTTTGAAGGCGTGCCGACAGTGAGGCCCTTCATGAAACCTTCCGCTTCCTTTAAGGTTGGAAAGGATTTGACTATGGCAATGGATCAGAATGGGTCTACATAATGCTAGTGTTTGCAGACCATAAGAAGCAGATCGAAAGCACGTGATAAAAGTAGTAGGATTTGTTTGTCCAACTTACAGTTCGGCGCCTTAAACCCTCGCACCTGCTCCAGACAATCTTTATACGTATGATAGATCCCCGGATTGAATCCCGTCCTCACCGCATAGAACTTGGGGCCATCATTCCTCTTCCTTTTCGTCCCGCCAGAGCTGGTCGTATATACGGATTCCGACTTTCCGTTGCCGGCACCCGCGGAAGACATGGTCCAGTCTTTGGGCTTGACACGCCGCCGAAGGGTCGCAGCGACGGCCTCGAGCTTCCGAGTTATGCGGTTTGGTCGTAGAGAAAACCGTCGGGGCCAGTTGCTTGTGACAGTAGCGGGAGGGCGTTTTGACAGGCGGTATGGAATAGTGCTCGATGAGTGGAGGGTCGGAGGCGAGGATGGGAGACTTCGTCGGATGTAAAGTGGAAATACTAGGCGCGAAAGCACTGGTACAATCGAGGTGGTACCAAATCGGCTGAATTGGGCAGCCACGGCTTAGATAAGAGGTCCTAGACTTGAAGCATTAGTTAGCATCAATCAATCCGACTGCCTTCATGTTGGTCGGTTGGTCCTGACACGGAGCAGCGAGCATTGATTACTTACCGGTACTGACACGGTTGGAAGACCGACACGTCTATCAAACTATGGAGGATACAGGCTCACGAAGCAAGGATACGCTTATTTATCAAGTTCTAGGTTATGAAAGACCTTTTAACATGTACCGATCTAGAATAGTGATGATACTGGGAAGGAAGGATGAACTGTAGGGGGTCCAAATATTCAATCGCCAAGGGAGACGCGGGGGAGCGAACCGCTTGATCCTTGAACGTCTAGTATCGACACCAGTCTCTATCATCAACACATGCGATTCCGTCTCTACACACATATTGGCAGTGTATGGGATTAATTTAATCTGCAAAGTGCAAAAGGAACCTTTCAAATTCATACCAATGAACTGGAGTACATCCTTTGTTACCGTTGATGTTGGAGGAGAAACAGATAATGCGGTTCGAGGAGAACTAAGCCTCATCCGGCGACTTTAACTTGGAGTTTGGAGATAATGTAGTGAGTACCATATCCTACATGCCGCTAGATACAGCCAGGGCGGCAGCTTAATCCCTATCTGCTTGCACCAAGGGGGAGCTATTCATAGGGTCACAAGAGGCACGCTGTCAGTGCCACTGCTGTTATGTATTCAAGCACGTCAGATGTGATCATACAACCCTCCTTTGGCCTCATCGAGTTGACCCAGAGTCGCCCTCGCGTTATTGACAAGAACTATAAAATCAAATATCATAGATTCCATGGCATCAAGTAACCATACATGATTGACCAGGACATGATCAACAAAGTACTCCGTAGACCCTTCCGAATCCATTGAATTGACGTACAACCAACGTTGACGGGTCGGGGAATTTCGGCTTGGCTCTGAGGGGATCGCTTCATCATCCGAACCAATATCGCAGCCGGCACCCTTCTTCACTAGCACAAAAGCTTCCTTTAACCTCAATTGTCCTTCTTATTCCTGGAGATTCGTAAACTGGAGTTGTCTTCGGCCCTATCGAGTGGCTCACCAGGCTTCGAGGCCTCGATCCGAGTGCTCTCCCTGGATCTCTAACCTAATCTACTCGAACACTAGCTCAAGGGCGTCCGCTCCACCATGTTCGAGGTATCATCCAGCTCCTACCACGCGACACAGACACCACCAGATGCTAACCTCTTCCCCAGGGCCGCCGCCCCTCCCGCCGCTACCGCCTCCGCCAGCACCGCGCCAACTCCGTCGTCCTCACCCCCGCCGAGCTCGTCGAGATCCGCGCCGCCCAACGCACCTTCGAAGGCGCCTACGTTCGCACGGCGCTCGGCCAATTCTCCTTCGCGCTCATCGTGCTGAAGATCTTCACCGGCGAGTTCTATAGCATTGGCGCGCTGTTCGCCGTGTACGGCTCTGGCATCATGCTGGTGAGCTGGCTACGGCGGCGCAAGGGTAACCGGCAGATCTTCTGGGAGACGGGGATACCCGGGGGGAGTAGGCCGGGGGGGCAGATGGGGTTTATTGGGGAGGAGGAGGTGCCGGGGATGACGGGGGGACAGAAGTTTAGGACGAGTGGGAATGTGGTGACGGTGTTGACAGCGCTGAGCTTGGCGGCCTATGTTGGGCTACTGGTTTTGACTATCAACCTACGCTCATGAAGGATGAGAGGGCGGATACTAGTCGCTACCTTTGGTCTACCCTTGGTTCCCATGCCGATGGGAGCGATACTCGACCATAATCACGGGGTATGCCAATCACGGGGTATCGGTCGTGCTTGTCTACGAGTTGCGTTATGCCTCTCTTCGCAGACTTCAAAAGGCTATACCAGACTTCAGAGGGTCACAGAGAGACCAGCCGCGATATCTCCCGATGAAAATATCACACAGTTACAGGACGATCCTTTCCGGCCGTACACGACTAACGAACCCCGGACACGAGTGAAGGCAGCGAATCGATTTAGCTACCAACGGCAACCACTGCACGGCAAGTTTTTGGCGGAGGGATACTTTACGGTGCCAGTGCTTCAAAATGGAGAAGACAACAAATGGAAAGATATGGCGCTATCTTGTTCCCGACAGCAAATATCCACCGAGCGTTATTTCCTAGGACCGGTATCGAATTCGATTGATGGAATCCTCCATTATTGGCAAATTTTGAAATTTTGGGCAGCGCAGCGACTATTGTGTTATTTAGTGGGATTCGTGTGAGTCAGCTGCAATCATGGATTCTCTAAACGCTTTGTATGAGTGGCAGTGTTCACCATTCAGATGGAAGCTGGATTGCAAGGCTTTGGCATCTCATGAACATGCACACCAGGTCGGCGGGTCCAAGCCGGAGAGACAGCTCTGCACACGCAATTGGCTGGCATATCTTTTGGCAATTGGCACACTGCACGCAAGCTAAGTTACCCCCCTCCTCCCATACAATCTGACATATCCGTCGTGGCCTCGTGGGACAGTGGTTGGCCATGGAGATGTTTGATATTAGACGGAAACCGCGGGGCCTTGCAACAGTGATAACAGATATATGCCGCTCGCCGCTTTCATGGCATTTGGAACTGCTGAAAGGTCACTCAAGGCGCAGCTACGTCTGCCTTATCAGGGCTAAATGAAGCCGATATCCTATATTTTGACGGGGTGTGAAGTTTGATGCACTCATTTATGGTGTCTCCTTCCATTCGCATGAACAAGGCGCCAATGGATCCTGCTAGCGTCCTTCACGGGGTTTCAGACTTTCAGGATTCATCGCCATCCGGATGTAAGCTTCTAAATCCCCGATTGCCGATGCCAGGAGACAGATTCGCAAGCCGACTCCAAAAGTCTAAATATTGGTTGATAATAGGCATGACAGAGCTTCTTCATTTCTCACCTGAAAAGCGGGCAATAGTGGGACGGGTGGTGGTGACTCTACATGGGACCACGGGCCAAAATTGAAGTTTGAAGTGGTGGTTGGAACTGTTGGATGCTTCTTCCATGGGAGAGAGTGCGAGATCCCACGCATACCTAATGCCTCCATCACCCACGCCTCCACTGGTTCCCTGGGGGAGATTTTTCTGATGATTAAATTCTGTCCGATATCTCTTCACTTAAATCACCGTTAAATAATCCCCAAACAGCACCTTATCCCCATCCTCAGCCACCACATAACCATACATATTATTCCCTTCAAGAAAAAGCTGAGACACCCTTTGGCCGATCACTACAGCAGTTGAATCAACCCTTGCGACCGGACCTCAAATCTCCGAATCGTCCATCAGACATCCACAAGAGGACTCTAATCTCGAAATATTGAATACCTACCTATCCAGATATCCTCCCCACCGCTCTGGATTGCCGTATTGATTCTCAGGAACCGGCGTTGCGCGCAAGGCCGAGTCAACAAGCAACACCAGAGAAAAAACGAAAAGACAACCCTCACCGTCACCAACACTCTTAACTCTTTCTCTTGTTTATTGAAGCTTGGAAATTTCCCGATCATTAACAAAACCCTTCAGATTCCAACAAGAGCGATAGAGTCACGAAAGATTAATAATTACCCACGCTATAGGCCAGCAGCCATCAGGATCCGAGTCTTTTGTGAAGAGCGAAGAATTTAGTCGCAAGGTCCCACGCCTGATAGTGACGCCACGCCACGGCTCGCCTACACGAATCGCCTCCTCTGACGCGAGCGGACATCCCAGCAGTCCAAGCAGGCAATCCTAGCCAATTCCCCCTGCACACGCTCTCAGTCACACTTGGCTGCATTCACTCGATATCAACGCGAGACCTCCCCATTTGCACTGCTATGCCTCACTCCATCAACCCCATCCCACACCAAGACCTGGCATACCCATCTCTCGACCGCCGCCGTTGCGCTTCTCGACAATCTCAACTTTCTGCCTATGCGAAATCTCTCCTGATGAGTCGCATTCCTGGTCCACCTATTAACGGAGCGAACCTACAACCTCAGAACGAATCCCCCGGTGACTCAACCGCCGTCACGGCTGTCGCTGGTCCTTCGACTCCTGCTCTGACGGTTCGGAAACCGTCAGACACACCCGACGATCCCGAGCGAATTCAATCAACCTCACCGATACCAACAATTTCAAGTCCTGGCGAGGAATCACAATCCCTCGCCACCCGAGACGGCCAGGGTTCGACATCGAACCTAAATCATCCAAATCATCATCAAGATGGGGGTCTAAATGCTCCTTCCCTCGTCCAAGGCGACCTCCGACCCACTCCCGCCTCGACCACACGACTGCATTCCCTCGACCACCCCGGGGCGGCTCTCACTGATACGCCGCTCCCGTCCGCTCCCGGCAGTCCGCGAATTCCGGTCATACGTCAAAACTCCGGTTCTTCGACGCCTCGAGTGCGACCGACGACACTCGACATTCCTGGGCTGACCAAGTCCAAAGTATCGCCCGATGGCCGGATCGCCCAGCGAGATGTCGGCTCGAAGCTGGTCATCGTCATGGTGGGGTTGCCCGCGCGAGGGAAAAGTTACATCACCAAGAAATTAGCGAGATACCTCAACTGGTTGCAGCATGACACACGAATTTTCAACGTCGGTGAACGACGACGGCTGGCCGCTCATGGCTCGCATTCGCGGAAACAGTCAACCATCGACCATGGCACGCCGTTGAACTTGGACACTGCAAATGGGTCATCAATCGTGAAACCGGAGCTATCCCCGAGCGAGGACGTTGTCAAATCGGCTGCAGAGCAACTCTCCAACATGAATGGCGTAAAGCAGGCTTCCCCCCTGGCATTGCAAAGCATGATCCCCCGACTGAGCCTTCCTTCCTCATCCATCGACGAGCAGCCGGACAAGGAAACGAATGCCGAGGACCCGGAAGCGTTGGTGTCTCAGTCGGCCGGATTCTTCGACCCTCGAAACAAGAAAGCCTCGCAGATCCGCGAGCAAGCAGCGATGGACACACTCGATGAGCTTCTGGAGTACATCCTCAACCAGGGCGGTAGCGTCGGGATTTTCGATGCTACCAATAGTACATTGGTACGACGAAAGCTCGTCATGGAGAAAATCCGCGAGCGCGCCGGCCTGCAGTTGAACGTGTTGTACGTCGAGTCGATCTGCGAAGACCAAGCCCTGCTCGAGTCCAATATGCGCCTGAAACTTTCGGGGCCCGACTACCGCGATAAGGATCCGATGACGGCCCTAGAGGACTTCAGACAACGCGTTGCCATTTACGAACGAAACTACGTGCCGTTAGGCCACTACGAAGAAGTTAATAATATGCCATATGTCAAGATGGTGGACGTGGGCCGCAAGGTCATCACGCATCAAGTGAATGGGTTCCTCTCCACTCAAGCGGTGTACTACCTCCTCAATTTCAACCTATCCCCGCGCTGCATATGGATCACCCGACACGGCGAATCGCAGGACAACGTTGCCGGCAAAATCGGCGGAAATTCTTCGCTTTCACCCAAGGGCGCCAAGTACGCTCGCGCACTGGCCCACTTCATTGAAAAGGAGCGCAGTCTTTGGGAAGTCAAGCAGCGCGACAAGGCGCTCAACACGCACTTCCCTCCGCATCCAGGCGACCATACACCCCCCAACCCGTATTACGCCCCCGACGACATGGCCGGTGCGAACGGCGTGCCGGCCGAGAACAACTTCTGCGTCTGGACCTCGATGCTGAAACGCAGCATCGAGACCGGGGTCGTCTTCGACGACGATGAGAAGTGGGACGTGAAGCAGTTCCGCATGCTCGACGAGCTGAACGCCGGAATCATGGAAGGGATGACGTACGAGGAGATCCGTCGTCTGTATCCCGAGGAATACGACGTGCGACAGGCGGACAAGCTGGCGTATCGGTATCCGGGACCCGGTGGTGAGGGCTATCTCGACGTCATCAATCGCCTCCGTCCCGTGATCGTGGAGTTGGAGCGGATGGAGGATCATTGTCTCCTGATCACGCACCGGAGTGTCGCGAGGGTGCTACTCGCTTACTTCCTCGGCTTGAGGAGGGACTCGGTGGCCGATCTCGAGTGTCCCCTGGGGATGGTGTACTGTCTCGAACCGAAGCCATATGGAGTGGAGTTCCATGCGTACCGATATAAGGAGAGTGATGAATCCTTCGAGTTCCTGCCGGATTATGAGATGAAGAAGTCAGGTGCAATCCACTGATCGGTGGTCAGATTCAGTACCCTGCAGGATGTTCCTCGGAGTCACAGGGAGGCGACTTACGGGCGTGGTTGACCGCGAACATTTCACGACTTTGCTATTAGCATCATGCCTCGATACCCGGCATATGTTGCCTTTAATTTCCTTATTTCCTTCCCCCACTCTCAAAACATGGACAATGATACCCCTCCTCTCTCCACTCATCATCATATTTTTATCTTCTCTTCGATGGGATGCCTGCTTCCACGGTCTGCAGAACAAGGGTATTCCATCCTCTTTCCACGGCGGGCCACCTCGCCACGTGCCATTCATGAACGAGATATCATACCAAAAATCATGCATAGCGCGGGGGCAGACGGCGTATCAACGGGTATTCTCACGGGCGTTTCCTACTGTGTTGTCACTTGCAATCTTACTCTCAAAAATCGGAAAACGGAGGGCAACATTCTTATCGCTATTTCTTTGCTTCGGTTCGGCTGGGGTTTTATTCAACGGATTTCGATGGTATATGGTCACGGATGGTCACGGATGGTCATGCGCGCATAGCACCAGTTAACTGAAAATTTACGAGCATGAAATGATACCGCCTAGTGATGTGCTGTGGTAATGTCGCTGACGTGAAGTGCTCGTAGGACACGGCCAAGCAGACGGCGTTTAATGGGTGAGCAGCACGACATCTCGAATCCTCAACCTGGGATACTCATCTCGAATCCGTGATTAAGATCTTTACGATCGTGTTCCATAGTACCCTCCCTCGTCCGTTTGCGATAGGAACAGAACGCCAAGGGCAGACCTAGATGGAGTCATGAGGGCTTGATGTGCAGTGCGTTCACACCCACTCCTCGGAGCATCTCCTCGACACGTCCGTGTTCCTTGGGTCCCGCATCTCGAACCAACGCAGCAACATCACACGACAGAACGTGGATCATCAGCCTCAATGATGAGCCAGCGGTTCATGCTTCACGTGCGTCGAATGCCCACGGATGAGCGGCTAGTCGACCACGGTTTACGCATTGGGAAGTGTGGAATCGTAGCGTCAATGAGCCATTTTATGGAAGGCTCATCCTATCTTGGTTTGGTTGGTTCTTCAGCCTCTCTTCATGATGAAAGTTTGGTTGTATGAACCATATTGTGGCGGTCATTGGTTGAAGGAGACGGAAGCGGATTTAAAGGCCGATAGGTATGACATTTGGCTTCGAGGGTTGAAATACCATCCAGTTCAGGTCTCATGTGTGTTCTGAATAGACTCGTTCGCTATATACTGCCCTTATCTCGAAGCTGTATGAACGCGCTGTGGTTCCAACCCAGTAGTTTCAGGTACTTCTCCTGCAGATCTAACATAACGTGCTCGACACGCGATCATCGAGATGCGGAATGGGCGCCTTGTGGACATCCCAGGACCCAAATACACCATCTCCACGGTCCAGACCTCGAACGGAGTGTCGTACACGACGGTAGTCAAAGATTTCGTTCGTTAGGAATGCCAATTGGATCTCCAAGGCCTTACTGTCTACGATATACGCCTCTAGTGACCGTGGAACCTACCTGACATTGGGCGCAGTACGTGGATGAGGACGCATTCCATGTGTGCCCAAGTTCTTGATATAGAGACGTCGAAACGACCAGATGCTCGCAGTTATGGATATTAGGAGTTTCAGACGGCCAACTCGGCGTCCAGCACGGATGTACAGTGCAGGCAGCATAACAAGCACTTCTCAATCGTAAGGTTCATTATCCTCGACGGCAATTGAGACTTCACGTCTACTTGAGGCAGCTGCCTTTGCGCCCTCGCTTGCTCGACCACCTTCGTTTCTCGCAAGCTTCGCATCTTAGCCACGATGTCGTCAAGTCATCGATGGTCGGTGGTCATCTTCGCTCTTGTGAAACCTGACGCCCTGTGCATGGTTGCAGTTGGCAAAGATTCCGGCAGCCAGTCAGGGATCCGGTGCCCTTCATTCCCCGAGTCCCCGTCTGCACGTTTGCTGTTGTGTAATACGTTCAAGCTTGTGGCTTCCGGCAGATTGCATGGTCAGGTGCTCGCAAAGACAAAGGATCGGAGTCATTAGCACATGTTAACGTCATTCACTTCATCCTCTATGCATAGCGTTTGCGTGGAGAGCGGTGGGAGCTGGCGTTTCCGGAGCGATAAGGGTTCGTATAGCAGGATGGGAGTTGAATCTGCGGAAATTGATAGAGTTGATGCGATCAAGCTGTCAAGGTCTCGGACTTTGGGATAAAATGAAGTCTAGTGTTCAGCCAATGCTCGTGGTTGAACGAACCGTGCTTCATGGTTAAAAGCAACAATGGGCTTGAGTTCGGACCTGAAATGCTGGGACTCGGGAAGAGTTTGGAGTTTGGACACTCTATATCCATGTCCTGACGTCTGCCAATCAAGGGGAGATGAGCCATTACATCCGCTCATCTCCACTCCGCATTATTATGAATCTTTGCGTCGTGATCTATCATCATTCATATAAATGTCCAAATATCCCAATGTAAGACCGACCAGTCAAGTCCTGTGTCTGATCAATCATCATGTCAGCAATCAGCATTAATATTCCTGCCCGTCGCCCCATTCTAAAGTCTGACGATGCGGCTCAATCATCCTGCACTCGGAGCAAGCTAAGGGCAAGCGAAAGATTGAAATTGGAAAATTGTCAGGATCAGCAAGCCGCACGGTTCAAGTATGACGTTGACCGGGCCGTGGGTGTTTCTCCTGTCAATCAATCATCGGCCTCCTCACAGGCCAAACGATCGCTGGCTTTGGGAGGGTTGGGACTTTTGGGGCAGGTGATAATTCGGCGAATTCACAATTGCGGTAAAGATGGAGTCCGGTAACCGGTAACTACTGTAGTTAGCAACCACGGCCAGACCGTCGACGATTCCGGAACTCTGCAATCCTATCCACGTTCTCCTCCTCGTTTCGATGAAAGCCCGCCGGGTATATCGGAGCGTCGGATTATCGGACTCGTTTCTCCCAAAAATTCGAATTTCTGCAGGCGTCGAGTGGGTTAGGTTTTCGCCTTTTCGCTTTCAGCTGCGATCTAGGTCTAGCGTCATCGCACCGTTCCGTGACCCGACAAGTTGATTGCCTACGGGAGGCATTTTCTTGTCGTCGCAAGCAGGAAATGCAGGGCAGGGCGGGAGCGGCGAAATGATAGGTAGGATCGGGATTCGGGGCAGAATTTTTTTTGGAGGCTCTGGTAGTTCCGTGTGCATCTCCATGTCCAGGTCCATCGGTCCATGTCGATATCTGCAGATTGTCGCCTTATAGGCAAGGCGTTACAATTTACGAAGCAGCGCAAGTTTGCTTTGGCCTTTGCCGTTTGCAGGCTTGCGGGATTTATTCGCAGCCAAAGCGAAGTTACGAAGGGCATCCTGCGACTTTACGGGTCTTACCGTATCGACGGTTACTGGAGGATGTACATATTACAGTAGGCTTGGCGTGTGTGAAAAACCACTCCAATTGGAGGAAGGGAAATATAAGAGGGATTTTGCGTTCATGTAATTCGAGGATGCTCTGAACCTTCCACCCCCCAGTGACAGGGTGCTGAAGGGCCCAGAATAATGCCATACCTCAAGGCTTCGGAACGGACGGCGGAACCGCAGCGCTTCGGCGGAGGGTCGGGATATCGGCACTCACTCACCGCTGGAAACCTGGAGGCGGGAAAGGCTAGAACAGGTCATCGTTGTGTGAAATGCTTTCGGTAGTTAACTGTGTTTGAGTGTGTAGAAATTTAATCCCTCAAAAGGGTCTGTGCTGTGATAACGACCAGGAGCCGGGGAGGGGAAATGGGAATATAGTATGGTTTATGTGGCCACCGGAGAGGTCAACTGTCTGGATGGCAATCGGCAGGCGAGGCTCAAATAGCTCAATCGACGGGCCTATGGCAGAATTGCCGCAAGCATCTGGATTTCCAGAACGCACGAGAAGCGGATCATAATGGACAGGAGCTCGAGCTCGAGCTTGAAATCCTATGCGTGCTTAGTAGCCACAAGCCAGGGACCACTGACCAGAAGGCAGATGTCATCTACAAACCCTGCGTCTCATCTTCAAAGCCTTCAAAGTTCAAGTGTTCAACTCTCCTACCGGGTCGATGGAGCAATCCTCCCCTTCAATTAGCCAATTGAACCGTCGAATTGCCACGATAATCGCATTTTGGACCTGCGGGAATCGGGAAGGCTCGCTCGCACGTTTCTGGCACTCCTTCGCGCAGCTCGCGGGACCATCCGCGACGACTGACCATTCTGGCACTAGGAACTTTCTTTTTCCGCGGATATCCAATCCTGAATGACTGAAATCCGCCTCGCCATCGCCATTGTCCCCTTTGCGGCTTGCGCCCACAATGCCGACAAGCCCGACATTGAACGAATTACAGAAATGTTTTCTAGTTTCGCGCTCGCTCTCTCGCGCTGTTTCGCAGTCTCGCACTGATGCGCGATTAATGATGATTCTTCCCCATGTTTCGGGCCTTTCGAATCGGAAGTACGGCCGAGGGCGCTTGGCCGGGAATAGCCCTGTCTAGGAAAAAGTGAAAAGGAAATGCTTTCTTGACTCTCGTCCTCGTCCTCGTCCGGGTTTATCTTTGATGTTATGGAAGTTTACGGACGGGGAATTGGAGCCTCGCGACGTGTCGCCTCGCCCAATAATGTCCGGTGTAAATGCAACGGCGTGGGTGCCGATGGCGGATGGCGTCGTCAGGGCAGGAAGCACGCCAGCAAGCCCAGCATCCGCACTTGAATTGGCACTTGGCCGATGGATTATGGGGTGTGTGATTGTTTCCCCTCCATGCCGCTCAAGCTTTCTCCCGCTTGGCGAAACCTATCGTGAATCGTCAGATTCGTCACTCTGCTTCGCAGGAAATCGTCACCCACCAGCCAGCGCCCGCAGGCCAGAGCTTCGTCGATTCGGCAGAAGAAACATGCAATGGACATGCATGGGGATCGATCGTCCAATCCTATCGCAGGGCTCGGCACCCACCAAGCCGAGGGACAGCATATCATGCCGGCAGGGCCTTAGCAGCGTCGCTAGATGGACATTGGACGCCCGATGGAGGGATTGGCGTCAGAGGCGCTCGATCGGGTCATCGTGGGATGTGTTGCGACGATATGTAATAGCCCAATACCAACAGTGTCTAAGAAGCAGACATGAGGGTCGTTATTGGGAAGTAATTGAGATCTACTGTGAGCTGAGAGCCGCGACCTAATTGTATTTAGAGGCGTTTTTAAGCTGCGACTGCCAATGGTCTGCTCGATTCTAGGCAATATAGAGACTTGGAGGACAAGACATTTTTGTATACAGTCATAAGCTTGCGAGGCTTGGTGTTTGCAATTCTCCACGAACATGGTTCGATCATTTCCTTTTCAATGTCTTGGATTCCCTTTTATATAGATAACAGTTGACAGTTGACAAGTCGAAGACGAGCAATGCTCCAAACCGGTTAAAAATCCCCAGGAATAGGCTGGGATGCTTTCACGACGGGACATAAGCTTTCTTTAGTAAATCCATTGAAGACGGGTGGAGAATCGGCACTGGCGCCCAATTTGACACGGGCAATCAGGAACTGGAATTGCGAAGACAAGTGGTTTAATGATAGCGACAAATGTCTGATCAATGAAGGACTTGGCTTTATCAATTCAAGTAAAGCAGAAATTCTGGGCGGTAGTAATATGTACATACAATGTAATGTTTAATGATGCCACTAATTCTTGAACCTTCCACGCCTTGGCAACTGGCATTGCTTTTGCTGTTTTGCACGGTCATTCGAATTGCCAATAATTAACGTGATCAACGTCCATCATCAATCAATAACGGGGCGATCAACTAGACTAGCCCCGAGATGGACTCGATCAACTCATCAACATTTCCTCAGCGAGCAACTAAGGAGCGATTTGGCATCGAACATTTGCCAATTGCAAACCGACGCGGGACCGAGAGGCAGTTGATTGCGTGAAAACCAAAAATCTGTTGATCCGTCTGTTGCCGTTCGTCCACGCCGTTGCTGCTGTGCTTCCGTCGGCCCTTGAGCAGTTGGACGGCACTTGAACCCGATATCCTTGAGATGAGGCAGATCACACACTCCCCTTGGCGGACCGCCTGCGTCAGAGGCCAGGGAGTGGCATCGCGAAAGGTTAATCGCGGCAAATGGCTACGAAGTGGGTGGATATGTGCATGGCCCTAGGGGCCAGGGCAGAATAACAATGACACTTTGCACAGGATATGGACAGCAGCTATTGTATTCACCGGACTTCGACTTGCTATTACTTACTAACTAGTAGAGCAGTAGTATAGTTAGCAGTATCAATCGCAAAGAAACACCCAAGACTTTTTTGACTTGGCTTCTCCATCGGTAAGTCCTCATCATTTAGTGGCCAGCGCTCAGCACCCATCCAGCATCATCGAATCCCTCCCCCAGCCCCCCGTTCCCTCCATCAGCCCTTTGGTCACTCTCGCTTTTCGCCTCCCCACGCTGAGCATCCCGAACCTGGCTAGCGTATTCTTTGCGTCTTCCTCTCTGCCGTCTTTTGCCTACGTAGTATGCGGCTGCACCCCCCCGCCGACTCCCAGAGCCTGAGAGCCACCGTATCGAAGAGGGATTTAAAAGACGGCGTTCTGCTCCCCTTCCTTCCGCTGCTCGCTAGACTTGACATTTGCTGCTGCTGCTGCTGTTTCCGAGCTGCTGTCAGTTCCCGGCGTCATCGTTTCTTGCTCGCGCAAACCCTCTCCCCTCTTCCCGACAAAACTTCAAGATTGGATCGTTCGCATCCCATCTCGCCGTGAGCTTCTTGTGCATACGTTTTTCCCGCCGTGAACCTCGGGCACTCCTACGCCTCGCAATTGAACTCGTTCCCGAGAATCAATTGCCGTAGCGAGTGAATTTAGAAGCCCAGCTGGATCAGCGACAGGCGGAGAGGAGAGGTACAGCTCGAACAGCTATCGACAGATCTACGGTACGCGCAGTGGAAAGCTTCCCCACCGAACACCCAACAGAACTGATCCGTTGCTCCACCTGCAGCTTCAACCAAATATTGGAGCTTTCCTCATCCCGGTGAAAAGAAAAATTCCTCGAGGTGAAACGAAACGGAACAGACTGGCGAAGCGACAAACCACCGCCTTACGGTTCAGGCCAGCAGAGGGGCAATTGAGTGGGAGAGAGCATTGGTGATAGTGATCAACAGATGTAAGTGCTGAAGTTTTCCATTTTGCAATTTTCACACGTTTTTCCCTGCCCATGCATGCACCTTGCGACTTTGCTGGTTGCATGACCTTGCCGCTCATCCTGACCCAAATTGGAGATTTGCTTTGGGCCTTGGGGACTGGGATGGGAGAGTGCCGCCCTCTGCCGTTGGGGCGGATTTCGTCATCACAACAAATCCATCAATTGGCAGATTGGCAAGGGATGGAAGAAAAGGACCGTTCACCAAATGGCGGTTTCTTCACTAGCAGTGCCGTCATTCCGCTGAGGGTAGCACTCTGCGAATGTTTAACGCCTCCTCAGTTTCTCATTCAAGCGAGGGAAAAGCGAGAGCAAACTCACCCAAGGCCCCAAACTCACCAAAGGGTTCAAAACTGGACAACAGTGGACACTCAACCGGAGATTGGCGGGCACCAGTCTGTTCCCAACTGGCTCCGGTCCCAAGGGCAGGTGTTATCGCAGCTAAAACTCCGAGTTTTGAGCTACGGCTGCGACGGGCTCGACGGGCTCATCGGCACCCCATCCCAGTGTTTTCCCTCCACCTGTTGCCCATTGCTGTCTAGAGAATCCACCACCGTCCACAGTCTGCTGCTGTCCAAGTGTCCACCCCCCTACGGCCATCACAATAAAAACATAACTACCTCTCCCATTCCCCGTCGCTCGCTTCCTTTGTATTTTTTCATTTAATTCTTTTTCTTCTTCACCCTCCCTTTCGGTTTCCCAATCCCAGGGGTCATTGCAGTTCTTGCAATTTCACCGTCTTTCTTTATTGGGTTTCCCTCGTTTTCTGACGCCGTCCAACGTGACGCGCCTTTTCCCTCACCTTTTCCCCAATTCGACCTTCTCTAATTGGTCGGATCTCAAGACGCGTTCGCTGACAGCTCAGTTCGCCATTGCAGTCCACTGCCAACGCCAATTGGATCGGATCCTTTCGAATTAATTCCTACCGCCTCGCAATCCCTTCACCATGGCGGAGAATTCATCCACCGTGCCGCCGAACCATCTCGGCACCTCGGTGCCCACCGGTGGTCTCGACGAGAAGCGCGCCCTCGAACAAGAACATCAGGAGGCACCCGCCGCCGATCTCCCCCCCAAGAAGGAGACCGTCGACGACGATGAGGAGGAGGACATGGATGCGTTGATCGAGGAGCTCGAGTCGCAGGACGCCGGTCAAGAGGAAGAGGAGGAGGAGGAGGGCGGCGCTCGCCCTGGCGGTGCCCGTGTCGTGCCTGAGGAACTCCTCCAGACCGACACGCGCACCGGTCTGTCCACCGACGAGGTTGGCCGTCGTCGCAAGAAGTACGGTCTCAATCAGATGAAGGAGGAGAAGGAGAATCTGATCCTGAAGTTCCTCGGGTTCTTCATCGGTCCTATCCAGTTCGTCATGGAGGTAAGCCACCCACGCCATTCCGAACAGCTTGTCGACGCCAATTGCAGCGTTGTCCTTGTTCAAGCCATACTGACGCGACATTCATAGGCCGCTGCCGTTCTCGCTGCTGGTCTCGAGGACTGGGTTGATTTCGGTGTCATCTGCGCTCTGCTCCTGCTCAACGCCGCCGTCGGTTTCATCCAAGAATTCCAAGCCGGTTCCATCGTCGCCGAATTGAAGAAGACCCTCGCTCTCAAGGCCACCGTTCTCCGTGACGGTGCGCTCGTCGAAGTCGCCGCTCCTGAGGTCGTGCCTGGTGATATCCTCCAGATCGAAGAGGTAAGTTCGGGTTGCACAACAAAACAGAACCCTGGATCCTAACATGTGCCAAGGGTACCATCATCCCAGCCGATGGCCGCATCGTCACCGAGGATGCCTTCCTCCAGGTCGATCAGTCTTCCATCACCGGTGAATCGCTCGCTGTGGACAAGCACAAGGGCGATACCTGCTACGCGTCGTCTGCCGTCAAGCGTGGTGAGGCCTTCATGGTCATCAGCGCTACTGGTGACAGCACTTTCGTCGGTCGTGCCGCTTCGCTCGTCGCATCCGCCTCTGGTGGCACCGGCCATTTCACTGAGGTGCTGAACGGCATCGGGACGATCCTCCTGGTGCTTGTCATCGCCACGCTCCTGATCGTCTGGGTCTCGTCCTTCTACCGCTCCAACCCCATCGTCGAGATCCTCGAGTTCACCCTGGCCATCACCATCATCGGTGTGCCCGTCGGTCTTCCCGCTGTCGTCACCACCACCATGGCTGTCGGTGCCGCCTATCTCGCCAAGAAGCAGGCCATCGTCCAGAAGCTGTCTGCCATCGAGTCCCTGGCCGGTGTCGAGATCCTCTGCTCCGACAAGACCGGTACCTTGACCAAGAACAAGCTGTCCCTCGCCGAGCCGTACTGCGTCGCCGGCGTTGACCCGGAAGATCTCATGCTCACCGCGTGCCTGGCTGCCTCTCGCAAGAAGAAGGGTATCGATGCCATCGACAAGGCCTTCCTGAAGTCCCTCAAGTACTACCCCCGTGCCAAGAACGTCCTGTCCAAGTACAAGGTCATCAACTTCTTCCCCTTCGATCCCGTCTCCAAGAAGGTTACCGCCATCGTGGAGTCCCCTCAAGGTGAGACCATCACCTGTGTCAAGGGCGCTCCGCTTTTCGTCCTCAAGACCGTCGAAGAGGATCACCCTATCCCCGATGAGGTCGACGAGGCCTACAAGAACAAGGTCGCCGAATTCGCCACCCGTGGTTTCCGCTCGCTCGGTGTCGCTCGCAAGCGCGGCGATAACTCTTGGGAAATCCTCGGCATCATGCCTTGCTCCGACCCTCCCCGTCACGACACCGGTCGCACGATCAACGAAGCCAAGACCCTCGGTCTGTCCATCAAAATGCTGACTGGTGATGCCGTCGGCATCGCTCGTGAAACCTCTCGTCAGCTCGGTCTCGGAACCAACGTCTACAACGCCGAACGTCTCGGTCTCGGTGGCGGTGGTGAGATGCCCGGTTCCGAAGTCTATGATTTCGTCGAGGCCGCCGACGGTTTCGCCGAGGTGTTCCCCCAGCACAAGTACAACGTCGTCGAGATCCTGCAACAGCGTGGCTACCTCGTCGCCATGACGGGTGACGGTGTCAACGACGCTCCCTCGCTCAAGAAGGCCGACACCGGTATTGCCGTCGAGGGCGCCTCTGATGCCGCCCGATCCGCTGCCGATATCGTCTTCCTCGCCCCCGGTCTGTCCGCCATCATCGACGCGCTCAAGACTTCCCGCCAGATTTTCCACCGCATGTACGCCTACGTCGTCTACCGTATCGCGCTATCCCTCCATTTGGAAATCTTCCTGGGTCTCTGGATCGCGATCCTCAACACCTCGCTGAACCTGGAATTGGTCGTCTTCATCGCCATTTTCGCTGACATCGCCACCCTGGCTATCGCCTACGACAACGCGCCCTTCTCCAAGACCCCCGTCAAGTGGAACCTGCCCAAGCTCTGGGGAATGTCCGTCCTTCTCGGCATCGTCCTGGCCATCGGCACCTGGATCACCCTCACCACCATGATGCCGTACCATAACGACTCCAATGACGAACCCGGCCAAGGCATCTACGGTGGTATCGTCCAGAACTTCGGTGTCCGCGACGAGGTCCTATTCCTCGAGATCTCGCTGACGGAGAACTGGCTGATCTTCATCACCCGCGCCAACGGGCCGTTCTGGAGCAGCATTCCCAGCTGGCAGCTCACCGGTGCCATTCTGATCGTCGACATCATCGCCACCTTCTTCTGCCTGTTCGGCTGGTTCATTGGCGGCCAGACCAGCATCGTCGCCGTCGTGCGTATTTGGATCTTCTCATTCGGCGTCTTCTGCGTCATGGGCGGTCTTTACTACCTCATGCAGGGCTCGCAAGGATTCGACAACTTCATGCACGGCAAGGGCCTGCGCAAGGATGCGAAGCAGAGGAGCCTGGAAGATTTCGGTAAGTCCCGCCGCATCAATTTTCGATGGGAACGGATCGCTAACATCATATTTAGTTGTCTCATTGCAACGTGTCTCCACCCAGCACGAAAAGACCCAGTAAGCTCGTGCACACGCGCAATTCCCCGTGTCGCCTGCCAGCACGGACGACCAGGCATAATTCCACCCCGTCCAAACGTCCACAATCATTCAAAAAGCAGACCCAACACAAACCACAAAACCCCGACATAATATCTACCTTGTCAAATATCACTAGACTATGAAATTCCAAATTCCCTTGCTGTTGCACCGTCTCCCGTCCTCGCCTCTGATATCCCAACTTCCATGCACTGGCATCGTCGCTCTAAACCTCGCTCTGAACCCGTCGCCATCACCGTCCCACATCCCGTGTCCCATTCCATCGTTTCTAACAGCCGTTCCGCTCTCGTTGCTAGTGCCATGCCCGGACATCAGCCGCATCAGAACATGGGCGTCTTTTGCGCCGACGAAGGCGGCGCCGTTACGGCGAGACGGCGACGAGACTCCTGATCCGTTCTTCTTTAGCGTATGTATCTGACATCACGTCGGTGGGATTTGTTCGGTATTAGGTTGATTCGTCAGGGCCGAGCCGATTCGCCTGTCGGGGGGGGACTCGACGGTTCCGGGCGATTTCGGTTGCGGGAAACGGCGAGGCGGCTGGTGATGCAATGCCGCGAGGTCAATGCGAATGGGAAGGGTCTGTGTATAGGATTGAAGGGATGAGGAAGAGATGGATAGTTTCAAATAGCATTATGAGGATTAGGAAGTTGGTGGCAGATTTGTACATATGGCCTAGTTATCTGTTGTTTAAGTGCTAGATGGCAGTTGTGCTTATATATGTGGTTTACTCAATGTTTCATGGTCTATCGTTGAGTGTCGTTAAATTGCTGACTTCTGATCGCATCATATACTATGGCACTAGTCATTGAAAGCAGCTATAGTACGGAATGTATGAACCTCGATCAACGTTCATCAAAAGGTATTGAATGCCTCATCTACAAAATTGATGCAACAAGTCAATAGCTGCTGGTACAGAACAGCGGCCACCAGGCTTCTCACAATGCAACCCAAGTCCACGACGAATCCACCCCGAACGCCGTATCCCCCCAAAAACGCTTGCTAGACCCTTACACCGCCTGCACCTTTCTATAATTCGGCGGCCGTAACGTACGATTCAAAATCTTCCCGGCGTACGGCGGCACCAACGCCAACGCGACTGCAACCACGACCTTCCACACGAACGCAACAGAAATGACATATTTCAAATCGAAATACTCCCCGAGGAACGGGAAGCTCCCGAAGAACAACCCGGCGGTGGCGAGCAGCGACACGATCATGGCCCAATGCCACGTGGTGACCTCGGCGGCGATCATCAGCAGCTCGTTCAGCACAAGCGCTGTGTACGAGACGGCCACCATGCGCGGGAAGTTGTCGATGCCCACCAGTAGCTGCGTCACCCCCTGGATGATGCACCCCTGATACACGCTGACCAGCACCCACACGCCGAACGTGCGGTACGACAGGCTGCGCCCGCTGGTCAGCTCCTTGTACAGCTCCGGATACAGGTTCGCCACCCCCTCGTCCACGTCGCGGTCCAGCACGAGGCTGAACACCGGCACCATCGTGTACACCGTCGCGTATCCCACCAGCAACCAATCCTTAAACAGCGCGATCGGCTCGAACGCCGACGCCACCGAGAACACCGTCTGGCACACCGCAAAGATCAGCCCCCGATGCATGACGAACAGCGCGAGCTTCGCGCTCCGTTTGTAGCTGTTCCGCCCGTGCCACACCAGCAGGCGCGTCACGTAATGGAATTGCGGCACCGAGAAGTCCGCAGCCAACGACGCCTGGCGCCCTTCCTTGCCGACGATGCCGATCCCCACATCGGCGGCGAGGATCATGCTGACGTCGTTGCCGCCGTCGCCGATGCAGGCGACGCGGGCGCCGGTGTGCGTGCGGATGAGGCGCGCGAGGTCGGCTTTTTGGGTAGGGGTACAGCGGCAGGCGATGACGGTGGGGAGGCGGATGGCGATGGGAATAAAGGTGGCGCGGTGGTGGGTGAGCATGATGGAGAGGGAGTCGCCGTCGATGAGGAGGCAGGTGGAGGGGTGGGTGTGGAGGAGGTCGAGTGTAGGGAGGGCGGCGTCTTTGCGTTTGACTAGGTTGGTTAGCGGAGATATGAGGAGGGACGGAGGGTGGTGGCTTACGTTTCGCGATGGTATGAATGTGTTGGCCTCGCGCGACGAGCTTGGAGCTGATGGCAACGCAGCGCGCCGTCTCAACTTTGTCGCCGGTGAGCATCCAGACCTTGACTCCAGCGTTGCGAAGAAGCTCCAGGCTGGGCTTGACGTCTTTCTGCAGCTTGTCTTCCACGCCGGTAACCCCCAGAAGCTCGAGGTCGTGCTCAAGGTATGATTCAACCGCCGATGCCATGTTGGCATCACGTCCTTGCAGCGACAGACTGGCTTCGGCATAGACGCGGGTGAATTCTCGGTATAGAGCAGGTGACAGTTGTTTGCGCCCTACGACGAGGGTGCGAAGTCCTTCCCGCGCCATGTTCGAGGTCTCTTCTTCCAACCAGTCGTTAGAAGCAACGATATTGGCCATGACTGTGTCGGCGCCCTTCTGATAGAACCAGATCTCAGAATCCTCGTCGACTTCTGTCGGGAGGGCAGTGCTTGTCTTCGAAAACTGAACGAGGATGCCCATTCGCTTCCCTTCGGATGTGAAAGGAAAGATGTTCAGGATCCGGACACGGACAACGACACGACCGGTCTCCGTGGATTGCAAGGAGATGGATACCCGGTCTCGATGGAGCAGTCGCAGTCCCACGGTTTCCGCCCACTTGACGATGGCGATCTCATCCGGAGACGAGGCTTGGTATGTCGTGACTGACGTGCCATCCTCGTCCTCGATGGTCGGTGTCACATTGTGACAGAGCGCCAAAGTGAGAACGATATCGCGAACGCGTGCGCCGATTTCTCGTCGCGTTCGCGTGGCCGAGGTGGAAACGACGTTTGCGGAAGATGGAGTAAGGAGCGACGATCTCTCCTCCGGGCTGTTCGCAAAGGTTTGGCGAACGTACGACGCCACCTCGTCCATGGCTTCGTTGGCATACGACACGGTCCCGACATGAATCTTCTTCATCTCCATTTCGTTCTGCGTGAGCGTGCCGGTCTTGTCGCTCAGCAGATATTCGACCCGCCCCAAATCCTCGGGGATCGTGCTGGTCCGAACCACGGTGTCCGGGATGTCTTTGTCGTGCTCGATCTGCCAGGCATAGACCGATTTCGCCATGTCGACGTTTACGCGGAGGTTCACTGGGACGATGGTCGAAAAGAGGATCAGGTATATCATGACGGAGACATACCATTTCCGGCCGTCTTCTCGGGCTTCGAACCCTTCGAGGGCGACGAGGATGAACGAGAGGGCGAAGGTGAGGAGGCAGAGGATTTTCGTGAGGGAGTTGATCTCGTATTCTAAACGGCCGGTTTTCGACCGTGATGTGGACGTCGAGAGAGCCTGTCTCGTTTGTGATCCGGTATAGACCACCACAGCGTAAAGGGTGCATGTCGATGCGATGACTGTATTGGCCCAGGCAGTATTATCGATGGACAGCGGCCACGAGTTCGCCTGCTCGGCATCATCATGCGTACCGCTAACGGAATCTTCTAGTTCCACTGTCCCTACAAAGTCGTTGACTTTCTTATCTGGTTTGCCTGCGACAACCTTGAGTTTCATGAATTCTTCGATCGATATATTCTGCGTCGACGGAGAGGCCAATCTCAGCTTCCAATCCGTCTCACCATCGAGCTGATCCGTGCGAATGAATGCTTCTCCCGTAGGTCCAGGGTTGCCCTCTGCGCTTTCCGTCGGTTGAGGTTGGGCAGCCCCTAAATCCGTAGATATCAACGCTTCCAGATTCTCGGTGTTCGCGTTTACATCCAAGCTGGATTTAATTGCGGCATCGTCGGCCGATATGCTTTTCAGAATAACGACGTCTGCCGGCACCCGTTGGTTCTTCCCAAGCTTCAACACATCTCCAACTTTCAAGCTTCTCGACGGCTTCTTCATCTCGCGGACGTTTGAATTTCCATCCGGTCCTTCCTCGCCATCCCCAAATTTCAAGACGGTATACGGTTCGGAATTCGCTTCCGCGTCTCTCCGTCGCCGCTGAATATCGTCGATAGCCTCTTTACCGATTGAAATCATCAGAACGAACGCCAAGGGCACAATGTAGGTTGAGATATATCCAATCCGGAGCGCAGGTATCGCTTGAGAAAGAGCAACAAGGAGGAAATACATGTTGAAGAAGAACGAAAACTCGTTATAAAGCGTCAGAGGTAGGAAGCTCCAGGGGGTATATTTGGCGTTTGAAACAGCGTTCAGAGGGAATCGTGTAGACTGTCGCTGACCGACAGGTATGGTACGTGTCGACGAAGGATCATGTTCAACATCCGCCTCTTCTTCGTCTTCATTCCCGCCCGGCGTGGGGGCTTGGGCGCCCGTTATAAAGCTCGGTATCCGCAACCTAGATGTGATTCGTGCCAGAGAACCCTCCGATCGTCTCGGACGGGGTCTGCTGAAGTGTGTAGGCAGCAGCGGCGCATCGTCGTCCCCTCCACCGGAGCTCGCAGCGGAGTACCGCTTTCTCGCATCCTCATCATCATCGAGCAGCCCGTTCAAGTCATCATGGTCATGACTTGAGGTGTTGCGGCGGTTCCCTCGTAATCGTGAATATCGCAGGTTGCGGAGGGGGATATGACTGCCCAGCTGCTGTGCGATACCTCGCCCATCTCTTGACCTCCCACTTGAGGATGCTACTGCGGAGGAGGAGACTGGGTCCAGCTCATGTAGGTCGAGTTCAAGGTCGGAATCGTGGTCATCGTCGGAGTCGGGGGCATTTGGCTGGTGGTATTGATGTGAGATCGACATGCTTCATGGGGTTGGGGCTGGAGGGAGGGGGAAGGGTATCGGATGTCTTGTCACAGACAGGTGGACTATGGGAGGTATTGTTCATTTAGAAACCGGGTATTCAAGATCATCAGCAGACATGTAGTTCACAGAGAGTAGGTCCAGAATAACTCTTGATGTTCGGAAGAGCGATATGTGGCCGCCTGTCCCATTGTGTCAGGTTGCATCAATACCAACTACTGAACCCTGACGGTGGCGCGGCTCCTGCCGGACGGGCCACCTTTCAACCAAATGATAATGAACTGATGGGTTCGTTCATCAATAGTGATCAACGATTCTTCAACTTTTATTGAGTATCGACATTCTTGAGATTCCTCGCTGCTTTCAACGGCATCAAATGCGATCTACACTCTGATTCGAGCGCGTTTAGGAGCGCCTTTCCTTTACTCCCTTTTCTTCCGACTCAGCACGCGGGTGCATTGTACTGCTTCTTGTAGGTCCTCACCCCGTCTTATCTGTCGCCATGATTTCTCTCCCAGGTGCTGATTGTCCTCAGGCTTTGGCTTCTCACTTAAAACAGCGTAATGGATAGCAATGGTGATGGCCAAACCTATACTTTCGCGAATGGTGGCGCTGCCTCATGGAATCCCGCCTTCAGACCCAACTCTAACAGGTCTCCTTTACCGGGCATGAATGGCGAAATCCTGGGAATCAAAAGTCAAACTGCGCCAACGAGCTCAAACACCATCGGGACTGCGGAGGAATATACAAGATCGAAGGAGGATGTGCATTATCCCCAGCCTGTGGTCGAGCAGCACGCCATTGCCGAGACTGCCGATGTCGATTTCTTCGATCGCAACGATTCGACCGCCGAGACAACTTCGACCATTCCTTCAATAACCCAGGAAAGCACTACTAAGGATGAGGATGCATCTGATTTGAATATCGAGGGCGACGGCGACGGCGATCGCGGTGTGTCTGCAAATCACACGTTGTCCGAAGACCGAGGCGCGCCGGCTGTCTCTTCGGATACACCTGCGGAGCCGTGGCCAGAAAGCGTCGGGCAAGAACCTTTGGAGGATATTGCATCTCGTTATACGGAAGACAGCGATGTGCCCCAACCCAAACCGACGGCGCCGTACGAACCCCAAGGTCAATCAACATTTCTAGCAGACGCGGTTGCTGAAGACCCCCAAATGCCTCTTGTTGCGGCAGACGCGGAAGAATCAACAATCGATTGGGGGAATGCAACGGATAACTTCCTTGGAGACGAACCGGCAGGTTTATCCTCAGGTGTGGATGCCGCGGAAGACCCCCAAATGCCTCTTGTTGCGGCAGACGTGGAAGAATCAACCATCGATTGGGGGAATACGACAGATGACTTCCTTGGAGACGAACCGGCAGGACTATCCTCAGGCGTGGATGCCGCCGTGGTGGATCATGCGATCTCGTCCGACGATGCTCATGCTGGCATTCACAGCTCAGAGCTTGAACCACAGATCAATACTTCTTCAGCAGTTGGAGAGCAACTTCCCCTTGAGCAGAATATGGCATCCGATAGTCATGAACAGACGACAGATTTCTTTGGGACCTTAGCGGACGAAAAGCTTGAGGGGAAGACGCAGCCTGAAGACGACTTTTTCGGGCAGGACCAGACTAAATCCACAGGCGCCGATGACTTCTTCTCCTCCGATATTACTCAAGATTCCGGTGCGGACTTCTTTGCTCAGCCGAAGATGGATACAGGCATACTTAAGGAAACCTCCGAACCTCAACCCCAGAAACCGGAGGACGAAACAAAGGCGCTTTGGGATGAGACCCTTGGCAATGATGATTTCCTCGAAGAGAACGGCGAATCCGGGTTCTTCCTCGATGAGGATGATGAGGGATTCTTAGAAGACGTCACAGAAGGGTCTGCTCTCCCAGCAGATGCTACTCAGCCAATTACTTCCCAGCCAGCTACTCCATTTACAGATGGATTAGGCATAACTGGGAATCGGTATGCTCCGCAGGATGCCCAGCAACAGCCGCCCCAGCAACCCCAAGCCCCGAACAACCTCTACACACCTCAAGCTCCCAATTTTACCGACCTGTCCTCGAAAGCCCCGGCATCCCAGCCGTCAATCGCCCAATCGCAGACTGCACCTCAACCCTCATATGGAGCGGTCTATGGGCAGACTTATCAACCGCCTCCCGCCCTTCCCAGCCAACCGGCCGCAGCCGTAAGCTTTGTTGACAAGTCAAGGGGAGGCTATGCATCGCCGTTCGACTTGCCCGAGGACATACCAGTACGTCGACGGAGACCGATGGCTTCCCCTGCGCCACCAGCCGGTGTCCACCCAACGGCCCCCCCTCCCCGAACTAGCAGTATAGGGACAAGTTCAATGCCAGCACCGCCAGCGATGGACCAACCATCCAATCTCCCTCCTCCCGGTTTCCCGACCCCCCCGTCGTCCAGCTCAGCCCAGTTCCCACCTCGAACTTCCACCACTCAAGATCGACCCGCATCCTCGGCGTCGGCCGGCAAGACGAGCTTCTTCGAGGATTTGCCGGTGGTCTCGCGTCCACGCTACAGCCCTCGTCCGCCCCAGAGCTCGAGTCCCTATCAAATGCAGCCTGGAAATGCGGCGCAAGGCTCTTTACCGACAGCTCCTCCACAGAATATGCCGCCCACGGCTCCTCCACAGAATATGGTGCAGCCCATGGCTCCCCCCCCCCCTCCGAGTTCTACAATGGATTTTACAGCTCAACTTCAGCGGCCGGAAATGGCTTCACCATACGCCGACCTTGATTCAAGCCAACCACGGGCCCCTCCCCATGTCCCTCAAACAACGCGATACTCGCCCACAAGCACGGCTCCGGCGCCAAAGCGGTACTCCCCTACGCCGCCTGTTCCCGCTCTACAACCAGGCGGACTTGCTCCAGCTTCGGCACCCCCAGTTCCCCAAACAGCGCAAAATCGCTATGTGTCCGCGCCTCGATCGGTCACTCAGTTTGCCCCCCGCACCTCAAGTCCACTCGCTCACCATAGCGCCGCACCCGAAGTCCAAACACAGCACACGCAGGAACCGCTCCGGCCACTCCCGGCGAATCACACGGCCAGTTTTCCTGTCAGGTCCGATGCACCAGTCACCCAAGCCCCCCCCTTCGCCCCACCGCGCAGGTCCTTGACCCAGTCTCCTGGATCTACCATGAAAGGACCGAAACCCGCGCCTGTTACTACTGAGAGGCCTGCTTCGGCACTCGAGCCACTGTCGCCGACTTTTGCGGAGAAGCCACCGTCCATGCATCTAGGTCGCAGACGAGGGTTCACGTTGCATGAGGATTTCATTGAACCGCAAGACGACAGGGTAGCTGATCCGCTGCAACGCTGGAAGGGTTATCCTGTATTTGCATGGGGGATGGGAGGGACCTGTGTCTCCTCGTTCCCTGTCCAGATCCCACGGTATGGTGCTGGTCATGCCACTCCCATGATTAAATGCGCGCTTGGAGAGGTCAAAACGAAGCATGTGGAGGATGTCCTGCCGCTACCCGATCGCTTAGCCAAATTTCCTGGGCCGCTCAAGAAAAATAAAAAGAAAGAAGTGCTGGCGTGGCTCAAGGCTGGTACCGATGCGATGGACAATGAGATGCGGTCGATGGGCGTCGAAATGCAATTGGGCGCCGACGGTATCACGAAGATGAACGAGAAGATCCTCTTATGGCGGCTCCTTGGCTTACTCGTCGAGCACGACGGTGTCCTCGAAGGGACCCCAGCCGTCGAACAAGCGACACGAAAACTGTTCACCACAGAAAACGTCAGCACCGCAGATGTGGCCACGCCTTACGGCATGAGGCCCGAGTCATCCGAGGCGCCTCGTTCAGGACCCGTGTTGGCCGAGTCGGCCGACTCCAAGGCGTTGTCAACGCTCCGGAAATTCCTAGCGACGGGCGAACGGGACAAGGCGGTCTGGTACGCCGTGGACCAACGTCTCTGGGGCCATGCGATGATCATCTCCTCGGCTCTGAGCCGCGATCTGTGGAAGCAGGTCGTACAGGAGTTCGTGCGAAAAGAGGTGCAGAAGGCGGGTCCCGGTAATGAAGCCCTTGGCGCCCTCTACGAAACGTTCGCGGGCAACTGGGATGAAAGCGTGGATGAGCTCGTGCCGATGTCTGCTCGAGCGGGATTCCAGATGGTCTCTAAATCGGAGTCAACTGGCGCCACCCGTAATCGCTTGGCCGGGCTAGACAAGTGGCAAGAAACCCTCCTCCTGATCCTCAACAACCGTACTCAAGGCGACCCTCAAGCCCTCCTGGGACTGGGTAAGCTGTTGATTGGGTATGGTCGAGTAGAAGCTGCCCATATTTGTTTCCTGTTCGCCAAATCTCTGACATATATTGGCGGCTCGGACGATCCGCGAGCACAACTTACTCTCGTCGGCTCAGACGCACACGTGCATGAAGCTAGCTTTGGGCACGATTTGGAGTCGATTATGCTGACAGAAGTATACGAGTTCTCATTGTCGTTGACGCCTCAAGCTCAAACCTTACCTCATTTGCAAGCGTACAAGCTGCACCACGCGCTGGTGCTTGCAGAGAGTGGGCATCGAAATGAGGCACAGCAGTATTGCGACGCAATCACGGCGATAATATCGTCGAAGACGAAGCCATCGCCATACTATCACCATACCCTAATATCCGTCCTCGATGACTTGTCGAAGCGGCTCTCCGAAGCTCCCAAAGAAGCGTCTTCGTCATGGATCTCGCGGCCGAATATGGACAAAGTCTCCGGATCGCTCTGGGAGAAGGTTGCCAACTTTGTCGCGGGCGATGAAAATGACGGCGCCTCCACTGGGTCCGGAGGGAAGAATGAAGTGGGTCCGTTCGCACGAATTGCGGGTGATACTCCGGCGGTCAGTCGAAGTGCTTCACACACCGACCTTTACGGTGCCGCATATGGGAACAATGGAGCTCCGCTGCAGCCTTCGACGAGCTTTAATGCCAAATATGCTCCTGGAAATGCCACGGCTCGCTCTTCCATGGAGAGTGCGAAAGGGCAGTATCGACCACATAGCGCTGCACCATTCCAGGCCGCTCGAACCTCAGCCGAGTCGCCGCCAGGCCCCTATATGCCGAGAGCTGGCTCGGAATCTCCAACTATGCACCATCATCTCCCCGGCCAGTCGCAGCAGACATCGTCTTATGCGCCCGTCTCCGCACCTTCTCAAACCAACGGCACAAGCTACCGACCACAGTCATCCGGCTACCGACCACAGTCCTCAGGCTACACGCCTCAAACCTATGCACCCTCGCCTCCGGTGGAAACGAGTGTGGCAGAGGATCTGAGCGTTCAGCCTCCGACACTTCAGCAAGCACGGTCATTCGAATCGCACGCATATGTTCCGTCCGTGGTCCTAGAGGAACCCACTACCGCGGCATCGTTCGAGGGTCCGCCCTCTCGAGTGGAACTATCCGGACCCCCAACTCTGGACCTCCAGGAGGATGTCGAGGGACCTGCGGAGACGTTTGGCGGCGGTTACGAACCCCCGAGTTACGAACCTCCCACCAGCTCGTACGAGCCGCCCACCTATCAACCATACGAGCCCGAACCTGAGACGCAGAAAGAGGAAGTAGAGGAGAAGGCCAAACCCAAAAAGAAAGGAGTCATGTATGCTGATGAGGAAGATGACGATGACCTTGCTCGCCGGGCAGCGGAGCTCAAAAACCAGCAGCGTTCTCAAGCCGACGACCAGGCAGATGAAGCATTCCGAAAAGCTGCCGAAGCTGACGGTAAGATGCCTCGCAATACAATCTACGACAAGTGCTAACAGTCCTCGCAGCCAAGAAAGCCGCTGGAAAACAAAAATCGGGCTGGTCCCTCTGGCCGTTCAAAAAGGACCCCAACCGCGCCGACCTCGGCGAAAAGCTCTCCCTCGTCTGGGACCCCGAGCTCAAGCGTTACGTGGATAAGTCCAACCCGTCCGCCACTCCCGCCCCAGCCACATCTTCCACACCGCCTCCACCTCGAGGTTTAGCTCCCCCTTCCCGAGCAGCCAGCGGCTCCAGTCTAGCTCCTCCCCCAAGCGGGACGCCGCCCCCAGGTGGCGCGCCGGGGATGGCGCGCAGCGTCAGTTCCGGAGCTCCACCGACGAGCCATCCGAGTACATTGCCCGGTCCGCCGGTGAGCGCATCCGGCCCGCCGTCGCGCACAGGAACCCCGGCAGGAGGTCCTCCCGGCGGGAAGTTGCTGGGCGGTCCTCCCAGCCGGCCGCCGACGAGATTGAGCGAAGCGAGCTCGATCGATGACCTGCTTGGGGCGGCGGGGGCAAGAAAAGGGGGAACGGTGAGGGGGAAGAAGAGGGGGGGCCGATATGTGGATGTGATGGGCGCCAATACTAAGTAACGAAGCAAACGGTGGATGACGGCGGTTTTAATCGGCTCGAACAGGCGGACTGGGATTTCTATCGCCCATGGAGGCCAAAATGCCGACTGATTTTTGTACCGGCGTTGGAAGCAATTCTTAGGGTCGTACTTCAACCGACCTGGGTTCTCCTCTTGGTGTAGAGCACCACTGATATCACTGTACTATACCTCACTTGTAATTCATTATACGTCCCTGAAGAATATGGGATGTTTGGAACGTTTCCTTGGTCGTCACGTTATTCGATGGCATCGCCAGGTACCGTCCAAAGTCAATGCACAGTTATTGCACGACCAATGTTTAAGTTCTAGTGGAAAGTTGGTTCTATTCCTATTTTTACCATCGTTGTCATTAGGGTGTCGCCATTCGCCATCTGATGCGGCCAAGAAAAATATTCTTCTTGGGCCTGCGGCTCCGAGATGTGTCCAAACTCAAAAAAACGCAGTCGCTCATAATGCCATTATTCCAGTCATTACATTATCCCCAGCAGCACCACAACCACCATCATGACCGATGCCGCTAGCCATCATATTGTACCAACCTGACGGCTGCGCCTCCATGGGCTACTTGAGTGGTGTACATCGCTCGGCCTTTTCCAAAATCTGCATGGAACATCATTCGCCCACCATCTATGACATCTGCACCTCCAGGCGCCGTTAATCCCATCATTCCGGTCTTCAATAGAGTGCCGAATCGGGTGTACGGTCCGCGGATGTCGTTCGCCGAAGCCCAGCGAATGTCATAGCTTGGATCCGAGAAGCACCCGCTTGAATAGAACAACACATATGAGCCATCTGCAGCTTGGTGGATGGAAGGAGCCTCTACGAGTGGACCGTCCTTGTCAGTTCGATCAAGGATTTGTGTTGCTTTGCCTTGCTTGGTGACCCCATCCGCTGCAACGGCTTGGAGCATTATCGGAGTGGGTTGAATGGGTGGGATACCGTTGTTGCAAGCGCCGCCAGACCCGAGTGAATTGCCGTCGATTTTGTAGACGACATACCGCTGGCCAGAGACGTCCTGAAATGCAGATGCATCGATGGCGCCTCCACGCTCCAACGCGCAGGCCCAGGGCTCAGGGTCGGGGTCGTAAGGGCCAGTGATATTGTCCGAACTAGCTACACCAATGCAGTGAAATCTGGGGTCGGAAGCCATCGAGGCAGCGTAATAGAGTATATAGGTGCCATTGTCCTACTTCCGTAAGATTCTGCTAGAGAGATAGTACGGTAGCAAAGGTGGGAAATCCTTACCAAGCATGTAACGGAAGGTGCCCAGACAAACGGCATGGGTAGATTCACCCAACGGGGCAGATCCGGAAGGGCGTCGTCGACGATGCGCTCCCACTTGTCGAAATCCCGTGAACGAGCCATTTGAATATTGACCGACTGGTTTTGGTTGCAGGTGGCGAATGCGTGCCAGAAATCGACGTCCCGATAAAAAGCCGGATCGGCGAAGTCTTCAATGATGACGGGGCCGTTGACCATTTCCGGATGCTTGGTCGGCGTTGAGGAAACGAATATGAATGGACGTTCAACAGCAAGGAGAAGTGCAAAGAGCTGTTTCCAATCCATCTTGGATCTAGTATTGAGACAGAAGTGTTGAAGATATAAATGAGATTGCGGAAAGATAGCGAGACTCTGACAGAGTGGCTTTGAGAGAGTGAGACTCGGACTTGGAGAAGAGGATACGTAAAGCAGAGAGAGAGGAAGTCTATGGTATAACATTTAGGGGGGCTGTAAAGATGAAAAGGGGTTTCCTGGTTTCAAGTGAATGTAGAATAGCGCGAGCGCCTGGATACAATATCAACTTGGATAGTAGATGAAGGCACTGAAATTATATACCAGTCATCACCGCAGGGTGGCTGGATGACTGAAGAGAGAGCTCGGAAGAATGAGAGACGACGAAGATGATCAAGAGGATCAATGGACCTAACCCGAGGGAGATGCAGACGGGATACAATATAACGTCGGATGAGGCAGGAGAGTTCCGACACTCTAGGCAGGCTCCAGGTATAGCGGCTTTCCATTGCAAGATCCAGCGCTACTGCAGTTTTGCATTGGCAATATCATTAACCACTCTGAGGCGAGCCATCACTGGAGCCCGAGGTGCAATGAGTGTCATCGCATAGGTGCAGCTTGGGGGTAGGGTGCTGGCATTCTGGATGGTTAATTGACTGTCGTTCCCAAATCACGTCTTGAAGCAGTTGTTGGAGGACAGGAAATTAACAGCCGTGAGGAACAATCGATGCTAGCCGTTCCATCCTTCCTCTATCACGCAAATTTCCATCCTGTTCTTGCTCCCCGTGTAGTGCCACCGGACCGAGACTTAAGCAAAAGCGGAAGAAGAAAGTTGAGAATGATAATTAAGGAGACCGCAGGTGAAGCAATCACTGAAAGACATAGATAGGGGCTCAAAGGAAACAAAAGCATCTCGCATCTCGCATTTATCCTTTTACCACTGTGCTCGCTGCCTTATTACTATGCGGCAGATAACCCTGTCATCGAGGAAAGGTCGACAGCGGGAAAGTTGCATCGCAACCCGTCTGAGGTCAGTGTATTTCCTGCGGTGGCATCGATAGGGGACATGAGTCCATTAATCGTTGCCGCGAGCGATGAATTGATGGTTGGAACCAGTAAAATAACGCTGTGACATGGAGCTCGCAAGAAAGAGTCCATGATGAAGCCCAGGGCAGTTGAAAAGGAGAACAGAAGTGTAGAACTGCGCCACGATTCGGTGCAGGCGTCAAAGTTAAGGCATCAGATAGATAATTAAACTTAACAACATCAAACAAACATTGCTCAAAAACATCCTGGTCAACGGCTTCCCCTCGGAACTAGTGCAAAGCGAAATACGACGGTTGAAGCGATTGGAGATGTAAGAAGTATAGAGATGAAGTTCTCGCACTATCAGCAGTGATATATATCTACTCCCGAGTCATATTTTGGCAGGCTTTCATGTCAACTCTGTGGTCTACGACTCGAGAAGTTCTTTGCCGAATTCCGAATGTCATTGTACTCCCGCTTCCACATGGCGTGTAGTCTACCCTAGTTTAAATTCTACTAGACTTGGACCTCGTAAGTTCTTCATATACCGCTTCCTCAAATTCCTTGTACATGGCCGCGGATTTGACATCCCCTGTGGGTATGATGTTCGTTGCCCAGCACCCGCAGGACTCGGAAACAGGATCCATCCACTGTGAAGCTCGTTAGTTTCTAGTGGAGAGGGAAGGGTTAATCTACTCACCCAGAACAAGTTGGGCAGTCCACTCCAGCTCATGGAACCCTTCCTTCGCCGTCCAGGGACCTCTTCCAATGACAACAGGCCACCCAGTCCCCAATTGATTGCCGTCTCGCCAGGCAACGCTCCCATGAGCTGTGCAATTATGCCTGGCTCTAGAAGCGCGCTGATGTGCTTCATCAGGTGGCTCGGGTCTTTGAGTTGCGGTGTAAACATCTGCTCTACCGACTCCTTCTTGAGGATCTTCTCATCATTTCGCGTGATACTCACGAGAACCTTCACGTAATTCGTTGGATTGGTGTAGATGCCTTCGCCTCCCATGTCTTCCCACTCCGCTTTGCGGTCAAACATCGTCGTCGTCGTCAATGTCGAATCACCTGGAGTGGCTCTCAGCAGCATTTCGACCAGGTTGGATTCCACGGCAGGGTCCCTGCTCGGGTGGAACGTGGACTGCTGGACTCCAATCGGAGCAAAGACATATTTGGCCAGGTAGTCGCCCAGTCGCATGCCACTGATGCGCTCAACCACCTGTCCTGCCCAGTCGACCGACTGGCCATAGTGAAAGTCCTCACCTGGTTCGAACAGGAGGGGCCAGTTATATTTCTCGTTCTGTGATATATCAGCTTAAGTTTTCCTAATTGTAGTGACAATCCGCGAAAGGCAAGAGCCAGTTGAATTACGTACAACCGTAGGTGCTGTCATTTTAGCTTGTTGACCAGTGGCTTCGGCATACGCCATGAGATTGGGGCTCATCACCGTATAGCCTAAGCCTGAGGAATGCGTAAGGAGATGCCTAATACGCTTTCAGTGGTTGCCTTGCTATAGGATCGGAAGAGTACTCACCTCAGGGTTATCTTGTTCTTTGCCGGCACCAACGTCGGCTTCCCATCTTCCACACGGACCAAGATTTGAGGATCTTTAAATTCAGGCAAGATCCGTGAAATGTCTTCATCAAGGGTCACCTTGCCTTGCTCGAGGATCTGCATTGCTGCAATGGTGGTCAGCAGCTTGGTGCAAGATGCGGCCCAGAAGGTTGACTCGAGGTCAATCGGTGGAGAGTCGGCGCCCAGCCCTTTGAACCCGAACGAGTTGTCATAGTTGAAGCGTCCTATATCACATCAATTAGTTGAGGTTTTGTATAAAGCGTGATAGGTCTCCTGGAAGTCGTACTGCTTCGAGCCGATACCACCACCCCGGCCAACTCCTGCTTCTCCTTCCCCAACTCCCCAGTAGCTGCTCGCACCTTCTTTTCGAATTTTTCCATACTGTGATATTGAACGGCTCCACAATGTCGGAAGTTCCATCTTCCCAATTATGGCGACCCAGACCTTTTAAAGCTGAGCAGTCTGGTTTAGGCTGAACGATAGACCGCTTGCTCAAATGCGGAGGCTAGCCTACCTCGGTAGTGACTAGGCGGTGACCTTTAAGCTTTACCTCATCTGTCAGTTCATCTGACGGAAAATGGGGCAGTATTTCTATTTCTATTCCAAATCAGAACTCAAATTCATGGTTTGTGAATTGTGGAGTTAGATTTGCTAAGTTGGCAAATGAAGTCAGCTGTATGTATAATAATGTATGTACTAATTACGTAGTAGTCAAGGTATTAACTGTACCTTCAACTGGAACTAGCCTCACGTCTGGAAGGACCCCAGGCTGAATCCCGATCTACTCTTAGGGCTTAGCAATCCAGTTGGCCGATTATAATAGTGCCAGTTTACTAATGCGGCGTCTATTCTTACAATCAGTCGTCAGGGAGATCGGCGGGTGCGGATGTTGGCGGCGCAACGAAAATTTGCTCGATTCGGCCCCGTAAAGCCAATATCAAGCTACTAAATGGACGGTCGAGTGGTGATATCGTCACCAGCAGTTCTCTAATCTAATCTCTCTCTTGCGGCCTCATTTCAGTCCTAGCACCATGGACGGTATATGGGATAGGACTCGTAGATTCAGCATTCAAAAGTTAATTATATTCAAGAATATAATACAAATGCTGCCAATTGGCAATAAATGTACATGCGTACGACGCAGAGTCCTGTAAAGCAGTGCCCCAGAAATCACCGAGGCCATCAAGAAGTGAAGACAGACATGTCACAGCCAAAGCCGCCCGCTGCTATAATCCCTCTTCGTTGTGTTTCATACATTCAGGTTGCCCCTCAGAATGATTCCACGAATTTCCTGGCGTGGCTTCGGCGACGGAGAGGAGATTCCTTGCCCTTGAAGAAGCTCTTGAGGGCCCCGTAGAACTCGACGATCTCGGTCAGGGTGTCCACGTCGAGGTCGCCCGGGAGAGACGGAGCGCCCACGGTCGGCTTGGGCCCAGGGACGCTCGGGGTGGACGGTACGGGCGCAGGGGCGCTAGGCGAGGCACTAGTGGACAGGGTAGTCGGCTTGGGGGGGTTGACCACCTTGGTGATGGACGGTTGCGGAGCAGCGGAAGTGACAGGCTCAGGGGTCGGGCTGCCGCCGGAGCTGCCGCCTGAGCCGCCGCCTTTGTACGGAGCAGGCCCAGGAATAGTGTAGTCCTTGAGGTTCTGGTAGATGTTGACGGTAATGCCTGGATCGGTAGCCTTGTATAGGGAGGTGGCCACAACACCTTCTGGGGTCGCTGAACCGGAGCCGCTGATATCAAGGTTGACACATTGAGGATAGTTTTGAGCACCGTTCGACTGGCCTGCGGAATGCAGCGCAATGATCTCATGACGAAGGACGTATTTACCAGGCTTGATGTCGGATGGGATGGTCACGCCCCATGTGTTATTGTTGGCCAAAAGTTCATCCGCACCCCACTTCCCAGGAGACTAAAGTATGTCAACGCAAGAACTTCAGTTTGAACGCGAAACATACCTGAGAGCCATCAACCAACCCAACAGCATCGATTTTGAAGAACTTCAGAGCTGACTTCTGCACGGTGGTACAATCTCCAGCACAGTCGGCAAGATAGTCAAGGACCGGCCCATGGTGGGATTCAGGCCATGTGTTCCATTGCAGCTGAATCTCCGAGCCGGCCTTCACAGGCACGTAAAGTTTTGCGTTTCCAGCACCTAAGGACGTCAGTCACCTGTCTCATATACCAGGGAACACACTGACTCTTATGGCAGGCAATATCCAAGTTGTTATACGAACTCGGCTCGACGAAGCCGTTGTCCTGTGCCAGAGGGACCGACCAACCGATTGCATCCGGGACTGGGTTCCGATATTGAAACTCGGGCTCGTAGTTTTGGTGCCAAACCCCGTCGGCTACCACGCCAGTGACGTGGCCGTGGGCGGCCACAGCGGCCGCCAGTGCGGAAAGAACGGAAACGGTCTGGACGACAGACATCGCGACCTGAGGACGAATTTCCCGAGTTCGTGGGGATATCAAATGGTAGCAACGGAGAAGCCGATGCTAAGTAGAAGGAAAGGAATCAGACTCGCTGACTGAAGGAGTGACGGAAAGAGTGAAATGGTCCCGGACCGAAAGAATGATACTGGCTGCAAGTGCAACTTTCAATTGAAGGGGAGCGAAAGATATAGGTAGAAGGGGAGGTGTGGTTACGTCCACCCTCATATATAGAGATTGTTCCATTGTACCAATCCTCTCACCAACAAGGGCTAGGTACATGAGCAAGGACCGAAGCACGTTCGATAGACGAGGAGGCCAGCGGTAGCGCAACATGCATCTCAAGATGAAGGGAAGAACGCCTCTTTCTTGGAGAACGAGGAACGAATTCCACCTCTCATATTGTCCGAAACGTCCCGGATATTACCCCAAAGCTTAACGGGCGTGTCTTGCAGACACTGCGACGGGACAGCCAATGGACAATGGGGGAGCCAGGAGATAGATGGTTTCAAAAAAATGAGACCTGGAGACGTCACCACCCATGCCAGCGCTATGTGTTCGACTCAACGAGAAGGTTTGAATCAAACCAAGTTAGACTGCAGGGAAAACCATGGTAGTCGGTATGTACGGGCAAAAGGATGAGATACCAGCGCCTCGCCGCGCAGTCTAGGCTGTCAAACAACTCGACAGGGATAAGAGATTCATCTATCAGCCGAGGCGGGCGAAATGAAAGCGACGAATCAAAATAGATTAAATTAAATTTAATCCTGCTTTCTGGCCTTGCTCGTTTGATTTACATGCTCCAAAAATAACGAATAAGGAATACTATGGTTACAGGCAAAAGTAGAGGACTTTACTTATAGCCATGCTTTCGTGAGAAGATGGAGTGTGGTCGGACTGAAACTTTGGATTTTCGCAGAGCATCCAGAGTACGAAATACGAAAACGCGGCCTGACTTCAAGCCAAATGATTAATACCACGACCTGAGTGCCAGTCGTATCGATATTTCGCTAGGCCGTGCCAGACTGGAAGGGAAGCCCCACCAATTTCGGTCTGATTTCCCATTCCACGAGTTCTTCACAGAAACCGTAACATATCATGAAAGCACGACATGATGATGAACAACATGCATATTGTGCAAGATTCCAAACGCCCGCCTAGGAGCCGATATTGTTCCGTTTGGAGTGCCGGGCCCCGGGGTCTGGGCAGTGGACAGCGAACACCCAGTGTTTCATCCATCGATTGCGGCGACCGTTGCATGATTCTGTCTTTCTGATGGCAAGGAAAGACCGGCATCCCCCCGCCTTGCGATATCAAAGATGCGACTCCACCGAGCTCTACCGTCAACTGCCATCACTTCATCAACGCCGTGTTTCTTGATCGTCCTGGACGTGGGATCAAACCCATGCCTATGCCCATGCTGTTCTCGCGCTCATCCTGAAGTTCTGAAGCAACCGCAATTTTTCCAAACGCCCGCTGTTCAAGCGGCGAATCGAACCGGAAATTGGGATGGTAATTCTTCCGTTTAAGGCTGATAGGTGCACTCGTCGCATGAGATGGAGTGATCTCTCACTTCATAGTTCGTGGTTATCACGGTGGAAGAAGCCGATGACCAGGTCTCGCGAAGGCACGCCGCTGATCCGAGTATATGGTTTGACAATTGACAAACATGATCCTGCTCAAATGAAGGACGATACGGAGAGTAGGGGCTTGGATAGTTGATACAGGTACCGTTTCGATTACCCCACGTCGTAGTTCGTATAGCGCGGTCCAAACCGCCAACCAATCCTGAATACTTCCAGGAATAAAAGCCTCCTGGTTAAGCGTGTGCGATGGAGAAATATGCCGCTCGGTCTTCAATGGTACCTGATAATGTCGAGGCATGAAGAAACCGGGAAACGCTCCCAGTCTCGGGCGATGATGCCGTTCAATGCCCCAATATGCCCTTCTATAGCCCTAAATCCGAGCCAGCCTAACGATAACCATCGAGTCATCCTCGGCTCGGGGCCGTTTGCAGGTTTTCCAGCTCAAGGATGGTCTCCTCTCGGCACCAGTGACGAGGTTGCCCTAGATTTCTAGAGTCAAGACAGTATGTGGCATTGCGCAGCCTCTGGAAGTCTGGATTCCTTGCGGGTACATGTACTCAACCATGTTACGGCTCGTCCGACGACGTGATTCTCTCCCCAATCCCGAAGGGAATGCTAGATGTGGTGGGGTCCAGGAATCACTCTGGGCTTGAGACTGCTTCCTAACCAGAGAGGATATTAAGTCTAGGTACAATGCCAGCGAGAAACGGGTACGGTGGCAGCGCCTTGAAATATCTATTAGGGCTTCAACTGAGCATCTTCTGTGCCATGCATTCATATCATGCGGTTGCTTTAACCAAGGAGACGTATTACAGTCCCATTAGGAAAATGATGTGCGAGAAGCATTGCACCGATATCCATTCTCCGAAGGTTGACAGCCAAGTCTACGAGAGGACGAATTCAAGGACGAGGACATCTCGGTCTCCAGTCCTTGGATTCAACAAACAAGTCGAAATTCCATGTCTTTTGGGTACCATAGCCCGGAATGACTTCACCTTTATGGGATATTGGAATAGGTCTCCAGACTCTGGTCGAACGGATTATGGATATGAGGTGGCATGTCCCAAACTCCAAATTGGAGATAGATCGAACTGCTCAAACCAGGAACCTCTTTTATCTTGCGTCTACCAGGTCCGCCTAGAGTATCTATTAAGGTCATATATAGTTTGATGGATGAACGACAGGAAGTAGATGTGGATGGCATCTCCATTATCACATTATGAAGTGAGGCTCAAAGAGCGGGTCCAAGCGTCCGCCTCTCACAGACCCCGGAACTGCAACTCATGAAGCTTCAAGTGTTGACGAATGCTGGTGGTTGCCTCAACTTGCACTGCTCCTCATATTGTCACTTCATTAAGTCACCGACTCTAAACCGTTACAAACCCAGAAATCCCAGTTAAAAACAACAGGACAGTTTTTCATCCACCAAAATGTTCATAGCACGGTCCGAATATGGTGAGTTGTCTATGCCCGTCCTCATGCTCCAAACAGCTAACAGCAGCTGGTAGACCGTGGAATCAACACCTTCTCGCCAGAAGGGCGGCTCTTCCAAGTCGAATACTCCCTAGAAGCAATCAAGCTCGGATCAACGGCTATTGGGGTAAACATCCCTTCTTACACATAACCTCTCGCCCTAACCGTCCCTAGGTTGCAACCAGCGAGGGTGTCATCCTCGGCGTCGAGAAACGAGTGACCTCCACTCTCTTAGAAACCTCCTCGGTCGAGAAGATCGTCGAGATCGACCGACACATCGGATGCGCCATGTCGGGCCTGCAGGCGGACGCGCGGTCCATGGTCGAGCACGCCCGCGTCGAATCACAGAACCATTCGTTCCATTACAACGAGCCGCTACGGGTCGAGAGCTGTACGCAGGCCATCTGTGACCTGGCCTTGCGGTTTGGCGAAGGCGCGGATGGCGAGGAGAGCATCATGTCTCGACCCTTCGGTGTTGCGCTGCTGATTGCTGGATATGACGAGGATGGACCATCGCTGTACGACTTTGACGCAAGATCGCTGGATTGATGGAGTTACTGACGGAACTATCAGATACCACGCCGAACCTTCGGGTACGTTCTATCGGTACGACGCGAAAGCCATAGGATCCGGCTCCGAGGGAGCCCAGGCGGAACTTCAGAATGAATTCCACAAGTCATTGACCTTGCCCGAGGCGGAGGTGTTGGTGCTGAAGACGCTTAAGCAGGTGATGGAGGAGAAACTGGACGAGAAGAACGTGCAGTTGGCCAGCGTGACGAAGGACAAGGGCTTTAGGATCTATACGGATGCGGAGATGGCGGAGGTCGTGGGCAGGTTACCGAAGAACTAGACGTCACGTTGATTTGGGGATCCTGGGATTATCTACGAAGCTGGCGCGTTCGGCAAGGCGTCTCGTCACGTACTTCCTCATCGGTCCTCCTGTCATAGGGAGCGCGCACATCGAATGAGATTTACAGTCAAGATTCGCTCTATAATGGTTTATCGTAATGGTACATGGTCCGGCTTCTATGCACAGCAACGTTGTCTTCCGACCACGAACTTTTCACCCCATGGACAGGTAATCCACCGATGTCCACGTCCGCTCAGAAGGGGTTGTCTTCCGGAGCAATCTCGCGCTTGAATTTGTGGCCGATGAGAGGAAGCTTTTGCATGATATCAACGCTGACCCGGGGCACGTCGGCGAAGAAGAAGAGAGCGAAGAAGCCTAGTGATGCGGCCATGCCGCCTCCAATGAAGGACCTGGAATCGGAAGTCAGTAACAGATTCTAATAGTCCATGTATTTGATCCGGCCGTCGATCGTGACAACAGTCCATCAAAAGATGCAAGTAAAGAGTATCCACATACACATTCCACAACTGGTCCTGGGTGATCCCGTAAAGGTTGAATTGCGTCTTATATCTACCGCATGTCAGTCGAATTACGCATCTGGCACGTCCATATTCCTCACTTGGGAGCGAAAGGCGATCGGTACGAGGTCGATGCAAAGCGTCTTGCGACGACGGGTTGCTGGCTCAAAGCCCGGCGAGTGAGGGCGTGTAATCTCTGGTTCGGGGGTCAATTGTGAGGCTCCATGCATCTCAAGGGTATCGCTTACCATTTTCAAGGTCGCTGATGAGAGGGTTGCAGTCGCGGGTGCGTTCTACTTACTTCAAGGAAAGGATTGACGTGCAAATGAATCTGATTGAAGTCGTTCGGGTCCAATCGCGATGCTTGGCCGAGGGATCGATGATCACGTGATGATCACACCACGCCCAACTTCATCTCCAAAGAACTTCGACGTAGATCTTCATCCAGCATCATTTCAATACCTTTCACGTATCATGGAGCACTAGTCAGTGCAAGCTTCCGCTTAAAGCTGGTAGCAGTTTAGTTTATGAACTTGGCTACTAGATATCCGACGACGACTATGTCCGCTTTGCTCCATCCTTAACCCCGAACGACTATACAATACTGAAGCAGCTCGGCGTACAAGGTTGAACGTGATGTATCGCACTCCTGATCATTGACACGAGCAGTGCCATTGAGGAGGAAACTATATCGGTCGCCGGTGGCACACACGTTGATATTGCCGTCGCGGAGGTGATGAGATCGAGGTACAGTGTATCAACGGCCAATGTCTCTGTGCTTACTACTTGATGATCAATGGCCGATCCTCTGATTGGTTGAATCCCGTCATGTTGCCTCATGCAGCATGCGTGGAGTTACGAAATCATAACGGATCTGCCCTGTCGGAAGCATCCTCAGTCCAATCACTCTGGCCGTAGACTCTTTTCTTAGCAACGGATTTCCCGGATCCGAGAAATGCCCTGTTTTGATGATCTGCTTCCGGTCCCGATATCCTGTTTCATGCTATGTTGGCGTTGCAGAACGGCTATCCATAATAAAGTCAGGAGGGGTTGAACGGACTCCGACTTTAGATCTATGTTTGATATGAGTAGAACTGTCTGCCCTGTAAGTTGACAAACCGATTACTCCTCAAGTCCGTCCTAGTATCTCCATAATGGCCGCAACTGTGGTCGAATTGCCTCCTGTAAGGGAGATGCCATCATCCATTCGAGACCCAGAAACCACAAGCCTGGACGAGACCATACCACCCCGCTACTCCACCCACCTCTTCGACGATACATATGTCCATAGCATCCTCTCCAACCAACCTCCACCACGATTCTCCCGCGTCTACCCCAATCCCTCCCCCCTCGATGACCCCTCAACGAACCCAAATCAACCTCCACGTTTCTCCCGCCTCTTCCCCCAGAGCAGCCCCACTTCCGTACCACCCTCCGCCTCACTATGGTCACCCGCAGGAAAAACCACTTTATCGTTATCCAATGCCTATATCTACCCACCCGACCACAGTACCCCTCTCTACCGCCTCCCACGTACCCTAACCTGGCCCGGCAATGAGATCTCTCTGCAGATCAGCACGCCCGCCCGGACCCGGACCCCCAGCGAGCCGCCGCAGTACAAGGACCGCAAGCTGTACACGATGCGCAAGCGACCGTTCACAACCGAAGTCACGCTGCAGCCGCACAAACTGGGAGCCAAATCCGCGACAGTGCGGAGCAAACGCAGCCTCCTGGGCGGGGTCAGCTGGGAGGTGGAGGTCAAAGGGTCGGGCGTGATCTGGAAGTCGTCGAAGGGGAAATGGAAGGATGCAAGGAATGGGCGGCTGGTGGCGGTGGAGGGCACGGGGATGGGGGTCGAGGGGACGGACGTCGTGGTGGTCGATGAGTTGCACTGCTTGAAGCGGTTCGATCAGGTCCTCCTCGACCTGATTGTCGCGGCGTGGTGTACGAAGATGTGGCAGCGGAACACAAAGGTGCCGTTGATGCAGACGCTGATCTGGGGCGGGGGGTTCATCAATCCGATCAGGTCTTCCTCGACCTGATTGTCGCGGCGTGGTGTACGAAGATGTTGCAGCGGAACACAAAGGTGCCGTTGATGCGGACGCTGATTTGGGGCCGGGGGTTCATCAATCGCGAGATTCCAACCGCCCGCTCGGTCACACGGCAACTCGCGGGGGGCTAAGACGCATGAGAACTCGAAAACTTCATTTGATCTATCCTGATGTAACGCATCGGATAGCGATATCCTGCCCGACTCCATGCAGCGAGCCACTGTCAAAATCCCTGGCACCCATTGCCCAGCCTCTGACAACTCGGAGAAAAGAAGATGTAGCAAACGCTGGAAATATCAAATCGTGCCCGTCATCACTGGCACGGTCGCTATGAATGGTGAGCTAGCCCTGCTTGGGGCTCACCCGCATAAGACCCGCCGCCTCGCCCGCTGGCACCGTGAACGTCCCCAATGGCGGAAGTCGCCCCGAGCCGCGGGAGGTCCCTGGAACACTGCTTGCTCGGCCTTCCCTCAAATCTATTGCACCTGCCATGGAAGGGTCGAGTTTGCGCTTCTTCGGCTGCTTGCGCTCCTGCTCCTCACGCCAATCCTCCGTCTCTTCCGTAAGGTACTGCGTTACTTGATCGGACGCTTCGCCGAGCATCTCGTTCAGGTGGTTGTTCGAGGAGCGTACTAATTTGCCGTACTTCTTTCGCTGCTTCCGCTGTCGGTCGGGGTCCCAGACGGCGTGGTCTTGGGCGACGAAGACGAGCGAATGATGCCAATACCAGGTCGCGATGTTATCGTCGGTTGGTCGTCGCACAGACAGAAGCGCCTGGTTCGATATGAAGGATATGACACCGGTGATCTGGTCCGTACAAGTCTCTGTAGACAAAATTAGAATAGATACCAATGGAAGCGCCGGCCTGTGAACGTACCATTGGTTGAGATTAGATCAAGAATGCCGAGATAAGCCGCTCCCACACCCATAAGAAAGACATGGCTATTCTCATTCGGCCTATTCGTGTAAGCTGGGAATTCAAAGTGACCATCTTTATACTTACGCAACGTAGTTATCCCACAGGTAAGTGGCCATCTCTCGGGTCGCCAATCGCCTGTCTTCATCCGAATCGGTGTCCATGTAGCCTTGATCGTTCTGGTCGATGATTTAGCGTTTTCCGGCCTGAATACCTCTATCATAACTTACTCCATCTTCAGTAACGTGATACGGCACGTTCACGTCGATAACGGCGAAACCATGGTCGGTGGCCCACTGAATGTACAGCTTTGGAACATCAGTCTTGTTTAGGTGTCAGTGGGAGTCAACACATAGGAACAGCAGCCTTACCACCCAGGTGTTATGCAACTCTAGTTTGTTGGATGCCGGATGAGGGATACCAAGTGCATCTGGTGGATCATGGAAAATGATAAGAAGTGGTCGTTCGCTGTCGAAATTCTCACTGGAGGGGTATTAGCACTAACTCATGTCTCGACGGAAGAGGAGATTACTTACGTCGCAAGCACTTGGTGCTTGAAAGAGGGAGACAGTCGATCGCGGATAATCATGAGCTCCATCATCCTGAATTCATCATATAGCATCTTCGCTTGGTACGCACGAACGACATCATGCATCCGCTGAGCCCCAAAGTTCTCCATCAGGTCCTTGCTGTGGATGTCCTTGGGGTACAAACACTTCCAGTACCGGGATTGCGTATTCTTGACCAACTGAACAGTTTTGACGCCGGATGCAGTGGGGTCCGTGGTTGTGATGCGATCGGGAGGTTCGCCCATAAGAGTGCGAGTGACTGCCAGCGCAGATGTGGCGATGGATCGCAAGTTGTAGCCGCCCTCCAAAACGACTGCAATCTTCCCCTTCGCAATGGACATGAGCATGTGCGTCATATGAGCGTAGCCAGAAGGCGACACATGGCAGCCGCCGAGTTTATCGCCCTCCGCCGCGTCGAATCCCGAGGACACAATGACAAGGTCAGGGTTGAATTCCACGAGAACCGGCATGATGACCTGCTGAAATGCGTACAAGTAATCTGCGTCGGTCATTCCGTGAGTGCTCCAAGGAATATTCACACTAAACCCAACACCGGGTCCTTCTCCGCAATGTAAATGGTTTCCGTAAGGGCCAGAGGGGTAGAAGGTACCGTTCTTGTGGACGTGGAGGGAAATATATAGGACGTTCGGATCGTCGTAAAATGCTTGTTGAACACCGTTCCCATGATGCACGTCCCAGTCGATGATGGCGATTTTCCGGCACTTTTCGGGAAAGTCTTGTTGGCAGACCCGAGCTGCAATCGAGACATTGTTGAAGAAGCAAAAACCGGCTGGTTGGCAACGTTCAGCATGATGTCCAGGCGGACGGATAACGGCGACGGCATTTTTGACGTGGCCCTGTACAACGGCTCGGCAGGCTTCAATGGTGCCACCAGCTGCGAGTCGAGCACACGAGAATGTTTCGTGGTGAAGATAAACAGAGTCCATGGCCATGCCGTCCTCGAAAAGCTCCAAATCTGTCTTTTTCTGCAATCCCTCAACCCAATTCCAATGTTCCTCGGTGTGGAACAAGCACACTTCTTCCTTGGTAGCGAACCGTGCAGCGATTCGATAGAGATAATGGTCAGATATTGGGCCTTCCGAACCAAGAAGGCGATCGTAGGCGAGGCCACCGGCGACGAGCTCTTTGTAGATCTCAAAGATGCGGCGTGGGTCTTCTGGGTGCATATCATCTTCCATCTGTTGTCTGGAGATGATCTCAACATGCAGGCGCATCCGCACATCGTAGACCAGTCCAGATCGACGGGACGTGTAGGGTAGGGCTTCGGCTTTGGATGGCTTCTCAACGACGACTTGGACTTGCTGGGCTAATGGTGGTTGCTCTTCTTCAACATCTTCGAGCATATCGGGGTCATGAGAGATGGCGGACGTCGAACCACTGGACGAGAACTCCAACGGGGTCGGCTCTCTTGGCACTGCGGTCTTCAGAGGACTCGGTTGAATGGGTGGAGAATCGTGACCGACAGTGAGCCCATCTGAAGGATTGATTCCGTTTGTTTCAGTGGACTCCATGACATTGCTGTCGGCCATGACTTGATCCATCTCTTCCTCCATCATCGGGGGCCCCACTTTGGTCTTGGAGCCCAGCCTCGACTTCCGATCATGAGATTTCTGCCATGCTGTAACCATGCTTAGTTTAGAGACTCGCTTTCGAACTTTCTTCATTTTGGTTCAGGGAAATGGGTGGTTGACTAAGGAATGAATGCAAGAAGGAAAGAAGATGTATGTGGAGAGTGGAGAGTTGACAGATGGGTGACAGAAACAGGTTCATGTGTAGTAGTGACAATTTGAACTCGCTTATTTGGTGAAGGAAGGTGAATATGAAGCAGGTAATCCAGGCGACTGAAATCAACAAACATTCATCCATTGTCGAGGGGACATGTGCGCGTGAAAGTGAAGGACGATTTGCAACAGACAACAGTTGAACTTACTGCAAGTAGCCACGGATCGCTCGACGATTAGCAGGACGGTAATAGAACGAACAGGAATTCACAATCCCAATTCAAATGGAAAGTTCAGACTTCTTAATCCAACCGTACCAACTACCTAATTTCCAAGGATCTCGAAGAACTGTGAAGACATCGCCATTCATGTTACGGACTGGCGATTCAGTTAACATAAAGGTGAACCTGAGAGGCACGTGATGCGTATGTGGCGCAGCAGCGATAAACGCCACAAGTAAAGCCACAATTGAACCTCAGGGAGGAGTTACGAGTTCACTTCATCGTACAAAATCAATTTGATGTTGCGTCAGGATTCAGTCGAGTCTGGGACCGGAGATCCACTGAATAGACTATCTCAAGCTCATTGATGTGACGTCTCTATTCAACTCAAAAACAACACGAATCCTATGCACCGTCCAGCACAATGGCTCTCAACACGTGGATACTGTATTCTACCCTGCAGTTAAAATGCCTTTCCAAGGCTTAATTGCATAGAGGAACCACTGACATAAAGCGAGAGACGGGGCAATGCATCACAATCCAATAAGCTATTTGTTGTTGCAGACAAGCGCAAATCAATTTGGCGAGTGTTCATTTTCATTCTCCCACGATGAAGCTACATAATAGATGACCTGGATTGCATCGCGTTTCGAACAGGCTGAAGTAGCTCAAGTCATTTTCTATTCGTTGTACGCCATTCGCATATCACCGTGGCCAACGACTTGTGGTGCTCATTACCCACGGAGGACCCGTCTCCAAGCAAATCGCCTGATGAGGGTGGATTTTGAAGTTGGGTGGACCGTTTAAGCCGCACCATCAACCTTGGCAATGTAGGCTACACGCTATTAGTATGGAACCCCGATATATGAAAAACGAGTAGAACTTACCAAGGAGGTCGACCACACGGCGGGAGTAGCCCCACTCGTTGTCGTACCAGGAAACCAGCTTGACGAAGTTGTTGTTGAGGGAGATACCGGCCTTGGCATCGAAGATGGAAGAGGCGGTGTCGCCGATCAAGTCGGATGAGACGATCTCGTCCTCGGTGTATGCAAGGATTCCTACAGGAGATTAGCTATTTGGACAGGTTAAATCAAAATGGTCACATACCCTTGAGCTCGTTCTCGGAAGCCTTCTTGATGACCGCCTTGATCTCGTCGTAGGTGGCACCCTTCTCGATACGGCAGGTCAGGTCAACGACGGAGACGTTCGCGGTGGGCACACGCATGGACATGCCGGTGAGCTTGCCGTTGAGGTCGGGGATGACCTTGCCGACCGCCTTGGCGGCACCGGTGCTGCTCGGGATGATGTTCTGAGCGGCCCCACGGCCACCTCGCCAGTCCTTGGCGGACGGGCCGTCGACGGTCTTCTGGGTGGCGGTGTACGAGTGGATGGTGGTCATGAGGCCCTCGATGATGGTGAAGTTGTCGTGGACGACCTTGGCGAGGGGAGCCAGGCAGTTAGTGGTGCACGAGGCGTTGGAGAGAACCTCGATGTCCGAGGTGTAGGACTTCTCGTTGACGCCCATGACGAACATCGGGGCGTCGGCCGACGGGGCGGAGATGACGACCTTCTTGGCGCCACCCTTCAAGTGGGCCTTGGCCTTCTCGGTGGTGGTGAAGACACCGGTGGACTCGACGACGTAGCCGGCACCGGTCTGCGACCACGGGATCGCACCGGGGTCACGCTCCTGGTAGAAGGCAATCTTCTTGCCGTTCACCACGAGGTTGTTGCCATCAACATCGAGGGTACCCTTGAAACGACCGTGGGTAGAGTCGTATTTCAACATGTAGACCTGTCCTGCATGAGTTCCTTGACCCGCCTCTAGGCATAGGATTATGACGTACCGCATAGTGAGGCTCAATGAAAGGATCGTTGACAGCAACGACGTCGACCTCGCCAGCCTCAAGGCTAGACAATGTCAGTAATGTTCATCTGACTGGTTTCGAAAGAACTTACGCGTTGCGGAAGACGATACGACCGATACGGCCGAAGCCATTGATACCGACCTGGTTCCGTCCCGTCAGATGCAGCACAGAATGACATATCGTCAACCAGCAATCGTACCTTGACAGCCATGATGGTGGATCTGGGTCCGGTGGGGTCTGGTTAGCTTGTTGTCGTCAGTCGTTCACAGGCTGAGCTGTCTCGACTCACTTGGAAGACTGAGGACTGAAGATATGGAGCTTTGGTTAGAGCGAGTTCTGATGATCAAGAATTGAAGTGTTGTTGCAGTGTTGCACAGTAGACGTTGGGAAAGAAAATGACGGCGGGGCACACAGTAGTGGTGGAGGAAGGGATATTGTCAGGTGGTGGTCAGAGCAGGGTGGGATCGAACTGAGGGGCAAGTGACGGAATCACAGCAAGCGGCTCACCAATGGTTTCTTTCGTTGAAGCTCGATGGACTTCGGGAGAATGGCTCGTATGCGCTCACGTCACACTATGACAATATTGGAGTCGAAATAGTGTATCAACACGTTGCTTTTTCGGTCTGAATATATTTTGGTGGGATTCTCTCAAGTCAAGTCTCGATCGCGGGCATAGCACGATTAAATTGCATTTCGGATAATCATCTTCTCACCCGCCGTCGTGCAAGCATCTCCCGGAATTGCATCGAAGCATTTTGCCGATAGTCGGAGCGTACATAGCAACCCGGCTTCCTCCGCCCGGATGTCCGATGTGTTCCTGCTTTTGGATCTGGAGACCACGAAGGTCTGCATATCCGACGCATATGACCGGGCATAGCCACGACTTTGACTGCGGCTCTGATCACGATGGGTTGTTATTGGATGGTGGGAGAGGGATTATCCATCAACTGTGTAGCAATTCGGGACCGCACGCCGACTTCGTGACAAGCCAGGCTGACGGGATTGTGTGGGGGAATACTTGGTATGAACCACGGTTGGGTACCCCCATTGATAATCCTTTTGCGATTTAAGAAAAAGCATTGAAGTCTGGATCAGCTGAATCAGCTGAATCAACGATGTAACGAACTTACATGATTGCCACCAGTGGAAGCAATTGATTTGGGAGCTTTACTCAGCTTGAACCAGATGAATGTGGCCACCTTATGACCAAACCGAAGCTCCATGTTGCTGGTGCGAACAACCCATGGGCATTTCTTTTGGTTCACCCCAACGTGATGAAAAAGGAATGAGCGCCGTCATAGCCGTTGTCTATTAGCCGCCATGGATGGATGACGATGAAGAAGTGACTGATTATTGCAAAGACAATTGTCTCGTCCTGGAGTCTGGTTCCTGCTGCTGTGGTCCTTGTGGATAATAACAGGAAGAATGGCGAGCAGCACGTGACTAAAAGCACGTGACTCAGTCCACCATGCCAAGTCTTATTTTCCGCGGTCCAAATAATCGGACTCTGATTGGCCAGAACCATCCCCCTGTCTTGGTGAGCTGATCAAACTGGCAGCAGCAGAGGAAGTCAAGGAAGGAACCCGAGCCACAGATTTCCCACGCCAAAACCTCGCCAGATCCTGAAGCTGCAACAACTTCACCCGGTTCCCATCCTTTCATCCTCCGCTGCCAACGACCTCAATCCTGCTCAATTGCCCTTCCGGCAGTATCCACATCTGCCGTGGCCGCTTGCTCCGTCTATTTCGCTACTTAATCCCTCGCCAGCCCATATCTATCCACCATGTTGCGTACCTCGCTCATCCGCGCTGCCGGTGCCTCGACCCGTGTCCTCCCCTCGTCATCGTCAAGCCTCGCCCCGAGATTCATCGCGCCCATCACCCAGGCCGAGCCGTGCAGGCGTTACGCTCATGCCATCTCAAACCCGACGTTGGCCAATATCGAGCAGCGATGGGAGGCAATGCCGCCGCAGGATCAGGCCGACCTGTGGATGCAGCTGCGTGATCGGATGAAGGTGGACTGGAAAGAACTCACCCTTCAGGAAAAACGTGCCGGTACGTTGTGGACTCTATTGTTGCCTCTCGAATGCATAGCATCATCGTGGAAGATGAATCCTGCGTTTCAAGATGGATTCGCGATCCAATTGGCTTTCGACTCTTCCATCTGGAACTCGAATTATACACCTGATAGTGCCAAATGCTGATCCTCCATCTAATCACAGCTTATTGGATCGCCTTCGGCCCCCACGGCCCTCGATCTGAGGCTCCCCCCGGAGAGAACTGGACCGTCATCCAATACACCCTCCTCGCCATTGTTGCGTCGGCAGTTCTTTTCGGTGCAACCAGGCTGGTTGCCAAACCGCCTCCACATACCATGACTAAGGAATGGCAAGAGCAATCAAACGAATACATGAAGGTAAGCGACGGCTATATACGTCCACGTATGAACGGGAGATTGACATCTACGTCAGGAAAATCGCATCGAGCCTCTCACCGGTATCAGCTCCGAAGGATACAAGGGAAAAGGCGTGGTCCAAAGCAATTAAGTGCCGACAGACGTCCACGGCGGGAAAAGTGCATCTTTTGTTTCGTGTCGTGGTCCATCGATTTCCTTTGTACGTGTATCAACGCTCCATTAGATCGGATCCAAGCGAATCGGATTGCGCGAGAGGGGTTGCGTGTGTCAATAGCGTTATCAAGCCAATGGAAGGTGTGTAGATTCAGTTGATTCCTGCGTGGATGTCCCAAGCTCAAATAGCTCGCTCCGTGAATGACCGCCCTGCGCGAGGCGGTAGAAATGAGAGGCCAGCCGCCAGCCTTCTGACTCGATGCCTTGGCGAGGCTGAAGATGCCGAACGGATTTTCTTTCTGGCGCCTGGACGTCGTTGAGGGCCAATGTCTCAATGGCATGTGCGCTAGAAAGACTTCCGACGTGGTTGACGGCGGCTCCCAGGTCTAGAGTTGCAGGATCCAATATTCGTGGAAGCGTGGCACAATTCTCGCAGGACAGGAAAGTGAGGCGTTCCAGTCCCCAATCCTGCTCCTCTCCGATTCGCGATTCCTCAGGGCGGGAAACCTGGCTGACGGGATTCTATTGGCCTCCTGCCATTGGCTGCCTCGCCTTGACAATGTCGTGTTGCATTTCTCCGATCGTCTCGACACAACTAAACCCAACCGGGACGCGCGGGAGCATATCAAATTCTCCATCGTGCTTCACCAAACTTAGAGCCATGCACAATGATTCTGCTCTGCTAGATTTAATTGATGCTACACGCTAATGCCAAAATGAGATTGCTCAAGTCGAACGCACGGGTTCATTGCCTGATGCAGATTGACAAATGTTCTCAATGGTTGCTCCACGTTCAGTACTACACCGCTCAGGACCCTCTCCAGTTTCCATGGTCCTCCTTTCCCGCTCGTGTCTAATATGTCCATCCCGTCCTTTCTTTTCGTTGTCGGGTGTCTCATGAACACCAGTCTTTTCTCTCAGTCTCAATGGATTCTTTCAACTATGTTCTGTCCGTTGCCTTCCCTTCATTCACGCCGCCGTACACGCGGGGCCATCTGACCTGGAGTTAGCGTCCCGTCCCCTCCGTTTGCCCGCAACCCTCTGCTGCTTTCCGGCACTGACTAGAGGTGCCAACGCGTGCGGCGTGGCACGAGTCCGGAGTTTGCAGAACACGCTGGATCTCCCCCCATCGCTAGCGTCCGTCCAGCGCCGGTATCGTTCCCGGTCACCAGGTACGTCGGGTCCGTGGGACCGTCGCTTGCCTCGCCCACACGGCGGAGGTGCGGAGGTGCGCAGCCTGACCGTGCTCGTCCCCCGCTGCATATAATGCGCTCGTCTTCATCGAACGACGTTCGCCCTTCTGGGCTCGGGCAGACGAACAGGATGGCCCTCCCAGGTTTCCGGCATTCCGCCATGTCGATCGTACTGTCGACCGACCTCCTCCAGGCCGGACACGGTCAGGCTCCGGTATGGGAGGAACCGAATCGCAGCCCTGACGGAATAGTCGACGACCGCGTGCACTCGCTTCATCGACCGTCGGAGCAGTACTCAGAACCTGTAACTGAGAGTTCACTGGACACGGAATCGATGAGCAGCTGTAGCAACGCCTCTCATTCAAGCGACTCTGTCGACTCCTGTTCCGAAGAGACTGTCGTCGACTACCTCTGCGATCTATTAACGAACTCCGACGTGAAATACTCCGCGAGATTAGCCGAGTGCTTCCGGTACGCGGACCCCATGCCGCCGATCAGTAAGCGATCGTTGGCCGAGCTGGAAATCAGCGCGATCCGCGACAACGCCAAGTTACGACACGACATCAACTTCGACCGCGAGCTCTTTTTCCGCCCCAATCTCGACGGCACCCGCGGCCTCGCGAAGCTGCGGGCCGCCGAGGAATACTGGCACGCCCTGGCGGCCGAGCTCGAACTTTACGCACTGGTGTATCAGAGAGATTGGCCGGGCCCGTCGCTGCGATCCCACGATGGCGCGGTCATCGAAACGGCGGTGCAGAGACGGATCCCGGAGCTGTTGACCACGATCCGTGACATCCTCGAGGTGCTGATCCCGTCGCGGTCGGCCCTGTTCAAGGAACAGCTGGACGTATCGATGTTCATGCAGATGGTCAAGAACGGGGTCTGCGATATTGTGAAAGTCGTGCAATGGCTCTCCCTGGTGCTGAAGGAGCATTGTGCCCCTATTCGAGATGAATGGGTGGACAACATGGTGGAGAAGATTCACGAGGGAGTCACCGTGGCGAATTGGAGGTTGACCGTCAGTGGACTACGCGATCTCCTCGGCATACTGGAAGCCATGAAGCTGGTTCGTCACACCATAACGCAGCAAGGCATCACTAACCTCGTTTTCAGGACGTCGCCAACCATCAAATCCAGTACCTGAGACCCAAGCTCATCGAAGACACCGTAGCCTTCGAACAAAGCTACTACCAAACCAACGCCTTCCAACCCTCCCCCTCCCGCCAATGGTTCCTCTCCTACTGGCACCAACACATCCACCCCACCCCCCAGCCCACCTGCACCACCCCCTGCACCACCCAAACCTTCGCCCACGCCCTCACCCACCTCCTCCTCACCCCCGCCCTCCCCCTCCCCCCCACCTTCCACCGCGACTATCCCCGCCTCCTCGCCCTTCGCGCCACCCTCTCCTCCCTCCTCCACCTCGCCACCAGCCTCCGCACCGCCGCCACCCTCCTATCCCGCCCCCTCCCTCCGTCCCTCCGCCAGCGCCTCCTCGCCGACCTCACCGCCATCGTTCCCTCCGGCCCTTGGCGCCCCAACATCCACCACGTCGCCGCCCAAATCGCCCGCGTGGTGCACCCCCTCCTCCCCGACCCCCTATCCATCACCCCTGCCGCCCTCCACGACGCCGCCCACGCCTCCCTTGACGCCGCCTGGTCCCACCTCTCCCACACCCCCGAACTCCACGCTATCACCTCCTTCCTCACCACCCGCACCCTCGCCGCCCTCACCACCTTCGCCACGGCCTCCCTACTCGACGTCCACTCCGCGTTCGTCGCCCGCCCGCCGAGCAGCACCGTCCCGCCGAACGACCCGCCCCTCCCCGCGTGCGTCGAGCCGTTGTATGATGGCCTCGTGGACGTGGCGAGGCGGGTCGCGCCGTTGGCGGTGTTGCACTGGCGGGTGTGGGGTCCGTTGGTGTATGTGGTTGAGGGGGCGGTTCCGAGCTCCGATGCGCTGGTTCGGGGGGTTCCATCGGCCCCGGCGAGGGAATCTCATCATGTGCGGCCGGTGGCGCCGACGACGGCGTTTCCTGCGGGATCGGTAACGGCGTCCCTGCGAGTGGGGGAGAGGACGGTAGGGGAGCAGAGTGGACGGCAGGTGGCGTTATAGTGCATGGAATTTCGCTGGAGTGGTGTCAGTGTCCCATCCATCACCTTTCTGTATGGACTTTCTTTGTGCCGCATTGCGGATCCAGAAGCGTTGCGTTCAGGCCGAGCTTCTGTCATCCTCGTGATTGAAGCGCCGGACATGATTTATTTACGGCGTTAATAGAAGTGCGAGCACCCTACTGTCCGTCGGCGTTTGCAAGGTGTTTAGAGATATTAGCCGTAGCGGCTATGGGCTAGAGCAATGTAAATCGCATTTGATACCTTTGATATCATTCTTCATTCGAGTAAAGCAAATCAATCCCGAACTAGACCGAAAAGCCGAAAAGCCGGAAGTAGTCATGTCGCCATATTATTAAAAGGGGTTTATCCTATATGCCTATTTCCATGCATCGCCACAATAAAAACGCTCGGTCCCCGCGCTCGCAATCCCGAGCTTTTTGTAATTCATGATCCACAGCCCAAGGGCAACGAAATCGGAAAACGATATTTCCCCTGTCTTGGTTTTGTGTGCGTCTGGATCTCTTCTTTGCCGTGCCCCAAAAAACGCGACGTGAAGAGATAGATGCGGGGGAACCCCAACGCCGCTGAACGACCCGACGGCTCGACAAGGAAGAAATAGCGAAATAGCGAAGCTGCGAGTCCCCGATGAATGCAAAGTAACTCCATCGCCCAGCGGAACGGAAACCGGAAGCAGAAACCGGTGGAAGAAACCGGAAAGTGGTTCAACATCGTGTCCAGCCGTCATGAGTGTCGATGAATCCCATGTGCCCTGTCCACTCGCCCAATATCTTCCACGATGTAGGGGGATCCCAAACCAGACAGATAGAGGAATATAAAATAACGAGGGATGGGGTGAGCAAATGCCGGTACCGTATTGGAAGGCTTCGGCGATAATGTCTCGGGATCGGGATGTCGCAATGGTTGGATGAGGGAGGGGTTCGAAGTGTAAACGCCATGATCGCATTCATGGATTTGCTTGAAATCCTATGGCCGGATTTTTGAATAGCAGCATCGTCCGCTGCAGGAAAGGTAATCGGTTGCAGACATCCCACACTTGGCGCGAGCTAGACGTGCAATATTCTCCAGTTCAGCGAAAGGGTGGAAAGGTAGTCGACGTGAGGACGAGGATCCTGGCCGTCGCGGTGAAAACTTAGGCTGATGGCGATGTCAGCGGCACCATAGCGATCCCAGTGCCCAATCACCACCTACCACAACACACCACCTTCGCAATCTTCTGCCACACCGTCAGCGGCTGCTCACCCTGCCCCCTTGTCATGCCCTGCGGACTCTGCGGCCGCACCTGCGGCCCCGTCGACTGCTGCATCACGCCGTTCCGCGAGAGGTTCGGCTGGCTGTGCTGAAACTGTGCAACCGTCGACCCCTCCGGCGCGCGGAAATCCGCGCCCTGCGCCTGCGACCCTCGCTTCCCCGTGCCGGTCGGCGTGTCGGGCGTGTAGGCCGGGGAGACTCCGCCCGGCTCACGGCGCTGGGGATGGCGACCCGCGGAGGCGCCGGGCTGAGCGGCGCGGGCCGCTCCCGGTTTTGGGAGGTCGGCATTGAGGCGGTCGTGGGTCATGGGAGTCTTGGGGGCGCGGGCGCCGTGGAGCTCGCGGGCGGAGGAGTTGGGGACGCCGTGTTGGAGGTGGGCGGCGGAAGGGTGGAGCTTCATGGCTTCCCAGCCCTTGCCGTTGTTCAGCTTCATCCAGTCATACTCGCCGTCTTCAACTTCGCCGGTGTCCTTGAGAACAGACGTGAAGAGTTCGCGAAGGTAATCATAGTCGGGTTGGTCTTCGAAGCCCAGATTTCGGACGTAGTGGAGGTATTTGTTGAATTGGTCTGGATCAGGTTAGAAGAGGATAAGATGTAACAAAAACAAGTAGGTTCATACCTGGATAGGCGTCGCACAAGTCTTTGACAGCGGTCGACTGCTTCTTCTCTCCAATCTTTTCGTACTTCTGCTTGTTCGTGGCCGCTTTCAGTCCTTGCCATGGAAGCCCACCACGCAGGAAGTACATGAAAACATGACCCAGCGCCTCCAAGTCGTCTCTTCGTGATTGTTCTCGTCCCAAGTGGGTATTGATACTCATGTATCGGGCGGTTCCTGATAACGACTTCCTTTCTCTATATGGGATGTGTTGTTTCGTCTTCGGGTCTCGGTATTGTTTGGCCATGCCGAAATCCACGACATGGATGACATTTGCGGATTTGGTGCCCGGGCGACCGATCAGGAAGTTGTCAGGTTTGATGTCTCGGTAAATCAGGTTCTTCTCGTGGATGGTTTGGACGCGTGACAGCTGTACTTCGTTAGCAGAAGTAACCATAATAGATCGATGGGATCAACCATTTGTTTCGCAACCATGACCACAGTCTTGACGGTAAAGCGACGATGGCAGTGGTCGAAGAGGTCTTCCAGACTGGGTCCGAGCAGGTCGATGACCAAGATGTTGTGCAATCCTTCCTGGCCGAAATAATAGACATTAGGAATACCAGCTGTATCATGTTAGTTAGACCGTACAGGATGGCGGTGAGTGTTTCGTTGATGGCGTTGGATGAGACATCGGATGCCAAACCCCGTCCGTCCAATACACATGCTGCACCATATCGTTCATGTAGAAAGATAAAAAAAACCAGGACTTACGGCAGCCGACCAAGATCTTGTATGTCCTGTACTCGTCCCTTAGCTGTGGGGCATCGCTCTTTCGTGGTTCCTATTTGGATCTAATCAGCACATGTTCGTATCTCAAGGCCTTTGGAGTGTATCGGATGGCGGAACCTACAAATTTAATGGCGACCTGCTGGTTGTTGAGCAAGTTGGTGCCCTCGAAGATGACACCGAACGAGCCCTCGCCAATCTTCTTCCCGACCCGATAATGCACGCCCACGACGTTGGACGAGGCGGACGTGGACGACGACATGGTGAGTCAATCCCGTCGAGCGAAGATAGCCAGGTCGGTGGGTATGTTTCCTCCTGCGATGGATGTTCGGCCGGGCTTCGAGCGTGCCCTCTGGGTGTTCGGGAATGGAGGGTTCAACACGATCGGCGGACACCGAGAACTCGGGGGAGAGAGGGCAGCGACGGCGGCACAGGGGTCACGGAATGGTGATGAAGTTGGGAGAGAGAGTCACTGGATGACAACAGCGACTCATGCAGCAAGTAAGGAGAAGAATGGGATGAGAGGAAGGTGGGGAAGATGGAGAAAGTGCAGTTAAGTCGATGGAGGACGGGGAATTGGGAGGAGACGATGGAGGGAGAGTGGGAGAGATGGCGCGTGGGTGGTGGTGAAAGAGGGATGGGTGTCGAGTGCAGACTGGGTGCAGCAAAAGCCAGCCAGCAAGGACCAAGCGCAGAGATTAGGAGACGCCTGTGCACCTGTGCGCTGGTGCCGCGCTGCAGGCTGTACGAGTGCGTGAGCCGTGAGAGAGTCTTTGGGTGTCGTTGGTGTGTTGCCCGCCCGTTGGAGACAGCTTGGGGGGGGTGCGTGGGCTGTGCAGGAGACTGCCGGCGTCTTCTGGGCGTTCTGACCTCTACAAATTGCGCAAGATTCGGCCTTGCTGCCTTTTGGGGAAATGGGATTTGGGGCGTTTTTGGGAGGATGAAACAAGGAACGTGATAGAGTTCGTCTAGACGAGGAATCTAATTGGCTGCTGCATCACTAGATGAGGCTGGGGGCGATTGCTGATGATGCAGCTGGAGAGAAGTAATTGCCTTGTTGCCTTGTTGCCTTGTTGCCTTAGATCACCATCCCCACAGCCAATCTCCCGCCCCTGATTGCACGAACGGCGTTAGATTTGGCGGTTCATTTTTCACTCTGTTTGAGTCTCGACGGTTCGAAATCGAAGCCGCTGGCACCGATCCCGCCGGGTCCCTGAACGCAGTGCTCTGTATCCGGAAACAGGGACCGCCCATTGATCCCTTGCCTAAACCCTCCACGTAAGAAATTCCTCGCTCACGATCCTACCATATGATCTCCCACGCTCCAAACATTCCCATCGTATTTGAAGTTTGAGCGTTTGCCGCCAATCTACGGCTTCCATGCCCATAATGCAACGCATGAGGCATGAACCCCCCCGAAGGCCGAAGCTCGCTTTAATGCCGGATCCACCGGATTCATTGGCCGGCCGTTGACCGTGTCGCAATCGTCGCGACGGAGGCTAACCGCATCAGCGTCGGGCGGTTGGGTTGTCGCTGGATATGACTGGATGGCGGTAGGCTCGGCCGGGCGTCCGTGTCGGCGTTGGAATTTGGATGTCGCTGCATCAACTATCATGTGCTCTTGGACGATGTACTACGTATGCACATGCAGTTGGTAATTAATGATATTGATATCCCGTCAACTGCACTCTGCAGGGGGTGACTTGGGAATTGGGATCCATTCCATAGTGTTTGGACTTCGAAATCTGTTAGATACCTGCATTGCAACGTGGACGAATACCTAGTACCTATCTGCACTAGAGTGGTGTGTTCAGTTGCACGTGCTGGTTCAGCGGCCTAAACAGTAAACGGGCATCTACTTTAGGACAGGAGGAAGAAGGTACGATACAGGCAGCAATCGTCACATGATCCGCATATATACAGATTGTACAGACATCATGTACGTGTTCTGTCTCGAATATTGACCTCTCCACGCACTAGATCTGCCGGGCTCCTCGACAGCGTTAAACTACGCTGGCTGAATCGCTACCCCAAACGCTACAAGGCAAAGCGCGCCCACCGCTCACCGAACAAAGCTGTAAACCATCGATCGTCGCTCAATGTTGATCGACCAGGGAACTCTCTCCCCTTACTCCTCCATACTCGAACTCGACCCATTTACCTTCGGAAACCGCTCCGCCCTCTTCTCCCTCCTCAACCTCTCCTCCAACCCCTCCAACGCCCCCCTCCTCCTTGCCCACTCCATCCCCCCAATCGTCCCCTTCTTCCCCCGCTCCTCCGCCTCCGTCTCTTGCCGCCCGACCTGCTCCCCGACGCGCAGACACACGTCGCGCCAGTGCTCCAACCGCGCGCCGTCGATCAGCGCCCGCAGCCGCTCGTCGTCGACCCGGTTGTCCTGCACGATCGGCGCGCAGAGGTCTTCGCGGTGGAATCGGTTGACGAGGTCCGACTCGTGGGAGCCGGAGCGGAGCGCGCTCTCGAGGGGGACGGGTGTCTTGTAGGGGTTGTCCTTGAGGGCTGTAATAATCAGGTTAGCACGTATGGGTTTAAATGTAGTCTAGAACCTACTGCTAGAGAAAATCTCCCGGCACAGGTAGAACAACGCCGTGTCCTGCACCAGCTCATCGTCGTCCCCCTCGCCCGCGAGCGCTGCCCGGTTGATCGCTGCCCAATCGTCCCGAATATAGCACCGCTTCCAGATTAGCTCGATCAACGCCTCCGGCGCCGCCGCCGCCGCCGGCACGACCTGCAGCGCTGTCGCAAACGCGAAGTTCAGGAACCCGTTCACGTCGTCCTCGCGCGGTTGCGTGTCCATCAGCGTGAGCACATCGACCAGCGCTTCCGGCGCGAGCACCCGCCGCGCCAGCAGCTCCTCGAACCCGCGCTTCAGCAGCTGATGCAGGGCCGGCTTTCCCGCCACGTGGCGCGCGCCGAACTCCCCCATCACCAGATCGACCGCCGATTCCGCGTCCAGGGCGCCGTGCGCTGCGCCTTGCACGACGTGGTAGAGGACGTCTTGCATCCACGTCGCCTGGATCTCCGCGTCGAGGCGTTTCACGTCGCCGTTCCGCTGCGCGAGTGTGGCGTCCAGCGTCGAGGACTCATGCGCCTTCAGGGAAAGCTTGGCGAGGCAGAGTTGAATGTCTTTGCACCATGCGTTCGTCTCCTGCGACAGCGCCGCCTTGGCCAGCGCTTGGCACGCGTCCTTGTAGTTCCGCGTCCCGTCGTTTGACGCCGCATCGTGCATCCAGCTTAATTTCGCGAACGCTTCGTTCGAGTGGAGGAACTCGGTGCGGATGTCATCCGGCACGAGGTCGTCTTCGAGCAGGTCCCAGAACCGACCCGCTTCGACGTAGGAATTCAGGTAGGCCTCTGAGAACGGCTTGCCGAAGATCTTGAAGAATTTGTTCTTTACCCGGTCCCGTAGCGATTGGAGGTGCTCCGATGCCTCTGACTTCCCTCGCCGGTGCATTTTCGGGTCGTCAATGATGGACTGGTAGTCCTCCAGATTGAAGTGGATGACCACCACCAGCGATTCGAGGTCCCGGAATTCGATCGCGTAGTCCAACGCCGCCTCGCCACCGTCAACCTCCAGCAGTTCCTGGATCAACTGGCCTCGGATCTTGCTTTCAAACTCTTGCTGTAGACTGATCCCACTCGCCCGGACCTTCTCGTCCTCCTGGGCCAGGCACCACCGAATCCGCTCCAGGTGCACGAGGAGGCAATATCGGGTCAGCGCATATCCTGCGTCCAACATGGTCTCCGTTGTCTCTCGATATTCGTCTCCCTCGCCGCGCACCACCACCTCCGTGGCGGCTTTCGCCATGCCATTGTTCAATCGGACCAAATGTCGAATGCTGGTGACGCTATTCTGCGTCGAGGTCCAGAACCTCGGCAGGCCTTCGTAGCCCGTCGTAAGGACGCCATCCTCGATAGTCTCATCGTCGATGCCATACATCGCGGCATGGTCGGTCCGAAACTGCATGGCGGTCTCGAGCAGCGTCCAATGGATCTCGTCGGCCTCCTCCATCAGCTCCATCTTGAGTTTGTGCACGATCTCCCGCTCGTAATTGTGCAGAATATTCACGAGCCCTTGCAGGGAGCTGGTGAACAGCCGTTCTTGCCGCCAGAGGTCGCGCGTGAACCAGCTGGACACCGGGTCCGTCACCGTGCCCGCGTCCTCAAGTCCGGCGTATTCCTCGTGGTATTCTTTCAGCAGGTCTTCGGCCACGCTCTGCAGGAGCGTCCCCGTCGGATTATCCATCGTCGCCTTCCGCGCCTCATGCTTCGCCCAGAGCGCCTGGGCCGACGCGAGCTTTTCCGCGTTCCAGAGCAGCTGCCACTTCGTGATTGTCGAGAGGTTCGGGACCAGACGCTTGGTATACTCGATCAGATCGCGAAGCGCCTTGGCGCGTTTGGCCAGGAAGATCTCCATCGCGCCGGTCTGGCGCTCCATATACGGAGTCGTGGACGAGAGAATCTCGTGGCTGATGGTGATGGCCGCACCCTCGACCTCGGAAGGATGATAGATTTGGGGGAAGGGGTTCGGGTTGTTGAAGTTGATGGGATTATCCGACATGCCTCCAAAAAAGACGGCTTGCTCGATCCTCCCTTTCGGAGACAATGTGTGCACGTTCATGGGTTCATCGGTCTTTTCGGGGTCGTTGGCAGTGCAACGAATGATTCCCGCGCCTCGGGACATCAGCAGGCATGTCGAGTTCCGAGTTTTCGTACCCGGGGGTTCTATTTCGGACGCGAAAAAACAGTGGGCGTCGGTAAGTTTAAAACGGAGAACGTCTTGAAAGAGGTCGCGAGATGTCGAACCGTTCGCGAGCAGCTGATTCTCAGGAGAGTTTTCGGAACTGATGATGGAGATGATCGACACGCCGGTTTGATAGACGATGAACGCTGTATGCTGCGGCTCCGGTACGAGCAATTTCGGCGGCCATCCTTTTTGTTCGGGGGCTTGGGGGTTGAATTGAACCTGGATAATGCGCCGAGTGCTGGCGGCGTCTCTCTCGAGCATGAGTTCGACCAAATAAAACCAGGTGACACTTTCTGACTGCGACCGCACAAGAGTCAGCACATGAGTAGCCGGCTCGCTCTCCTCCGGCCGTGCAAGCGCAGATTTCTCCGACATTGGGGAATTGAGGATCGCAAAGTCTACGATCTCCAAGGCACTGAACATGCCCGGGGGCGCATCGAACCCAGCAATCAGACCAGCTTGGATCTCGGCTTTTGTCTCAATGGCGGATTTGAAAAGATGCTGGCCCGTCCAATCGATGTCCCAGAAGTAGAACTTCCCGTCTTTGTTGCAAGCGTACACCTCAGCATGACCCTTGGTCGAAATGACTCTCTTCGCCGCGATAGCCTGGTAGCTAGAGGCGGTAAAAGTGTTCATGAAGCCCGATACCCATCCTCCATCGCCTGCACCACTGGCATACAAGGGTCGAACGGTAATTTTGGGTCGTCCTTGCCCATCTCGAAGGAGGAGCTGTGCGATTCGGCCCGTGTTAAAACGCAGTAGTATCCCGGCATGCTTCGCATCGATGAGTTCGACCGCTCTCTCGCCCGTGGCCATGCTCCCGACCATGCCTTCCAGACCGTGTCTTCGTTGTTGAAAGAGGGGTTGGGACTCCAGCGTGTCGATGTTCTCCCAGAACATGATCTTTCCCGACTTCGGAGCGACAAGAACTAGACCAAGGTCCTCTGTTGTCTTACTGCCAATGATATGGCCGAGCGGAGGCAGTTGGTACGCTTTCATGGAATTGGGGATCGGGAGGACTTTCAGCGACAGGTTCGCAGGTCCGGAGTTGTAGTCCCATACGTATGCCGTATCCGGAGTTGTCGCCAGGACATACTGCGACGATGGGACGAACTTCGCATCGATATCTAGTGCCGGCCATCAGTACTGGCAAAAAATGAGACTTTGGGAGGCTTCATACCCAGTGCATCCCGCAGCTGGTCAGGAAAGGCCGGAAGCTTTTTCACCGAGTAATATGCCGTCTTTGTCTATATGCACCGTCAGTAAGCCCGGAAGGATAGATCCCATGGCAGATGCATACAAGATATGATCCCGTGTCGCCTTTCAAAGACCTCAGCGGGATCGAACTTGGCTTTTCGCGCACTGGCATTGGCCGCGCCATTGGAACCTGTTGCCGCTCGATCGACGCAACCGGGACGTCGTGAGAGTCGTCGGCACCGTTATCGTCGTCCACAGGAGAGTGCACGTCGGTGTGTTCGGCGACCTTGGTGCGCTTGCGCAACGATTGGAAAGCTCCATCGGAGTCGGTCCGCTGTCTGCGTCGGGAGGATCGCGTAAAGGACGCGGTGCGATGACCGGTATCCGGAGAAAACATCGTGGGACTGGCGCCAACTGTGGTGAGACGCGTGGAGGAACCGGCGATGGATTTGATAGAGATGCCGGTGGTTACACAATGAGAATTTGGAAGCTTGAAAGCTCCGGGTTTGGAGTCAGGACTGATCAATGATCGGAGGTGTAAATGTGTTGTCCAAACTCCAGAAGGTGAAGAGCTAAGTAGCAGGGATGTTGCAGGTGGTGTTACTAGGCAGATCGGGTGTGGCTGGTGGCACTTGAGCCACAGTTCGACATCAACTCCTCACTGCTCGATAGCAACAGGAAAGGACATTGTGATTACTACTTCAAAACACAGGACAACTGCTGCTTAGCTCTCTAATTATTTTCTCTCTATATAAACCAGGGTAAATCACTGAATCGTCGCATTCGATGGCAGCTCTACCGAACCTGTGGCATCACCGACGTGTGGCCGATAGCGCCGCAAAGGCATGTTGGATATGCTATAAACCATCAAGCAGTGTGCTTATCACACCCGACAGCAAGGTAACCTTCTCGGTCAAATTTGCCTTGATTAGGTTCTGAGTGCATAAAGGATTACTTCTACATCTGTCCCGGGCATCTCCAGGATCGAAATTTTTCCGTGCCGGATGCCACAGAGGCGACGGCGGCCGCTGCCGCGGCCGAGGAGAAGCGCAAAAAGGAAGAGCTGGAGAAAGAGATCGCAAAGGTGAAAGCCGAGTACGAAGAGCGACAAAAGAAGAGAAAGGAGAAGTCCAAGAAAAAAGACTCGAAGAAGTCCGACGGCAAGAACTCCAAGGCAGAGGAGGAAGAGGAGAAGAAGGATGAGAAGGAGCGGGATGAGAAAGTACTTATGTGTTGATATCCATTGCTCGAATATAGCTAACAGTCGTAGATCAAGGAACTGTCCGAAGAGGAAAAACAGAAATCCTCCACCGAAGGTCCAAGGATTTTCACGTTACAGAAGTACGAAACTTCCTCTCTGAGTATATTGGGCTCGGATATCCAGCTCTCTGCTGTATATGCTAATACCGGTCTAGGAATTTCTATAGGATGCGTGTCGACCGCATTCGCAATGCTGAGATGGCACGAAAGAATGCAGAACGATTGAAGAATCCGTCGTCCTTCCCATCCGTCCCACCTAACGACCTCTAACCCCAAACGTCACCCCAAGACCGTAGAGTATCATCAACGACTACAGCTTTTAGACATCGATCCATTCGCTTTGCTGTCATCCCCTATCGTTTCAGGAATGTAAAGATTGGTGATCCGATCCAATCGAACCGCATATACTGAAGAGTCCTGCGTGGGATGTCACGTTGGCATGATCCGCTACTTCGACAAAAGGACACCACCAGTTGTGGCAAGGGGCGCCTCTCTATGACTTTCTGGGGCACTGGATGGTCTGTTATAAGAGCCTGTTCGCGACACACTGGATTTCCGTCATTCGATATCCTTGCCGATATTCACCGCCGGTGTCGCGTATAACTGCACGTTTTCAACATGGACACGATGTCAAAGCCTTGGCTGTATCTTATTAAACCTTCCCAACCTCGATAATAGGGTGCAGATCGCTTCACTTAACCGCACCCTGGTCAAGCAGCCGCGTTAACCCACCATTACGGTGTCGTCGACACCTCGAACCTTTCCGGGCAAGAGCGCATTGCATAGGGTTGGAATGCCATTATCAATCATCCCACGGTTATGACGAACCCTCCTCCCTCCCTAAGCGATTAAGATCACCATCAGATGTCCTCCTTTGGCGCGATATCCGCTCCATGTCTTGGACTGGTTGCAACTTGCATGGAGTCGGTGTCCCTCATCGGCTATGACGACAAGCATCATGACGGAGTGTCGTCCGTAGGCTCTATGAGTCGTTTTGGCCCATGTGGGGTGGGAAGCGATGATGAGCGAGCATATCTACCCTCGTCCGTATCCACCGCTGCCAATATGACCCTCTAGACGCCCTGGTCTCGGTTCGACTTGACAACTGGGATTCTGGGGGCACCAGGGCCCCAGGATGGGATAGAAAGTCGGCAAGCCTCAGTCATGCACCCAGCATTCCACGATACTCGCGACGACGCCATCATGTGTTCTGAAGCTAACCGTTTCCGGGCTAGGACACGTGTTGTCAGCACCCTATCTCCCATCGCGGGTAACAGTCGACGAGTTCTCGACCATCGTGGGCGCTCGGGAACTTTTCGTAGACTTTTGCCCAGCCAGACACGGTCCATGATCCTCGTGATGATGTTATAATAAGGGTGGAAAGAGGAATCTGATCTGAGTGTGTTCCGCCAGGGCGGGTCGGATTGCCCTGCTGGTTCCGCTTGTCAGCATGAGATAATATTTGGCGCGTTGCTTGGCTCCGTGGTGACCGGACGGACCGTCGCACTACCTCCCCAGTCATGTCAGACGTCAGTCCAATCCAACTCGATCAAGCAAATGGTCGATTAAAATTCAGATGTAGCTTCGCGAGTAGTCGACTCACTGCTGCCAGGCTATCTAGATGCTGTATCCGACACCGTATTTAGAATTCTGATATGTGCACCCGCGCCACACGAACTACCACCTGCTGACTATCCGTATCCCGCCCAAGCCCTGTCAGCACTAAACCGCCTCACAGCCAGCGACACGGGCACTCTCTATACGCCTTTTCTGAAGGGGCCTCCACTGATGCACATGGACAAGGGCAAACCCTGAGAGAATCTCACCTTTCATCATGGCCCCGATGCTAAACCTACTTGCGTCAGTACAGCAACCCACCCACGTTCCGTGCCGCCAGATGACTAAGGGGCGCCTTATGGAGGTTGAGCTTTGACCCTTCGTGGTGGACCAGTTGCGGCGAAGAAGGCGCCTGTTGTTGGACGGAGATACGTCATGTGAATCAAAAAGTAATAGAAATAGGGTTCATGATGCTGAAATCAGTGTATACCAGGTATTGACCAGCCCTAGTTTTGACTAACGTTGATATGTACAGGAGAGATTGCCTTGCCTATAGAACCCTTCATATACACAATGCCTTTGCGTTGACCATTGTCCTCGTACAGTTTCATAAATCCCCGATAATCTCCGAGAAGAGGGGAAATGACCCGATCCCGGACACCGATACTCCATCGGTCGGTGTGTCTTCGCTGATTCGCATTCGCTCACCCACTGAGGGAGGACAGCAGCAGTTGCAGGCGAACGGGGTCCGTGGCACTGCGTAGAAAGGTGTTTGCTTTCGGACGTGACAATGGATCAGATTGAAAGAATAGCCCAACCGCCGCTCCGGGTAGTTTGAATTTTGAACCCGCCATGCCAATGCTCCTTGCCAACGCTCACGCCATGCTCCGTGATGCACAAAGATAGGATATATCTCAAATATGCAAGCCTCCGAGTTACTCCGCCCCTGTCCCATGCATAGTGATAATACGCCCCTAAAATCCGCATCAGATCATGACTCATCCATCGCCTCGTCGATGACGCTTGGCACCGATGACCCGTTCATCGATACGCTCCCTGGCGACCCCCCTGCGATACTTGCGTTCCGCTCCTTCATCACGCTGGTCGTGGGGATTGGGGGCGGCTCGTCCTTCATGCACGAGTTCTCCAGCATGTTCGTCCACTTCCCGCTCGTCCCCGCGTGGCTGTGCTTCAGATGCTGCCGGAAATGGTCCGCCCGGAAAAACTTCTTCGCCTGGTTGCAGTCGCCGAATTTATGCACGTGGTGCAGGTGCTCGCGGCGTGCGTCCCAGTTGATTGGGTGAGGGAACTCCTCGCCGCAGTAGCCGCACACGTCGGCAGCGGAGGGGTTCGCGCTTGAGACGTGGAAGGCGGCGTGCACTCCGGCGAGGGCGGCGCAGGACCAGGAATGGCGGCGCAGATGGAGGGAGTTCTGGTGGCGCTCGGCCTCGTTTTTGTTTTTGAATCGATTAGGGCAGTATTGACACTGATACTGCTTTTCAAGTGCATGCACTCTGAGGAAGGGTTAGCATGGTCAGAGAATATTGCCGCCAAGTCACACGATAAGGTGAAATCAAGGTTCTCGGTAAACGTACTGTAGTTCTTCTTGACTGTCAAATTTCTTCGGCTTCTTGGGGCAACACTCGCATATAAACTGCCCTTGATTCTTCGTGGCGCTGTCTCTCCGTTGAGCGTTGGTTTGATCCGCGGAATGTTTGCGACTACGAGGAGCCTCGCTTTCGGACGGATGTCGTTGATGGCCTTGCGAAAGTGAACCTCGAGGACTAGTGTTTGCAGACTTGTTCCTCGAGAACGGAGATCCGACCCCCAATTCCCCCTCTCCGGATGGTGACAACGCGCTGGGAGATAGTTTCTGGTCGTTGCCGCCGTAACTCGTCACGCTGCTGGCAACGGACAGTCCCCATGAAGATCCGTACGATCCTATTCTTTGACCCACGGACGACGTTCCGGACGAGATGGAGCCCGAGCCGACATGGATCCTTGAGTAGGGTGATGCCCGTAGTCCCGACAGCTGCGAGGGTCGTCTCGAGAACAATTCGCTTGCACTCATCGGTATTTTGTCGTCCCGACTGCTTTCACCGGGAGGCCCATCAGCACGACGTTTCACACCGCATTTTCCAACCGTCTGCGACTCTTCGGAGCTGGATGGACTTCGATCGTGGAGGTTGAGATCTTGCATTCCGCCATCCTCCATATCCTGATCCATGAAGATGCTATGGTGGTGGTCATCCGCACCGCGGTGTGATCTCGAATCTGATGATTGAACGTCGTCCATCGCGTCGGGAGCGACAGAGAAGCTGTGGTGGCGACCGGATAGTATGCCGTCCGGCGCATGTTCCGAAAGCGGGCTCCTGAAGCTCGTGGTGCCCGGCGATATTCCCGATGACGGCGCGCTTGGCCACCGACTGAGGGGTGAATCGACTGCACTGTGCCGGCGTTCTGGGAGGGCGAGAGGTTTGAGGTCCAAGACATTGTGCGGAGAGGTGTTCGACCCGAACAATGGAGGAGCGGCGTTTCTCGAGGGTGTATTTGGATTGCCGATTTTCGATAGCAAATGTCGATCGTAGTTCTGAGAGGAGTTGGCGACGGCTTGCCGACCAAGTTGCTGTTCGCTCTGTAGGCTATTCATAATCAATGTCAGTCTCTGCTCACGTCGCACGAGGGGAATAGGCGAGGACACGAACCTGTAGCTAGCCATCCTTGGTCGATCAGGATTCGGCAAGCTCCCTTCGCTCTCGCTCATTTTGTCGGCGGCCATGTCGCGATCCGAAGCGCCGGGAGCGGTGGATGGACTGTCGTCCAAGTCATGGCCTTTAATTGAGCCGCATCGGTCATTGCGACTGAATTGGAATCCCCCTAGAAGACTCGAGCCGGCCTTGACGGACGGCGAACCGTCGCTCCCGAAGTCGGTGACGCGGTGAGGATCGGGGATGTGGATGTGTTGCAATTGTGGCACGAATCTCGGCGGTGGTAATGGAGGGGGAGGCGGCTGAAAGGCATTGGGTATGGCCATGGCGGAGGTGCGGCGAGGTATCGAGTGGACACCAGCATGGTGTGTTCCTGGATCATATAGTCTGATTGAAGGAGGAGAGGACGACATGGTTGCACAGAAGAACGATTGCCACCGGCTGAACAGTTACGTCGCCTTGCGTCCGGTGAACGCCACTCGATGAGATGGCGCGGGAAGAGGGGGCCAGCGGCAGGGACGAAGGTTTATTTTGGAAACAATTGGAGGGAGGAACAGCCAGAGGAGGACAGCGGCGCGGGCGGAAATAATTAATGCAGATGAGACGAAAACCAGTGGACAGCGTAAGCCCTAGAGACAGGGGAGGACGGAGGTACGGAGGGGACGGGGAAAGCGGAAGAAGAGGAGTAATAGGTAGTGTGATGGCGCAACGGACGACGGGATATTGCAGTGCCACGGGCGGCGGCGTCGAGGTCGTGCAAAGCTGCAGATATGAAGATCTGAATGGAACTAGGGGGAGGGGGGGAAGGGAGGACAATAAGTGTCAATAACGAATGTTATTAGCGCGGAGAATGAATGAGAGTGTGGATGGGGGGGAAGGGAGGGAGTGGGCGTCAGGCGAATATTGAGTTCAGCCCTATGATTCGAGACGGGTGTAGCTGAGAACGAAATAAACTGGGGACAGGGCTGAGCCACGTCCAAGAGCTTAAGAGTTAGGAGCGATAGTGAAGACCACCGACCACGGTTGTGCAAGTGTGCAAGAAGCCAAGAACTGGAATCGGCTCCAGTACTGAACCAGTTATTGGTTGTGCAGCCTGTTCGCCGAGGCGTGGAGTTTGGAGTACGGTGCTTGACCAGGCGGACCGGCGGAGGGGCGGCGGGTATGTAAGAAATGACGGGGGCCACAGGGGAGACTGGGGACCACACCGGCAGGGTTCACGTTAGTGCTCTCCGTGTGCGGAATAAGAGGAGGGAAGAATGAGGAGGCCACTGATCACGAGAGGACCTGAGGACGACCCAGTAAGGTAGAGTGAAGAGCCCAGATTAATAGCAAGGCTTTCGAGTTGCGACACTAACGAAACTAGAGTCAAGGCTCCTGGTTCGACGGCTCGTTGCCTCCTCCTTGGTGTCGCTTCTGGACGGGATATTAATCCCTAAGGCTGGGGGTGTGTTCAAGGAATCGCGGGGCAAGTTGGGCCATTCCTCAGCCCATCCCTCGGGCGTGACGATCCGGATAGCCAGGTTTCGTCGTGATGCAATTTGGCGGCGCCTGGAACCACTATGTGTCCCCACCAAATGTGTTCCAGATGACTGTGTGCGAGGGTGTGCTGTATAAGTATTGAGGTGTGTGCAACAGGAAAACACAACGTAGGAAATAGATCGGGGAGCGGGGATTTTGGCGGCCAGTTCCGAGTCAGACGGTCTGCTTTTGTCTTCCTGGGGGAGAAGAGGGTCTGAGGGAGAAGAAGGAGAAACGATAGAGCAAATGCGAAGGCCAGCAAGAGCAGCCAAGTTGATACAAATGGACTGGCGGGCAACGATGATAGAGCAACAGAGCATGCTCAGTAAACGTAGCGTCGCCGGGACACTCCAGGAGTGGGTCGTATCCCGTACGATCTTCTGAATTTCTGCCCTCTCATTACCGTATTTACCGTTCAAAATACAAGGTGAGCGAGCACTGGGCACGGAATAGACTGGCTACCTTACCAGCCTGTAGACCAGGCTCCCTGGGCTGAGAGGATCCTCGAGGCTCGGATTCATAGTTACTAGTTACTACAGGGCTCGTACATCACGACATGGGCACATGGCATGGGGGGAGATACCGTCGCTAACTTCGTGTAGGCCGTAGGGCTATCGAAAGACTGGGTGAGTGGGGATTGATAACTGTCGCGACTCATATCCCGACCGGAAGGTCTTCCGGAAATGCAGGCAAGTAGCGTGGTTCGAAGTCATTCATCTCACATCTGGATTCTGGATGTAACAGATTGGAGTTGCAGTGCCGGATCACAGGTCCGCTCTGTCAAAGACACACTGGAGCTGGGAGGCGAGCAGAACTGCGGAACGGCCTTCAAGGGTTGGCAGTCCATAGCCGAGTCAATACATCATGATTGGAGGCAAATGCACCCAGGAAAGACACGATGCATCAGGGCAGCGAGCCAGCAAGGCTCAATGAAGCCACAGTCTTGGCACATGGGGAGGATTCAGGAATTAGGTATCTGTCTGTAGCGCTGGTCACTAGTGACTGTACGGGGGCACGGTAATGGTCTGTAATTAATACCGGTATGATATCGAAATTGGACGAATAGCAGTAGTTGTGAGCAGACCCAGGAACAATATTACTGACCCCCATAGGCTATTTCAGTTTGCTGGATGTGAGGCAATACGGTAAGCAACGAGCATCATGACACCACCTAACCACCTGTCCACCACCGAACTGTCGGTTTCCAGTTGGTCGAGACGTCGGCCTGGTTGCCCTCTTCGAACTTATTTACGAACCTTGTCAAATACCACGTTAAGCGGAGATGGCGCTTGAATTCCATGATACATTTCCGTGGTCGAGGCGAGGGGCATCAAATTGCGGATGGAATGGCGCATCGGTGATAGGGACGTCGAAGTCAAATTATAACCGTCCTCATGATGTCGTATCAAAACTGTTCACTTTCTTCATTGCGCTAAGTCTGACAGTATCGACATCGGCGTCCTACTCACTATGTACTATATCCAATATGGCAATCTGAGACTTAGCATCGTCGCTCTTCTTGTCATATTTGCACCTCGGTTCGCAGTTAGAGCGCGAGGATATCAAGCCTCAGATATTAGTGTCTTCTACGGCCACAGCGGCGACGTATTAGACAAATGTCGAGTGTCAAACCGCAAACTAAGACGCGCATCGCGACAAGCGACGTTCGTGACTTGATGGTTGCGAACTTGCGATACCGGACACAGACCACCTCACTGAGATCCAATCCCACTATTAATATCCCAGCCTCCAGGGACATCTACTATCAAGTAGCGGTGACCACTCATCGGTCCGCTCGGGAGCCTCGTGAATGGATGAGGATGAGGGTCGTTCACTCGTCCTGGCTTTTTCCTCTTCAGTCTTCGCTCTTCAATCTTCACGAGCGCCACCAGGCCAGTCAACAAAGATTGGGGACGATGTCCAGCATTATGAATAATGTCGCTCGGTTTCAAACTTTCGCTCCATCATTGGCGCATGTCACTCGACGTTCACGGTTCGATCCGCCTTGCCTCTTATTTTCCGATCTGCAGGAGAGTGGAGGTTCAAAAATGAGGGAGCGAAGGATCAAGGAATCCAAGATGAGATGAGAAAGCACAGAGGCTGTGGAGCCCTACCGAGTCGCTTAAAAGCGGAAGTACTCGGTCATGGTCTGCATTTAGTAGTAATAGACTAATAGTGTAGTCTGGACTTCTATCTGAGGAAGAGTTCAGAGGACAATGGCGAGAAGCACAGATGTCGTGGAACAAAAAGAGGACCGAGTTCCTGCTCACTGCGGAAGCTCCCTCCGAACTAATTCTTAAATCTTACCACATCACAGCACTGTCAGGATGGAATTAAATCGTTTACGGACGTACCGTCTCCAGGCCTCCCGCTATTAATTGATGCCAGAAGCACATACCCAAGATAGCTTACCTACCTATTTCCAATTCCCTTTTGGAATTTGGGCTTCTGGAAGTTGGAACAATGGAACGGAATCATGCAGCGCACGTCCTCCAGCCGTCTACCTGTCGTCCTGGGCATCTCCAGAGTTCCAGCTCCCAAGTTTAGTTCTGACTTCTGAGTCCTCCAAAGTCCAAACGGTCCAGTGGTGACTGGTGATGAGTGGTGAGATGACTGGTCAGTGGTCAGTGGTCTCCCATCTCACTGGTCGGGGTGAGCACTGAGCAATGGTCAGTGGTGTGCTCGTGGCATTGCCCGCATCAGCAGCCGTCCCGCGCCGGTCCACCACACGTCCACACGCAACCTGCGCAGTTCTGGGCGTGCTGGCTGCTGCAACGCTTAGTATGCCCTTTGCCCCTTTCGGCGTTCAGCATTTCGTATTTCTTTCACCACTCCACCTCGAACGACCTGCCTAGTGCTGCGAGGATACGTTCTTTTTAGCCCTCTGCAGTCTTAGTCCTTCCCATCCACAGCTTTCTTTCGTTTTCACGTCGGGGTTTATTGTTAGAGTTCAGGACTGGATCATGGAATCATGAAATCCTCACGATGGAGATTGAGGACATTATTCCTGATACACATTATTACCCTATCCTATTAGGTATCGTCAATCATGACATTGAAACATCTCCCAACCAAATACCCCCCTGCTCTGTCCCCAATTCATCTTCTACCCCGATCCGTTATCCTATATCCACTACATGGCGACTTTGCCCGGCAATGATTGGCGTGCGATGTTGTCATTGGAATAAAGCGAATCGCGGTCCGAGCTAGACGAGGCCGAAGACAGTCCAATGCCTGAAGCTTCAAAATGACCACAAACCACACTGTCGGTGTCGACGTTCTTTTTAGATTTCCCTCTGATCAGGGTGCTGACCGCAGACTGCAGACTGCAAAGTGTGGAAACATCCTGGGTTCTCTCCTTTCACCAAGTACTTACTGAGAAGCTAGAATTATGAAGGAACATGCCCATATCTATTCTCCTTTGTTTCCCCATTTGAAAACAATTTTTTTTGCGGGAGATTCCAATGTGCCCGTCTTCAACAGTGACATGCAAGCTCCAAACCTGGGATTCCATCATTCCATTGGTTGGAGAGCGCATGCTTCTCACATATGGATAACGAAGGAGACAGGATGACCAATTATCGACGTCTACGCCAGGCTGCATTGCAGTTTGCACTGATATGCACTGCAGCCATGCAGCAAATAGCCGGCCCGCAACGGGAGAACAAAACAAAACCTGAAGCAGACTTTCCATCCCTCGGAGCGAACATTATTCGCCAAATTGACAGGCACACGAGATGCTGTAAATTGGAAGCAGTGGCGACTGGCGAGTTGCTTGCACACCTGGAACATTCCGAATTCATATCAATCAATGATAATACCACCAGTTCCCATCCCGTCCTAGTCCCATCCCACGTCCAGATTCCAGACAAAATTACCAACCTCCCACAAATACGGGCGGGCATAATCAGCCGGAGTGCCGGAGGCTTGCATGAGTTCGAATGTCCCATCCTCAGTCCTCAGTCCTCACACTTTTGGTTTCCTTCGCCTTCAATCAGCCATCCGCTAGGTAGTAGGTACATGTATGTGGCGACTTTGAAAGCGAGTCGCTCGACATAATAATGTACACTATGCTTGATTGATAAAACAGAAACCGGTTCTCCATAGTTCAGATTTCGAAACTCCAGCTTAAATGCCGGACGCGAGGACCATCAGTGGAGTACTGCTCCAATAGAACTTGGAAGAGAAGGTTCATAGTCCGTACAAATTACGATCCTCCGATCAGCCTTACAGGGGATAAGAATTCGCACTTTCGCCGGAATGAACCCCAGTGAATCAGTGATGCCGCGATGCGGGGCAACTGGCGCTAAGTCTGGGCAGGACTGGCCCCGGCGGTGGGGGCGGTAGTATCCTGTATCTTCCTGATAAATCTGATTCTTATTACTTTCGAGTTTCGAGTTTCGAGCAACTCCAGGGCTGGCTTGTTATTCCGTGCCCTATGGGTGATGGCCGACTAGTATACCCTATCTTATACCTATTCCGACTCCTTCGGCGGTTCTCCCATTGTTCATCCCGTCAAGTCAATTTCGGCATTGTCCGGGGAACTGGGAGCCTCGGTTTCAGCCATGTGCACTTCAATCTACTATTTTCGTCCCCTCGCCATGCTCTACATGGACCGAGACGTTGCTCGGCTGGCACGTAGATTATGGGGTATGGACTATGATGTCTAGAGACTGGGGCTCACTTTTGTGCGGCGGGCAAGATATCGAGTCCTCATATCCTCATCCATGCATGATTATCATGTATTCTGATATCATCACAATCGCTTCGGCTTGGCTCTTCGAAATCTGCAGGGTCCTTGAGATGGACTGCCACTTGCCAGCCTGCCAAGTGCCACCTCCTTCCCCGGTGGCCTTTGATTGTGCAGATGACGGGGTATGTCAGAGGGTTTTCACTATTCGACAAGCCTTCGCTGGAACCAGTCACCGAAGGCCTCGAGAAGCAAGCTTGATCGAGGTCACTAACGGAACGGTATCATTCGTTCATCGACGGTGTGTTCTAAGCACAATATATCCAGGCCATGTCCACAGTTGCTCACTACTTCCATCCGCGGGCTTCGCCCTATCGAATATGCTGTGTCGATCAGGTGTCGATTTGGGGGCTACCCGGAGAACTCTCTCTCCACATCGTTCACTTCCCCTCGTCGTCGCCCCAGGGTAACCCAGTACATGTACAGGACTACAGGTACTTCCGTACTCTGTAGAAGTGAATCTTTAGGATACTTGCCACTTCTAAGGATGCCAAGGGTCATGGACCCATCAAATCCGGAGCCCGAAGCACAGAGAAAAATTCGAGCGCACGATCCGAGGGGAACACTATCTTGAATCTTCATCTGATCATCACACCAATACTCAGTGGGGGCGGAGGCCGTCCCTCATAATGGTCTGGGGAATAGCGGTGCGTACCCCTTCGCATAAGGATTGCAGAAGGATTACTGGTAAGTTCTAGCACCACCTACCTAAGTAGGTAGTTAGCAACTAGCAAAACCGATCGGTCAACACTCAACCACCCCGACTGAATCGAAGATCTCAACAAGGGCTGTGGTCGAACCGTCGAAGTCTTGCTTGCAAACGGCATTTCCCGAGCGCAGTTCTAGTTTCACAGCCAACAGGGCATAGGGACACATCGCCGATCTCGCGGTTCCTTGCCTTTGCAGCTGCAACTCTCAACGGCTTTGTGAAGGGCGAACCTGGGTGTGGGTGTCTCAAGCAGGGCAGGAACCCTGCTATCACACGACGTTTGCATCACGATGGCACACTTGGTAAATTGGTCGTAGGGCTTCAGCCTTTAACAATGCAATACCTCAGCCTTGTAAGGCGAGGTCTACACTGATCACTGTCTCGTGCGAGCGGGGCCTGAGAACCACAGAATAGCACAGCCTACCTGCGACTTGCGAGTTGAGACACAATTTAGCAGCAGTAGCACAAGTTCTGTCGACTGTCCGGTGTCGTGGAGTGTTAGGATCTCAATTGAGAATAAGGTCCGACTTAAGGTAAGGTACTGAAGTACGAGGGGCAAACCAAGTCCAGATCAGGCAGCTTGCTCTCCTTGTTTCGTGGTCGAAGACCTAAATTTCCCGACAAGGCTGCTATCAATATGATTGATACTTCAGTCGGTTGTGTTGTGTATTCCGTAGACTGTATCGGATTAGTTGGAGTTCGTGGAATAAATAGAACCTAAAGGCGCCGGGTCGGATGTGGATCCTCGGTTGCTTGGTGACCACTCGCGTCGAACATCTCGAGTCTCGACTTCACCGAGGGTCACCGCGACAGAGTGATTGGAAGTTTTGAACTGGCCCAAAACCTAGAGGTCCCCTTTTTCGAGAAATGGTAACAACTATTGGGACTAGCCGTGAACTATTGCAATTTGCAGCACCTAAAGCGGCCTTTTCTCTTCCACCGCCGGCACCCCGGAGGCCCCGACTCCAATATTGAGTACCTGAAAAGTTGCCACCAAACTTTGGTCAACGATTTCGGAACTTCTGCTATCCAATTGGCTCCATATCTTATGCACAATATCCTGTCCGCGGCTGGACTTCTCATGCAAGGCATTTGATCTTTCAAGATTCGCCCGAATCGCGTAACATCCTAATCGAACCCATCTCAACCGCCTGATTTGCCCAAGCCATGGGCATCTTGGACAAAGTGCCTGGCGAGCTCCAGTTGTATATCGGTGGGTAAGTCGGTAATCTTTCCTCACCCTTGACGGGATGTCATCCGCGATCTAACCATCGAACCCACAGGTTGTTCACAGTACGACGCCGGCAGACGCTTGAGGAGGCCAATATTACTCATGTCCTCTCGGTTCTCCGAGTGGACACGGAAAAAGAGCTATTTCTCCCTTACAAGCATTTAGCCATCCATGTAGACGATGTCGATGATGAGAATCTCTTGCAGTATTTCCCGGCCACCAATGCTTTCATCCAAGAAGGGTTGAATGGCGGTGGTGGTGTGCTTGTTCACTGGTAGGTGTATTCCCACTGTGGCTATTTCGCTATTCGCAAGCTCTATCCCGACCCATGATCGGCACTGAGTTTCATCCACCAACGCCGTCCTATGTTGCATGGCTTCATATAGTCATCCTCGTTTTGTTTCTTGTTTCTCCAGGGTCATCAGTTCCATTTAACAGTTGGAGTCGTCTGAATGCGCACTACACCCGTCACAACAGCCCCTGGGTCTCACCATAAGTCTCATATTCTGTACTGGAAAGGGCAAGAAAAATGCTCCGGAAGGATTCATTTAGCATATTAGCTGTGGATCAACTGTTATTTTGAGCACCTGGAACGGCAGGGCGATCCTTTATCCCTTTTTATCGTCTAGCGTCCTTGTTGTAATCATCATGGCCAAATTGCATAGGCTGAGAACTTCACAGTGCGATGGGAAAGTCCCGCTCGGCAACATGTGTGGTCGCTTTCCTAATACACAAATACGGCATTACACCTCAGCAAGCCATTGAGCAAATACGGCAGAGTCGGCCATTCGTCGAACCCAATGACGGGTTCATGCAGCAACTGGAGTTGTATTACACAATGAAAGCCCCCGAGTCCGTTGAGGACACTGCTATTTATCAGAAATGGTTATATCAAAGAGAAGTGGAACTCAGTCGGTCATGTGGAATGCCTCCAGATACAGACAAGATACGATTTGAAGACGAGCATACCCTATGGGATGGTACGAGCGAGGGGTTCGAAATGAGATGTCGGAAATGCAGGTGAGAACTCATACAGACCCTTTTCTAGGAAAAAATGCTCATGATTTATGCAGGAGAACTCTAGCAACGTCACAATACGTCCTTCCCCATGAGGCAAAGGTGAAGTTATCACAGCATGGTAACGCCATCTCAAATGAACCATCTAGTACCGAATGTGCACACTACTTCATAGATCCTCTCTCCTGGATGCGCCCCGAGTTGGAACAAGGCAAGCTGGAAGGGCGCGTGGAGTGTCCCAAGTGCGCAACAAATGTTGGGAAGTACGCGTGGCAGGGCATGAAGTGTAGCTGTGGCGCCTGGGTGGTTCCTGGCATCAGTCTGGCGAAAGGACGGATAGACGAGGTGCTGGTAGGCGCCTCCAAGGCGAGCAAGGCGATTAGGAGACCGGCGATGGCAACCGCTGCGGAGGAGGATGATGGCCCCTTTACTGGAAATCTATGAATGTTGGGACGGCATACGAGGTTGGGGGCAGGATAAGTCCCAATCGAAGGAATAATCCCTTATTAGGTGATACATATTACTCAATACAGCATATTTATATGTCGAGCAAACTTGAATTCCTAGATAAGCAGGGTAGATTGGGTGAGATTCTGATCCTACCGTCCTCATTTGAACGATGTCAATTTTAGGGCGTATCACGATCTCCCGCAGTTTAGGCCATCACAGGAATCTGTCTGTTGCCAACAACAGAAAAACCTGCCTTAATCTGCTCGCGACATCTCAACCGTTAGCATCAACAGGAGACGGATATTCCCTGACGCGCGAATGATTCGTCAATCTATCTTACGTTCCTCCCCACGGCGTCTACCGATACCGTTGTCCCTCAATCGACCAGTGTTCCGAGCAACCATGGCGTCGTCTTCCAACGCATCGGCGAACAACGAATGGCTGGTGATTTTACCGGATCAGGAGAATGCGCTTGAGCGACGGTTGGAAGTGCGTCCGTAAGTCTCACGTTGTCCTATATACTATGTACTGTACGATGCTCGGTCGAATCCCGCAGGAAGCATCGATACTACCCCAACGTCATCGATTCATCTTCTCAATCAGATGGCACGTCCGTGATCGATTATAAACAGTATCTAATCGCTCGATAGAAAACATTTCGCGGGACTAAAGCCAGGCATTGAATCCGGCTTCTGGCTAATGGGAGGTACGCTGAACTTCTTTGGTTGCCGATGAACAGATTTCCAAGCACCGAGAACCAGAGATATACAGACGACCCCCTAACAATTTCAAGGTGCTCTCCTCTCCTCTCATCCACCTCCGGACTCTAAAGACCCTCCTCCCATGGTCGGGAGCGCTCTGCTAGCGCGAGCAGCTACTCAGGAGGAGTTGTTGGAGAAGCTGAAGGCGGATCCATATACTGTTGGTCAGGTGTGGGATTGGAACAAAGTAAGTGTTTTCTGACGTTCTGGAAGGCATAATGTATATGCAGATCCTGACAGGAAATAGGTACAGATTTATCCGTTCAAGTCGGCCATTCGATCTGGAATGTGAGGAGGCTTAACCCCGGGGAGTCGCGTCCAATGGTCGGCGTAGTGTCTGTGTCAGACTATTCATGGCAATTAGATGAACATGGCAGTGGGGTTTAGTGGGGATGGCGGGAAGTATGGAATCGTTCACACAAATGTCATGCCAACAGGCCTTACTCAAGTGAGCTGTAGCATGTTACATAGCAATTCTGATCTCATGAAGTACTACGTGAGTCGCGCAAGTATGTACCCCGACAAAGAACCCTTTCCGTAATGAAACCCGGCATCACAATACTCATGCATGTATGGGACCAAATGGGAAGTTCCGATCCTGCCCGAGAGTGAATCAATACAATATGGGACAAGATTCAATTCATATCAGCTGGTCGGTCAAGCCTCTTGGCTATGGATGCTCGGCACAAACGTATAACTGATTCTTATCGTTCGTATTGAGACACTCCTCTGGTATTGTACATTCTATCAATATTGACAAAGAACGGTGTGGAGATGCGGTTCGACTGAGCTTAGTGCTGCGCCTTCGGGCGCGCAACGACAATAGCATCCATATCCGCCCGCTCTTTCTGCTCGGCTTCGATAGCTTCGATGATCGGTGAAAGATACGGGACATCCTGCGATGTTGTTAGCATGGTAGCCTCGGGTTGGAGTGGAAGATGCGACGGACCTGTTCTGCGGTCGTCTGTTCTGCCTTCGGGAGCAGTTGATGTGAAAGCGAGCACTATAGCTGTTAGTCGGATGGAATATTGAGCAAGACTCTTGGTGATCGTACTTGGAAAGCTCTTCGCATCCGGAAGACACGGTCGTAGGCTTCTTTCGGGGGTAGTCGCTTCAAGGCTTGCTGAACGATGTCGCTTTCTTCGGGGATCAAATCATCGGCCCTGTCCGCTCTCATGTCAGCCCATAACATAACCGACAATGGGCGATGAACCGAGCATGAACTTACCTCAGACCGATCTGACGATATCCCGAGGCGTTGGCATACCAGTTAGCCAGCGGCTGCATCCAGGCCCGAAGCCATGGCCTCTTGACGACGAAATTGGCAAAATGTGGTGCCGACATCTCTGCAGATTGGGAAGAGTCGGGAGTAAAGACCCAATGAACGTATGATGGATGGCGAGGGGAACCAGAACGCTACAGGACAATTGACCTCAATGGCATGAAGTCGAAAAGGTTGCGAGATGGACTGTGTCACATGACATAGCCAATCACCGTCGACGTGATCTAAGATATTATGTAATCTGTTTTACGCCTTGCAGCCTGAGGCCATAAATCTGCTTGGTGCAATTCCCCTGCCGCCATCCGGCGTCTCGTCTTTTCGCGGGGCATTTGTCAACCTCCACCTCTCAATAACAATATATCTCCACGCTAGCCTCGAATTCCTCTCGTTTGATCCCACAATTGACCTCCCCGTCTCCCCTATTGATCGCACCCACCTTGTCCCTGGTAAATGGAGTTTTCCAATCGCTAGCCATCGTGTTTTCGGAGTGCTGCGCGGACCAACCTCGCGAACGGAGGTCCAAAGGCACTCCGATAGCACGTATCGACCCTCACCCTTCGAACCTTCGAACCTTCGTCATCCGCCGACCCTTGCGAATGAGCTAGCCGTCCCACGGTTATCGAGCTGAATCAGAGGAGCGGCGCCGATCGAGCGTCGAGGAATGTCAAACCGAGAGGGCGAAGCTTCGGAATCCCAGCGGTCACAGTATGCCCCGGGCTCGATGTCGAGAGGCCCGTCGTCTGCACCACCGGTGCAAACGACGCGCTCCGAACCGAACGCACGCCTCGCTTTGTATTGCACCAAGCTACCCAGCACGACGGTGAACAGCTTCTGCGGCGCCATGGCCGGGATGGCATCGGGGATCGTCACATGTCCGCTCGACGTCATCAAAACGAAGTTGCAAGCCCAGGGGGTATACAGCGTACATAGCGTCAAACGAGCGCCATCGCATATGCTATATAATGGCATGATGGGTACAGCAAGAGTAATATGGCGAGAAGAAAGGTTTCGGGGACTGTACCGAGGGCTGGGACCCATGCTCTTGGGATATTTGCCGACATGGGCAGTCTACATGAGCGTTTATGAGAAGTCAAGGGAGTATTACTATACACAAATAGGTATATCTCCTCATAGAGGGATACGAGGGGATTGACATGGCTGACTTTCCTCAGAGAACAAATGGGTCGGCCGAGTATATGCCTCCATCACCGCCGGCGCATGCTCTACGCTCGCAACCAATCCGATCTGGGTCATCAAGACCCGACTCATGTCGCAGATGCACCCTCGAACCCCCGCCGAAGCCAACGTGCCTTGGTACTACCGCTCGACCCTCGACGCCGCCCGCAAGATGTGGCGCAACGAAGGCTTCCGCGCCTTCTACTCAGGCCTCACCCCCGCCCTCCTCGGCCTCTCCCACGTCGCCATCCAATTCCCCCTGTACGAGTTCTTCAAGATGCAGTTCACCGGCCTCGAGATGGGCGAGGCCTCCCCCAACGACCACGACATGCACTGGCTCGGAATCCTCGGCGCCACCTTCCTCAGCAAGGTCTGCGCCACCTCCGCCACCTATCCCCACGAGGTCCTCCGCACCCGCCTGCAGACCCAGCAGCGCATCGCCCCCTCCCCGTCCCACGAAGGCATCTCCTTCCGCGGCGGGCTGGGCCAGGGCGTGCATTCGCGAGCCCCCGGCACCGCATCGTCCGACGGGATGATCAACATGCCGCGCTACCGAGGCGTTATCCGAACGGCGCGCGCCATCCTGCACGAGGAAGGGTGGCGGTCGTTCTATAACGGCATGGGGACGAACATGATCCGCGCCGTACCGGCGGCGATGACGACGATGTTGACGTTCGAGACGTTGAAGGCGGCCATCACGCGGCTGCAGAAGGAAGGGAACGAGATGCTGGATATGGATCATAGATGATCCCGAGCATGTCCGGGACCCCGTCGGGTCTGTGGCATTTGGTGACGTCCGACCCCACGTCCGACCATGTAATCCAGCGGCCCTCCACAGCCGCTAGCCCGTCCTTCTAGATTGATATCCCCAGGTAGCATTTCTTCACGTATTTGAGCATAGCAATCGCCATCTCCGTTCTCATCCTTGTGCATGGGCTAGACGATACAAGTCGGGGCCTTCTGAGGAATGTTTCTTTTCGACTATCTCGGGCGTTGGATGGAGTACGATGACAGGAACAAACTGTTGAAGTCTGGCATCCCCTTGGATTTTGCGATGGGAGGGTTCACGATCTTGTGGCGGAACTGACCTCGTACTCTCCTGAGCATCATCATCGGGCATTTCCACCGCGACTTTAAACTCTTCTTCTGTACATACTACACCTACGAATTTCCAATGTACGGAAAACTGGATTTCGATTACTATCACCGCTCCACGTGATCACTTGCACTTGAACAACAGGAAAGAGGCTTAAGGGTGTGAATCAAGCGGCTCATCCGGCCACCTAAATCTTGATATTTCCGAGCTACATAAGTACACTTTTCGCCACCCAGCCTCTCCATATCGTCGTGAAATCTAATCTGGACGGTTGGGGGTTTCCCACGTCCACGGTCATCTCATGCAGTGCCAAAACCCATCCGATCTAGAATGATGCAAGAAACCGAAAAAGGTCCAGATCTCCCAAAAAACCAAATCTCAAAACAACTCGCAAGAGTCAAGACGCCGTATACCATGCGGGTGCGGACTGCAAAATATTGCTTCCGTGCTGGGAGAGCATCGAATCCGGATGAATTTCCCGGTTCTTTTGGGGGGAACGGTGAGAGCTCCCCGAACATGTCTCCTGTAAATGCGAATAGGACCCGATCGCGTGACGCGGCCGACGATGCCGAGGTACGAAATCCGCTTCCTCGAACCTTCGTAGCTCTCCTCTCGTCGACTTCGCTTCGACGCCAGGGCCCATAAATGATGTGTACCGTAAAAACAGCTCATGAAGCACAATTCATCCCGTCGTAATCGTCATCAACAAACGCGACTGCAACGATCATTGCAGGTCGTCTTCCCTCGGCCGCCGTTTCCACCCCAGACTTCGACTCACTTTCTTCCACGCCCCCTCACTTCTGGAACTGCGCGGCGAGCTGGCTCGCGACGACCCGGATCCCGACGCCGCGGACGTGATATTGTCCATCGACACATCCGCGCCGCCGGCGTAGACGGTGTGCGGTGGGGTCGAGCCCCATTGGCAGGATGGCGGGGTCGTGGGAGGGGTCATCATGCCCTGTTCTTCGTCGGGGCTGCCGCTGGAGGTGAGGCCGTCGACGGAGGAGGATTCGTCCATGGAGACATCGGAGGTGGCCTGGGTGTTGGTGCCGGATGAGGTGGAGGTGGAAGTGGAGAGCGGGGTGAGGCCGCGGGAGGTGTGGTTGCCGATGTTGACGAAAGGACGGGTGAATGGGGTGAAGGAAGATGGGGCGGATACGCGATTGTATTGCGGGACGGGGTGGTATGAATTGCTGGTTAGAGGGGGGGGGGATGAGCGATGTGCGTGGGGATGACGATGGATTGCCCGTTCGTCGTAACTGCGGGTGAGGGCTCGGGTGAGGCTGCCGTCCTTGCAATCTCCGTATTCATTGGATTCCTGAATCGCCGGGTGCGCCGATTGCGGGCAAACGGAATTCAAAAACGGAACGAGTACGCTCTCGGACATGAGTTCGTAGACCTTGTCGACGGCCGGATCGAGGGAGGAGGGATGGGGGGGAAGAGCTTCGGGTCGGGATGGTGGGGCAAGGGACAGCAGCTCATCTCGGACTTCGCCCGGCAAGTTCACCTCACGATGACCGTTCGACGCGATGTACGCATCCATCAAACGTTGCCATAACATTTTAACGTACTGGCAATCTTCGGTCGCAGTCGGGTCATGGAGATTGGCGTAGCGTCCGGCTAATTTGCTGTAGTGTTTTCGGTAACGAGAGGCGTCCATGGTGAACTCGAGAGTTTCTAAGCAGTGATTCTGCGATAGATATGCCATGAAAGCACTAAGTGTCCACGGCGGAGGGGCGGTGTTTGCGAGGATTTCGGAAAGGTTCGGTCTTCGAGCGCAGAAAGGTCCGTTGGCATTGAAAGAGCGAGGAATGGCCACGGTCAGTGGCCGTGATGAAGACATACAATCCGTCATTCTGACATCCGGATGTGTCTTCGTTTGCCCTGAGACACCGGGAAGAGAATTGAAGTCGTCCAGGAAGGTGGAACAGCGGGGAGACGAGTCCGTCGAGCTTATGTGCACAGGGATATCGCGCACTGGTGAACGCTTGACGATGACGGAGGCTCTCAAGGCCGGATCTCCACGATGATCTTTGGCTGGACGACGCTCGCCACCGGCAGCAACCACTTTAGGAGATGCAAACCGTCGCGGCCGTCTAAAGCGCTCGCGGAGCGCCAGCGTGAAAGACTTCGGCAGGGGACTGCCGGGTCTTTCGACAGGGCGAAGGGAAAAGAGGGGGTAACGTCGAGTAGCGTTCTTGAGAGGCCGGTATTTATTGCCCTGGCATCTGGTACTGTGCAACCAACATCAACGTGCCACAAAGGCTCTCGGTGCAGGTTCAAGGCGAAGTAGAGCGGCAATGCCGATCGATCGCCTTCCCAACAAATTGCAGTGGAAAGGGTCGATTAATATAGGCGGTGCGTACGTCCTGAAGATGCACACGGTTTAAGAAATCAGTCAACGGAACGACCGGCACAGCAGCACAGCGTCTGCGGATGCTGCGACGTGTCTAGGTTCCTCTCTCAAAGGTGAGGTGGTTGCTGGGCAGGTCGCAACAATGTGAGACGCTGGAACGCTTCGTGTTCCCCGAGCCGCGTTTCGACACAGCCAACAAGCCAACGGAAGGGCAAGACGGGCTGATGTACGCTTTCGATAGTCAACGTATAAGCCGACGACTTTTCTCTTCACTCTGCACGAAGCCGTACCGTGAAGTGGAGGAGCGATGGGGTTTCTGGAAGGTCGGTACCAGCAGCGGCGGGAGGGACAGAATTGAGGGGCCTAAGACAAGGTGTGTCGACTGGTCGGAGCAGGGTGTGCGGATGGTGGCGCAGCGGATGTGACAAGCAGATCAAGCGGCACAACAGAAGCCTTTTAGCAAGACACAGCTGGGTGCCTGGGGGTGAGGGAGGGTGATATGGACCAGATGGATTGATATCGGAGCCAAGAAGGGCACGGTGAGCGACTTATGAGTGAGGATGGGGTGACAAAGAAGGTAGTAAGTATGTGGTATGTAGGTGTCGATGACTAAAGAGAGGAAGTCAAGTGAGGAGAAAGTCTTGGATAAGCAGGTGGTGGTACGTGTAGTATTAGTATTATGAAGGGCGTGAGAAGCGGAGGTTATGTGCAGTGATGGAGTCGGTGGGCGTACATAAGGCTACATACACGGATTTTGCCTCTTAGGGATTTGACCACAATTGGACGCTTTGGAGTGTTGGTTTGGACACGCGCGAGGAGAGAAATGAACTCGTAAGAAAAGGTAAAAGAAGGCGCTGAATTGCGGTTGCCCCGTGCGCCGCCCCAGAAATTCATGGCCTGTGCACGCCGTGGAATCGCTGGAACTCTGGAAGAAACAAGGAAGGAAGCAGGGAAGGAAAGAGCCACAGAGCCACTGGAGCAAGAAGCCCGCAGAAGCGTCAAAGCGAACATTCCCTCGGTGTTCTAGCGTGAGACCTGGAGGCCAATTACCGCCCGTCATTGTGCGCCCCTGGCCACCGCCCAGCGCTAAACCAAATGCAAAACTCGACAAAGCCGGTCCCTGACCAGGGATGGATGGCCTCATTTTAAATACGGCAAATAAATTACGGTGACTCCGATCCAATGGGATCTCCCACTTGGAAGTTGTTGAATTCAGGTACTATTGTTCTGCATCTTGATGGGGGAGCTTTGTTCGCACCTTATTTCATCATCAGGGCTATGGGAGTTCTATGTGACGTAATAGTAGAAAATTGTATAGAGCTGGTTTATTGTTTCAAGAGTATCGAAATTCGGAGGTGATTGACTGTTTGAGGACTTGAGGTGATTGAGGGAACCGACTAACCAATACTATACATAATAAATAACAGCTCTTGGCACCGACCCCCATCCACTGCTATTCCGCCCACTGATGAATGATCTGATCCAGTCAGAATCAGATGCATGTCTCGTGACGCGCCTTCAGGTGGAGCTCAGGATAACGTCAAACGCCTAAACTTTCTACGCCGCATCGGTGGCACGGACATCTCCTTCGTCTCTCCTTCCTCCCATTTGGTAGATTCGGGCTCCACAGTCACCATGTCTCTAACAAATTGCTGCTAGCGCCGCAAGAACGCGCCGCGCAAAGTTTATGCGCGATTGAGTGATGGCCGATGACAGTGGAATGTGGATCCTAGGCTCCCACTCAACTCTCAACAGTGGCCGCTGGCCAGCACCCTCATGTGGATTCCTTCGCTCTGCATGATGATTCTCGGTCCATCAGAACTCTCTTGAGTCTTGACTTCGGCGTAAGGTGATCTCCTGGCGGTCCTCGCGGCATGGCCAGTGGGCAACGGCAAGTGACGGCCACGGCTTACCGCTAACGGCGTGCGGCGCCCACCATCTGGATTCTGGTGCTATCCGATCTTGCCGCCGCCCGCTGAAGACACGGTTTTGCGTGGTACTTTGCCACCGTTGGACAAAGCCTGAATGCTTGATTCATCATTCAAGGGGCTGAAACCTCAGAAGTGTCTTCGTCAATCGCCATCTTGGCTGTACTCCCCTTTGGGGGTTGCTCCTACAGTCCTACTCGATCCGATGGTCAATATCGCATGCCAAATAAAGGGTCTCCTCATGGCTAGTAGAAATAGTGTGACCGTCAATCCATTCCGTTTGAATATCGATGACGATCAAGGTTGATCTCGTCCCCATCTGATACATGTACGGGCACACCACCGGTGCCAGGTGAGCCGTGAAACGGAAGGTCACACTGCCCTACGGCAGGGAAGGATGGTGTGAGCATCTGGACTCTTTGGGGCCCCATCTCGGGCGCCTGCAGCAGCGGCTCTCCGACCTCCCGCGTGGAGGGGTTTTCTTGTTTGCAAGCCTCGTCAGTTCAGTTGTCCGACGAGACAGACGCGTTTCGATGGGCGTGTCCGTTTGAGAATCTGCAAAAAAAGAATGGTATCCGGTTACGTCGCGTTTCCAAATATTTCAATTTTAGCCGTGAGTTAAGAGCTGAGTCCAGAAGGGCCAGAACGTCGGAAATTTCATAAACACAAGGCGGAATGCACGCTTGAAAGTGGCAGCGAACATTTGAGAATTCAGAGGTCCACACATCGTAGTCGATTCATCAACAAGTTGGCACTTAGCAGCCTTGAATTATCGATCCATGGATGCCTGGATCTTCCTGTGCCTCTTCTCAGTTATCGCAGGGCTGCGCTGACCTGTCATTTACCAGTGTCCAGTCGAGTACTCATCTTCACACTGATAGTCAAGGCGTACGAATGTACACAGCACACCGCACGGAATGTGCATCAGGCTGATGGCACCGAATTGCGTCTGGCACTCTTCAGACCTGACCGAACGGGTAATCCTCCTCTGCTCATTTCTCGGATATCCCCACAGTTCTCTGTTCCCTGCTGAATGCCGATCTGTAAGATGATCGCGCAGACGGCAGAAATCAGAATGCAAGGGAGTGGACGCCTGGACGGAGTACGGACCAGAAGGGGTTGCAAGTTGCAAGGAGACATCGTGAGCCGTGAGGTTAGAACTTAGAAGCGGTCAAGGGTCGCCGAGACAGGATATGCTTTTGCACATCGGGATATGCGATGATTTGCGTGCCTGGCCGACAAGCCCGGGATAGGAGTCCATGGTTTCCAGGGTTTGGTGGTGTGGATGGCGGCGTGGTGGAGAGAGCGAGGAGCCTTGGCTCAGAGATTTATGCACTAGGAAAACGGGTGAAAGACGGAAAGGTGACAGACTCTCTGTGATTGTTCATCACTTCAACGAACGATTGAATGGAGTCTCGACATCCGATAGCCCACAGGGTGTGGAGCCTTTCCGTCCACCTCTCAAGTCTCAGCGAGTCTCCCCTCCCCTCTCTACTTCCCAGTTCTCACCTTCTCCTTCCGGTCAACGCACGGCTCACGAAAGGGCTTGCTGATGTAGTTCTCAGCGGTATGGAATGATAAATAAACCAATGATGTAACACCCATGATGTAACACGTTCCACCGGAGCACGGATTGTGGCGCGATTGGATCGCTGTTTCGCCACCAACCCGCCTTCTAGAAGCCTTCTAGAAGATTGCCCCTTTTCACTCCGAATCTGCACCTCGGGGACGCTCTCGTGTTCGGACTTCGGCCGTTATCGTCATGGGCACGGCGCCGAACCCACCGGTTTGTCAACCTCTCGTAACATGGAGATCTTAGGATGTCTAAGACACATGATGGCATGTCATCGTCCACCGGTCACTGATCCGTGAGGGTTGAGGACATGGTCGCAAATGAAAAGTTTGCTTTCATCGGGCTTGCAACTCGGTCGGCCTCGCGCATGGGATCCAAAAATAAACTTGCCCCCTCCATCGCATGATGAGCTTGAAATTGCTTTCATCTGTTCATCACGCACGCAGCATGGGTATCCCACTGGCCAGCCATTCGGTCCGGTCTCATATTGGGTGAGGGCTATCGATGCATGAGTGATGAGAGTGACTGGGTGAGGATGTTGTTACACTTTATTCATCGGCTCGCTGGAGCGGGTTGAACTGGACGAATGCCTGCCCGATCAATTGACTAGATTGTAGTACAGCCAGCAGATTCGTCGCGGCGTTTTGGGACCAGATATTTAACTTTGGTGCCCATATCCATGCATCGCTGGCTACTTTCGTGGCGCATGATGATTGTCTCATTAATTGATGCACTGAATCTATTGTCGGAGAAATCGGAGGTTCTAATCGGGATATCATGTTGCCCGTCTCATCAGCCAGGTGCTCTGCTCCCTCGTAAGTCGTAGCGTACGGGGACAGTTGGTGAATCACCGACACTCATCGTGTGTGTTGATTATCGTTGAAGGCTTTGCCCGCGTGCTGAACGGGCTGAACTTCGGCGCTGCGAGGTTCTCGCTCGTTGCGAGTTTCGGCGCCAGCCATGTATGATTTCTCATACTGCATGAACCGACTATTGGCGCTTTCGACGCTCTTATGTTGTCGTCCCCCGCTAGCTTGGTTCATCTAGGTCTCAATTTAGGTTTCTGGACGAACGTACAATCCATAATTATACAGCGTACGTGCAGGAAGTGGCCTTCATTCGCTCAATGAAATCCTAATTCGTGGTCGTGTTTCCAACTGGATCGTCGTCGTATCCCAACCGGCCGACTGCAGCTTGTCTTCGTAGGCATGGAAATTCCGGGACAATTCGTCACCGGTCTTTGCTAAGAGCTGCAGGGCAGGTGGAACAGCATCGTAGTCGGTCTTTTGGTCCGCTGGCACCTCAAGACCCTTGAGATCGTATTTCCTTGCAACAAGTAGTGCATGGCACCATGCGCGTACTTGATCTCTTGGTTGACACCCCTCTTTCAAAGCAATATACGCCGTCCGGGTCCTTGTATCGAACCAGAGCACATAAAATTCTTTATCGAATAGGCCGAGAATCTTTTGAGGTGCCAGATCGTACCGATATATGCGTGATTTCCCGCTGGGCCTGGACGCTGCCCCGGGAAGCTGACGGAGAATGGAGCTCAGCTCGACGCCAATCATGCAATGCCCTAGGATGCGCCCATCCACCCAGCGTAGGAGGCCTGGCCGCTCGAATATGCGCTCCAGGTGCGAGGCTTCCTGCGGGGATGGCAGATTGCTGGAGCCAATTAGGCTTGAAAGGACGATGTTGGCCCTCTGTCGGTTCAAGGTACGCAGGATTACCGATCGTACTGCCATGTAGTTCGTCCAGAGGTGGATGGATATCAATATCAGTAGTGATGTCCACACTGCGGAATGCGAGGTCACTCGAGAGATGACGAAACTGCCCGCCTATTGGGGCACTATTAGCCTAACAGCAAGTTAATCACAAAGAACCAACGTACGAGCATCCCTAGGAGCGATATGATAGTCTCCTGACTCGAATCTTTCTGCTGGAGTGTCAGTGCCATCTCAAACTACGACAGCCTCGAATTCCAAGTCACAACTTCAAGCGAGCAAAGATGTTAGAAGACATACAGCATTTAGTTCCGCCAGGTTGCCTTGCTTCGCGAAGTGCGCACTCAAGCTCGCCTTTGAGCTCCCGGCCGCCACTCCGCACAAAGCCCGCAGCACACTCGCCATGCTGAGCATCAGAACCCTCGTCGTCTTGGGAAACGCCGGGGACAAACAGTCCAGCACCATCGCCGTGTCGTTGAAGACGTCGGCTGCGAGCCGGAACATCTTGCATTCAGGCTCCAGCGCCGTCCCTACTCGATGCGCGAATAAGATCGTGGCGATCCGTCCTACCGACTCCTGGATGACTGAGAGCAGGAGAGCCGCAGTCGGCGAGGCCTGCGCATCACCCACACCGACGCCTGTTGACGTCAGCCCTTTCTAGGCTCCTCCACACCCCCTCATTTCAACCAGCAGTCGTATAGGCACCCTGGTGATACTAAGCGTAGGGGCGATTTTTCTGGGCTGCCCCAGGGACAGTAGACAAGGCGGAGAAAGGCTCTGGATGACGCACCTTCGAGAACTGCTCGGGAGGCAAACATGCCCGCAATCGAGCTGGAGAATGCTTGAAGCGAGTCCTACGTAGGTGTCAGACCGGACTCCTAACGGATAGAGTAGGGAGCAATAAGGCCTAAGGCCTGCCGCCTCCTGACCGCACACGTACGTAGATTTGATAACTAACCCACCCAATCCCCATACTGCGTCAGCGTCCGGCTGACTGAGAGACAAACTGCAAATACTCCACCCGTGTTACACACTATATGTAATCCTCAGTGACGCTCTGGGGATATCCCGCCGGCAAGAATACGTCCAGGAGTTGCTCGGGGACCGATTTGCTTCGTGGAGGGGGCTATTTAGAATTGTCATCCACGATGAACTTTCCCTCGTCAAACATTTGAACGAACCAAGAGGTCGAGCCGTTCTCGACCTTCTCCATTTGAGGAGAGGATATACGTCGTTCTGATATTGCCGGCTTCGTCACGCTCGATTATCTCCTGCGGCGTGGTCGCCGACTTTATCCTCGCTGCGTCCATTGTTTACGGTGGCTGCGGGGAGGAAGGAGGAGATATTGGAGACTTTCAATCAATGCTCAATAACCTGTTCTCAACCTCATCGATTAATTAAATAGAATTGTGTTTGGAGATTTGTATGGAAATGAAAGTTGCGCAGGAAAATATGGAAGCTGAATTGAAGTTAAACAGCAGCCCAGGATGTATCCCTGTCGAGAGATTAACCACAGGCAGCTAACGAAAGATATCATGAATTCATGGGCATAATGGTAGGAAAAGCGATGAAACTCATTGATTCCTATAATATACAGTTACCTATTTATTACGACTGTGCCGAAAACACCATTGTTGTGGTTGGCTTATTGTTTAACCCGCTGACATGATTGTTCTAGCTGCAATACTTGGAACTCAATACCATATATTTTCTCAAGTAGTTTCTTTCTGTCGAAGGTGCCATCGTTGGGTCTAGGTGTCTAATAATGGACTGTGATGCAATGAGTTCCCATAACCTCACCATGACCTTGGACATGCGCTATTCTAAAGAATCTATAGATGCAATGATTCCCCCAAATGCCGTAGTATGAGCACTGATGCCACGGGTCCCGCAGTTTCACTTGTTTGAAGGTGAAGCCTGCCCGATGACGGGATTATGTCCAGCAGCCAAATGCGTATCAGTCTCGAGAACCTCTGCTGGTTTGTCTATAGGAAGAGAAATGTTAGTCAAAAAGTCTAGTTAGACGCATGGGAAGGTATTCACTCACCGTGCCGAGCATAAAGTTTGTATTCCTCATCTACGCACGCATTGTCAGCACATCTCCCCTCTGATCGAAAATCAAGACTAGAAATACGTACCAGGAAACGTCCCAACCTTCCCCTTCTCCACGTCTTTCCTCGTCAGATTCAACTTCGCCTTCGGCAACCCCATGCTTTTGAGGAATTGCACGCTGTCCCTCCATTCCCTGTCCTTCCTATTCGCGTCCCAGCTCAGCTCCTCAGACATCAAGTCGATGACCATCGGCAATGCTTCTAGCGCAGCCTGCGCGTTTAAGAACGCCAGTCGTGTCCGACGGGCGATCACGTCAACCGCCGTCTGAGCGTACTCGTGCCTGACCGCATACCGGATCTCGCCATCCACAAACGGGTACAGGGATGAGAGCCGTTGGCCTCGAATGGGGAACCGTAGGCCAGTCGGTGCAGACAATGCGGCGACGGTCCAGGCGCGGTCACCGTACGCCGCGGTCAGGTGCTTGGCGACCTCGGTGTCGATTCCAAAGTGCTGGATGAGGTTGATGAAGAGGGTCTTGGAGTAGCCGTGTGCGCCGACAAGTTTGATACTCTGCGTCTGGCACTGGCCGTTCAGATTCGCCGCGTCGTCGGTGATCCAGGTCCCGCTGATCCGTGGAGGGTGCGTGATCGGTCGGATGGTCAGGTTGAACTCTTTGATGGCCTCGTTGACGGTATCTTCGGACATCTCGCGATACGTTGTCCACTTACCGCCCGAGCAGGTGAGAAGCCCGGATGCGGAAGTGGTGACAAGGTGATTGCGGACCAGCCCCTCGGTCTTCTGTGCTTTCGGATCTCGAACCAGCGGACGGATCCCCGACCATGCTGCGAGGACGTCGCCTCGACGAACGTTGATTTCCGGTGCCAAATAACCGCGAATCTCGTTCAATATCCAACCGATTTCCTCTTCATTCGCAACTGGGTTCTGTGTGATATCGGTGGGAGTGTCGGTAGTGCCCGCAATGGTGTTTCCCTGCCATGGCAGGAAGAAGATCACGCGACCATCGGAAGTTGAAGGATCGATCAGTCCCATGTGCTGAGGACTGTAGTAGCCGGGGAGGATGACATGGACGCCAGAACTGGGCGCCACGATCTCCTGTACGCTGGGATCATCCATCTTACGGATGGCATCGGTGAATGGACCGGTAGCATTGATGACCCCTTTGGCTCGGATGGTGATTTCCGAAGTCTTCTCACCATTCCGACCGGGTACCAGATCCTTGACTTTCGCTCCGCACACTCGACCAGCGGCATCCTTCTCGAGGGATGTTACCTCCATGTGGTTCACGACAGTTGCGCCATAGAGCGCTGCTGTCATTGCTAGGGAGACATTCATGCGAGAGTCATTGTGCGCACCATCTACCTCAGTTAGACTTCACAACTTGACCTGATGACCCAAGCTCTCACCATAGTATACTAAGGCGCCACATAAGCCCTCTTGTTTAAGCATAGGAAACGCATCCAGTGCCTTGCTCTTCGTCAAGAAGTATGAGCTCTCAATGTTTTCCGCGCCCGCAAGGACGTCGTATAGCTTTGTCCCGGACCAAAAGTATGGGACCTTCCACCACTTATCGATCGGGATCATGATTGGGAGCCAGGAGCTGAGATGTGGTGCCGTGTCTAAGAAATATCGCCGCTCTCTCAGCGCCTCTATGACAAGCTTGAACCTGTGCCATGTTCAGCAACCTTGATGGATCCCCAAAGGCGGATAGTTTCACGTACTGCGCGTAGTCCATTTCCCAGAAAGCCTTTTCCAAGTACCGGACGCCGCCGTGTACTAGTTTGGTGCTTTTGCTGCTGGTGCCGCTGCTGAAGTCATCCCTCTCCACCAACGCGACCTTCAACCCTCTGGTTGCAGCATCCAGTGCTATTCCAGTACCTGTGGCCCCTCCGCCAATAATGAGGAGGTCATATGGCTCTTCTTCTTCTATCCTTGCACCTGACAATTGCTCGCCAGCCGGGGGAGAAATGGTCTTTCCTGTTGCAAACCAAGCATTGGGATCGGAGATCTTCCCAAGCGCTTGTCCAATTACCCCCGAGCTTAGTCCGTTGTCCATACCACTCCGCTTTAGAGCCTCAATCTGCTCTTCCCTGGGCTTCACCAATGGGAACGCCGGGGGCCGAAAGACGCCTCCTTCTCCATATGTTGGCGGAGGCACGGTGGCCCTCTCGGAACCGGGAATATGTCGGGGGCGGTAGACGATGTAGAGTATGGCCCCAGTGCCAGCAATGGCACCGCCGGAGTATAGGAGGGGCCGAAGGAAGCGGCTGGGTCGTCCGCGCGCCATGTTTGGCAGTTGTGGAGGTCTTCTAGGAACCCCAAAGGTTCAAGGAATGTGTAGGGTCTTGTATGTAATTGGGAAGCCTCTTAGCGATGTGATAATAAACGGTCGGTTGTCTAGCTCGCAGATTTCAAAGTCGGCGTCGCGAGTCTGGTTCTCGCACGGGTTAGCAATTAGCAAGAGAGATCAACACATAACATATCAAACCAACCGGAGAAATTCTGAGGGAGCACCAGGCGCCGTAGGGGGGTTAACGGGGTGACATTTTCGAGGAGCAGGACACGGTAACCTTGTTCTCGGGGCCGTCGTGGTAAAAACTGAATCGGTGCGGGAGGTATTGTGGAATGGTCGTTGTCTTGACATAGCGCGTTGGATGAAATACTCCCCATTAGCTGTTCTGGGTGGGGGCTGACATGTGAGGGAGTCAAGGGGATGAGTGTTCAGATGACGCAGTTGCGGGTAATTCATGTTCGGGCGAGAAGAGCCCCAAATGTCCCCACACTAATCGGATCACAGCCCGGACTCAGGGGGTAGCTCCGCCGCTGAGTGGTGTAATTTGGTCTTTGGAGTTGCATCCGGAACAATTGAGAATCAAAAGGGTTTCTTGGGTTTCATCTTTTCCTAGAATGGGCAATTCCGGCTAAAAAAAAAGAGTCGTGAAGATGGTGGTGTATCATACCGGCAGGCAAATGCATGGAGGATTCGATCTGAACCATTTTCCATTCCTCAACCGAGTAGACGTTCCTATTAATACATTGCCACGGACCTATCCAAACTACACATCGACTCCCCAATGCGGACTTGGACAGACATCCCCCTATTCCCTAACATAAAACAACTCGTGAGCCCAGACACTGCCCAAGCTACAGCGATCCCATCAATAGCAACCCGCACATGGTCTAACAAAACAATCTCAATTAACGCCGTATACTCCGTCGCTTTTGGTTGGACCCGAACGAACTGCTGCACGGCGAAGCGTTGAAAACTTGGCACGAGGTGCTACGTATGCCCCCTCCGGAAAACCGTGATCGAGTGGTAACAGAAGTAGAATGGGCGCGGCGGAAAAGGCGAGATGAGAGTGGTCGAGCAATCGTTTACTTCGTCTGAAGACAAGGCTCCCTACATAGCGGTTCATCACTTCGGCGGAGGATGGGGAGGCAGACCCGGTCCGAGCATCGACGGAATGGGCTTACGTCGAGTCGTAGTGGTGCGCGATTGGGAAAAGCGAGGAGCCCCCTGAATGACGCGCGGTTCTTTCATTAGAGTAGGGTCAAGTTTCGCAGGGACTACAGGACAATTAATACCGAGACTTTGCCATGGGTGTTGGACAGAGACGGTCTCAAACTTACTTCGGCTGACAATCTGGCGATAGTCCCCTGGAACTCGGGAAGTGGGAGGCATTGCGGCTGCAGACCTCCACAGATGATCGGATGTGTCGTTGAGGAAGTCGGTGGAAGATTTAGAGAACAGAGACGTCCGTCCTCGGTTCTTCTTAGCCATAATGATCTGGTCAAATAGCTTGATTGACGGGTCATTTGCCGGCGTCATTTCTCGCTCGTGGAGGAACTCATTGAAGACTGAAGGGGAAGTCTTAGTAAAGCCCGCAATTCAAACGTTATCACGATACTCACGTTGCGTATCCCTGAGCAGTTGCATATAGTCCGCAATATCATGAGGCAAGTTCCGAATGTAGCCCTCCATGTTGAACTTATACAGCATGCCTGATCGCTTCACGTCTCCCGTTGCCGGTGCTAAGGAACGTCGATATGTATAGAAGAGGCTCGCAAAGCAACGAACAAATGCGGTTCTCACATGGTCTGGCTTGAATGCTCGGGGGCAGACGAGGCAGACCTGCAGGGTGCATCGAGAATGTGCAGAGAGACCACAGCCTAGGTTCAAGGCAGTTAGCGACAAAGCAATCGAAAGATGATGACAACTGAAAACTGAATCAGGAATCGTACCTGAGCAGACATAAATCCCTTCGTCTGACCTCTCGGCACATATGGTGCATGTCGTCCTGTCATCGTACGGTCGCCACTGCAAACAATGCCCTTCGACCCATTGCGTCGTCTCTGTATTCCTCACCGGTTGGACCAAAACGCCCGGCATGATCGTGGACGCCGCCAGGGTGGACTGCGCATACACGGACGGAGCATACGACGACGGGGCGCGGAACTCGTGCATGAGGTTGGACGACGAGGAACTGGGAGTATGGCCAAGGAACGGCTGGCTCGGTCGGCGGAACGGAGGAGCGCCATCGACGCCGAACTGTTGAGACGTGTGAGACGTATGAGACGCGTGCTGGGGTGCGAGCCTCGACCTGCTGAAAAGGCGTCGACGGAGCGGGAGGAAACCTACAGAAGAGCTGCGACGCGACGATCCGTCAAAGTGTCCGGAGCGCTTTTCGCGCAGGGTGGCTTGCAGCGCATAGCCGGAATCGCTCCGAGAAATGGGCGTGCTAGGAATGGGTGGGAAGTGGGTGGAGACGGGGGAGATCTTGGGGGAGGGGGGGGATGGGGCCTTGCCCATCGTGGACGAAGTGGTGGGACGCTCCGAGCCTCTGCTCTGGTCGTTGCGGGCCTGGAGGAAACCATTGTAGATGGGGGGTCGGATGCCGGTCGAACCTGTCGCGTCGCCGTAGGTGGCGGAGTTCACGGCCACGAGGGTGGCTAAAGTTGAGGTGGTGGGTCGATTGCTGAAGATTGTGGGGTTTTCGGAGGAGAAGGAATTGTGAGGGAGCGATTCCACAGCATATGCCGGAGGACCAGTCGGAACACCGAATTGGATGTGATGACGTGCCGAGAGCTGCAACAGTGACACGAGCTTCCGTCGGTGCTGACGAGGCAAGGTCGTCGGTGGCGCAGTGCTTTCGATCAGGTCGGAATCCAAGTCCACCAGCACAAAGTCATCGTCAGGAAGCTCCACCGACTCGTACCGGCGCTCAATGCCCACGATGTATGGACAGGGTGCATCCAGGGCCTGGATGAGTCGCGATGGGAGAACGGGAATGAAGATTCCGCACCATTTCATCGGGTATAGCAGCGAGCAGATGGCTGCGCTGGCAAGATGCAGCATCGAGGTGTGCGAGGACAAAAGGATGATCCGCGATTCCATCAACGCGTATTCCATGAGCGTGACCACATTGGCGACGGAGAGACAGCGGAAGAGCGCGTACAGATCGGTGTTCCGCGCCCCAGGCAGCTCGTTGTGTGCCTCCTTGCGCGCATACAATCGCAATTCTCGAATCGACACCTCCACCTGCGTCTTCGACGAAAGCGGGCTAAGCGCTTCCACACACAAGTTGATCACGTAGCGTTCTAGAGGCTGCCACATGCCGATCTTCGGAGAGCTTGGTGGTACACGCAAGATTGCGCCGTTCGTCATGGGAACGACGACTGCTTTCAGCCATTCTTTCCAGAAGCTCGTCAAATTCATATCGCGACCGAGCACTCCATAAGCGCGCGGGATCCATAGTCCGGTTTCGCCATCCGTTAAACCTTCGATTTTGGATGCGGCTCCGTGACGCACTGGCCGGAGGAGATCCGTCATGAGGCCGATGCGCTCTTCCACCGCGCTGATCTGGTCTTCGAGATGTTCACGCTCGAATGATCCCGATGGCATGTTTGGCAGACGCGCGAGCAAACTTGACAGCTTCGCGCGCTCCACGGCGAGTCTCTCACCAAGGCTGCTCGCCAGCTCTCGCTCCTCCGCGGTCATGTTCGCCTTTCGCCATTCCTCACATTGTCGCTCCAGCGCCTCTGCCGTCTTCGGATTGAGCGGCATCCAGATAATCACGCAGATGCCATAGACCTTGGAGTTGTCCCCACTGGTCATCACGTAGCCGTGCCACGTGGACCGAGGTCTCTCGTCCGCCGAAACCACGCTTATGTCGTTTGGAAAGGTGAACATTGGGACGTAATCGGGAAATTGGGGGCGCCTCTTGAGCTCATCAACCATGCTCTTCGGCGGATATCGGTCGAGCAGGACGGGTTCGTACCTCCGCTTGAGAGGATGCATATCAGGGCTCGTCTTGAAAGGCTGTGGGGTCGGAATGACCGAGTTATATCCGCTAAGACGTTTGGCCGTTCGGATGGACGCTGATATATCGCAGTTAGTACAAAGGTCCCTTCGAATGGGCAAGCTCCCGCTGCTAAAACTCTAATCATGCGAGGAGTTGTTCCGCTTACCTTGCCTTGCCGTTGATGGCTGCCGCTTCAGACTACTCATAGTTGAGATACGCCTCCTCAAAGTCCCGACACTCGATCGCACCCCTCCAGGAGCATCTTCACTTATGATTCTCTGTGTCTTCGGTCGCGGTTTGGGTTTCGTCGTCGGTTGTGGCGCGACCGCTCCGGCGGTGAATTGGATCTCTTCTAAAAACGTATCTCGCTCGGCAGCGAACCTGCGCAGGGCATGCTCGAAGTCTTCATCGGAGAGGCCCGATCCACCGATTGGAGAGGGAGCTGGCCGAATCGTGGCACTGCTTCTGTTGCTTGACGTTGTCGTCGTCTTCTCCAGCCCGGATAAGCTCGTGATCGACTTCCTTATCTCGTAGCTGAATCGGTTCCGTTGCGCGGGTGCATCGCCATTCAGCAACTGTTCTCCGGACTGCCGTTTATGCTCTTCCTCACCCTCGGATTCCAACGCGGAGTCTTCAGCGATCGCCTCGATCGTGGGCTCGGGAGCTTGTGGGGTCGTCCCATTGGGTATCTGGCTCTCATCGACCACGGCACTGGACTCAATGCCAGCAATAAAGAAGAAGTCGGCAAGCGGGGCAGGCACACCATCCTGGCTGGGAGGAATTGGACCCATCTTAGCCATGTCCGCGTAGCATTGGTGAGGGAAGGTGATCGTATAGAGGAGGTTCGAGATCGCGGGGGAAGAATTTGAGGGATCTGCGTATAAACGTGGAAGATGGAAGTATGATTAATTATCCAAGAGCTCGAGAGTTCATGTACGCATCAAATGCGGAATCTTCGTGATTGTGGGCAATGTAAACGTTGTCGTCAAAACGCCGTCTCTTTCGTAGCAAGCGGACGTGGGTTGCTTTTGTACCACCACTCAACCGACAACGACACCTGCAAAAGCGTCCTGTGCACCGCGGCAGTCTCGGATTCAGTGTCTCTATGCTGCGTGTGTGCGTGTGCAAATGTCAACAATTGTGCACAACACCAGCCAGGCACAAGGACTGGAGTGGGCAGTTCAAAGGTTATCGATCGTCTGTTGTCTGTAGTCTGTACAGGCTGAGATCTGCGACTCGGGCTGACTGAACAATACGTCAACGAGGATGCAGATCGAGGAGACAGCAGCGGGCTGCAAGCCCCGTGATTCAGAAATGGAACAGGCCGAAAAGATGGATTGGAATACTGAATTGAAGAGAAACTCGCCGACCGCTAAGTAATGTCTGTTGTTCCTCTCTGGCGTCTGCCCTTCGAGATATTGGAACGCCCTCTCAATCAAGCGAGCCAGGGTCCTAAGCTGGTCTCATGGCGCGAAAGAGGGTTAATCGAGCCGCTGTCGCAGACGCTAAGCGGCGATCTGTGAGAGGCGAGCGTTCGAAGTGAAGGGCGGACGGCGCGGGTGTTCCACGGCAGCTGGAGAGGGGGTAGCGGAATCCCCAGTTGTTGCGGAAGTTTTGGGTGCTGATGATGATGGTGTTGAACTGTTGACGTTTGTTGAGGGGAACGTGTGGGAAGGATACTGGGTCCGTCTGTTTCTAACGCCAGTCGTGGACATTAATAGTTTTTGATACATGGACGAATGTCGGATACCAGTGTTTAGAGATACAGGGAGGGAATTGGAAATAAGTCGGTGTTAGTTAGGCAAGATAGCACCAGACAATCTGACATGCAGCGCCCACTTCCACCACGCCCAAGTCTCAAGTCTCAATAGCCTCATGGAATTCCTTCTGGCCCTATCCAAGCTTCTAAGCGGCTTGATTTCTTGAAGGTGGTGTGGGAATGGGAGAAACAGAGTTGCGAAGTGCGTCGACTAACGCCCGTTCGGGATAAGACCTAGGACGAACAGGAGGTGCGCCAACCGGCCGAGCAATCAGCAAGGGATATTCATGTCGACCCCTCGACATTGACGACGACGACCCTCCCCCGCCAGCCTCCATGGCAATTGGCACCACAGGAATGAGGAATTACACACAGTATGTACCTAATTATACAAGCATCTAGCACCTAGCGTCAGCTCACAGGCCATGGCACTAACCACATTACCACCGTCTACCGCTCTATCTAGTGTAACAGGTGCCAGCAGGGCCCAATGACAGCCCCTCGCACCATCAACCCGCCTTGCATCAGGGGCAGACTTGACTGATCCGGTAGTGGGATTTGGGAGCGATCGGAATCGCTTTTGGCAATGATATTCGGTGATGCGCCTGTGCGTTCCTGATTCCAGCGTCCAGCGACCAGCAGTCCTTGTTTACGACCATCTATTGTGTATGCGTACGGAGGACAGATTACCGAGATATCGCCCTTGCATGTGGATTGTTGAATGATTGTTGATCAATTCCTGCGCTTTAGAATTTGTGCCGTGCTTTTGGTCCTGCCAGTCTTTCAACCCCCTGGGCCAAGGGTAGTTCTGATATCCAATCCTGGGACCCTTTCACGTTCACCATATTCGTATTAAGTTGTTAGAGGGCAAAGTTGATTGATAGCGGGGATAAACGTGCAGACCAGGTATAAAGTACCGAGTATGAATCGGGTATATGGCTGGATTTGGAATTCTGGATCGCTTCAAGACACTGGCTCAACTGGGTACCAGTATGCGGATATTGAAGGATGAAATTTGCTCAGGTACCTATCATCTTTCCTCTCCGTCTGGCTAACCACTGAATCTTACATTCGTACCACTCACTAGGTATCAGATTGTTAAAGGTCGCGGGAGCTATCTGTGGGATTACAACCACGATCCGAGAAACGGGAACGACGGTGCCACGTACTACTCCGCTTTACAGGTCCGGCGCATATGGCTTTTTTTTTGGCGGTTCGCGATCGCAGCTACCCATGAATCATGATAGAGGCAATCAGTATTCCGTAATCAAGCTTAATGAACCCCAGAATATTGTACCCAGAGCAGGAACGCCACCGAGCGATCCCAGATTGCACTCCGCAATATCGCGCTGTCTGTGCACCTTCCCACCATCGATGTATCACAGGTCTTTTAATATCCATCATAATGGCCAGCAGAACCCTCAGTTCGGTCGTTCCAGTCTCCAAACGGCAAATATGGTAGACATCGCTTGCCATGGGGTTTGCTGCGGCCAATCGCGTTCGCCTCGGCTTACCTTGTGGCCTGTGAAACCGTGGGAAGAGTGAGATGTACCCGGCTAAGTACGGGGCAGGAATGGGAGTTGAAATGATATCCCGTAAGTATTACTGACCGGGTTATTTGTAGCAATCCGGTAGACCAACCGAAACGGCGGAAATACACGTGGATGGCATGTGTGAAGAGAACCGTGCTGGTACGATGTCGTCGACGTCGGTTGGAAGTTGGTACCTTGTGAAACAATTGGGCTTCTCCCCTTCCACATGCAAGCATCGAATATCCATGGACTTTGAGAAGATGCCACGGTACCGGATTAGGTACACGGTAGTATGAGCTGGGATGACAATAAAGCAATGCACCATACGTTTATTGGGTTATAACCCGGCCAGTAGCATTATCGCACGTAAAAGTCCAAGTACCCGGACCACGATGATTTCTGCAGCTCGAAGCATTGTATGATGTTGAGGAATCTTTAACTTATATACCGGTAGAGTTCATGCCTCATAGTCTACATAGAGGATAGACCCCACTCTATTATACCCCAACATCGCTCGATTCAGAATCGTAAACGTCATGACTGGAAATTTACTAGTAGCCCGAGCATAACAACCGGGTCGATTTTCAAAGATATGAACCCTGACGACAGCAACCACGATAGGCTCTGTGACGCAATACCAGGCGCCCACAAAATCTCCGAGATCTCATCTTGGTCGGCTAATCCAAAGGGTCCACCGATCGTGGTTTCAAGTGCAGATGTGCGGTGACAGGATGAAACTCATGAAACAACAGCTCGCGCTGATCAGATACGGTGCATTTGCACATCTTCAGCACGTCGTCGCCCGGAATGGAGGGATCTACGGATCGGCTATTTGCCAGAGACGCTCGGTGTCGGGTTGACATCTGTGATCGCCGAGTCCACTATAATTATGGCATTGTGGAGACGGTTGTAGGATGTGAACAGTGATGTCTCGGGGCCGGGTATCACCCGGGACGCAGGACGCTTCAGTGAACGATGAGACTCATGAGGAGCGTCGGGAGAATACGGAGATACCCAAGCACGATCCGACTTTCACGCCGACGGAAGAATGGACGTAAGCCACCCGGTGCTGAGCGACCCCTGATCACCCATCGGCGACGTCCAGTGGATAGATAATTGGCCCAGTATCAGGCGCTTGTCCGGCGTCAGCGACGGCCCTACGTCGGCGCCCGAGTCTTTCGTCGGTTGCTGCTCGAGTAGAAAGGCGATCTGGTAGACATCGCGAGGTCCAATTGTGGGGGACGTAGGGTTCGCGAGATTCAGCTCCCAGTTAAAGGAGCTGGGTTTGAACGGTGGCTTCGGGAGGATGTCCACAGACTATAACACCATTAGCACGGTATACTTTGAGGCAATAGTGACAATGCAAACAGTATACAGACCTGCAAACAGACGGTATGATCGCTGAGGTTCTCCAACTGAGCTTCCAGGCAGAAGCGAGCGCCGTCCTTCTTCGAAGGCAGCTCGTTCGTCTTCGTCCGGACCCCAATCAGAGGCATAGCCACGAACTGATACAACTTCCTGAACGTCCGCATCCTCCCGCCGGCGGCCTTGCCCTCGCTGGCAAACTGCGTCTCGGTATATGACACCGTTACCACCAACGTATGCTTCCCCTCCTCTTTCAGCTCCACACGGAAGATCTTCTGCAGCGACGACCCCGGGGCCACGTCCGCGGCCTCCGCGCCCCCATTCGTCGTGTCGAGATCCACCTGCGCTCCGCCGGGGTTCGACGGCGTCTGCATCTCGGCGGTGATACGGACGCGAGACACGGCGCGCGTCTCGTCGCCTTCGTCAATCTCATTGTTCCCACACAGCGTGCAGGTAAAGAACTCTCCTACGTATGCTGCCGCAAACGACTCCGGGAGGCGAAGAACGGGCGCGATGGTCGACAAGTCGTGCGCGTCGCTGGCGGGATAGCCGCGAGATGCATGGCGGGGGAGGGAGAGGTCTTTGTCCTCATCCAGGGCAGGAAGCGCAGTCTGGCCAGCGAGAGAAGGCCTGGAGAGTCTGGGGAGGTGTTAGTACGGCAATGGGAACTGTATTGGGAGCATATTATATCAACCTGCCTCAGTACCTTCAAGCTCACGGAATGCGGGCCTTTGATGGCATCGCTAGTCGACTGTGCCCTTTGACGGGACATGGTCTAGGTGAGATTGTCTTCCTTCGACTTGACAGCAGTTACATTTCCAATGGGAATTGCAAGGAACGATAATGTGCCAGATGAATAAGGTGAACTGTTCCACGTAATGGGCGACCCGTGATCTCCAAGCATTAGCTATGGTATGCCTTGGTGCCTGGGACCTGAAACAGAAACAGAACTGAAAGTTCCCCCGCATCTCAAGCTTCATTGGTGAGATATTACGTAGGACAGCAACCAGACATCAACACCCCTTGAAGCTCTGGGTACATCACCGGCAATCATGCCGGCAGCAAAGTGGAACAGAAGACCCACTCATGATACAGGTGTACGTGCTAAGTATTAGGAGTAAAGCACGGCATTCCATGACTCTTGGTTCAATGATATCTTAAGGTCTTTGTGAGGTACCTCAGTAGTACAGCTTCGACAGCCTAGCAAGAATGCATACTCATCACATAGTCCCCGAAGCCAATTCGGCCTCACCCTCCAAAATCCGAGGCGTGCTGGACGAGCACCTACCGTCCCTGGATGTATACCAAGACCTCTACAAACATTTCCATGCGCACCCGGAGCTATCCCACCTCGAGTCCGAAACGGCAGCGCGGGTGACCGAAGAGCTCCGGTCGCTAGGCAGCTACGACATCTTCACGAACATCGGGGAGACGCACGGGGTGGCGGCGGTCCTGAAGAATGGCGAGGGGGCGACGGTCCTGCTGCGAGCGGACATGGATGGGCTGCCGGTGGAGGAGAAGACGGGATTGGAGTACGCAAGCAAGACGCGCATGAGGGATTCCGAAGGCGTGGAACGCCCGACGATGCATGCATGCGGCCATGATATGCATATCACGAGTTTGTTGGCGACAGCGAAGTTGATGTTGGACGCCAAGAAAGCGTGGAGGGGCACGCTCATATTGTGCTTCCAACCAGCGGAAGAGAAGGGCGCTGGCGCAAAGGCTATGGTGGAGGGGAATGGGGGGCTGTATACCAAAGTTCCCATCCCGGATGTGGTGCTGGGGGCGCATGTGATGCCTGGACGAGCTGGTAGGTGATGACATCTTCTCATGTTGAAAGGTCCAAAGAGAGCAGTGTGAGCGGAGTGTTATTTGCTAGATACAGGAACTGACCAGCCATACGAACAGGAAGCTTAGAAACAAAACGCGGACTGGTGGCCAGCGCTGCCGACTCCTTTCGGTGAGCGAGTGTACATCCATCCGCTGCAATCACAGTCCTGACAGATAGGGAAGAGTCACGCTTCACGGCCGATCCGGCCATGGTTCCCAGCCTCATCGAACGATCGACCCGATTGTGATGGCCGCCTCGACGGTGCTACGACTCCAGACCATTGTCTCCCGGGAAGTGGATCCATATAATTGCCCCGCAGTAGTTACGGTCGGCTCGATCCACGCAGGCGACGCAGAAAATATCATCCCGGAGCACGCGGAGATCAAGCTCAACATCCGTACGCTTGACCCGGAGACTCGCGCGCATGTCCTCGAGGGGACACGACGAATCATCAACGCCGAAGCCATGGCCAGCAACGCGCCGCAGGAACCGGAATTGGAATCGCTCAGTAACTTCCCGTTCCTCAACAATGACGACGAGGTCACCACGGGCATCGAGACGACGTTTGCCGGCATCTTTCCAGGAAGGCCGCACGGTTATAGCTCCGACGGTCCGCGGCTCGGAGGGAGTGAAGATTTCGGGATTCTCGCGACGTCCGTCAATAGACCATCATGCTTCTGGACGTACGGGGGGACGGATCCCGCAGTATGGGACGAAAAAGAGAAAGAAGGCAAGCTCAAGGAGATTCCTATCAACCATAGTTCGTATTTCGCGCCGGTCATCATGCCGACATTAAAAGTTGCGATCGAAGGCCTGGCGGGAGGGGCATTGACATGGCTGGCAACCTAGACGCGGCATATATGGTAGTGTGCTATGAGCCTCCGCTCTGGTCGTTCCCGTAAACCCAGGGCGGCGGCTCATAACTCTGGAGCGGAATGAATGGCATGTCAGGCATCGTGTTGTTACTGTTCCATAACCCTTGGATGTCATCGTCGTTCCTGAGAATCGAATGGTCCCAGTCCTCCTATACGTTGGAAAACGATCAGCAATGCGAAATATCCAGGTGTTGGTGTGGAGCCACGAACCCATCTCATGTCCATATTGACATCGAACATGCCTCCAATAGGGTCGTAACCGCCATTTTGATTGAGCATGCTTGCGTCGGCCTCGGCGGTCGAGAACAGGAGATCATCAGCAGCTGGAGCGGCGAACGGTGGGATGGCATCTCCCGTTCCCCCTGCGGGCGAAGCGAAAAAGGGGAGTTGCACTAGGGCAGTCAGTGATCCTAACCTCTGCTGCTCTACGGGTAAACGAATCAACACATACAATTCTTCATGTTCTGCTCCTGGCGAACCTTAGCGAGCCTTACGAGTGGCCCCCGAACTTTCTGCAGCATGATGGCCATTGCCGACAACGCCTGCTTCAATTCCGTCGTCTTCGGCTCCGTCTTCTGGAAGATTTCGTACGTCGATTGGAGACCGTCATGTATTTGGTGAAATTGTTCTAGACACGGTAGGGGAATATTGGACAGGTTGGCGTCGCAAGAGTTTTGCTGGTGGTTCGAAAGCTCCAGGCATAGGATCATGGCTGCCAGGAGGAAATCATGGGTGCTGACAGTTGACGTGTACCAACGGTACTTCCATAGCAGCCCGCCTGGCCGACAGGCGATGTCCAGCGTTTTGTGATGCTCGAGAAGACTGATAGCAGCGGAGATGCAGGAGTCCCGTGAGTATTTATAGCGTTCATCGCCCTTCGAGTGCTTGAGGAACCGACGATGAAGCACACATCTCGTCTTCTGATAAAGCATCCCGATGTTGATCGAGCACAGCAGTAGCTCGGTGCTGTGAGTGATCGTTAAATATTCATTCATTCGAGGTGATTTCAAGGATTCCGGCAGCTTCGCATAGGCGTCCTGCAGTTCCCTATCCAACTGCATAACTTCTTCTTCCGTAGGCTCAGTGAGAGCATGGGAGAAATCTGTGGCTTTGCCAAAAATCGTGCTGAGCGCCATCTTCCCGGTCGAGTACGACGCATTCGTCAACTCGGATGTCGGTCGTGCCGGGGGAAGTTCTTTGGAATCGACACCGAAGTCCGAGTCCTATGTTTCATTAGGATGGAACGGTATATTCGGAATGGGAGATCGCACATGGAGGTTACGTGGGCACGCAGTATCAGATTGGATTGCCCTGACCATGCTTGGGAGACCCAGCTGGAACGAACCCAAGATGTCAAATTGATACAGAACCCACCACACTCGCCGCCGCATTTCTCCAGCAAAGGGGGAAATATTGGGGAAATGTTTGGAGTCACGATGATACCCCATTCGGAGCGCCACGCGCAGGATGAGTCCCGTAAGAAGCCACACCCTCATTTGGTTGGCTTTGCCGCGGATGAACTCGCACTCGGCGTAGACCATCAGTGCCTCGACCGTGTAGGCGGTAGGCTTGCTAAAGTCTCCCAATGACATTGCAATGGCAGCCATGCCGTGATATTGGTTCATGTCTGCGACGCATTTCTCAAGGGCATCAGCCGGTGCGGTATCTTGCTCGTCGACATACCGTAGTGTGGCAGACAGAGACATGATGCCACACAACATCGCAATCCAGGTGATGGGGACGTTCGATGGGTCGGACCAAAAGTTATAATACTAAGATGCCAATCAGAAAGGCATTTCAGGCTATGCTGAAGACTACTAACCTCTTGCTGAAATGTAGGGCGATGTATCATCACTGAATTATGAGTTAGATGCTGGTTAATGACATTTTATAGGCAGAGGCTTACTCGTCAATGGATCAAAGGCATTGAACCACCGAGAGATCAGTTCGTCTGCCTCGGGTTTTTTAGGTATCTGCTCCATGAGTTGCGCTCTTCCATATGGGGCTGCGGCACCCAGTATGAAAAGCGGCGTCATCTGAGATTCTGGCAGTTGGGCATCATCCCCTGGAGATTCGTCTGGTTCTTCGTTGTCCCCAAGTTCAGCCTTTACCTCTTGGATCTATGTCATAGTCAGCTATGCTTCGCTCGGCTGCACTTAGCCGCTGTATTGACGGCCCGAATGAACTAGTGCGTGGTGAAGATCGGATAGGGTAAGGCATGGCAACTTACGTCGTTCAAAACAGTTTCCCAATGCAACGGTCCAGACCATTTCGTCTCATCCTTGGAGATCTGCATATTTCCAAATGCCGTGGGGTCCACCTCGACGTCCGTCTGCTCCGTGGTGGTGGAATTCCCAGTCTCCGACGAATCGCCAGGACTTCGCGATGAGTTCGTACTTGTCAAAGGGCTTTCGGACTCTTTCGAAGACTCAGATACTGATGTGGATCTGGAGGGGTTCGACGGATCCGACGATTTGGGACTTTTGTTCTCCATGTTCGACATCAGATCGACAACAAGGCTCTCCAGATGTTTCACCCGGTCGCGCATATTCTGGTTGGGCTTCTTCTTCTGCGGTGGGGCCAAATACGAACACGACGTATCGCGGGACCGCTTGATACACTGATTACACGGGTGTGATCGATCGCACCGGAGTTTCCCCTGCCTGCAAGCCGTACAAGAGAGCTGGCTCCGTGCTCTTCTCTGGGCGGGGTGAAGCCCTTCCATGGTGCGTGCCCCTTCCATCTTACACCGTAGAGTGGCTCTCGTGGGTCTTCAAATGCTACCATAAGCGTCAAAGACAATGATAAGGCTGAGACTGAACGGCGACCAAGACAATGATGACTCAGGATACCAGTGAGTGGAGAGAACTTATGTCCAGAGTGATTCACAACATTTCTTCAAGTGATAAAAACCCCTCCAGCCGTCGCCCGTCGGACCATTGATGCGTAAGCGTCAAGGCTGCCTGGCGCCAGCATCAGCTGCATAGTGGGATTATTTAGTACTTCCCAATACGGAATAGAGTCTAGAGATGTCAAGGCATTTCGGGCTTTTGGCCGCCATGGGTGATAGGCCTCCGGTACGTGCGGAGATAGACGCCCTTAAATGCGGGGGCTGTGGACAGTGGACACAGGCATTCAGCCTTGGATATGACAACTAATTAGGATCCTTGGACCCTGAGACAGGCGAGTGGTGACTTGGTGAATGGTGAGCCCGCAAGGCAGATCAAAGATTCCACCCAAGGATCTTGCATCCTGCATCCTGCCTGCCCAGTCTCGACAATTGTTACTGCCCACTGGTACCTGTACGTGCAGTTGTACCTGAAGTTCTGACCTTAGGCTAGTTCGGATACATCTGATCACCACTGCTCTAGCAGTCCCATCGCCGTTAAACCAATCCCTCCGATTACTAATGGACCACTAACCGTTCTGTGCGTGACTTTGTCTGTCCGATCCGGCCAGGCTAAGTTATGCGCAGCCAGCAATTGCAACCACGGCGAGCGTTGATGGGCATCCTGGGGAGGGCGACAGTTACGAGATGACAGAGCCCGACGATGGCCAGCGACAGCCGTTGATCGGTGACGAGCACGGAGACGATGCCACTGACAGGAATGAAACGCGCCGCCGGGCCGACGCGCGGTCTCCGGTACTTTTCATCTGGATCTTAACGCTGGCGGCGGGGATTAGCGGTCTACTATTCGGATACGAGTAAGGAATCCACCGCTTGCACCGACAGCTACAGCTGCTGACCGCGCTATAGCACCGGCGTTATATCGTCAACTCTAGTCAGCATCGGAGACGACCTCTCTGGCCGCCCTTTGACCAGGCTGGACAAGAGCCTCATCACCTCCTGCACCAGCCTCTTCGCGTTCATTGCCGATCCTCTGACGGGCGCTATATCGGACTCGCTGGGCCGCAAGTCCGTGATCCTGATTGCGGATATCCTGTTCATCGCCGGCGCACTATGGCAGGCGGTCACGACGAGCGTGTGGGGGATGATCCTGGGCCGAAGCGTGGTGGGCTTTGCCATCGGAAGTGCCAGCTTCGTGACGCCGCTGTATATATCCGAGCTCGCTCCCGCGCAACACCGTGGCCGATTGGTTGTCATCTCGGTGCTGATGATCACCCTCGGGCAAGTCATCGCCTACGTCATCGGCTGGTCCTTCTCAGAAGCGCCGCGCGGATGGCGTTGGATGGTCGGATTGGGAGCGGCGCCGGCCATCGCGCAGCTGGCACTGTTCGCGTTCATGCCGGAGACGCCGCGGTGGCTGGTTATGCAAGAGCGGATCGAGAAGGCCAGACAGGTGCTCCAGAAGGCGTATGGGAGTACCACCGACGAGATCGTTGAAACTACGCTGCGACGCATTGAGTCCGAACTGAACGAGGAAAGCCGATTGGAAGGGGTAGATCCGCACCATGCGACCCCCGGGATGAAATCCGAGATTTTCAAGACCAAGGCGCGGTTCTCCGAGCTCGTGCGTGTACCATCGAATCGGCGTGCTTTGATCATCGCGTGTATGCTGCAAGGACTTCAGCAGCTATGCGGCTTTGTAAGTGCGCTCCCCCTCCGTTGCTTAGGGGGTGTCTAATTTGGAATCTAGAATGTCCTCATGTATTTCTCTGCCACGATCTTCGCGCTGGTAGGCTTTCAGTCCCCTACGTTGACCGCACTATGTGTCGCGATGACGAACTTCCTCTTCACAGTAGTCGCATTCTATGCGATAGACACCGTGGGCAGGCGACGGATCCTGCTGTATTCAATTCCAGTCATGGTCGTCGGTCTCATCCTCTGTTCAGTGGCTTTTAACTTCATCGACATCCATGCCGTCCAAGGGGCCGATACTGGAAAGGGGGGACCGTGGCCGATTTTGGTCGTCGTAGCTATGGTCATCTACGTTGCTGGATATGCTATTGGACTAGGGAATGTCCCATGGCAGCAGTCTGAGTGAGTTCTCCCGTGGTATTATTGCATACCGATATCATCGATTCCGATCAAATGATTGCTGACCCTCAAAAGACTCTTCCCACTCACTGTTCGGTCCCTCGGTGGAGCGCTTGCTACCTCGACCAACTGGCTCTGCAACACTATTGTCGGCTTCACCTTTCTGCCGCTCCTCTGGCTGCTGACGGGGCCGGGAACGTTCGCATTGTACGCTGCGATCTGCGTTGCTGGGTGGATCGCCGTGTGGCTTATATACCCCGAAACGGCCGGATTAAGCCTGGAAGAAGTTGGGACGCTGCTCAAAGGCGGATGGCTTGTCAGAGGACAACATCGTGCGCGCGGATTACTTGGTTCGAGCTAGCGAATGGAACGCTGCAATATGAAATTACCAAAATATAATTATGAACAAGCGTTTTTGAATTTGATAATTCTGTAACATGAAGCCTAATTTCCTAAGCTTCTTACCTACGTATAGCAGGTTTGAACCCATCCGTCCCGATGACCTTCCGAGTCATGCTTGAATCATCCCAGCCATCCTCCCAGCCAAATGCAATGAAACGCCATGGACCGTCCCAAATACGGATGAGCGAGTTATCATTACGGTCAAATGAACACCAGCATAAGCAGACCAGCCCATCCCGCCCCACGTGAGTTACCCATCCGAAATCGTACACTTCATTCCTCATCGCCCCGACTCCTGCCCCTTCTCCGCCTCCTCCCCCTTCTCCGACTCCACCTCCCCGTCCTCCACAATCTCATCCTTATTCTCCTTCGCGCTCGTCACCGGATTCCCCAACCCCCCCATAATCCCCGTGATGCTCCCGCTCAGACTCTCCGCCCTCCCGTGCCCTCCGAGCCCCGCACTCCGAATACTCCCCCCATCTGTCACGTTCTTCGGTGTATGGATGCTATTCCGCTCACTCCCAATGACGCCCGCGGGCCCCGAGAGCGCGCCATTCGCACTATACACGCTCGCGCGCTCCGCACTCGCGATGCTCGGACGGCTCGTCCCGATGGCGGCGCCCAGCCCGGCCGACCCGGGCGGCGCGCCGGAGATGGAGGGGTCGACCGCGGTGGTGGAGAAGAAGGAGAGCGGGAGGCTTTCGCGGGAGGCGCCGAAGAGGGCACGGACGCTGGCGTCGGTGTCAAGGGAGTTGCGGCGGCGGCGGGCCTTGGAGGAGGAGGCGAGGGTGATGATGGAGGCGTTGTCGGAGAGGACGTTGTTGGCGGTGGCGGCGTTGTAGGTGTGGGGGTGGGGCATGGTGAGGTGGGAGGGGATGGCGGAGGCGACGGGGGAGACGGGGTATTGGTGGGAGAAGTTGGGGCCGGTCCCCGGGTGGGGGTTTGCGTTCGTCGGGGCGGCGAGGAAGCCGGAGGGTGTTGTAGATTGGATGGTGGTGAGGGTGGTGGTTAGGGATTGATCTGAGTGGTTTGGAGACGAGAAGGTGCTGTCCGCCCGGAGGGAACTGATCCCCCCGGCACCGGTTGCGCTGGTTCCGGCTTTCGACTGCCCGGCGTCGGAATGGATTGTCCCTGGGTTCGTGGCGACCGTTGGAGCGGTCGATTTGTTGCTCTTCTGCATCGTATGATGGTGTTCCGCGTTCTCGAACGAGGTATAGCTGCCATTCTGCTGTGACCGACGAGTAGAGAACGACCGGCCGTTCGGACTGCCTAGTCCTGATGGTCGATGGAGGTGCCCGGACTCGGGGTATGGGTTGTTTTTCAGCGTCGCGTGCTTCTTCGACGGCGAGCCTGTATGTAGCTGGCTTTTCTTGTCCGTCGAAACGGGCGACCCAGATGTCTTCAGGTTCGCCAGTCGCTTCATCCATGCGAAGGGGCGGCGGCGGCTGTTTCGGTCTGACATGTTTGACGGCTAGTCAGAACCAGTCATAACGCAGAAGTCATAGCAATATCGTCTTCAGCGAGAAGTTGCGGGAAGTCCGTCATTCAAATAGCGACGGTAAGCTAACGTACGTACCATGGGGCCGAGTTGCGGGTGCGGCAGTTGCCATGCTAGTCTAGGATTTGACCGTCAAACTCTGGGGAATGGTCTTAAGCGGGATAGACCAATGTCCCAGAAATAGGTTTGGGATAATCAAGCAATGCGATCCCGTGGACGATAATATCCAGAAGGACCGGACTGGTGCCTGGTTGGAGAGCCGTTGTGGTGTTGTAAGGGTACAGGAAACAAAGAATCTTCGTTACAGTCGCCGCTCGGGTATTAAATAGATGTCTCTCGTTGGTCAAGCGATGTGCAATTCGGCAAGAGTGTGCAGGGTGATATGGAGATTTAGGCGGAGGTGGTTTACCGCAGGTGGTTTACAGCAGGTGATTTACCATAGGTTAGGAGGGAGGATGAGTTAAGGTCCGGTCTTGGACATGGATGGAATGAAATGATCTGTAACTGAATCGGAGATAATTACAGAACAGGAGGCTGACAACCTAGAACAGTCAAAAGTACATTAAGGTCCAGAATACTGATAGGTCCGGAATACTGATGTCTGAATTCCGATACCTGAATTCTGATACTTGAAGTCACCCTACTGTGGATCGTCTCACTAAGTATGACAACTTCCAAGTCACAGCACAATTTCACTCGGTGATGGAGCGCAGCTTAACTGCTTAAGACCCTTGTCTTGCTACTCATGCTACCAGCCGTCAGCCTTGTCCTGTCAACTCTACATGCACCTGTGTGTTCTCTAATCACTTGAACCTAGGGAAGCCTTGCAATCACGAAACATCAAGCTTGTCAGGCTTGTTTGGTTTATTCTATATCTTGCGATCCATTTAGATGCTACGCTGTAATAGGTCCTTCGGGTACTGACCTCTGCGCAAGCGAGATTGGGAATTGACAAGACTGTCGATGCGGCAATTGTCCATGCGTTCGTCACCTTTTGCTGTCCATGTTTGATGGTCAATCATCGAACGCGGAACAATGCCGAAATAGAACAATAGTTGGAAGTCAACCCCTGCGTTCCTCGTAATGACCAGGAACCGGCACTGGATTGAAGATGGCACTTTGGGGAGATGGTGGTGATATTGTCGATATGCACCCATTGACGTCAATCCGTCGCCTTCCGGACGAAGTCGTCGCTCAGATCAAATCTTCAAGCACGATCACCTCTCTATGTGCTGTCGCATTAGGCTTGATTAGGAATTCACTCGATGCTGCAGCCTCACGAATTGAGATTGAAGTGGACTTCAATCGAGGGAACTGCATCGTAGAAGATGATGGCGTTGGAATCCTGCCTTCTGAGTTCCATGAAGGTGGTGGTCTCGGGAAGCAATACCGTTCGTATAAATATAATGTCATGTCTACGCAGCGTCTAACTTCTTTAGATACGTCAAAGTTTGACTCCGAGACGGAACTGTACGGTAACAATGGGCTCTTTCTCTCTGCCTTGAAGTCAGTTTCCTTGCTCACAGTCTCGTCTCGCCATCGCACACATAAGTCTTGCAACAGCGTTGTATTTCACCGTTCCAAAGTCATGGCACGACATCTTCCCGCTCCCGTTCACCATGAGCTGTCTAGAGGAAGTCATGGGACACGAGTGATGGTCCGCGATCTCTTCGGAAACCTCCCTGTTCGCGTTAAGCAGAGGGCAGCGTCAGCAGATTCCAAGGTCGAGACTGAACGGCTTTGGGAAGATCTCAAGAGGTCGGTGGTCGCTTTGCTTCTAGGCTGGGGCCGCGAGTGCGCCTTGGTTGTGAAAGACCGCGCTCATACATTTTCCTTCCTTCCTTCGAACGCATCTCGCTATCGTGGAGAGGCGCTCGGAGATGTCTCTCGCCATTCATTCGATTTACCGTTCAGCTTGTCCTTGCTAAACCAGTCTCGTCTGATTTTGAATAATGACCCAAAGCAGTGGATCCCAGCTGCTGCTTCTTCTCGTGAGCTCGGAATCAAGGGCGCAATTTCGCTGGAGCCATCGCCTACCCGACAGGTGCAGTTCATCTCTTTGGGAATCCGACCTTTGACTGCCGAGACAGGCCACAACGTTCTGTACGAGCATATAAACCGGCTGTTCAATCTGTCCAGTTACGGTCAGACTGACCAGGACGCGGAGTCGGATGGTGAGAACCCATCCCCTTCGAAGACGGGTCGGGACTCCCCTGGGGCGGACTTCACCCTTCGACAGCTCCGGGCATCCCGCAAGGGCGCGGATCGCTGGCCCATGTTTGTCCTCCGGATTACCATTAAGCAAACTGAAGAGCATTCTGGTTTGAACGCCGACATTTCGAACGAGAGCGGACTCCAAGCAATCCTGGACATTCTCAATGTCATGGTTACTCAATGGCTGGCTGCTCATCACTTCCGCCCGAAGAAGTTGCACATGGAACGGCGACAAACGCGTTCACCAGCTAAGGAAACCCCTTTCAAGATACTTTCAAGAGATGCTTTGGATGATTCGGCTAGCTCACATGGCCAGCCTGCTCATCCTACACTTCCATCAACAGCCCCTTCTGCTGGGTATCTGAGAACGCCTCAAAAGAGGAAGCTATCTACTCCTAATGACTTAACTCTTCGGCCCAAAACAGCGAAGTTCCAGGATGGCCGACTTCCGGCAGACATAAACCGATCGGTGGGCTTTTCTGAGAATCGGCCAACGTCTCCCGCTGAATCGACCTCTTCTACCCGTACACCCTGCGAGACTCCAACGAAGAGTACCTCCTCCGCCGCTCTACAAGATAATGAAGACATCCAGCAAATGCAAGGCGCACAGGATGTCGAAGCCATGGTTTGGACGGATCCTGTGACCGGGCAAAAACATCTTGTCAATTCCAGGACAGGCGTCCTGCTCCCTCGAAAGATTGGTCCCACTCATGTTGACCGAGGGCAGCAGTCGCGCTATGCGTTCATTCTCGAAGAATCTAAGAAAGCACACGCTTCGCATAAATCAAAAGCAGGCGCACAAGAGAGGGAGGTTCCTGAAATCACGGGAGGATGGCTAGCCGACGTTCTCAAAAGCTGGACCAATCCGGTATTTCCAACCGCCGAGAATCATATTCCGACGGTTGGCTTCACCGCCCAATTTGGCGACACCAATAAGGACCGATCTTCACGGAGCAGTACAAATGCTATTAAACAGGCATTCCAAGAGATCTCACCGTCTACAGCGAGTCGAATCTCAAGGATTTCTTTACAGTGTGCCAAGGTGCTCAGTCAAGTTGATAAAAAGTTCATTCTGGTCCAGGTACCGAGTGACGCACATCCAGGCGCCGAGCTACTCGTCTTAATCGATCAGCATGCCGCCGATGAACGGGTCAGAGTGGAGGCTCTCTTGACGGCACTGTGCGAGCCGCCACCGAATTCCGCGGTCACAAAAGGCGACATCATCTCGCGCCGCAACCACGTCCAACTATCAACCCCGATTCAGTTTCAAGTCACGCCCCGCGAGGCGGATCTCTTTGGACTGCATGCACCGTCGTTCGCCGACTGGGCGATTGTCTACGATATCCTTCCTTCAACCTTAGACAAGCGGCCTCGATCCGGCGACACTACCGATGTTGATGACAACCGAGCGACGGTGTCGGTGAAGACCCTCCCGACCACCATTTCCGAACGTTGCAAATCGGAACCGAAAATTCTAATCTCACTGCTTCGCGCCGAAGTCTGGAAACTGGCCGAATCGTCGGGCGGGGGCTCCGGCAGCTGGGCACGAACACGACCGGTCATGGCTCTGCAGAGTGATGAGGGCTCGAGGGACACGACCTCCCCGTCGTGGCTGAAGGAGACCCATACCGCGCCCGTGGAGCTCATTAACCTGATCAACTCCCGCGCATGTCGCAGCGCGATTATGTTCAACGACGCACTGTCGGTGGCGGAGTGCGAGGACCTTGTGAAGCGGCTTGGAGGTTGTGCGTTTCCGTTTCAATGCGCGCATGGGCGGCCATCGATGATACCGCTGGTGGAACTCCCGGCTTGCAATGAGGGGGGACAAGACACTGAACGCGGACCTAGTTTGGGGCTTCAGTTCCGAGGAGCAAATGATGGAAAGCCGAAATTCGCGCAGCAGTGGACGAGATGGAGAAAAGAAGAGCGAGAACGAAATAGAAAGACTAATGAAATGGATTAGCATCTGGACACGATTTACGGAATATTTATATTTACGCTTCCTATTTGCCTACCGATACCGCTGAAATATCGATGAGTAGCTCCGATCAGCACCTCAGGCACTGTCCTTCTTCAACACGCTATCCGGCGTGGAAACACCCGACTCATCGGGACGACCTATCAATGCGCTCGGGCTTGGCCGATCCGCCTCCCAAAGCGACCATCTGGCTACCCTTCTCCGACGATACCAGTCGCGGACGCGGTGTTGACGTCCCCGGTGGCAACAAAGCAGCGCGGCGATCCCGACTGCGAGGACGACTAGGAGGAGCAACATGCTGACAACGGTACCGATGAAGACCTTGTCCGTTCGAAGGCCGTTCGCGCTAGAGAGGATGGGGGGACTTTCCGGGGTGGAGGTGGTTGGAGCGGACATGTCGGGCAGGGGTGGTTCGGTTCGGCGTGGGGTAAAGGAGTGTTTGTGGGTAATGAAGAGTGCTTACGGACTTTGAGAGGCTAGGTGTATATTTCACAGGGGCGTCTGGCGATGAAAAGGTTAGGGAGGTTTATGGAATAGTCACATTGCGGATATATATCATTGTCATGGGATGCTAGGTTGCCTACAACGGCTCTGGGGAATAGACAAAGGTGGCTTCTAAGAAACAGCAACTCAATGAACGACACAAAGAATGAATACGAAGGAAAATTGCGTCGCATCGGCTCTGTGTGGACAAAGAGATGTTGCTTTCGGTGACTGAATGGATATGAGGCCTTGGAGGATCAGATCCGAACTAGTATAGGCATAGGAGTATCGAGGAGACTTCACGATACTCTAATTAGAATACTTAGAGAACTGAGAATATGCGGTCATAATTGTTGACGTGGCTAGACGCCGCAGGCAAATGAAGGACACATATGGTCGACCATACAGTCGCGAGCAGATTCGGCTTCCCGTTTTGCATTTTGGATTCTTCTCAGCGCACGGATGCCTTCCATACGCTTTAATACCTAAATGGTCTTAAAGTTAAACAGGGATTGAGCTAATGCTGATCTCAAAAGAACGTTGTTAAAATGCAAAGTATATGGTGGCAACGAAAGGCATTTGGCTGTCAATTGGGTACACCACGTGGTACATCAAACCAACGATTATTACCAATTCGAGAGCAGCATGGAAGTTACAGCATATTGATTTCAAAGCAATAGCAGTTCTTGTCAATATTATACAGGATATATAGAGCGTGGATGACTTTAGGTAGTGGGTGGGGAGGAGGCTGCAAATGATATACCGCTGAAGGACTCCAGCAGCTTCACGACACCCTCGTGCCCGTTTGCGGCCGCCCCCGACAGCGGCGTCACATCGTCGCTATCCTTCGAGTCGACATCGGCCATGGCCTCGAGCAGCAGCTTGACGATACCTTCGTGACCGTTTGCTGCCGGCCCCGACAGCGGCGTCAGACCGTCGTTATCCTTCGGGTCGACGTCGGCCTTGGCCTCAAGCAGCAGCTTGACGATACCCTCATGCCCGTTCTCGGCCGCCCACCATAGCGGCGCCCCGCCGTAGTACTCATCCTTCGAGTCGGCGTCGGCCTTGGCCTCGAGCAGTAGCTTGACGATACCCTCGTGCCCAAAATATGACTCTACCATCAAAATGCTTGTGAACTGTGATTGGACTGCCACTGGTGAGCCATCCGCCAGTACACATCGAACCAAGTCTTGAACCGCTGGGATCGTGTAGCGCAGACTCGGAAAACCAAGTCCGACATTTGCTCGGCTGCACTATGCTGCACTTTTCGACAGTGGGCAGCCCAAAAACCTGCCGCATAATCTAAGTAGCCGTGTTTGACTGCTGCAGAGATCTGATCTGTCGCTCCATCAAATTTAGTGAATGAAAGATATATAAGGCATGCTCTGGCCATAAGGGTCTCAGAATCCGTTGGAACACGAGAATGTTTCCATCCAATAGTAGCGGCCTCACTTTTCGCGAGAAGGAATTCTTTTGCAGTCTGATGGATCAGATAGACCTTTTGATCCACAACAGTCACAAAGAGCCCGCAGAGGTGTCTCACCGACGCTTTAAACCTCTCTTCATAGTCAAGATCAGGTTCAAGGTCGTTATAGGAGCGATGACGGTCTTCTATAGCTAGAGCGATGTTCATTTCCCTCAGCGTAAGAGGCCTGGTTGCTCCAACAACGATGGAGAACAATTTCCGTGCTTGTGGTCGATCATCCTCGATTTTTGCAAGAATCGCTTCGTATGCTTCATTAACTGTAGACGGAAGGTCACTAATAACTGCCTTCAGTTTCCGACTTGTCGGTCGAATCATTTTGCGAATGATATCGAAAATGAGTGTTAACCAGAGGTATGTTCGGTGGTTCATCTTTAACAGCTCTGTTTCGAGATTTGACTATTCTGAATTATTGAGCTTGAGCTCAGATCCGAGTTGAGATACTCTCCATTTGATGACTAGGTCGATCTCACGACTGATTTCATCTGATTCCTGCTCACCGTGTAGCCGAATCGTAGGAAAGTTAGAAGTAAGATCAGTAAAGCGCCGTTCGATGTCTGGGTAAGGACGACTAGTGATACATATTTTAAGTCGAGATGTATTGTTTCTAGAGCTTGCTTGCTGGTAGAATGAACTGAGAGCGTTAATAATCTGATACTGCCCTGCTTCTGCGCATTCGTCGAGGGCATCTAAGACACAAAAGACTTCTCCGGCATTCCGATCAGCCACTATCTTTATTAGAATACTCCAGAGTATATGAAATGATTGAGAAAGTTTATCTCCATTAGCGGTGAAATCCAACATAGCGTGTTTGATAAGTGCTGGTTTCTGCCGAAAGAACTGGTGGAGTAGTGCCGCAAGCGCTGTAACTGCACTTTTCTGTACGTCGTCGTCGTCTTTGAAGAAGAAGTAACAAGTTGTGTGACCGTCCGTGTGTTTGAGGTCGTCGGCAAGAGATTTTGAGAAAACAGATTTTCCGCATCCAGGATCCGCAGATATCCAAAGAAGACTTGAGGAGCTGCTGTCTTTCCAGTTTCGGAAATTGTCATGACGGAGAACCCATCGGCAGGTATCTCTAAGTCGGCTATCGTTCCTGTCTTTGAACTGCTCGTAGTCGGAAGCTGAATTACGCAGGGCTTGCATACATTCTAGTTCCTTGTCGTTCCATTCCACTTCGCAGATTAGCCAGCTAACTAAAAAATTCGGCGGTTGAATTACCTCGCATATTGCCTGAACGCTTATCGATCGCCTCTCGAAGCCGTTCGAGTGCTTTTCTTTTCCTCTCGCCATAGGTGACTGGTAGGGAGACGTCAAAGATTCCCATGAGGCAATATGCTTGATCCTCTTCCTTCGTGGTCTCTCGCTTTTCTGCCCATGACATTCGCTCATTGTCGCTGAATTGAGACACATGTCCTCGAAGTGCGTCAATTGCAATCCCAGTGATCTTATGAATTTGCTGTTCTAACGACTCTTTATCACCAAGTCGCTTGCCGTCTCGGGAGAAAAACTCGACCGATCGCGGAGCAAGAATCTCTTGTAGTGTCCAGCCTCTGGTGAACCATCGACTCTGTCTAAACGCCGATTCCCATAGGACCTCTGAAGACCGGGTGTGCTTTCCTGTTGAAACGTCAGAGATACACATAGCATTTTGCTGCATCCCGGTACCAGCGAAACATAGAGTTGATAGCCTCCGTGAGCTCGGCGCTACTTGACTTGTCGATGCAGATGGGATCAACCTAGGCGAACATACTCAGTACGTTCTCCTGAAGGGTTAAACCCCTGGGACCCCCTCACCAACCGAGCTCCATTCCCTTTGCGCAATACTACGATTTGCCGCCAGACAAAAGTAGAAAAATAATAAAAGCATAGCCATTTCTCGGGGCATTCCGTATAGATATATATAAAAGGCTAGTTATAACTTGTGGTCGAGTCAATCTAGCCGTCGTCCCAAACAGGCCTCTGGCCTAAATGGGCTCCGCTCCCCATGCTGACCGAGCCCAATCAGGCTCCTTAACCATTTATCGCTGTTGCAAAGACAGATAGTTAGGAGAAGATGTAGATTACTATGGAGGTGACGTATTAGAGCTTAGATATTACCTCAGGCTCTCAGGCCCTTCAGTGGGACGCAAAGGCGCTAACCCAAAATGGGTCACCCACACGAAGGGCCTGAGACAAATTTGAAATTTTTTGGTGGCGTTGACGTTCGTGGCATGCAAATTGGTGAGCATTCAGGTCAACATCATCAGCTTCATGGAATGATTCTACGCGCAATATAGACCAATTCTATCTCAAAAATTTGGAATTCGGAGCTATGGATCCCAGCTATCGACCATTCTGCTACACAAACTACCGCGCCCCCCTGATCGCGAGTCCTTGCCTTCGATGTTGGAGGCGGTAACAATGAAGATGGAGCAGATGCGCCATTTTCTGCTACAGTCGAAGAAGAAGATCCTTTAGAAACCATATTCAGAGATCGGCTGTCCAAGAGTTCTACGTCAGTTCAGCAAGCATATACGAATCAATAGGCAGAAGGAACTCACTCTCTTCCGTCCTTAAGGTTCGCTGTTAGTTATTAAATAGTTCTCGCATCTCCAATATCAATGCTGCAACCTACTACTATTACTCAGGTCTCAGGATTCTTCATGACTACTTAGCCACCTCGCCTAATGAGATCGGGGATTTAGGAATATGTTTGGTTGCCGACTTGGACGCGCTGTTTGGCTTCGTACTTTGACTTGATGTCGATTTCGAGACGAGTTCGCAGCGGAGCTTGGAGGGGCAATTTGCATGCCACGAACGTCAACGCCACCAAAAAATTTCAAATTTGTCTCAGGCCCTTCGTGTGGGTGACCCATTTTGGGTTAGCGCCTTTGCGTCCCACTGAAGGGCCTGAGAGCCTGAGGTAACTTAGATACAGATGAGGTGGTCACCTGACCATATATGCCTGAGGCATCAAGGCAGGATGCCCCTATTGATGCATCCGCCATAACCATAACAATCGCAGTCCAGTACGGAGTACCGTAGAGCGTACGGAATACCAGACTCACGAAACAGGCCCAGGCAACTTGTCACAAGATGCCCCTGTTGGTTTCAATGCCAATGAACAATCCTATCGCTGCCCATTACTCCCAGACTAAGCCTTATTAGGACTACACAATCTTTTCCTTCATATTGAGATTACATCATCGTAAAGTCAACACGAATATTAGATAAAAGTGCGAGCACGCTAGGCAGCTCACCTCAAAAGTCACAAATCGAGCATTTAGTACCATCTTCCATTCATTATTATTCTAATAAACACACATCTCCCTAAACCTAAACCAAACATAGTCATCGAGACGTGTGGATCCGTTTAGCATCACTTCACTACCCTTCATCTCCTCTAGATCCCGAAGAAAGTTATCAATATAACCACCGGCGGCGCTAAGATGAAGGATGCGTCCGATAGCACTATGAACCCTGAGGAGATAAGGAGAAGGCGGTTCTATACTTTGATCAGGTGTAAGAAAAAGGCTAACAGTGACAGGGAGCCTTTCAACCCGACCCATGCGGTCTGGATCTACGTAGTCAATTCGGTATGTATGCGGGTGGGAACCAACCGGTTCAAACGCAATTTCAAAGTTACCGAATAGCCGATGAAGGTCGTGTGTTAGGGTCAACGCGTTCATCGGTCGGTCAATATCAACGCCATCAATTAGGTGGATAGCGCCGGGGTTGAACATTGTTAGGATTCTGTGAGCAATTTGCTTTGGATCTGCCTAAATATTGTCAGATATGGATGAATGATTGGCCATAATATGCCTACTTACAAGTCTCCATTCACCTCCTTCACCAGTAAGTGACTTGAGAGAGTGAGGTATTATGTGAGCGACTTCCAAAAACGTCATAGTATCACGTTCTGGAAGTAGTGAGTTGCCATCATCGTCTTTCACATCACGTCCATGCTCTTTATATCGATTCTGGCCTTCTTGGGCGTCGAATTTCCGAGTAATGACACATCGGTAGCGGTCACGAATAAGGCAGGCTTTTCGCAGGTTCGAGACACGTTGAGGGGTGCCGATGGCGATTTCGGGCGTTTTAGTTCGAGAAAGAGCTGGAGTAGGTTGAGGAGTTTTACCTGCCAACGCTCTTACTAAGAACTGTCAGTGTTTTAGATCCCGCGTAGTCTAGATACTTACGGGGTAAGAAGAAATTGTCTACCAAATACTTGGCGAATGCAACAAGACTTCCACTTAAAGCGTTTTTCTCTTCAGCTGACCAGCTAGAAAAGCTAGTAAGGTGTGATAAGACTCGATCAAGACCGGTTCTTCTATCACTTTCCCCAAGCAGGTCTTGCTGGATAAAAGATAAAAAGAAGCTCAAGAATTCGTCTTTTTCAGAAATCTCGTTTTTCATGAGTCTGATAAGAGTGACTGGTTTGTAGCTGCTGTCCGTTGCCTGAGAAGGCTCAAAGTGCAGAATAATCTTGTCGAAAATTGGAATCGCAAGGTCACGGTCCTCAGGCTTCAAAGGTTGCGACAAAGGAACGATAACTCCTTCCAGGGATGAACGGTGCCGGCGAAGTGGGTGCGCCATTATGACCGACTAGGCATGCAAGATGCTTGCCTGCAAGTATTGACACTGTCACATTCTTCATGTATCGTTGTGTGGAGTGAATGGTTAGAGCGGCGTAGCGGTGTTGCGGCGGCAGAGAGGCTGATGGTAAGTTTCAGATCCGGATTAACTACTCACCGCGGTCACTTCCCATTGGGTGCGCTGACTAAGGCCAGACATGACATGATTAACCAATGAAGACATTCCAATAGCTTGCCTCTAGCCCTCTACGTACGTGTCCGTACTTCCACTCCGAGTCTCTTAGCCAGAAATTCAACAAGACCTTACTTGGTAATTAAGGGAGAGACACAGTACTACCAGAGCTGAGCGTTTCTCACGTAAACGATAGCAATACACATTACCTTGGCAGCACTCAAGGTTCTTTGCAAGTCTTGATCGAATCTGGTCTTCATGTCTTTCGTTCCTCCGTCCAGATACATAGTCTTCGTCTATATCAAAATCTCCTGAACTTGCGTCGTCAGAGTCCATCCGCCACTCGTCCAACGTTGCTAAGGAAGATATAGTGTCAGGACGATCCAATTCCAGAACTCGTAATTGGCTCTTGCGCAGTTTCAAAGCAGGGATAAGTGGTCGTATCGATTCGAAAACAGGCAAGGCGAGGCAAAGGGCGGCAATTCAGTAGGTAGAAAGCTGTGTTAATTGATTGCTACTTAACCAAGAAATATATTATTAGATACCGGCTAAAATTTGTTCCATGCCCAGGGGTCTTGGTCAAGCTGCTGAAGGAAATGAATGACCGCAGATTTCTGAGGTTCTTGATGCTAGATCGACCCGAATAGATGCATAAGGGATCAACCTAGGCGAGCATACCCAGCAAGTTGTTCTCATGGGTTAAACCCTCTCACCAACCAAGTTCCATTCCCTTTGCGCAACACTACGATTTGCCGCTAGACAAGAGTAGAAGAATAATAAAAAGCATAGCCATTTCTCGGGGCATTCCGTATATATAAGAGGCAAGAACTTGTGGCTGGGTCAAACTGGCCATCGTCCCGAACTGGCCTTTCACATAAATGGGCTCCTCATCCCATGCTGACCGAGCCCAATCAGGCTCCTTAACCCAAATAGCCTTTTATCGTAATCCAGCATTACCGTACTAGCCTCACGAAACAGAACCCGGGCAACTTGTCGCAAGATGTCCTCGTTGATTTCAATGCCAATGAACAATCGTATCGACCACCACAGCAGGTGTCCTTTCTAGTCCCGCCTACACACAGGACAACCGACAAATCATGTTTTGAGCGCAGCGACCATGGTAGGCGTGTCATCTGCAGTTAGCATTATTGATGGAGGTTAGCTCTCCGAACCCATCGGCACAGTTAATATAATGCTTCATCGTTGTCTAGATAGTGGCACGGGAAGCAAGCGGCCCGCTATTACCCAAGAAGGAGGGATATTGTCATCTTTAGGCCATTCTCCGGCACATATAAATCTGTAGGGAAAATGTCCTGGAATTTCGCAGGTCCCTTGAGGGGGGTTTGCGGGTTATTTTCCCTCAGCTGAGACCTACGTGACCGGGAACCTCTCACTTGTTTGAAGTCTTAAGCTTCAGTTTGAACTGTTATTTCGAGCTCTTGCACTTTTCACCTTTCATGAACAACCCTCTTGCCAATTATAACTTGAAGCTTGCACCTGCCACCTGCTGTCCTTATGCGACGTCTAACATCTTAAGCACCCACTATGTCGTCTCCGAAAACGTCCGCGACACCCTCCAGAACCCCCGATCCTCTGAATCCGCCGCAAAGTTCTATAATGCCTTCACGCAATCGGTCACTAGGTCGCGACGTTCATATCTACGATGCCAGCGACCGCACTACTGTTCTCGGTGGTCTAATTCTTACGAATGGCGTCACGAATGCCAACTTCTACTCGATGGTGGAGATTCTCGTCTTGTTCACAACTGCTTTCGAACTACAAAACGAAGAAGGCACCAAGATCCAAAGGACTGATGATCCACTTTGGCCGGGGAATTACTACATTCATGCCGCTGGTAAGTGTACAGCCATCTTATCATACCCAGGCTAATCTTTACTCCGAATATAGGTTCTTTCGCGGTCAACAACGAGTCGTGGCTAGTCCGTACGATATCTGTTTCTACTGGAACTCGTACCCATTGTTTCCGCGATGCTGTACGCTCACGAGATCGTCGGTGCGTTATATCTGGAGAGGTAGCAGTCGCGGCGCAATTCGACCGCTGGGACAGCTTTGAGGCCGCACATATATTTCCAATAGCTTACGAAGGTCATTGGAAAGATCATGGCTACGACCGCTGGATTACTATTCAACCAGACGATGGCGGAGCAATCAACTCAGTACAAAACGGGTTATTACTTAATTCTGGCGTACACCAACTCTTTGACAACTACATCCTCTCTATTAATCCAGACGTATGTATGTTATATACTCTTGTAGCTGTATTCTGGCTAACTAACACTATTCCAGGATGATTATAAGATTATGTTCTTTGACCTTGATGGAAAAGGTCTTGCCGGCAAGCATCTCGACCGACAGCTACTTGATAATCCTCAACGGCCAATTGATCAACTGCTGCGATGGCATTTCAGGCAGGCTGTTCTAGCAAATATGAGAGGTGCTGGCGAGCCTTCCTTTGAGCATGACTTCCCTCCTGGCTCCGACATAGTTGGCGATATACTAAGTGGCTCGAAGGCTGCTGAAAGGATGGAGTTTGAGTTATTCAATCGCCTGGCAGCTCAAGTTACAGTACATGGCGCATCTAAAAGTCGACAGAGGCCACGGCAAAACTCTACGTGAGAGCTTGGCGGCGCTAAACCGGAAATAGCGAGGCTAAACCAAAACGGATAATTTCCCCGCAGCTCGATTTCTAATCTCGTCATACCAGACGTGCCAAGTGGAAGGAGAGCTTCTGATTTAGCGTAACCCCTGGGACTTTGATTTCTTATTGGGCGGTATTCGATTGGCCAGCGAAGGTAAGGTCTGAGGTCTTATAAGCGGTCGTTTTCTTGAGCCTTGTAAAGTGGATGTATTGGGTCTTGCTCGGCTCGAAGGTAGCTCTGCTAGTACAGCTCCATCGTTCGACCTTCGGAATGATAACCGCCTGGACCTTCCTTGCGTTCTCGCGCTCATTTGGCCCGACTACCCATGCAGAGTAGTCGTCCACGAATGCTAGCGACCATCCGCGATCAGTATGTTTGCTCTGGACGAGATCTGAGTGGTAGAAAAGGAAAAGGGTTGGGCTTAGAGGGGAGCCTTGCGGTAGTCCTGCGTGCTGGATGCTGTAGACTGCTGATTCGCTTCCGTTGACAATGATCGACGCCTTCCGGTCGACACAGAATTGAAGGATCCAGTTGCAGGCGGCCTCCGGGCAGGTCATTATATTGCGTTTATATACAATAGCAGGTATCATCTGTCTGCTTATCCAGACACCTGCCACGGTTGTCTAAGCCTCTGCTTATCCAGTCGCCCCCCGCCCAAAAGGGTTCCTGCCTGTGTAACGCCTGTTTGCTCCTTAAGCATATATCACCAGCGTTCTATCCTAGCGACTAGTCCTGTTTCTCTGTGTCCAGACATGCGCATGCGTTCTCTCGAGCTACGTGGTAGTCTCTCCAGCCAGGGATTGATCCCGCCGGCTCTCAGGTTCACGGAGGGTCAGAGCCCATTAAAAGGGTGAGGTCCTCGGAGCCAGCAGTGGCTACCACGCACTACGCCCCGCAGCTATAAATATAGCCGTTTCGCGTTGCCCATAGAGGTCTCCCTCTGATGGGCCGACCGTGTCTTGCAGGATAAGGTAGCCGGAAATATCGTATGGCTGCTGCTGTGCTGTGGCCGCGTAGATGTCCCACGCCGGGCGACATCCACCACCTTATCCTACTAACCAGACTCGCGTCCTCCATCTCTTAAGCTGGCCCGTGATTCTCCCATTGTATCGATCTAGGCGACTGGTCTGTGTCTCCCTCGAGCCTCCACCAGGAGCTTACCCTGTGATTCCTCTCCACCGAATTGGCCTGTAACTCCATTTCTGTAAGCTATCATGTTCGCTAAATCGCTCACCCGGTAAGATCGTGTCGTTGTGGCATTAACAAGTTTCGATAGGGAGGCCTTAACAAGTGCTCCCGTTGCGAGGAGGCCCTCCGGCCTTAACAAAGTTCGCCCAGATCTATAGAAGTTAGCCTTAACGAGTTCTTTAGATCAGGATTGTCCCAAACCCTCGCTACGCGTATGCATAGTCCCAGAGTAGGTGCGAGCCCAAGTGTGTCCTGTTGGAGACCTAGGACGCGTCCTCATCCACCTGATGATAAGTCAAGCTTCAGGATCTAGCTACGAGCTAGATAGGTCACCATCGGGTGGTTTTCGTATCCCAGTTTCCCTTGATGAGCCTCCCTTCATGAAAGGACACCGCGTCTAGACGGAGGCAGTAGACACGGTCGCGTTGGCGGTGGTACTGTAGGGACACTACGGTCATCGCCAGCGACCTGCGCGCGGCGCACGCGTCTCTTTCATCGCCACTGTACTTGGCCATCATCAGAGAACTCTTCTCTAACGACGTTTCCACCCGTAGCGACGTGGACGCGTACAGTTGGGCTTTGCGGGCCCGCCCTTACCATGGAAGCTGTTACAAAATGGCTCTGGTGGGCGTGGTCACGTGACCACCAGTATAGATAGTTTTACCTGCATCGTAAGATGCACCGTTTCTTCCCTTCTTCCATAGCTTCGATATCACGAATGAACCCGTTCTTCAGATTACCTGTCTGTGAGGGTTTCGTATCATTACAGAAGTCACCTGAGCGATGGTTCTTTATGACACCGTACGTGATGAAATACTATAGACTTGATAAGGATCCAGAGGAACAATGATACATCAGTGCCGTTTCCCTCCCTCTCCTTGAGATCAAAGGAAGCTACCGATTCAAGAGAAAACTGGTTCCCGGAATATCGCCCAGAAGCTCGTCGCCATTGTCCCAGATAAATTTGATAGTAGAGCCTCGGGGCCATTTGCAAGCTACATGTCCGTTATTGTGTTTGTTATCATCGTCATCTGAGCCATCCTCAATCTCCTCATCACTCTCTTGACTCAAAGCAAGATGCCGCGCTTTTGCTCTCTTTGGAGGCCCAAAGACAGGTGTTTTTATGATAGGGTTGGCAAGTGAAAGCTTGAAATTGTATTCCAGTTTGACAATTGAGTAGGACATTGCAAAGATCTCTTCTGCAGGCACACTCATATCTTGCCCATGCTGGGTGGTGCTCTCATGCGCGGATCCCACTCTTAAGTCGGAAATTACTGGGAGAGGCAATCCTGTCAATTGCGAAACAGGGAGAGAAGTTGAGAAGCCTCCTTTCTTCGACCGGTTAGTCTCTCTATTCCAGGTGGTTTCCGTAGTGGTGAGAAACCCGGTGACAAAGTATCCTCGCTTCGTACTACTAGCTTCGAGAATAGTGCGCATGTCCCGACTGTACAGTTCGTTTTGTAAAAGAGCACGGAAGTATTGCTCTGGATTGTCAAGCGTATATCGCTTTACTTGTTGGCTGTCTAACGTTGCCGAGCCCTCTCGCGTGCTCTTAATATCCGCGGCAAGAATAGCACTTAGTGCCACGTGAAGTTCGTGTCCTCGAACGGCAGAAAAGAATTCTTTTCTGTTTAAGGATAGCGAAGGACTCGGAAGAATTGAAGGTATGATATCGTTGGTGTTGTGGGAAGGTTCATTGGGAGACATGGCAGGGAATGGCGCAAACTTGTTGAGTGGCAGCGTCTTCGAGATAACAACACGACCCATCATACTCTCGATCTCTGTTGCGGCGATTGTTTCTTCCAGAATAAAGTATCGTTTCCCTGCCATCTTGATTTCTTCCCTTTCTGGGAGGACCATGCGGCTGAAACTGATATCGCAGGAGACCTGAGCCTTGTTTGGAACCGAGTGGGGCCCGAAGTAAGAAGGAAATGCTGCAGGTCTCTAAAGTGTTGAGACCTTGTTAGTCCCAAGGGGTGATTGCGTTATTTATATTGCCCTCTGTTGTCGCTGTGTTAGGGCAATAGACCTGACATATCGGCCAGGAAGACTGCCATGGGCCTGTTTCATCTGGCATGGGCCTGTTTCATCTGGCATGGGCCTGTTTCATCAGGCACTGAGATTCCATATCTATCATCCTCGTCCGTATCTGGTGAGAACGGACAACTTCTGTTACCTCAACCTACTCTTTCTATTGAAGAGACTTACACGACAATAAATCCCACCTTCACATGGAGAAACATGGCTTCCACTTCGCCTCCTATAAAATTGAGGATTGTGGCACGAACAGCTGGTAGTCTCGGAGAAGCGACCTCTAGCTGGACTATTGACGTGTTCTTGGACGAGAAAAGAGTGGTGCAAAACGCGTTACTTGAGGATCCTCTCAAGCAAGAACAGAAGACCTTTTGCCGTTGGTACCTCGAGGAATTCACTAGCCGATCGCCCTTTTCAGTCGACCTCGCGAAGGATGCTGAATATCTCCTTGGCAGCTACGCTGCATATCTCTCCAAGCAGCTACATCTTCAAACAATCGTCGCTCAATTTCCTCAAGGAAGTACCCACCGCACCGTGTTGATCGAGATCCTCGACGAGGCGTGTATCTTCGACAAACATGAAAGTACGATACACCAGTTGCACTGGGAATTACTAGAGGTCCCAGCGACGTGGAATGATCAACTGGATGTTGTCGTCACTCGTTCTTTTCCCGAGTCTTCTACCGTACAACTATCGCCTATTCAACCACCTTCCTGCGAACCAGGTGTTGTCAAATGCATGTCGATCAACATACTCCTAGTGGTAGCAAGGCACACTTCGAAAAATGCGAACTTCTACAACGATGTAAATCCGTCCCTCGCGTCTGGTGTTCTAATCAGAGTTCAGCAAATATTGAAGAGCATGTCGAAGAGCAAGGCAAACAATCTGCGTTTGAATGTAGAAGTCGTGCGACCCGGAACTTTTACATCTTTCAAGCAGCATTTGCAACGGTCTCAAGATATCCATGGTGCGAATTACTATCACATCGTTCATTTCGACCTCCATGGCAGAGTTGGCACGCGGATTGGCAAAGCGTCGAAATTTGGAATCCTTTACTTCAGTCACCCCGAGTTAGAATGTACCACGCCCATAGCAGCTCATATGGTGGCGAGAACACTGAGTCAATACAAGATCCCCTATGTCGTTCTCAATGCCTGCGAATCTGCCAGAGCTAATTGCGGAGACGATGGGAATATTGCCAAGGTTTTTTACACGCATGGCGTTCGGAATGTACTTGCCATGTCGTTCAAGGTTTCAAGCGGAGCAGCAGAGATATTCTTGGGCTCTTTCTACCATGAACTTTTCATAGGTGGAATGTCTTTTACTCGCGCCGCTGCTATTTCACGACGTATGCTTCGCATACATTCCAGCCGCCCTGCAAGATTTGGGCTTACGAGAACCCATATGGACTGGTTCGTGCCTGTGGTATATTCCGCTAGTTGCGATTTCATCCTCTCGACGCCCAATTTGGTCACTACTGAAACACTCCTTGAGACCCCCCAGACCTTTATGGACATTGATGAAAGTCTCAAGAATTTGGATAAACCAACAATAACAGGAAGAGAGTTTGACCTTCTCCGATTAGAAACGAAACTATTGGAGAAAGGCCGGATATACCTCGAAGGGCCAGTTGGCGTTGGAAAGACTGCATTTCTACAATACGCATGCGACATATGGAAATCAACTGCTTTCATTGACGTCAGCATCATAATTGACTTCAAAACAATGCAGTACGGGTCTCGAGAAGAACTCAGCGTCTCGGTTCTTCGACAACTATTCAATGCCGATGCCAAAATCTACGAACCACGGCTTTGGACTATCACCTCCCTGTCAGTGAATTCATATGACGAGAGCACTGTGCAACAAATTATTATGAATATCCTCCCCTCTTTCAATACACTCATCATCCTGGATGGGTCAGCTACAGCACTCAGAATTGGCCATCCATCAAGCGTGTCAGATCATCAAGTCAAGACACAACGTTTCGAACATCATTCGTTTCTCAACTCGTTGCTTTCATATTTCATGGCTCCTAGCGAGAACAAAAGAAATTATGTTATTTGTTCCGCTAGGTGTTCTGAGACCAACTGGCTCGAAATGTACATCGGCCAAAAGCAAGATACACCGTGCTACGAACTTCAAGGTCTTGAAATGGTCGACGCCATTGAACTTGCGGAACGGATTCTTCGCGAAGCGGGTGAGGATATTGACTGTTGGACACATGAAGATTTCAACAGCTTGGAACAAGTGGTCGATTTATTCAAAGGAATTCCAGCTTCAATCAAAGAAATACTTCGAGGACAATCGATTTTAAGGGTGCCGTGGGGACAACTTTACGAGCGCCTCCACGCCGGTCTCGTTACCTCGCGTTGTGAATATGAATCAGCATTCTTCAAATCTTCAGTTATGGCTCAAGAGCTCCGTCATCTTTCCTTACAGTTGCCGAGGCGGGAATTTACTTTCCTGCTCCTTCTTGGCCAATATTGGCACGAAGCTCCATCGCCAAAGGCTCTCGTTCACTTGTCTATTTTGTTTGCTGGCAAAGACATCAAGCCTGCGAAACAGATTGAAAATTACATTGAGTACAAATCACAAGCCAAACGTATCATACGCCTTGCATCCGATCAAGGATATTTGCGCATGGATGATGACGAATGGATCTCAATGATACATCCGAGTTTCACAGTACAGGCCCGAGCGTGGGTATTACTAGGACTCGGTCAGACTGGTACGAACGGATTATTCAAGGACATTGGCGACCGGGAACGAAACCACTGGGTCCGCAGCACCATTGAGGACTTGTATGTTTCTCGATTTGACATGGACCTCTATCACACGGTTACCGCACCTCTATATCAACAGCTCGAACGCGGCAAAGCGAACCTCCTCACTTGTATAAACTCTTGTGTTTCCGAAAGACCACGTATTACAGTGGACCAGTGGCCTCAGCGACTGTTTTCCGTCTATATCTGGCATTTCAGCTTGAGCGGAACCATCGCAGATAGGTCCTTCTTTATGCTCAAGTTCGTTGAATTGCTTAACACCATCCAACTCAACCAACTTCCAAAATGGGGGACGCGACATGGCTGGTTCTTCAGCGTTCTATTATTCTTCTGTTGCTCCTCTAACTTAGGTCGTGATCAATCCTTGAAAAGCAAGATACTAGAGATAACAAGCTTAAGTTGTGAATTAGCTTTAAGATTGGCAACTTGCCAGAGAAGGCAAATACACTGTCTGGCTGAACTACAGCTGGTACTTTTCCTGTCCTCATACCTCCTTGTTCTTTCCGATCTTGATCATAAGGAAGAGGCTGAGAAGATTCGGCATGCAGTCGTTAGATACAACGAGCAGCTACGCCACCAACTCAGCCGGGACGAGACCTGCGTGCATGATAAGCCGTCTTCCTTGACTTCAAGTGGATCAGATGGATGGCTTTTTACAACTTTGACAAAGGCTCCACAGGCCGAGTATCAGGATTCTGATCGCTCATCGTCCGACAAGATTCACTCTGCTATTGGAAAACTCCAGTGCATATTGACCGAAATGAGCAATTGCATTCAGAATCATGTACGGACTCACTCACCTTGTGCGAACAATGAGACGCTGAAGATCATGCAAGATCGCAGTATCAAAGTCGCACAATGGTTTTCAATAGCAGAGGAATTCTTTCCAGACTCTGGTGAACTTGAAAGAGCAAGTCAATACTCCTTGCTAAACCTGGACCTCGAAACACTTAGTGGATACCGCCAGCGCATTCAAATGCAAGGCACATTGGAAGATGCAATTGATACTGGAAACTGGTACGAAGCCGTTGTGTCCCACGGAAATCTGATTACAACCGCAGCTCACATGTTCTTGTTCAGCGAGGCACTTGAACATGTTGCAGCTGTTGAAAAAATTATTCAGAAATCCTCATTCATTTCCGATGCACCACCACTCGTTGCCGACTTGAAAAAGAAAATACAAAAGCAGAAATCGGCATTTCAAATAGCGTCAACACTTTTTCCGTCTGACACCGGTGGCATTCAGAGCGCTCTTGATCTAGCTACAAGCCTAGCTGAATCAATGACTGATCTCTTTCCGGAGCAGACTCACTTGGCGCTGATACACTACAAAACGCTGAGAGAGAATGATGGCGACACTGCTTACCCAACTCCAATCAGCAGAGACCGGTTCATATACATCATGAGAAAGTATGGTGGAAAAGCGCAAGATCCCAAGTGGTTTTGGTGTTTGTGCAACTGTTCCGAGGCCTTTGCTTCGCTTCTCCTTGAGATCAAAGCTGCATTCGAGGTTAAAGACTTTGATCTTTGTTTTAAAAAGCTGGATAGTTTGGAAGGCCTCGTGGAAAAGGAAGAATATCTGCAAGATCTCCTAAACGATTCTAATTTTCTTCCCAAATTCCGAGAAGCTCTACTCCAACAGCGTGTGCTCCACAAGCTTACAGTTGATTGGTACTTGGCACTGTCAAACGCAGACTTCGATGTAGCGAGGGCCATTGTTGATTCTATTTCAAAAATCTCAAAGGTCGATGTCGGCGATTTTATCACCTACACAGAGAGAAAACACTGGGAGCATGCCTACTCTGCCTTACAAAACGCAACTGCCAATGGCAATATTACGCAGAGCTCCAAGCTTTATGCGGACATGGAGAAACGTTGGAGAGGATGCACGTTTCCAAGCGTATCGAGACAGGCCTTCTATGAAGTCAAGTCCACTTATCTGCAAGCCGTTGCTCGGCAAGCGCTAAAGGAAAATGACGCCAAAGAAGCCATGAGCCTTTGCGAAGAGTGCTTGAGGTGTACTGCGGAAGAACAAAAAGAAGATCCAAGAGCACAGGATTTTTACATAAATATAAAAGAGCAATGCGAAGCCAAACAAATTCGTCGGCTCTTTGACGATGCTGAAGCAAAATTGGCCTTTGAGGAATGTCTCCGACTCACAGACAGGTGGTGGGAATTGTACGAACACCAGAGGCGAACACCAGAAATCCGCCGACATGCCTTCTTGCGCATTGGGTATAAACTGATACAATTTCTGCGATCCTGCTATGAAGATCGATGCGTGGGATGCGCTCGTTGGGCTCGTCTCAGAGAAGATAGAGCATGTTCCGTTAGAGCTTGTTCTGAGGGAGCAGAGCAAGCGAGGGGCAAAAGACAGTGTGTTCGCCATGATAGGGAATCAATGAGAGCGCCTTTCGGCTGTGCGCATCATTGCAAAGGAGGTTTGTTTTTTTGATTGATTCTATCGTATAGCTATGCTCGATAACAGACCTACCGATTCTAATGCTTTACAAAGTCCCGAGTTAAGAGAGTGTAGACGATTGTCGTTACACAGTACTATGTAGAATGTTTTTCTAGGATTCGAAAGACATCGTTTGAAGAGTCTCTGACGTTGATTGGGCCTCTGAAACGGGATGCCTCCTTTGGTAGTCTTCCTTCAGACCCCTTACTACCTCTATGCGATCTTGATCTCTCGAACCTGTGCAAACAGTTGGTTTAGAACTCCCCGTACCTTCTTCTTGCGTTTCCATTTTGAGATCTGATGCGGCCTGACGCGTCTGTAGCACTCCGATCGCCTTGCCTGCCTTCTTAATATACGCCCTCGTCGTCTCTGTGACGCGTATATTCCTGCTAAGGACACGTAATGCAGTCTGAACCTGTTTTGGCTTGTACGGCGTGGTCTGGAGAACTGGATGGACTGATCTTGGGGTCTGTGGAGGCGTTCTTGATGGTTCGTTTGAGGGTGGATTTTCAGCAGGCGCAGGCGGAGCAACGAAGCGGTTATTTAGGCCCTTTGACGGTCCCACGTCATTAGACCTGCAGCCTTCCACCCTGACCTGATTGTCCGGACGGTCAGGCGTTTCCGGCGCGCCTCTGCGTATAGGACAATGAATCTTGTGCGTTCTAGCGGATAAGGCTCTTGTAGAAGCGTTTCAGAGGCGAAAAACAGGCGAGATCGAGGGGCTGTAGGATATGCGAGGTATGCGCAGGTAGGAAGACCGCAATAACATCGTTGATCCTGCATTCGTAAAGAGAATCGACCGTTGCGTGGCTTCCGTGTCCATCGAGTAGGAGAATCCGGTATCGCCCTTGAACGGCGGTTTCAGGTAGGAATACTGTACGAAGCAAGATTAATGCGAGTTGATTTGAGGTCCAGCCGTTCTCGGAGACTGTATAATGGAAGTCTGGAGGGGCATCCGGGAACCAGGAGGCCTGGATTGACATGCCTTTCTGGATAATGGTAGGTCGGAGAGACTGCCCGGTCTTAGAGACGGTTTCGATGATACTAATCCATTCGCCGTCTACAGGACTAGTGATATAGGCTGTTGACTTCTGCGAGTCTGTGATAACTGTAGAATTAGCGCATATACCGAGTCCTACACCGACCTCATCTATATTCCAGGTATCAGAGAGGTGGATATCGTACTTTTGTTGGACTTGCTGGAAATACGCATAGAATCCGTCAACTGCACCTTGCGTTGTAGCCTGACGTCTAGTAACATCAAGACTACGTCCTACACATGTTGCAACGCGTGGATTGCGGTGTAGAAAGCGCGGCACCCAGTTCTTCCCAAGGGTGGAGAGTCGCCTTGGAGACGGAAGACTCGAGAGGCCATTTCACGTACCCGTGCGTGGGAAGGAGGAAGTCCCTGGGCGTTATTCTCGAGTATCCAATCGACTAGAAAGGTCTCTTACTCCGGTGTAAGGCGTTGGCATAGTTTTTGAGCTGTAGCCAACTTTTGCAGAGGGAATCAGTTGGTCGAGGGTCAAATCCCAGTCAGATCCCGGTCGTTTGTGCACTGCGACGGCCAAGGGGATATGGTTTACAATGGTGATCTATTCCCTGAAGAGGGAAAGAATAGGGATAGAATCGAATATGGAATGAAGCCGTGCGGAAACGCCAAGAAACACAGATATTCTGTGACATATGGATAACGGGCGTATGAATCTCTCTCTCTCTAATTCCTTAAGGATCAATCTCGTCATAACCGCAGTGCGCAACAATACAGAATCTGATATTCCCTTACGAATCGCAAGAGGCACACCATTTGTATTACGCTAGCTCACCACATGCGTGCTTAAGCAGCGAACCTGCTCTCTTAACTAATAATCACCCACGCGTAATGCGACAAGCCACAACAGGGGCCAAGGTAGCAGAGAACCGAATTGTATGCCTTACGGTAGGTATTCTAGCTTGATGTTTTCTCAGCTCCTGTCTGCTGCGAATGAGGTCTCCTTATCTTTGCTCGCTCAATTTCCACATACTTGGGCCCAGAAGGATTCAAGGTAGATTATGCATTAGTGTTTATGTCATGTCCTGTCTTGTCAACATTCTGCTCGGTGGTGTTTTGAGTCACGCGGTTGGAATACTTGATTTAGCTAGCCATATCAGCTCCATGCTCGCATCAGGTATTTATATCTTACAGAGATGCTCTTCAGGACCATCACATGCGAATATAATGTTTGTCCGCGAGATACTACCACAGAACAAATCGTTTCTTTCAAGAGTCCTACTATTCTATCCCCGAATGCGTTCTCCTTTACACAATCAGGCCACCTTCTTCACAAATAACAGTACGCCGGAAGATCCTCCTTTGATAAACTCTTTGCCCTTCTCAATGCCGCCTTCATGCAACAACCGCTCAACCTCCCTCCTCATCTTCCTCACGACATCCCTCTCTGTGTCGACCTTGTCTTTATTCGCCTCCCTCCACCTCGCAACTGGACTCGCAGTTCCTAGCACCGCCTCCAGTGTATGCATATCCACCTCAGGCGCGCCAATTGCAAAAAACTCATCCCTGGGTAATGCACCCTCCGCACCGGTTCCCCACTCCTGGCGAAGAAACGACTCCTCATGAAACCCCGCAACAGCCGGCTCCACTCCCCACGGCAGCGGAAGATCTGCATATAGGTCCTGGACAAGCCAGTTCCCCCGTAGCATGTACGGCTCCAGATGTTCCACCCGAAGCGCATCCAGGGCCGCCTGCATCGCCGCCGCGTTGGGTACGGAATCATCGATTGCCGTGTCCCCGCTCGTCCACAGCGCCACGCTACCCCCCGGCTTGAGGACCTGTGCCGCGCGCGCCCAGAATGCAGGCATGTCGAACCAATGCGCTGCTGTCGCTGCCGTAAGCAGGTCGACACTGGCATCCCGCACTTCGGGCAACTCCTCAGCGCTGCCCACTACGAACGTGATGTCCGCGCCAGATCCCGTCGTCCCCCCGATCTTGGTTGCGCCCGCGATCATACCCTCAGATGGGTCCAGCCCCGTGGCTTGCTGGAAGCGGGTAGCCAGCATACGTACGGCAGTGCCGGGCCCGCAGCCGACATCTAGAATCGTCCTGAGCTGCCCACCGGTGGAGGTGTGACGCGCGAGGATGGTGTTGTATAAGGTTGGGTGATAGTCCATCCGGTACTGGGCGTAGGCGGAGGCTTCCGCAGGTGTGAAGGAGCGGAACGTTTTTTCCGCGGGGGCGACAGCGGCCATCGTCGTCGGGTGCGGACGGGCGGCGTCACGTGAGAATTAGATGTGGTTAGAATGGGATAAAAGGTGTAGTTGAGAAAAGGGAGAGAGAAGGATAGGAAGTAGTTTACCATAGAATTAGATCTTTTAACTACAGAAATGATGGACTACGAAGGTATTTAACCTTCCGGCAGAGGAGTCATGCCAGATGACGCTAGTCCCAAAACAGGCCACGAGCGCGAACGTTGACGGCGTTGCTCTGCTAAAGTATCCCCTTCGCTACGGTACTTCCTTTGGCTTGACACCGCTATTTTCTGGTCTCGCTGCTCTCGATCGCTGAATCCTTGATCTAAGCAGGTATCATCGAGGAGAGTGTCTAAGGAACCGCTAGTGGAAGGGTGTATAAACTACTTGCTAGCTACTCCATCGGCATGGTCTATTATGGCGCCCTGAGCAAAGGTTGCCAGCGCTGTCGCCAGCGCAAGATCAAGGCATGTGTTTTTCGGCCCAAGCAATCTATGGGGCTTGTCTAATCTGTGCTCGCAGTGTGACCAACGCAGGCCCGGATGCTTGAAATGCGAGAAAGCAAAGACGCCGTGTCCAGGGTTCCGGAACCTAAACGATGTCATGTTCAGGGACGAATCTTTAAGGATCATCAAGAGAGTTCGCAAGACTTATGATGATAATGCCCCATTAGAACAGCGAGCACCACTTATAGTGCACAATGCCGTCCCAACTGTCCAATTACAGTCCAATGGCTCGGATGGCGCAACAACTGCCGACTCTCCTAGAGTACCCCGAGTTCTTCCCCTGCCCATTATTGAAATGGCCGCAAACTTCTTCTTTGCCAAATACACCTGTGATGAGCCTCCTTTATCTTCGGACTTTTTCAGCTGGCTTGCCAAGATGTACAACCAAAATCAGCCAAATTATGCGTTCCGGGCAGTCATCGAGGCCACTGGCATGGCAGGAATATCCAACGTAAATTATGCCCCGGAGATTGCTTCCAAAGCTAAAGAAAGATACGTTGAGGCTTTAGCTGCTACAAAGCAAGCCTTGAACAATCCACACGAATCTGTCTCGGATGCGACATTAGTCACGGTGATCAATTTGGGAATTTTCGAGGTAACGCTTAGCTTCTAGATCTAGCAAGCCATTGCTCACACGTTACAAGTTCATTACCTTTGAGGATTGGGATCTCTATCACTCCTGGTCTGCTCACCTCGATGGTGCAACGGCACTGCTTCAACTCCGCGGCCAAGAACAATTCAACCATGAGCGTGGGGAGCAACTGTTTGCGCAATTTCGGTCCCAACTTGTAAGACCATTTTCAAGTCTCCGATATATGCAGGCTAACATAATCACAGCTATATGCCTGTTTGCAGCAAGACCTCGCCCCTCCGCAAGCTTTACGCGAGCTACACCAAGATTTTCGAGGCAGCATCAGGGGCAAACCCCGCATGACGGTTAAGCCGGGCCAAATGATAGATATATCGTACCGACTGCTCGATCTCCGGGCAGCGATCAAGAATGGTGATATGACAGACCACGACGCCATACTCGATGTAGCAATACAAATGGACAACGACCTTAAAAGCTGGAGGGCAAGCCTTCCTCCCGTTTGGGCGTATGCTACTGTGGATGCTCATGATATTCCTGCCGGGTCATATTTTGGAGGCAAACAACACGTCTACAGCAGTCCTTATATTGCCCAGGTCTGGAATAACTGGCGAACCCAGCGGATACTTGTCAATAGAATCATCTTTGACCATCAGCCTCCTTACGATACGGCTAGTCGTTCCCAGGAATACTTTTTACTATCACTTATCCAAGAATTGTCTGTCGAGATTTGCATTTCTGCTCCTAACTTCCTGGGAAAACCTCGTAAGCTCTCTTGGTCGTTCCGTTTTATTCTTCACTATTCATTAATATATTCATATAGGTTCCACCACCCTCATATGGCCACTGCTCGTGGTCGCCCAAGAACCTCTAAACCTTTATAACGAGAGATCCTGGGCAACGGAAGTCCTCCGTCACATTGGCTCCGTCATGGGCGTGCGGAGAGCTAGTTTGCTTGCCGATGACATCTCGCGAACCATTATTAGGCCAAAATATCATACAGTTCACAATTTTAGGAACTTATAGGGCCTGGATTTCGCTCAGTAATCTTGTTCTCCTATATCCTCATAATTTCTGTTGTAGTTGAATTATATAGAGCTCTCTTTTCTTAGTCTCTTTTTATATCGCCCAATGCAGCCTTGCTCACTTCTTCCTAGTAGCTAATCTGGAATTTCTTTCCACATTATGCCGGTCTCCACAAGTTTTAGGTTTTGCGTCTTCAGTGGGAGTAAATGCATTGCAACATTTGTTAACTTATAGGGTTTTGAGACACCTAATAAATGAGACCCTGCCAAAATGGGCCCTCCCAAAAGGACTCTGCCAAGCACAGCAGGAGACACTGGGAGCCCCTGTCACAGGATGGGCCGGATGGTAATAGGACTCTATGTTATGGTCCTAGGCCTGTGGCCTGGGCCCTTGAGTATGGCTGACGCCACAGGGATGTGGCTAGTGGATGGCATCAAGGAGATAGTCATGTAGGAGCTGTGTGTTAGGACGGAGCTGTGTTAAGGAGCTGTGTTAGGATAGCAGAGAGAAGAGTCGATATCTCGCGCGCAGAGGCGCTAGGAGATTTCTTCCTTCTCTCTCTTCAGTTTAGATTAATGGAACTTGGTAATCGCAGACCTTGCGCATCCAGACTGTGTCACTCTAAGACGGTTGCACACATTATAATCGCCCCCACATGGGCCTCAACTAATTAGAGGCCTAACAAGGACAGGAATCTCTCTCTCCAAGTGCTCCCAGGAGGAGGACCTCATGTATTTAAGTAAGCAAGGACCTCACTCTTTTGGCCTTGCATTCAACTCAGAAAAGTTACTTTCGACCAGCTTTAGTTGTGATTTGATATCTATTAGGGGTGGACTCGAACATTCGTAGTTGAATACGAATAGTTAAATTTAGAATTTCCGCTTATTAATATTCGTACGAATAAATATTTTCATTATTCGTATATCTCTGAAGTCATTTCCCTATATCTCGTAGGGAGCATTTTGCCCGCAGCGGACCGACCAGAGGATCGCGCTCCTCCAACGAGCTGGAACAACGGACTTTAAGAGGATATTGCATGACAGGGACAAGGTGCGTCACGCAGCAAGGTGGCTGATCGATGCGGGAGGCCTAGAGCAATACCGGGTGGCCAAGGAAGTTGAGGAGGAGGTAATAGAGGACTGGAAACCGTTCCAGTTCCTCCACGACGTGCCAGAATAAGTTCTCCGCGTAGGCGGAAACACCGACTCGTACGGATAGATGATAAACGGTTGAGATAGTCTACTAAAGGGAGGAGGCGGGATTTTATGTACCCGCAGCCTCAGGGCTACGGGGAAACTTTTGCCCGCGGCAGACCAGATAGAATGCCGTGCTCATAGACCCGAAAGGGATCCAGATAGTACGTTAAATTGATTCTTATTATTATTATATCTCGTAGGGAAGAGATGGTCGACAAAGAGCTTTGAGCTGGGGTCACTTGGCTTGCTGAATCGTCAGGACCCAGGAGTGATCAATTCGGCGCTATTGCGGGCTCCACCTGAACAACGCCCTTTGCTGGTGATGTTCTCTGGGGAGGCCCAGCGGTGGACAATATTAGCTGGACTCATATTGGCTTAGCGCCACCACAGAATACATATTTTATACAAAGTAGGTCGACGGGGCCTAGACAATGGCGGAGTGTCGAGCTAGCAGGAACATGTCTGCTCGGAGCACTACCACCAAGCATTTGAGGTATCCATTTGAGGTATCCATTTGAGCTCTTTAGGCGTTGTCACCATATTCACATGCGATGTCGCCTTATTCGCATACGATGTATAATAGTAGTGAGGTCAGTGGTCACAGTGGGGCTGTCAGTGGTTACAGTGGGGCTGGACGCGAACTACGCATCGATATCCTCTGACCTCTCACGCCAATTAGGAAGAAACAAGGAACTGAGTATACCGCCGAAGCGAGCTCAAATCTGCATTCAATTCTAGACACGAGACACCTGATAATCGAAGAACGAGCATCCACGACAGGGCTGGTGGCAAGGGACGCCTAATTGCTTGATGGCTGCATGGCTTGCAAGGGTCGCACGGTGCAGACGACGTGGGGGAATGACGTGATGTGTTTTTCTCCCCGCGTCGTGCGTCTGCAGAAAAAGCGGTTTTTATTCATTATTATTTATTGGTCAATGATTGGGCCCTACTACGGACACGGTTGCAACGGTAGTCTAGGGTCCGTCAGCGTGAAGCAGACGCCAATGGCGATGCCCGAACAGGGTCGTGTCGCATTTCGCGGGGGTAATGATTATCCGTGCCCCATGACCGCCCCACAACGGCACAACCTCCGGTTGTTGGTGCTCCCACACCAAAAGTCAAACCCACGCCAAAAGTCCAATTTCACTACCATCATCTATATATCAGAACTCAGGATGTAAATCGATAAAAAAACCGAGATCCTCCGTACTAGTAGGTTGACCGAGTGCAGGAGATGGTTCCTGCTGACTTTCCTGTTGTTTTTCCTGCCGCCAGTCCCGCTGTGCCTTCCTAATTACCGCCTCCCGCTCCTTCTGACCACGCGCCTCGATATGGCGTTTCGCCTCACTAACGTACGAAGCACCGGTCTGGCGAAGTCCTGTTTTAACCTGGCGGCGACTCTTTTTGGTTTGCTGGCGTTGTGTGGCTGAAACGGACCCCTTATACGCCTCGATCTCTTCGACCGCCTTGATCAATGAGTTTGTAGCTTGGCGAACGCGACGTTGGTATTTCCGGCTAGAAAGTAGGGCCTCAGGCGTATTTATGATCTTCTGTTGTTTCCGGCGTACCGTACGAATAGTATTTGGTGGAGATACGCACGGTGTTGCCGTAATACTTGACGGTGGAGGCGAGCCATTGAATATGTGAAGCTCCTCTGCCTCTTGGTCAACCTGTTGCCGAAGGGTTGGCAAAATCTGCTCAGGATCGCATGGCCAAAGGCCCCTCTCTTTAAAAGCGTGTCGAATCGTACGCGATTTGAAGGCGTTTTGGCGGATCTGGGGCATTTCTGTAAGGAATGAGGCCTTTTCCGCCGCGTCGAATCCCCACCGTGAAATCTTCGTATTTGTCTGCCGGAAGTAGTGTTTTAACGCAAGAAACGGCTTCCCATCAAGCGGCTGAAGGAAATGGGTCGTATGCGGAGGAAATGGGACAAGAATAATATCAACTTTTTCGCAGAATTGAATAAACTCATAGGTAAGATGCGAAGTATGGTTATCCATTAGAAGGAGTCGTTTCCCCTTCTTAGCTCTGTGACTTGTATACCGATGGAAATGCTGGATCCAATCGAAGGCAATGAGGTCGTTTGACCATCCAGTCTTAGAGATATTGATACGGTAATCGTCTGGAATCCGGTTTTCGTACCATCGTTCAAGATGGTTCTCGCCCTTTAGGATAAAGTACGGCGGGAGAACGAAACCATCAGCAGCGATACACTCGATATCCGTAACCGATTCGCCTGACTCTGTACTAGGACTGCCTCGTTTTGCCCCCGGTCGGAAACTGACTACTTTTTGGCGCTTCCCTTCACCAAGGCGGAAGCCACTTTCGTCGAAATTATATATATTCCGGGCCTCAATTCCATGCTCTTGAATCTGCTCCTGAAGGAGTTGAAACCAATACTGTATATGTCCAAGATCCTCAGCGCGTAGGCGGTCGTCTTTGACTGGTTTTTGGTCGATAAGCGAAAGGGTGTGGCGCTTGATAAATTTATATTTCCAGTTCTTACTAACGTGAGGTGGCTGCGTTGTATCGAGGGCGTTTCTTCGGAGTATAGAGTTGGCGCACGCTTCGATTTCTGTAGGCGTAGGAGGCGCTCCCCACTCATCAAGCTGATGGATCCAAGCTAGGAGAGCCTTTTCTTGTAGCTGACCGAGTTTAGTCGCTTGTACGAACGAAGAACGTTTGGTATAGGATGTTTTTCCTTCAAGGCGGCCTCGAAGGACAGGCCGGCTGATTTGGAACTCACGCGCTAACGCTGAAACGTTAACCGATTTTCCTGCTTTTTTTTGCTCTGTAGCCTTCTTGAGTGCTTTCTGTAGAGTATAGTCTCCTCTGAATATTTGACGCGTTTAGACATGTTTGGTGTATAGATTTGAAGATGATGGTAAAATTGGACTTTTGGCGTGGGTTTGACTTTTGGTGTGGGAGCACAACAACCGGAGGTTGTGGGGGGGTCATGGGGCACGGATACTACGTTATACGTAGGAAGTCCTCCTTGTTAGGAGGACTGTGCGCCGAGAACAAATCGGAAAGACGGAAACCGATACGGATGCTGTGTTACGGCACGGTAGCTGGATGCACACAACATACGCGTAGCCAAAGATATTCTAGATTGAGATGAAGAGTATAAGGTGACTATGACAGAGGAATCTTGATGAGGTTCCATCTCTACGCTAGGCTTGATCAGGCTTAGGCTCTCAGCCTATGCCAACCATGGGCCATGCCCATAACATGCTGCTCGTCATTGTATGGCGAGGCTGCTTTCAGATCTTAATAGATAGATTTGGAATGAAAAAAGTATATAACCCTTAGGAATATGATTGAGGGGAACTATCATCATGTAGTGCCATCCTCAGAGCGATTTGACGTTGAAATGGTAGAATTCCTCCTATGGTGACGTTGATTTAGGAGGAACAAGTGGTTGATGCAGTTCCGGAACGGGTTTAGCGTGATCATGGGGTCGCGTCTGGTCACGTCTTTGCCCCGCCGATCGCGTTCCACCGCGCCATCCATCTCTCACTCACCTCATCCTCTCCTCCAACAGACAACCACCGCGCCATTTCTTACCCTGACCGTATATCCATACCTACCTAACCAGTTCAAAATGCTTGCATCCCCTATCTGGTCCTCATACTCCTACATGCCTGCGAAACCCTCCCCGCTCTCCCCACGATCCTCCAATGTCCCTCCGCACTCTCCGTTCAGCATGAGTGCGTCCGCCAAGCCCGCGCCGCAGCCGTACTCGAAGCGCGCAATCAAGCCGGTGCCGGTGCTGAAGAGCGCAGAGGCGCTGAACAAGAAGCGGCGGGAGATTTTCTTCCGGGATGTGGCGAGGAAACGGGACGATAAGCGGTGGGCTGAGCGATGCGAATATGTAAGGCTGGTTGTCTGAGCTTATAGAGACGTCGATGCTGACATGGCGATATAGATCATGCGCTCGGATTTCGTGCACGAGAAGCGGAGATCGGATTCGACCAAGTCGCGCGCCGCGGAATATTTAGAAGACGGGATTGACGACGATGACGTCGAGTTTGCGTTGCATAGCAGCCCAGTCCAACACGAGACGCTCTACGGTCAGCCACAGGCGTCGCATTCACAGGAAGAACTGGATTTCATCGAGCAGATGGAGGATGCGGAGATGCAGTCGTTGATCGGCATGATGGAGGACGACGCGCCGAAGAACGATATCTCTCAAGCCCAACGACACCAATTCGCAGATATCGACATCGATCTTGACGATGATGATTGGCGGGACATGGCAGGTGACGGGTTCTCTTCCGACCCACGTGCGCAAGGCGAGCACCACGACGCGATGGACACTAGTTGAAGGAAGACAGGAATCAGGATATTCTCGGCGTTCACAGTCTTTTGGCGTTTTCGGTGTTGGGTATCTGGATCATGGATATGGTCTATGGAGAGGAAGGGCTGGCACATGCAGGCGTAAAGGGGAATATCATGTAGATCATTGCGTTGGACATCCGGAGTCCATGTCGCCGAGCACCTCTTGCGCGGCGCTCATGTTGACCAGGTCGCCAGGAGGAGACCCGGCGTTTTGCATCTAGGCTAGGGGTCAGTAGCTATCACATACCAAGGGGATCCCGAACTCACCTTCTCCATCTTCTCCGAGATGAACGCCTTATCAGCCGCGTTGGTGTCCGAATACGACGGGCTCTCAAACCTCCCCACAATCTCCGTGACATGCTCCAGCTGCTCCCGATACCTCGCCAAATCCTCCTTCCCGACCGTCTCCTTATTCTTCTCAATCCATTCGGGATACTTATCATACAGCTCCTTCATCGGCTCGTACAGGATCTCCTTGGTCGTCAGCTCCTCCATCAGCCCGGAAATCATCTTCGTGTACGCTGCGTCGTTCATGTTCGCCGGATCGAAGCCCCCCTCTCCATCCGCGTCCAGGTTCTTGAGCATCTCCATCATGAAATTCTGCTGGCTCGACTCCGCTGCTGCCGCCCCCGCCTGCTCGCCCGACGCCTGCATCCGCTCCATCGTCCGCCGAATATTCTCCTGAAACGAGTCCTCCGTCGCTTTACTCCCCTCCGCCGACGCTGCGGGTGGCGGGTTGCTGGGCTCGGTCAGCCCGAGGTCCGTCGCGCTGCCCAGCTCCTTCATCAGCGCCTCCATCTCCTTCTGCATCTCTGGGTTCGAATCCAGCTCGCCCAGCAGCGCCGCCATGCCCGCCTGCAGCTCCTTCTCGAAGTCCGGGGCGGCGGGGATCGGGGGGGGGATATCTGATGACGGCGCTGGGATAGACTTGTCGGCGCCTGAGGCGTCCGGGTGCTTGTCTTTTGGTTCTAAGGTCGTCGCTGAGAACTCATCGAGGACGGCTGCGGTTCGGTCAGCGTGGAGTGTTTAGCACGGGAGCGTGAGGTTACCATCAAGGTCGTCTAGGTCGTCTTCGGGGGGGTCTGGCGCGGCGTCCAGCGCACTGGGCGGGATTTCCTCCTTCTTTTCGCCCGACATGATGGGAGTAGGGAGGAAGAAATGGGTATATAAAGCAAGGACTGAGGAGGATGTCAAATATCAGATTGTGATACTGTCCTGCTGATCCGATTCATGCATGCCTGTGTCGTGCAGGTGCAGCACAAGTGCCTAACAACAGCGTGAGAGCCCGTGGTGGGGCGACCTTACCGAGGGTTTGCCGATTCATGTGCCGCTACACGGAAGAGCCCGAAGGACTGACGGGAGGCGTCTGATTGGTGCGCATGACCGTTCACCATCATGGTTGTACAATTCTCATACTGGTAGATTTCCTGGTATATATAGCAGGAAATCTTGTATTAAATTCATGTACCTTTGGTTTTTCACACTGAAGTGACAAGTCAACGCTCGTAGTTTCATTTCGAGGTGTTACATCTCTGCGTAAAGCCGTCTGAGGAGTTCCGTAGTATAAGGCTGCCTGCCACCGGGAGAGTGAACCACCACTTCACTTGGATGATCATCAGACTGGAGCAATTCCGCCACCCGCAAACAACACCAAAGGACCCTTTCATCTCACCATTGTTCCATCGTGGACGCTCACTCCGCCTTCGGTAAACACTACGCAGCCTTCAAACTCACTTGAATATCACTTCAGGCCACAGTTCCCACCAATATCTGACCGATACCCCATTGAGTGTGAACGTCGCATTCGCTTCACTTTGACCCCGAACTTGCTGTAGTCTTCCACCTCACAAACCAAGGAAGGGTTTCTGGGCAATCATTTTACCAATCACCAGCTAGTAAATACGCACAAATCTTCCTTGCCCGATTCGTGTTCCCCATCAGCGCGTCTGCCTTCATCACGTTCGCAATATGTCGTTAAGCCAAGCGCGTCTCCAAGAGGAGAGGTATGGAGTCCTTCTATGTATTCTGCTTACGCATGGCTCTAACTTCGCTCCAGGAAGCAATGGAGGAAAGACCACCCATTCGGATTCTACGCCAAACCCGTCCGCACGAATAACGGGGTGCTCGACATCAAGAAGTGGGAGTGCGGTATCCCCGGGAAGGACAAGACCATCTGGGCTAGCGGTCTCTTCAAACTCGAAGTGACGTTCCCCGACGGTGAGTGATGACTACGCTCGCGCCATCCAACCAGATTTGCTAACAACCGGCCCCAAAAGAATATCCAACGAAACCCCCAAAATGTGCGTTTGCTCCCCGCAACCAAGTTCGAGCAAGACTAACTTCGCCCAGGCAAATTCACCCCCCCGCTCTTCCATCCCAACGTATACCCCAGCGGAACCGTGTGCCTGTCGATATTGAACGAAGACGAGGGCTGGAAGCCGGCGATCACCATCCGGGAGATCCTGCTCGGGATCCAGTCGCTGCTGGACGAACCGAATCAGGAGTCGCCGGCGCAGGCGGAGGCGTATACGCTGTTCAAGAAGGATCGGGCGGCGTATGAGCGGAAGATCAAGCAGGTGGTGAGGGAGAATCCGGCGCCGTGATGGGGTAGGGCCGCGAGCCGGTTTAAGGGATGAAAAGGGGACGTTTCGTCGTGGTGGATCTGGAGGAGATGATTTATGGGCATCAAGCCTGACGAGGAGTTGGTGGGATCGTTCGGCTAAGAATCTGAACGAGCATGGATCTGATGGAGTTACGGGGATAGGGGATTCAACGAATCTGACTGCACAGGGAGCGAGTGCATCATGGAAGCGAAATGAAATGAATTCTGCATTTTCTCGACGCCACGGCGCTTGCGGCGCATTTCCGGTCGTCCCCGCGGAGGCGAGAGCGATCAATATTCAATCTTAAGACTCCATTACCCGATTTTCCCAGTGTCCCTCCCGAAAGTAAGTGCACAAGCGAGATGCCAGCGGTGCCCGTTGGCGTCTAATAGGGCCGGTATCCACCACCGCCACGCCCACGCGATCCTCCTCTGTAACTGATTTAGGTCAGAAGCACTGCCAGAAGAAAGGCGGGAGGAAACTTACCCTCCGCGATACGATGGAGCACCATAGCCACCCCTGGAGCCTCCTCGCCCACCACGCGGCCCGCCTCGACCTCCACGGCCGCCTCGGGTCAGGCCCGGAAGATTTGTCCGCTTTGGAACAACCTGTACGGTTTATGGTAAGAATTGCAGCCGACTCTTAACGCTGGAAAGGCATACCTTGAGATTTCGCTCTCGGAACACGCTTTCGTTCATCACCAGAGCGTTGGTGACGTAGCTCGGTTCGGTGAACTCCACATACGCATACCTGCAACGCCCCCATTAGCGTTCCGCCTCTTGCTGCCAAACTCTTGCCAGGTAGCGAGGGGTCTTTCTCTTCAAATTCTATAGGTCATGACTTCAAAGACAAGGTACCGAGGGAGGTGTGGGTAGATCCATCAAGACCACCCATGTCGAAAACACCCCGATAGAAACGTCTTGAAAAACAGGCAGAAACACGTGCGGTTTATGTGTAGAAAGAAAGTCCGACTCTTGGTGCGTTGACTGACCCCTTTGGATGTCCCGTGAACTTATCCAGCAAGATAGTGACCCGGTTGATCGGCCCGCAGCTCTGGAAGTGCGCCTGGATCTCCTCGGGCGACGCGCCGTAGTCCACGTTCCCCACGAACACGCTGCGCGCGTCGATGTCCTCCTTGCTCTCGCGCAGGTCTCGGTTTTGCGCGTCCAGCGACGCCTGCATCTCGCGAAGCTTGGCCGCTTCCGCTTCCATTTCTTGCACGCGCTGCTTCATGGCCGCGATATCTTCCTGAGGGCGGGGAGTCAGCGACGGTGTCCGAGGGCGCGGAGAAGCGCCGGGCGAACTCACCTCGTCGTGGCCATCTTCGGCTTGGGTGTCGAGCTGTTCCGTGTCGAGCTCTTGCGTGTCGAGCGGCTGCTCTTTATGCTGGGGCTCTTCGTCCGCCATTGTGAAGGATGTAGATGTGCGGATCGGTGGGAGATGGTGGAGGCTGGGAAAGAAGGAAATAGACGTGATCGGGTAGGTGGAGGTGTTGCCTGACAAGGCTGAGTTGGGTTGGTGAAATAAAGGCGGAACTGTGAACCGCGAAGGGACGGGTTGGCGGTGCAGAACCCTGGTGGGACGGGGGAACGCGACCACTCTGATGGGTCCAAACTATCTTATCCGGGCGGATTGGGGAAGCTTGCTAACGTTTCATCGGAGTGCGTTTCCATTCACTCAGAATATGCCATGATAATATTGATCACTGTTATTCCGCGTCAATCCCAAGCTTCTAATCCATTCATTGCCTCGAGAGTCGCATTTAGAATCCGAAGAATATCCGGTATTGGTCACGTGACAGCCTTATGCTCATTGAGTGATTGAGGTGGCGATGTCTCAGTCTCAGTTTAGAAGGCAGACCAGGTCAGCAGGTCAATATGAGCAGCCTTACACGAGTTCTCTGTTTAAGACATCAGCTGCATCATTCTTTCATACTCATGTCGATTAATGGTAGGAAGCACAGACAGCGTGTATGACTGAATGACCAGGCAAGTCATGAGCTGCCTGGCTACTCATGTTATTAAACTCCTGCGTCTTCTCCCTTGAGCATTTTGAATTATGAAAGCCGGGTGTGACTTTGATATTATTACATTTCCACTATTCAGTATCATCTAAATGAATCCCGACGTTGAGGCCCCCGAGTTTGCTCCCTTGCTTGGAAGAAGAGAGTCCTATTTTGCTTTTCGCAGGTACTCCGGTTTTTCTCCGAGACGCAATGCTCGCCAGGCTACCCAGAACGCCTTGGACTCAAAAAAGGGACATGGCTTGGTTTCCCTGCTGGTTGGACTCGATGGTTCCTGTATACTTGCAGGTGTGAGGCCTTTTAGAATGTGTGGAACCTCAAGCTCACCGTGTCCACGTAGGCTACATGATCAACCTTTACACCTGCGAGCAACGCTGCAATGGGATCCAGTCGAAGGCGGCATCGCATGCCCTGGGCACGTTGGGGAACGTGAGCTTTGCGTTCTCATGCCTATTCATGGCCGAGCTGGTTTTCTCGATCTGGGCATTTGGCGCGCAATATTTTCGGTCCTGGTTCCGTGTGTTTGACGCGACGGTGATCATTGGGAATTTGGTCGTTGATACCCTTCTTCGCGGCGTCACCAAGGACGCGGCTTCGTTGGCCGTCATCCTGAGGTTATGGCGACTCTATAAGATCGGTAAAGAGGTTTCCGGGGGCGCTGCGGGGCTGATGGAGGTTCTTAATGGCAGGATTGAGGTCCTTGAGAAGGAGAACCATAGACTAAGGACTCAACTTACATCTCTTTCACCAGAGCTGGACTATTGATAGGAGCACTTTGAGAGAAGGCCTTGATGTTGTTCTAATCTTGGGTTTCCACGGAATCTTGGCCCAGCCGAAGATGATCTATTAGCATGTTAGTATATGATATCGAAATACCTCTCATCAGCGCATGAAATGGAGAGTTTAATACGCCTTGAATTTGCTTCCTGGTTCTAGAAGGCATGATATATGTATTGGACCCTAGCAAAACCAGTTAGCGCTCTTCTCCTCTTATATCTTCTGTAAACCAAGGAGCAGATAGCGATGTCTCAGATCTTGTGTGTCTTTTTGCCTTCATTCACACGGTTCATTGAGCCCTAGACCAGATCAAACCACAGCCGCCGTCACGGAGAGGCTGTCCCAGCGATGCCGCAGACGAGGTGCGAACAATACCCAAGTATACGTCACCGCCATTGGCTACACGACTAAAAAGCAGTCGAAAGCTCCATTGGTGACGGGTTGATGTACTCCTTCTCTTCAGCCGACATAGTCACCAACGACAACTCGGCGAAACCGGAGAGTAGGGGCCGGCAAAGGCGGATCAACCATTCTCTGAGCGTCCGGGTTTGATACCAGCAGTGAGGCCGTACAATGAACCGGAGATGTCAGACCTTTTACCAGTGATCATCACTGACGAAAGAAGACTTTGACGGAATATTTGGTAGGGAAATAAGTAGGCTTACGTGCTGGTGGGCAATACCCCTGAATATCTGGTTGATATTGCATCGTGTTCTCCCGGAAGACCAACAGCACCATGGGCGGGTCGAAGCGACGCAGAAGCCATAGAAACAATATGGTCGCGGCATAGTCGCGATTTATACATACTCGGGTGATTATGCAGGGAAGCAAACAAATGGGAAAATTCAGTATGATGGGTACGGTATTCCGTAACTATAGGAAAATAATAATAAAATAATAATAGGAGTCAGGAACCAGGATGTCAATCAAAAAAGATTGGAACCAAAAGTTTAGTGGACCACAATCAGTCAACAACAGAATGGCAGCCAGGGGGCCCTCGACGTTGAACCCGAAGACATGCGCGATCACATTACCACATGCAATCATGCATCCGTGGCTCGAATATTAATGCCATCCTGATCCCTCGATTTGACTGGAGGCATATGGGAAATCTGAGTTCTGCCCTCTGAAAATCCATCGAACGCGCCGCTCCAACCCGATACTGAAGCTATGGACTTTCTGAAGTCGGCAGTAGCTTCAGCCATATCCAAAGGGCCTCCATTTCCCTACTCCTTCGGCGACCGCGTCGACCTCTCTGACTCGATATGGACGCTACATAACGGGACCAGAAAGGTATGCGCTCCTACGCGGAGGAATATCATGAGATGCTGACCGATTATGCAGGAAGACGGTTCCAAGTGCAGCATATTGTCTTTCGATGTGCAAGCCAACAAGTCACGGCTTCCCCTCGCTCGAAATGCCGCTCGTAAACTCCGAACGCTACGACATCCTGGCGTAATCAAGGTCCTGGACTCTGTCGAGACGGAGCAATACATATACATCGCGACCGAGCGCCTGGTACCTCTGACGTGGCACATCAAGAGGAAGAGCCTTGCCGAGGAAACGATCAAGTGGGGTCTTCACAGCGTCGCGAAGACGGTGAAGTTCATCAACGAGGATGCATCATCCGTTCACGGTTCGTTGCGGGTCGCGTCCATATTCATGGGCGAGAGTGGAGAGTGGAAGCTCGGCGGCTTCGATATTCTCAGCTCGATGAAAGAAGACGATGCGGTGATATATCCGTTTGGGAGCCTCGTCCCCGACTCCGGGCGATATAGCCCTCCGGAAGTCGCGAACTCCGGATGGGAGGCGATCAAAAAGAATCCGCTCACCGCCGTGGATGCGTACAACTTCGGCATCCTGATTTTTGAGGTGTGTAACGGAAGTTTTAATGGAAGAGAGCAGCTGAGCCAGTTGAAGGCTGTCCCTCCGAGCATGCAGCAGAGCTACAGACGACTTGTCAACGCGAATCCGAAGACTCGGAGCACGGTCGGACAATTTCTGGACCAAGGGGAGAGGAGCGGCGGGTTCTTTCAGACGCCACTCATTCACATCACCGATGCCATCGAAAACCTGGGGCTGAAGTCTGACGATGAGCGGGAAGAATTCTTGGGCGAGCTCGATGAATTGTCCGATGACTTTCCCGAAGAATTCTTCAAAATGAAAGTTCTCCCCGAACTTTTAAAATCGGTGGAGTTCGGGGGTGGTGGTGCGAAGGTCTTCGGGATGGTGGTGAAGATCAGCTCTAAACTCTCGGAGGAGGAATACGAGATGCGAATGAATCCGGTTATCGTTCGACTATTCGGAAGCCCAGATCGTGCCATGAGGGTTTGTCTTTTAGACAACCTCCCTTTCATGATCGACCACCTGCCTCCGAAGCTTGTCAATGACAAGATATTTCCTCAAATGGTGACTGGATTCACGGACGTGGCTCCGGTTGTCCGGGAACAGACGCTCAAAGCAGTTCTGACCATCGTGCCAAAACTATCTGACCGAACCGTCAACGGGGAATTGCTCCGATATCTTGCGAAAACCGCCAACGACGACCAACCTGGCATTCGAACGAACACAACGATATGCTTGGGCAAGCTGGCTCGAAACCTGAATTCGAGTTCCCGCTCGAAAATCCTCGTCGCCGCATTTTCTCGGGCGCTTCGAGACCCGTTCATCCATGCCAGAAACGCAGCGCTGATGGCACTGGCCGCAACATCTGATGTGTTCAGCGAGGAAGATGGGGCAACCAAGATCCTCCCTGCGATATCCCCTTCCTTAGTCGATAAGGAGAAGCTGATCCGAGACCAGGCGAACAAAACGCTGGATATTTACATGCAAAGGATACGCAAGTATGCTCAGACCTTACCTGATACCGCACTTCAGTCAACCGCTGGTACTAGCAGCTCAAATACGCCTCGTATCGGGAATGATCAATCTGACTCGTCTTCATGGGCTGGCTGGGCCATCTCATCATTCACCAACAAGCTTACGACCGCGAGTGGCGAGATGCAAACGGTGCCAAATGGCGTGAGTCCAAATGGTACCAGGCCATCTTCAGTACCGCCTCCTGCCGATGCACGGAAACCCTCTCCCAATCCCCTTAATGCCCGTGGATTAAATCCATCTCAGTTGAAGAAATCCCATTCGTCAACCGGGTCACCCAATCCGTTTAACGCACCTGTGGTATCTACGCCGACGTCAGATCAGAACTCAGTGGACGAAGACGCTATGGATGCCTGGGGCGATTTCGAGGATGAGCCGACCGAAACGAAGAAGGACACGACCGCTGACGACTTTGACATGTTCGCTTCCAGCGCAGCTCCGCGGAAGACATCGGCTACTATCACGACGTACGAAGACAAAGGGGAACCTGACTTTGCGGGATGGCTCAGTGCCCAGAAATCTTCGAAGAAGGCCAAACCATTGCCTACAGGGCTTAAAAAGGCGCCCGCGTCTCGATCGGGTACAGGGACCAAATCTACGGTCATAGGCGGTAGTACTGTGAGGAAAAGCGTAGTTTCATCGAAGCCTACTCCAGCACCGCAACCGAAACCCACTTCGAAGAAAGCGGAGAAGCAAGACGATGAGGATGAAGGTTGGGGAGATGCATGGGAGTGAGAAGGGATGGTTGGATTGCCTTGATACTATGGATCTCATTCATCCAGATGCGCATCATTGCTTCGTTGCCGTGAATTGCAGGACCGGTCTTATGAATTCTCTACACACAGATGCCGCGGCAGTCGGCACCGCCTCTCTTCGGATCACAACCGTCCCCTGGCAGGTCGACACACCTCCTTCCCCCCGGGCACTGCTTGCCAACGAACCCTCCGCACGTGTCGACGCAAAACTTCTTGTCCTTTGACCCCCGTATCTCCGTACAGATCTGCCCTTCCTCGCAGTCTTCTTTAAACCTCCCCCCTCGGCACCGTTTCAACGGCGTAGAACTTAGCGGCGCACTCGAACTCGGGGGAGTCGGCGTGGAGAGGCATAACCCCCCACACGGACGACCGCTGGTGCACACCATCGTCGGCGTGCACGTCGAGCCGGTCGGGCACGCCGGAGAAGGCCGGCTCATTGTGCAGGGCGCAAGACTCGATGGGACGAGCGTCGTGATGCAAAGGCCGCCCCATGGGCCGCTTGTAGGGGGTACCATCGTCGGCGTGCATGTCATTTGCGATGGGCAGTATCCCCCCATCGTACATGGGACTGTCCATTGCGGTGGTGGCGGCGAGGACGAGGAGGGCGGTGGCGTTGGCGCGGAGAAGCACAACCCGCCCCATGGACCACCCGTTGGTGCCGGCATCGTCGGGGTACACGTCAGCGGCGGTGGACAGTATCCGCCCATCGTACACGGAACCGTCCATTGCGGTGGCGGCGGTGAGGACGAGGGCGTCGGTGTCGGCTCCACTGTATAGCACACCCCGCCAAATACCGTCGCCCCGGGCGGAGCCTTCAGTGTTTGCTTGCATACCAACGGAGGCGGACAGGAATCTCCGCCGGCCCCTCCTGTGCATGCAACCGTCCATTGCGGTGGATCGGGCGAGCTGGACGAGGGGGTCGGGGTCGGGAACGAGACGCACAGCCCGCCCCAGGGACCGCTACTCGGCGATGGCATTGTCGGTGTGCATGTAAATGGGGACGGACATGATCCGCCCATCGAGCACGGAATTGTCCATTGTGGCGGCGGAGGGGGAGAAGATGTCAGGCTTGGTAGAGGAAGATCTGCCACCGCAGTGGCGATTGTGACAGCGAACGTCAGGATAGTGTCTGTCTTCATGTTGTAACGAGTGACGGAAGTTGAGGGTGGCAGTGGAGATTATATTTCATACTCAATCCCTTTAATATACCGAGAAATGGACCTACAGCCATTACGTAGAGATCTAATATCGCATGACAGAAAGGTCAAGGATCATGATACTAACTACTCTGCAGCAACCGGACGGAAGAGATCCAGGCCATCGACCCCTTGCGGGAGTTTATCGAATTCTCGTAAATGGAGTCCCCCTCCCCTACAGCAGAAGCCCAATAATGCAAGCCGACGTCGAAAAAGCCAGATTGCCTTGGAATGCGCTAAATTTAGGTGGCATATCATGTGCATCCTTGTTGACAGCAGCCAATGCCCCAGTATGTCTCACGACCAAGACCTCGAACAAATGTCAACGTCCGCTCAACACTAGGCGGAATGGAGAATGTTACAGCCAGCCACAGGAAATCATGGATGCCAATATTTCGAACTAGATAGAGAATTTCCACGTCCATCATGCAGTTTTGTCTTGAAATTCTCTCCTTCGTATCGAACTCCGAAGCGGTTTCTCGAGCTTATGCACTGGTAGCCTGGGACGATGACGGTTGGGGTATAAATAGCGACTATGAGTTGTGCTTCTTGTTCGCCGAACAGCTATGTAAAGCCTTCCGCTCCAGTCTAGAACCAGGACTATGCAATGTAGGATTCGCTTCTACACTGGCGTCGTGGAGTAAGGTATGTATACTGCAACTGACGGATAAAATGCTACGACGCACACTCAAATGCTGGCCAGAGAGGCGAGTTCTAGCCGTGACCGTGTGATGTCAGTATTTATACACAATTAGTTGCATTGATAACCTCCGTGCATTGAAGACTCTCCCTATCGACTGCCTTCAATCACGTTTATTGAAATAGGTATTCTTAGAAATACGGGCAGCCGACCCTGCTCTGGGTCGTCTCGTGCAATACGGAGCGAAGGGCTCGAGATCAGGATCTCGAGTGACACAAGCGCAGCTCTTCTCACACCGAATGGTTTCTGTCGCCGCTTGCCAGGATGAAAGTAGAAGACTGAGACTGTCGATGCAAGTCGCCTCGCATCGGTCGATACTTTGTATTTTCACGACAGCCTGGATCGATAGAATATGTCGTCCTGCCGATGATGTGACACGTGCGATCGTAGCACCAATAGTCGTGTCCGGAACATCTGCCACATCGAATATGTAGTGCAGTCGCTCCAATCTGGTTGATGATCCCTCAGGATGGTTTGCGGTAGGCCTCTCTCTCACTAGCGTTCACTGAATTCATGTCGAGACTCTCTCCTTCCCCCCAGATCTCGCGACTCTCGATCTCAACCTCCTTCATTGCCTTTGAAACCTCCCCGAGCTTAGCCACGACATCCAAGACACCAGTATTGACCTTCTTGAAGTGGCGGTCATTCGCTTCTCGTCTCTTCCGCGCAAGGAGGATGTCATTTTCGGTTTCTTCCTCCAGCTGACTCTTTCCGCTTGCCGCGCTCTTCACTGAACTACTCCTGTTTCTCCCGGCGTCTTTCTCCTGGGAAGGACCTGCTCCTTTGCGATCCGCCTCTTGGTCAAGGGCATTGGAACATTCCGGAACATTCCCCGAGGTGTCTTTCGTCGTAGCCTCGCTCTCATCTTCGATCTCCCCTTTCGCCCATGCTTGCGCCAAGGCCAACTGTGCGGTCCTCAAGTCATCCAAGGCTTTGGCGTGGTTCGGACCGAAGATGTGCGTTTCATTCATAGCACACAGTTCCACCTCTTCCAGCGTATTCTGCAGTTCTGCCCACGCTGCATCGGTGCGCTCATTTCGCCGCTGCTCAAGATGCGCTTCCGGATCTTGTCTTCTCGGGTAAGCTTTTTGCAAAGTACTCGGGCCGGCTTCAGCTTCCCCTCCTCCAGGTGCACCCTTTCTCGTAGCAGTATGGGACCTCTGCCGTATTAAGGGAACGCGTCCAGATGCTGTGACTTGTGGTGACAAAAGGGACGTCGCTGATGCATTTCTCGATGGAGGGCCAACGAACAATGAGGGTGCTGGAAGTCTCTGAGACGGAGTACGCCCTAGCGGCGCCTTGCCTGATGACATTGCTACCGAGTTTAAGCAATGGCGAAGTATCCTCTTAACTTGGAGCTTTGATGCAGAGGTTGGTCATGTACGACGAGTCGACGACCCGGGTGTTACGGAGTACAATTTTTCAAATTCCCCCAGACAAATTGATTCTTGCATGTCCGTACGGGCAATTACAAAGCATCTTTGGCAATTACATAGCAAGGCTGCAAAGGGATTACATGGGACTGAAAGGAAGTATCTCACTGTAAGTAATTTCGCTGAGTGATCGGTTTCGACTCCAGTGTTGATGATCGATGTGCACGTGACATAATATTTCACGTGACATTGGGGTCTTCGGAGCAGCGTTTTTCCTGCAGGACCCACCCACCACTCCGAAATCCCACATCGAATTCTACCTCACAGCACCACCACGACATCAGCCCTTCATCAACAAGCCGCCGTTGCGATATTAACCAGTTTCTATCGGTGAGTGCCATAGCCGTGCTAATTTTCAATGGAAGGATCGAACAGTGACTGATTTGACATCTAGCAATCATGGGTAAAGGCAAGCCGGCCGGTCTTAACGCCGCCCGCAAACTCAAGAACCACCGTCGCGATCAACGATGGGCCGATCTGTCCTACAAGAAGCGTGCCCTCGGAACTGCCTACAAGTCCTCTCCGTTCGGCGGCTCTTCACACGCCAAGGGAATCGTCCTCGAGAAAGTCGGTGTCGAAGCGAAACAGCCTAACTCCGCCATCCGAAAGTGCGTGCGTGTTCAGCTGATCAAGAACGGCAAGAAAGTCACTGCTTTCGGTGAGTCCGCCCCGCGCTCCTCGGAGTGACCGATTCTCCGATGGGATAAAATGCTAACGTTTCGAAAGTTCCCAATGACGGTTGCTTGAACTTTGTCGACGAGAACGACGAGGTCCTCCTGGCCGGTTTCGGTCGCAAGGGTAAGGCAAAGGGTGATATTCCCGGTGTGCGCTTCAAGGTTGTCAAGGTTTCGGGTGTTGGCTTGTCCGCACTGTGGAAGGAGAAGAAGGAAAAGCCGCGGTCATAAACGAGGATGGGACGACACATCAGAGAATGGCGTACACGGGGTATGGGCTCTGGCTTAGCATAGTGCATCACTTGCATCACTTATAGTGGCCCCAAAACATCGGATCAATTCGAGATACCAATTTCATTGGATTCGCACGTTCCAACGCGATTGATTCAGGGGATATGTACAATCTTCCACCGTCTGCCAAACGCCGATGCATGAACCGCACGAACAGCTTTACTTCCTGTACCACATCCGGGTGATCTTTGTGTGTCGCATCTAGGAGAATTAGCTCTGATCAAACGATCTCCAAGGGGATAGCATACCTTCTTTTGCAGTTGGAAGATGCCGTACATCAGCGCCTCGGATGTCGGGGGGCATCCAGGGACATAAATGTCAACTGGCACGACCCTGTCACATCCTCTAGTCACACTGTAGCTGTAATGATAGTAGCCGCCACCATTAGCACAGCTGCCCATTGATATCACCCATCGGGGCTCCGGCATCTGATCGTAGACGGTTCTCAAGGCGGGAGCCATCTTGTTCGTTAATGTCCCGGCAACAATCATGACGTCCGACTGTCGTGGCGAAGCGCGGAAAATGATTCCTAATCGATCCTGATCGTATCGTGGTGTGGAGAGATGCATCATCTCGATGGCGCAGCATGCGAGACCGAAGGTCATGGGCCATAACGAACTCTGTCGGGCCCAATTGGCGACTTGGTCAAGCGTCGTCCTGTGTGGCTAGCGTCAGTGGTTTGCTTCGGCGTGGGAATGTACTGGAGAAACATACAGGGCATATTGAACAGCCCCCTTCGTCCCTTCTTGAGTCGGCAGAGGCACGTTGTCGCCCCCCTTCATCTTCTTCATAGCCGGTGGAGGAGGCGGATTTCCCTTAACCAGACCGGGGGACCCGGTTGTAGGGGCAGCGCCTTTCGAAGAAGATGTCGATATCGATGCTATCGGAAAGGCTCTCGGCAGAATCATCGCTGTTGATGGCTTGGCTGTTGTGGTATTAGAAAGGCATTCTCACAACCACTGCTGGGTCACAAACCGCGAAGCGCCATTGACGCGGTTGACCTCGCCGTCGAGAGCATTGTCACCGACATTATCGAGAGAAATAAAAAGCGAAACGCTTAGAAGGAATGGCGGCGAGGACGACGGTGGCAAGCTTGAGGGGTCAGATACGGCGATGTCGAAGCTGGTGATGAACAACCGAAATGTGCACGGACCATTCTTTACTTTCGAAGCGCAAGGAGCCAATCAGAACGTCGTATTAGCTAGCAACCCAGCTTCCATCTTTTGGCTTCACGATTGCAGATATCGGACTGAAGCTGCTCACATTCTACGAACTGGCCCTTAATAACCCAACATTGTCCTTATTCAATACTGTCTGTGATGTGACGCTGAATGTAGTGCGAAACAATCATACCTCCCTCTCTTGTGCCGAGCGAGCCTCCGGGATATCTCTCCTTAATCAACAATGGCGGGACGATCTCCAGCAATAGCATGTATTGGAGTCATAGGAAGAAAGGTAAACCCATCCCCGAATAATCTTTGGCGGTCGGGTTTTAAACTTGTCATTCTAGAATAATCCGCTTCACATATCTCTCTTTCCGCCAGGCAAACGCCCAGCTCTGGAATTCTCGTTTTTATTATCGTCCTGTTTAGATATTTTCGAGGCTCGAATGCCTTACCGGACAGCCGAGCAAGATTTTGGACTCCTTCAAGCAGTTGACGAGCGTCTCGCAATGTATGGTTGGGTCACCAGTACGGGAGTCAAATTCGTCATCGTCGTGGATATGGAGGGTGGAGCGACCCCATCAACTGGAAAGAATCCAGGCGCAGTTGGGTTACGGGATGCAGATTTAAAGCCTGTGAGTTCTAGTCTGGGTTGATTTGCGCTATAGAACGGCTAATGTCGCGATTTTCAGGCATTCCGAGCCCTACAGACGGCTTATATTGGGCTGTTGAGGAATCCTTTTTACGACCCTGACCAACACTCAGTTCTGCCAAACAAGTCTGAGCAGTCGTTTGAATCAAGCCAGATCACGAGTGAGAAGTTCATTAGCGAAGTGAGGAGGATTGGAGAGAAATGGGCACCAGGGGTCACAAGTCTGTAGAGCCATTTATGGTTGACGAGTCACTATTGTACACGAAGCCATCCTCTTTGCCTACCGCTACTCAACAGTCCAGAGTATCGACCATAAAAGGATTTGCGCCAGATATGAAAGACGGTTTCACGATATGGATCACTCAGAGTGAAGTACAGGGGATGGGAGCATTTCCGAGGATTGGCCGAGTATACCCGGTTACACCTCATGGACTGGAATCGATACAGTTCAATCTTTCATTCGAAATCCTGAAATGTCGCCTTTCCCGCCTGTTTCACGGGAATTGGCTATCACCAATCCCCTGGTACTCTACCAAAGTCTGGTTGCCACCAAAAGGATCTTGCCTGATCCGGCCCAATATAGATTAGGTACGTCACTGACGACGAGACGAGTTAGTAGCATTGTCGAGGCATATATAGCTAAACGCTTTCAAAACAGCGATCCATTTGCAAAAGCTCTATGACCGTTTAATAAATTATGAGCCGACGGCTTCGTATAGTGCTCGACTCAGTCAATTAAGCCGAGTAATTGAGAATGAAAATGGCAACGGGACGCCTCGACGAGCCCGATCGGTGGGAGCTCAGGGAGTTTGGCAATCACTTATCGCCCAGAAAGAGCAAAGGGATACGATGGCCCTAACCCGAGTGCTTACTGACCATGAATCGGCGATGCACATCGATTCCCCGAAAGGCCTGCTGCTTCATGGCGAAGTGGGCACCGGGAAGAGTATGCTTATCGACCTGTTTGCCGACTGCCTCCCGAGCAATAAGAAGAGAAGGTGGCATTTTAGCACGTTTATGTTGGAGACCGTGTCAAAGCTGGAGAGGATCCGTCATGAGCGTGTAGGCACAAGCATGGTGGCAGGGCGCAGTCTTCTTCAGGACGAACATTCGTTGCTTCGCGTCGCCAAGGACCTCATCTCCACCTCTCCGATTCTCTTCCTCGACGAGTTTCAGCTGCCCGATCGGGCTTCGTCGAAGATTATGGCGAACCTTATGACGAGCTTCTTCCAGCTAGGTGGCGTGTTGATTGCAACCAGCAATCGCATGCCGGAAGAACTGGCAAAGGCGGCGGGCATCCAGTTCGGTCTCCCCCCTAGCCGGTTAGACTCCATCAAATGGCGTTTCGGGTTACGTGCAAGACCTAGGCATACAGCCGTTCGAGATGGTGGGCGGGGCGAGTTCGCTAACTTCCTGGAACTCCTGAATGCAAGATGCGATGACTGGCAGGTGGATAGTAAAAAGGACTACAGACGAAGAGATAGTGTACAGCTGGCGTCCACTGCTGTTGCCGATTCCGATTCGGGGTTAAAGAAGCCTCACGAACCAATGGGTGGCTCAGGAAATGCTAACGTTCAACTACCAGAGTTCTACTTGATTGGGGTCGGTTCGTACGACGATGTCATGGTACGAAGCAAACTACAGAAGTGGATCGGGAAATCAATCTCGGACGACTCCAACCTAAAGCCAAAGTCTCTTTCAGTGTTTGGACGCACTCTGATGTTCCCAAAGACCCACGAGCCTTCCTCCACCCTCTTCGCAACGTTCGAAGAGCTTTGTGAGGCGAGCTTGGGACCGGCGGACTACATCAGCATCGCATCGGCCTTTAAAACGGTGGTGCTGATGGATGCTCCTGTGCTGACGAATCGACGGCGGAACGAAGCTCGACGATTCATCACCCTGATCGACGCTATGTATGAATGCCGATGCCGCCTCATGATGACGGCGGAGGCTGCGGTCGACGACTTGTTTTTCCCGACCGAGCGCGCCAGTCAAGATGCTGGAGTCGGCCGAGTTAGAGGCTCAAACCGTGCTCTGTCGGGGACAAAGAGGGGCGGGAGAGCGCCAGAGGATAGCATGGACGAACCCGAAGCCGACGCAATCCATGCAGAATCCTTTTCGGATGCCTATCAGGACGCCACCGCGCCATTCCGGCCGAATGTCGCATCATACGATTCTTCCTCCCTGCCTGCGGATGCGCTGGAGGATGATCCGCCCAATCGACTGCTACGTCAAGCACTAGGAAGGAAGTTTAAAGAAGGGGACCTGGAATCTAGCACGCAGCGTCCGGCCCCGGACTTCGCTCGCATAGGACAATTCACGGGGGAAGACGAGAAGTTTGCCTTCCGACGAGCGGAAAGCAGGTTATGGGAAATGTGTGGCGCGCGATGGTGGGCTCAGGCGGAACAAGTAGGCCGGTGGAAGCCGATCGCGGCGGATGTGAGGACCTGGGAACTTAAACGAGACGAACTGCATAACAAAGAACTTTATCAACACACATCGATTCGACCTGGAGAGGGAGATGACGCGGTATTTAGGAACGGCGGAAACTCTTTTCGCACGATGGTTGAGCCACCACCCAAGATTGGTGTCGAACATGCATGGGGTGTTGTACGGTGGGGGAAGAAAGCTGGTGCATGGGGCAAGGGAGTAGAGGGCTTGAACGAGCGCCACCAGCATAGCGAGAACAAATAGACCGAACAACTAGACCGACCGACTGGAGTCGTTAGAGCATTGAATGATATTTTGATCCCATGAATACATGATCGGAGGACCTTCTTTCCGCTTCTTTTCGACTCGAGAGACGCTGTCCATCGCCGAATCCCTTCGTAGTCTTGTGCGTTACGATTATCCACCCATTGCGCCAGAATATGCCCAGTGGTGTCCTATGCCGGCGCCGTGCGCACCCGATCAGCTTTTACTCTTCCACCACAACCGTCTGCAGGCCCTTGGCGTTCTTGACATTGACGGCCTGGACGTAGCTGTAGAGCCGCTCCTGTGCGCCCTCCTCGTCGTTTCGCTTGCGGGAGATTCGCACCCGTAATCGGTATGGGACACCCTTGATGCCGGATTCCCAGACCTTCTTGTTCAGTTGTGGGTCGAGTCGGACGTCCTTGGTGCCCTTTTCCCATAGTTAGCCACGCATGCCCGACGGGATGGACCATCCGAGACAAACCATTGCCAGCTCGGCGAATTTCCGGATCTCCTTGATGGCCTTGGGTGCTCTCTTCTTGAATGCGGCGCCGAAGATCTAGTCATCGGTCAGTTCTGTCTACTCTCTCAATTCCCGTCGCAGCCATTGCAACCACTCCGAACGGGGCGATGGATTGACGTACTCGCTTGTGGAGGTGGATGGTATATTCGCGGGCGACAACGTCAGCAATGGCGCTGCGCTGGGTTTTGCCAGCGGCCTTGGTGGTGGTTTTCGACTTCGCCATCGCGAGCTGCAAGGACCGCGGGGTTAGTGTCTGGAGATTCGGTGTCTTGAGATCGGAACGTACAGGTGCCGTACAAAGTCGGGAGTGGAAATGGAGGTATAATAAACAGAAGTCGTAGAGAGAAGTGACCTGAGGAATCGTGAAGCGGGTGTGTTGGTTGAGTTGTGCGGAACTCGCTTGAATTTCTTGGCGCCCTAGTCCCGACCAGGAATAGTGGAATTCCGACCTCGATCTTCAAAGAATCTCGAAAGACCAAGACATTCCGTTGACAACTACAAAAAGTCCAAGTCGCTCGCTCATTTTATTTCTCAATAAAGCTATATTATTATTATTTATTTATTACTTAATCCATAGTCAGACATGAAGCCACACGATCTTGCCGTCAAGGAGATCGCATCCCGCGTTCGCTCCCTATACAGCAAGGGCGAGCCCTTCCGCATCTACCATGGCTCGACTAACAGCACCCGTAAACCGTCTCTCAAAGAGAATCATGTGGACATGAGCCGCCTCAACCATGTCCTCAAAGTCGACCGGAACACGAGGACCGCTCTTGTTGAGCCCAATGTGCCCATGGACCGCCTGGTCCAGACGACCCTCCAATACGGACTGGTCCCCCCGGTGGTGATGGAATTCCCCGGCATTACCGCGGGCGGCGGGTATGCTGGCACCTCCGGCGAGTCCAGCTCGTTCCGCCACGGATTCTTCGACCGGACGCTGAATTGGGTGGAGATGGTCCTTGCGGACGGCGAGGTGGTCAAGGTCTCGGAATCGGAGCGGAAAGACCTATTTAGAGGCGGGGCGGGGGCCGTCGGTTCGCTGGGCGTTGTGACGCTCGTCGAGTTGAACCTGCTAGAAGCCAAGGAATATGTCGAGGTGACATACCACCGGACCAACAGCTCGAAAGAGGCGATCGAGTTGACCTACGAGCTGTCAAAGGACCCGGCCGCTAATGATTTAGACTATGTTGATGGTATCCTGTACAATCATTCGCACGGTGTGGTGGTCACTGGCAAGATGGTCTCCAAGCCTCTTCCGTCGATGCCTCTCGTTGAATTCGTCCGACCCAATGACCCATGGTACTATTTGCATGCCAAAGAGATGACCAGCGATCCCACCTCGCAACCATACAAATTTGCAACCACCCTCCCTTCATATCTCTTCCGATATAACCGTGGGACCTTCTGGGTGGCCCGAAGCATGTTCCGTTACTTCTTCTTCGTCCCGTTCAATCGCCTCATGCGCTGGTTCCTGGACGATTTCCTACGGCCGCGCATGGCGTATCGATCGCTCCACGCCAGCGGACAGGGCAAACACATCATCGTCCAGGACTGCGCCGTGCCGTTCAATCATGCGCACCAAGGCAAACAGGGCAGCCCCACCGCGGTGGCTGAGGAGTTCTTGGAGTGGATGAACGGATCCGAAAAGACCAACAACATCGGCGCCATGAACATCTGGCCGCTTTGGCTCTGCCCCGTCAAAGTCGACACCTTCACCGCGGGCAGCGAGCGCGGCAGCTTCCACCCGCACCTTCTCCGACCGCAGGGGGCGACCGACGCCACCAACGACAAGGGCGTCATGCTGAACGTCGGCGTCTGGGGAATCCCGCACGAAGAGACGACCGGTTGGAGGAAAGACCTTGATTTCCGCAAGCTCAACCGCACGCTGGAGGACAAGGTGCACGAGCTGCAGGGCCAGAAATGGCTGTACGCGCACACGCATTACGAGAAGGGGGAATTCGCCGACATGTATCGGTCGACGGAGTGGTACGACGCGTTGCGGGAGAAGTACTCCGCGACGAGCTTGCCCACCGTGTATGACAAAGTGTCGCGGAACAACCGGTCCGACACAGGGGGCGCGTACCGGCGTTTTAAGGATTTGATCCTGGAAACGTGGCCGTTGGGGGGGATTTATGGGATCTGGAAGGGGATCTGGAGCTTTGACTGGAGGCTGGAGAGGGCGCAGAGCTGGATGTGGAAGTCCAACTGGCGGGAAATCGTGCGGCAAAACGGTCAGAAGGGGTTGAAAGAGGAGTGAGGTCCCCGATGACGGATTGGATTCTCAATATTTAGTTGATACCCCTATTGATGCATGATTAGCCTGCAAAGGCCAATGAGAAGCGTTCATCAATCGTGAAAATTCCCCTCTCCAGTAATGCAAAAATTGCTCCTTGCCCAACCGCGCGCTATGTTGCTTCATCAATGTCGTGATATCCATCTTACCGAAGCACTCAGCTACCGATGCCCCAGCAGCTCGAAATCGATGTCTTCCTCTTCATCCGCCTCCCCCTCATCCTCTAGATCGAGGTTATCGTCATCCTCCTCCTCTTCCTCACTACTCCCTTCTTCGTCGTCCTCATCATCTCCATCATCCTCATCTCCTGATAGAAACCTACCCGCGACCCCCCAAAAGTCTAGTTCGCGCAGCCCCTCCGCTCCATTCGCGTCACCCGCCCCCTCCGCAGCCGCCTGATTCCCCGACCCAAAATGAGGCATGAACGACCCATTCGGCACCACCCGAATCCCCAGCTCCCTCACCATATCCCCGATCCCCAACTCCCTCACCATATCCGCCGAGATATAGTCCCGAATCGGCGGCAAGGAGCGCGAAAACCGCTGCATGATGTCCATCGGGCTAAACGGGATCCGCGAGCCGGGCTCATCGTCTTTCGTCTCCGAGTTGCGTCGGCTACGCCGCCAGAGGAGATACGATACCGGCCGCCACGGTTCGGCGTCGCCGTATCCGCTCGCGTTGAGGGGGCGGCCGTCGCTACTGCCGGAGCCGGGACTGGTGGGGCCGGCTTCGCTGCCGGAGGTGAGCCCTGGGGGTGACGTGGGAGGAGAAGGGATGTCGGGCCCGGAAGCACTGGTGGTGATCTCGTCTGTGTTGTAAGAGTCGCACAGCGAGCACTTGCATCCGAGCCAGTGGAATCGTACGTCGCTTCTTGACCCGCAGTCGTTGCATCGCACGGCAGCCATGCGCGGGCCTCTTCGTTGAGCAGGTCGTGAGCCGGGATTCCTGTACCGGGAGGGTATTCGATCCTCATCGGACCCGGAATCGGAGTCTGAATGAGCATGTTCGTCGTACTCATCGGGCATCGGCTGTCTCTCGATCTCTTCGCCTAGCTTCCGCCACTCTAATTCCATGTTGATGGCGGAGCGCTTACAGATGGGGCACCGGTATTCCCGTTTCATGTACTCGTTGTAGCATTTCTGGTGGAGATAGTGGCCGCAGGGCATGGCGACGATGCTGTCGGAGGAGGTGAACATGTAAGTAAAGCAGATGGGACAGTCGCGATCAGTGGCGCGGGGAAGACAGCGGTGGGTTGGGAAGTGTTGGATGAGGATGCAGACAGTGCATTCCTAGTGCATATTAGTATCATGTCATTACATAAATAAACAACGGTTCCTACCTTGCAGTGAACGAAGTCCTTCCCGAGGCCCTCGCCGCGTCGGCATAGCCCGCAATCTGCGCAATGGTAGATCGGCTTGTCCACATCGTCGTCCCACAGTTTACATATGTCACAGTAGTGATACGCCGTTGTTTCTGTGCAGTTGATGCACGTGGCTCCCGCCGGTTGGGGCGTCTTGCACAACATGCACAGCATGTTTTTCGTCAAATGCCGGGGCAGCGCATGGGATGGTTCCGCGTCATTGTGGCAATGCCGGCATGGATACCACTTTTGACATGTAGCGCACTGAAGCTTGACGTTGCGCTTGTAATGTGCGCACCCCAATTGTGTTGGCTCACTATCCGGGCCCTCTTTGTCGGCTTCCTGCTCCGTTGGAACCTCTCGCACATCAGCGTCCGATCGATTTCGCCGCGGTCGATAGCTCGGTTCGAGGTCTTTCTCGCAAACATTGTATGGATTGGTAGGGTCCTCAGCCGATGCATCAGAACCCGCAAAGCGCATGCCTCGAATCGGTGTGGGCGAACCCAATGGCGACAGAACAGCTGGAGGCGATCCAATGCCCACCTGCGCCCCGACGGCCGACGCCGGGGACTGTGCCTGGGCCAGATGCGGGTATTTCAGCACCATCCAGCGCTCCGTCATGATCTCGTGCATGAGCATCGCCTTTTCGTCATTGGACTCCACGGAGTCGCGAATGGCATGGATCTTGGCGCGCAATGCTGCCATGCCGTCGTCTTCGGGTAGCGATTGTGGGAGGTCCGCGGTGCTTCGGGATTGGATGTCGGAGGTCAAGGAACGGAGAGGGGCGGCGGATGAGGATGGGATGGGGACTGGGCCCGTGGTGGAGGCTGGTGGAGGAGAATTGAAGGACCGTGTTGGATTTCGACGGCGGGAGGGTAGTATGTTGGACATGGTGGTGATTTGGTAGGAGACGATTCGTATTATGAGGTCGTATAAAAATGGAAAACCAAGACTCGAAGGTATTCTCGGTTGTCTGGTTGTTCCCCAGGAGGGGAAATGGTGCGTCGCTCAATCAATCGAGGGTTAGTCGTCCATAGACAGGCTTTCTTTCTTCTTTGTTTAATTCGAGAGGCACCCCTCAGATTGTATAGCACTCAAGCACTCTCTTACTACACCGTGTCCTGCCACCTCTTAATGAATTGGGGATATAAAGTCGACTCGGGTGCAACAGCCCCGCAGGAGGCCGAATAGAGGGTAGTCCACGACACAGGATTAGGGACTGCTGGAAGGGGACTCAAGACGATTGCCAACTTGAAAACAGGAATAGGATGGATATGAAAGGAGAAAGGACGATATTGTAGTAACTGGTAAAATTTAGGCGTAGGAAGGACACAAGCCGTACAAAGAGTATTGATGATGAAGTGGGAGTTGAAGAGGCGGACATGCTGGTGTGATCATTGCCCTGTGATCGAGACTCGACACAGATGGAGACGAGACGAGACGACACCCCTGTCAGTAAGACTGGCGTTCGCATGTGATCGGATTCCGTTCTTAGTCAGCCCCTCCTCAGCTCAGTGAGCTCACTGCTCATCAGTCATCACATGCAAGTGATCCAACATTATTCAGCCTGTGTCCATCAATAGTGTCTCCCCATCTTCAGTCTCGATCTTTGTTATTGTAGTTGTAATTACATATGGAGATGCTTCGGAGTCGGTGGTAGACTGATAGCTATTGTATCGTGGCTTATTAACTATCCGGGTGCCAATACCCGACCGTATCTCCATAATATCCATCGAGGACCTCCGCTAAATGCTAATCCAACAATGGTCATGCGGACGCCAGCAGCTACACTATCGGGGGGCGCGGCATACGTTGGTCTGAAGTGATCTAGGCAAAATGAATGACCTAATGGTTGAAAGAAAAAATACAAAAGAGCGAAGGGAATGTTAAACAATCTCCCGGTGCCAATTTCCAAATCAGGGAACGTTACGGTCTTGGTATTTACCATGCCTATAGCTTTCGATGAATACCAGTATACAGATACTCCAGAGGATGATGTTGCTTCAACGGGACACCCATATCTCGCACCCGACGTGCCTTCCGATCTGCTAACAGGATGCCTCGTGCCGCTTAGCCTATCGAACCCTACCCCCTTCGAGCTCAGTCCTATCTGGGGCAGTTCGACCTAGTCTAAGACGATCATACTCGACCGGAAGGCCCTCAAATAACAGGAAGCTTAACTGTTGCCCTCAGGGAACTGCGTCAACTTGATCGGCCTTGCAGACTATCATGGGTGGATCATATATGTATCAACCAGGAACTTGATCGAACGGAGATCGACTCTATCAGTCTGATAACTCGCGTCTTGGAATATCCATCTTCGACCCTCGTCAAATTCCGTTGCTGCATTATGGCGGAATCCTCTGCGGACAAGATGACTTAGCAATTGTCCTTCATATAAAGGGAGAACCCTCCCTGGTCGCGCGTAAGGATGGTATGCGCTGTGTCCCCCAACGGCACAAGTGGACGATGTTTTGTGCCTTTTGTTTGGTGGGACGCTGCTCTACTGCATAAGAAAGGGTGGTGATCGGTACCTGTTCGTTGGTGAGTGCTACGTCCATGGATTTATGGACGGTGAGGCTATCCAACTGTCCTTTATGTTCCACTGTGCCCCGGACCGAGAAATGAATACTAGTTGACCATGAGATTCAGTCCTCCCAGTCACCCCAGGCTTAGCAAGGTGTGCTGATAACTCACATCCACACTAGACCAAGTGGCCTCCAAGTCATGTCTTCAGCTCACTAATCTTGTTCACTATAGCCAGAGTTAAAGTCTGTACGTGTACCAACAGGTATTATCTAGAGGTGCCGATTTCTAGATTACGGTTGGACTGAACTTTCATTCTATCCCTAACCACGCTAGATCGTTCTTTCTTAATGACCTGTTTTTCCTAATCAAAGTTCCGTCAACTACCATACGTACCGTACGTACCGTACGTACCGTACGTACCTTCCGACACCGTACCGTACCGTATCAGTTCTACCGAAGTGTCTGGTTTGGGCATGTACCTCCCTGCCCCGCCATATATGTACTTCACTGCAATGTTCAGTTAGCCCAAAACTTCCATCCTCACATGAATATCACTACCGGAAATATCTAGCACTTTTCAAACCCCAATCTGACGCCGCTTCCAACTATTCAATGGCGACGAATCCACTAGCGTTGACGTTGACCATTGGGTCCCTCTGCACATTTACAGCAAGGATCATTGTCCGCATTTGGTCACTTGTCGAAGAAGGCGAACTGGAAGAGCTACAGACCCTCGGCACTAAACTGACATCTCTACACTCTAGCCTCGTTCAGATCAAAAACACGGCCCAATCCATCGACCATGCCGATGCATCCCCTGAAAGGGTGACCGACTTTACAACACTCTCGGACGATATACCTCCCAAATGGGTGGCTGACTTTACGATATTCTCAGCCATCTATAAGGATACACTACAAGATATCAGAACAATCATGAACCAGGTCCGAGCCGTTGAGTATTCAAGCTCCGGCCTGCAGCTGTCTAGAACTATCACATACGTTTTCCCGACGAGGCCAATTCAGCTTCTCAGCCACCGAATCGCTGCACAAAATGGAATCTTTCGGGTCTTCCTTCAAGCACTGGCTAAGTCTCCTGGGGCGTCCATCGAACAACGACTGGAAGAGATCCATAGAAGGGTACTCACACTCCCGGATACAAGAGGTTCTTTTCGAGAAGTGCTCGCTGTACTTGGAAACCAAGAAGAAGCGCAACACTCAGCCTCAAGCCAGCACCGGACCAAACAGGAGGAAATCGACGAAGGGTTGCGTCACGACAACTTGCACTCATTTTTCGAAGCCTGCACTTCCCAGGTTGGGTCACCGAACTCAACCCTCCAACACTCCACTCCGCGAATGTCTCACGGCGGTTTTAACATCATTGATGCGGTGGTAGCTGCCACCCAGCCTTCAAATGATGCGCAGAAGGCACTGAATATTATCCAGTCTACGACTTGGACCGTTTTAGGGCTTCGAAGACGTATCGGCCGATTGGGCCCATGGAGTGACATCGCCCCATCCAAGTTCGGATCCGCTCAAATTCAATGTCATCTCATGCTTGACCATTCGTGGCTTTTACAGTCTCGACTGCTTAATCGCAGAACCGGAACAGTGGAACGGTCGCCAGACCCCTGGGCTGATGGCAGGTTCTCTCTAGTCGACTGCGTTGTCACCGATGGACCGCCAGAGTACGGACCGAATACTCCTAGAGAGTACTGGGGCAATTGGCACTTTATGGAGTATACTCTAGTGTCACCCAAGGACGCGGCCCTTTTCTTCTTTTGTCTCTCGAATATTGTTCCTCTGATGCACGAAATTCGGAAGATTCAAGCTGCTGCAGTCAGTCATTTCAATCGACGCCACGACGTGAAGGATGCTACCTCTCTCAACATGGCAGCGTATGAGTTATGGGGCAAGTGAAAATTTCGTAGCGTGACTTATGAGTCTCTGCAAGATCCATGATCCTTCCTTCGGCAGCGAGGCCGAGGTGAGACCATCATATATGAACACTGGGTAGTTTCAAACTCCGATTCGAGTTCGTCTAGTGCACGGGAAAGGGATTGAGAAAAGCGATCGGCGATTGCGGTTGAGGTATCGACGATAACAAGGTCTGAATTGGGTCTCCTTTACAGGACGCCAGTTACTGGTCCGCGGAGATGCAATTTCTAAAGGAAGTGAAGGAATGCGCATCACGATGAGGCTACACGGTTAAGCACAACCCTATTGTTCTTGGGTGTAATAATATCCATATCCAAATGATAGTCTCAAATGGGAATCTTAATTAGCGAATTATTTTGCATTTGAATGAGCGCTCTTTAGTCTATGATACAGTCACCATTCTTACCCCCATAGCAGTGGCTAACAATGAAGACACCCAGCTATAATGTTGGGGGCTGCCCATGGTGCTCCCTATTTGCTCCATTCCCTACCCAGGGACCTTTTGTATCCAAGCTTGACGCCCACGAAATGGCACACAACAGACTCTCAGTCCATGGCCTAAGAGAACCAGGTATTGGTTTTACCCCGATCGCCCGAAGCAGTCTTCCATATGCCGGAGGCATCCATTTGCTTTCGAGATAGAAATAGGGGATTTATACAAAGCGCCACCCGAAGCGCGGTGAAAAGGGAAAGCCCAAAGAGAAGGTCAAGGATATGGTGAAGAATAAAAGGTCGCAAAATGTTGTGTGAAAATGGTATCCTTGTAAAGTAGAAAAGTCATATTCGTCCCGAGTCATCAGAGATACAAATCCGGAAAATGCAAAAAGAAAATGGGATGTAGGATAAGAAATTACCGAATAAAGGAGGGTTGACGGTATTAGTTGCTCAGCTTCTCCTTGGAGGAGCTCGACAAGTTCAGATGCAGAGACCCGAAGAGATCAAACTTGTCCTTGTTTTCTTTCATGCTGGTGCTGCTCACACTTCCGGTCGCGGAATGCTTACTCGCGGTCGGGTGCGGATTGACCTGCGGGACCTCCCTTGGTTCCAACAGCAGAGACCGACGATAGTAACTCTGGACGTTGCTCTGGTCGCTGTTCCGCACCCGCTGGATCTGGGTTTCCATCCAGTCTTGCATCTCCGGGACCGCCGCGAGCCGATACGGCACCTGGAAGCGCTGCAGTTGCCCGATGATTTTGGCCGTCTTCATGTGCTTGTCGAAGTTTATAACGGAGGTTTCGGCGCGACCGGAGCCATCGCTGGGGAGTTGGCGGGTGGTTTGGTTGCCAACGTCGACGAATGTCAGGTCGGTGAGGTAGATGCCCACAAAGGGGATGCAAGGGGCGACGTGGTTCTGGAGACGCTGGCGGAGCACGGCATAGTTGCGGCCAACGTCAACGATGGTTTTGAGCTCCTCGAGGCGAGTCTTGGTTTTGAGTGAGACGAGATCCCAAGTCCTCTTGAGGCGGAGGACCATGGAGGAGTTGAGCGAGCAGATGATCGCCATGAGAGAATCGTAGTTATTAAGGTCGAGGCACTTCTGCGCGATCTTCACCCATTGCTTGAGGATGACGGCGCGCTTCTTCGGTTCCTCCGGTTGCAGAATGGTGTCGGCAACCAGGTTGGCAAGATCGGTCGACAGGGTTGACATGGCACGGACGTTCACTGCCTTTGAATCCTGCTTTTTAGTCCATTCGGACGCAAGGAGCTCTTCCGGACCAATGGCGCAGAAGATCCGCGACTCAATAATAGTGAACTGCCGCGCCAGCTCCATAGGGTCGAAGTCGAGGATACTGCAAGGAGGACCACCGTTCTTGCTATTCCTCAGTGCATTGAGCTGCGTCTTGCTCGTAATGGGGTTCGGGATCTGATTGTCCACTGCGGAGAAGACGGTGACAGAAGTACTCGTCTTGCCTAGCGATGATACGTGGCGAGGCACGAGGGCGCCTGCATGCACTTCCGTCACCTTGGATGCCAACCCACCAAGACGGCGGCCTGCAGCGGGAAGTGCCGAATGCAGCTTGCCAGTGGCGAAGGCGATGATGACACCAAGCGCTGCCGAGTCGGTCTCACTTTGCCAGTGGCTCTCCAACCATCCTTTGAACACATTGTACACGCGAAGGCGTACAGGAAGCCCAATATCCTGGCTATTGCCGATATAATCGAAGCGATCGATCAAAGCGTGGACAAAGTCCATCGGATTGGTGAAAAGACGGAAGGTGAGATAGAAGGTTGTGACGAACATGGCGTCAGGCGTGGAGTCGTGAGTAGTCAGCTTCTCGACCAGCGCCGGTAGCGACCCCCCAGCGATTTGGCCATCTTTGCTGTAAATCAGCTCATGAGCATATGTGGTCTCAAGGATTTGAGCTTCGACGAGATCGTCGCTTGCAGCCGATTGGATTTCAGAGAGGCTTCCAAAGCTGCTGAGCATTCGGCCATCCTCGTTTTGATGGACATTACGATCCGGGCTGGTGGCGCGTGTGGAGGTCTGGGAGATGATGCTCGCAGCGTCGCCTTGGATGCTGCTGGGGTAGGTGCTGTTGGTCTCACCCCCCGAGGTGTTCAAGCTCTCACTGCGTGCAGACTTTGCAAAAAGCTTGCTGGAACTGAGATCTGGGCTTGCGGATGTGCTATCCGGGGAGAACTCGGACGGAGAGAAATGTGGAGTAGGTAGTTGGGATAATGGAGGGATCGACGATCGGGAGCCGAGTGATGAAACCGCTTCGGACGATTCCACGAGAGACGGTTGGGGGATCGGTTCGAGTGAGAGAGACTCTGCTGGAGGCTGGGGTAGAGGTTTGGATTCTAGACCTTGAATTGGCGGTGGTGGTGGAGGTCGAGATTTTGGTTGAGGAGGCATTGGTAGAGGTTTTTCCAGCAGTGGAGGTGCTTCCGCCACGGCGCATTGCTGCACCCCAGCAGTCGTATCTGGAGATAATGCGCCGAAAATTGCATCGGACAGTCCTTCACCGGGTCGCTCGAACTCAAAATCACCGATCCGTTCGATGACAGCCCTCGTCTTCGCGACGCAATCGCCTGCTGCACGAACGCAGCTCGTCGCCGCCGTCACCAACTGCTTGCCTTGGTCCGGCATGAACACTTCTTCGCCACTGGTCGTCTGCGCAAACATGTCTTTGGTCGCTTGTACTAGCTCGATGAGTTTCATATGCATAAATTCCCGTGCCAGTCCCAGGCTCGGAGACCTTCGTCCATCGCGCTCCCATACCTCTTCGACGACGAGCAGCAGTTGACGGCAAGCCTTCACTGATTGCTCGGTAATGGACAGGAGTTCTGTCGATGAGCGAGATTGAAGGTGAAGTCCGATAAACGATCCAATAAATCCAAGGAACAAATCATGTGCTGCACCCAATCGCTCAGATGCGAGATTCTGGCGGCGGATGGTGCTGGTTCTGCTGATGTAGGAGAGGCGGTGGGCGACCGACGAGCGTTTTGCGGAGAAAACTTGTGAGAGGGGGCGGGATATTGAAGTCGGACGATTATTGGGGCGGAAAGATGCATCAGAGGGAGATTGTGAAGCAGCTGAGGAACAGAGAACTTGTTGGTCGATACCTGCAGGATGCGCGGCCGGATCAAGGGGTTGTTGCACAACAGCAATTCCATCGTACGGTTGCGGAAGGGCGCCGGGTGTGTCCCCGTTTGGCTCCTCCACCCGATCCAAATGAGTTTCGCTATCGATCGGAGGGGTGGGTAATCGAGCGCCATCTTGATGTAGATCTAGATCCCCGAAGTCGAATTCGGGCTGTAAAATTGGCACATCTTGACTCCGGACATCAAGAAAGCGAACGGCACGAATAACGACTTTGGAACCTTTCAAGACCAGTTGGTCTAGGACCTCGGAAGCCTCTGCGTTGGTGCACTCCCTTTGCAGGACCGTTTGCAATTTCTTGGAGATTTTCACAAAACTGGACAGATCGCCGAGCAGCCCTTTCCGAAGCCTTCGTAAAGCAACGTCGCTCTGAATAAGCGGCGATTCTCGATTTAAACAATTTGACTTGTCCTAGATGAGATTGAATTAGTCCTTCAGCCGGGTCAACCACTTCTCGACTTCCACTCACCAAAAATATCCGCACTCCGGCAATCATAGCCCGCACATAGTCTGGACGGGAAAGGGAGATGACGTTCTCCTCTTCCGCGCTCCTGACCAAGTCCCACAGCTGCGTCAATGCATTCAACAATGCCCGTATGGACGGATGGTCATATGGTTCGCAGTAGTTCGTTGGTAGCCATCCTCTTGACCCCGAGGCTAGTAGCGTCCCGTCCGCCCACCCGTTCGGATGTACCGAGTGAACGAGGATTACGTCTCCAAGGTTAATGGGTACAGTTATCGATGACTCGTCTCCAGCTGAGGTGACCGTGGAGCTGGGATGGAAATGGTGAAAAGCACGGAGATAGTTGTGGAAAGTCGGCTCTTTTTCAGGTTGCAGCGGAGGCGTGGGTAATAATTCTCGTGATCGTTTTGGGGTGGGTGGAGGTGATATCTGTGCGTTCGATCTTATAGATGGCGACCGGGACAGTTTGATCGATGATGCCGCCGACATGATGACTGTCTGTTCTTGAAGCGGAATGTCCACCAACTGCTTTGCGAGCTGGAGAGGCGCCACTAGGGCGCTCGATTCTGTCGTTCCATCGTGAGCAATTTGTGGGAGCGCAATTGAGTCTCCGAACCCAGTCCAGGTTGTGTAAAATGGTTCGTCCTGTGCCGCCATTGGCACATCATTCTCAGCTGTCAAGCCCATGACCAGTAAGTCTTCGCTATGCCTTCATCTGGGGTTCGATTGAAATTGTATTTCGCGCATTCGTTTCGATATCGTTGTCGAATTCTGTCCGTCGAGACAATCGTGCTCTGTTGGTCGAAGATACCCAGCGTTTCAGCCTCACAATGGTCCACGAATTCGTGGGAAATGTCCAAGTCGAATAGGAATTACTGGTATTATGACGGCTGTAGGCGCAAGTCTGTGATTATTCCGAGCAATCTTCCCGTGGCATCCCGCACTTCTAGAATTTGCTGAGGAATGTGGCTTCCTTAGCAGGGAGGGATGCACGCTTCAAGAATGCGAATTAAGGCAAACAGGACTTGAAGCAAGGAACATTCCCCAGTGCGAATCACCAGCACTTCTTTTTTCAGCACATTCAATCGCACGCTTGGAGTTGACACTATTGCATCCCCGATCTCGATGCTCGATGTTGCGGTCCTCGGAGTGTGGTGATTTCAATGCGGCTGTCCGTCAAGGGACCAGTCTCGTTTCGGAAGTCTATATCGAGCAAACTGCAACCGGGTCAATCTTGTCCCGGTCTAGGATTCAACTCTGAATCTTTCCTGAAACTCAAGCAGATCACTGGACTTACCTCAGTCGTGTGAACGAAGAATGCAGTATAATGCACTGAAGGCAGGTTCTCCGGTAACCGTTAGAAAAGAGAGCAGATCTCGCGTGGCAAGATGTCTGGTTTGGTGCTTGAACCGGCAGCGAGGAATAGGTGTTGTTTGAGATTTGGCGAGGATCTTGACACTGGTGGAACTGAGTTTCGATATCGCTATGCTCGCGGAGGGAGAGAGTCGGAAAGGAACGAGTGACTACCACGCAGTGGTACAATTCGATGCAGGTCTAGGTGCCCGTTTATTCTTCCCAGAAAGAATGGAATGGTAAATGGAAAGAGTCACAAAACGCGTGGCAAAGGTGACACTGGACACAGCCCGCAATACTTGAACAGATATCTGAAGGAGACACGGGAGGAGCGGGTTCTGGAGTCTGGACGGTTTAAACCACTGGCACAGACTCCTAGACTCTTGCGGCGTATTACCACTATCCTTCAACCAACTCAATTCAGTAGGGTCTACTCCGTATTAGCTATCCTTACTTCGTCCACACGGAAACCACCATGGCCGGACTCTTGGGGACTCGAAGGCGAAAAGAGTCTCATTGCTGGGATCAAGGGTGGACCATGTCGATGGTCGGGGAACAGGGAGACGAGAAAGCCACTTTGATACGGCGCTGCAATCGGACCACCTTTTGGAACGACGCACTGAGCACGAGCAGCCCTTGCCTGTGTGTGCTCGCCGTTTGGGGTGTGGAAAAGGTTGTTCAGTTCCGCCGTGCCATCACGCCCCAATTTGGTGTCCCCCACATGGCACAGCATTGTGACTGGTTGAAAATGGGGGGAAGGGATCGTCGCTTGCTTGTGATTGCAGGCTTGCGAAGAGACATTTCCCATAAATCAACCAACGATCGGCGTCCGATTGTGATCTGGCCTTGCATACAGTGCGATGGTGGATTGCGAGTCACCCACAATGACATTCTGTAGCCGCTGACGAGTGATCACTCAGACATGGCCCCAAATGAAGCCCTCTTCTCTCACTGAAAACTTGATCGAATCAATCGAGGGATCATGTCTACACTAGTGACCCAAAGGAATTTGACCACCGTTGTGTCTCGTGGAAAGAATGCGAAGGAAGCGAGGGAACAATCCGAACGGCTGAAGAAAGGGGCACAGGAGCGAGCGGGAAAATGGGAGTCCCCACCAATCATAACGAGAACAGGGGATAATTCCGTCTTACAGGGTCAACGGGAACGAGAATTAGAGGAACAGCTATTTCACTACTAGTAATTAAGAGGCTTAACTAACTAGTAGTATCCTTCGTTTTTGTTCAGGTTCCGTCCGGCAGTCTGCTCAGTGCTCCCGTCCTCCCACCAGGCTACCAGCAGCGAGTTCAGCCCGAGAAAGATCGGGGGATCCTTCCCGTGATAGTGGGAGGAACAACCCAGGAAGAGCAGTAAGCGAGGTCGCCATCTGCAGTCGTCGCATCCATTATCACTCCCGAAAAATGTGCTCTAAATTGTGATTCGGGATTCCGTGGAATCTGGCGAGCGAAATCGAAGAACCCGTCATTGGAGGCGTTGATGAGGCTTTTCCGTGGCTAGTGCTCGATCCCAGAACGCGGCAGCTCTAAACTTTTCCGATCCAGCCTCATGCAGCCTTCGCACGCCAGACACACGCCAGACTCTCTCCCTGCAAGCCGCGCAAGGCCAACTCGACTTCCTCAGGGGCTCCATAGCGTCCGTCTGTTGGTCTGTTGTGAGTACTGGGGTCTGAGTCGTGCTAGGCTGTTCCCACGTCCCAAGAACCACTCTCGAAAGTCGAAGGAGAGATAATTATGGGGCTTAACCATGGAGGCCGGAATTGAATATTGCCACTTGCCAAGCACATATGATGGGGCCTGGGGTTAGGACAATACTATTATTGAGGCAAGAAACACTGATATCGCGACCTTTATTAGAAATCCCGTATCCCGAACCTTGCTGGTGCTCCATCGCCTGAGGATTAAGGGCCTTGCTAATTGATATTCTTACAGGTACTCATTGTCCATGACTGAGTAACTGCGGAGTATCTCGGGAGGCGATCTATCACTCAATAACCCTCCTACCTTACCCGCCAGCGCGATTAGTTCCATGTACCGACAAGGAGAATGAGAGTACTAATCTGCATCGAGAAAACATTCACTCTTTCTATCTCGGAGGGTCACAGAGACGATCGTCCACCCGAACTAAAATGGCTGAGAAGCCCTCAAACCATTGAGCTTATTCCGTACCTATTTCCGAACTTTGGGGGTACCTCACCTGAAGAGTCCAACAGAGGCTATCCGCGCCTCCACTAACAAACATCATGGAATCCCGCCCTCTCGTATTGAACCAGAAATTGTTGAAACACGCCTAACCTCGCCTCATCCCGCGCTTTGGTTACTCTGTGGCGGCGGTCCGCAGTACTGGGTATTGACTACTGGGTAGTGGGTAGAGGTTAGACCTTGAAGCCGAGAGCGTCCCAACCTAGCTTAGGTTAGTGAGATATTCAGACTCGTATCGAACGCTAAAATTCCCCGGTTCGGAATCGGCATTGACTAGTGGAGCACGGGTTTGCAGTCTCAAGCCTGGCCGTTCTCATCGTTTTCGTTCTCTCAGATGGAATGCGGCTTAGGCCGCATTATGAGCCCTCGCTCGATATTCGTAAGAGCTTGGTATTACTGAACACCGCTGTCGAACAATACATGGAAATATTTCCCCGTATCATCATGAAAGGTGGTATTCACACCACAAGATAACAGATAGGAAGAGGGGAACTGGGAAACGGCTAATCGAATATTAAGGCGGTCGAGCCTTCGACAGCCTCCTCGATCGGCAAGCGTTCTACCAACTTTAAACTTGGTGGCATTTTATCTTCAATCCCACTGAGTGGGAGAGGGAATTGGGCCTCGTTCATGATAAACCGATAAACAGCCCGTGGGATCCCATCGTCCCAATTCCCACAGGAATGGTTATACTTCTTTGTCTCGCAATGCACGTCAGCATGTGCCACTGGAAGGTCCATCCGAGTCCCAATGCAAACTCCAGTCACTTTCAGATCTCAGCATCTCGCTCTCGTTCTGCAGTTCTCCATCATTGCGTATTTTCAGGATCCTGAGAGGGCCACATTATTCCACATATTATCATCTTTTTTGAATGTTGACGCAATGCGTGAAAGTAAGGATCAGTTCCAAGTTTCCAACAAGCAGGTTCCAACCTCAAGGTTGCGCACCTTAATGTCTACAATAGGGACGATCATTACCGAATCATGCTGTCATGCTGCGTGCATCTGTTAGGTAGTCAAATATTCCACTATCGGTGCAGTATGACGATCTTCATAAACAGTGCATGATTTATGAACTATGAACCTTGCCGCAAAATGGCTCGATGGCCCGTGGACCGACGGTGGCAGTTGGACGGTGGACCTTGCATTAGTATGCACCGAAGAGCCTCCATAGCTCCACGATTCACGAATCGTGAAAGGGTCCTGGGTCTATCCCATGTCCGCTGGGAAGACCATCGCGTGACATCAATCTATCAACATTAATATTCAACCCGGAAGATGTCCTTAGGATGGAGAAGATACGGTTAAATATCCATCCTCCAGCGGATCTCGAAATTCGGTCTGAAATTGGAACTGGATCACGGCAACATATCAGGGCTCATTCGTATGTCTAGTACCCGTCGTAATCTCGCAATGCTTCTCCATAGCGGGTCGGAAAGCGAAGTCTTCGGCATCATACTGGTAGTTGTTTGAATATGCCAGCAAAATCTCTTCCCTTCAAGCCTCAGCCCATCTCCAATACTTTTCCTTGTTCCGATTACCAAATGCATTTTTATTGCCTCATAGTTGAGGTCCTTTGTTGAATGAATCGTTTCCCACTCTCCCGGGCTCCCTCTCAATCTATCTTCGCTGCGTTTGTAACTTGTATCGAACACCCATCTCTTATCCCTACTATTGACGATCCTAGGTTGCGTTATATTTCTATCGGTAAATTGAAGAGCGGACACTAGCCAAACAAAGGCAAATTCATCTCCGGTTCCACGTCAACGGCTCTCGTGGTCGACGATGGATACAATATCATATGATCCGTTGAAAGTTTCCACGCGCTAAATGTCAAGTACTTCCTTGATGCTGTCTATCCCCAAGAATCGAAGTCCAGCCCAGCAGAGCTTCACTTGATCAGTGGTCATGTAAATTCAAGGAAGCGGCACTTATTATTTTCATGTCTCATGGTCTTACCGTCGTGCGGCATCTACCATGTAAATACGACGAGTCAGCTGGGAGTTTAGCGCAACGGCGTTAACGGCATGCACTGTGTAACAAATGCGGAATAACATCACTAGCATTATTATTCATGTGTGAGGCAAGTGTCGATCACTATTGAATATGGATGGCAATGAATTGGCAACAGCCGCAACAGGCAAGGTCACAACGGTCCTGGTTCAACCGTCTTAGGCAAGGCTGGTTTACCGTTCGATATTGGGCAAATTGGAACGATAGGACTGATGATTCAGGGACGTAAGCTTCACCCCGTTGAGAGATGGTGATGCCAAGGCGAAGGAGCATGGATACGCTTATACGCGATACGCAGAATGGCAATGCAATATTGAAGATTTTAAGGAGTACCCAGGAATAGAGCAATCGCTGTACTTTTGCAATGCAATGGCTTCGAGTCGACGATTCTCAAGAGCATTCGGCATGCCCAGACGGCAGACATACCAAGTCAGTGTGGTCTGTACGCTATATCAGAGTCATTAAGATGCACAATTGACCTTTCGAGTGGTGATTCTCTCATATCTAATTTCTGAATACCGTATTTGAGACACCGTTCAGCTGCTCCGCGGCTACTCGAGAAAGGGGTTTCGTCAGCATTGCCGTCGTCAAACACAGCATCGGTTCAAGATCGAGGTGTCTCCTTTGCCCTTAGGAAGTCTCATTCTCGAACCTTGGATCTGTACCACATGAAGTCTAGAATGACCTTAGTTCATAGTTGGCCTTGGATGTACAGCATCTACAGCTCCATGTCGTCATCATAATCGTCGGCGCCAGCACCAGAATATCCGTTTCTTTCTTCTTCCGCCTCTCTTTCCTTCCGAGTCTGTTCCTTGGAAGCTCCCAGCTTCCTATTGTCGATTAGTAACCCAGATGGTGAGATGTAGCAGGTCCAAGAATCATTCCACTTACCGTAAGTTGTCTATAACTCCGCCTATGAAGGCTCTTCCCTCTGCCACCTCCAATCCACCGACACCATTCATCTGTACTCCGCCACCAGCGTCCAGCACTTCCACGCCTGCCCGTAGCTTAGACAACCGCACTTCCCGGATGTCTCTGATGAGTCGCCTCACCAAATCCGGTTCTTCAAAGTCATCCGAAGCAGCATCGAGTAGTACTTCTCCGACTTCTAGCCAGTGATATGGCAGGGCATGTGCGGAAGCATCGGCCGTACATGAGGGTTGAAAGGGCGGGCTGATCGGCTCGGAACCTTTCGCGGATGGAGGTAACGGGGGAGGACTTGAGAAGGCTTCCGTCATCTCAGTCTCGACGTCGAGGATGTTCGCGAGGGAGGCCGGGAGTAGCCATGGTGGAGGGACGATATTGGCGCGGTTCTGCCGCTTCAGAAGCAATGCAAGCCACAGTGGGATGTCCGTTCGACGGGGCGGTTGTAGCGGCGGGATCGATCCCTACATTGAGATTTAGCCGGACCGAACGCATAGAAGTTGAAGCAATTGACGGTAACTGGTAGAGGAGACATACGGGAACCCTCCCACCTTGTGCACCTCTAGTGATAGGGTCCACTCACTCCGAGTAACTCTAGTCCGTCCAGTCGCTGTCGCGGGACTATTGTCACCATTTCCATCTCGCACAGAAATGCGACTTCTGCCGGCGTTAGACCGGGCGGTAGAGGTAATGCCATTTTAACTCTCAGCGCGAGCTTTGAAGAGGAACGGGAAGTTACATGACACGCGTTTTCGAAAGGTTTAAGCTTCAACGCGTTGGTGAGAGGGGACAGGGGTATGTCGGGAGATCAACGTCAAGTGAGCCACCAAAGAACCACAACGTCAACATTAAATACTACTATAACCATCCGAGTCTATTTGCTCCTAAAATTCTCGGACAATCATCTCAATATAATACTGGTATGCATATCCCATGATAACTTCAACAACATTCTGGCCTGGCATTGCCCTTGTGGGCGCCTGCTCGATCTGGTGTGCTTATGTGAACGACATTGTTCCCGCGCCATACTTGGTAAGTGTTGGTATCTTTGCGAGCGGATGCTCATGATTGGATCTGCTAATGTTGCTTCAAGGACGAGGTCTTCCATGTTCGTCAGGCTAAAGCGTATTGCGACGGGAACTTCAAGCAATGGGATCCCAAAATCACTACACCTCCGGGCTTGTGCGTGACCACTAGTTTTCCAAGGACATCGCTAACCTGCCTCAGGTATTTAGCTGCGCTCCCTTACGCTCATCTTCTTGGAGGCTGCTCTATCCCAACACTAAGGGCACTAAATATTATCTGCCTTGTTCTTATGTTCATTGTTTTAAGTCATACTGGATTCGAACCGCAAGTCAAAATACGGTCTCGGAGTTCAAGGACTGGCGTTGCGACTCAGACCGCACTCAACATCGCTCTATTTCCTCCACTGTTCTTCTTCTCGGGCTTGTTCTACACTGATATTATATCCACTCTCGCCGTGCTGCTGTTCTTGAAGATTCATTATGCTCGCTTGACAGCATTGACCTCAAAAGACGGAACGCCGCAAGGCAATCTACTCCGTGTGTCCCTGCTCATTACACTGGGATTATTTGCATTGCTTTGCAGACAAACGAACATCATCTGGGTTGGAATATTTCCAGCGATCAGCACAGCTTTTGAATTCCTTAAGAGTGAGGACTATGGCGGCCGAGAGACGGATCGCTGTGTCCGAAGTGTTGGAGATGTTATCCGCTGCAGCTGGGAGTCGCTGATAGTTTATGATCCCCCTGTGGAGTTTGCTGAGATAGTCGGTGAGACCGCCTTGCTGGCCCTGGTGGACGTTTCTGAATGTGTCTAGACTACCCCAAAGCCACCCTCTCAGTCTGCATTGTTGCTATCCGGAGATTCCGCATCTTATTGTCCGCTGTCATCCCTTACGTGGCTTTGCTTTTGATCTTCTGCACATCTGTCTATCTAAATGGCGGTGTCGTTCTCGGTACGTCGTGCTATCCGCGTTAAGAAAATAATTGTACTAAGATCTTTACAGGGGACAAGACGAACCATGTTATTACCCTTCACTTTCCCCAGATGCTTTATATTTGGCCTTATATCGTGTTCTTCTCATGGCCAATATGCATCCCTGCGCTCTATACTAGCCTTACAAGGAAGTCCTTTCCAAACATCTGGGCTATGTCACTAGTTTTGAACTTAGCTCTCGTTGCCGTCCATTACAACACGGTTATTCACCCTTTCATATTGGCGGACAATCGCCATTATGTCTTCTATGTGTTTCGGATCCTTCGGCGGCACGTTGCCATCAAGTATATTGTGACGCCTATTTACGTCTTTTGCGGCTGGCTTGCTTTACGAGCCCTGGGCAACCGCTCCTCTGAAATAATCGACGCGCCGCTGGATCCGAAACACTTGTCGGAAAAGACGGTCCGAGTTCGGCGTACCAAGGACAATTCCTCGCCTCCTTGCACCGTGAGCTTCGTCCTGGCTTGGCTCATTGCATGCACGCTTTGTTTGGTAACGGTCCCCTTGGTGGAGCCTCGATATTTCATTATTCCTTGGGTGCTATGGAGATACCATCTGCCCTCTATTGGTGGAATTGCGGCCAAGTCCTCAAGAGCAGCGGCAACGAGTGCAGTGGCGGAGCAATCTTTTCTCCGCAAGGTCGAAGCAGCTATCATGGATCAGCGAATCGTCCTGATCCTGGAGACCCTCTGGTTTGCAGTCGTCAATTCTGTGACAGGCTACTTGTTTCTCTATAAGGGCTTCATCTGGCCGCAGGAGCCAGGGAATCTGCAAAGGTTCATGTGGTAAAATTAGACCAACTCCGTTACGGGGTACGTCTGCAGGAACAGCCATCCTTGAATTCATTGTCATCCCTATATGAATCAGGGAGTGAAGTGCCAGCTGCATCTCTGTCCTGTCGACCAAGGCAACAACGAGCCAATGATTCATCACGAACGAAACACTGCACAGGCCGGCTCCCACGACCTATGGAGTCTTCCGACGTTCTAGAATATTGGTTTTGTCTTTGCAGGATGCGAATTTTGCAAGGGTTTTAGAAAGGGCAATGTTTGGAATATATTGCACCAAAATCATCCCGCATGGAACGGCCACAGCCTCTCACTATTTTAAATTCCTCAATCAATCCTCTGGCCCAATTTAGACAGCTGGCTATGGTAACCCGACCTTTTCATGATTACTGCAATTATTGTATGGCGTTCTTTGGGATAACCTGAACGCCGGAAATTAATGGATGACTGAAGGAATGATACTCAGCCTCTCATGCCCTATTGTACCTGTCAGATATTCCTCCGCCTTCCTATGGTTCGGTTCTCTTGTCAAAGTTCCGGATAATGTGGATGGACTACGGTTCTATACCCAACATCACGAAGCCTTCTGCTTACCTCAATATACCACACCCTTTGGGTATTGTCTCAATTCATGTATCGTACATTCTGCAAGGCCCTCACCCTACCGTGGCGTCTTGGGCTGTTTGAGAAATTACCGCTTATGCGGTGGCAGTGTTCTCTAATCTGGATTTCCGCGGTTCCGTCCCATATAAATATCAGAGAGGGTAAGGTCGCTCGTGTGTCTTGTCAGTGTTCCAGTTCCTCTTCAGTCCGCTATTTCGCATGCATCCTGCTCAGATTTGTATCTGCAAGTGTTCCGTTTAAGCTCTCACCTGCTTGTTTGTCCTTTCCCGGAACATCTTATACTGCGCCCAGAAGCCATGCGTCCCAGTTCTCATTTCTTCCTCGCCGCCTGTGGGTTATCCTATCTCGCATATGGCCAAGGCAATGTTCCACCACCGGGCTCCGTCACATTATCTACAGCATCGTCTCCTGGTCTTTCACGATATATTTCTTCTGGTGATGTGGCGTCTCTCCTCCCCGACGGCCAGATGATAGGAGCGGCAGACATCTGCAACGATGATGATTACTCTATCGCCATCTCACAGGACAACCGCCAGCTAAATTGGATTTTCGACACGGACAATATGATGGCATCACTCGACCCTTCCACTCCACGGTCAAGCGACTCGAAGAAGTGCATTGTCCAGGCTCGGTTGGAAGTGCCGGCCGGATATACCTTCAAGGTGGAGAATTGCCGATTCTGGGGATACTGCTATCTCGAGCCAATGGTGACTGGGAAGATATCTACAAGTTATGGCTTCCAGGATCGTCTCGATGAGGTATATCCGTTCTTGACCACTACACGCATGGTAATGCGCTTACACCTATCACAGAGTACGCTTTCGAAGTCCATGTACGGCCCGATGGCAGAAGACTTCAGTCTTAATCTCTTCGAAGACACTCCCAAGTGGTCGCCATGTGCAGAACCTGACCAACTAACATTTTTCAATGTTGTTTTGGACATTGGACTCATCTCAAAGGATACTACATTCCAGTCGAGAGGACTCATCCAAGGCGGTGCGATTGACACAAATTTCACTCAGATTCTTGCTCTCGACTGGGAGACGTGTCAGTTACCTCCGCAGTGATAGCATAATATGGGGGTCAACATCAGAGCGTCTACTGTAGCTCTTCGAAACTTTATCTCATTTATGAACCATGAAGTATGAACCCTAGCAGCAGTGCACATACGGCTCATCGTGTAGAATGTAGATTGCATGCAGAACAAAATTTGAAAGCTGATAGAGATTTGACAGCGCGAGAATAATGCCATTATGCATGGTAGTTTTGATTATGGACTGGCTTCTAGACCATTGTGGATAGGATTGTGTGAGAGTCAAGTGATGCGGACTACTAAGCAAGTTGCTGTAGTTAGTTATGCCTGTATCAACTAATGCAACCTTAATCCCTTAATACTAGTCACACCTGGTGTAAAGAAGGACACCAAACTGTCTGATGTCCAGCAATGTGTGCGATATCTCCATGCGCTCAAATATTGGCCAAAATCAGAGTGTCTGATGTTTGCAACGAGGTACTGACACGCACCGAAAGAAAATCTCCATAGTCACCCAGGCAGGAGTCGAATCCGGAAATACATAGATATTAAATCTTATATACATTTACTGCACCATACCCTTGCCCGGTCTTGGAAATGTTGCCATGAATGGGGTATCGTATATTTAACAGCAGTAAGTCCAAAGACTCCCTTAACTCGAGAAAGGCGCCAGGGGCTCATTAAGTGTTCATAACCGTATGATAGCTCAATTCAACCCGATTTCCAATCCGCGCCTGAAAAACGACAACTCTAGACAACCCTTCTTGCCTTTCCAGTCTCGACCTCATAGACCCATCCACTGATCGTCACAGCCTCCGGAATTACCTTACTCCCCTTCAAAAAGCGCACATCCTCACGAACCGCCTCCTCCAGCTCTGGGAAAGGGAGGAAATCCAGCCCACCAATCTCCGCCGCGGCCGCCTCTCCCAAATTGGTTCGGACAGCCGCGTGAGCGTCCTCGTTCTTGAAGGTCAACATGCCGCAACCGGTATGTTTGATCAACAGGATCTCTTGGGTTCCGAGCAACTGCTCGGAGATGACGAGTGATCGAAGAGCATCTTTCGCAGATGCACCAGCGTTGCGAATGACGTGAGCGTCCCCGAGATTGATTCCAAATGCTCTTGCTGGGTCGATGCGGGCGTCCATGCATGTCACTCTCTGGGTCAGTCGAGCACAGTCGAGCGTGGATACAATGCCCCGGGGAGGTGATGGGCAACTTACAGACGGCGTATTTTTTCGCTGGCGGAAGCGCAAGGTGACCTTCGGTGAAGGTGGTGATATATACATTGTTGCTTTGCTCGAGGTTCTCCTGAATCTTGGATGCCATGTTTGCCTTACTTGTATCGTGCTGTATGACCGAAAATCCAAGAGTTAAAATCTCAATGCCTTGTCCGGATACTCGAATATTCCGAATCTAGAATATAAATTAACTCGAGGCCCCAATCGGGGACTCTCATCCTTATACGGCATCTGCTTAATGTGGGCGAGGAGAATGATAGATATGAACAAGTTTAAGCACGTGCGATGACGCCTTCATTGTTAGGTGAAATGTTCCAATCAGAGCATCATTCCAAAAGCTTCTCCGCATGTGGCTTGGATTGGCAGACAGAGGAGTGGAACTTGATTTTTGTTCTAAGTTCAACCCCCTGTCAAGTAGCCAACCACTCGAGTAGCCAGTATCACCACCTCTATCACCATCTCTCTAACCGCGATATCTCCACCACCGTACAATATCATGATACCAAACTCGGAAGACCCGGTCCAACAGGCTATTGATGCCTTACAGACCGGTCAATGCAAATCACAAAACGAAGCTGCGGCGCTATTCAAGGTCAACCGACGCACCCTTCAAACCCGCTTAAAAGGCCGCCTACCACGCGTAGTAGCTCAACAATCTCGCCAACGCCTTACACCGGACCAAGAATCCTTTTTAGTCGACTGGATACTTGAAAATGACGCTCAAGGATTCCCCCCTACTCACGCACGGCTTCGCGAAATGGCATCTCGAGTTCTACGCCTCCAAGGAGACTCAACGCCCCTCGGGAAGAACTGGGTAACGCGTTTCCTACACCGTAATCCACGCGTTGCGACCTGTATCGGGCGTAGTCTTGATGTTGCCCGACGTCAGGCTGCAACTAAGGATACAATCGACGCGTTCTACACGTATTTTCACCAAGTTCAAACTCAGTACGATGTCCACCCCTCTGATACCTGGAATATGGATGAGGTTGGTATAGGACTAGGGATTTGCGCTAATTCTACGGTTATCGCAGACTCGCAGAAGTCAACGGCCTATATCACTAGTCCTATGGGCCGCGAATGGATTAGTATCGTTGAAACTGTCTCCGCGACCGGCCAGTACATCAGACCAGCGATTATACAGAAAGGCGCCACGTTACAGTCTTCTTGGTTCCCTGAACAACCTCCAGACTTCCATTATACGGTATCAGAGAACGGCTGGACTTCAAATCAACACGCGTTGGTTTGGCTCCGTACGGTTTTCCTGCCTGAAACCGCTACACAGCGGCAGTACCGGATTCTGCTAATGGACGGGCACGGTAGCCACGCAACCATCGATTTCTTGTACGAATGCAAGATAAACAACGTAATCGTGGTCTTCCTACCTGCACATACCTCCCATATCCTTCAACCTCTGGATCTCGCCTGTTTTTCGCCTCTAAAACGCTTTTATAAGACCCTCCTCCGCCAAAGCGCGTATATCGACGAGGCCCTACCGATTAAACGACGGAGATTCATTGTCCTCTATGCAGAGGCACGTCAGGCACGCCTAACCGACCGTACAATCAGATCTGGGTGGAAGGCTGCAGGACTTGTGCCGTTTGACCGGTCAAAGGGCCTCAGTAACCGCTTCGTTGTACCGTCACCGCCTACCGTAACCGCACCACCAATTCCACCACCAAACACGCCTCCACGCACCCCCATACCAGTCCCCTCCGTTCTCCAGACGACGCCCTACAAGCCAAAACAGGTACAGAGTGCATTACGCGTTCTTAGCAAGAATACACGCGTGGCAAAGACGACGAAGTCGTATATAGAGAAGGCAGCCAAGGCGATCGGAGTGCTACAGGCGCGTCAGGCCTCATCAGATCTGAAAATCGCGGGCTTACAGGCACGCCTTGATGCTGCTACAGCACCAAAACGTAAAAAGAAAGTTCAGATAGATCTTAATCAGAGGTTTGCGCAAGTTCGGGAGATCAAATTGGCACAAGAAGCTGTACGAGCGGTAGAGGAAGATTACCAACGAAGACATCCAATTTCGGAGGCCAAATCTACATCAGAGTCTCTCCAAGCTGTATCTTTTGAATCATGCTGTATAGATTTCCAAATATAATATGTTTTAGTAGAGATATTGCTGTCTGACCGATGGAGGTTGAGATGGTGATACTGGCTACTCGAGTGGTTGGCTACTTGACAGGGGGTTGAACTTATTGTTCATTCTTTGGGAAGGCTATTTGCACTTTGCAGGGTGATTACTGCCAATCAGCGCTCGAGATCGCGTAATACCCATTTAGCCCATCTGGCCTCATACCACTTCAACCAGTCTTACAAGCTACCATGTTGACCACCTTAGGGAGCAATCCTCTGAGGATCGCGGGGGAAAAGCGTTGCCATCCTGATATTGGGAAGGCCCAACCAAAACGTGACAATCCGCTCCAGACCAATCCCGCCACCACCGTGCCTTGAGCATCCATACTCGAACGCCTCGATGTAGGCTTCCGCACCCTTCTCCGGCACGGGAGGGTCCATTGCTGCCATCCGCTTCCTCAGGAAAGGCGCGTCGTGAATACGCTGCGCTCCGGACAGGATTTCTTGACCGCGCATGAAGAAATCGTAGCTGTTGGAGTATTTTGGATTTTCCGGATCAGGCATGGTGTAGAATGGTCTGACGGAGGTAGGGAATTTGTCGAGCACGTAGAAGTCGGTATTGTATTTCGCAAGGACGAGACGACCAAGGTGTTTCTCCTGTGGAGTGCTGTGGCAAGGTCAGTAATTTTCAGGATAGTAGATTTGGAGCAAGATTACGTGAGATCATCGTAGTCACCAAGTTCTTCGCCGGCTTCGCGCAACATCGCGATAGCCTCAGGATACTTCAGGCGAGGCACTTGCCCTTCTTCCGGCAGCTTGAACGGCTCCACGCCGTACATACCCTGGAGCAATTCCGTTTCGCGCTTGTAGGTTGTGTTGAGTCCTTTGAAGATGAACAACATCAAATTCTCAAGCGTGGTGATAACGTCGTGATAATCTTCATCGAATTCCATTTCCATGTCAAGTCCGGTGAATTCAGTCAAATGTCTGCTTGTGTTGGAGTTCTCTGCTCGGAACACCGGGCCAACCTCGAAGACACGCTCGAAACCGGAAGCAATCACCATTTGCTTGTAGAGTTGAGGTGACTGCGCAAGGTATGCCTTCCTGTCAAAGTATGTGACTTCGAAGACATTGCTGCCACCCTCTGAAGCGGTTGGGATCAGTTTCGGCGTCTGGATTCCAACGAAACCCTTCGACGTCAAGTGCTCTTGGAAGAGCGAAACAATGCCATGTCGAATGCGGAAAATGGCTTTATTCGGAATGGCCTTCAGGTCGATCACACGATTGTTTAGACGTGCGGGAAGTGACAGGATAGGGCGTTCACCCTCCTTGGTTTCTTGCACTGGCGCATCGTCGGCCGGGATCGGTCTTTCCGCGTCTTCAACCTGGATCGGTAGCCTTTCCACAGCTCTCGAGACCACGTGGATATTCGTAATATGGAGCTCGCGGTCATCGATGGTAGCGCTCGCGATCTTCTCGGGGGAGGCTTTGACTTCGCCATGCACAAGCACGATCGAAGCTACAGGAATATTCGCAGCCCATTTCACCATCGCCTTGGTCTCCGGGGTATTCGCAAACAAAACTGCTTGTATGCTTGACAGCCCCTGTCGTAGATTCAGGAACACGAGCTTTGCGCTCTGCTTCCGCGCATTGTAGACAGCGGCCCGAAGGATGACTTCACCCGAAGCCGGCAACTTCTCCAGCGTCGTCGTCGGCGCGGGGACATTCAGCGGTCCGGCGAGGGCAAGTTCACCAAAGTACTCCGCTAATTGCTCGACGGGGATTTCAGGTTCCGCAGCCTGTTGCTGTTGGGCAGTTGCGGCTTTGGCAGCTTTTTTGGCCGCCTGTATCAACAGGTCAGTTTTGGTTGAAAGGTGTGGGAGAGCCAAATCATACCTTTTCCGCTTCCTTGGCGGCCTTTTTAAGGGCGTTCTTGGAGGGGCCTTTGTCCGCCTCGTCAGCCATGTTGGATTATATATTGAATTCTTCTAGATTCTTTGATTGACAATTCAAAACGAAGTTGAGTATCGTTGATGGGCGAGTGACTGTTTGATGCCGAATGTAAGAGATTGAGTCATGCAGGGTAGTGGGGCAGGAAAGTGTTGTTCAAGCATGACTCATTTCCAATTCCTGATGCGCCAGACGCCTAAAGCGCTCTGGGTCTGCTTCATCATTCATGCCTACCAGAGCACCAGTATTTCTGACGACGTCCGACGATTTTGCAGCGACTTGAAGGCGATACCCTGATCCAATGGCATATTCCGACGTCCTTCTTCCTGGGGATGAGGTCCCCCAAGAGCAGCTCCCTTCGAATCCTAAGAAAGCCCTCTCAATTGGCCCTGGCCTTCGACATATTCCTCCCTCTACCATTTCGGCCACCTCAGTGGGAGCGCTCAATGTCGACTGGAGACGGAATGCAGCATGGATGGATGTCAATGGTGGACGTGTATGTAACTCCTGAGAGTATCCCGACAGCAATCTAACGCAGCTATTAGTATCTCCCGTCAACCAACGATCCCATAATAGTTCGTGTTACTGGTTCGTCGGGCGAAGCATTCAACTGCCAGATCACACCGTATACGTCCTATGCTGCTCTACCGCACCTCTCATTCCAGGATGCAACGAAAAAGACGCGCCCCCAACTTGCCAATGGAGCTCTGGTTTATGCGCGCATTGCGACCCCCGCCGCTCACTTACTCCATATCGACCCGGAACTGACATGTATCGATCCCTCGACCGGAAAATCGGAAGGGTTAGGACCGTTGAAAGGCGGCATGTTATTCAAGATTAGTCTTGGCATGGCGAGGCGATTGCTCATGACCAGTAAGAGGGCTAAGGAAGATGCAAAGATTATAATCCTGGATCGGTTGGGAGAGAAGTGGGGATTTGAAGTTGCGGTCGGTAGGAATGGATATCTGTGGGTGGACGCGAATGATATTCAAAGGACAATGGCTGTTGGAAGAGCCATTACAGAAGTCGATGAGCAGGGCTTGGTAGTTCAAGAGCAGGAAGCGCTTGCGCAGAAAGTATTGAAACAAGGCTGAGCCACTTCCAAGACAGTAGCAACTCTCCTGTGCTACGGGTGCTCTCCTTAATCGCCTCCTCCTATCCGGTGATTTAGGAGCGAAACTGTGAACGAACGGCACATATTTCCTGGAATATTGGGCCATGGTCAGAGCGGCATGGGCAAGTTGAAAACAAAAGAGAGGTCGGCGAGATCCTACGGTCTCAACCCATCTTGAGACCGTATCAATGTTCTCGTTTAGAAGTTTTCAAGATTATGGGTGGCTGATGCTTCTATATGGTCGCACCATCCGTTCTTCTACCTCCGGTAGGGGGATACCATCCGCTAGTCGGCTTCACAATCTGGAGACTCGGGGGTTGAGGAAGACCAGGGATTCATTAGGCCCCCCTCGCTCTTCAGATATCGCTGGGGGGTGCTTAGGGTGATGAGAAGTCAGTTACCTCCCCCCTTATGAATATAGGTGTTGGTATTCATGGGCTGCTCTAGATCGGTGGCGGACCTCCACTATAACGCATTGGAAACGTGATACCGGTATCACTTCCTATTGTTATATACCTGTATAATGCAGTAAACAAGCAGAATGAAGGATATGATTTCATTCAAGTCAATTCTCCCAATGTGGACCATTAGTGCCCTATTGAGTCTCAGGGGGATGATCAGAGGACTGATCTGGAACCCTACTGACTGACTTTCAGGCTTCAGGATTAATTCCCGCTTGTTGCATTCCACTTGTCTTTTTGAGTTCTAACTATGGAGTGATTTACAAGAGGTAGCGATACTCGGGACTTAGATCTCCAAGCTCCGTCTTCTCATACTCGGAGAGCCCCAGGTCAACTGGCTGTTTGTCCCTCTTCCGGTTCGCTATTAAGCACATAATGTAATATATGGTGCAGCTGAGGCCGCTAAGGCAGACGAACGCGATGCTAATGGAATATCCCGTGATATACCGTGGAGCTTCTTTCGTCACGAATGAATACGTGGCGATGAAACCGCCGATATTGCCGAATGCGACCTGCCACGCGCTGCCGACGGAGCGACGGTGATGGCCTCCGAGGTTCATGTTGAACCAACAGACGATCACGGGCATTGCACTACACATGTGTCAGCGACTGTTCGAAGTTCGGTTTGGGGTCGGACCTACGCATAACACCCCATCGCTACCAGGACCAGTCCAGCGTACTTTGCTTTGGTGTCTGGAGGGTTACCCATAAGGATTCCAAATCCGGCAATTGCTACACATATTGGAAATATCGTAAATGCGAAGCGATGTTGAGTCTTGTCACTGATGTAGGCAATGATCATCGCCAGGGCGAAGGCAGCAGCGTACGGAGGGACCGAGTGTAGCTGAGTCTGGATAGGCGAATACTTGTATCCACTGATGATGGTCGGGCTGAAGTAAGCGTAGCCATAGGCCGGAACGATCAATCCCTGAGAAAGGTCAGAGTCGCTTCAAGCATGGTATGGAGCGGACCAATACTTACCAAGTACATGAAGCCTCCCACAAAGATCTTGGGATCTTTGAAGACGCGCACGACACCTTTCCATGTGATGGTGCGCTCGGCGCCGGATTTGCCCTGATCGGCCCGCAATCGCGCCTTGACAAACGCAAGTTCATCGTTTTTAAGCCACTTCGACTCTTCCGGGAAGGTCGGCAACCAGAAGATGAAGAATACGGACACGAAGACGGTCAGCAGTCCCTCGATGATAAACACCCAACGCCAAGAACTGTATCCCCTGATTCCGTCCATCTTCCCTATCGCAGACGCGAGAAGACCTCCGAATGCACCGGCGAGGGTCGTGCTACTGAAGAAGAACGAGTACCGTCTCTGGGCTTCGGTACGTTTGTACCACATCCCGATGAGATAGAAGGCTCCCGGGAACATGCCTGTTTCGAAGACTCCCAAAAAGAACCGCGTGGCCAGCAGCCCGCTGTAGTTTTTTACAAATCCTTGAGCCATGGTGATGACGCCAAACATAAACATGTTGCCCCCAACTGAAACGGTTAGAGGATCGATTCTGTTGGAAAGAGCCGATCTACTCACGCCAATAGTTTGGTTTGAACTTCTTGAGCATTATGTTTGAAGGTATCTCAAATATGATGTATGGGACGAAGAAGATTGTCAGCGCTGTATTGTATTTATTGCCATCATCGATCTGGAGCTCTTTAGACAGGCCAAAGACATTGGCGTTCCCGATATTAACTCTATGGACCGCTTCAGCTTTGTCGAGGATCTTCCCTTCTCGGAAACACTGACCTGTCTAGGAAAGCCAAGAGGTACATGATGCAGAGAAACGGGATGACGTGAAAGTCGATCTTATTCACGAGTTTCCGTTCGGTGGTATGTGTCGGACATGAGACTTCGACATCGTCCGGATCTGGTCCATGATATTCAGGAACCGCATCTTGATTATCGACATCGCCGATCGACGAAGGCTTCTCTATAAAGGACTCGATATCAGCCTCCTCGGCTCAGACCCTGAACAGGACAGCCGATTGCATACTTTCTGAACTCCAGAACATATTGGTACAACGAACCAGGACTCCAAAAGATCCAGGTCAGATCAAGGAACGCAAACAAGCATCTGAAAACAAATGACGAAAATCATAGTCAAGTAACACATGCGCGGGGAGGAATAGGCTAATTTAAAGGAATGGCGGAAACAAGCTTAGTTCATGGGACGATCAAATCCATTTTAGTGTCTAATTCGCCTTCACGGCTTCTCGCTAACTGCGGATGTCCTTGCCATAGTGGAAAGCTTCGACGTGAACGACTAAGCTGCCCTAATAGCAACTTGTCGGATGGGACCGACCGCATCGGACTATCGGTACAACATATCGATCTGGGCAGAGCAAGATGTCCTAGGATATTGACTGTTCGGGTATCGTGTACGGTGTAACTCCAGGAAAACCTCATTTCTTGCACTTGCGCCGTAATGCCGTTAGACGAGCCGAGAGCGGGGTCTTAGCCGTCTTATTCGCATTAGGGTCTTGGGGAGTGCGGATAGATCACCATCTGATCTAGAATGGATAGTTATATGAATATGGATCTGAGAAGGCTTGAGGCTCACACTAAGTGACACTAACCCAGAAAGTGGCGAATCTTAAACACGGATTCCACCCCCATTGTCGGCGACTCCAGGAATTCAGGGTTCTGCAGCGGGACGAGTGCCACAATGCTTGTTCAAACTGCACAAAGTAGCTTAGTATGTTCAGCCTTTTCAGTACCATGTCGTCGATCTCGGCCAATGACCTCGGGGATTTCTCCAAAGAGCCGGCCGGGGATGGAGAGAGGATGGCGGGTTGATGTAACCATCGAATCGTTCCGCTAAAACGCTTAGTAAATATGACTGCAAGTCTGCAGTCTGCAGATCTCCAATCCGATGTAGAAATCGCGTAGAATACGACATCCGCTTAGTAGGCATTAGGTCTCTGCGTGGCAAGAAGCATGATAGATCATATGTATCCAAGATAAATATAAGCGTGCCCTATTCTTACAAGAGCAAGTTTCTATGTGTCTTGCCTAAATAGCCATCGCGTTCTGGCTAATATCTATCACATCGTTGAGGAGAACCAGCAAGCCGTAAGTGGAAGTGTGAGGCATCGTACAATTACCATATGGGACGTCCTGTAGGCGATCTTCATCTATTCCAGTTCTCATATATCCCAGTCTACTACCTGTACTGGCTTTACTTGAAAGACGTCCATGCCCACAAGCCCTTCAGCTTGTTAATCCTGCCACTCAGTCGGGATGGGTCTGATTGGTAATCTTCAGGTATCTTGTTTTACGCGGGAAGGCAACTCGGTGATCTGACTGCACCATTCTCTAATGCTCCGAGGTAGAGATGTTCACAAGCATCTTCAGAATGGGAGATCCATATCTTCCGCCTTCTCCTCCTCGTCGTCGCCAGGAGTCGCCAGTGCCTCCTTCATGAATGCAATCAGAGCCCCAACGAACTGTCGCTGGCTGCTCGGTAGGAAGTGGCCGCCTGGATGATACACCAACTTCTGTCGTCCCCCTTCGCAGACGTCCACTAACGCCAACGACCTCTTCTCATCGACCACCGTATCCAGGCTCCCCAGGAAATGAAGCACGGGGGTCTTGATCGATGGCTCGTAGTATCCCTTATACATCGGATGCAGCAGCTTGAATCCGCTATAGCACGCCGCGAACTTGAAAGGCGGGTGGATCGTGCGGCTCACATCACCGTCTCGTTTCTCCAACATTTCCGGAAAGCGAATCCCGCCATCCTTCTCATGCTTCCTGACCGCCTCTCCCCTTCCCTCTTCTAACAGCGCCGCCACCATCGCCGCCATCGCGCCACCCTGCGAGAACCCAATTACCCCATCAAACGGCCCCTCTGCCTCCAGGACCTCCGCCACCCTCCCCATCCCCAGCTCCAACCCCTCACACACAAACGGATCCGTATTCGCCTTTCGCTTCCACCAACCCCAGGCATCTAGGTCATCCTCGAGTTGTCCGGCATTGTCTTTCGGCGCTTCGGAGGTGGCGGAGGGATTGTCGAAGCTCGGGATCTCGGCGCGCGCGAGGCGGATTGGCCCGGTCGGATAGGAGAGGGTGACGCCGGCGGGAAAGGCTTTCTGGAGGTTCTTCTCGAGGGCGCGGGTTTTGGCGCGGAAGAGGGGGCCAGATTGGGTAAAGCCGTGGAGCATGAGGATTTTGATGGGCGAGGTGGGGGTTGGGGCCGCCATGGTGAGGATGGATGGAGGATATGAGATACTGGCTCCTTTATCGTATCATGGTTTGATTTTATGCCGCACCCTTCCAATTGTGCTCTAAAGATTCAATCGGACGGTGACTTTGATATGCCGCCGTCGGATCTTGATTGATCATCAAGGGATGTTTATCACCATTTCCTGCCTGAGGCCGCAAATTTCTTGCTTTAGCAGATCAATCAGATCCGCCGTTGTGTCAGGGGCTGAATGGGACCAATATAATTGTTTGATACACTAAGCGAAGGATCTCAATAGCATCGATATTTGAAGAGTAGATACAAATTGGAATTGAACGAAGCAGGATAATCTTCATTTCAATCGGACCTCGTGTGCTTCGAGTACAATATTGAAGGATGCGGAGGGAGACTAGCTGAAGGATACTCCAGTTTCTACGCCCGACCAATCCATTTGAATCGCAATCTAATGTATCAACACAAAAGCCGCTTGGATACCATTGCGCCAGTCCGCATGCACACCCCTTTGCGTTTGCCATCCGCATCCTTAAGCATGAGCCCGTCACCCGCTTAGCTTGCCGTCTCCCCCTTACTCTTTGACCCCACCGGCTTGATCCTGGCCATCATCTCCTCCTTCGTGATCAAATGATCGATCCGCTCCAGCAACCCCAGCAAACTCTTCATGTTTCCACTCCACTCGTTCAGCACATCGTCCGCATCGCGTGGCTTGGCGAAACTGATGACTCGGGCGGGCCGATCGATCTTAGCATAGATGGTCTTCGCCGTCACTAGGTCGCTGATGTACTTCTCCGTCTCGTCGCCCTCGAGGTCGAGCAGCTGCTGGAGCCGCGACATGCCGATCCGCGTGTAGTACTTCGCGATCACCCGCACGTTATGCTCGATGACGCGCTTGCGGAGGTCTTGCCACCGCTGGAAGGCTTTGGGGTCCTTCGGATCGTCGTTGGCAGAGAAGATGTCGGTTGAGCAGAGGTGGGCGCCCCAGACTTCGGCGACTTCGGGCCATCGCATGATTTCGGGTTTGGTGAACTTCTCGAGGAGCTTGTAGTCGGTTTTGACGAGTTGCTCGTTGCGGGAGTCACGGAAGATGCGGTGGAGGAGGTCGGATTGTTCGTTATCGTAGGGGGCGAGGATGATGAAGTAGATGATTCTCTGTAGGACCTGTTGCTGTTAGTTTCGTATTGGAGAGATGGAGAGTGATTAACATACCGCGGTGAGCTGTTGTGCGTTTTCTTCCACCGCCTCCGTGTCCAACACCTGTCGATAGTATTTGCAGGTGTCTAGATATTTGTCATCATGCTTTGCCAGAGTGACTTGGAGCTCGTAGTACCGCAGCTTCAGATCCGTCACATCATCTTCCGGCTCTGGCGGTGGCTCGTCGGCACTCCTCGTCTTCTCTTTTTCTTCCCGTTCCTTCTTCTCCTTCTCCAGTTGTTCCGGGCTTTTCTTCGGTTTACGGCCGAAGTACCTCGTGCTGATTTTCCGGCTCAAAATCCCGGCCTGTGTCCAGTCGCCGTTCTCGACGCATAGCTCCACTTGCTCCAGGATGAACTCGGTTTTTTCGCGGCGAGTCATCGACCCGAACGTCTCGACTTGCAGCTCACATAGAATCTCCGTGGCCGCCTTGATGTCTCCCTGTTCCTTCTTGATGTTACTGAGGATTTTGGTAACTCGGGCTCGCTCGACTTCGACGAAGATCTGGCATATATTTAGCAAACTGTTCCTCCCATTATAGATACGAGGGAAGCAATACCTTCCCTTCCGTCACCGTCCGCAGGGTATCAATGACAGATAGCTTGACGTCCGTGTTCGGAGTATCGTCTAAGAATCCGAGGACCGTCTGCACCATCTTGGTGACCGCCTGTTTGAGCTGACCATGCTTTTTCGATAGGAGTTGCACCTGCTCATTTAGCAATGACCAGTCTCCGGCAGCCTTGCACATGTTGACAATCGAGAGAAGGACTTTACTCGTCGAGGCCAGATCGGAGGCCTGTCGAGCCTTCTTCTCCAGCACAAGGAGTTTCTCGATCGCTCCATTGATATCGGACTAGGAAACGTGAGACCATTGGCTGTAAGCGGACGTTTGGATATGTACCTTTGCAAGCTGCTCTGCTTCGGGAATCAGCTGGTCGGCCTCCTTTGTAAAGTCCTTTTCGGCCTTCAACAGCTGCCCGCTAGACATGACGGGCAATCTGAGATGGGGGGTATGCTATAAGTGTTCGGTGGTCTTGATATTCAAGGAAATGGAGCAAGCGGCTCTCCTGTGGAAGTAGGTTCCAAGGCGGTTTGGCGTATTGATGGGAGTGATGGAACTTCTCGGATGGTGTCTGGGGAAAGAAAGAGGATTGGATTTTGTGAGGCCTTCGTAACTCTTCGAATACACGTCTCAAAAATTAAATACAAGTAAACGTGTGTGTCGAGTGTTGTGTTTGGAGTGAATAGGCTGTTGGATGGTGACGTTCAAGCTCATGAAAGTCGCCATTGAATGGCAAGGAAAGCTTGGGCCTGCTTGATACTTTATGCCTTAGGGCCTTGAAGCCTTGCAGATATATCTGTATTTCCTCCTTTACATCAGACTTGAATTGGAATAAATAAGTTGCAAATCACCAAACCTCAAATCTTATGGAAACAAATAATAGCAACTTCTTTATTGAGACACATTGAGCAGACAATATGTGTGATGAGAAAATTTATAGGGGATAGTGCTTTTCAATGCTCCTCTTTCGACGCGATCTCCTTCGTGTCAACCCGATCAAGCATATTGGTCGTCGCAAGATCACCACTTCAAGCTTCCTTACGGGTATCAACGCTCCGGTCCAATCCTACATCTCCCGTTCCAATGACCCCTATCTCAACTTGTCGATTGAGCATTATCTCCTCACCCACACCCCTCCAGACTCTACCATCCTCTTTCTCTACGTCAACCGGCCCTGCATAGTCATCGGCCGCAACCAGAATCCATGGCTGGAAGTGAACCTGCCGCTTCTCCGCCAGGAGCATGAGCGGCACCAAGGGCATATAAATAACCCGATTGAAGCCGGCAATACCGATGCCGAAACGAACTGTCAACCCGCAGAAGAAGGCCAACTAATCGACCTCGTCCGCCGTCGTTCCGGCGGCGGTGCCGTTTTCCACGACCTGGGCAACGTGAACTGGTCCGTAACCTGCCCGCCTGCTCTGTTCACTCGCGATAAGCACGCGGACATGGTGGCGCAAGCGCTGCGCTCGCTCGGCGGAAGCAGAGTGAGCACGGCGCGGGTGAATCAGCGGCATGACATTGTCATTGACGTGCGAAACGAGAATCGAGGATACAAGTCCGCCAAGGTGTCCGGGTCAGCGTATAAGATCACGCGGACGAGGGCGTTGCATCACGCGACGTGCTTGCTGAACTCGGAGTACCTGGAGGACATTCCGAGGTACTTGCATAGTCCGTCCAAAGAGTCGATCGACGCCAAGGGGGTGGAGAGCGTGAGTTCGGAGGTGGCGAACGTGAGGGTGAGCTTCGACAGATTTCGAGAGGCCGTAAGGGGGGAATTTGAGGAAATGTATGGCGCAAGTGGCGGGGTGGCGGAATTACAGACAGTTGGAGATGAATTATTGGAAATCGAGGGGTTGAGGAAGGGATATACCGAACTTCAGGTCAGTGGACTCATTTGCAGCGTGCGATTCATTAGCTGACGTCAGGCAGTCCTTAGAGTGGAAGTATCTACAGACTCCGCAATTTACTGTACGTGTGGACGTTCCTGACTCCAAAGGGGAGGGAAATTTCTTCCAGTTGCGGGTTAGGCATGGCCTCGTTGAGGAGGCGGCAGTTTTGAACCAACATAAGGAAGTAGTCGAAGGATTCGAGAACTATCTCGGTCAAAGGCTCCACGAGATATCTGATTGGAGCCGAGTCTACGAATACGTTGGAAAGGACCTAGCTGATCTTGAAATGCTCACGGGTGGCCACGAACCGGGCCAGTTCCAGATAGTTGGAAAGGTTGAATAGGTCTATACGTTGTCCCAATCTATTGCATCACACATCAATACCTGGTACATTTAGACTTGGCTTTTATTGCTCAACTGCATGTCTGCGCAGAACCTCCTCCCTTCGCTATGTCCACCAATGCTAGGACAATGCTCATGACTAGCACGCAGCTGCCAAATGCCACGCAGATCACGGCCGCACCTGTCCTCCAGCTGCGGGTGCTAAGCTTGATATAGCAAAGCGGCGGAAGAATGTAAGCCAGAGCGCACGCGCTTGTCGCCCCGATCAGCTCGAAAACCGCTCCGAGATCGCAGGTAAACAGGGATAACGCCATCGCAGCAAAGACGAGGGCAGTGGTGAAGATGAGGTGGCGGCTTGCGTTAAAAGGTTCGTCGGGGAAATAGTAGGTGGTCATGACTTCGCGGCAAACGAAGGTTTCCAGCGGAAGGGTCGTGAGCATATTAAGACCGAAACAGCTGGGATAGGTTAGTTGCTGATACATAGTTGAGGGGGGAATAAGACATACAATCTAGCAATATTGACCATGAGGTTGTCGGAAGGGAAATTGTTCAGGACATTGGCCTGCGTCTTGTCGCCAAAAGTAAGAAATCCAACCAACCCCAAAACTATACATGCGACCATGGATATGCCAGCGGAGTAATGAGTAACCCGCGCAAATCTATCGAGCGTCGGCTTCTTCAGAGAGCCGTAAATCAAAAGACTGTTGTGATCTGCGGAGAGTTAATGATAGACTTTCGTATGGTACGGAGATGGGTCCTTACGGCAAACAAAAGCTTTGACATGTTAGCGATAGCACCCTTGAGGTAGTAAACGGGAACATACCAAATGAGATGACGCCTATTGCCTGGAAGATCCCGCTATTCACAAACAAATTCCCGCTCAATTTTCCCTTAGATTCGCTGGGGACCCGGAAACCCTGTGTTATTACCGTGAGTATGATGACCAACATGCTGATAAGCGCGAGCGTGCTCGCTTTCGCAAGCTGTGACCGTCAGTATACATCAGAAGCCCATAGCGAACGGGGTGCGAACCTTTGCAATATCTCTATACAAAGAAAGGGGATAAGACAGCCCCATGATGAAAATTACAATGACGGCCCGCCTATTCGTTAGGAGCCAGAAAAAGGTCATGTTGGGGAGATCAGGAAAGAGTGCCATCATGACATGGGGAATCGTGTCCCCGACAATGATACAGAAAGCAAGCATGCCGCCAAAGGCGCTTGGATAAGGTTAGCCTTCTACGCCCCGGCCTTATCCATGAGGGGACGGGTAGGTACTTACAATGCCCATTGCGCAATTGATATTGCGATGAGTCCATTCCTGCCAAAGCAATGCTGCACAGTCGCTTGGAACGAGTTCGCACCGCTTAATTTCGAGTTGACGACAATCAAATTAATGGTCCAATCGACGGTGATGGTCAGCGCGACGAGCAGAAACACGCCCGTGAACATGCCCGCTTGACGAAACGCATATGGCTGTCCAATGATCCCAGCACCACTGCATCGCGGTCAGCATTCGCCCATCAGATATCCGCCGCCAGATCCTTACATTATACTATTCGCCATGTTCGTGAACGCGCTGAGAATCCCACTCTTCGGCCGTGCACTCTCCAGATAGTTCTCCGGCTCTCCCTCGACCTGCGTTGCCACCGTCACGCTCGGCGCCTCGATGTCCGTCAGCAACGGCAGCCGCTGCCCCTGACTATTCCTCCTCCCCTCCCCCATACTACTCAAATAATCCTCCTCATCCATCCACGCCTCCTCCACATGCCCGTTCGCCCCCCCCGATGTTGCCTCCCCATTCATCGCGTCCTGCATCTGCAACTCGAACCGCACGCGGTTCGGCGTCCGCGGCGTGCCCGACGGTCGCGGCTGGGCGAGGGCGGATTGGCGCAGGTGATGATCGAGGGTGGGCGGGCTCACGGTGCCGCTGGGGGTGGGGCTGGGGGTGTCGCCGCGGTGGATCACGGGGCCGTCCTCGTCGTCGGAGGCGGAGAGCAGGGAGCGAGCTTCTTCATCGTCGGGCGAGGAAGGGGTGAGGTGCTCGGCTTTGCGGAGCGCGCGGGGGTCGTCGCGGGCCATGGAATCATCGCATTGTGTGTAGTGCGGGAGAGGGTGGGATAGAGAACTTGGGGAAGATCGGGGGGGCGGTTCGGGGAAACGAAGGATGTGTCCGCCAAGCTGTGAGTCCGAGAAGATCGTGTGGAAAGGGTGGCGTGGTAGAAATCAATAGCGGTAGGATATTGTTGAAGAGTTGACGAGTTGAGGTGTTGACGAAAGTTATTCTTTGGTCGAATGCGGTCAATGTTTCCAAAGTTTCCCCTGTCCCTGAAATCACCCAGTAAAATGGGGATCCTCACGTGGTGGTGGAGGATGTGGACTGCGTACGTAATAATAATAATTATTATCAATCCTTCCAGAAAAATACGAAGATCGACAACCTAATGCCTGCTTTCATTGATGTAGGTACAATTGGTACAAGTCGGAGTAATCCTATGTTAAGCCTGCCATATGAGATATTCGATACACGCAGGAATGAATCGCTGGTTGGAACACCAATCTGAAATCATCAAAATGGATGTATTGTCCCTCCTTAGAATTTAAACATAGGTATCTTTTACATGTACCGCTTGATCTAGCCGTAGCCTTTCAAGCCTTCTCGTATCCCTGAATCGTGACAGACGTACATGGGTCGGACGGAAAGTCCCTCATGAGGTAGTTCGGGCAGGCTGGAGTTACATACAGTCCCATGTACCCGGAAGGCCACCAACGCCCCCGATGGAAAGAAGAAAAGAGAGAATGGCTGAAAACAAATGAAACAAGATTTCCGTTCCAACCCTCCCACATCACGAAAACCAAATGAAGCAAAATGATGTGGGAGTGACGCTGGATGCCAGCGACACGGTTCCGCCCAACCAGATGCGAAAGGACAAGGTAAACCGGACAGTCGATGCCAACACGAGTCTATGCCGAGGAGAAAGCCTGCATGCATCGAAGGTATTTTCATCACGAAGGAACCCCCACCTCCCCCTAAACGCCCGTCACGATGCCCACGCCATTCGGGCCCATACTCGCCGCCGTGACCACCGCATTCTTCGTCTCCTCTGTCGTCTCCGCCCCATCCCCCTTCACCTCCCCGCCCGCGGCGCCCTCATCTTTCGACCGTTGCTGCTCGAGCCGCTGTCCCCAGGTGAACCCCTGCGTTTCGAACGTTGGGGTGCGCCCGTCGAAATCGAACCGGTCGCTCAGCCGATACGCCTGGTTCGTCGTCTCCCACTGCGTGCGCAGCGCGTCGAGCTCGGAGGCTAGGCTGTCGAGCGCGGTGCTGCTGCGGTCGCGCGCGTGGCCGATGCTAGTGGTGCCAGGTGTGGTGCCGAGGGGGGAGATGATCGGGAACTGCGCGGCGGAGGGAGTCACGTCGCCGCTATCGTCATCATCGTCTTCACCGGTAGGTAGAGCGCTATCGGTGCTGTATACGCTCTCGCCGCTGATTGAGTCGTGAGGATTGTGGTCTAGGGCCGCTAACGCAGCGCCAGGCATGCCAGGGGTCCCTTCGAGGCGGCTCTGGCGACGATAGTTATCCACGGACGATTCAAACTGGTCGAGGAACATCTGGACCCGGCGCTCGGCGTCGCGGGCGCGTTCTTCGAGAAGGGCGTTCTCGTTCTGCAGATGATCTAGGTCTGCCGCCGACTTGGTGGTGAGGTCCTGCAGGCGCGCTTCCTGGGCCTCGGTGGCGTCTTTCGCAGATTTGGCGAGGGTTTGACGTTCTTCTTCGGCGGAGGAAAGCGAGGATTGGAGGGAGGTGATTTTGACTTCGAGCGTGGCGATGGTGGTTTGCGTCTCCGATTGGAGGGCGCCGAACTCCTTGCGCATTTCCTTCCGTTCGGTTTCCCATGCCTTTTGGCTCTCCGCAAGGCTCTCAGCCAATTTGTCGGCCTCGCCGTCCCGGGGCGAATCGCCGTTGATGTTCGTGCTGAGCTCCTTCTCGAGCTCGACATTGCGATCTTTGGCGCGCGTGAGCTCGGTTTTCATCTTCGCGAGCATCTTCTCGATGCCGCGGACGTAACGGGCGGCCGCTTGATGGTCGTTGTCCAACGCTGCGATCTTCTCTTCCCATTCGCGTTGGACTTCTTGTTCCCGTTGCTCGAAGGTCATGCGCAGCTCCTCGTGCGCCTTCGCCGAATGATCCAGTTGCTGCTCGAGTTCGCGCATTCGACCCACATCCGGCGTGCCGTACCGCTGACCAAGCGGGGACTCGCGGTCAAGGATTCGGGAGCGGCGCATCTCGGCGGAATTGACACCACGGTCTTCTAGCAGCGACTTCAGCGTGCGGAGCTGCACTTCAAGAGCGTTGCTCTCGAGCATATGCTTCTCCACGGTGGCGTTGAACTCGTTTTTCTCGGCCTGTAGCGCTTGGACCTCACGCATAGCCGATTGCAATTGTTTCCGGGCATTCAAGCTCTCGCGACTAGCCTGTTCCTGGTAGGATTCTAGGCCCGCAATGCGCTCTTCGGCGCGGCGCAACTTCTCCGACGCGGTATCCGCGGCCTCGATATTTTGCTTGACCAGCGCGTTCGCCGTCTCGATTTGCGTTTGCAGCGCGGCCAGTCGCGAGTCGTTGCCCCCGCCGCCTCCGGCTGATGCCACCCACCGATCGAGTCCTTCGGACACGGCGCGTCGGTGCTTCTCGGCCTCGCCCGCGTGTCGTTCCGCGATGTCCTCGGCGTCTCGCGTTTTCCGGGACAGGCTTTCGAGCTCCATAGCGCGCTCCTCAAGCTCCCCTTTGAGTCGGACGATCTTCGATTCGCTTTCCTCCCGCAGGGCCCGCTCCTCGTGCAGTCGGGTCTCGATCAGCTCCACTCGTTCCGCGCTCTCTTTGACCGCCTCGCGCAAACTCTTGACGAACCCACCGAGTCCCCCCTCTTCACCGCCTTTCTCATCCCCAATAAGGCCCCTCATTCGGTCACTCAGCTCCTCCAGCTCCACCTCCGCCAACCGCTCCTTCCCAACCGCCTCCGCCGCCCTCGCCCCTTCCTCCCTCGCGACCCTCATTGCCTCATGCAACTCCGCCCTCAAACCCTCCACCTCACCCACCGTCCGCTGCCGATACGCATCCAACTCCGTCACCCTCGCTTGCGCCGTATCCGCTGTATCCTCTGCCGACTGCCTCGCCCTTCTCTCCGCCTCCAACTCTGCCAGCAGACCATCCGCCCGCTTCCCTGCCTCCTTCTGCCCCGCCAATGCCGCCGCCAACCGCCTTCCCATCTCCTGCACCCGGTCGTTCTCCTCCGCCAACATCGTCGTCGGCGTCGCTGACCCGGCCCGCCGCCCCACGCTCGCCACGCTCATCGACCGATCGCGCTCGCCGACCGGCGTCCCGCTTGTGGACGCCGCGCCCATGCTCGCGAGCTTCGCCTGCGCGTACATCGCCTCGCCGACGGCGCCGTCGCGCTGTTTCTCGACCTCTGCGATGCGCGCCGCGGCGCGCTGCGCCTGCGTCTCGATGTTCTGCTGCACGCGGGACAGCTCGGCGCGCATGCGCAGGAGGGCCTCGACGAGGGGGCGGTCCTCTTCGGCGATGTTGGGGAGGAGGGAGTCGGGGTTCGAGATGGAGGCACGGTCGGATAGGGGAGGGTTGGGGGCGGTGGGGGTGGACAGGAATGGGTTGGTGGAGGAGGATGGCGTGGAGGTCGGCGCGTAGCCGGATTTGCGGGCCAGGGCAATCTCGCTGGCGTACCATGCGTTTTGCGAGCGGAGTTTCTCCAGTTCGCGCTGCACGTTGTCCATTGTGGTCTGATCTTGGGAGAGAGCGGGAGAGGAGCCGTAGGAACCAATGCCGGAGTCGATGGCCGCGAGAGCAGTTGCAGCGGGTGGCCCATCGTCTGTATCTTGCGGTTGCTGGGCGGGCGCGTTGTCCATGCGACTCCCTGACCTGCCTGTTGAAGGGCCATCTACATTGGGTCGCCCCATCCCCCGCTCGATCGCCTCAATGCTATCGACACTGCCCTGTCCACGCTGCAAGCGGCTGTCCGAACGACTGCCTTGCCTGCTCATCTGGAGTTGCGAAGTGGCACCGCTCGTGGATCGGGAAAGCTCCTGCGATTGTTTCCGGTCCTGCTCGACGCCGTGTGGTGGGCGGTCGGATCGTGTCGGTGTTTTTCGACCACCAGCGCCTGCCCCTGCCATCGCCGCGGCTGCGGGGGACGTCGTCGCTACCACGCCGTTCAAACGGGGTGGCTGTTGTTGTGGTGGTCCAGCCCCTCTCGGAGCTGGCTGGGGTAGTCTCGATCCAAGAGCTGGTGAGGGAGAGGTACCGTTGACGGGTTGGACATGAAGTTGGGGTGGCGATTTCTGCTGCGGTTGCGGGATTCCCGAACTCGGCGGTGGTCCAATTGCTCGCATCGCATGCGGGCCCGGCGGTCCCTCGCCTCCTGAAAATTTTCTCTGCGGTGTTGCACGGTCCTGCTGCTGCACAATCATTCCTCCGGGTACTGGGGTTCCGGAGGGTGGCTCGGTGGTCGGATAGCGGATTTTGCTCGTGTCGAGGATGTATGCGACGCTCAGTTCGGCCACGTCTCGCGGCGCCGAGCTCGGCTCGCCGCCGACGACGACAATGTTCTTGCCGTAGCTGGTCATGCTGTGGCCCGATCGTGGTGATGGCGACATGCCCATGTTCTGGAACATGTACCATCGCCGGGAAGAGATTCGGAAAGCCGCTAGATCGCCCAGGTCGGAGCCCTCTTGGACGCGACCGCCGAAGATATACATGGTGTCGTTGACGAGCGCTGCGGAGTGCCCTTCACGAGCAGCAGGAATGTATCCGATGCAGTCCAGTTCGGTCCAAGCGTTGGTTCCCGGATGGTATGTCCAGACATCGTTGAACCAAATGGTGCCGTCTGTACCACCGAATCTAAATCCAAATCAACATCGTTCTCCGCAAAAGATATGGTTCCACTCACAGATACAGGCGATCGTTCCATGCAACAATGGAGTGATTTGTGCGCGGCGGAGGAATGCGCTGCCCATTTTTGTCATGTTCTCCATTAGGGACCAAGATTTCCCATCGGTTTCCTGCATTCTGAAGCTGATTCAGGTCGAATGCGATTAGATCGTTGAAGAAGAACCCCTCCACCTGGCCACCAAAAATGTAGATTTTCGATCCTAGAAGATTCAGCGTGTGTCCATATCGTCCGGACGGACGCGAGCCAGCGGGAATGGCGCGTGACCATTGCTTCGTTGCTGGATTCCGTTTAGTGTGCGGATCAAACAATAAACGTTGGCCTGGTCTCACCCGTGTTTAACAGATAGAGCGTGTCATCTAACACATCTCCCTCTTCCATTTTAGTGTCACCGCCAAACACAATGAACGCGTTCCCAACAAGCAGACTTGCATGGCCGACCCTAGGACCGGGACCCTCCATTCTCGTCGGGACGGGATAGCAATCCATCACGCCGAACTTTTCCGTGCTCGTGGGCGGGTTATTTGGGTTCAGGATCCCACTTTCTACCATCCATAGATCCCCTTTGACGGTCGTGCCGTTGATTAGTCCGCCCATGAGGTAGATGTAGCCTTCTTTCGACGCCATCGCGTTCACAGCCGCGCCATATCGCGGGAATGGGTTCGCCGCGGTGAAGTTTAAGCGGCGTTGCGACCAGGGATAGGGTGATTCGGGAGACATACCCGGGGGCAGTTGTGTGAAGGCGGCTGAGGGCGCGGCTGTTGGAGTGCGAGTACTGGGTCGGGATGACTACATGATTGCGGTTGTTAGTTTCCGGGTGTGTAAGATGCATACAGGCGCAACAATGGCAATTGGGAAATAATGGAATCTCCGTTCAGCTCCATTGCCAGGAACATGTTCATGACATATTCCTCTGCAGTCGAAGAGTCGCAACTTACTGAGAGGTCACTCTCCGCTCTTTGTCTACCCACCACTGCCGTCATTCCTGTCGGCTCGTTTTGCAAGCTGTTCAGCGAATTATTGACGCTACTCCCGGGCGTTGAGTTCTCTCTCTTCTCGCCATTCGCCGTGGGTATCATCGAGGACGTGTTCGTAGACGGGCCGTGAGAGGAGGATGTGGCCCGCGTTGCTTGCGGCAGACCCGACGGGGCCGCTTGCGATTTCCGGGACTTGAAAAGGAAGGCCATGGTGAGCGACGACGTCGGGCGACGGTGCGGCGTGCCCTCGGCTGGTGGATTCGGAGACCTGGCCTAGTCGAGGGGATAGGTCGCGATCGATTGCGATGCGGACGGATGTCGAACGGTCGGGGAAATGAAGGACGCTCGCTTGTGAAGGATGCAGATTCGGCCAATTCGCGAATTGTACGTAGAAAGGAACGTCGTCTTTCAACGTCAACGGTCGTTAGAAGGTATGATGTGGAGAGTCAGTCCTATGCCCGCGTTCTCACGCATTCAGCTCAACCAGGCCGGAGGAATCGTGCAAGTTTCACGGGTCGGAGGACGACCGGACCCAGTCAACGCGCGATCAAGTATCAGCCTTATACCGGTACTCGCTCGGCGTCATGCGGTGAACGCAGAAGGATCGTGAGTCCGATTTGGCGACGTCGACCCGAACCGCGTCGACTCGTCTTCTTTCAATCGGACGTGTGGTGTGGGCGGACTGCTCGACGAGGAATGCGACGTGCACTATCGCTTTTCCGCCTCGCCTAAAAAAAAGTCCGGAGGTTGGAATCGAAACTCGCTCGCACTTTTGCACGGAAACGAGGCGTCGGGCCGAATTTCGAGGGAAATCCAGGCACGGAAGGATACGAGGATCGGAATCGTGAGCAACGAAGGTGATCTCCCTGGAATCTTGGATTACTGGTAGCCCCCCCTATGAGGCGGGAGGTTGGAGGAGGAAAAAGGGGACAGCGCTGGCGGTGTCATGAACGCATCGCTTCGACCGGTCCTCACGGATAAAATCGAAGTCGGGAGTCAACAGGATTCATGGAAAAGATCGTGAATGTATGGTGAAAAGGAGAGTAAGGGATGGCTGAATTGACCCGAATGGACAAGTTGATGGACAAGTTGATAGAAGATGTAGGATAAGTTGGGTGGCTAAGGGAGCAGTGAACCAAAGCACAACAGCCTGCGAGCTGCGAGGCGACAGTAGTCAGCACAGACGACAGAAGTTAGAACAGCAGAAAGGCTCCGTGAGACCGGGACCGAGACACAGCGTGGGTGACACTTGATAGCGAGGAAGAGGAGAGCGAGAGGGAGTCGTGAGGCTAGAGAGACAGTAATTGGGCACAAAGGGAGCGGCACAGACAGCTGACTGACACTTCCTCCGACGATCGACTGACTTCATTTGCTGCCACCAAAAAAAAGTCTGAAACACCAGCCAACTCAGCGAACCTCCTTATTACCCCAGACTTCCCGACCGCATGTCCTCTGACTTCTTCAACTCGGCTCTCCCACCAACTTTTCTCCAGGGGGTCACAGGACGGCGGATTATTCTCTTGCAGGATCGACATCAGCAGTGTCGGTACGGAGTACTAATACTCCGTAAGCGTGGAAGTGTCCACTCGCTTGGTGTTCACTGGCCACCATATTTTGGCCGTGGACACTTGGATACAGATTACAGACTGGCATAATATCACATGTTGACCTCCTGGCTTCCTGGCGATCTGCCTTGCGGCTCACGGCTTGCATAAGCGGACGGTGTTCAGTGTTGGAACTTGGAACTGTATCATTTTCGACTCTAAGCATCTAGCCGTAAGACCCGCAAGGCTCGCACAATCCACCATATGTTTGCTCTGCTTCTCTTTATCCCTACTATGTAAGAAAGTGCCTCGATCCTCCCTCGTATCGTTGTACGACCTCGCTGGATCATCATGGAGGGGTTCCACGATGGCTTCCCAGAACCCCCTCCTTCAACTCGCCAACCTTAACACAGCTCTCCCTGGGCCTTAACCAATTGGCCGCAAACCCTTCCCCCAAGCGGCTGTGCCATCTAACCATCTCCTGCATCCGCTCCGCGAATCGCATTGTCGTCGTCTGCTAGCATAGCGAGTCACTAGATCCAGTCGATGCCATCCGACCCAAGGGGCTTGCTCCGGTCATGTAACCCTGCATATATACCATCTCGAATTTCCAGAACCAACGGTTCTCAATTTAGAGGATCGGAAAATGCTAGTAGAAGGATTCCGTAATACATATACCAATTACTGGCAATATCAGATCGCCAGTCGGAATATTTTCTCCTCCTGGTCCGTTCGCCGGTTCATCAGACCCGTACTTTCCCGTTCCCACCGAATTTTATTCCCAGGACGCGGGGAAAGGTGACCATCATCAGAAATTCGGAATTCATCAATCTTGCTTTTCGCCATTGATCCGACGACCCCTGAATTCGTTGGACCCTTGCAGCAGAAGTGCCTGCAGAACTGGAGAGTGTGCCCTAAATTCCCATTTTTAGCAATCCCATCTATCGACCATCCCTCGGGTTGAGCCAATGGGTGTCCTTCCGAACCAATGAACGCCATAAACGCTGCACTGGGATTGGGATTAGATCATTGAACCATACTGCGGGCGGGTAGAGAGCTTGCTAACTTTCATCACATAACTTATAGATTGTGGATGATATGGACCTGCACGTGAGATTCTGAGGCACCAAGGCACTAGGGCTGATAGCGCCTTCACTGCAACCGAAACCGAAACTCCTTTAAATCGGGCAGCCCCTATTTTATCATTCTTAACCGCTCAGGGAGAAAATCTATAGGTATCATGTTGTTGCCACATTTCTATAAGTCGTGTCGCCATCGAAGACTGCCCAGTTCGTCGCCAACTCGGTGGGTGGCGGTGCTGAGACGTGATCGAGGCACAGGTATCGAGTATTCGACAGAGGTATGAGCAGCGCAACCAACACAAGGAGTCGATGTTGGTGATATTGATATTTGATCTCTTACCCTTCATTTACCCGAAAAGAACCTACAATATTGAATTGCTAAGAAGATCATTGTTATCGCGTACAATATCGTTCTCCTAACCCAACCCCTCCTTTTTGTGGGCTCTGTCTCATGCTAACCTGCGCGAACCATCCGCCATCCCACCGGGACTCACTGGGACCCGAACGGCACCGTCTCATAACCGATCACTGAATGTCGGGAGCGTTGGTATTCCTTCAAATGTGCCGATCTTGACCGTCTCCGACTGCGGCCAGATAAGATCTCGCGGATTTCGCACCAGGAGTCCGGGATCTGAGGCCAGGGACGATGTGGAACTCACTACTACATACTGCGCATCAGTCATATGTTTGTCATAAATGGTAAAATATGTCGCCAATTCGCCAGTTTAAGAGCCGTACTAACTCTTCTAGGATCCATCCTAAGGTTTGGTGGACTATTTCGTACTGGCTTTATCATAAGTTCGCGATATCTTGACGGCCGTCGGCAACGCTCTTGACATTGGGTCCCGTAGAATCTACGGACAACATCCCAAATTCTCCTCATCCTCCATACAAAGGATCGTTCTAGGCGATATAGCAACCAAAATCGCTCAAATCGCTCGAGTCAATTGGCTCGCCGGAAGGCCTCTTGATAGGCATGGCCTTCCCCCCACGATGCCCTCATGGTATCCAGGTCCCTAACGCAGATGCATTCCTCATTGCCCTCGTGGCGGAGGGTCCGCTCGTGGGGAGATAAGATGTTCCAATTCAAAACCTGCATAAAGAACCGTGAGCCCGTTCCCTCACCCGGCGTTGCGCGCTGCAGATCACGTCAACATAGTCAAGATGCCTTCGCTTTGGAGTCTGATCAAGACTTCGTTCGCTCTGAACTCCCTGTCATCCCCAACGCCGGATTCGGTGTCGATCACTAGCCCGACGACTGGCGAGCAGCTCATCGGCTATTTCTCTGGATGGACGTCAAGATTCGATGTCAACAGCAAGGACGCCGATCTCCCTTCGATACTCCCTTTAACTGTCTTCACTCCATCTGGCAAGACGGTGACTTGCGCCTGGGTCAAGGAGCAGGTCGAGGCATACCACCAAGATGATATCTTCGAGGAGCTGTTTCTCTATGGTAAGATTATCATCGTTCTCATATTCGGAGCCTGGTCACTGACATGGGTTGGTCGTAGCTGTATACTTGAAGAAAGCCACTTCGTACGAGCGAGGACTCTCCAAGTGTCTGAAAGAAGCATATGGAACCGAAGTTATTTTTGGAGAGAGGGATTCCGAGAGCACGCTCTCCGTCAAAACAGATGGCGATGCTCCAAATGGACCATACCTTGCCTCTTTCGGCAAAAACACTGCGACTCTCGGTCCAGTCTATCGGATTTACCAGGATGACCACATGGCCTTCATGAGCGGACTCTTGCCCAACGGTACAGACGGTGCGTTCCGATACGCGACCGCCAATACCATCAGCGATTCTACCGTCGGAATTCCCGTCCCATCTCGCCTATACACCAAGAACCAGCAATCCAAGGACCAACCCCTCAAGGGACTACGAGTCACTGTGAAGGATATCATTGATATCAAGGGCGTCAAGACCAGTCAGGGGAATAGGGCGTGGTTCAAACTGTATGATGCCAAGGATGCGTCCGCTCCTGGATTGCAGAAGCTCATCGACCTTGGCGCGGACATCATCGGCAAGACGAAGACGGCCCAATTCGCCAATTCTGACCGACCCACTGCGGATTGGGTCGACTACCAGTGAGTCCTCCTTTTCAAATTCATGTGCCAGTGACTGATCGCCATGTTACAGCGACGCCTTCAACCCACGAGGAGATGGATACCAGGATCCAGGGGTCTCGAGCGCCGGTGCTGGCGCATCCACCGGTGCGTACGACTGGGTCGATGTCTCGATCGCTACGGATACCGGAGGATCGATCCGTATCCCAGCGGGGAAGAACGGCGTATTCGGCCTGCGGCCCTCCTTCGGCGCCGTCTCCAACGAAGGCGTCCTGATTGAGGGGTCATATTTCGATTCCGTCGGCTATCATTCCCGTTCACCGTACACGCTTCGGGACTTCGGGAAAGCGTGGCTGAGCGACTCGGAGCAGATGACGAACAACTACACCAGCTTCCCGCGCAAGCTGATCGTTCCGGGCAACCTGTGGCCCGTCGCCAACAATGCCAGCCAGGAGCTGTTCACCAACTGGATCGCCAAGCTCTCCACTTTCCTCAACGCCACGGTCGAGACGGCCCCCATCGGCGACTACTGGAACGCCACGGCCCAAAAACCCGACACCGAGTTCGCGAGCTACATGCAGATGGTAGGATTTCACCTCATCTGGAAGAACCAGCTCGAAAAAGTCATCACCCCATTCCGCGAGGACTACGCAGCCGCCAACGGCGGCCGCACACCGTTCATCAACCCCTTCCCGGCCGCACGCTACCTCACCGCGCTCAACACGACCCAGGAGGACTTCGACACGTCCTACGAGCGGTTCCAGTTCTTCAAGGAATGGTTCGGCCAGAACGTCGTCAAGTCGGACCCGCAGTCCTGCTCGGAGAGTCTGTTCCTCATCCCCATGGCGACGGGCGACACGTCATACCGCAACAACGTGTACTCCCCGCCGGACGTCAGCTCGTGGGCGTCGTTCACGCCGTACTATTACAGCGTGCAGTCGCAGGGCCCCGAAGTTGTCTTCCCAATCGGAGAGGTGCCGTACCAGAGCACCATCTCGGGCGTGGAGGAGAAGCTGCCGGTGGCGATCGATCTGCTCGCGCATCGCAACTGTGATTTGATGTTGTTGGATCTGGCCAAGGCGCTTGCTGATGACGAGCTCCTGAAGGAGGTGAAGGCAGGGAGAACCCTTTGGTAGTGAGGAAAATCTGGGCTTCGGCCAGAGGATAGCCCAATGTATAGTGATTACGAACGTGTAAGTCCTCAGCTGTATGATAGACTAATGGAGAAAGGAGACTAGAAATTAGAGGACAGAGCTCACTTCTAATTTCAAAATACCCCTTTACTTCGAAACCATGCGCTTCTCTTTAATAGAGGCATCTTCAGCTCTATTGCGAATCACTTTTGGTACCTCCTTGATTCGGTTTCAGGGAACGGTTTTCATCAAGCGGCCCACAGAGGAATCGACATTGCAAGGCCCATTGCTTCCGTTGTCTCAGAGAATTGGTTGTGCTACAGCTTTACTCTCAAGCCTGGGTGTCCTACCTCTTCCTCGAGAGGCAATCATCTCATCATTACCGAGCTCTTGAAGTCATCACTTCCAGATGATAGGGGCTCACTGGGAGCTTCTACAAATTACTCCAGCTTGCTGCCTTCAGAATAACAAGAGTAGTGTCAAAACTCGTGAAATGGAGTATAGATCGTCACAGGAGAGCTGTTCGCCTAACCTACCAATACAGGTTTGGCGACATCGATTGATGCGGCGCTAAATATTCGTGGACTTGGCCCATTCGACCGCAATACTGCGGTAATACACCCCCGAGTCTCTCACATGGCTATATCTCACACACGACAAGGCATCACCTCGCGGTACTCTGGTCACCTACTTTCCTCATAACAGTAGTTACTCTCCATGGTGCAATTAGAGGACAGTATACTTATCAAATAACAGTACTAATCCTTTCACAGGGTTCTCTTGAAGAGGTATCTGATCTTCCGGCATCCACCACGCTGACCCATAAAGTCCGTTAAAGTCCGGTCACTTCCGTTTTGAGTCTCTCCGAGGCTGAACTCATAATGCCGACTCCGAGACCGAGCAAGTCTATGCCAGTATATATATATTGCTGGTCTCGAAACAAAAACGTGGAATCGCTTTCATTGCTAAGGAACCATCGGTCCTTTTCCATATCACAATGGCGGATCAACAAAAATATGCTCAAAGGCTGAACAAGGCTCGCATTCTTGTGCTTGGAGGTACCTCCGGCATTGGCTTTGGCGTCGCAGAAGCCAGTCTCGAGCTTGGTGCCGAAGTCATTATTTCCTCATCGAATGAATCACGGATCAAAGATACGGTTGCAAGACTGCAGAAATTGTACCCTTCAAAGAAAGACAGTGTGGTCGGTTATGTGTGTGATCTAGGGTCTGAGGGTGTCGAGGAGAATATCGTTCAGTTGTTAGATCAAGTGGGAATTGTTGATCATATCGTTTACACGGCTGCGGACAAGCTTCGCAATACATTCGGTTTAGGCAATATTACGTTGGACACATTGAAAAAAGCCGGTGGGTCTTGAACGTTTTTCTTAGAACTATACTAGTGCTAACTAAAATATCAGGCATGGTCAGACTCTTTGCGCCTATTCTCCTCGCAAAACATGCCCCGAAACATCTCACTCCAGGTCCAAGCTCTTCAATCACTCTTACTTCTGGATCTGTTATCGATAGGCCACTTCCTGGCTGGTCACCTGTTGTCGGCTTTTCAGGCGGTTTATCAGCGTTGACACGTAATCTGGCCCTTGATCTCAAACCCATCAGGATCAATCTTATCGTTCCAGGCGCTGTTGATACGGAACGGTGGGATGAGGGACAGCGCAAAGCATTGCTAGCTTCATTCACAACTAGGATGACCACGGGCCAAATGGGACAGGTAGAGGATGTGGTGGAAGCTTATTTGTATGCTATGAAAGATCGCAATCTTTCTGGGTCTGTCATTAGCACCAATGGTGGGCAGCTGTTACTTTAGGGTTTAACGATTGGTTTGAAAAGGAGATCTAATTCCATTCGCCAACTCGATACACCAATTTCTCTGCGCTTATAGGTCTCATCCATGACTCGGTCCGAGTGTGCTCCCGATCTTCCATTGAGCCGGGGCCTAGCAACAAGAATCCATCCTTGACAATGCTATCTAGACCTCCTGGCATCAATCGCACGGGGTTTGCGCTCAGTTCGCCTCCTTCTGAGAGCCATTTGAAGAAAGCAACTGCAAAGGCTCTCGCTTCAGGTGAAGTAGGAACCGTGAACCCCTGGTACTGAATCTCGATGCCCAAGCCCTCCCAGACAGCTCCGTAGATGGGTTCGACAGGGAGATCCTCTGCGTTCCAGGCATTACCTTCTCTACTGCGCACAATTGCCATGTTCCCGCTATTGTTGAGTGTTTCGCTCACTGTTTTAACGGTGTTGCCTTCGGAGATGCAGTCGTAAGCAAAGTCCACCCCTTTCCCACCAGTCAGTGCTCGGATGTGTTCAACCCAATCGTTATTTCGGTAGTCCACCAGGTCATCGTAGCCATATGGTTCACTTTTCAGTAAGCTGAATCTCTGTTTGCTCGCTGCACCTAGGAGTCTGATTGTTGCGCCATTGACTTCGGCTGACCGACGAACCAACTGTGCAGCGTACATGCCCACTGACGTTGATGCTCCAGCAATGAAGAAATAGACCTCCTTTTTGGCCCACTTTCTGATCCGGTCCTCCTCCTCTTTCCCTTTCCAGGTGAATGGCGCCGGAAGGCCGAGTCGAAAAAATACTGCTTGAGCAGCAGTAAGGCCGCACAAGTTTTTAGTAGCCGCTTCTTCAAAGCTCAATGTACTGGGTACTCTCCACACAAGATCCCATGGGGCAACTGCATACTCCGCAAAGGAGCCTGGCCTTTCGTTAACACTGCATGCTCCTTGCAGAAACCCCGCGACTCTCTGTCCCTCTTTTAGGCCACTCGTTGAGGGTACAGCCTCTCCAAGTTTGTTGATGATGCCCGCAAAATCGCTGCCAACTGTCCGTCCGGTTGCGCCAAGGGGATTGTGTACGTAAAGTGGATCGATTGGATTCAGAGCGACTGTGTATACTTGTATCAAGACCTCTCCAGCTCCTGGTTCGGGTATTGGAATATCTTTGACAAATGCTGTCTTCTGCTCCGTGTCCAAAACGAGTCCTTGCATGGCTGCTGTTCTGAAGCTCAGTTCGAGTTTTTTGTTTTGAATGGGGATTCGACGGACACAATTCTACCTTGCGCCTTTTTATCATATAACATGTTATTCAATTCACTCATGATTAGTCATCACGATCATTATTGTACAGGTAGTAGGACCGAGGCCTCTGTCGGGGACTCGAGGGTGGAAGGAAAGTGAGTCTGCTCGTATAAGCCAGATCTGACATTGACGTTTGTCTTTCTGACCAAGCTGTCGCTGCGTTCCGACATCACTTCAATCCATCTGTACAACCTTCAATCTCATCAAACAGAGTCATTGATGCACCCGAGGAATGCGCCACTCTTGGTCCCAATAGAGAGTATCAGGAGATACATTTCAATAGTAGCAGAGCATTAATGGTAGTAGGTTGCATCTGACATGGTTTGTGCGCAAAGCGAATCGATCCAGACATCCTGGACGCCCAAATGGCGGGCAACGAAGATAACGTCCCTGAATGCTTTGGGAAGCATTGAGATGTCTATACCTTCCTTCATATTGAGGATATTGCTGCCCTTGAGTAGCGGGATGACTGTATCTCCCCATGACCTCATCTGTAACTGAGGGAAATATATCATCTCGGCTCTAATATACTTTCGTAGAGACGAGGTTGGTACAAATCGCTGTTGCCGAAGTTAATCACACGCTTCGGAAGCTTCTGATGTCCTCACAAGCAGCACTTTGAATGGGTTTGAAACACAAGCACTGGCCGATACATCCCTTGATGAAGTCGAGCGTCGTGTCCGCTAGCGGATCGGGATCAAGGTCAGTCCTCTCCTGAACTTGTCTTAGTTGCGAATGTCCAGATCCTATCCCGGTCAGCAAAATATACCTATTTTCTTTCTCAGCTGCGGGAAGATGCCTTCAGTGCACATAGTACTCAAGCGTGCGTGACTCGGACGTAATTGAAGTCCCGCTGATATCGCTTGAAACACAACGTTACAGGCTGGACACGGCCGTAAGCTGTACCGTACGGATTCGGATATAATTGGTGGACTCATCCGAACCTTTCGCTGAGGAGTCAGTCGATTCTTCTCAAAACGCAAGTGCAGCATTGGAAAGCGACTTCATATTGTATATCGGGATACCTGTAGCATGATACCGTAGTTCGTGAAGATAGACTGCTACTCCTCAAACTTAGTTTTATTATCACCCTATGGTCTAGATCGAGTAGCTCTCCAATACGATGGTAGCTTGAAACTGCACAAGTTTCCCCTTTCATCATGGTTGATGAAATGGAATATAGGAGAATAGCTGAGGTACTCCATAACCCAGCCTACCGGTATGGAGCTGAGTCCTCTTCCTCCTTTCTGTTCGATGAATAGAATTATCGAAGAGAACATTTCGAATGATAATATTAATTAATGCATCAAATGGAACGAGAGGAATGACCTGTCGCGGTCGTCTGCCCCTTGTCCCGAAGATCTAAACGAAGGAGACTGTTATCGATAAGACAAATCGTGTACAATACCAATAAGGTACGGAAGAAGCCGCTGCAATTCCATAAGGAGACTAGGTACTCCGTAATTAATAATAACACCGATGATGCGGCCTTAACTGGCTCGGCAACATCTCTCTTCAGTCTCCAGAACTTCCATGTCGTACTGTCGAGACTCATCGCATCGGTCTTTACTCCGGTCTGACGCCCTTTTGATCACCCGGACGCTTTTGTATATGTCGTGCGAGGAGGCGGGGGGAATCTTTTCACCATTACACCTTCGTTAAATCCGCCCTTCTATCGTCATTTAATCATACCGGTACCATAGCCTTCTGGAGCTTCCCTTCACGATGATTACGGCCTTCGCCCTACCCACGTCACCTTCTGCAACTTATGCGATATAGAAGCAATCGGCTTGGCAACGGGAACGCGACCCATTCACAATACACTACCGCACTCTCCGCCAAAGATGGCGTTAACAACTAATGGACCGAAACCCCTCCTCGATAATGTCGAGTCGTCTGAGTCGGCCGAACAGTCCGACAATCCACCTGCGAGCCAGCATCTACGACCTCGAACGGCTCCCTACCAGAGGGATTCGCGCCCTGACCTGGTCGGCTGGACTAGTAACCCGAATCTCCGAAACCTCGATGGTTCTACTCGCATGCGATCCCCAGACTCAACCGGCAACACCAGTAACGGCCATCAGAACCCACCAATGCTGGTGGACGGGACGGATGCACGAGCTCCAGGAATTGCAGCGAGGAGGGTAAATGGGACAGGGGCAAGAGGTGCATCGTCGCCGAGACCGGGATTGCTCCGAGCAAAGACGGATTTTGGACCAAGAGGAAGTGTACCTGCGAGAGATGACGAGGTGGAAAGCAAAGCGAGCACCGAAGTCGAATGGGGGATCCGACACGGATTCGATACGCAGCTGAACTCGGAGGAGTATAACAATGTGTTGAATTCGGTAAGTGCGACCGAACGAGGGGTTGCGATGGTGGAAGGCGCAAGAACCCTCGTTGATATCTCATCTCCCTATACCACCCTATACCACTGTGTTTACCCCATTATCACCACTCCGCGCAAACAAAATCGTTGGAGTCGCTATGGACTAACTCAATTCCTACCCAGAACTTCTTCATGTACTTCACCGACAAGCGCCATGAGACCGGAGGCAATCCGCGTGAGGAAACATTCCGACTGGCAGAATGGCGAATGCGCGATCGATTGAAGACCATTTCAGCGGTTATCCTTCTGTGCCTGAACATTGGCGTGGATCCTCCAGATGCGTTCAAGACGAATCCCTGCGCCAAGCTTGAGTGCTGGATTGATCCTACCGGCTCCACAGGAACCTCTGGACAAACAGCGATGAATACAATTGGGAAGCAGCTACAGTGGCAATACGAGCAATTGAGCATGCGGACACGATTCAAGCTCTGCCTAGACCCGACAGTGGACGAGACCAAGAAGTTTTCTCAGCAGATCCGGCGTAACGCAAGGCAAGAGAGAATTCTACTTCACTACAATGGACATGGCGTTCCCAAGCCTACACCATCCGGGGAGATCTGGGTGTTCAACCGCAACTACACACAGTACATCCCTATCTCACTTTTCGACTTGCAGGCCTGGCTTGGCGCTCCGAGCATCTTCGTATATGACTGCTCAGAGGCTGGTTTGATCATAAACAATTTCAACAAGTTCGCAGAGAAGCACATTCAAGAGATTGCCGAAAACCGCGAACGAGATCCGCACGTCGAGTACATGGACTTCTCCGACTGCATTCAACTTGCTGCGTGTCGAGAGAAGGAAACCCTCCCTACCAACCCTGAATTGCCTGCCGACATCTTCACCTCCTGTCTTACCACCCCTATCGACATGGCGGTCCGCTTTTTTGTTCTACACAACCCTCTCCCTCAGGGTCTCTCAGTCGAGGATGCTGCGCGTATACCAGGAAAGGTCAGTGAGAGGCGAACTCCAATCGGCGAACTCAACTGGATCTTTACCGCCATCACCGACACGATTGCCTGGAACTCGCTTGAGACTCCGGTCTTCAAGAAACTGTTCCGTCAGGACCTGATGGTCGCGGCCCTCTTCCGAAACTTCCTGCTCGCTCAACGCATCATGCAAACCTATCACTGTCATCCACAATGCTATCCCGAAATACCAGACACACATAATGATCCGTTGTGGCACTCTTGGGACTTGGCCCTTGAGAACATTATGGCACAAATGCCAGATCTCATGGCTGCACAGCGGGAGGAGAAAGAATACGAATACCACCCATCGGATTTCTTCGCTGAACAGTTGAGTGCCTTCGAAGTATACTTGAACCAAGGTGCCGTTGACAAGAAATGTCCCGAGCAGTTGCCGATCGTGCTGCAAGTCTTGTTGAGCCAAAGTCATCGGCTACGGGCCCTCATTTTGCTGAGCAAGTTCCTCGATTTGGGGCCTTGGGCGGTGAATTTGGCGTTGAGCATTGGCATCTTTCCATACGTGCTGAAATTGCTGCAATCCCAAGCACCAGAGTTAAAACCAGTGATGGTGTTCATTTGGGCGCGGATTTTGGCGGTGGACCAGAACTGCCAGTCGGATCTGGTCAAAGATAACGGATACCGTTATTTTACACAGATCCTCCGACCGGATATGGGTAAGTTGTCCGGCCTTCTCGTTCGTCTGTTTCCCTAGTTTACTCATCCGCTACCTTAGCCTTTCCGACCAACAATGCCAGCGAGCACCGCGCCATGTGCGCCTTCATCGTGGCCATATTCTGTAAAGACTTTCACCAAGGCCAAGTCGTCTCCCTCAGCCAAGAACTCATCGAAATCTGCCTCAACCACATGTCCGATCTCGAGAACCCGCTTCTCCGCCAATGGGCCTGTCTTTGCCTCAGCATGCTATGGGTCGACTACTCCGACGCCAAATGGGCAGGCATTCGGTGCGGCGCTCATCAACGACTCTGTGAGCTCGTCGTTGACCCTGTCGCCGAAGTGCGATCCGCTATGTTGCATGCACTAACGACGTTCCTGGGCATCACGGACCTAACGCAGCAGGTAGCCCAGATTGAAGAGAGCATTGCAAGCATGGTCTTGGTCATGGCGGCCGACGGCAATAGTATGGTCAGGAAGGAGCTTATAGTGTTCTTCTCAACATTCGTTGCAAGGTATCAGAGTCGGTTCTTGGTGGCTGCGTACGAACAAATGTTGTCAGAGCAGGCATCTTTTGCGAACGGCACAATAGGTAAGCGCAAGGGGAAACAAAACGGCGAGGAGCCTCCCCAAAGCAGCTCGGTGGCGGACAATACGGTGTTCGCAGCTGTATGGAAGGAGGTGCTGATACTCTCTGTCGACCCACACCCTGAGGTCTCACAGAATGCTTGTGTGATCGTGGACTATATCCTAGCTGCACTGTTGGAATCGCCACTGGAACCGTTCGTTTCGGATGCAATCCAGTCAATCCTGGGGCGCAGTCGATCAAAGGACCCGCAAGCAAAGTTCTTTGGCGAAGTCTCCAAAGCACCGGCATCGGCTCCTGGAACCCTTACGCCATCAACACCGACGAAGCAGGATAGCTATATCACGCTTGGTCTGAAGCGGACAGCTAGCATTGCCGCTTCGTTGAGGAACCTTGCGGTTGGTGGATATAGCTCTGGGAACGAGCAAACCCCTTTGCCAAAGACGCCTTCCAAGCCCTTTAATTCTGAACGAACAACTCCGCGAGGCAAATTGCCCAACGAATGGCGTGCTCTCGATGGCCTTCAACACCAGCCATCTCCTTCTGCCCAAGGTCGGTCTCCCATGTCTCCGCCTCCGAAGCGTTTCTCGGTTCGAAGGAATGAGGCCCCTCAGATCCCACTGAAGAGCAACTTCTTCGACTGGTGCGTTGAATACTTCCGTGAGCCGCAGATGAAGCCCTCCGAAGCCGACGAGCCAGGCTCCACCGATTACAACGAGCGCCTCTGGCGCCGTACCCGGAATGACCGCATCATCGAAAAAACCCAAATCCTTAAGGAAGAGGCCAGCTCGAACCGTTGGGATCGACCCAAAGGGTTCTGGAACAATGCAACGCAACCCATCAAGATGTGCTTCCATCAATTCGAAGACCAACTCATCGTGGCCGATGCCAAGTCTGGCATCAGCGTCTGGGACTGGAAGAAATCCGTCGTCCTCTCCCGCTTCAACAACGGCAACCCGCTCGGAAGCAAAATCACCGAGCTGCGCTTGATTAACGAAGACGACCATGCCCTCCTCATGACCGGCTCCTCCGACGGCTCCCTCAAAGTGTTCCGCAACTACGAGACCTCCTCGTCCACCGAGCTCGTCACCGCCTTCCGCGCCCTCACCGACCTCGTCCCCTCCAACAAGAATGCCGGCCTCGTCTTCGACTGGCAGCAGTCGCGCGGCCAAGTTCTCGTCGCCGGCGACGTCAAAGTTATTCGTGTCTGGAACGCCGGCACGGAGATCTGCACGGCGGATATCCCTGCACGGTCGGGATCGTGCATCACCAGCCTCACTTCCGACCAGGTGGAAGGCCACATGTTCGTGGCGGCGTTCGGCGACGGGGCGGTGCGCGTGTATGACCAGCGGTTGCGGCCTGCGACGGCGATGGTGCGGGTGTGGAAGGAACATAAGCAGTGGATCAGCGGGGTGCATTTGCAGAGGGGTGGGCAACGGGAGTTGGTATCGGCATGTAGGGATGGGGAGGTCAAGTTGTGGGATATGCGGTGGGATCGGAGCATTAAGACGGTGCGGGCGGCCGGGATGGCGAATATGGGTTTGTCGACGGCGGGTGCGACAGGTGCAGGAGGTACGGTGGCAGCGTATCGACCGGAGGGGATCAAGTGTCTCACCGTGCATGAGCATGCTCCGGTATTTGCTGTGTAAGTCCTCGATCTCCCTTGTGTTTCGCATTTCTTCCTTCCGTCGTGACATGGTCGCTGAGCTAACATTTATCTCCTGTTCTAGTGGCACCACTCGCCATCAAGTCAACCTCTTCAACACGCAAACTCTCACCCCGCTCTCCTCGTTCGAGCCGTATTCCTCCTTCTTGGGCCACCGCGCAACGCCCGTCGCGACGATCGCCTTCCATCCGCATCGCATGATGATCGCGGGGGCGGCCGAAGGCGACCATCACATTAATGTGTATGCATGTGGTGGGAAGAAGCCGGCGAAAGGAGTTGTTGCCGACGATATTTAGCACACCACCTAGAACTTCTAGGGCTATGATACCGTCCGATATCGCGTGGTCGTGTAAATGGACGAGCGAATGGGTATGTAATGTGGGAGACACGAAGCTGAGACTTGGATAACTGTTGATGGGTGCAATGGAATGCATATGGGGGTCAAGCAAGGCGTTTGATCTGGATGGATCGGGGATTGGTTTCGCGCCCTCGGAATAGCGACGGAATTAGAATGCGGGATACCTTGTCATGGCACGATGAAAGCTGCATCGGGTGGCACCTCCATGTTAATAGAGGCAGGTAAACAGACCTGCGGGTTAATTTAATGATGGCCTTGGTTCAGAATTCCAGTTATTTGAGTGTGCTGAGAGCGCGAGGTCTGGTGCATGACTCTGAAAGTAGGTCATACCGAGTGCAATCCTTCATCGAAAACCAAACTCATGGCGTCGAAATTGTGGAGGATTCTCAAAGGTTCATTTATGATATACGCCGATCTATGCTTCATTCAAGCACAACGTCCAGCCCAATGCAGCGCCATCAGAAGCCCATCCCACCGAAAAATAACCTATCCTGATCATGCCACAAGTCGTAAATACCCCTTCATATGTCCCATCTCTCGATGTCGTTTCTACATCAACCCCCCCAACACCACTCTCCCCACACCCCTCAACTCCCCCCTCACACCCGACCGACTCGCCTCCTCGAACTCCCTCACCACTCCCGCGACTAACAGCTTCTTAACCTTCGTATCCGTCTTTGCGAACAACTCCCCGATCATCCCCGCATTCTCCCTCCAATCCATTGCCGCACCCTGCCCTCCCACGCCCCCCGAAATCGAGCCTTCCCGCTCCCTCGACATCAACGCCTCTGGCGACGGCACCAGGTCCATGATCCGCGTATACACGTCGATCAGACAATCGCACAGCGTGCTGAACGCCTGATAGTAGTCGGGCGGGAATGGCAGCGGTATGACCAGCAGATGCGAATGGTGCTCGGCGCCGGTGAGGCTCGGGGCGTAGGACGGGTCGAACGGGGACGCGTGCGGGTGGAACGGCCCGGCGGGCTGAGTGGTCGACTTCTCCGTCGTCGACGTCGCCGGCTGGATGGTGTACGCCTCGGGATGCGGATGCGGATCAAGCGGCGTGGTGGAATTCGAAGCTGTCTCGTCCTGCGGGCTGGTCGCGCTGTTCGCACCGCCCATCGCCGCGCCCTCGATGCCCGCCCACACGGTATCCGTGGCGGCGCTGGCGCGACGGCCTTTCGAGACGCCCTGCATGCCGCGCTTGAACATCTGCTGGACGCGGCCTTTGCTGAGGCTGCCGCCGAAGCCGGAGCTGCTGCCGCCGGTGTCGCTGCCGCCATGTTTCTCGAGGAATGAGTCGAATTCGGAGAGGAGGGAGTTGAGGGCGCGGAGGTATTCGGGGGCGGAGGAGCCGTTGAGGTCGAGGAGGGCGGGGAGGGAGAAGCCGAGGAGGACGTAGGCGGTGGCGCGGCGGGCGAGTTTGGCGGGGGCAAAGTAAGAGAGTTTGGAGAGATCGAGGGTGGTGAATAGGATGGTGTTAAACCAGTATATCCGGCCTTCATGACTAGTTGCCATTCAAGTTAGCATTCCTGTTTTCCGTATTCATACATCGCGTGGCTCTAGATCGAATGAGGAGCGACAGATGGTCTACTTACGCCTTTCGCAAATAATCCAACGTCGATATCCGCTTCGACGCCAGATCATGGATATGTTGTGCCACCGTTAGTGGACTCGCCGTCGTCCCGGCCTGCCCTGAGGCGGTTGGCATCGCACCCATGGCAAAGTTCATATTCGAGTGTGCCGTCCCCGGAGGACGGGTCGACACCGATGGCGCCCGCATCTGCACCGACGCCATTGTCGACGCGTTTGACGTGCTGCGGTGGGGATGAAAGCTTTCCGGGGGTGTAGGTGTTGCGGAGCTGGATGCACTGCTGGAGGATTGCCGTGCGCGGAGACCCGTGACGGATGTGGAGGCGAGGTGGGCAAGAGTGCCAAAAAGGGTGTCGGTGGTGCTCTTCTTGCTGCTGGAAGAGCTGGAGGCGCTGAGATTGCGGGTGCTAATGTCGGGGCGGGAGATGCTCCATCGAGGACTGGGAGGGGCCTGTTGCGGCACGGAGTCGCTGTTCTCGCGGGGAAATGTCGCGGATAATGGGGAACGAGCACTTTTGGTGCGTTGAGAATAAGGAGATCCCGAATGAAATGATGCAGAGCGGCGGATGCTGTTCCCTAGTCCTGCGACGCCGGAGGGGATACCGAGACGCTGAGAGGAGCGTCGGATGGGTTTGTAGTGGATGGAAGGGGAATATTTGACGGGTGGACTTGGTCCAGGATCACATGGATCGGAGATCACTGGAGACGCGACGGTGATGCGGAGGTCGGTCGGAGGAGAGGGACGTGTGGAGGAGTGGAGGCTCTTCTTGATATTGGATGTCGACGAGCCATGGTTGCTGATGAGTTGCATCCAGACGTTGGATCATGGACCATCCGGGGCATCTGCTGCCTCGGACGGGACCAGGGATGTTTCTCCGTCGACGGTTTGGCTTTTGCTGCCAGTGGCTGCCACCGAATCGGCGAATTCAGGGGTAAGGAATTCCGTCTTTAGGGAGGTGGGGGGAGATTTCAGTGTATCTATGGCGGGGGGTTGACGTAGCGAAGTATGTCATACACTCCACCCACAATCAGACGATGAATGGAATTATAGAAGACTTGAAGACATGAGATGCACAAATGACAATAGATGGAAGAGGTAGAGATGAGATGTATAGCTAAAAAGGTGTCTGTAAGTAGGCACGACGCGGCCGCATATTGAAGGAGGATCTGGTTCAGCCTTTACTCCGTGACACGACTGCTGCGCTGCCCGGTTGTATTAATACATTCAACCATAATAGACATGGACAATTGATATTTATTCGATAACTACTGGATTACCGTGCATCCGCGGACCGAGAAGCGTTTCATGCCGTGCGTCGTTTCGGAATAGATCGATCCAACCACACCGTCGGAGTCGCCAAATCATCCAACCGCCGATGATCCGATCATCTCCATGCTCTCGTCTGTAATACCTTCCGTGTAATAACTACCGTACATATTAGTTCTCGTGACACCACCCAGATCCCTCACCCCACTGGAAGCGAAGTGAGTAAGTCTCAGTGTGGTTTCGTCATCGTCAATTTTCAAGCCGCGCTTCGAAGACGGGATTTGTGTCAAAGCCAAGATGAGCTCCGTGGTACTCTCATCCATTCTATCAGCACTCCGACCTCGCATAGACAACTGATCTCCGTTGGCAGACCGAGCGCATTCCGAAATCCGGGGAGTGGCCCGTTGATCCGCAGGAAGATGTTCCGCTTAGTGATGACCGTGTCTGGGTTGATGGATGTTTCGATTTCACCCATCACGGTATGTCCGCTGAATACATGCAATAGCTACCTTACTCGTTTCGCAAGCTTGCTCTGCATCAATTGTTCGCTTTGGTCAGGAGGCTAAAAGATGATTCTACACAGGTCACGCCGGAGCACTGCTCCAAGCTCGTCAACTGGGGAACGAGCTCATCGTCGGCCTGCATTCAGATGAAGAGATTCTCGCGAACAAAGGCCCGACGGTGATGAACCTCGAGGAACGGTGAGGACATACGGTACCATTCGACGCTCCAAACCCCGACTAATGCATACTCCAGCCAGATCGCCATCCTCGCCAACCGCTGGACCACTGCCGTGATTCCCTACGCGCCCTACATCACGTCCCTACCCTGGATCACCCATTACGGCTGCCAATACGTCGTCCACGGCGACGACATCACCTCCGATGCCTCCGGACAAGACTGCTACCGATTCGTGAAGGCCGCCGAGCGCTTCAGGGTCGTCAAGCGTACGCCGGGCATCAGCACAACGGACCTAGTGGGACGCATGCTGCTGTGCACGAAGACGCATTTCGTGCGGAACGTGGAAGGCGTGCTGCACGGGACGGCTGGCGATGGCTCGGAAGAGGAGCGCAAGAAGAGCGGAGAGGACTTGACGGCGAGGTTCAAGGCCTATGCGACGGACGCGTCCGGTCTGAACCCCGGCTGCGATGTCTGGATTTGGAAAGGTCCCGCGGATGCCGCCCTGGGTGTTTCTCCCGCGAAGCTCAAACGCCGCACTTCATCAAAGCCGGACGGAGGAGTGAGTCGAATGACCAGCGGATCTCTTAACGGGGCTGGCAGCTCGAGCCCCGCGTACTCCGACGTCCCATTGTCGACTGTGTCGGGAGCGGATGCAGGCGATGTCCAGACTCCCCCGCAGGCCATTCGAAGGAGCTCGACGAGCAAAGATATTCCCGATGAGCGGGGGACGTTCACACAGTTCGTGGAGGGCAAGAAACCTCGACCGGGCCAGCGAATCGTGTATGTTGATGGGGGGTTCGATCTCTTCACACCGGGGCACATTGAGTTCCTCCGACTGGTGGCAGAGCAGGAAGAGAAGCACGCGGCAGAACGGGGGTGGTATGACGTGGAGGCAAGGAAGAAGAGATTGGAGGATGTCGGGGAGGACTATCTCCCGTACTTCGTGATTGTGGGTGTCCATGATGATGAAGTCATCAATCATTGGAAAGGATTGAATTACCCGATCATGAACATTTTTGAGCGTGGATTATGCGTGTTGCAATGCAAGGTACGTCCTAACACTAGGCCCAAATACCGTGGTATAATTAAGTTGGCTAACGCATTTAGTACACCCACCTCATCCTCCTCTCCGCTCCGTACACCCCCTCCCCCTCGTTCCTCCGCTCCCTCCCCTTCGTCGCCTCCCAAACCCACCACCACCCCTACCCCTCCGCCGTCTACCACGGCCCCACCTCCTTCATGCCGACGAGCATCGACCCGTACCGCGCGGCGCGCCACCTCCAGCTGTTCCGCGAGATCCCGCCGCATAAGTTCCAGGCCCTGAACGCGGGGACGATCGTGCAGCGGATCTTCGACAGCCGGGCAATGTTTGAGGAGCGGCAGCGGAAGAAGGGGGTAAAGGGGGCGGCCGAGAGCGAGTTGCGGAGGGAGGAGCGGGAGAAAGAGGAGCGGGAGATGAGGGAGAGGCAGAAGAAGTGGGAGGAGGTTGAGAGGGAGTTTGGGGCGTGAGGGGAGGCTCTTCGTGAGAGTTGGGCTGGATGGACAGCTCTGTACTCGTTACGTACTTGTAGATCTGACCATACACAATCAATTTGTATATCTATTGGTGCTTTTCGGTCCGCTCCCTCAGGTTGATGCAACAGGGGTCAACCCAAAGCTGTGTAGCCATGCCAGACGCCCATCCTTGGCTCCCTGCCACCGGAATTTTGGCACTGCCCCCTGGTGCTGCCGTCAGCTTTCAGGGGCTCGGAAGTAGAGAAGGAAAATCAACGCTACTGCAAACGTCCAGGACAAGCTCTTCTAGCAGGAAACATGCAGAGAATAGCGTGACCCGATCAAACTTTCCCCTTTGCCGTAGACTAATATCTGATGACAACGGAGCAAAGGGACGCCGGAAGGGGCGGGGGAATTCGCTCCCGAAACCATGGTAGTTGCCGGTTAGCTGCAGTCGGGTACGTACATACTTCAGGTCGGGGTAATACATGTGGCCGAAGGGCGAAGCCATAATGAGTAAGAGGTGGAGACCGCAGCATCGTATTCATATCCGAAGTTCTGAACCTCAGTCCTCCTACTTCTATGAGTTCGAGAATTGCCGGTTCATCGCCGAATCTTTCCAATTCTTTAATTAGGCCTGCCTACTCGATTATAATTCATACGACCCAGCTTGCACAGCTTCAACACTCGACACTTCAATCTCCACCACGATGCCCCCTCTCATCGCTTCCCCCGCCATGCTCGGCCCGGTCCTCGGCCTCAACATGTGGACCTTCGTCATGGAAGGCTGGCTCTACGCGAAGCGCCTGCCGGCCCTCCAAAAGTACGGCGTCACGCCCGTCGACGGTATCACGAAGGAAGAGATATACGCAAAGACGCCGCGCGAGGTGCACTATCCGGCAGAGAACTACTCGCACCTGTTCGAACAGCCGGTGCAGTTCTACGCGATCGCCATCACCATGTCGTTGCTGAGGGTGGAGAGCCGGACGGATCTGGGGCTGGCGTGGGGATATGTTGGGCTGAGGGTCATTCACAGCTTGATTCAGAGCACGAAGAATAAGATCATGCCGCGGTTCCTCACGTTCCTGGCGAGCTCGTTTGTGTTGTTGGCGATGGCGGTGAGGACTGGGAAGAAGCTCTTGTGAACGTCGGACGCAATTGGGTTCTAGGGTTTCTATGATTCGATTTCATGGTTTGAGACGATCAAGAAAAACAGTTGGACAAATGCTTCATCATGCTTGCCATATGCGACCCCTTGCATAGCAATACCTCGGCTGTATTCAGCTGTACAGTACTACACGTATCTGGGATTGATGATGCTAATCTAACAATGTACTGTTTACTCGGATCCCCATCCCCTTCGTTCAAGCTCCGTTCCGTCAATCGACGCGCTGATTATAGAGCTGTAAGGTGAGATGAAGTTCTGCTGGCAGCGGAATTCTACTGTCATCGTCCGTCTTCAGCCGTCACACCTCACAGCATTCCTGATCAAGTCACTTCTCCTTCACTTTCGAGGTCCTATCTACCTTATTGTCTAATATCTCCCATTCGAGATTTGGCGTCTACTTCATACCTAACTGTCCTATGCACAGAAAGCAATTGATAACAAGTCGTTTGAGTCTACTCAATCGAAGGTGATGTGCAGCACCACCACCCATGGGACATGCTCCATTTGCTCCCCAACTCCCCTTCTATCGGCACGGGCGTTATACATTCATTCTTGATGCTAAGAATAACAATTATTATGGTTACACGGTAAGAAGATTCTAATGGCCTCCGTTAATAAGTTATACACGTGCTTTCCGCTTCCAGGGGTTCAATAATTCCATCCTTCTGAGTGCTGACTGCTGCAATCTTATCTCTCTTGTCCATTGATCATTGTCTATTTATTCTTCATTGTCCATACTCCTCTATGTTGGCATTCATTCTGGTACATTTGCGGATGAATGGGTGAAAGGGTCAAGTCCTTCCCTATTCCCTTGGGAGCTAATTTGGGCAATGGAGTTGTCTCAATGCCATAGTTTACGCAGTACCTGACTGGAATATGACTGTTTGCTTTCTTCACTCGAGCCGAGCCCGGCTGAACTGATGCCCATCTATGCTGCTGTCTCAGCGTTGAAGCCATATGGTCGGCCTGGTTCTCGAATTGCTGCCGTTTTAGGTAATTGTAGAACGACGTTATGCACCCCATTCAGGGCATTCATTTCTTTTCCATGCACCACAAAGCATTGCCTTGCTACGGTGCCGCAGTCCCACAGCCAGCTGATGCCAGCATCAATAATGCTCTCGTCAATGGCTTAGCTCTATGCGTGGGCTTAATGTGCACGAACAAACCAGAGACCAGGGGATGGTTGAAAGATGGATTCACAGTGGCAACTGGCACAAACATCAGTTGGCCTCGTACCAGGGAAACTGTCTCGGTATCCTCAACGTTTCGGCAGTTGCACCGTAACTGAAGCTAATATATTTCAGTATTTTTTCGACATCATGGAGATGGCCATGGCACTCGTTGGAGTGAGTAGAATGGTCCAGGTCGTCAATGGACAGTTCCAAAGTCCTGCCATTGAACCAAATTGGGGCGATACAATCGAAGCCACCGACAAGAGCAGCCTTCTATTGAACGATACTGGCATGCACTGGCATGGGATGCGACAATTCCGCACGAGCCGAATGGACGGTGCGAATGAGCTCATCAAATGTCCAATTGTGCCGGGAGAGAGCAAGACGTACACATCGGAAGTGACGCAGTATGGAACATAATGGTATCACTCCCATTACAGCGTACAATACGCCGATGGGATTGTTGGGGCGATTGTCATCCACGGGCCTACCTCCGCAAACTACGCCGTCGACTTGGGGGACATATCTTCTTACCGACTGGTTCCATAAACCTGTGTTTCAGGTCAACCAGCAAGCCCATGCATTCCGCAAGACCACCGATTGCAGACAATGTGTTGGTGAACGGGACTATGCTGTCACTTGATGGCACCGCTGGGAAATATGCGAAAAATGGGCCTTGAACCAAGCAAGAAACATCTACTGCGCATCGTCAACGTCGGCTTCAACAATTACTTCCACGTCTCGTTGGACAACCATCCCTTCACAGTGGTCGCCGCTGACTTCATTCCCATCAAGCCATTTACTACGACATCGTTGGTGCTTGGTGGTGGTCAACGCTACGACGTGATCATTGACGCAAACCAAGCGGTTGGCAACTATTGGTTCCGAACCAAATTTGGAGGGACTGCGGATGACCCATACGATGGGCGGAACCGGAATGCTGCTAATATTAAAAACATCTTCAGTTACAACGGAGCCCCTCAGAGGTATCCTACGCCCTCTCCCCTATGACAGTCCCTCTAGCTGCTACGATGAGCCAGATCTCGTACCCCTGGTCGAAACCAAAGTCCCAACAGGAGTTCCCGAACAACTCACTTTGAGTTTCAGTCGGACGGAGGCCGACAACAATCTTGTCCGTTGGCTCGTCAAAGTTTCTGCCGTCAACATCAACCGGGACTTCCCCACGCTTCAATACGTCCTTGACTGGAACACTGATTGCCCCTCAAACGACAACGTGTACACGGTCGATAAAGCCGATGAGGTAAGGATGTTCATGCTAACTAATAATAGAATCATGCTGATATAGAATCTAGTGGGCCTACTGGGTCATCCAAGCCGACGAGACCCACCCCCCATTCCTTACCCCGTCCATCTCCACGGCCACGGCTTCCGGATCCTCGGCTCCGGTATCAACGAAACTTTCGACGCTTCTTCGCTGCTGAACTTTGACAACCCAATTCGACGGAACACCACCTCGCTTCCAGCGCTCAGTTGGATCGTCCTCACGTTCCCCGCGGATAACCCGGGTGCGTGGCTCATGCATTTCCTTATTCCTTTCCACATTGCGACCGATCTTGGGCACCAGTTCTTGGAATGACTGGGGGAGGTTGAGGATACCATCGGAGATCTGAGCGGGTTTACGGACGGCTGCAAGGCCTGGGTAGGTTATAATAAAAAGGTTAGACATCTACAGGATGGTCCTAGGCAGTAATGGGACTTCCAATTGGGCACGGAGTTCGATCCGTAGCTCAATGGAGCATTCTGAAGGTTGCTGTGCACTGCACAGCGTATAACGGGGGGATTTTGTGGAGATGGGAATGCAAATTCGAATTATGTTGTACAGAGCGATTTATCCGGTTGCATATCTAGCCCTTTGTACGAGTCTTGTGTCAGGCAGACACATTAATAATCCATTTATAATTATGTCCTAATGAAGGAATGAGCCAAATTCCAAAGCAAACCCCGTCCCCGGTTACTCCAATCGCTCCAAGCCAACAACAACAGATGATATCCAAATCAGATCGCTTACAAGCTCGAACAGATCAAAACCGAGTACCCCTAGGACTTGTTCAGCGCCTTGACTTCGTTCCTTAATTTATCCGCCCATCCCTCAATCTCCTCCCAATTCCGCGCATCCCCCCACTTCTGCCTCTCCTTCGGGATGAAGCGGATGAACATCCCCATCCACCACGGCATATCCTCCTTGAAGAACGCCCCCTGGAACAGCGTATGTCCCCTCAGATCCGGCAGATCTTTGCGCAGACTCGCCGCCACCGCCTTCTCCTCCGCCGCGTGCTCTTCGTCGGTCGGCGGCATGCCCACGCTAAACGCCCAGACCGGCTTGCTCTGGAGGACGGCTTTGTTGGTGCGGACGAAGCAGTGGCCGGGGTTGATCCAGGAGCCGGCGTGGATGGCGCTGGCGACGACGATGACGGAGTAGCTGGGGAGGGAGCCGGGCTGCACTTCACTGACGGGGAGGCAGGTGACGGGTTTGATGAAGGTCTCTAGGCGGGACGCGATGCGGTTGGCGATCTCGCCTGTTGATCCTCTGGAGGTGGCGTACGCGATGAGGACAGACATTGTGATTTAGTAGCTTCAGTTAAGATGGATGCTTGAACGTTATGACTGTGATAGAATTGGCGTTAGGAAATGGAAGACGGTATAAGTACATGATTTCGAAAAGATGGCTTTGTATGTGGATGAGAGGCAGACAACGGAATCATGCCATGTATGCTGTTGTCAGTATCGTCCGATGTGTCGTGCTGGCCCCTACGTACGGACTAGAGACGAGTCGACGAGGTGGTGAGATCTCGCGTATCCTAGGCTCTGCAATTATAGCGGGCTGTTGACGAAGCAAATCACGTCTTCTTTCCCTTCTGAGTCAAGCAACGAGGAATTTGAAATCATTAAGTGAAGGCTCCACACCAACCCCTACTGTGCTCGTAGTATAAGGTCATATGGTGAGACCGGAATAAGTCCAGAAGATGGATGTGCAGAATTTCCGTGGTGGTTTGGCGTCAATGGCAATGCATCAGATTGGGGCGGATGACCCATCCGAAACGGGGTGGCGGTTGTACCAAAGCTGCAACAGTTGAGGTATGGTACGGAGTAGTCTAAAAGGATTTGTCGCAGGCCAAGGCATGAGCTCTAGGAGTCCAAGGCTACAAACTGCATTAATAGTCTTGCCGTGACTCTCGTATATCTGTAGGGCCGGGGGACCAGGCATTCAGCTAGAACACACAACTTACACACAACTTACACACAACACACAATACAAACAACTTCGCTGCTGTAACAACAGCACCTCACTCCCAACCATTTTAGCACATCACGTGCGACAGGATTCGACTGAACTAGTTATATTGGTAACATTTTAATAGTTACGGTAAGCTATATAAATGAGCTATGGTCTCTTGTCGCGATGGTAATTTAAGGTCTTTTTCTCCTACAAATTTTGCCTACCGTACCGTATATGAAGCTCAGCAATTCTTGTTGCTCTAGCCCGTCATGTCCTCTCTACAGAGTCGTACTTTGCGATTGAGATAGTGTTCCCACGGTCCATATCAATGCTAATATTGCTGCCGGCATTGATGTAGCAGGATTCTTTGTGCGGCTTTTTGAATGCCGTGGCAATGATTTTCGATCGTGGCCTCTTAGTCCAAGCAGGCCGTAAGAGGGAAAGAGCGGAGTTTAACAGTTACTTAGAGGCGATGGCATCGCCGCTTGCGGTATTCCACCTGTGCAATTTCTAGTATTGACCACAATGATGAGGCTGTCACGGTTCCACCTTATGTTGCTTTCTGACGTTGATGGATGGATAACTTGTGGCTTGACGATAAGTGAAGTCAGGCATCGTGCGACCGTTGACAACACACCGAGGTTACACAGGGGAGTCGAGCACTTAGGGAGTAATTTCTCTTCTCTTTCTCTTCTTCCTTTCCCGCTTCTTTATCTTTCGTTAGGTCCGATACTAGTTAGCTAGAATATAATAGCCATGTTCTAAACGGCTCCCCTTCTACGCACTGTGACACTGGCGGATAGATTGACGTCCACTTGGGAGTTCCATCCTGCTCGAGCCTCGAGGATACTTGCGACGGGATTGAGACGCGTCTGCTAGTAGGAGAAGGCGGGGTCTCCTCTGTTTACCCACTTTTTGTGAATGAGATATTTTTCTCTGAAATCGCTCTTTTCTCCCTAGGTTACTATTAGACTTGCAACCTTAAATGAACACCCCAGCTGAGATAAATCTGTACATATGTATTACGGAGTAACTCAACTCAACTCAACTTAATCAATTGCAGAGAGGCCTGACGGGCCTATGAATCTCTCTCTCTTATCCTCATTCGTTTCCTGCCAATACCCGTCTTGAATGGCTCCTCATACTTTTCTTTAATGCACCCTGAAATACGGAGTACTCCAATGGGCTATCCGCATTCGTGAACCACCAAACCTCAAGATCTCTACAGGGTCGCTATTCTAGTTTTTTCAACCACGCACGGGACCTAGTTCAGAAGCTATTACTTCATTCATCAAAAGTTCAATCTATCTCCCTAATTGGTTTAACATGAATGAATGGCTGCGGACTGTAGAGCCGCGAATGGGCTCCGGAGATTTTCACGGACTCAATCATACCTGAATCTTCTCTCCAGGAGCATGCTCGCGCAGAGCTTCCCTGCGTGATTTGCTATTGGGATCAAAATACGGTCGCTCACCCACTCCTACCGCTCGATTACCGAAGCGCTCACCCTGGCCGTCATAATCGAAGGTTGCGCGGTGGAAGGTGCTTCTGTTGTCCCAGATCGCTAGTCATATGTCAGCTCTGAGCCTTAACTCCCTTGGGATGACGGGATGCTTACCGATATCATTCGGGTTCTTCCATTGGAAGCGGACCTGCAGGTCGTGGTTCTTGTATACCAAGTCTAAGAACCAGCTCAGGAGGGACTTGGACTCTTCTTCCGTCACTCCATTGATATGGTGGATATGGTCACCAACGGGGAAAAGGCTCTTCCAACCAGTCACAGGGTTGGTCCTCACAACGGGATGCACTGCTTTGAACGAGCTACCATCGTTTTCGGGTGCACCGCGGAGCTTGTCATAGACCTTGACGTCACCGCGAGCTGCAGCGGCGGTTAATCCCGGTTGGGCGAAGGTGCCCGTGAGACCATCAAGGAACTTCTGATATGGCTCACTAATACGGTCGTAGAGCTCGTATCCGGATGCCCAGAGGGTGTCTATAATGGCTGTTAGCGCCACCTCTGGCGACGATCTGAGTTCTACCCACCTCCTCCCGTCCTGGGTAGTTCAATAAGTCGAAGCGAGGAATAATCAGCGGGGACTGGCTCGAAGGCGATATCCGAATGCCAGTATTCAGCGCTCGGAGGCTTTGCGGTGAGTTTTTCACCTGGAGCGACGCTGTAACGCTTCTTGTGCTGGGCAGAGCTGATTGTGCTGATCTCCGGATCGGTTCCTCCAAATTCTTGGCTAGGGTTCAATACCGGGTGAATGTGCAGGCCCGAGGTTATTGGCTTTCCTGTCAGTTCGCCGAGTCGCTGAACCAATACCTTCTGAATATCGTTCGTGAGGTCGTCTTGGGCACGGAAGAAAACCACACCGCGCTGGGAGACTACGAGTCTGTTAGTCTAGAGCACACCTATATTAGTATGGGGTGCTTTCTTTTGATGGCCAATTCCTTTAAAAGTTCATCTGCATTCGGAGCATTAATCCACTCGACCAGGTTGGCACTTGAGAACTCCGTGCCGATGACTGGGGTTACATCGAATTGCTCGAATTGATCGAGGAGGCCCGACGATGCCAACGGCTGCGGTCTGCCTTTGGTAACGATTGGAACATCCTGTTCCGTCACTGCGGGTGCCACAATTGCTGAGGGTGCCATATTTGCTAACGTGTTCTCTTGTTGAATGAGTTCAAAGTATAATTTAAGAGTCTCTGCTTTCCTTCCGCGTGTCGTTGAGTCCTGATTTTATCTATCCTTCCGGATATTCGGCACATTTTTAAAACTCCCCGCGTATTGTTGAATATAGCTTATAGATCACGCAACTTTACCATTGTCTATCTATTGTCTATCCATCGTTACTGGTATCAGATATCGCAGTGGATAAGCTCCGTCTTTGACAGATGATCCCAGACAATCACGTATGCTACTCACCCTATTGCGCCATTCTAGGGGAGCATGACCGCACCATCCATCGAATCAAGTCTATTAGCCTACTACTACTCTAGGATCATCCCCCAGATCGCGACGTGTTCAAACATTTCTATCCAGCTGGGCCCATGGTGGGCGCACGGAATGCGTCACGATTCTCATTTGCGCCCAGCTGGCCCCCTGGCCACGCGCAATAACAAAACCTCCCATTACGAAATGTGATGAAAACAACTTCGGTCTGTCACGAGTTGGCTGCGGCACTCGTAAACTACCTGTGTAGAAGACCTTTATATACTGAATTGCTACAATCAATAGTTATTGACTTTGTTTTAACTAGTCGTGTTGGTCTCCTTTTATTAGCGTGGTGGTTAGCGTGTCACACGGTCTTGAGTGTCATGTCCGACATCCCAACTGCGTAATTACTGAACCTGGCGAAGACTTGATTATTCGCGTGGATCTCACTAATTCTTTTCCTAGTGCACCGAATTGCGGCAGCGTATCGCTGCAATAGGCAATTTGACGTAAAAGGTAAGCGAGCGCGAAGGTCGGCAAAACTCTACGTCTTCACATCTAGTGTACTCCCCAGATTCCTATTCAATGTCTAAGGCACCCTGCTCTTGCAGGAAGCATACACTCTGCTTGTAGTGAGAGCCATATTCCGTGCTTCAATCAATTCTGTCGGGCCCTTTTCCTGCCCTGTCTCTGCCAAAAAACTGGTCACTCTGTTAAAGTCACTGCAGTCATGCAGAGTGGGCCGAAGCCGTCGACGCTCGATGTCAGCAAAGAACTCTTCCAACCACGGAGGTTGCCCGGCAGACTGTGGAAGGGATCGAGCCGTAATGATAGGCACAGTAATAGAGACGGGTGGAGACAAATGGCATGGAGTAGGAGAAGATGCAGGAGTAGGTGCAGGGACTGACAAAAATACAGAAGTGGCTACAGGATTCGAAATTGGTGTAGATGTAGGAATTGTCATAGGAACAAGCGCAGGGACTGAGAGAGAGATAGAAGTAGTCACAACAGTCGTATCTGGAGCAGATGGGGGATCTGACACGGAAACAGAGGTGCCTAGGTGCCGTAGGAGGTCAGCAAGTGATTGACACTGGGTGGAGGAGGAGGCTGAAATCGAGGGACAGAAGGTGGTACACGTCGTTCAAAAGCCGGTGGATCTCTACGAGTTGAAGCCACGTTCCTCCTTGGCGTACCTCTTGTTTGAGCAGGAAGCGGCTCGAGGATGGACTGGTATGGCCTTGGAGTGGCGTATTGACTGTCCTTGCTCACGTCGATAGCGCCAATGATCGTCGTCAAGGCAACTTAGTAGTAATATCGACCCAGAATTCCTTATATCTTGTAGAGTATGACGAAATGGAAGACCATTTATCTTCTCAAATACGCTAGAGCAAGGATGTCCGTCGCGACGTTGTCTTACTCCTTTTAGTGCTGTAGATCCTGTTGTCTAACGCATTCAATTGCCGATGGCGTGAGGACGTCATGAATTTCAGGAAGCAGGAATGGTATAGATTCTATCCTATGCTCGAATTTGACGCGCTGTTTCGAAGAGGCAAGGTTCTTCCTGTATTTGTTGTATCGAAGGCAAAAACGGAAGGACAATTACCACCACGAAGGAGGAGGCGGGGTTTTAGGTACCTATAGCCCTGGCTATGGGGAAACTTTTACCCGCGACATACTAAATAGTCAAATGACCGTGTTCATAGACCCTAACGGGAACCGGATAGCACGTTAAATTGAATTATTATTATTATTATTTGTTGTATTGACTATTGATCATCTGCTTTAGGGCTGGACACGAATATTCGACAATTCGTAGTCGAATACGAATAAAATTTAGAATTTCCGCTTACTAATATTCGTACGAATAATATTCGCATTATTCGTAATTATTCGTAATTATTCGTCTATCTCTGAAGCTATTTCCATGTATCTCGCATCGGAGAGATGGTCGACAGAGAGCTTTGCGCTGGGGTCACTTGGCTTGCTGAATCGTCAGGAGTGATCAATTCGACGCTATTGATATGCTTTGTATCTCTTAGAGCTCAAATCCTCCAGATCGTGTTCGGGTAAACAAAAGTCGCGACTGCTGGGCATTCATTCATTGGCTCGGCTTTTGCCGAATAAGTCTTGGCATTATTTACGAATATTCGCGAATAATACGAATAAAACGTCTCAAAACTTAGTCGAATACGAATAATCGTTCAAGAGGAAAAGTCGAATACGAATAGCCAAATTCCTTATTCGTGTCCAGCCCTACCACCCTCTTCGTAAAAAGCATCCAACCGGGACCGGAGATGCAAAGCACGCTTTCGATCTAATGGCTGCGCTGAAATAGAGTTTAAGTGTGGGTGATGAAGGTGGTGATGATTACGCTTCCGCTGTGAAGTGGTGCTTCACGGGCGCGAATGATGGGAATCGATCCTGGCGAGGCGAAATCATCAAGCAGGTTGTTCGGCCGCTAGAGTTATGCCAAGAGCATTTCATGACCACAGCTGTGACATGAATTGAAGGTATGAAGTTTGGACTTCTGCATTATACCCATACATCCTATTACCTCTCTACGCATACTCGACAGCCCAAGCCAGAGATAAGAACAGAGTCTTTGTGATTGCCTTATGAGCACGTCAACCGCAGCCTGGCGAAGGATGGAAAACGAGGCTCAACTCTGCTCGATGGAAGGAAGGGTTTAGGTAGCCCACCGTGTGAGGCATTGGTTGTGGTTCCTGATGTCTAGGGAATTCCACGCGGTCAGTCGAGATCTTTTCTATTCTCTTGCGCACAGGGGTGCTTGGCTCGATTCAGATATGGATCCCCCACTCAGGCCACACTATCTCTGACAAGTTGCATGTATGATTGGACTTTTTTAGTATATCATGCCTAAACTTGCGTTTTCTAGTACATACGGCCACATCAACCTGAATATAGGGCATCCCGTCCGCTCTGCCGTACTCAAGCAGGTTAGAGATAGAATAGTACTACGGTGGGTGACCACGTGGGAACTCCTATTGCTGTATGTTTTTATATTTTTATATTTTTATGGCCATTGTGCCAAGTTTTTAGTGGGCAAAATGGATCAATGGTCGTTTATGGTGTGAAAAGCTTCCATTGTTAGTACATACGGCCACATCAACCTGAACAAAACGAGGACGACGGAGCAAATCCCTCCATTTTCTGAGGGAAAGACCCTACGAAAACTGCTTTTGCCCCTACAAAATCGGCTGCTTTTGCTCGCAAGCGATAGGCTCGAGAATGGGTGTGAATGGGTTGCAGGGGTGAATGAATCAAGGATGGATGATAATGTTGCATGCTTTCGACGCTTCATACCCTTGACTACTTAGTTTCGTCTTCAAGAATCTCATAACTATAAGATTGATTCTATACGGGGGAAACGAGAAATACGTAGCAAGACCGCATGATATCGCAGTACTATAGGCTATAAGGAATGGATCGAAGGCAGGAAGATGGCGAAGAGGAATAGTAGGCATTCCCATCCACTGAAATGCAGACGGCAGATGGAAAGGAGACCGACAGCCAAGTGCAAGTTCCTGTACGTACCTCCTAACTATCCGAAGTATATCCGGAGCGGAGTGAGCCCCGTCAACCTGAATAGGGCATCCCGTCCGCTCTGCCGTACTCAAGCAGGTTAGAGATGGAATAGTACTACGGTGGGTGACCACGTGGGAACTCTCTCACCGTAGTACTACTCGGCTCGCCTGCCATTGGCTGGACTTGGTACCATACATACTTAGTCAACGTGTTATGGGTTGAAACCCTTGGTTGGCTAAGGCTGAGAGCCTAAGCCTGATTAGGCCAAGGGTGAATCAGAGTCCAACCTCTCCGATGTAAACAAGAGAGCTTCCCCTTCTTGTTCTCTTCTTTAGCTTAATCTAGAATATCTTTGGCTACGTGTATGTTGTGTGCATCCAGCTACCGTGCCGTAACACAACGAGGGATATGGGGAGATAGTCTTCGTGTCTCCTGCCCATCCATCGCTGCAATTAATTTGATGCGCCCCTGAATACGTGGCGTCTTCTCATTGGTTCTTGTCCCTGCCGAAATGTCACTCACTATTATCGCCCACTGTACGCGCAGGACCATCCGTTGCGAAGATGTTGTTTTTGAGCGATTCAGCTATTTACGCGTTTCCTCCCAATGATTACGAATACCCTGATCAATAAACCTACAGGGGTTGATTCTAAAGAGAGATGGCCTAGTATTGGAGGTGGGCGGGGAGGGGTTTGAAGAAAGCTCACAGAGCTAGTTCCATAACTATTACTCTTCCAGATGTATACCCAAAGCCAACAACGCTTTTATGAACCGCGATGCAGTTTGTCCGATGCTCGGGAGGAAGCCAAAGGATCGGCCCGGCTTGACTGCACACCCATTGGTCCCTGACAAATATAGAGGGGGAAACCAGTGGGTCGGGGCCGTCTGAACCGGTAGAGGAAAGAGATAAGATAGGTAAGGATCCTCTATTCGTCTGGAGGTGGGTACCATCGTCGGAGAAAGAAAGAGTGTAGAGCGTACCATGGCCCTCGAGCGTCCGCTGCAGCGCGACCGACCAGGCGTCCCACAGCTTGACCGTCTTGTCGCGCGATGTCAACGCCAGCGTCTTGCCGTCCGGCGAGAAGGCTACGGCCT